GACTTGGCAGCTCCATCGGTTTATTGAGTTTTCGGCTGTGATGATGAGCATCCGCCGTAGACTACGGTAATTCATCTGATCGAACAATGCAAATGCCCTCCGCTGGAGCTGCAAACCCACGGGGACAGAGTGAACCCAGAAGATCTACATCTCGAACCGGATTGCAATCTTCATTTGATATTAAGGTTGTTAGCTATGTCCGGTTATCGTTTCAAACCATACTGGGAGCCGCAAACAAGTCATGATCAAAGATGGTTATATCTCCGAGTGGTGTCGGGGATCAGTCCCACTAGTGGCCACGATCGTCAAGATGTCCATCAACTCCTGGACTAAAGCCACGACTCGCCCGAGACGTTGGCGTCCTGCATCGCGTATCGATCGGCATCTGTCACCCTAATGTCAAGGGGCTTGCGAGCGCTTCAGACCTATCAAGTCCTCTTGACAGGGGTGGGACAACTGGGTAGAGCTCCCCGGACAACCCCCCAAGTTCAACTACTCCGTACAGATCACTCCGTAATCCGTATACCATATAATACGGACTATGGAGTATGGGTACGTCCTTATACCGATTGGCCTATAACTGGGCTGGGAGCGTCAAGAATAAGTTTAGACAGCGACTTGTCCCGACCGAAAGGGTTTACCCAAGATGCCTGGAGACCAGCTACTCCTGCACTTCGACCAAAGGGGCAATCATTGATCCTCAGGTCCGCCTGCAGTCGATGCTGTGAGCTTCTCATTATTATTATTGTTATTATTGAACTGGCTGGTCCGATCCGCAGTTAACCTAGCTGGTAACTACAATAATGATATACCACCACTACTAACTACTACTACCACCACCACCACAGCAGCAGAATCAGCGCATGGATGGAAACCGGTACGATCGCTGCATTGCCCTGTCGCTTTGGTGGCTGCGATCATGCTCTTCCCATGGACTCTGTCCTGGTCTCTGGCAAGCTGTCCCCATGCGATCCTGAACTTGTCTCACGTCAGGTCCACATTCCCATCTTTTGGCACCAAGATTCCGATAGAGCTCGTCCGGCAGGTCAGCGCTGTCTTAAGCTTTTGATGAATAGCCCGCAGTGAGGCTGACTAGCGAACACCTCGAACTGTCGGTCTGAAGTTGGGTCCTTGGCGCAGCCGTAGCGAAGGAGAGGAGACGACGAACAGTTAGTTGGATGGGCCGCGACTTTTTTCCACATCTACGAAGTACGAAACATATTACTGTGTCATCCAAAATATCTGCATTCTGCAGTCGGTCGCTGGCAGGACACCATTAGCCTTCAATTGTCAACGCCCTCCCATCTGGCAAGATGCTGCAAGGACAACCTGACTCGGTAGAAGCAAGAAGGCTAGTCCGATTTGCTTTAACGTCCATCTACGGCAGGGATCAGCACCGGCAAGGGAACATCCTGAAAAGCTTCCGAGATAGATCCCCAGCTCCCGAAGCGCCGTCGACCGTTATGCTCCACTCGACCTTGGCTTTCTGCTACCCACACACATCGGCTCCCCCACGGATCAGGGATATGTTGCGATGAAGATGCCATCAATACCATTCTACAGGATATCAGCGGAATCATCAGACCTTGCTGCATGCATTGATCTACAGATGTGACCATCAAAAGATGTGGGCAGTATTATATCCTAATCGATGAATGTGCAGCGCTGCTAATATCGGAAGGGACCTTCTGCTTCCTTTTCGACACGTGTGCCGGCACATTCCAGCCCCGATGTCCTACTTCAGATCCTTACGTTTTACTCTGTACTGCAGATCCTATCCTGTCACATCGGTACTGATCGTTAGTGCTTCTCCCTGCGGTATTCAGCTTGGGCCCATTCCTGGCGACACAAATTAGAAGTGCGAACGAAGATGCTAATCTGTAAGGCGCAGTTTATTGACCTGGGCTGAAGCGACTAGTCTAGGTCGGAAAGAGCTAAATAATGCTGGTCTGAAAAGCCCCGTGCAAATCCAAGGCTTGTTTTCCATGAATCGCCTTCCCACGATTGGAGCGAATTTATGACCCAGTTTCTGCCCCGTGCACTGTCACTACGATCTACGATCAAATGGACCTCAGCCGAGCCTCTCAATTCCAGCCACTTTGGACGCACTCCTCCTACTCCGTAATACTCTACTTCCCGCCAGTTATACGCCGCGTCGCGCTTCCTGGGTCAGACGAGACCTTTTGCCGCAAATCCTACTCACAATAATTCGAGTCTACTAGCACATATTAACAAATAGAGAATTATCTATTACCGCCACAGCCCCTCTCTGAGTGACAGCCGACCTTGGCTCGTCCCTGACCACTGGACCGCAGGATGCAGTTGACTGGAATACGGCTCCACTAGCTTGTGGTAAACTCTCCGATCTCTACTACTTTCTCTTGCTGGTAGCTTAGAGTTTGCAGGCTCTCTGCACCCTTCCCACACGGTAATTGAACGTGGAGGGACGATATGATCAATGGTATCTTGTCTTTTGTCCATACTACTCAAGTACATCCATCACCAAATGCTTATCTCTCTTCCTGGATCTTTTTACTCGACACTGAGCACTCCATTTCCACGGGGTTGCGGTGAGGAAAACAAACGATGTGCTCGTATCGTTTCCTTCGGGTGATCAAGGAGCAGGCTTTCCAACCTACGGAGTAAGTGGTTACAACTTACAAGGGACAATAACTAACTACTACATCGACCGGTGAAGGGCTTGTCTGTCAAACTGGGTCCTGTGGCACAGGGCCAGAACCCTTCTCTGGTTGCCCTCGAATGGCATTTTCCAGGCCAGCAGTCTGACTATCGATCCGCCCGAAACACCTAGAAGACCCCCGCTCTGAAATTAGCTCACCCAGTATTGCGTATTATGTACGGAGTATTATTACATGGCCGCTTCAATTGAGCATCCTCGACCTAGGAAGATCTCTCAACGATCATGATGATTACTGCTTGCCATCGTCTACTTTCTCAACTCCCATGATCCCTACCATGAACCGTAACCCGTCAGTAGCGTCTACGTCATGGTCCACGGAACTAGCCATATGATCGGCAGACCGTTAAATTGGCAATATCTCGAATCTGCAAGATTTGCACCACGTATCCGACGCTATCACGATGGCGACGTTAAATCGGGACTCCCACTTCCCCAAATGATTCCCCTCCGGCGGTATTCCAAGACAGATTGCTCGGAAAATCAAATACAAGCTCAATACGGTGTAATAGTTCGTCTTCTAGACTATGCAGAATACGTGATAGATAACCTGCGATATACCTTCTCCGCTGGGTTGAGATGGACAAATACAGGGCTCAGGTTTCTGAACGTGGAAGTGACGAACGGTGCAATGGAGGTCATGTCGTTCATTCGGCAGCGCGACCCAAGCTTTTCCGAGTTTCGACTCTGTGTCCGCTTTTCGCTAGTTGGATATTATCATCATATTATTCTACTCAAGCCTACCCTGCTGATCATCGTAACTTGAATCTGATAGTATTTTAGTATGGTCTAGTGTTTCTAGCGCGGGTGCCAGGGGTCACGAGCTTCCTAGCCGATCGAGATGGGACGGTACGTATGGATTCCCCAGAATCAGATGGGCTGTGGTGCCACAGATTCATTAGCCAAGTGCAGAGTCTCGTCTCATAAATTTCGAATCATGAAAAGGACCCGTAATTATGGTACTATCACAAATAAATAAGATTCGCCACACGTGTAATACCTTGTTAGTCTGGAGTAACACATGTTACGAGAACAGCTCGCTTAGTTATAGCAATGGCATCATGATCGTTGCCGCCACCTAATTATCTCTTACTAATGATGAGATCAAGCCTTTTTTTTTTCTCGGTACCAATTGACTGTAACAGTAATGGCCATGTGTCATTCGCCGCAGATTTTAGGGGACAATAATGAAATATCTCCGTGCTAATAACATAACTCAGCCTGACAACTCCAAGGTACTGTAAAACTATTAACGCACAATATAAGAGGTCTACTCGACTAAATAGGTACTCAACAGGTTAATATACAGTTTCTCAATTTTCTACCTTCCGCGTATACTTTCATGGGTAGATATCAATCGACACCGGGTTCCCTATATATACACATGCTTTGAATGTCTATGCGTGTAGTATTCTAGTTCGTAAACTCAATTTATACGTCCATATGTTCATACCATCTATGTTTCTGATATAAAAAGGAAGCTATATGGTCATGTGATACTTCTTTTGTGAATCACACTCTTTAATTGCTTTTTTTATACAAACAAGTACCAGATATAGTCTACGGTAGTTCTTGTACTTAATAAGTAAAAATTATTCTCAAGTCTTATGTATATTCCCCACAATCTATTTGTATTATCGTTTTAATATCGGTCGTTATATTTGGTATTGTGGTGAAGCTGTGTATATATATATTGATAGGCGTACACATTGCTGCGTAATATATTTATCCCGAAAAGTCTTAGTGTAGACTATAACGAATTGCTTTTTTTGAGATTGAAATGTCTTTTAAAGCGAATGGACTTTATCCTGGCATAGCGTGCAGATAGAACAATTAGGGTTGACTGCTTATTGCAGAAAGTTCTATGATCACGCTACTATAGTAGACGTGCCTGCTGGAGGACTTCTACTTCCATATATTATGACTTTGAGAAATATGAATGGACAGAGCAAAGATTATCTTTCCCACATAAAACTTAACGTCAACGTGATCCAAGTGAGTTATGGTGGGTAGCGAATCCATGGTAATGGGACTGTACACGAGACTGATCTATCATGCAGCCAGCATGCGAGACGTGAAGAGGGTTGTTATCACATTGGCAATGTCTTTTCCTTGCATATGCCACGTGGACTTGTGCGAAGTAGTAAGATAAAGTCCTGTTACCGGACCTGAGAGCTATGTAATTATTACTATTACGGCATACATTGAAGGCGATAGGGTCATAGCTCCCATGCAATGGTCATAGTCATGAGACTATTCTCACAGATTATGCAGAGAGCCAAGGCGATTCTACCAATCCTGATCATCTCCAGTATGCTTTGGCGATCGAATTGATATAGTCGATCCCCTCCCCACGCCACGTGTCCGGCTCCATGTGACTGGTAACGTTGGCATCGAAAAGGAAGTCAGCAGGCTTATCTTGTGAATAGGAAGTCCACTTGTTGGTAAAATTGCGCACTCCACTGTTAGGATCGAGATCGTGGATGAACGAAGCCCACATGCTGGTCATGAGCTTGCTGAGCTCTGCATACGAAGGGGGAGTGCCTGCAAACGGTTTGCCATAGTGATATCCCGTCCCGTTGATGTTATTGAATACGAAAGAAACTTCCTCGAAGTGGGTGGCGCCGACCAGATACGGGACATCTGCGGAGTGGACATTGAACCGATAACAGTAGGCTGGTATCGATGCACCAGCCCATGTCTCGCTTTGTTTACGGCGATTGGCGTGCATTTCAGCATCGCCTGCATAAGCACTTGTTCGACGCCACTCGTAGCCCTTGGAAGGAACTCGCTGGTCACCTAGGAAGGCGGGAATGCCTTGTGATGGGTCGTCTGGGTACAGATCGAGAATGCGTTTCGCAACCAAACCAGGGAGCTTTATTCCAGCTGAACCATCTATATCCCAGATTAATTAGTCGATTTTGACAAAACAACATCACAATGAAATGAATTCCCACCGACCTGTCAGATATTCGTAAAATTGCTGCGTGGTGTTAATGCCCGTTGGCCCAAAAGCAGTTCCTTCATCTGTGTTTGTCCCTGAAATAATGGGAGCCTTGACAAATTCGCCATTGGCAAGCTGAACACTGCCCCAGTTCCGTATAAAATCTCCATCTACGACGGGCCAAAAGCTGTATTGGGGGTTACCATCGGTGCCGTTGAGAACCGAGTTGAGGGTTTCAAAGGGAGCTTCACGCAAGCATTGTAAGGTATCTGTCGCGTTGGAGCAGCCGACCCCGGCGAGGATGGAATCATAGGAAGCTTGGTAGCCAGTGGAATTCATAGGGTTCGCCGCAATGGACCCTCCGGATTCCATAATGGCTGCACGAAATAGTCCGTCGTCTCTTCCACCATAGGCTGTGAGATGGGCTCCCACCGATATAGCACCCGCAGATTCGCCCCAGATTGTGACCTTTTTGGGATCACCACCAAAAGCATGGATGTTTTCCTGGACCCATTGCAAGGCCAGCCTTTGGTCCCGGAGTCCAAGGTTGGTATTTCCTGTCCCTTGGACTTCGCTTGAACTAATGAATCCCCATGCTGATACTCGGTAATTGAAGGAAACAGCAATGAATGGCTTTCCTGTATTTTGGTAAGTATATTTCTCTTTTCTATATCCTGTTCAATGAGCGTACCGATTTCATATGCGTTTTTCAGTATATAGGACATGTTATACCGCTGATCGGATCCAGATCCTTCATAAAAGCCACCTCCATGGATCCAAACTCCCACAGGAAGATTCGAAAGCTCATTTGCAGACGAGCTACGAACGACATTTATCGTGAGACAGGCCTCAGACATAGGATACCAGATGGAGTCTGTCTGTTTGACCCTCTGTCAGTGAAAGTTTTATCCCACCGGAAAAATATAACATACTCCATACCCCACGCAGATATCTGAATATTTCTTCGCATCGCGTTCACCTTCCCAGCTCTCGTTCAGAGGCTGGGGTACAGCAAACCGCAGATCACCCACAGGCTGTTGAGCATATGGCATGCCCAGAAAGAAATCCTGATTGTATTCTTCGTTCCAGACCCCGGCATATGTCCCATTAATAACATGCGCTATGGGTTTAGAACGTGCAACCGGAGTAGCGGCCGCCAACACCGCAGCGAGAAGGCCGAGAGAAGCGAGTATGGTCTTCATGATGTCACCTCGTAAAAGCGCCCAGTTCCTACCGGCTGTATCGCAGCCATGTCCGCAGGTATCGATCTTAATATATGTGTGTGGCGGGGGCATATAGGAACCGGCAACCACAAGGTACAAGGTCTTTATGCGGAGATTGCTCCTCAAAAGGCTGATTTACCGCTGCACGGAGCAAAGGCGCGCAAGACCATGGATTTGAGGGGTTCCTCACTAATCATTTTAGGAGATATCGGGAGGGGCTTTATCCGGAGCAGGTTAATAAAATAAACGGGATATAGACCTGACATGTGGAGAAAAGGAGTCAATGTGGGGTTCTCCAGTCGACGGAACAGTCTATCAGTCGGAGATCGCGGCTATCTTGTGATGTTTCTGTCCCCAAGTCATGTAGAGTTGAACGTCTGCTGTCTGAGTACAACTCGAACTCGGAGAAGGAAATCAATTGATCAAACTGAGCCCTGCGTGAAATAGATAAGTAGCGGGTAATATTGATCTGGCGATCAGGCTGATTCTTATTTTTATCCCCCACGGGTTTCTCCGGAGATTATCCGTGAAAGCGCCGATCTGGTTTTTGAGACCATGAGATCAAACCTAACGAAATCAGTACCAGCATGGGATTTGACTCTTCTGGGAACATAATAATGTTACTATTCTCATTGTTAACCCCGCACTGTACGTACGAGTGCGTTATGTGCCTTGGGTCAGGATATACTTCCAATCTATTTTTCAAAGGTCGTCCTCTTAACAGAGAAACAGGTCCATAATAAGAGGAATTAAGGCAGGCATGGATACCTTGAAAGATGGACTAACAGTAAGCGGGTTGGTGGCAGGTAATTATCTCAATAGGTTGATGATATAGCTCTGAGAGTTAAACTAAAAGTGGTTCCCTCCAAATGTTTGAGAGAAATGCACCGTGTTCGACGATGTACATATGTGTGCAGCGATAAGTAAATTGATCTCTAGAGAGAGCAGAAGCCTATGGAACGAAGGAATATTATATACATAACACCCTACACTCTATATTGTCGAATGCAGACTAGTCGAAGCGAGTCTCGAAAGGTCGTTTATTTTTTGAAGAGTATATAGAACATATCCACAACATTGTTGATGAATAAGTTTGGCCCTAAAGACAGGTTTATATGGAAACAAGCGACTTATTCTAGATTATAATATTCCTGGACAGCACCTAACAAGTTACAGGTGGCATATATATGCCCTTTGAACAATACGAGATTACTGCTTAATCACAAGCCTCTAGTTATAACAAACATTTCATCTATCATCATCCATAGGCCTCGACGAGATTCCACTAGATCTCAAACAATGTTCCACAACACAACAGCCACTACCACATGACAGGGCTAAAAACAACCATGTAACCCTCATTTTCCAGCTAATCATACGTGTCACTTCTTATAAAAAAGATGAAGAAAAATAGACCGAGAGCCCCCATTCATCCAAAAGGCTATTGGTTGATTATCGTGCTGCAATATACGCATTTTCAACCACTCAGAGTCCACGACTAAAAAGACAATCAGCTGAACGAGACAAGCTCGGCCCCAGAATCGTAGGGTTGTACAATGTACGACGACACTTAGCATTATCTACTCTCGTCTCGAGTCTCGGCCCCCGGCAGCTTTTGTGATTGGATAGATGGGAAATATTCGAGATTACGATCGTGACGAATAGGACTCGAGCGGAAACGTTATACGTCGCCTTATATTACTGTCGTGTCGTTCGTATTAGCCAGATAGAGAGTCTGATGCTGCTAAATGAGAGGAATCCGTGGGAGTATATTTGTCATAATGGCCATGCAGCTTGTCTTAGTCGTATACTATACTCACGTGGATCTGAATCTTGCAGGAAGATATGTTTTACGAGCTTGTGACATGTACAGTAATATGTTACCGTGGGCAATTGGAGATCTGATTTATTGCTGAGATTATATGACCTGTATTTCCTATTTCTTCTGATGCTTTACAAAGTGCTGGTAGCGAATGTTACAGTGATTCTAGACGTCTAAAATATCATCTCCTGACCAATACGTTGCATTCTTGAATTACACCCCTCCCCAAAGCGCCAAAAGTTGAAGACGTAGATTTATAGAAATGTCTACAGCAAAAGAACCCCTTGACAAGACTACGGCCAGCGACAACAAACAGCCACCATCTAAGACCGAAGAACAAGACACGAACGCAACTTCCGACAACACAGCAGCGTCGAAATCAGCAAATGAATCAACAGATGTCACAGTCTCTACTCTCATATCCATCACAAACTCCTTCCTCTCCGCTCTCAGTAACAAATCCAGACCCGAGTTCGAAAAGCACTGCCTCAAAGCGGCTGGGATGGCGCTGTGCGCGCCTCAACCGGCTCCTGTCCGCTTCTGCAGTATTGATACCTTCATTGATCGCGTCACAGCCATGCGTGATGAGATCCACGAAAGAGGATGGAACCACGAAGTCAAGCTGTACGAGGAGGGGAATATGGCAACGGTGTGGGTGCCGTTTCGGGCGAAAATCAACGGCGTCGTCGACCATGTGGGGGTGAATCTGTTCATTTTGCACAAGTTGAACGGGGTGTGGAAGATTACGGGAGTGGCTGATTCTTCGAGGAAGCCGACAGATGAGGAGAGACAGATGGAGTGAGAGATGTTGCGATGGTTAAGTGGTTGTTGGATACGAGAATGTGTTAGACCAGGAAACTATTGCATGGATAGTAGAAAGCCTAGTTGGTATCCATATCGTTCGATCTATCTTGCTATCAATATGTGTAAATGCGCTAGTATCATAAAAGTGACATATCCAAGCAGTTGCCAATCGCCTTCTATAGTATGATTTTAACTGAAAAATGAAGGCATGTGTCGTGAGATGTGTCCAAGTCACGGTTTTCGACCGCTCAGCATCTCCCACCCAACAGTTCCATTTTCGCCTTCTTTATACGTCATTTCCTTAACCGCTTCGACAAGATCGTAACAGATCTTCTCGGAGACTGCGCTGTCATGTTTGTATTCAGGATGCGTCGCAACGAACTCCCGAATCCAGCGAGCACCAGTCCAAAGAGTACCGTCGGCGCGCTTTCGGATAAAGTCAAGGTATCGTGCTAGGGCACACCGCGTCTCGACATCCACATTGACGCTGTTCAGGTACGACTCAACCAGAGGAATAAGACCCGGGAATGTGCCATCTTCCGACCCGTTGATGATGTCGGAGATGGTCATGAGCTCGTACTCAGACTCAACAGGACCGAGAGGTGGAGATGGGGGTGGCGTACTGACGGCAGAGCCCCCAGCCGGGGTAGCAGCAGAGCTACCATTGCTGTTATACCTTGGTACACGGTGATGGAATGGATCCTTGCGGAAATAGAACTTCCGGTCAAGCACAGCGTTACGTGCGTGGGCGGTCTCCATATTCTCTGTTGTACGCTGAATAGGAATATAGAAATTAAGGTCGAAGCTGAGAATGACGCGAGTAATGAGAACTATGAAGATGCTGAAGGCAGCATTTTCGAAGTCCGTTATTTGGATCTCCATCGATCGGAACTCGACTCGCCAGCCAATGTCCTTATCGGGTGGCGGGGGCTTAAATCGCATATGCTGCCAATTTGTCGACTGGAGATTCTCGAAGTGATCAGTGGAATTCAAATCGAGCTCCTTCATGTCTTCTGAAAATACCACCAGAGGGTCGCGGATAAAGAGGTGTGCGAAATGTGTTGCCAAGAGGTCGTCCATGCCACCATCGATCAGACGCTTCTTGAGATCTTCATCCACGACGAGATCCGGGTCAAGATATTCTTTTCGGAGCCTTGGGTCTTGGGAGATATACGTAGAGTTCGAGGCATATCGCGACTTGGGTATCCGCCACCTGTCGTTCTTCAGGGGCTAACGATACAGATTAGTCTCTCGCCTCATATACGGAACGACATTACTTACGAGTTCTCCAAGCTCCTCTCGCGTTCTGCAATCGACGGATGCGCCGATCTGATTCCATCGAACATCCGTGTCCACAAGGAATCCCTTATAGATAGGCGTTGCTGCTGTCAATGCCAGCATGATGGGCCCCAGCGGGCTCAGTTGATCGTACAACTTTCTGCCTTCTGTGATATTCTTTGCTTGGAAAGTGATCTGTAGACAGCAGCTTCCCATTCCGAATGCCATAGCGTCCATATAGACATGATTTTCTTTGGCCGCGCCGTTGCGCACATCATCGTCTTCTGGCCACTTATGGAGATCATAATCGACAGTTGGGTCGTGAAAAGGCCACGGTGTATTCTCATCTCTGAAGACCGGAACATTGATTTCCACTTTGCGCCCTCGTCGTGACCTGATATTTGCTGCTAGTGTTGGAAAACGAATGTGCGGATTGGCGATCTCATCAGGCACGAACTGAGAACGCAGAGCTGGTCCTGACGGGGGATAATATGGCACGATGTAATCATCCTTCGTACCAAGTCTCGGGAAAGTAGTGAGAGTAATCGGGAATTCACTCGGATCCATGTGTGCTTTGGCGATATCTCGTCTGGGATAGCTGTCAGATGGCACGACGAAAACCAACATTGCGTGAATTATACCTCCAGCGCATATTAGATTCCACTTTCAGCAAGTCCTTGAAATCGATGCCCCACGGTCTTCCCGGCGTAGCCTCCAGCATGAATCGTCCGAACTCGGGGTGAAAATGAGGTAGCGCATCGCTATCGCTAAGAGAGAATCAGAGCTGCCCAGCACCGATATAGTGGACATGGTGGATTTACTGTGATATCTTCAATCCTGGTACGCTGCCACCTGCCTTCCATTCCGCCTCATCTTCGGCCAATGATTTCAAAATCTCCGCTTGGGCCAGGGAAAGCCGGACTTTCTGAGCCTTATCATCGACCGCTACGACGAGGTATTCGACCTGATATAAGAAAGATAGTCAGATAATTGGCGTGACCATTATTTAGGAGCCAAACGTACCTCATCTCCCCACAGGAGTGCATCCCGTTCCTTCCCCTTTGCTCTATTCCATGTTGCCAGAAGTTGCTATGGCGCTTTAGCAACGATCATTGACAGACATTTCCCCAAGATAACGATAACCCTGGGGCATATCGGAAATGAACACCAACCTCAATTCCCCATCTCCGCACTTGATCCGCTTTTTGCTTAGCCTCTGGCCAGTCCAGCGCAGTTCCGAGGGCTCTGAAATGATCAACTGTCAGCACTGTGCTAGATGCGGGGTGAATTCTCATACAGCAGACCCATTGCGTCCGAGGCACCTCACGCGCAAAGAGTGAGCAGTCTCTGAATCAGACTCTTTTCGTCCCCGACTGACAGAGCGAATGCTCTATGTTAGATACCCTTTTTTTTATTTTCCGGAGTAGCGCCGTCAATGTGCAGAGTTGATAGTTAATCGCGATTCGCGCTTTGGTAATCAGCGGCAAGTGACGGCTGGAATACGTCAAAAAGATCGTAGTCACGATTCAGGCGCGCAGGATGACAGTTCTTCAACCGCAGTGAAGAGATAAAATCTGACATTCGTCCCTCTCTTTATGTCTCCTTCTTTCTGACCCCTCAAGGCTCGGGATTAGCTGCCTATTGGCGCAGTGCTGTCCAGACCGACCGTGAAGTCTTCCTATGTGGGGGTTTGGCTTCGGAGGTCTACAGGCTTTTCCCGATGCTGCGGGGCACGAGAGCATTCGAAGCGTCGAGCGCAACAATGTTTGGATAGGCAGAGCACAAAGAAGACGCAGCCACTATCTAGTATTAATAATTACTGAATGGCGAGCTCGAAATCACATGTCTTGACGAGGCGCTCTTCATTGGGATAACCTTCAAGAGCAGAGGCCTCTTGCACTGCAAGTAATCTCCAACATCTATTTAAGTACTCGGATCATCAAAAAAGCCACAAAAATCTATGATTACTGATCGTTATTATGATGCCGCTGAAATGGAATTTACTAGATCCCTTCCGGCTACCGTACCGGAAAGGACTTCGCTAAGAAGAAAAAGCAATTAGCGGCGAAGATACGATAGTTTCTTCTACAGAATAATAATAATCTCATGATTGCGGAAATAAGAGATCGGTAACTGCTTACAAATTCAGTTCTCGGCTAGTTAGTTAGTTAACTAACTAGCTACCTAGGTAGGTAGTTAATAATTATTAACAGCCTTTTGCATCGGGCAGCGAATCCACTTCGAGCTATTCCGTTCAGCCAATGTTATGCAGTGCAATAGAAAGCTGCTTGGGTGCAACCCTTAACAAAGCAAAGCTCCATGTGAAGTGATAAGAGGGCACTGGGTGATTGTGAACGCCAATTAAGCGCTGATACTGGCGCGCCTTGTAATACTTATTGAGAAAAAAGAAAAAAGAAACAGGGCTCGGGACAGACAGGCAACGGTACACTGCAAGCTTCGTTTCGAAAGAATCCCAACGCCAGACTCGGTCCGTAGTGGCCGGTCTTACAGTTTATGTACATCTTCTGTCTTTGCTTCTTGCGTAATGCGTCTCTTTGTGGTGATCATCCCCCGGTTGCACATCTAGTTGCTCCGGGCACCGTCCTTCGCAGCGCGCAGCTCGTCCATCTTGGCCACACGCTTCTTGAACTCCTCATACTGGCACTTCTCGTAGGTGTGACGCTCGGTCTGTGATAATAGTATTGTACGTCAGCATTCGGTCCTGGGATCTAATATCACGTCCCACTCGTAAACGAAAGTGGATAGTTTCGGGGTCTCCTACCTCGCACTTCCAGGGCAAGTAGTACTCATCTTGACGGCATCGGTTCAATGGGATCAAAAGGTGTGCGCATGAATCCCGGTAGGCAAGAGGAAGACGAGCATCCGACATCTCCTGGCGGGTGGCTAATGCAGGACTGTCAACGACCACTCCGGACATATGTACGACTAGCCTCTCTTTCCGAGACTCAATGGGGGCGAAAAACCTACCGGTGCCATCCCCGAGACCGATGGTACTCTTGACCGACTCGACGAGCGTCATCTTGGATTGCAATGTGGTGGAGTTGAAGGATATGTCGGTGCTGGACGTCAGAGTCGATGTTGCGGGCATCAAAGGCAGGTTGCGCGCAGCCCGCGGCGGAGTCATGTGACATCACATGACCGACGCTGGCCTTGTGGACGGATCGGGACTAGCGCTGGTTTTCCACTTTACGCGACTTCTTCTGCCAGGCGCGTCTCGCTCTCTGGAGATGCAACGACCGCGTCGTCGAGATGTCACTGACCCGATCGACGAGCCACCGTGGCTGAGGATATTGCTGCATTTTCAGACCTGTCTGCCTTGATGTCTATACTATTCAATACTGCCTTTCATAACTGGGATCTGTACGGGACAAGACGAACTCCCGCCCTGTCCTCGACTCTGCGTCGCATTTCTGGCTGCTCGGAAACCTACCTGGAATAAGGCGGCTTACGAGAGGACGCACGCACCATGGCGGGGTTAAACGATGGTAAAATCTATTCTGCTACGTACAGTAGTGTTGGTCTTCCCTTTTCTCTGCTCTTTTTTCTCCCCTGACGCATGGAACCCGCCTCTTTTCCGCATTCAATCTGACGCCCTTGTGTCATTGTTCAGGTACCGGTATATGAGTTCAAAATAGACGGGGAAAATGTGATGCGCCGGAGGGCCGATGACTGGATCAATGCTACACATATCCTTAAAATCGCGGGGTTTGACAAGCCTGCGCGCACTCGAATTCTGGAGCGTGAGGTCCAAAAGGGCGTCCATGAGAAAGTACAGGGTGGCTATGGCAAATACCAAGGTACGTGAACCCAATCTCGTCAGTGATAGCGATTGCTAACTGAAATAAAGGAACCTGGATACCTCTGCCCGAGGGTCGTTTGTTAGCTGAGAGGAATAACATTCTCGATAAGCTGAGACCAATCTTCGATTTCGTCCCTGGTGATCGCAGCCCGCCGCCAGCCCCAAAACATACAACGGCGGCTTCGAGACCAAAGCCAAGGATATCAGCAGCGGCGAAGAAGTTGGCAAAGGATGACATGTCGTTCAATTCTATAAAGTCGCACCGCAGTATGGGTCCTCCGAGCTTTCCCCATGAACAACAGCAGTACGACATGGGCGCTGCCTATGAAGACGACGAGTCTATCGAGCAAACAACACTAGAGTCTTCTTCCATGATGGCGGAAGATGATATGATGCCAATGTCTCAACATTCGACCCACTCTCGGAAACGGAAACGCGGAATGAACGATATGGCCGCTATGTCCCTCATGGAGCAAGAGCACATAATCTACGGAGATCAGCTCCTGGATTATTTTATGACTGTCGGAGATGCCCCTGAAGCTGCAAGGATTCAGCCCCCACAACCTCCGGTGAACTTCCAGGTAGATCGTTCGATCGATGACTCTGGAAATACGGCGTTGCACTGGGCGTGCGCAATGGGCGACTTGGACATCGTGCGAGATCTTCTCAATCGAGGTGCAAACATGCAGGCCTTGTCTGTCCATGAAGAAACACCTCTGGTGCGGGCAGTCTTATTTACGAACAACTATGAGAAGCGAACGTTCCCGGCGCTTCTGGACCTGCTGCAAGATACGATGTTCTTCCGAGATTGGTTTGGAGCCAGTGTCTTCCATCATATTGCTGAAACTACCAGGAGCAAAGGGAAATGGAAGAGCTCGAGATATTACTGCGAAGTGCTCCTTGAGAAGCTGCGCACCAGTTATCCGCAACCGGAATTGGAGCTGCTTCTCTCATGTCAGGATTCGAATGGTGACACGGCTGCTCTGGTGGCGGCTCGCAACGGCGCATTCCGCCTGGTGTCCATGCTTACACTTCATTGCCCGAACTCGGGACGATTGGTGAATTCCAAGGGCGAAACCGCTAGCGATTTTGTTCGACAGGCGCAACATCCAGAACGAGAGATTCCTCCTCCACCGTCGTCGGTGACGCAAGGAAATGACCAGCAAGATGGAGATTTCAGCGGGCCCTACAACTCCGACCGTCCGTCGACAGCTCTCCCGCAAGCTTCTTCTCCTGCCACCTCTGTTCTGCTCTCCAAGATTGGATCGCTCATGGAGGAAGCGAACAAGAAGCTGACTGCAGCCTATGGCAACATCCAGCACAGCCAGCCGGGATCGGACGATGTGTCTAATCCTGAAGGACTCTATGCCCAACTGGAATCGGACCGACTGGATATCCAGAAACAAGTGCTCGCCTTGTCTTCCCAGGAGAGCGAAAAGGAACCCATCAGCTCGCAGCACGGACGATATGAACAGGTGAGGGGACATTACGAATCTCTCCTGGAGAAGATGCAGCATCGCAGCATCCTGGAACGCCTGAGCAGCGGCGCCTCGTCCGTCAGCGAAAGATCACAGCAGTCGCCGCCTGCCACTCAAGAGCAGCTCACCAACCTCTTCCATCTGGCCCGTGAACTGTCTCAGGCGCAGAAGACGCGACGCACCGCAGTCCACGATCTGATCCAACAACGGGCCGATGCGGGTGTGAGCACGAAGTTTGACATGCATCGCAAACTGGTCTCTCTGGCGACCGGTCTGAAGGAAGAAGAGCTGGACCCCATGGCTGCTGAGCTGGCGGAGACGTTGGAGTTTGAACGTATGAACGGCAAAGGGGCGAGCTCGGATTCTCCCGAACCTGAGGTGGTCGCGAGTAACGGGACGATGTCGATGTCGATGTCGACTCCGGGGAATAATACAGTGTCGGTTGATGCTTAGCTCGGTCGAGCGATGTCTCGGGCGTCTTGACGAAATGGTTGCCTGTGCGCTTTTTTTTTTCCCTTTTGATTCTTGGCATTGGTGATGATGAACGGCTTCTGGCGCGCCTCGTGCGAGAGCGGACCAGCAGATACCCCTGTTTTTCTGTTTGCACCTCTCTTCCGGCGCTTGTCCCACTGTATGGGCAGACCGTGTGGGTTGTATTTTTTTCTGTACATAGGACAACGGTTTGGGATCTTTCGGGGGCGTGTGGACAATGGACATCTCGTTAAATGGCATTTCATGGCACTTGTAATAATCTGTTTGATGACATCAAAGTGGTTATGTGATTATCTACATCTTGTTAACTTAGGTACCTAGTTAATTACAGTTTGACATGACGATAACGGATAAGCTTAAACCGATGACAGGACCATCATCATGAGCGCCAGTAATCAACCAACCCAGACCGTTATTATACTAGATACCTCGAGTAGGTCAACCCCAGGTCTGGAGATCGAACGTGGATGCCCTTGTTGACGGCTGCGGGCGACCTGGTGCACCGGAGCAGTATCAGTGGTGGCGATCAGCGACGATCGTTATTCTGCGCTTGGAGTAAATCAATTACATTGTCGGAGGCTTTGCACATGACGCACGCTTGCCACTAGATTGAGCGAAAAAGAGGCTTTTGTTTTTTCATATAATTTTGACTTGATGAAACACAAGAGGGGTTGTGATGAGAGATGCGTATAGTTTGGTTGTACAGTGACTACAAGGGACTAGTGAGGGTGACTGGGCGTTGGTAAGCTTGAGCCACGGTAGGGTAGTTAAACAATCAGATCTATCATCTGCGGAGTAAAGCAGTTCAATAACTATAGGTACCTAGTATTCAAGATCGGAGGGTTTTATCTGTCTATCTATGGTACTGGAGTCAGAGAGTAGACTAGTTAAAGCATGGTTCACGAAGCGTGGATGCCTCGGAACGGGTCTCGACTGGCGCGACGGACGGACCAAGGACTTTGTTCGTAGTGGGAAAAAAGAAAGGAACGGGCGGGTTGGATGTGCCTGGATCGGATCTCGATGGATGGCCAGCACGACGGCCACGTTGGATGCGCCGGGGGGAGGTTATGATGGGCGAGTTAGACTATCTTAGGTATCCAGTGACAGCGCGAGATTGCATTGCCCCCCGTTGCGCCTGGTTAAACCCCGGGTGATGCTGGCTGGTTGGATGGGCGCGTTGGCAGTTCGAGTCAAGAGATGGGAGATGATTCATTCACGCAGCATTCTGGAGGGGATTATATGATTGTTATTGCAATTATTATTATTAACTATTCTACTATTCTGTTCTCATCATTGATTCTATTATTATTTTTATTCTTCTTGTGATGATTATACTATTAATATAATAAATATAATACATGTTCTCCTCGTGCCAAATAATACCGCGATCTCTCCACCCGCCCAACGGACCAACCAGCAAGAGCGACCAGCGACCGGCGGTCTCAGGGTCAACTCGGCTGCTTCTCGCTTGACTCCCTTTGCTTTCCCTTTCCTCGCTCGCTCCTCCTTCGCCCCAATTCTTCCTCCTCTCTTCCTCTTATCGTCCTCCTCTTTACCTTCTTTTTCCACGCGCACTCCTTCGTTTGTGGTACTGGTTGTCATCGACTCTTTCTCCTCTAAAAAAAATTATATCGAAAATTATTTAAAAAAAAATCAAAAGGACTCCATCCCCCAAGGAAAAGGTTTAATCAAGAAGGAGAGAGCGCCCCTTGAAGAAGAAAAAAAAAGAGAGAGAGAGAAGAGAGAGAGCGGCTACACCTCACATCCCCCTCCACCCCCCCCGTCGCGTGTCTTCCCCTCGTCGACTCGATTCTGTGATTATATATCATTCCCGTTACTTCTATTCTGTTTCGAAACGTCATTGTCATCGCACCAGCTTAGACTTGTCGTCAACGACAGAAGAGTCCCCTCGGAAAACGCGCTCAAACAACACACACACACATCGCTATTGGAGCCGTCACTCGACCGGACGTCCGCGTGTAATATCGTCCTTTCCTGCTGGGATTGCAGAGCATCTCCCGCAGGTCAATTCATCCATCAGTCGTCTTCCCCTCGACGGCTCCTTGTCGAACTCTCGTGAGGTTTTTGGACCGTGTTGTCGTCGACCGGCTGTCGCGTCGTCCCCGTTCAATCCGGTATCGATCTTACTATTTTTTTTTCCGACTTCACACCGTCCGTGGGACTTTTTAAAGAGGCAGCCTCTTCCTTCCTTGCGGCTCCCTGCCCTATCTATCTTCGTTGTACATCTTCTTAATCATATTCATCGGCCTGCTACTTCTTTCGGGATCAAACATCATTCACTTCTACGGATTCTCGGTTTGGTAAGTCCCAGATCCTTTTTTTTTGTCCTTGAGATTCACCACGACGTTGGCTGACCAGCTCCTCGTCTCTCAAGCTAGGTCTTGCTTGTCTTCCTATCCTCTTTTTTTTACCGATTCTCTTTTCTAGACCTTTCGACAACCCATCAGTGTTGGCTTCGATCGGGTTTCTTTTACCAACCTGGCAGTTTTTTTCTTGCCTAATACCCTAATCCCACCCACCAAGCATTAGGTGGTTGACCGCATTCTCATTCACCGTCTGTCCGGTAGTTGACAACGGTACTCTTCGTCACGACATATCGATCTCAACCGTATCTGCACATATTTGACCTCGATTTCCCCCTCCACGACCATGAGTATGGACGCTGGCGGTCTTGCTCAAATGACTTACAATTCCTCGTTCAACGGCGGTTCCCTTGGCGTTCCCGGTTCTTCTTTCGCTTCTCGTGGGAAGGGTTCTCACATCAAGCGTCTTAATGTGCCTCCCATCGATGAGACTCGGGCGTCTACAAACGTCTCCACGCCGCGCACCAGCCGCTCCCATCTGCTGGCCGGCCTGAGGACGGCTCCCAAGTCGGCCACTCTTCCACCCACCCAGCAGCAGCACCATCGCATGGGTCTGGATGGGAGCCGTCACGCGGCTTCCAACCAATATGCGGACCGTGTTCCGCAGACCGCCGCTGCAGCCAGTTTCCCCCAACACGCGTACGGTGCGAACCACAACCTCAACGCGGGTGTGGGCATGAACGCGAACCGCCCAATGTATTCGTTGCCGGAGCAGGTGTTGGCCCCTCCCTCGATTGACCTTGGTTTCGGTGATGGCGAAGGACCCATCGACGAGAAGCTGTATGCGGAGCTGATGTCGACCAACCTCTTTCTGGCCGCTCAGCAGCAGCGCTTGCAGCAGCAGCTGATTAGCGTGACCGCTGCTGCCCAGCAGTTCCAGAACCTCAACCTGGGTCTTCAGCAGCAGCAGCAGCAGCAGCAGTTCTCATCCATCCAGGTTCCCCCCATGGGATTCTACCAGCAGCAGCTTCAACAGGGAATGCAGCCCATTGTCCAGCCGGTGCCGGGTCAGCCTGGTCTCTACTCCGTGTACAATCCGATGACCGGCCAGCAGAGCTTCGTCTTTGACAACAGTGCGCAGCAGGAGAGCTCTCCGCCTCCCGCGTATCAGGAGCACGCTCAGTCGCCGGTTGCGCAGGCGCCGACCTTCCGTGCTGAGGTGTCCCCTCCTACTGAGTCAAAGGCGTCCCCGGCCCAGTCGCGTCACACCTCGCCCCCGAGACACAGCCCGTCTCCCCCGCAAGATGCCACGCCCTTGCCCCCTCCTTCGGCCAACGCCTTCCGTCGAGGTCACAAGAAGACTCCGTCTTTGAATCCAGGCCTGAAGGTGGATGCAGCCCGGATGGGAAGCGGTGCTCCCAAGTCTGCTGTTTTCCCTCCCACTCCCATGACCGGCACCTTCGGGCCGGGTCAGGCCCGTGCTGGTGAACACCCCATCCGTCAGCCCCGTGGGCCGCCGTCGATGGAGGAGCTCATTGCTAAGCCAACCTCAAAGCATGAGGGCAGCAAGAACTTTGCCGCCCGTCAGCGCCGCCGTGCGGTTCACAACCTTGTCCGTGCTGGCATTGAGCGTCGCGGCGAGTCCCGCAGCAATGGCAGTGGAGGCACCAACACTCCCGCCAGCGAGACGGAGTTCACCTTCTCCGTCTCTGACGGAGACGACTGCACCAGCCGCAGCGGCAGCCTCTCCAGCAAGCCCAGTTTGGGCAGTCTCCGTGCCGCGGCCAGCGGTGCAATCGGTTCCGAGAGGAAGGAGAAAGACCGCTCCTCTCGCGAACGGAATTCTGTGGACAGCCTCTACACGATGGCGACGGTCAGCAGCGACGATGGCAACTACATTGGTGGAAAGCTGGCAGAGGTGCGCCAGGATCGCGTTTCCTCGCCTCAGGGCCCTCCCTCCGCGGCTGCTGTCGTGGCGGGTCAGCGGACCGTGTCCCAGGGACCAGAGCGGCGCAGGATGCCCATGCTCGTGCTCTCGAGTGCGGAGAAGCGCAAGACTCCTCTTGTTTAAATGAGGAGATCTTTTAATGTGACCGAGATCTGACGGATACGTGAAGACTCCGGGAGATCTTTACCATTCATTTTTATTTCTGCGTTGTGAGCCTTTCCTCGCTCGCTTTCCATTCTCTTATCGCGACTTACATGGAAGTCCGGGATGTTTGGCACATGCTTTGGGCTATTGTGAACTTGTTTTCTTTTTATTTTCTTCTCTACTTTCAGTTCTCGACGGCTACCGACTTGGTTCGGACTGTGTCCGCCGGACCACTCAGCACGCTAGTTGCTGATGCTGGGCTTCCTCTCTACAGGAGGGTTGACCCATTGACCGAAATTGTGTGACGAAAACATGATCTTGTTGAATTGACAGAATTGAAATTGAATTGAACTCCATCATGGACTTGGTAGAAATAGTGTAGCTCGTGATCACGAAACCCAAGTACCAATGAAGAAGTCTGAACCAGATACATATACACCTTCCCATGTAGTTGAGTAAACCATGTTGGTCTTTCTAATAATAGTGTTTCAGTCCTAAAAGAAATTTTGATGCTCGATATCGAGGGCTATTGCTGTCTCTAAGCATGTAATGCTAGCTTGACTAGAGGTGGTATGTATACTAAATGAAAAATTAAAAAAAGCATTTGCAAAACAAAAAAGAGGATAATACATTTAAGCCTCCCTAGATAAGTTGTAGTCGTGACCCGTGATAATGTGAGGTAGATTCCAGCTAGCGCTTACACCTTACTGTCGACCACCGCTCCATAACGGCCATTTGCTACCTATGTATTTTCCGTACTTTCTACGCTCTCTAAAGGATTTCATTACACCGGCTCTTTGAACAGTTTCAGCCTCTGAGGCCTCATATATCTAAGCTTCTGTCACTTGATGGTTATCCTACTGCACTGTACCTGCCGATACTACATCAACAACCACGCGGCGCTTCCAGGAGTCCATGTCTCAGTTTCCTAGAGACTGATATTGGCCGCACCGTTCTCGATCACGATCAAGAGTCATACATTCATCTCACAAGATAGCGTAAAATATACATAGGAAGTGCAAAAAACGGGGTCGTCAGGCCTACGAGCTTCTAAGTTGGCCGCTGTCTTTCTTGAGCACGGAGTGCTTGACTGACTCACCAACACGGACGTCATCACAAGTCGCTGCCTCGTCAGCAGCAAATGGCGAAACAACCCGAAAGTACAATAGACTTATCACCAGTCGAAGAGCTTCTGCGGAAGTTTCTGCTCGACTGCCGGGATCACATCGTGTACAACAGCCATGACTCCACTAATCTCGATCTATGGTTCGCTGGGGGCTGGGTTCGAGACAAACTACTCGGCGGCGAATGCCAGGATATCGATGTGGCCCTCAGCTCCATGACTGGGGCTCAGTTCGGGGAAGCCCTCGAAGACCATTTTGCTCGCTCTGCCGCGGCCTACATCGCCGAAGCCCAGAAGCTTGGAGTGCCCCCAACCATCAAAGGGCTGCACAAAATCAACAGCAATCCAGAGAAGTCGAGGCATCTAGAGACAGGGACTATCGAAATATTTGGGTTGTCGGTCGACTTTGTCAACCTGAGAAAAGAAGTCTATACAAACCAGAGCCGGAATCCTCAAGTCGAATTCGGTACTGCGGTAGAAGATGCTTATCGCCGCGATGCCACAATCAACTCCATCTTTTACAACCTGGACAAAAGACGAGTCGAAGATCACACGCAGATGGGGCTATCAGACTTGGCAATCGGCATTATTAGGACACCACTTGAACCTACTCGGACCTTTCAGGATGACCCTCTTCGGATCCTAAGGTTGATCAGAATTGCCAGCCGGCTTGGATTCGCAATTGATCAAGAAACGGCACAAGCGATGAAAGACCCACTCGTTCATTCGGCTTTCAATGAGAAAATCTCTCGCGAGCGAGTGGGCATTGAGGTTGAGAAGATGATCAAGGGTCCAGATCCGTTGATCGCCTTTGAGCTTCTCTATGAAAGTGATCTATATTCCACGGTCTTCCTAGATCGAGCAGGTTATCTGCGCCATGCGTTGCTACATTTTTTTCCTCGCAGCGGACCTGGCATCCCATGGCCGAATTCATGGCCGTTCGCATTCAGGAATCTTGCGTTTCTGTTGCAACATAGACCCGGACACTGGGAATCTGAAGCGCGAGAGCACATCTGGTTGATGGCAGCCTGGGCGCCGCTCGCACCACTTCGGAGAACCGACATCGAGCAAGTTGTGAAGAGCGCAACGGAGGCAATCAAGACAACAAGCAAAACATCACAACTTCTAGACGATTGCCTCAAGAATATGGATTCTATCCACGCATCCGTACGACAGGTTACGACAGCTTCAGCAGGGATATCCCGAAGCGCTCTCGGCAGGGCAGTCAGGTCCTGGGGTACGTCATGGAAGCTCCAAGTGTTATACGTGCTATTAGCCGACGCCATTTCTTCTCAAGCGGTAAACTATAACGCCTTTACCGACCTACTACTTAATGGATATTCGAAGTTCATGGACCATGTGTTTGAGCAGGGCTTGCAAAACGCACCTCTCGCTAAGCCTATACTTAACGGAAGCGAATTGAAGACTATCTTCAACCTCAGGCAAAGCGGTCCTTTTCTCAAAGTAGCTCTTGAAAGTCTGGTGCAGTGGGGATTTGATCATGAGCATGCGTCGAAAAAAGATGCTAAAGAATGGGTACTCATGCAGAGAGAAAATTTTTGTATACCATGATTTATATTATAACTCCTACCGTGGGTAGTATTTCTCAACGTCTTCGTTGTGAGGATGGCGGGGCGAGTCCCATTTTTTTTTTTGTAGCTCCTTCAGGACATGTGCTCCTTTCGAATTAAGACGAGACATGTCTGGACTCTGTTGGCTTGCGGCAACTGCCGGCGTACTGAATAAACAACGGAAGGGTTTGGTATAGTTAGCAGTGTCAGCTAATGAAGACAAGCCTCTGTGAACCAAGTTGACTGGGTAATGAACAGACAAACTCGAGAGCGAGGAGATGCGGCTTTATACATGACGATTGGTAGAATGCCCCTTGGGTTGCCGCCCGAATCTATTGCCTTCGTGTTTGAAAGTAGACGAAACAGAGGGAGAAGTGATAGGAAGAAGGGGAGGAGTCGAGCAGGAGATGGTCGGGTCGTTTATGTTGGGACAATCGAGGAAGAGATCAATCACATCTTGGTTCGTTCTGAAGCTTTGACTAGAGGCAAACCAAATCGTTTCATTTTTGAAAGAAGGGGGGAGGGGAAGGCGAGAGCAGCTTACTTCGATAGTTCAAAACTGCCTCAAGGGATAAAAAGTACTACGTACTCTCTTGATTGACGCTAGACAAGTCAAGAACTAAAGAGGGGGAACCTTACAAATAACTTGAGGCATCTAGAAGCGAGAGCTTAAGTAACCAATCACCTATTAGTTAACTAACTACAACATCATGTATTATTCTATCTATCTATCTATCTATCTAGTCCTCTCTAATGTTTCTACTCTACGATATCTATCCTGAGTAATACATTAGATCCATGAACTAGACGACGTAGAGAACTATTCTTAGAATCGCGGACCAGATTATATATGTATGTAGTATTAAAACCGTAGATCCGGCACAGATTAGTTTGCTAATTACTCCACAGTGACGTTTTATTACCCCAGACCATCGGGATGAACAATCGCAACGTAACAAATGTCACAGCGAATAGTTAGTTAGCGAGATCATCATCTCCGCATGGTCTTCCCCACATAACTCTGCAAACTGACGCGTAACTTACTCTACCATACTCCGTATGAGTTACACAACACTAAGTTACTGTGCTCTACTTGTTCCAATGCACTCTACTCGATACTTGGACCAGCTCGACAATGTAATACGATAATCAACCAGTTTAGACGCTTATATAGCGCCGGTAATATATATAGCTATAGCTATACTAAAACATCAAGAAAATGCTTGTTATAAAGATAGAACGCGTGTACGTATAGATTGAACCGGAAAAAGGCAGGGAAAAAGGTCAAACGAGGGGGAAGGCAAAATATCAAAAAAGGAACAAAATGAAGAACGACTTGCGATCTCCAAAAGAACCATGATTTTTGGGGTCATGACGCGTAAATACCGTTAACTCCTATTTATGACAATCGAGGACGGGTAGTAGGTATGCACTGGTTCAATTGAAGCAAGGCAAAAAAAAAGAGAGAATATGACAAAAAAAACCACTCCAAACACCCTTCGAAAAACAAGAAAACACCCAGGAACTTTTTATAGGTCCCTTCTCCTTTTAGCCACCGTCTGAGAGATAAACGCCAAACCAACCCATGCCCCTGTGTGCTGGAGAAAACAAAGGAAAATCAGGTATAAAGTCCCCGGGTCGCTTGTTAGGCTCCAGAATAAATGATAGAAGAACGAAAAGAGATATGACAAGATAGCAGTAATAATACCATGCAGAAGGTGAGCCAAGAAATTAATTGGTCCAGAGAAGGGCATGCATAGACATAGGTGGGGATGGAAATATTAAAATGAGAATTGAAGCTTGACCGAAATAAGAGGCAAGACGCTTATAACCAAGACAGAACGCTTTAAGAGGGGAGAAAATCCACTGAACGACAGAAAATACCGAAAGACAAAAAGAAAGAAAGGAATGACTCCCGACGAGATTTTGATGTATCCGAAAAGAAAAAGAAAAAGAACTCCTGTGTTTGCAGACATGACGTTCTTCGTTCGGGGAGACCGTCATGGTGATAGCGGCTCTTAAAAACTGAAAAGTCCGCTTCGTTTCTTTCCCAGTGGATAGACCACCAGGGCGGCGAGGAACAGACCGACGGTGATACCAATTGCGACCTGAACCATGCCGTATCCAATGTCAAAGACAACGCCACTATACTGGTCGCTGCTACTGTAGCTTGGTGCGGATTGGTTTTGTGCCTCTAGGAAGCCTTGGGTTCCATTAGAGATAATAGAGTAGATGGATTTGTTGGCCGTCATCTCATCAGCAGATGTGATCCCAGATACGAGGGATCCGCTTGCTGCGAGACCAGACGGCACCTGGACGAAAATGGCCGGCAAAATTGCAGCAGCTGCAAGACCGTGTCGTAGTCGACTATAGAGATTACCCATCACACCGATAACAAAAGCTCCCAACGCGTTCGCAACCTGAGTGTTCGACGCGAATCGCTTCATGCTGAAGAAGTTGGTGACATACCCAGCAAAGGAGATGATCAGCATGACAGGAACTTGTCGCCATTTAGCCTGGTTGATGGTGATGAGACAGAAGGTGAAGAGAGGTACAAAAATGAAATGGTTAAGGTATTCGTTCGTGATCGGGCTCGCGGGACACGTGTATTCCGAGGAGGCATTTGCATCCAAGAGTCCATAGACCGCAGTACCAATTGTGATTCCAAATCCGAGAAATAGGGAGTAGATGATGGCGTAGACCATGCGGACAGACCCAGCCACGATACTGCGCGATTGAAGCTCAAGACTGCCGCACAGCACCATGTACCCAGGTAGGATAAGCGCGATGGAAGACTGGGCCAAAGCGGAGAAACAGAACAGGCGGCCTCCATGGTAAGGAATGCTACCAAAAGCTCGGGCCAGAAAAGAAGTCAGAACGGCAGCAGAGATTTCGAACACATTCGAATAGAGCTGCGATCGCGGGGAAAGCACGAGCTGAAGAATGCCCAGAAGACAGCCTAGCACAAAGGCAATGGGCAAGTCAATAGGTCGGGCATTGAAGGCGAACGGTCCAACTGTAGCACTGGCACAGCCATGCATGAGGATCAGAAACCAGACGGGAAACTTCGGTTTGCGTTTCATGATCTCGTCTAGCCGTTGGATAGCCTCTTCCACGCCGATCACATCGTGCACAACTTCCTTGTAGATCTGGTGAGTGTCCTTCAGACGACCCAGGTCCACTCCCTGCGCCGATTTCACAAGCTTCACTTCCGTTGTATGAGTGGAAGCATCGTCAAAGGATATGATCATGCATCCTGGAATGTAGAGAAACTGTCCGTCAATCTCCAACACGCGTGCAGTCATCCTCATATACTCCTCCAGTCGATGTGTTGGGGCGCCATACTTCATCAGAGCCCGACAGAGTTTCATCAGGTACCGTTGTCGAGAAAGGATCTCGGCAATGTGCACCGTGATCCGAATCTCGTCTTCCAGGTGCGGCTTCCCCCATCTCTTTGCAGCTCCCGCCAACATCCCGCTGCTCTTCGACCGTTTCAACCCTGGTCTCTGGGGGTACGTGGAGCTCGCAGACGACCCTTTGGCTGTGCTGGCCAGGGACGTAGAGGACATGTTTGGTGATTTGTCGTACCACTTCCTTGGCTTGGGAGGCTTCTCCCCGTTGCCTCTGCTCGGGGATAAGCCTCGTAAACTCGACTCTCCCAGGCTGCCTCCCCTGAAATGACCATGTTGAGGGCCTCCAACAGGTTGGCCAGCAGCCTGTTGGTCGTACAGCTTCAACAAGGTTGACAAGATACCACCGCGATAATGCGCTGGCCGTTGGACGTAGGCGTCCGGGTCCCTGTCCTCCAAGGGAGTGACCTGACCCGAACGAAATCCTGGTGATGGTGCACGTACTCTGTTCAGTGGATCGAACTCCTTTCGAGTCATTTGTTGGACAAGCTGGTGAGCTTCGGAAGTGCGTGTGTTGGGTCGCCTCCCTATGGATGCCTCCTCATCCTCGTCGTCCGTGGATTCGTCGAGAAACTGCTTCTCTGACAGATTGATCATGGGGATCTCATCCCCGTCTTCTGATATCAAGACAGACTGCGAAGGCGTAGATGCGATAGATGATGGCAAGCTGGAGCGTGGACTGGGTTTGGGGGATTTGGAACGACTCAACAAGAAAGCTAACCTCTGAGCTCGTTCCTGAGCTCTTTCCTGCGCAGAATGGATAGTCCGATCAGTGATCTCATCTTCCCCAAGGAACCCCGGAGAACTGGCGCGTGAACTAGCCCGGGAACTGGCTCGAGAGCTTCCGCGAGAGCTAGCTCGAGAGTGGATCGTGAGCCCTGTGACATCGGCGGACGCGTTGAGGCCGTCATCTGTCAGAGGAGGTAACCTGGATGAGGTATCCACCTTCTCATTGTATGGAATGCTGGCTGCCGGCGATGGTTTTTGAGGAAATCCCCTTCCATCGCCTCGCGAGTCTGACGTCGATCGACTTCGACGCTCTTCGTGCTCGGGGGGCTCCGTTACAGTAAATTTGACGCGATTCGCTCCTTTCAGAATGCCTGCATTCTTCGGCTTGCCCTGCGCGCCACTAGTTCCTGCGCTCCTGTCGCGAGAACCGTCATTGGGGGAAGGGAGGGGAGTCGTATGTGACCCCGTAGATGATCTGCTGCCATCCCCAGACTGCTCTGTCATATTTGGCTGCCTGGGGGCAGTAACGGGAAGATCAAAATAGCCGCCTGCCATCTTGTTCACTGGACCTGTCCTCTCCGTAGATTCCGAACGGTCCAGGCCAGAGTGAGCGGGTGTGGTTTCCGTCTGTATCCCGGCAACCGTCAGCTATGTTGCATCACAGGCACACCAAAACCCCAGAAACCAGGACCTCCAGAGGTCCAGACGCCGGGGTGGCAGTTGACAGTAGTACTGGAGAGATGTTTAAAAGGGGAATGAGACACCAACAGTTTTGCAACTGGAACTGACTGCAGCGCTACCTTGCGCACGAGCTGTGCAGGTACCAGATGGTATTGCTTTGATCCGCTACCAGGAATGATAATACGTCATGTATACATGATCAGAGCAGCCACAGCATGAACAACAACAGAATCGAGAGAAGAATATAATGATCTTTGTTAGAGCGTAGTGACAAGAAGGTGGGAAAAGATTGTGCGTCGTGGGAGGAGGACAAGAACGGATCTAGGACGGATGCGGGTGACGTCGAGGAAGACCCGATGCGGCAAGAGAATAAAAAATAATAAGAAAAAGGAGGATCAACCAGACACCAGCTTAGTTGATCAGCCAATTGTTGTCTCTTGTTGGTTCAAGCGTAGTAGATGGCACAGACCAGCGACGAGGAGGAGAGAGATATTCTTCTTGCCTTGTTGATTGTTAGCAGCAGTAGTAGTAGTAGTAGTAGTAGTGAGAAGAGAAACCTCCTTTGGGGAACAGTGGCACGGACGAGAGAGAAGGGCCGAGTAGATAAACGCCAGTGTCTCCCAGCCCTTCGAGGGGGGAAAAATCCTCGATTCAAGAGGGGATGGCAGCGAGAGGGTCACACCCTCGCCTCTCCATCGGGTTGAGACGGGCATCAGGCATGGAGCGGCCTTGCGTCGTCCTCATCAGACAAGCTATGCTACTATCTTCGTTGCGACCTCCGTTCGTCGGTTCCACGGGTCCACGGGGGAGGTACCACAGTGGCCAAATGCAATCCGCGGACAGAAAAAAAGTCCAAGCTCTGATATCAACAACAACTACTAAGGATATCCGTCCTCTCGAGAATCCGACCCACCGGGTCAAACGATCGAACAGTCTGGATTCTGACGGTTAGGAGTCAGCAGTGGAGTATTAGCACTATCAGCTTCTTGTTAGCGCCCGCAAAGCACGACGAACTAGTTTAACTCATCAGCATCTCTCGTCCATCAAATCCCTGCTTCTCACCAACCAGTTCGATATCTACCCATGGAGGGAGAAAACCATATTCCATCCTTCCAGCTGGAGAGTGGCGGTGGCCGTCGAGTCTACGCAGAGGTAGGTTTCTCTCCCCTTCTCTGTTTCTTTTCTTTCAACGTTTGTATGTACGTTCCCAATCCATACACTACTTACTCGACCCTCCCAGTGGATCACGCTAGACACAGGATACTCAGAGCACCCCATTCGAGTATGCATTACGAATCTCTCTGTAGGATGATCGATCGTCAAGGCCAAGGTCGATGCTCTACTGTGGCTTCGAGAAGATAACAGCGTCAACGACTTGGACTGGGGCAGCGTCAACTATGCGTTACGTGTCAGGCCGAGACATGGACATCATCCACTGAGGAGTCGCTATCAGACAAGAATCGCTGATTTCTTTTTTCATCACTTTTTTTACCCCTGGCAACAATGTCTCTCTGTTGGGTCCATGATCAACATGTGATGATCTTCGACTCTAAAACCTCCTGTCAATTTGTGCCGCCGCAGACTCTTCCGCACTGGACCCTGACGAGCCCGTGCGAGCGAAACCAACCCAGATAGGGAATGTCGGCCAAGAACTCATCTCTGCCGTCCAGCCACAGTGCTCCATCGAAGCCTTCTAGCGGTTGATAGTCAATTGTGCCCCCCTCGTGGAAATACCAGAGCCGCCGTCCGGACAAGCTTAATCGATTCGACGCTGATCAGGCCAAACTGTCAGGGCAGCCGGTCGGGAAACCCCCTATCGACTGCGCTAAAGCAGACGTTCATGACAGATCGATCTGGATCTTTGCAAGAAGGCCTGCCCATACATGTTCTGCTCGCTCTGCCTGGTCAAGCATAGATATCTAGATACCTTCTGCGACCGCATCTCTCCAACTGCGGCCACCACTGGGCTTGGATTTCACACCCGCGGCTGATCGAGATATCTGTGCGGTGCTCACGGCCCCACTGCTGGCACTTAACTTTGAGCACAGGACGCATTATTATTGTACAGTAATCATGATCGGGTCGTCCAAGTCTGGATCTCGAGGTTTGTGACAGCGGGATGACTCTTTCCCCCTTCGCCGGCCTGTGCGTACATCGTGTGTGGAGCTGAGTCTCGCGTCATTGTGTTACACGCATTTTCGTCAATGGTGACCAAAAAGACAGGTCTCCACGCGCTGTGTGGCAGAGCAACAGAGCATCTCACTGGAGCGCGGTAGAGATGAGCCAGTGCACACTCATGGCACTCGATGACACTGTGGGAGAAGAAGACGTGCTCCGAGTCCTGAGGTGCGGCGCAACATCCTCGATCTGGTCAGTGCACCTCGCTCTCGGCCCCTCACACGACGATTGTCACTCCCACCTGCACTATCAGTTGGGCTTGATTGGCGATCCTGCATGTGAGCTGCATGTATGCGACCTTGCAGGAACGGTGTCTAACTTAGTTATGGCAATTAGTGAATTAGTTTCAGCAGCCCCCGTCGCCATAAGCTTATCGCAGTGCATGTGTCTAGAAGTTATACGGTTTCTGCATCCGATGCACTCTCTCAGAGACCATTGCTGAGGGCTATAATACGTCTCATAAACATCATCTATGGCGGTCACGAGGGAAAATTTTGCCGGGAAACCTCGAGCTGCAACCACGAGTTAAGCTTGTGCGACAATGCAGCCTATGTCTTCACGTTGCCGTTTTCACGGACCACCTATTACCGAGGATGACTGTGCGACATCGATGAACCCAAATGACCAATATGAAGCAGGTACGGCTCCTTCGTAGTAGACAATGTGCAGCGTGCCTGTTCATGGACACGATGAGACGCACCGTCCTATCGAGTGAGTGGACTGGGGCCCCGCCATCCCTAAGACATTCTGTACGAGGTTTACTGAGAAAGACAGCCCGCGGAAACTCTCTGGCAGTCACGTACCATAGAGCATCTCGCAACGACATACCATTCCCTGTTTTCACCGTATACAATACATATTATGCAATGTTCGAGTCGATGTGGCGAGTCTTGGTGAAGGGCTGTTCTATTTCCGGATATCCGCCTGGCCCGGGAGCTGAAGTTCGGGTCAAGTGGAGCCGTGGCTTTGAGCTTAAAAATGCCCCGAACCGCGATAGAAGAAGTTAAGAACAAACAGACTCAAAAAAGACTCAGCCTTGGGGATATCCATCTCCGCACACGCTAACGGATACAGCCACCAGCGCATTGAAACGTCCGGCTCCTTCGAACAATGTTACAAAGAAACCTGCTTTGAAGCCCTACTGCGATCTATGAATATCGGATGTTGATATTGATGCCGGTTCTGCCGACATAACCAAGCAGGCCTCGGGGACCCTCCGGCCCTCCGACTGCAAAATGTGCAGCCGCAGAAGCCAGCCACATAACTAACACGTCCGCGGCACGCGGATGGCTAAAAGGTCATGTCTATTGATTATTGCGCCACCGGGTAAGCTAACACTATCGGTCCAAGAGAAAAGGGCCGTAGCGCTACCATCCTTCGCCATCCAGATCCACAAATTCAACCACGCACAATGCCAGCAAATCAACGACCCGAAAGATCGTTGATAATCGACACATCTAGATTCTTTTAAGATCTCCGCTACTAACTAACCGCCAAGTATCATATCTAGTGAATCATGTGTTGAAGGGGGCAAAAGAAGAAGAAAGTGAAAGGCGATCAATAACCACCAGATCCGCATGAACATCGATCTTATGGATAGCGCCCAAAGATTCCACTTAAACAGTCATGTTACACATAGCGTGGTTGCAAGATGTCAACACTATTCCGCTATCTTAGCTCGCCAGAGTTTTCCTGTTCTGGGCTCAATAGTCGAGGGGCAGAAAGACAGCACCTGAGATGATTTCCCTACAGTAGCGCCAACATCACAACAACATACTCCGTAGTATGCGATCTCGCCAGGAAGGAGCCCACGGGTTCCTCAACACCGGGTTCCAAAACCGACGGGAAAAGTCGGTGAGACTCAACGGTGGTCCTTTCGCATTGTGGAAGAGAGATCTCAAGGTTCCAGCCCTTGATCCCAGAACAGAAAAAGCACATCTGATTGGAGCATCAATTGCGATAATGGAGGGCACGGATTTCAAACAGTAGCCTGTTTTTTGGCCGTATCCTGGACTTCTACACGTCAACATTCAGTCACTCCACGATATTTGATCTCTGCTCTGCGTTATGGTCCCTCACATTCCTTAAGCCGGCTTCTCAAAGGACAGTGCACGGTCCTTGAAACATATTATCTAGGCGTCTCTTGCTGCACCAACGCTCAGATAAGCGAGAGCTTGGGCTCTGCAAGGACAACATAGCGCCTCGGGTAGCATAAGTACGGATTTGAAAGAACTCGTTGCTGCCCGATCGAATAATCTAGTCTCGTGGGTCTCTAACAATACGGAGATTAGGGGAAAGGGGCTTTGAGCACAGATAAGTGGATTCTGGCGAGTTTCATACTAATTTCGACCTTTCTCCCTGCAGACGTACTACTTCCCATGCAGTCATCCCTAGGATTGCGTATGCGGATCAGGGCAGACGTTGACCTATATTGCAATATTGACTAGAACGTGCCAGCTCGTCTCTCCAGAGTAGTAGTCGATATCAGCGTTCTCTTGATCAACGAGCGTTCTCTTGGCACAGGGTTTGTTTTTTATATTGGCCTTGAAGCATATTTCCGCTGCAATATCCGCCCGTTGCATGTCCTGATGTCGCAATTGACTCCAGGACCAGCGTGGTATTGCTGACTCCTTGGATCTGGGACATGCTACGTACTCTATGCGTCACTACGGAGTACCCAGATGACTTTTGACTCTGTTTCGACAATGGCAACGTATATTGGACCCACGCATATCAACAGTACCGAATATGCAGAAACCATCTCCAAATTCGTGCATTCAGAGACTGCAAGGACCCGGGAGCCAGCGGAATCAGGCGGAAACTAACCCTTCCTTTGCATGTTGACATGTGGTTAACAAGCATATTATACCAGTATTCAGCATACCAGGTTGCTATCATGCTTGTTTGCCGCTGATGGTGCGATCTCATGGCACGGTGCTTTCCAGTAACCTATCTACCACTGTCTGATTCATCATAACGGCTGGGCCAGTTATGAATGCATACGCCTAACTCTTTCCACGATTGGAGTTCAGGACCTATGAGTTAGCAGACCACAGGTGAGACGCAAATTATAGTAGGGAGAGCGGCAGCGCGGCCGGATAGGCCCACAAATGATATGGTGTGGCAGTGACGGCTTTTTTTATATCAGGTATGGAATTCCTCGGACGGAACTGGGACGGGCGTTCCGAGCTCCAAAGATAAGCAGTTCGGACTATCATGCAAGATCCAATCATGAATTATTATCCTGGAACATGATTGACAGGCATTCAACATTCGGCTCTCGGTCGGAAACATCTCGCCAAAACGGTGCGTGTTCTCTAACATCATGTATGTGCTCCTGATATCCATGCAGCAGTGATCTTCAGACATAGTACACTCTCATGGCGCATTGTAGGCATCAATAAAATCCCTTCCCTTTCCTTCCGAACGATAGTCAGGGACATGGGGGTTCCTAGACTACATGATCGGCGAAATGCAGCGGCAACTTTACTTGCTCGGGGAAAACATGGATCCTGACGCTGATCCGGACGACGTGTGCATTGGAAACTATGTCCTTTCGGCCCGCAGCGATCAACCTCCCGTCGGGCCCGCACGTATCCCGTAATTTGTGCCGTCCGCCAAAGGGACCTCACTAGGGGACTCATACTGATGCGATCGTCATGTTCATTTGGAAAACTGAAATCCACACTGCACAGTGTCTGAGATTCTCCACCTTTTTTATACACTTTTGTCGACCGTTCTCGGCCCCATCGAAGGAGACACGCGGTCTGTCTAGAACAAGGCCGCCTAGCATTATCGACGTGCATATTTGGATTTCAGCGGTGTGCAAATGGACGACGTTAAGCTAACCGGTTCATTGCATCAAGGATGAATATTATTCAAGGCCCATCCACCTCTTTGGAATATTCGGTTTCCACACTGCTTATTCTAGACTGCGGCGAAATTAAAATTTCCCATCGCAGAATCCTCGATTCGGAGGAACCCGGTGGTTGAAGATGTCGCGACATGTCGGTCGGCGAGAAAAGCAACGACCGGGGAGGAAAATCATGAGACGAACCTTCGCCTCTACGGCTTGCCGGACAGTATTTCCCTGCAGATCCGGGATTGGATTTACTGATATACCGACGATCGTTCCCTGTTCCTTTTCGTAGATCTGTTTATGATCTTCGAGTATAAAAATACAGCATAGATATCTGTCTAGACCTGTGGCGTCGTCGTAAGAGTTAGAACTACTATTTTTTAGGCATCACTCGATGTTCCTCATGTAGGGTTGGACTGCAAGTATTACTGCGATTAGTGAAGTAATCTTGTCGATGGTCGCAGGGCAATTGGAATCTGGCACAGATATGTATATATCTTTCCACTGGTGTATGATATGGTCTTGCCGGACAGTAGTTAACTTACTCTTGCCGCAACGACTCAACAAACCTTTGAGCCTACCACGGAATCGAATCTCTAATATACGTATTCTACGACATCTATCGATAAAAAAGAAAACAATAGTAATAATACACATTGCCACTGTATTAATCATGTCCGCATCGATCACGTATATTATATATTTTACACGCCTGTTCATATCTACTCACATGCGTTTCCGCCGGACATTGTGCCAATCATCTGCTCATACGGCGCTATATAATCGTCTTTTTCCTTTTCCTGCAATTTTAACACCATCTACTAATAATAAGAGAAACGAATCGCGGTCCAACGACATTGCACGCTGATTTGTCTGGACCAACCACTTAGGCATCACTCCGCCACAACAATTCAAATCACCCAGACGATTCCATACTAGATCCTCATTCGTCTATACACATGCCAAAAGCATATCAATCGTCAGCATATAGCACACGAAACACCAACGGTCGAGCAGTTAAGTTGGTCTTGAGACCAAATCATAAATTCACGAGCCCTGCTTCAACTAGCTACGAACAAGAATACCTAATGAGTCTACCTGCCTATTGAGACACACGCACATGATATTGTCCGTGCAACATTGCGAGAATAGAGTTTAAGACACTCGAAAGGCTGCGATATCACGAGAGCAAACAGGATGGGGGAGACGCCTTTTCGTGTTTGGGGATGGGATCATGAAATGAAATAGGCAGCCGTTTTTCGAGTCTTTGAAACCTTTTTTTTCTCTGATTAGTCTATACTACTGTGAAAGGTAGAGTGGTTCGCAATTCCTTGCTTTTTCCTCCGGGTCGAGTGTCACATGTGGCTGAAGTTATATGTACAGTAGTTGATTTATCACAAGTATCATCATCTCCGGAAGGACGCCAATTGCCTCGGTTAGCTGGGATCAAATAACCAATGCGATGTCTAATATCCTTTCTTGTTTCTTTGCTTTTTTTTATAGGAAGCCAGCGGAATAGCTTCTAATCCCTGATTTGATTGATGACCATGTCTATAAGTCATATATCTATTTTTCTCACGAATAAAAAACACTATTCACACACACACCCGTTACATCCGACCAACACGACACAACACTACGCTTATCATATACACACACCTAACTATCATCTAAGTTAAATAGTTAGTTATCATGTGGCAAGATCTTACTAATTACCTACCTTTCTTTTTCCCTCTTGCTCTTTATTCCCATATTCTTTTCGAAACCATTCTCTCAAATCAAGGGATAAGCAAGAATGAGAAATCAAGAATGATAACATGACATAATCCGAGTAATACAACCGATTAGTTACCTACCTAACTAGTTATGTTGTGTTGTGTTGTATCCTCCCAGCCAGCCACCATGAGGAATTTCATAAATGATACCCTCCCCCCTAGCGCGACAAAACAAAAAACCAGACCACAGGCTTATTGGATAAATCTTCCTATCGGACTATTTAGCCTAAAATTGCCTGAAACCGAAGCCATGGTTTTGCGGGGGGGGGGGGGGGGGGGGGGGGGGGAGGGGGTGGTTTCGAAACATACATAGATGATATGAAAATGTGAATTTTGGTTGGGGATGATGGCGCGCGCGCGGTTTTTTGTCTAGGTACCATAAGGTTGGGATATTTGTTTGATGTAACCCAAGAAGGAACGGTCAATGCGCCAATACGGTTAAGGAGGGAGGGTTCTCCGATTCTATCCTTCTTTAGGTCAATGGGTTGTGGGAAGGAAGAGGGAACTTGGGGATGATTATCGCTGGACATGGTGGTTTGACTATATTATATAGTTAAATGTATATAGAGCATGAACTAGCACCACAGTTGAATCGTTTCTAATGGCAAATAATACCGATCTTGTAGTTCATAAGATGGTAATTGTTTCTATTAAGGGTGTCTGTCAATTCTCGGGGGCGTGAGAATCAGGTTACGCTTCTATTGGAGTCCATCTTTATATACATACATTACAAAGCCGCAATAGTAGCTAGTTATAAGGACGAGTAGATGAGCAGTGAATATTGACATATATCCAAGGTTCCACGGCCATTGAAGTCAGTAATATATACATTGATACGCCCGCGATTATACGCATTTATATTTATTTTTCTATTGCTGGTCTGCTCCGTTCGATACGCATACGCATAGGGATTTGCCCTCAATACTTTCCCACGCAAATGGCCGGTTGAGCCACTGTCCCCTAGAATAACCAGATGACAGAGAATGCTAAAAGATTTTCTATGATGTGCTCGAACACCATCCACTAGAATACGAACCTTTCCGGATACTCCAAATCTGGCACCAGTTCCCGTTTTATTGGAAATAGGTACGCATATACAGAGTTATGTACTATGTTGAATTGTTGATGCCATTCATCAAGGTAGCCAAAGAAACCTATTTGACAGCAGAACACAAAATCCCAAGAACCTAGACTGGTATCTCTTTTGCAGACTCCGTTCCCTTTGCAAATGCATGATCCCATATTCGGGCCCGACTCCTAGCCGTCCGGCCATTTCCCATATAACCATCGCCTGGACGAAGTGAAAACAAAGAAGCATTCTCAAGAAACTCTTCCTTGAGGGAGGTTGAAGAAAGATACATAAAGTAGATGCAACAAATCAGATATCACATGACAGTCGATATGGCCATCGACCACTTTCATCGCTTCTCCAAGCGACTCAACGCGCCCAAGACGAGACTGACGTCTCTTGGTTTCTCGCGTCTTATTCGTACCCTTGCTCTTCCCTCGCCCTCGCCCTCGTCTGTACTTCCCTCGATCTCTAATCGTTCAAGGGAGTTCTGCATGTCTCGTTCCTCTAGTCGTTGGGCACAGATGCGCAGTATCTGCGAAGACACATTGTCTGCCGCAGAACGGTAGAGCTCGATATCATGGACACCTGCAGCAAAAGAGTCAAGCGTAGGTGCTAAAGACGATGTCACCTGCGATAAACGAGAAGAGACAGCAGATATAGTCGTATTGGACAATAGGTCCGCCGAAGGAGACTGCTGTGGGCTCCGCCGGCTTGCACCTGCTTGCTGCAGTGCGGGGTTCAAGATTGCTAGTAGATCTCTCTGTGAAGGATCCAAGAGAGATGCGTCGATGTCTTGGGTCTCTGGCAATTGGGAGTCGGTTCTACCACCTTGGCTCTCCGTTTGTCGTTCTGACTGCAGAGATTTCGTATGCGGAATAGAAGGTGCTCGCAATAGAGCATTCAAAGAATGACGTTCGTTTTGTAACCTGGGTAGCGAAATTTTAGCCTTGGATTTCCGAGAAGCAGGGCGTTATTTTTCAAGCATACCTCTGTATTTGTTCCTCGAGCTCCTTTATCTTCTCTGCATTTTGGATATTCTTGGGATTGGGCTTCTTGACAACCACTGCCGGAGGCTCTGTCTCTTGTCTGCCGAACCAATCTGATAGCTCAGATACGTTTGCAAAGTCTTTCAACAGTTCCTCTTGAATGACTCGTGCTGCGATCAGTGAGTACATGAACTGCTCACTTGCTGTATTTCTCATTACTTACCTGCTAATCTTGCACTTTCGTCATCTGATCGAGACCCCGATGGCTTGTCCCCCATTGCTCGAGTAGCACACCATGTCAACAGTTGCCGCATTCTCCGTGGCTCTGGAAGATCGCTAGCGATGTGTTTGTAGAAATCGGCTGCGTTGACTTCCTTGTGTGGAAGCGCTGCAAGAAAAGTATTAGTACTCCGTTCTATTCCAGGGTAGCCGGGTTGCTCGAGAGGGTCTCTCCCACCATTGGAGGCGCCAGAGTCTATCAGAGAACTGGCTCTTCTTCCTCGCATCCCAAGACTACTCCTTCTTTGGCCCTTTTTACCCTTCTCCGTTCTCATCTCCTTGTTTCGACGGATAACTGGGGTATCTGCAACTGGCAAGGCAATCTTTGACGTTCCTGGCTGCGACGGTTCGGGTGACATGAACGTATTGTTTTCGGTACCAGATTTGCTGGGCCTGCCTCTCTTCTTCTTGGGCTCAACTGAAAGTGAATCGATATCGTCAAATTTGCGAGTCGGACGAGAAGGCTCCTCAGATGCTCTGTCAGGTTCCGCAGACGTAATCCTCGAACTTCTTCGTCTCCCCCTCCCTTTGGTTGCTCCGTTGGTTTTCGTAGTCTCTTCCGTTACGCCATTCACTTCTGCCTCCGTTTTCGACTTCGTCGGTCTCCCTCTCTTGGGTGATCTCCGTTGAGCCGGTTCCTCCTCGACCCTCTCTGCAACTGAAGTCCTAGGCTTCTTCGGTTTGCTCGGGCGTGTGAACTGGAAACCATCCACATCCTCATCATAGTCTGTTATGAAGTATCAAACAAAATCAGCGGACCCATATACGACTCCGTACGCCTTCAATGCTAGCTGCCTCCCCGTTTTTCAACCCCTCGCCGGGTCCTTTCAATTGACCGACACTGAAAGACATTGCACCACTCACCAGCTTTTCTCTTGCTATCCACAGTCCTCCCACCTCTCCCATTCATGCCTGTGTTCACCGCTACCGCATCCTCCTTCGTCTTTGCTGCGCCTCGTGATCTCTTTCCTTTCCCCGTATCTTGCGCAGACGACGACGCAGGACGCGTCTGCGCCTGCGACGTCGCCATATCAATCGCCCTCAACGGTTCGCGACGCGTTATCTTCGTGCTTGAGGTTGTGACGACAGTGGTGCTCATGTCAGAGATATAGCAGGCGGGGCGGTGAGCGTAGATGGACGACGAGCCACGGTGAGTTCCTTCTTGGTCGTTGTCTATTCTATATATCGCGCTTGAATCTCCGAATGCGATGGCGTATCATATATTATTAACGACAATCGTGCGCCCCCCTGATCCTGAACGAGAATAGGTCGAGTCAAATCGTAGGCTTGCGGTAACCCCAAGACGTCACCCCAATTCCATGCAGTCGACGTGCAGAAACCCGGAAAAAGAAGCCTAGCAATCGCGATCTTTGAGTAACCCAGATCTTATAGCAACAGAAGGGGTTCGACAAGGGTCTGCGCCTTCGTGGTGTTGTGCGATCAGTGAATATCGGTCGGCTCGCGCTTCTGTACCGGGGATTAGAGAAACGGGAGTGAGGTGGGCGGTCGGGTGTCGCGCTTCGACAACGGGACGCGATAGAGGCACCAAACAAGTTCACGTCGACAAACCTGCCGGCGACACCAGCACGGATCCGATGCGACGATGGCGCTGAAGTCGATTCTCGCTTTCCAGAGGTGCCAACCGATATGATATGACCGTCTGGGATGGAGACTGATCGAATTCGCCCGCCGTTGTTTTGGTCTTGGCGCGTGGGGACTGCGCTAGTCCGCTTTAGGCTGTAGAGGGGGATGCATGATTTCAATTTTCAAGGGTTATTGAGTATTATATCGACTGTGCGAAGGAATCAGGTTTGGATTCGACCTTAGATCAGTGAGGATGGCTAGCCTAATTACGCGGTCGTTGGCCGTTGGTCTCTTGGTTACTAGGAAGGCGAGTGATAGCTTGCTGAGACATGATCCAGGCAAAAAAAGAAAAGAGTGAACACGAATCATACAGTTAGTTCTAAATTGTCTACAGTTATCTGACAGGTAAATCAGAAAACCAGGATGCTAATAAACACACAATGGATGCTCAGTCATAGATCCTCGTTGGAATTAACCCCGTAGTCGCTGGGATGGTGGCATCTCTCGTAACGGCTTAGGCCTAGTGATCCCAACAGGAAGGCCTGCTTCCAAATGGATCAAGTGCCTATTTGACAGATGCCAGATCTGTTGGAGGAGCCAAGCTTCCTTCGATCCGCCGCTTGGCCGCTTGCTTCTCCTCGTTGGAGATGTCTTCCTCGTTCTTACGCATATCCGGCTCGTGCTGTGGCTGATCAGGAGAATGACCAATGGACATGCCGACGCGGATCTGTACAGGTATATCAGTTAGGATCGGAGTACGAAGTGAAGAGGGCTGAGGTCCACCTACCAAAGTTTCGAGGGCGCCCTTTGAGTTATCTACCAGGTCGCTATCGAAGTTCATCACACCCTGTTCAAACAACAAGAGAATTGTACTGCCGCCAAACTTGAAGTAACCGAGCTCTTCAGCTCGAGACACCTTCTCACCGGGTTTGCGAGTGATCACAGTGCTCCCCACCATCATCGCACCGACACAGACGACCATGACCCGTCCGTGTGCAACGGAATCGATAGGAACTAGCACCCTCACGTTCTCACCATACACATCCAGAGCTGAACGGATAGCCATTGGGTTAACCGTATAGTACTCTCCTTCGATAGTCTTGGGAGTTCCCAGGACACCATCGACAGGAATATGGAAGCGATGATAATCCTGCGGTGCCAGACGGAAGATTCCCAGAGCACCATTCTTGTAGCGTTCTGCGTCTTCCGGATAAGCATTTCCAAGGAGTCTCTCCACCGAGAACTCTCTGCCCTTCACCCAGATCTTAGTCGCTTCATCGATACGATCGAAGACAACGGACCGACAGTCTGCGGGGGACACGACAATCTTTGCGTTGTCCGGTGCGGAGCAGGGACGAGCTCCGGGCTTTAGAGCCCGATAGAAGAACTCGTTGAAAGTTTTGAACTGGTCTACAGGAAGCAAGACTTCCGACATGTCAAGTTGATGGAAGTTAATAAATCCCCGAATCTGACTGGCAGAAGCCGGGTCATCATACTTTTTTCCTTGCTTGATGCTTAGGGACTTGAGCATTTTACGAACTAACAATTGGTCAGCTGATAAATACTCTCTGATCGTCAAGGCCAGCGCAACATACTTCTCTTCTTTTCCATCTCCCTACTTTTAAGGCCTTTGTAGAGCAGGCGAATACCGAGTCGGACGTAAACGCTCATTCGCTCCTCATTGATCTGTCCAGTAATTCTATCCTGGACAAGGATGTTGGCAGAGTTCGCACCAAGCTTGTAGCCTCCGTACGAGATCTTCGTTATGACCTTGGAGTACCATTTGCGTTGTGCCTGACTCGAGGTGACAAAACCGCCCATCATAAGATTATCGACTTGGCGCCAGTCTTGACTAGCACATGTAGCGATATGTGTGATGATATCCGCGTCGCTGCGTTTCCCGAGTCGCGGTTGATGGCACAAAGGACATTCACGTATTTCGACGACGTGTTCCTCGCCTCGCTCATCGGCGAGATCATCTGGGGAGAGCTCATCGCTGGTCGTCTGTTCCTCGCTGGAGATAGCTGGCACGGCTGTACGCTCAGTGTCAGTGTTGGAGGCCGGCGTTGAATTATTTTCCGCTGCCAGCTCATCACTGCTGACCTCATCTTCACGTTCCTCCTGACCCTCCACAGAGGGCTCGGTCGTTCCCGGCAGCAAGCTCTTGACCTTTGCACCAATATCGCGGACGCTCTTCTTCTGTAGTTCCTGGAGCTTTTCCTCGAGACAGATCACCGCTTGATCAAAAGTGAGATCCACCGTCTCACTTGGCTCGTTTTCAGCGGCAAATTTTCTGAAGAACCCATCGATGGTTGAGTCTTTCAAGGTAGACCCAAGAGTGTCCAGCATCGTTGTCAGTTCGACCTTACTAACCCGGGCGCTGTCATCGGCATCGTACTGCTTGAGCATCACTCTCCAGAACTGCTGCCTGAGTGCAGGGTACGGCATATATTTGGCTTTGATGTATAATTCCGGGGAGTGCTTATCTTCCCAGCGATCCTTGTTCTTCAGCTGAAGGGGGATTGTATAGGCTTTGAGATCCTCTTCCTGGCTAAGAGGTGTGACTGCGTCGTCGTTCAAGTTAGCAGCAACCGGGTTAGGGGTAGAGCTCGGAGCAACGCTTGGGACAGTCAGATGAGTGCTGGTGGTGTCAGATGGCGGCGCACTGGTCGAAGGAGTCGGGGTCTGCTGGTCTTGCTGGAACTGGGTAGATAATGATGTTCCCGAGCTTTTTGATTTCAAGGGTGGCTTCGACATTTTCGAGAGACTAGTACTTGACGAAGAGCGGCTCATTGGAAGTCGGAAACGAGATTTCGTAGCAGGAGGAGTGCGAGCAATATTTCCATAGGGCTCAGGGAGTCGGTACAAACCCGTTTCTGGATCAGCTTCAGGAGCAGCTTGAATGAGGGTCTGCAGGGGCAAACTGGCTGAAGCCACAAAATCATTTCCTGAAAGCTTGTCTCGATCGATGACGGTAAAACTCATGGTGTATTGCTGTTCATGCTTCATGACCTGGAACACCATCTTCTCATCGAAAACCGGGTTAAGATTATGCCTGATAACTCGGGTTCTCATGGTCTTCCTTCCCAGAGAGGTCACGACGAACGGGTCCATGTCAAAGGATGTGCGCGTCACTGTTCATAATCGTCAGCATCACTGCATCTCGGACATGGGTCCCAAGAACCCTAGCGATCACATACCGTTGCGTTCGGGCGGAAGATCTTTAATTCTGGAAATCTCCAAGAAGACAATGCCAGAGATTCCGTTTCCAGCGCCGCTGAATTGGTAGGCCCTAGCCGCAATCGACTTGCGCTTCAGGCGAGCAATGCGGAGTTTCCTCTTTTGCTTCTCGACGCCCTCCGACTTTCCTTGATCGTCTGTTTCCTCAGATGTCTCGTTGTCCTCCAATTCATTTGTATTCGCCCGGGAGAGCTCATCCTCATCATCTGCAGCGCGGACAACAGCCTTAAACTTCTGGTATGTCTCTTCCGGGGAAGCAGCGGGGTTGGATGCATCATAGAGTGAAAATTGCATAAGGATTTCTCCTGATACCGTGCTTCCCTTTTTCCCGGGCTTTCGTTTCGACTTGAGCGTGTACCATTTTGGCTATCACTGCGTCAGCAGACGGTCATTTCCCCATGGAGAGTGAAGACATACTTGCTGCTGCAGCTCACCACCCGCGAAGATCTCTTCCAGAGGAATATCGAACTCGCCCATGTAATCTTTTCCGAACTTGTCATGATCCCAGCAGATACATTCTAGCAAAGGCACGCCCCCAATTGGCAGGTCAAATGTCACGTTCCACTCCGGGTTCAGGGTCTTCGATATCGTCGGGGTCGATTCTCTCGCATCTCCAAGGGTTACGATCAGATACTGAAGAGTCGTCAGATCTGTGTCCGCGCCGTATCGCCGCCAGGACTTACCGGATCGCTGGTACCGCCTCTATCTTTGGGCGCTAGGTTCCTCCCCTACTCCCAGCGTAATCAGTATTTCGGCTCTTAAGATGCGCGTGGCCGCACACGTCCCGCACGCTACTGACCTTGACCACCGTTGTCCTCAAAACCAGGCTCTTGTTTTCAAACTGCATTCTCAGCGGACTCGTACTTCGACTTGGACCCTGGGCTGGTGTCGAGGACTTGGAACTTAAGTGGGAGCTGATACGCTGCGGAATCGGTAGGCGAACCATCTTGAACGATGGTGCGGGGTTCGCGTATGCTTGGCCACGGAGAGACAACCTGTTTCTCCCTCTTCCAGCGAGGCCTGCGCGGCTCACTCTTGGTTAGTTGACATTGGCCTCCGAGCCGTCGGGAGCAGTTACCTACCTTAGGCCCTTGGTGCTAGGGGACTATATGATGGTGGTGATGATGATGATGATGATGACGGCGATGATGATGTACCCAGGCGGTCAGCTCTCAAGGCATTGAAAGCCACGGCAGCTTCCTTGGCCAAGGTCATACACTCCGGGAGAAGATGGATCGGACGAGAGAGCGCAATTTATCGGGGCAATTACTGTGAAAGGGGGGAAAGTTCCAGCTGCAACGCCGCCGGGAGGCTCTGTGGGCGATGCTGGACTAAGAATATCATCGAAGCCATCACCCCAGGCGGGACGGGCGTTAAGACAATGGATGCACAACCCCCAAACAACACCTTACGGAATCCGCGGCGGTCGGCAAACGCTCTCCAGGCGACATCAAGGCATGGCATCGCTCCAGCAGGCTTCATCCAACTCCTATCTCGTCCGCAACAGGGCCCAACAGACCTCAGGTCCGCTTTACCGCTGGTCCCAAGCGATCTCCGACTCCACATGGTGACGAGACCGCGCCGAGTCTACTCTATGATACTATCATCTCTGGTCGATGATGACAAGCGCCCGTTTGCGTATTCAGAAATACCTCGTCCTTTGTCCAGCGGTGGCGGTGTGGTATTGTTATGGTATTTATTAGCATCAATGTCATGGTGTACAGCTTCTGGACACGTTCGATGAGCAATCCTGGTGCTGTCAATCGTCAGGACGAACAACAGCCTTGAAGCCGTCGTAACGGCATGCATGGATGCGATTCAACGTCGCTTAATAATTTTTTTTTTTTTTTTTTTCAATATCTGTCCAGACGTCTGTTTCACACACAAGCAGAATATGCACGCCATCGGACCCCGACAGAGCCCCTGTGGCTGATTCCTCTGGGCTGTAAAACTAGAGTAGAAGCCGGTTCGAAACCAGGATCCTTCCCGCGCTTCTAGAGCAGAGCCAAGCACTTTCTGCGGCCCGCCCGCTGGGAGATCCGAAGTTCCGCACCTGGTTCAACTGTTGCGGGGTCTGTTGCTGCTGCGAGGATCTGCAGCTTTCACCAAGTTTATACCGGAGCGTTGGCCTGGCCTTTCGACATCACACGGACTTCAGAGCAGTGTGGAGGATATTGATCCCTGATCGACCTACAAACCCTTTCTCTCCTCTGTTAGTAATCCCCATTGTCTCAGTCGAAGATCATGACCCAGCGTGGTCTGAGCGAAGGAGAGGAGAACGAAAATGATCGGGACGACGGGACCATATGCAGTCTCTGCAAATTATCCGTGCGACACTATAAGAGAAGCCAGTTTTTGGTAATTGTGGAACCATATTAATTACGTTACCAAGACCGTTTTATCAAAATACTACGTACAACTATAGTGACTGCTACAGCCTACTAACTAGACGAGATCGAGCGCGACGAGAAGGATGCTGCGCGAGAAGGGATAATGATATATCGCGATCAAGTTGCGGAAAGGGAACCTCGAAAAAAAAGGAAGATAAATTAGGTATACAAACTTACCAAGACCCTGGACTTACCTAGTCCGTTTATTGCCCAAGCGTTAGACAAAGGGAAAATATCTGTTCTGAAGGACGTATGCCATCGTTCTATCTATCCGTGCAGACCACCGTCAGCAAGAAATAACGTTTCTTGCCCCCCTCAACGAGTACACAACCGAGGCTGAAGACCAGCCGTCATAAGCCCAAGTGCATATGACTTCCAATCGTGGTTGATGGTCCTCAAAGCTTCTTAGCTGAAACTGAAGCAATTAGAGCCACTGACGACCGGAAGGCACAGCGTATTATTTAACCATGGCTCTCACCCGGGCACGCGATCAATTATTTATCCGTTGTTATCATCATCATTCTCATTATTATTTCTATTATTTTCTCTGCAGGTCTAGCCACTCAATTACTTCCAACCAGCCTCCAGCACCTAGTAACTAATCCAGTAGTGTATCTGCTACCAGTAATAAATAACTCGCACTTGTTTTCGCGTGGAATTCGGGGAAATACACTACTTAGTATTACTTAGTTAAGAACCGTTGTCTTCCTACTAACCACTCAGAGTCTAGTCAAGAGACTCAAAAGAAAAAAAGAAGGGAAGGAAAAAAAAAAAAAGGAACGCTGCATGGAGCTACGTATCGACCAATGATCTAGAACAGTAATTATCTAGCCAAAATAATAATAAAACCCACATCTAGGCTACAGGGAAAAGCAACAGAGAGAAAAAATCACAGCCACAGAAAGAGGCGGCGGCTCTGGGGCACTACTTACTGCATTGGTCATTCTCCACCGCGGCTGAGCTTCAGCTCTGGTATAGCCACCGTACCTAGAATACCGTAGTAGTAGTTCGAACGTCATATGCACCTGCCACCAAGTCCGTGGCATTGTCAGATTATGTCGAACCAGTAGTTAGGCTGGGCGATGACAGATCGTTGGCGAAGACTCAACGTCTGTTAGCTTCTAACGCTGCCCAGAAGTTGAAGTATAGATAGTTAGTGAGTGGTTTTTACGAAGAGTGGAGTAGGGGAAGAAGTGCGGCTGAGGAAGGTACAGTAGAGAAGCTGTGGGAATCCAGGACCACGGAAGCAAAAACACTGGAAAAGCATTTGATACAATAAAATCTTAATTGCTTACAGAACTAGAGGAGTACTGAAATCTATCAGCCGTTTATGCCTCTGTCCTGGATTTCTACTGCCTGGAGCTGCGCTGGAACACTGTCTTGAGCGTTCCATGGTTCCAGCGTGTCTGCTCTATTGATGGATATAGGTGGCTTCCCGTTGCAGCTGCTACCCGGTTTGTATAGGATAGTAGCAGCAGTCTGCAGCTCGCTTCCACTGTACAGTGGGTGTATATTATGGAACGTCAAACAGAGCCCGTTGTCTTCAAGTTCATTCGATACTAGTGTGACAAGTGATTATCAATGTAGTTGCCTGTATTTATCTAGTCGGATGCTTTAGTATCTTCTCCATTGACATGGTAGATTTCTTGAATTGATCATTGAAGAAGTTAAACTCGGAAGTCTTAGCAAACGCGACACATGGTATATTAACGACGGTTCTTAGGTGGTGGATGTCTAACCAAAAGACTTCCTCTTGCGGACCAGCCTCTGTTGACTACAAGGACTTATACAGAGATGAGGGAGGCTACCAGAGACATTCACCTCTAGCAAACGGAGTGGTGGGATGATGTGTACACATACTAGTCCCAGCATAACAATAAAATAAAATAGCTTAGTCGACTCTTCTCTCTTGTCTTCCCCATACCTCGTCTGCATTGGCTCTCCCCTTAGTCTCTGGGACCCACCAGAAGATGAAAGCCCCCAGCAGAGCAGACATTGCTGCGAAAATCCAGTAGATCCTACCGCGACCGCCGAGAGCGTCATTGAGAACAGGGAAGAACTGCGCCACGACAAAGGTGGCGATCCAGTTGCTGGCCAAAGCCCAGCTCTGTGTTGCCCCAACGGCTTCGGGTCCGGCGAGCTCTGAGGCTAGAATGAATGGAACTGGACCGAGTCCGACGGCAAAGCATGCGACAAACAGCAAGGTGGCTATGGCAGAGATAGCCTTCTGACCGAATGAAATGCCAAGCGCAAGCAGGATGGAGCTGAAACCCATGCCCGTAATGCTGAGCATGAGGCATCTTTTACGGCCAATCTTGTCCGGCAATGGGGCGCATGCGAGTGTGACCACTAGATTCAGGGCTGAGATGATCACCGCCAATAAGGCAGCTGTGGTAGGGAGGATGCTCTGCAGCAGAGAGACACTGTACATGACAATACTGTTGATACCAGTGAACTGCTGAGCAATCATCACGCCGACTACTGCAATAATTGCAGGGCGATGAGTGGGATTCATCACGGCCCCAACAATGGAAACCGGAGGATTTCTGGGGGGAATGTTGCCCGATGGTGGTGTTAGAAGAGACTGCTCTTCAGCAGAGCTGTCTTCGGGTGCAGTGTCGACCTTCCATGCCCTGGCTTCCTCTCCAATATCTGCATCCTTCCCGCGGATCCGCTGGAGCACTTTCCTTGCTAGGTTGGGATGCTGATGTCCTGCCAGCCAAGTCGGGCTCTCGGGGACAAAGAAAAGACCTAGAAGCTCCACGGTCCCGACAATGCCCGCAATTGCAAGGATAATCCTCCACATACTATCTCTGCTAAGGAAGAATCCGAGACTCTGCGTCAGGAGGATACCGACATTGGTCATGATCTGCGTAAAGGCACCAAAAAGGCCCTTCTTGTCGGGAGGGGCAATCTCTGATATGTAGATGGGACCAACGACGATGGCAGCTCCAGAGCCAACCCCGGACAGCAATCTTCCAACGCTCAGCACAGGAATGCTGGGGGCAAGGGTCTCTGCAACGGGCCCGAGAATGAAGAAAGCCGTCGTGGCTCGTAGGGCAAACAGTCGTCCGTATTTTGTGGAAATTGGCCCTGCCAACAGGGCTCCCAGGAGACCTCCGAGCGTGTAGATGGACGAGACAAGACCGAATTGGGCTGGGTTCATCGGAATGCATTGTGGGAGCTTCGGGGCGGACTTGAATTTCGAGGTGATGCTCTTTTTCTCGCAGGTAATCACTACTTGGGGTGCATTAAGCTCAGCCTGTAAATACGCAGTAGGTGTCAGCTGCAATCCTGCAGGAGCGGTTCCAGGAGATGTCAGACTATACCAGGTGATATCCAAATTGCAAAGGCCCCAACGTGGTGATCAGGACCAAATAGATGAGGTACCCTGTCACCCGTGACCGGGTGTGCTCTCCCTGAGACGCCATATCTAACCAGGCTCTGCAGTGCTACTGACAAAGCGATTTATCGAGCATGTAGTATCACGAGCTCTCAAGTCAAATGGAAGATGGAGCGCAGACAGATGTTCTCCATGCTGCTGCTACTGTAGATGTTGTTGGTTGATCGAATTGAACGAAGATGATCAGGTCGCAGGAGCTCCCAGCATGACGTTGGCGTTGTCGCACGACGCGCGCCCGGCTCCGAGCGTCAGGTGAGTTTGCTAGTTGTTGCAGCTCCATACAGAAAGGAGGATAGCTATTAACTGATTGTACTGTATCAGATATTCCCGTTGGGAGAGCTCTAGTTTGGTCCAGTTCTCTGTCAAGAGCTTTCTCTCAGTAGAATCGAATGCCTCCGTCCCGATTACTAGTTTAATTACTCAAGTGTTGGCTGTTCTGTTGCTTCGGGGTTGTACATAACTACCTAACTATCGGATGATGCTTGTATCATTCCGCCCGCTAGTTAGAGTGCCGTCAGCACTTCGTCCTTGATGGTTTCCAGGTCTTCTCCTGCAGACATCTACTGTATGTACATGCAGCATGCGTGATTGACCCATCTCTGCAGTGGTGATTCATTCACTGATGAATCTTAAGGGAATCTCCAGCCTCTCCGCTGACTAAGTCACTGTCCCGCCCCTATTTTTCCGCCCCTAGGCTTTAGCAAACGCCAGCAAACGCCGTGATCTCCTATTATTGTCCCAGTGGAGAAGTTGGAGAAAAACATCGTCTGCCACGCCACTTGCGGTGCCGTCGGACCGGATCGTTCCCAGCACTTTCGTCGCTGCCAATCTTACCTTTTCTTTCTCCGCGCTGATGCCAGCGGGGGTGAGGAGGCGACTTAGTGTACCGCCTGCCTCTCCATGAGCCTGACCAACCCGCCATCCTCCACCGGAGGTCCTTTAACTGTCTCCTCAGTCAGGCCCGCGGCGGCGCCATCTGTCAGCCAGAATCTGACCAAGAGGAGTATGCAGGCCGCTCTTGACGGTAATACTACTTCTTCCTTTTTGATCCTCTGGCATTCCAGCATGTGCTCGTGATAAGCAGGGTTCTGGTATTTCTTGTGGGGTTTTGCTCCGCAGCCCGCGCGCTGGTCTTCCATTGCCCGCTGCTCCTCTCTCTTTCTTGATATCTGGAGGTGTCTCACGATCTCTGTAAATCTCCTTCATCATGTTTGGAAGAAGCTTTCCTTTTCTAAATTCCCTAAATGGGCCGTATCCACGTGGTAATCTTCCCCTCCATGCCGTGATTTGTCGTTTCTGCAGCGCTTTCTGCTTGGTCCACTTAGCCATAAGGCTGAAGCCCATCTCAGCCTGAGTCGTGGTGGGACTGGGGAGACGAGGAAATGGGTCTTGATATGTGTCACTATCTCTTGATTCATTCTTCTATGCCACAATTTTCGGTGAAGATCATTTTGGATGGATTTGTCTCCATTCTTTTAGTCTGGCTTTATGTGACTGACAACCTGTTGCAGATCCATTAGATCAAAGGAGGACCCCTACAAGTGGATATACGAGCAAAGTCCGCGTTCGAGAGAAGTACCACATTATTGGCTTCATCAGCAGCGGTACTTATGGCCGAGTATACAAAGCCATACGCAGAAATGGCCAAAAAGGCGAATTCGCTATCAAAAAGTTCATACCCAACAGAACTCCCTATTGAATAGATGCAGGACTGACCGGTTCCAGATTTAAGCCCGATAAGGAGGGCGAGTTGATCCAGTACACGGGCCTGTCGCAGTCTGCCATTCGAGAGATGGCTCTTTGTTCGGAGCTCTCCCATGCTAACGTGGTAGGACTCGAAGAGATCATCTTGGAGGACAAGTGTATCTTCATGGTCTTCGAGTACACAGAGCACGATCTGTTGCAAATCATCCACCACCACACCCAGCCACAGAGACATCCCATCCCGGCACCCATGGTCAGATCGATTTTGTTCCAGCTGTTGAATGGCCTGCTCTACCTCCACAGCAACTGGGTACTCCACCGCGATTTGAAGCCAGCGAATATTCTCGTCACCTCGTCTGGAGCGGTGCGCATAGGGGATCTTGGTCTTGCACGATTGTTCTACAAACCTCTTAACTCCTTGTTTTCTGGAGACAAGGTCGTCGTGACGATATGGTACCGTGCCCCAGAACTGCTACTTGGCAGTAGACACTACACGCCAGCTGTGGATCTTTGGGCGGTTGGATGTATCTTTGCAGAGTTGCTGTCACTTCGCCCGATCTTCAAAGGAGAAGAAGCAAAAATGGACAGCAAGAAGACGGTTCCGTTTCAGCGAAATCAGATGATGAAGATCATGGAAATCTTGGGCTTGCCGCGCAAAGAAAACTGGCCGGGTCTGGTTTCGATGCCGGAATATCCCCAGCTCCAAAACCTGGCTTTGTCTAGAGGCGCAGGTCACTTTAATAAGCCGTCCAATTTGGAGGGATGGTACCAAAGCTGTCTAAAGAATGGCGGCTATTCTCAAAATTCGAGCGCTGGTACGCCCGGTGCGGACGGATTTGACCTACTGTCTCGGCTGCTCGAATACGACCCGACCAAGCGGATCACCGCCCGCGAGGCCTTGGAGCACCCTTATTTCAAGAATGGGGGCCCCATAAGTGCTAACTGCTTTGAGGGGTGCGAAGGGAAATATCCGCATCGTCGCGTGACTCAGGATGACAACGATATCCGCACCGGTAGTTTACCCGGCACCAAACGGAGTGGTCTGCCAGATGACAGCCTAGTCGGGAGGCCGCCAAAACGTCTCAAGGATTGAATTCTGTTTAGATGATCTGTGTCTGCATTATCTGGAGTTTGGCAGGGTCTGACAAGGCTGGTGGTCATGCCGATATAGAGGAAAGGGCGTTTTGGGTCGTATACATTTTTCGTCGACTGCTGACTTTCGACTCCCGCATCTTTATTGTTAAGACTTATTTTTTTTTGGCTCTTGTCCAACACGGGGTTTTTGTGTCCACGACGATTATCCCCGCGGAAATCGTTAGCTGAATGAAGTACAGTACATGTGCTTGTTGGTCATGCAGACCCAACTATACAAACTATGAGCGAATTAGTATCCAGTGTATCTTGAGCATTCGTCAGAGAGACGCATATTTATTAGACCCTGATTCTCAAGTACGATCGTTAAGCACAGTAAATGACTACTGCAGTGCCCATTGTTTGTTGAAAGTTCGACTCGGCACTTCCATGTAGAAAGTCCGGCGTATTCTATAACATCTTGCTGTCCCTACGTCGCGTCTGTATCCACTCAGCTGTATATTACGACCGGACAAAGATACAAGTAATCTTTATCTCTACTCACTAGAGCAGAGGAAAGGGCAATAATCCTCTAAGTCATCCGCGATAGAAGTAGGCAACGCCATCATCGAAGTGCTGCCAATTCAACTCCGCTCCCCGCCCCGAGAGTTGCACAGCCAAGAATATCGACGTAAGTGTCACGAACAAACCAATATCGCTACTTCGAAAAAATAAAATACCATTCTTCTATTCTAAATCTTCGGCGGCGGCACTTCCGTCGTGGCTGATAAGCACGGCGTACGGAAAGGATACTCTTTTCGGGTCGATTTGTCCTGTCACTCAGGAGGATGCGCTAGCGTGATTATGAATCTTAGAGAGAGAGAGGGGGTTTCTATGATGACCATCTTCGATTAATGTGCGGCCTTTCTTTTCCGTGTCTGTTTATATCGGTTGGAAGGTGAGAGGCTAGATGGATACGGGGTTGCGAGGTGATAATTGCACTGCTTGTGACTGACGAATGTGTTAATACTGATCGATTGAGATGCTCTACTAGCATAGAACATATCTGCGGCTTCGATAAGAGCCATTGAGATTGAAACCAGAGTTATGGCATTATATTGGATACAGACAAGCCCTTGTGTCCCCCGTTTTTACGCCATGAGTCTCAACCACCTGATACACCCTTCATGATCCTTAGTCGTGGTATTTTCTGGTCCCCCCATTACTTCCGTAAGACGCCCGTGTGATAGAAGAAAAATAAAATAAAAATCAATAGCCTGTTTAATAAAATGTCAGAATTTGGTCACTGTGAAATTTCCGAGTGCAGGGAGACATACCACTCTGCTCCTTTCTGTTGTCAGCTCCATCTGGATCTTCGCCTTGGCCGCCGGCGCCAGCTGCGGCAGCCCGACCACCGGCTTCTTGTATGCCCTGAGCATCGCCTCTGAGCTTCTCGAAATAGGCCTTGATATCCTCAGCGCCGACAGCCTGTCCACTTTCTGCAAATGGCTTCAAGAATTCCTTCACCTTGTCTCGCAGATGATTGTAAACCATGACACCCTCAATGGCTTTCACTCGATCCATATTGCTCAATGCTGCTTCTCCTCGCTCTAGGAGGCTTCCGGTGCCCTGACTGCCGCCGCCGTTGGCCTCGTCACCGTCTTCGGAGAGCGGCGGCTCATACGTCTCTTCCTCTTCTCTCAACTGTGGATGAGGAATAAGGTTTGGGAAGCAATCGGGGCAATGGCATAGGTGGTCGCGAAAGTCCTCTTTGAGGAAGAGAGAGAAGGTCCCCGTAGGAGCAGACTTAGGAAGAAAGTCATGCTTATGCTTGGGTGTCTCCGTGGAAGTAGTGCTGATTTTCGCATCCTTGTGGTCATCCGGCGAGTCTTCCTTGGTGCGCTTAGAGTCAGGTTCTTCAAGGTCATCCTCTGCCTTGCGCTTCTTTGTACTGTTGGCTTGTTCTTTCTCAGCCTCAGCTGCAGCAGGAGCCTCTTTAGGTTCGGCGTCTTTCAACCCTCCTTCTTTGTAGACAGCTGGTAAGAATCCCGGCGTACCAGCATAGCGCTTCAGCCACGGGTTGGAATCGAGACATTTGTAGCATATAAAGGTCTCGAAGTCATCCTCGCCAGGAAAACCTGGTGGAAGCGGCGTTTCTTCATCCTCATCAAATCCATCCGTCGCCTCCTTCTTCTCTTCCTCGGTCATCGCAGCCTCTTGCTTTTTAACTTTGTTCCAGTCGCGAGGAAGACCGATCAGACACTCTGGATGCCACCAATCCTCCCCGCAACCGCCTGTTTCCACAGTGCCTAGTCCAAGACATTGGAACATCGTTCCCTTTTCTGTATGCGCATCATACACTTCGAGACACCCGCAGAATCTGTTCTGAAAGTTGTGATTGTATTTATTCCCCGCGGCAGGCTCCTGGGAGTGGACGCCTTTTGAGCCGGTGGCGGGGTCTGCTCGAAGAGTGCATGGCGAAGTCGACGGCAGACGAGTGGTTCCGCAGTCGCAAACAAAGTTCCTTTTGTTGAACAGCTCGACTAGCGTGTGCTCGCCGTGGCAGGAGATGGAGCACGAGTAGCAAACTCCAGCAGGGGTATACGGGTCATCGAGGTTCTTGGGAGGGTTGCAGGTAAGGCACGAAAAGATACTCTGTCGTAGTGCACCTAATGGCTGCGTGCAGTTATCAAAAGACTTGAAAGGTCAGCAAACATAGACGGTTATGAGCATGTACATGGATAGGCTTACATAGGGGAGCACTTCACGTGCATCAGCCTCGAGTTTGAGTTGGTTTTCAAGGAAACTGTGATGGAAAAGTGGTTAGACAGATCGCGTATGTTGAAGATTGTATGATACATCTTATGATGACAGCACGGTCAAGGAAAGCAGCATACATACTCTTTAGCTGTCTGGGAATCTTGGGATGCGAAGCTCTCTCTGCGACGGCTTTTGTCCTGCTCTCCATTTTGCGGCTGGGCGCTGGTGGACTGGTCTGGTTTCTTCTGGTCATCCATTGCACCACTCCAGGTACAACAAGAGGCGACAAAAAGAAGGGCGATAAGACAACTGATGAATTTGATGTCGTTGTGTTTGCCTTGTCACCGTGATCACTCAGCCTGCCCTTGCCCGAGTGCCGCGTCCATTACTTACGCGCAAGGCGCGCGGCACTTTAAGTGTTTGCTTGGTTTGCATTTAATGATCCCAATATCCCTGGAATCGTGGAATTACAGCTGGAGTACATGCAACCGCCTGGAGGTTAATCTATTGATGCGTATTCCGATGGGAATATTTACATGGATTTCCTACACAGTAGTGATTTCCCAATTCTGTATAGGATGTCTTGGTGTTGCTGCGGGTCGAAGCTTCACTCCCAAGTGGAACTTCGAGCTGCAGGCCAGACACGTAGCAGGCGACTAACAAAGCCAGTTATTCTATGTTCCGGGGATCCTCAGCAACTTAGTAGTTGCTACGGTCAGGATCTTTGATCGCTGCAACAAAAAAGAGAAGGGATGGCTGCTAGCATTTATCCAGGCTGCTTTCCATTCTCACCTTCACAGGACCCAGGCAATGATCTTCCTCAGTACAATTGGACAGCACTAAAGCCTCCAGTAGATGATGCCATGATACTGTAAGCTTGTCAGAATTTATAATTATAGAGATAAACTCTTGTGGCCGATTATCTAACGTGTGCTGAAACTTGAGGCAGTCTGTTCTATATATGCACAGACTCGCCTTACCGGATTTGGGTTTAATGGAAAAAAAGCGACGCGTCGGGAATCGCGACCACGACGCGTCGTTGCCGGGCCACAGTAAACGCACCATCGACCCTTGCGGGCGGCGTCTTTCTCCTCCCTTGAGCTGGCAATCAATCTCAAATCGCAAATTCCAACAGCCACATCCACTGTTCATCCTGTCATCCAACCGCCATCTTGATCTATCGTCCATTCGATACGAACGAAATTTGTCGGATGGTTGACAGTGCGTGAATTTTGCAGAGCACACAATGAGGTGAGCAAAAGATCTTTCCTCAGTCTTTGCAGTTGCGCCGCAGTTGCAATGAGTCGTTCTCAAATTTCTCGTATCATGATAGCTGACCTCGCACAAGTTCCCCTCTTCGACCCAGCTCCTCAGCCGCAAATCGCGGTCTGGGAAACTTGAACAGACGCAAGCGCGACAGAGAGCCCGACGATGAAACTTCTTCGGTTGCTGCTCCACCGTCAAGTCGTAAGTTAAAGAGAGTGTGATTGACGAAAACCTCAGTAAAACTGATCTATCTTGTGATAGCCCCTCCCTCCTCTCCGCCTATGCTTCCATTCGACGAAGAGAATGACCGAGACGAGGAAGCTGAGCTGTTGGGGGACATCGATGATATTGAAGAGATGGCCGAAGATGAAGACGGAATCGATCTCTTCGGCGATAACTTCGAAAAAGATTACCGAAACACCCAGGACCAAATGTATCGAGGACATGACATTGACGATGACGGAGAGTATGACGAACTGGACCCCGCTGCTCGCCGACAGCTCGAGGCCCGTTTGAACAAGAGAGATAGGGAATTGGCACGCCGTCGTCGCATGCCTGCTGCTTTCCTGCAAGATGATGATGACGACATGAATGTCGATCTTACTAGGCAACCTCGCCGCAGGAGACACCACTACGATGAGGACCACGAAGATATCGAAATGGGCGAAGATATCATGGAAGAGGAGCTTTCTCTGGAAGAATTGGCAGATGTCAAAGCCTCCAACATTACAGAGTGGATTCTCCAACCTCAAGTGCTACGCTCAATCCATCGCGAGTTCAAGGCCTTCTTGACTGAGTACACAGACGCTTCTGGAAGCTCGGTGTACGGTAATCGTATCCGTACTCTGGGAGAGGTCAACTCTGCATCTCTGGAGGTTTCCTATGAGCACCTGAGTTCGACTAAGGCCACCCTTGCGTATTTCCTTGCAAACGAGCCCACGGAGGTCCTGAAAGTATTCGATCAGGCTGCTCTCGATGTCACTTTGTTCCACTACCCGCAGTACCACGACATTCATAATGAAATTCACGTCCGTATCACGGACCTTCCGATCGTGTACACTCTCCGAGAGCTCCGTCAATCGCACCTCAATTGCCTGGTCCGCGTGAGCGGAGTTGTCACCAGAAGAACAGGCGTGTTCCCTCAGCTCAAATACGTTCTGTTCATTTGCAACAAGTGCGGTATGACTCTGGGTCCTTTCCAGCAGGAAGCGAGTGCCGAGGTCAAGATCTCCTTCTGCCAGAACTGCCAGTCAAGAGGTCCCTTCACATTGAACTCTGCAAAGACTGTTTATCGAAACTATCAGAAATTGACTCTGCAGGAGTCACCTGGTTCGGTGCCCGCTGGCCGTCTCCCGCGCCAGCGTGAGGTGATCCTCCTTGCTGATCTCATCGACTCTGCGAAACCTGGAGATGAGATCGAAGTTACTGGTATCTACCGCAACAGCTATGATGCTCAGCTAAACAACAAGAACGGATTCCCTGTTTTTGCTACCATCCTTGAGGCGAATCATGTCATCAAATCGCACGACCAGCAGGCTGGTTTCCATCTGACCGAGGAAGATGAGCGACAGATTCGTGCTCTTTCAAGAGATCCTGATATTGTGGACAAGATCATACGATCTATTGCTCCCAGCATCTACGGCCACTTGGACGTGAAGACTGCAGTTGCTCTGTCTTTGTTCGGTGGTGTCAGCAAAGAGGCGCAAGGAAAGATGTCCATCCGTGGCGATATCAACGTTCTCCTGCTTGGTGACCCTGGTACCGCCAAATCTCAGGTCCTCAAGTACGTCGAAAAGACAGCCCACCGCGCAGTCTTTGCGACTGGTCAGGGTGCAAGTGCTGTCGGTCTGACGGCCAGTGTCCGTCGTGATCCCCTGACAAACGAGTGGACCCTTGAGGGTGGTGCTCTCGTCCTTGCTGACCGGGGTACCTGCCTGATTGATGAATTCGACAAGATGAATGACCAGGATCGTACTTCCATCCACGAGGCTATGGAGCAACAGACTATCTCTATCTCCAAGGCTGGTATCGTCACTACCCTCCAGGCTCGATGCGCAGTTGTTGCAGCTGCGAATCCGATCGGTGGCCGATACAACGGCACTATCCCTTTCTCTCAGAACGTCCAACTTACTGAGCCCATTTTGTCTCGTTTCGACATTCTCTGCGTCGTGCGTGATCAGGTGGAACCGAGTGAAGATGAGCGCTTGGCCAACTTCGTGATCGAGTCTCACCACCGCGCAAATCCTACAAGGCCACACAGGGATGAGCAAGGTAATCTAGTCAACGCCGATGGTCAGCGTATCGATGAGGAAGGATATCGTGTTGACAACAACGGCAACCGCCTTCCCCTCACCCCTGAGGAGCAGCGGAAACGAGAGGAAGCGAAGCGCAAGGAGGAGGAAGAGAAGGAGGGAGAGATCCCGCAGGAACTACTACGGAAATACATCCTGTATGCCCGCGAGAGATGTCACCCTAAGCTCTACCAAATCGACCAGGACAAGGTGGCTCGCTTGTTCGCGGACATGAGACGTGAGTCTCTCGCTACAGGAGCGTATCCTATCACTGTAAGTACCAAGCCAATGGCTCCTTGCGTGACCGCACTTACTGACATGCACAGGTCCGTCACCTTGAAGCCATTATGCGTATCGCAGAGGCCTTCTGCAAGATGCGTCTTTCTGAATACTGCTCCTCGCAGGATATCGACCGCGCCATTGCTGTGACGGTCGAGTCCTTCATTGGAAGCCAAAAAGTCAGCTGCAAGAAGGCTCTTTCGAGAGCGTTTGCCAAGTACGTTCTTTACCTTTCTTCTAAGAAAAAGAAAAAAGAGACAAGGCAGGAAAATACTAACAAAGACCCTACAGGTACACACTCTCCAGACCCAAGCCGCAATCTAAGCGGAAGGCCGGTATCTCATCGCAGAACCCGTATTCCCGTCGAAACGCGGGTGCAGTTTCTGCGTAAGAGTGATACGGTATATGGATAAAAGAAATAGGTAATTTTCTTGTAATATGCGGAAGAGGAAGCCTGGGGGTTCCTTGTTTATCATCATCTACTTGAAACATCTGTCCGGTTCTTAAAGGTTATCATCAGATGGAGTTTGGGTTATTGAGTGCGGTCTCTCTTTTCTGATATTGTCTGTTTGCGCCCTTGTTTCTACGGCTGAAGATGAGTTGTTATGGTAGATACCTCTTGACATGTGATGGTGACCAACGAATAGAAATATAAAGAACATTCGTCAATTTGCGTCTCTATTAAGAATTGCTATCTATCTATAACCTTCTAAATATCCCAAACGCCTGTCTATATACTTACCTACGCCATGTAAAATCACCGAACCCGCATCTCTATATGTAGAGGCAGTTTTTTTTAACGAAACCCCGGTACTCGTGAAATGGAAAAGAAAAAGCGTCGGCAAGATGAATAACCACAGCTCACTTCTTTCTCCACCCACCACAACCATCATGAACCCAACCTCCACCACCAAGCACAGTGCCCACCACCGCGCGCAAATCCGCCTGCATCGGCTCAACGGCATAATCGCAGGCCTGAAACTCGACTAAATTCCGCCTATTCCCTGCATCTCTCACCGCATGCGCGATGAGCGAGTATCCCGTCGCGATCTCCATCCAGGGATCGCGCGGATCCATCGACCCGCGCCGCTCGTCCTCGATCACACTATCGCTCTTCCCCGGTGCGAGTTGCACGCTGAAGGAGCGTAGTTCCGTCATTGTCTCCAGCACGTCGAGGACCAGCTTGACGTGGTTGTAGAAGGGGAAAACGGCGGTGTAGTGGAAAGATGTGAGACGATTGAGGGATGGGAGCGGGTCGGGTAGGGAGTCGGCGATGATGCGCTCGTCGGAGACGAGAGTGCCCCATTTATCGAATATGGAGGGGATACGAAGGAGGAAGTATTCGTAGTGGTTGTAGGCGCGGAGGGAGGAGGATTCGTTGAATGCGAGTTTGCTCCATGGTCGAGCGGATAGGATGTTCGTGGTGGCGGAATCGTCGTCGTCGTCCTTGTCTTGTAGAGCCGGACACGACGAGATGGAATCGCGATGACCGCGCACTGGGGGTTCTTGTTCCAATTGCAAGATCTGCAATGGGATCTCGAAAGCCCAGCTGTGTGTTCCTACGACCTTGGTGAGGGTCATATCTCCGATAAAGAGCGGTGATGCAACGATCGTGATGCGCTGCGGATTAATCTCCCTCAGCACTCGCTGCCACCATGTCGTGTCACGACGACCAGTGACTGTTTCCTTCCCCGTCACCACGAGCGAGCGCACACGTCGTTTGAGTCCTGATTTCTGGATAAAGGCTAGGAAGTCCCTCTCATCGCGGATATCGAAGCGTAAATGCGAAAAGAGGAACGGGCGCGCAAGATGGTAGAATTGGGAGGAGGTGCATGAGAGGTTCTTCAGTGGTTTGGTCGCGCTCTCGGTGAGTTGAAGGCTAGGAGCATCGTGGAGGCCAGAAGTAGATGGAGGGTCCGTATCAAGGTAAAACATAATCTCTGTAAGAAGCTCGTTTGGCAGCGATGCCAATCGCGAGGATGAGGAGCATTGTTGTTGTAGCTGCATGGTTTCGACACACAATCTTTTTAAACCCTTTCTCTTTCTTTTTCAGCGCCTGCGCCTGGTAATTAATTATGTTTAATGATGGGTGAGTGTTCGCATCGCACACGGATTGATAGCGAGGGATTGACGTCGCGGTCAACGACAATTGTCAATTGGACATGGTTCTGTTCTCAGGTGAAAAAGAAAAAAAAAGAAATAAGGACGCGAAACTGGTGGTTGGTTTATATGATTTCAATGTGAGATTTATTTTTTTTTCGCCTTCAAGATCGAATCCCGAAAACGCCGCTAGCGTCACCGCAACTTTGGATCAGGATGAAAATGCAACAGCACGCTGGTCTGAGTAAGAGAATACGGGGTAAATCGGAGAGACCAGCGCATACTGGCATGTATGCTGGCATCATTGATCCGTCTGTACCCGATATAGATATATACACAGATGGCTGACCCGTGGTTCTTTTTCTCTCCCGTTGACTCGGCCGATAACGCTGAAGGTTAACTAGTGTTAGTTATCGAGATGATGTCCTTTCTCGTATTCCGGGCTCTGCATCAGTTAGTTACCATAGTTCTTGGTCCGTAAAGTCCAATGACCTGAATCGTGCAGACGAGGTCGCAGGATAGCCTCTATGGCGATGCTGCAGTTCGTGGTATATAAGAGCGAGCCGATAACATAGGATTACTTGACTATCTCCAAACCCACTAGACTTAATAATAATTAGTGGCTATTATTATTATCCATTATTCTGGTACTTATCGGTATTCTAGCCGGTCGCCCACATTTTCTCTTTCCGCCCCGCTCGGAGAAACTGTTCGCTTTACGACAATCCGATTAACAATCATCCTCAGTTTTGCTACGAGATCATGACATAACGCCATAACGCTGGCATCTTATTCTGTTTCCAGATGCGCATTATTATACATATCCTTCAATATATACTGATCGGTCACAGTCCAAAAGAATAAAAAATAAAATAATAACAAGAAAAACCCTCCGCTCGATGTGGAGAGCACAGGTGGTGGGGCTTGTCGTCTGGAGGCGTACAAGTTCGACTCTTCGGCACAGATGCTGTTGAACGAATGCCGAACTACGGAGTCCCCGCCTGGAAACGGAAATACCCCTCCAGCTTTTTTTTTTCTACGTGGTTGGAAAGCTTTTGGATACTCTTCCCAGATTGTTATTGTACCTGAAGTTGACCCTGGAAGAGGTAGGGTTCCTCCTTGCCCCCAATGCCGAAGATCGTGGTGGCGGCCATCGATAAGACAAGAGCTAATCTGATCGGATTTGATCCAGCCATTCTCCGGTATCATAGTTAACAGGATATCACCATGTCTGCTAAGCTGCACCGCAACCCTCCCTTCCGGGCTGAGCACCTGGGATCTCTCCTCCGAACGGAGGAGCTGATCAAGAAGAGGGCTCAGGTCATGGAGAAGAAGGCGGACGAGTCGGAGCTGGTGCCGATCGAGGACAAGGACATCAAGGAGATTGTCAAGATTCAGAAGGAGCTCGGTTACAAGGCCATGACCGATGGAGAGTACCGACGACACAGTAAGCGAGCCCCCCGAGCCAAAGAGTCCTGTATGCAATGAACCGCTGACAGTCTTCCACTCATCCAGTGTTCTGGGGTTCTTTCTTCCCTGGTCTGGAGGGTTTCGAGGAGGTCGACGATGTTGACATCGAGATCTTCCGTCCCTACACCCCTGATGTTGGTGCTTTCATCGAGGCTGGCCACAAGCCCGGCGAGAGCGTTCTCTGCACGGGCAAGATCAAGCACGTCGGCAGCACCTACGTTGACCAGTTCAAGTACCTGGCCAGCCTCGTTGCCCCTGAGGAGGTCAAGAACCTGAAGATCACCCTGGCTGCCCCCAACTGGTACCACTTGCGCTACCGTGAGGGCCGTGCCTACCCCAAGGAAGTGTACAGCTCCGACGAGGAGTACTTTGGTGACATCGCCAAGGCCTACCAGGAGGAGCTCCGCATCCTCTACGAGGCTGGCTGCAGGAACGTGCAGTATGATGACCCTAACCTGGCCTGTAAGTTTTTTAGTCCATAAGCTGCGGCTCCTGAGTGTGGGATGATGCTAACATTCTGCCCAGATTTCTGCTCTGACAAGATGCTGGAGGGCTGGAAGAATGACCCCCTGAACAAGTACTCTGCCGATGACCTGCTCGACAAGTACATCAAGCTGTACAATGACTGCCTGGCCAAGCGCCCAGCTGACTTCCACGTTGGTGTCCATCTGTGCCGTGGTAACTTCGTCAACAGCCGTCACTTCTCCGAGGGTGGCTATGACCGCATCGCTGTCAAGCTCTTCCAGGAGCTGAACGTTGACACTTACTACCTCGAGTACGACACTCCCCGTGCCGGTGGCTTCGAGCCTCTGAAGGTTCTGCCCAAGAACAAGAACGTTATCCTAGGTGTCGTCACCAGCAAGTTCCCCGAGCTTGAGGACAAGGAGGAGATGAAGAAGCGTGTCCTTGACGCCGCCAAGTTCATTGCCGAGGGTAACAACGAGACTGTCGAGGAGGCTCTGCAGCGTGTTGGTGTCAGCCCGCAGTGCGGTTTCGCCAGTCACCACGAAGGTAACGCCGTCGTCTGGAACGACATGATTGCCAAGCTGAAGTTGGTCCGCGAGATCGCCGACGACCTCTGGAAGGGAGAGCCTTAAATTCGTCATTTCGAATAAAAAACGGCGTTTGAGGGTGGCGGTGGGAACCCAGGGAGCTTATCCGCGGGAAGAAAAAAGGAACGAATTTTTCTTTTCTTTTCTTTTCTTTTTTTTCTGAAATGAACATATAATATTTTCAGTCTCCACGAGTGAGGCCGGCCATCCGCCCTTTCAACAAGCGGCGGCCCTGGCGATATGTGTGGCCCTCGATGAATGCCATGACCCATGTATATATGAAAAGAAGCAATTTAACATTTGATTCCCCATCAGCGTCCTTCGAGGGGGGCGCGTCTTGATCTGCTGTTGGAGAAAACCCTGTTTTGATACCATATCTTGTCAGTGAACACTGCATGATTTCAATTGAGTTCGATATCCATAAAGCCCTTCTCTTGAGTAGATATTTCCAAAAAGAAAAGTATCCTATTGTAGCCCCTCCACGCAGAGAATGAGAATGAACACGACTTAAATAGGCGCTGCGATCTGCTCTAGAAGAACATCTCCGCACTGACAACAAGGTACTCAGTCTCCCAAGGTACATGCAAGGAACAGGTAAGTGCAGCATGAGGTCATGATCTGTCGAAACCTGCAGGATATATCTCAGAGATGACCAGGGCTCTCCACGAATATCTCGCTTCCCAAATTGCAGAGAAACAGGGTCGAGGTGACTTCATGGGGGCTGTACTGATGAATTCGAGGTGTAACGACTACGTAAAATAAAGGAGATGTCGAAGACAAATGTCTTGGTAAAATAATGAGTAAACAGATGATGCATCTAGCCGACTGGAAGTTGGGATATTCGCCGGAACTTTCCCTCAATAGATAGCTAAGTGAAGAAAGAGAGCTGGTAACTTGGGGGTCTTCAATGCACGTGATCTTCATGGTGATCGCCACTTCGATTAATCTAAACTCATCAAGCTACATATGGTGATTGGAGGATTCAGGTTACTACATAGTCGCTATAGAGGTCCGAGATAACGGTTCTTGATAAGAGCAGAACAGGGAGATCGAATTCACCGACTACTTGTCTTTGACTCAAATTTCATACATCACAAGTGTACCTCTTCACTACATGAAAACCGAGAAGAGAAAAATAGAAAAAAGAAAATAGAAGAAAAATACACCTATCCGAAATTTCCACCCTACTATATCTTTGCCCTTTTTCTTTTGAGTGGACGAGAAACCAATGCGCGCAATGATTCGTCATCCGGTGCCTCTTCATTGCCTCTGGAGACCATCGGGTCGACTGTATGGAGGTTACCGTATCGACTCTTGCACGCAAGCTCCCACACAACAAATTCCGAATTCGGTATGAATTTCTTGGGCTTCCCCACGTATTCAACACTCTCTAGATCTACGATGAAACTAGTGGTTCCCATCAGCAATAGCGTCATGAGTATAAATCAAACTAGAAGGATTTACCATCTTTTTGTCTCATCATCCCATATTAGGTTGTGTCTACCGCGATCCATGTGGCGATATCCAAGAGAATAGAACTCCCTGTGAGAAAGCTTCAGCAGACATTCAGATAGAACATGTAAAGCATGAAGGCTTTTCTTACCGTATAGCCCTTGCAGCGGCTATCCTGACTTCATCTCGCTCCTTCAGCGTGAAGGTGTGGAAATTATTCAGATTCCGACCCGGTACCTTCTCCATTAAGATAAACGCAATATATCCACCCGGGACATATTGATCCTTTGTCTGTGTTGATATGCGATAGTCTAGCAGTTTAGGAGTGCAACTGCAGCCTTTCTCTGTGAGCTGCTCAAGGAAATCAATCTCATTGTCTGCCATCCAACTGATTTCATCCTTTGCGAATTTAGAGTGCTCTCTGTCATCATCATCTTCGTCATTGCTGGTGTCAGGAGGGATCCTAAGCCAGGAACAGATCAGTTCATTCGGTCCTTATGTCGATCTCGAGAAGAGTGATGCGAGAATGGAGAACAGATGGAATACTACTCACTGCATTCGTACTCTCAATATCGCCTCCGAACTTTTCGATGGGCCTTCTGTCTGAACAGCAATACAAATCCCGGAGGCTTCGTAAAGGTCGTGCTCTCCGGTGTCCCTGGCATCAAAAACTCTCTCGGTCAAGATCTGCTCAATCTTCCATTCAGTCTTCGTTTTGGGAAAATATATTCGGTAACTGCTTTCGCCTGTTTCGTCTTTACTCTCTGTGAGAATGTCCAACCAGTCTGATTTTCTCGTGAGACCCAAGTCTTCCGCCATCGTGCATTTATTTATGCTCAGGCGAGGTCACAGAGAGGGTGAGGCCAGGTATAAGCATAAGGCTTCTACACTGGCAGAAGTTGCAGTGATAAAAAGTCGGAATGAGAAAAAGAGTGGTATGCTATGAGACTGTGTGCTCAGAAAAGAAGTTGGTGTTCCTCCGTCAAGTGAGGTGTATGTATGTAGGTAGGTACTCTTTGTTCCAGGACCACACTTTAAGTGGGTCCAGCCGCACACTAATATAGGACCTTTCCACCAATTGCATTAGATCCTCAAAACACGACAAGGTATCAACTTGTAGGTGATGATACAACTCCATGGACCCATGCTTCCCGGCAATTTATCTTGTTCTTTCAGATGTTCAACCCGTTTTACTGTCATTCTCTTTATCTGTCCTTTATCTCGCCGAACTAAGACGAGACGACCCGCACGGAAATATGTAGCCTGTTTGGAGGACCAAATTTGCCGCAAGAACAAAAAACAATATCCAATATAGATAAATATAAGTCACACAGATAGTGGGTCAGGTGGGTCAGTAGTCAATTTACTGTGTAGCTATTTGCCATAGATTCTGTAACATGCTATAGTGTCAGGGCTTACAGCTTTAATGGAGGCGAGCTGCAAAACGCCACCACTACCCTATACAAAGGGTATAGAACAAACAACATGAAGCCACCAATTTCCACCAATATAGGATCAAAGCAGACACGCTGGAATTTGGAAACGTTCAGGAATAGTGGTGGAGGCAGTGCTCTAGGCAGCAAGCAATTAGGGGGGAGTCTGTGGGCGTAAAGAGTCGATACATTTTGGTACCCTCTAGTTGTCCAAGCAATTAAGCTCTTATTCCCGTATCAAACACCATTGCAATATCTTTGTTTCTGTGGTCTTAAATCTTTACACATATGATCTAGCAGTTGAGTTTGTCAACATATGAAAAGTTAGGAGATATCAGTTCTGCCATATAGCCCAATGATTATTTCATTCTTGCGCCATGTTAAGACCCAGTAATAATGCAACCTCCCGGCATCTAACAGCTGTAGCGAAAGAAAGTTGCGACGTGTCTCTATTACGTAGATAAAGGATACGGGAATTACCAGCTGCCGCCCCTTTGAACAAACTACAAACAAAAGAGATATTCTGCATGCGGCATACGACGAGACAAAATGCTGGAGCTCTTTGTACATCTTAGAATGGAACCAATGATATGTTTCCATACCTTCACAACATCGAGGACTTGAGATATTGATGAATATGGGAATCGTATCACCACTAGAATATTACAGCAAGAGCGGGCCAGGAAACAGACCCCGCAAGCCAGGATCATGGAGTCACTCTAGAAACGAAAGTGAATAAGTTGCGGAGAAAGTGATCTGAGATATCGATGAATATGGGAAGCATATCACCAGTGGACTATTACAGCAAGAGGAGCTCGGGATGACTTCACAATCCTTGCGGCAAGCCTATGATGTACGGAACTTCAGCTTCTATTTGTAGACACAATGCCATTTCTTTGTAACCGGATATCCGTGGTAGTTATAAATCAATGTTATAACTCATTAGAGCTGGCCTCCATGGGAACTTTCGCATCACACTAAAAAGTTATTCATGCTGATAAAAACCACTTCTAGCTGCACCGCAATATCTTCTTCTCATCTTGGTCTTCTCTTCTCTGAAACTGTTCATATACAGACGTATTCGACTGACACCATGGTCACCACACGGTCGATGGAAAAGGCTAAAAGCAACAGCGGCCAGAAGACGAAAAGCAACAGCGGCCAAAAGACGAAAAGCAACAGCGGCCAAAAGACGAAAAGCAACAGCGGCCGAAAGACGAAGAGGCGTCAACAAACACAGACACCGAATGTGGCCTTCTTTAAGGCACGAGACATAGTCATGTCCTCCTTCCCGGAATGCCTGACAAACGAGCAACATCATGTGCGATCAAGCGCTATACATCGCCTAAAGTACGCTCGGGAATTGGTGCATTGGGTTGACTTTCAGGAGGACGTGCGTCGGACATTTGACTCGATATCTTGGGATGACTATCAGAGACCCCTCGACGTCAAGTTCCATGAAACCACAGGGAATGAAAATGTATTGAGGGAAGAGCATTTCATGTCAGGTAATGAACTCTCGACAAACTCGAGATATGTGCAGCACGTCCTGCACGTTATGTCGGCAATAGCAAAAGAGATAGGCATCGGTGTGTTCTTCGGAGATTGGGATGCAACAGATGCCCGTCAGGCATCGAAGAAAGCGAAGGAGGAAGCGGAGGGGAAAGGGAAGAAAGGGGGGAAAAAGGGGGGGGGAAAGGGAAAAGGAGAGGCTCAAAGTGCTGAAAGCAGCAAGGCACAGAAATCCGAATCGACCGAAGTGAACAAAGACATGGATCTCCAACCCGATTTCGCCCTTATGGATTCCGAGTTTGTCCCCCGCGCAGTGGGTGAGGGTAAAACCCCCTTCAGTCAGCATCAATTCTCGAGGGACGTCAGTGATGCTATCGATGGGCGTGATGATTCTCTACTTAGGAACATTCTTGGTAAGTAGCCCAGATTGACCAGGATTTACACTTAGTATCTGCCGTTTTAATCTGCAGCATCTACCTACCTAGTCATTGAGCAACCCACCCACCCCCCTAATGTGATATTCGAGCTGATAAGCGAATAGGCCAACCCGCACGGTACATGCGCGCTTTCGATCTCAAATACGGATTCATAATGAATTACAAAGACACAATATTCCTTCGGCAGGAGTTTGTGGCGGGGTCCTGGAAGCTCATGTATTCAGACGTGATTCCTCATGACCAGGTATCAACAATAGAGCCTGTCAAAGTATCTGTCAGGGAGGCAATGCTCTTCCTGCAGGCAGTAGCTGCTGGTGACAAGACAGATTGGACCAGCTACAACACTACGCCGCCGGAAGAGTGGGTTAAAGACCTCAAACCAGGAAAGAAAAGGAAGAGGGACTCAAAAGTTGTTGGAGGTGATAGAGGTGAAGCGGAAGGGGAAGAAAGGAATAGCCACAATGATGAGGACGCTGGTAATGACGAACCAGGTCCGTCAAGAAAAAAGAAACGAGTGTCCTTCGAGTGAGAGTAGCCTTACCTGAGGATTTCCGAAAGTGCTTTTCTTTTCTTTCTTTTGCATTTGACAAATTCTCTCTCAAAGGTTTAGTTGTGCGTGTTCGGGTCCCCATGTTGCCATGCTCATCTTTACAGTCCATACTTAGATAACGTCCTAGTAAACACTACCAAAAAATGAATCGTACCAAGTTCTGCCATGCTCAGAAAAATGCCAGTCTCTTCTCCTTTTGCCTAATAGATTAAGATTATTTTCTCAACCCGTAACGTCAACTCTTTAATAAGCTATGTTAGAGGTCCAGGTAGAGTCTCGCCAACTAGGAGTTCTCCTTTTTTGGTCGAGTGGCTGAAAGCCGATAAGCTATTTCCAAGTAACTTTCATGAGGCGAAATTCGGTCCAATATTCCGTCTTGACACACGGTCCGGAAAAGGTCCCGGGCTCGTCCGGCTCTGAATCTCGGAGATGTAAACCGACATTTTAGCCACAGAAGATAAACGCGACTCAACATGCCTCCTGTGCAAATTCTCCCAAGTATGGAGGCTCGTCAAGACATACACACCCAAAACAAAGCCGTAAAAGCGTAAAAGTACAAATCCTGGATCGGGTCCGTCAGTCTGACGGAATTATCTTCTGACGTTCACGAAAACAACGCCACATTGACCGTCCATTTTAAGCATAAATAGCAGCTGCATGGATCTCATCTTCTTTCGTCTCAAAGGTCTCCACTAGGTCTTTTCAATAAATATACGCGGATAGCATCACCCAACCACTCGATATTATACCATTTTCCCTTCGAATCAAAGAGGAGAATCAGCGACAAATACACATCGCAATGCCTCAGTACAGAGTGGGACAAGAAGTTCGCTACAAACCCGTTGGAGGTAAGACATCGTTTTCATAGCAATCATATACCTCTCTGTATATACTGATCTGACATTTACATATCAGGCCCCGCCTCCCATACGTCTGAAAGCGTAGGCGTCATCCGAGAGGTTATCACGGAACCTGGGAATCTCACGAATCGAAATGTCGAAGCTTCGAGACAGAATCCACGATACGAGGTATGTGCTACATTCCCGCTTTGGGGATCCGCGCGTTTCTCTGGGCTTGAGAAACGAGGATCTCTTTCGCGGGAAAGAAACAAGTCTTCTTCTTTTCTTAAGAAGAAATGCTAATTCAAGGTCCATTCCCGACTCTTACATCTTCCAGATCGAAAATATGCACACGCATAAGAGATCCGCGATTAAGGAAGAAAACATCATTGAACCGTGTTAAGAAAGGAAGGGTTTCGGGTCATGGATTGGAAGGCAGTCTGATTAATGGGGCGTTGTGTAAAGGAATAAGGCGCCTGGGTTTAATGTGCTAAGGCTGGACTTCGTTATCAATCGAATAGCTTGAAGTTTTCACTCACGTCTTTGGTCTCCAATGCTATGGCATAGTAACGGTGGTACTTACACCAAGGCTACGTAAGAGTCTACTATAACTAGTACTACTTAGGTAGTACGTAGTAGCTTCATGAAGGCAGCTAAACTCCAAACTCCTCCACCTCTGAATTAGATTATGCGCTAAAGACATCTACTCCGTAGTCTAGTCGGGATCAAATAAGCGCCGGAGGAACGTGCTCTATATTCTATGGTACGTGGCGCGACGCGTCGATTTTGGCAATCAATTAGTGAGGCTAACTAAACTACCATAGACTAGACCTGTGTACTCGAGTCACTGTTTACATTATATCACTATTATCCACGGATAGGAAAAGAAGAAAAATCCATTTTGTCTATCTATCGCAACTAATCTTTGGTAATTCATCCACTTATTTGTTCGTTAGTCATCTTCCCATCCCGCAGGCTATCTTGCGTTCTGTACCGCGATGCCTCCCAAAACACGTGGTGGAAGCACCAGAACACGCGGTGGAAGCACCAAAACCAACGCGCCGAAAAAAGGACGCATCACAAAGCGCGCTCCCAATAAACGTACAACCAAACCAGATACCGTGATATCGTCTCGACAAGCTAGAGAGCTATCTCCCGAGGAACTCTGCTTCTTGCGGGGTCCAAACGGACCCCCGACCTACGACCATTTAGGTTATGAACTCGACTATCACAAGGTCGCTGGCTCATTTTGCCGCCGTGGTCGTCCAGGAACTCAAGCCTATACGGATATGCTAGAGCGGGATGAGCGAGAGAAAAACCGCAAAGCAGATATCATGGGTGGTCCTGAATGGAACCAGCGGTCGGCTATGACGTTGATGTTATGGACTGACCGTGTTGCGCGAGATCTGGGCATCCCATACCATAAGGTGAAGATGGAGCAATTTGAGGAGTGGCATGCCAAGGGGTTCCGCGCAAACGGGGAGGAGTTTATTGCAGCGAATGTGTCGCCAGAAGAGCAGGATAGGGTGACAGACTTGGCAACAGGGAGTGCATTTAGGAAGTAATTATACATTAAGATAGTGAGATCTATCTGATAATCTAGGTAATAACATATCAAGCGCACCAGTGCGAAAGCTTCGAGAAAGAACATAAGAACAAGACAGAATCAAAGACCAACTCAGACTGAGGGACGCCGATGTAGGTCTTCTATTATGGATATTTTATCTAACTAGACGACTTTAGGAACAACCAACATATATTAGGCGATAAATGCGACAAATTGAGGGATACTCATTGCAATCCACATGAAAACAAGAGGGATATCATAGAAAGAGAAAGGGAAAATCAGGGGTGGAAGCACATACACATAGGGAAAACTGCGGATACGCGATGAAAGCAAACCAGATGCTGCGTCGTCTGTCATGAGAACAAACATAATACCAAGGAAATTATTTGCCGAACGGGATTAGTTGTACACGAGGCTGTCTGCAATTATGCCTCTGCGGAAGTGCGCGATGGGGTTATTAGGCGTTTGTGACCATTCGACTGTAAATATGGTCTATTTCGGGGGCTGAGTTTTGACGTTGTTCGAAAGCCAAGCCTGTGGATAATATATAAGTATGCCGCATACTTTTGTGGAGGTAGAATACAACTTACCAGGCCCTCGAAGATTCCCGTGCCTTGCGTTGCAACGCTAGGAACCACGTACCACAGCTTGTCCTTCAGCTTGGTGAGCTGGAGAGCGTTGGTGACATCCTCCGGGCTCATATCTGCGGTAAAGCCATGTTAGCAACGAGAACGTGGCGTGATTTACAGTTCGAGACGTACGGCCTTCAATATCCTGCTTGTTGGCAAAGACCAGCAACAGTGCATCCTTCATTTCGCGGTCATTGATGATCTTGTGCAGTTCCGAGCGTGCCTCTTCCATACGAGCGGTGTCGCTCGAGTCAACCACGAAAATAAGACCTTGGGTTCCTGCAACAGACGGATATCGTTAGCATTCGCGTTCCGCCGGCGGCACGAATGAGCACAGCGCATACCGGAATAATAGTGTCTCCACAAAGGACGAATCTTGTCCTGACCACCGACATCCCAGACATTGAACTTGACGTTCTTGTAGGTGACGCTCTCGACGTTGAATCCGACGGTGGGGATGGTGGTTACGTCTTGGTTGAGCTTCAACTTGTAGAGGATTGCTATAGAGATACATTAACAGGCCGCTCTGTCAGTCGCTCTCGATTCAAAGCACCACCTACTTGTCTTTCCAGCCGCGTCCAGACCCAGCATGAGGATACGCATCTCCTTCGATCCGAAGATCTTGGCCATCACCTTTGATACTTGGCCACCCATTTTGCCTGGTTGCGCCGAAACCCTTGATTAGCGAAATTCGATCAAATAATCGCGAAAAACAATTCTCTGCCCGTCTGGCATGAAGACATGAAGGCCAATTGGATCTAGTCTATGGCAGATGATCGACCAGATGGCACGAGATTGAAGAAAAAGAAAGCAAACTGCGAGCTCTAGCGAGATTGACAAACTTGCCATGGCCCGCAGGACGCGCGACCATACTACTTACCCAAATACTCGACACAAGCTCCACTCCAAAGGTTTCCAGCTAGAAAAAGCACGAAAGGGCGCACGGCAATGACCTGCGACTCTGGTGCGAAGTGACTTGGCGAAAGGGAAGCCTCAGATCAGCTCCAGGTACTCGAGATGAGAGAGAGAAAGGCCGTGGAAAGCTCCCCAGACCATCGCGTTCGCAAGCCAGGGGAACAGCGGGGGCAGGTAAAAGGGGCTCCTGCTGACTAAGGCCCCGCGCGCTCACGCCAAGACGACAGCAGGTTTCAGTTGTCGATACAGCGATAATTCTAATTACAGCCAACATAAGTTACTGTTGTTGTTGTTGTTGTTGTTATTATTATTATTATGATTACGACTGTTATTATTCTATTATTATCATCTTGCCTCGAGTAACTATCAGCTGTTCAGGGGAAATTTCATCTCCCTGTCACCTCATCCTTGCATCGTGAAACATCTCCCATCAGGCGCTCCCGGCGGGACGGACCATTGACCAACTCCACGTTGAACCAAGACCAAGACCCTTGTTGGCCTTATCGCGGCCTCACCTCTGCTGCTTCCGTATGCACGCACCGGCTGGCTTCATCCACGCTGGTCACGCGGATGAGGAAGAAAATAATGTCGACCTGTTTCCGTCGTATAACTTATGCATCCTCAACTTGTTTGTTCCAGTGTTCGATGGAGAACTGGTTGGTTCTGTACGTCATAGGCGCAAGGATCGTGAAGTCATCCCGAGCTCCCGGCCCGATCTTGCTGTAATATTCAAGTGGTGATATGCTTCTCATTATTATCCATCGATATCTCAGATCACTTTCTCCGCAACTCATTCACCTTCGTTTCTAGAGTGACTCCATGATCCTGCGCGTGCGGGGTCTGTCGTACTTTATAATCAATTGAGCCTCTGCGCGTCAACCCGTGGGTACAAGAATACAGATAGTACAGTACATAGATCAACCCCGCACCAGACGAAGCAGAAGACAAAGCAGAAGACACATTAGCCATCATGTCTCCAGAGCAAGAAACCTTCCAGCGGCGCGGATCCGTCTATCAGCAGCGTCGTCTGAGCCAGCATACTATGAAGAATGCCTGGACCGGTCCCCCGCTAGAAGTATGAGCAGTTCTTCTGAACCATAGAATCTCCTGGCTCCAAATCCTATGGGCTAACTAACAGCACCGCAGACAATCTATGCAGGAGTATCTGCAACCTTCCATGACGGCCAAGCCTCAACGATTGCCATAGCTGTGCGGAATGCCACCTATCTGCTGGATTTCTTGGAACGCCATTTCGAGCCTGGCGAACGTGCTTCCGGCGCGGAGATCACCGGTCTGATCATCGAGCAATTGAGACAATACAGCGAGAATCAGCTAGAGAAGTTCATCGGTGTAGCTATTCCGGCATCGTTGGCGGAGAAGTGTCCGACGCTCTGTTCGCGGGTATGGGCCGAGTTGGACATCGTACCAATCATCTTCCGCGAGAACAAAGCTTTGGACGAGCCCCAGAACAGGAGATGGGAAGCCAGAAGTGTGGATGAACAGGCGGAGTCTATGGCCAGAAAGTGTGTCTGGTATGTTTTTCTCGCGCTCTGAAAGAGGTGGGAATGGACTGTTGACGGATATCAGCTTCTTCGGTCCCAACAATAATCCCTTGTTGCAAGTGGGCTACCGGGGGATGGTCGAGGTCGACGCAGGCTTCAATATCCGCCTAGTATCTCTGCATGATTACGAAAAGACAGTTGGCCACTTGACATGGAAGGCTGTCAAGCACTACGCTTCCGATCTCCAAGACAGGAAAGTCAAGATTGCCTTCTTCAGTGCAACACCTCAGGGTGGAGGTGTAGCACTGATGCGGCATGCTCTGGTCAGATTCTGTCATGAACTGGGAGTTGATGCTAGATGGTGAGCTCCTTACTCGCATTTTTTTTTCTTCTGCGCACGGGGGGTATGAGCTAACAAAACGGCAGGTATGTGCCAAAACCGCGACCTGGAGTGTTCCGCATCACGAAAAACAATCACAACATCCTCCAAGGTGTTGCACTTCCTGATGAGAGACTCTCACAGCAGAGCAAGGATTTGATCGCGGAGTGGATCAATGAGAATGCCAAGCGGTACTGGTTGTGCGAAGCTGGACCGCTGGTTCCACCTGAACAAGGCGGAGCGGATGTTATCATTATCGATGACCCACAGATGCCAGGCTTGATTCCACTGATCAAGAAGATCACTCCGAACAGACCGGTTATATACCGTAGCCATATCCAGATCCGGAGCGACCTCGTTGCCATACCGGGATCCCCACAGGCGGATTCTTGGAACTGGCTCTGGGAGAGTATCAAACAGGCAGACCTCTTTATCAGCCATCCTGTGAGTGCATTCGTGCCACACAATGTACCCAAAGAGATAGTCGGCTACATGCCGGCATCAACGGACTGGTAAGTTGTTCCATCATCCCGTGCGAGAGATGGGAAACTCACTGCTCTCACCAGGCTCGATGGACTTAATAAGACCATGAGAGATTGGGACATCGCCTTCTACGGCCGGATCTTCAACGCTTCCTGCAGAAACACTGGAATGCCCACAATCGACCACCCTGACGGCAAGTAAAGCGATTCTCTTTCGGAATTTATGCTAACTCAACTGCACAGACGAATATATCATCCAGGTCGCGAGATTCGATCCGGCCAAGGGAATCTTTGACGTCTTGGAATCTTACGAAAAGTTCCACAAGCGGTTGATGGACGCTGTGCCCGCTGCTAGACCGCCAAAGCTACTGATTTGCGGACATGGCTCGGTCGATGACCCTGACGGAAGCTTGATATACGATGCGGTCGTCGAACACATTGAGAAGAAGGTTCCCCATCTTGCCAAGTTCATCTGTGTCCTACGGCTGCACGCTTCGGACCAAATCTTGAACGCACTTCTCTCCAAGGCCAAGATCGCACTTCAGCTGTCCACACGGGAGGGTTTCGAAGTCAAGGTTTCAGAGGCAATCCACAAGGGCAAGCCCGTCATTGCTACTATGGCGGGTGGAATCCCACTCCAGGTTCAGGATAAGAAGACCGGTTTCCTAGTGGATGTCGGTGACACCGACGCTGTGGCACAGCATCTCTTTGACCTGTGGACAGACCAAGAATTTTACGGCCGGGTGAAGACTCACGCGCTGAACAACGTGAGCGATGAGGTCAGTACGGTGGGTAATACGCTGTCATGGCTTTACCTCGCATCAATGCTGTCAAAGGGCCACAAGATCGAGCCCAACGAGCGGTGGATCAACGATATGGCGCGTGAACATGCAGGCGTGCCCTACCCAGAGGATGAGACCAGACTGAAGAGAGCAGTCGAGGTCGCCAATATGCGGTAGAAAGGGATATGGTTAGCAGAGGAAGTATAGGGATGGTTTACATCCATGGGTAAGGGGTCACGTTGAAGATATCCTCTCAATCCAAATTAGTCCACATAATGTTGAACATATGAACGACAAGTAGACAACTATCAGAAGGCCTTAAAGAAAGTCAATCCAGCCAGATTGCAGAATCTTTAGTTTAAGCATCAGGAGAACTCGTTCGCAGGGTATCTTAAAATCACACAAAAAGAAAGAAAGAAAAAAATAATGGAACATCGCAAATCTCCACAACAACCCCAAAATGCCCTCCCGGGCACAACAGATGATAGAAGGACCCATCATATCCTCCACGACCAGTCAGGTGAAAAAAAGCAAGAGCAAGGTATCGAACTATATCCTGGAGTATAATTCCTCCTACCTCCCCACAAGCCTATACCTCTCTCTCGCCAACCCTCCTTCCGCCCCCTCAACACCATACCCTTCTCCAACCTCACCCACAATCCTCGCCGGAGCACCGCCCACCACACACCAGCTCGGAACCACCATCCCCGGAGGCACGACCGCGCCATCAAGTACGTACGCGAAATCTTTCAGAATCGCCATACTTCCCACGACCGCTTCCCGACCAATATGCACATGATTCCCCACCGACGCGGCCTCCACGACAGCTCGCTCCCCGACAAAGACATGATCGCCGATCTTAAGCGGATAGAAAGAATGCACGCCACGATTCAGCCGCGATGGCGGACGCAGGATCGCTTGTTTCGAAATATAACTGTATCGCCCGACAGTGATAGCTACCGAGGGCGCGGAGGATGATGATTGCGGTGCTGCTGCGGAGTCGTCGTTGCCGGAAGATGATTGAGGAGGTGGTGCGACTCTGTACAAGTCGCCACGGATCACGGCGTCAGATTGAATCACTGTTTTTCCACCGAGGATGATATGTTGTGTGCCGTGGATGAGGGAGCGGCGGGAGATTTTATTTCCTGTATCCTGGTAGTTTGGGGGAACGGAAGTGATTAGTTTTGGGCTTTTGTCTTTTTTCTCTGAGTAGGTAGGGGAGCCAGGTGGTTTGGGTTTGGGTTTGGGTTTGGCTTACTGTTTCGATATACTCTCCCTTGACTGCTTTGGGAGGCATTGTGAAGGATGAGGATGGGCTTCTGGAACGTAATCTGCGGTACGCGTGTTTTGTGTTTATTCCAAGCGGATGATAAGTAAGACATGATTCAACTTTCTGGAAGCTCCGGGGTAGATAAACTATCATTACTGCCGCTGCTTGGTCCTTGCGGGGAGGAAGGCGGTGAGCAGGACTTAAGGGGATCTTGTCTCCCATACATAAGTACCTACTTAGGAGGTGCAAGATCTTTGAAACCATTTAGTACATTTTTTTTTTCCAAGATGGTTGAAGGTCAAGCGTTGCAGCAGCTATAAATAACTAATTGCAGCGTACATAACTATTATGAGGCATAGCTAGCTAGAAACAGAAACAGAAATCACAATCAGGTATCACCAAATAATAAATTATCATTCCCATCGACTATCCTCTTTGCTTGTCATTATCATACCTCAACTAGTTACGTCCCAATGAGGTGGACCGTCTCTTCAGCGGAGGCATGTCACCATCCCAGTGTACTTTCATAGCTATTATTATAGTCAGCATACACCACTCTAAAGTAACCCTGAAAAATAGGAGAACTTACTTAGCGGGAAGACGAAGTAGCCTCCATGATCTTCACGCATGTAGATGTAGAAACCGCCCGGACGCGGGATCTTCTTGAGTTGTCCTTGAGCGCCTGGGGCACGTCGGAGGTTGTCCAGTCCGCCCACGACGCGGAGCATAGCAGTCAAGGCGACTTGGCTTGCCTCCTTGCCTAGGCACGTGTGAGGTCCGACACCATAGTGAATGTAGGAATCCAAGGGACGATCGAGGCGGACCTCATGCGGGTTCGGGAACACCTTAGGGTCGCGAGCGGCGCCAACCTGTTTCGAATTAGAAAATGAAACCCGGGACAAAAGATAGTAGTATCATAGACATACGAAGCTGACGAAGACTTTGTCTCCAGGCTTGATGTTCACTTGACGACCGTCATCGTCAACAGTGAGGTGAGTAGTGGATTCGCGGTAAGAGCCGAATGTGCCGTTGAGACGGATACCCTCCATGCAATAATGGAGCAGCTTCTCATCAGATTCTGGTGTATTCTCCTTTGCGAGTCTGTTAATATCAGGAAGATGAATCTTTCCCTCATCAGAGAGATAGTAGTCCAGAATTTGAGTGAACTATAGACCTTGATCAGCCGATATTTCTACATATACTGGGGTTTTAAATACTTACCACCTGGGACTGATTCGGAACCATTGCAACTGCAGTAGGCAGGATCTGAGACCAAGTGATCTCGGAAACACCCAGTCCGCTCTCGAGAAGTCTGCGGATCATGTGGATACCATAGTCCTCGAGAGCGTTGTGGTTGCGGCGAAGGCCGTCAATAAAACTAGATAGGAAGCCTGTCGCGCTGACTGACTTGACATTCGCCTCCACAATCTTGCCCAGCTGTTGCGCAACAGCACGAGCGGCATGTCGCAGGGGGAAGGACTTGGCAGGGTCCAGATCGAAAAAGATGCATGTGAAGATGACAGCCATGATCATGTACATCTCGTGCTCGGTGAAGATACCACGAGGATTCTCCTTTGTCTTCAATGGCAGAGAAAAGATGTTGGAAGCGAAATGCACATGGGCAAGGTTGCCAACACTGCTCCTGTTAGCATCTGCTAAACAACGTAAGATATTGGATCCGGGGTAGAACTTACTCTCGCGTGATATCAACCTGATTAATTCCGGCAATCTTGCACGACTTCTCCTGGAGAAGGCTCAAGGTAGTTTGCTCGTAGAACTCCTTGACGTGCTTGTGCCACTGGTCTCGGTAGAGGGACTTGCTCATAGTTTCACGCTGCTTTGCATGGAAGGATGTATCCCCAGACAGCATAAAGTCCAGACCACCTTTACCGAAGAGGAATCCGGTTGCCTCGCCCCAAGTGACGCGGAAGTCCTTTGCATTCTCCAGGATGATCTTGGCTGCTGGGTAAGATGTCAAATTCACTCTCGGAGGAATCAAAGCAGGACGATCCCAAGAATAGTCAGATTCTCGGCCGAGATTCTTCATGATGACCTTGTTCTCACTGGGGATGGTCATGGGATAATGAGCATAGATAGAATCAGGCTTGAAGTAGTGCGGGAACACGCGCAACATCAGCTTATAGAAAACGCAACCCTGGTTGATATTGAGGTCGTAGGCAACCTCGTTCCAACCCCAGTTTGTCAGGTTCTTGGGGTGATGGTCGATCTAAAGGGATTGGTCAGTTCGAAGCTTATAGAAGCAACTGATCTCCTAGAAACATACAGTATAGAATCTATCTCCACGAACAAGGGCCACTGCATCGGACAGAATGGCACGAGAGATAGTGTAGGTAGGAGCAATACCGACACCTGGCACCATGGGATACTTGGCTTCCTCGGACACAATACCGGGATAGAGCTCAACGTAGTCAGGGTGCTCATATAGATGACGAAGTTGATCAGCGACTTCAGGATCGGAGTTGATCTCCTCGAAGGTCTCGTATGGCTTGAGATTAAAGAACTTGCGGAACTCATTCAGCGACCCAACCTGCCATTTACGGGCTTGCTGGATACCCAGAATCTCGATGGCTCGAAGCGCCTTAGGGACGTTACGGGCACCAAAAGAACCTATGATTTGTAAGTAAAATACCGCATATGCCGCGATCAGTACTCACCAGCAACATCCTCGATTGCATCCGTTAGGATCTTCACCAGTTCCTCGTCCTTGAATGTTCCATCTTCCTGACGTTGAAGATGGGCGAAGGTGCGCTTCGAGGGGTCCTTGTCCAAAGAGCTCTCGTACTTGCCAAGACCAATCAAGAGTTCCTGCATGGAAACCTCGCTCGCTGGCTTTCCAAATAGCTCCTTGTAGACATTTTCGGTCCACTCTTCATCTTTCGCGCTGGTTGCAGAATGCCAACGGTAAGCAAGGTTGAACTCAACAGAGCACTGGTTACCTAATCCTTCCGGAGTAGTCTCCTTTCCTCCTTGCTTGTCCATTCTTGCACGTGGATCCTACTGCCGTTAATATATGAAGCCAATTATGCACAGGAATTGCACCACTTACCAAACACCAGGTGGAATTGCTTCTGTTCAGATTGATAATTGTGCGCAGATAGTCATACAGGATGATGTTGATGTAGAGTCCGCAAGTGACGCTGTAAACGTATTAGAAGAAGCTTCGGTTATGTTAGCTCCGGTGCTTACAGTCTTCCAGTCTGGAACAAGTCTTCATCATATTTAGCCCACGCCTTCTTGGCTGCCTCCGGCGCAAGGCCGTCCCGGGGCTTAGTGAATCGACCATTTTCATTTATCATGGCCAGTTGCTCGACAACATAGTTATGGAATCTGCGTGCTGTCAGTGACCCTGTCGATTTATGGGATAATTGGACTTCCTTGCCTGTTCAGCATAACCAGGAGCACACAGCAAGCTGCAGGGAATGCCTGAAGACGAGGTTCGGAGAAGCTGTCCGGCTTCAGTTTTCCATCCTTGAATGTTCGTATCATATCTTGCTCTTCCTTGACGTCACCATAGAGAGTAGATAGATCTAGGTAACCTGAAGTCTTTGAGAGATGAGGATTTCTGTGGTCTGTTTGGAAAATATCTACGTGGTGTTAGAGCTAGGTATAACAGAATATTGAGCAGTGCATACGTACCATGGATGACCAGCGATGCCCAGTCAAAGAAGAGACTGGAGACCTTGTTTGGATGAGGCGTGAACTTTTCTCGAGCAAATAGACTATCGAAAATCAGCCCGGGGTCGGGCAATGCTCCGGGCTGGATCGTCGATGGAGGAATCGATCGAGCATATGGAGTATTGGCAGCTCCTAGCCATGGTAGGGTGGGGTTGTTGTTAGATCCATCAGCAGATCTGTAGGCATATTCGTCTCCCATGTACCTGTAGAAGCCTCAGTATTCCGCTCCCATCGGAAACATGTATATAACTCACGAGAGTGGTGGGTGCGGAAGAGCCGTCCAGAGTTCATCCAAGAAAGCATTGGTGAGCTCGGTGCGATTTTTGGAGTGAGATGGAAGACCGCTCACGAGCTGCCATAGTTTCAGTTATACAGAAAGTAATGAAGATGACGCAAGCTTCGTACTTGAATGATTCTCTCCATAAGCATAGTCTTGTCATCCACATATTCGCCCTTGGCCTTGTTCTTCATCACATCTTTCAAGGTATTAACATCCTTGAAGCCAAGAGACTTCAGATCTTGAAAAAGACCACTGGAACCATCGGTCTCAAGGTACGTTCCATCTCCAGATTGAGTTGGAAGTGGTCGGCGCGACGCATGTATAAGCTGCGCATACTTCTCGAATGTAGCTGCTACTTCGCTTCGCTTGACGCCATGTTCTTCCTCCCGTGAGTTTCGAGGAGAACGCTTGTGGTTTTGCTTCCCGTTGGCTTGAACGCCATTTTCTTTGGATGAATTGTCCCCTTTGGACTTCCTGAAAGTGGATGAAAACCTGCGCATCATTGTGCCTGCAGTTAGGGTTTCTGTGACGGCACACAAGAATTAGGAAATTGGGATAAGGCTCTTCTTCCATAATCTCCCACTTTGAGTATTTAAAAGAACCCCGGAAAGAAAGCTAATAGCCTGGGAGTGGACCATTTCAATAGCAGACTCAAGCCACCAATACCGGACCGTCTATTTGTCGCAACTCCATACAATGATGTGCTCCGTGTCAGTACTGAGAGCTCCGCCAATCCTGGCCACAGTGGATACCTGCTCAAGCCCATCGTGAACAAATGAGATCACAGATATAGCTGCTCCAATAGAACAAATTTTGATGATCAGGGTGCGACCCAAGCTCCCTCGTGATGGTCATCCACTGATTCCATGTCCAGCTGGAGCTGTATGTGGGAACTATGGCAACCAATAGTTCCAGTAGATCGTAAACGCGAGGGGTACACCCAGCAATTCATTGTCCGGCTCTGCAAGCCACGCGGAAGACCTAGCCCACGAAGGTAGCTTATTATTTATGACCAGTATGTTTCCCTTCTCATTCTAGAATCCCTGCAGGAAAGGCCATGTAGTGCCGAAGAATTAACCGCCAGGTGAGATCCGGGTCAACAGAACATAATTGTTAGTCAACGAGAACAGTCAATGGCATGCAGTTGGTAACATTGACCGCGGGGCATTCCAGTCTACATAGCTTTCCCGTGCACCATAACTGCTGAACAAATGACCAGCTGAGAGAATCCTCTAGCTATGTGCATTGAGTAGCCGACCATGATCACTAAAATCCCGATGCTAACCTTGCACAACTTCGCTGTTATCTTTGAACTAGTGTGGATAATGCGTAGGAGGCTGTCTGAGAAATGAACGACGATCCAAATTCTCCACCACTAAACTCAAAGAGACCTTGAGGCTTGAAGATAATTCAGAAAGCTCTGAAGCAGGTCATAGATAGAACTATAGTTGTGACTAGCGAATAAAAAGCGCCGAGATGGTCTGCTATCTCATATTAGCGCGACATTCAGGTGGCACGGTGTTCTGACTCCAGTAATAATCGGGGTGATCAGATCAGCGTGTGGTCTGGTTTTCAGCTCGCCATCGAGATGCTATGAAGATCAGATCGTCCCAGGGGACCACGAGCCGAGCTTGTTCAACGAATCGAGAAGCGGGTGTTTTGTCCTGACCTCGTTTGTGGTCACCGTTATTATTCATAGCAGTTCGCGGAACGGTGGAGCAGACCGCAAGATCTTCTCTCAAGCCTTAGTTGGGCTTCCAATGACAACGCCTGCTCAAGTCTGGGGCGATCGGGTGCGCCCGAGTCCCGGCCGGACTGATATCGCTTTTACCATAAGATCATTTAGCTCCGTAGTTCGTTACCCGCCAGCCGGGATCGTTCGTTGTCCCCGCAGGTGGAGTTGGGTTTGTTTACCCCATCCACCATGTTGTACTGTATTTTGCTGATATCCAGATCCGAGTACGGAGGAATAATGGCTCCACTCCCACAACACATATGAACCTCCTTCTCATCGTCAGTGGCTAGCAATTCAAATCATGCTCAGTAATCCACTCGCACTCACTGGAGTCCACTCCCTTCGGTCCGAGCTCCAAGCGGCCCTTGCGTCTGGGCTCTGACCTAACCTCATATTTGGGTCGAGGTTCAATTGTTCATGCATGCAAAAGCCCTGGTGGCATAGCTTCCTTGAAGAAAGCATCCCCGAACAGAAATCAGAGTGACGATCCTTAGACCCCGACGCATGTTGCCATTTGGCTCGGGTCGCTGGCCAGCGTGCTAACGAGGACCTACAGTAAAGGCTTCGGCAAAATCCACCGTAAAGATTTGTCATGCATCTTAATATCGGTGGAACGTGGATTGGATTTCATACTGATGCGAGAGTGTTCGCTTACTCAGTTCGCGACGGGATTTCCAAAGTTTCAAAAGGTACTGGCTGGATCTCGTGGCATGAATTCCTGTATTATCGCTCTCCTATTTGCCAACAGCGCTGAGTGAGATCTAGCGAACAAGGCTGCCCATTTTCCACCTTGCGCGCAGAAATGGGTTTCTCCTCCAGCCATGCCGGTCCACATCTGCACTCAAGGCCCCCGGTCTGACTTCACGAGGTCATTATTGAGGAACATTGGCTGTGCTGATCAAGGACCCGGCAATATGGGTGTTTTCTATTCGCACACCCTTCGGAATGAGTGTGCACAGTTCTGTAGATTGTCCTCTGATTCGCCGGTACTCCGTTTCGTGCAAAGCTGTAGAGAGTAAGACTCGTATTTCCCTATATAACGGCTCTTTGCGCTATATCTGGCTCTTAGCAGGCACCGTTCTCCGACTCCTTGGCTTGCATTTTCCTGTGCCAGGCCCAAGTAGATTCTAGAGGGATCAGGTTCTTTCCTTGTCTCCCTGTTACCAATATGGCGACCGTTGGTCCTGCCCTTCCCCCGAAAACTTTCGTCTTGTGTTTTGATGGCACAGGAAATAAGTTCTCGGGCGATGAGTCTGACAGTAATGTGCTTAAAATCTTCCGCGTAAGTTTCCGTCTACTAGCAGGTTAGGCCAATGGTTAATTCGCTGCCCAGATGTTGGACCGCAATCGGGGTAATCAGTACCATTATTATCAGCCTGGAATCGGTACATATGTAACAACCACGTCCCTTTCCAACCATGGAACCTTCCATCGCATCAAATCAGCGTATATGAAGGCGAAGGATTCAGCAATTGGGTCGTCATTCGATGATCATGTCATGGGTGGATATAAATTTCTGATGCGGTATTATACGCCCGGGGATGACATCTATTTTTTTGGCTTCAGTCGAGGTGCCTATATTGCCCGCTTTCTTGCGGAAATGCTTGACTATATTGGTCTCCTGGAGTCTGGGAACGAGGAATTGATCCGGTTTGCATGGAAGACATTTGCCAAATGGCAACAGAGGGCTGGAGACACCGAAGAGGATCGTAAAGAGAAAAAGAAGTTGTTCAATTACATGAAAGCCTTCCGCGAGACGTTCAGTCGGCCTGTCAGTCGCATCAGATTCATGGGTTTATTCGACACGGTAAACAGTGTTCCACGATTTGAGTCTGCTTGGATGCAACGCAGCAAGTTTCCATACACGGCTCGAAGTTCCGCAAGAGTCATTCGTCACGCCGTTGGAATCGACGAGCGCCGTGCGAAATTCCGCCAGGATCTGATCTCAGAAGCTAGACCTTGGAAGGAATCTAATCACCATAGGCATTACTGGAGGAACAAACTCCACACGGATGGTACAAAGCACCAGGAAAAGCCAGAGGTTGTTCCCACGATCGTGCTCAATGACAATGACAATCAAGAGACCGCAGCCAGGACACAGGGAAAGCAGCGGGGTCACGATGACAGCGATTCAGTATATCGCACTCCGCATAGCTCCCGACCTGGCAGTCTGCACAACGAACAGAGATACCGACCTCCATCTCCGAATAGGAACGCTGGCCTTGAAGTCCCAATCCAGGCAGCCTCGACGGAGGACCTGGCTTCCATTCGCAGCGGCGTCTCTGGGACCTCACTCCAGGTTCCCGGTTTCTCCTTTGATGCTAACGAAGATGAGACTGCTCAAGATATCGTGGAAGTATGGTTCCCTGGTGGCCATGCCGATATTGGAGGTGGTTGGAAGCTGGCAGAAGGCGAGGTCTGGCCACTTAGCCACGCTCCTCTCGTTTGGATGGTGCAAGAGGCGCAAAGAACGGGACTCTCCTTTGATCCTAAGAAACTCAAACAGTTCGAGTGTTGCGAGGAGTACTCGGGGGACTTCTCCCCTATCAGCAGCCGAAGCGTCAGCCCTGACCTGACGGCAGAAAATAGCGAGAAGAGGACTGAGAGTTATCAGGCGCGGTATGGTGGCAGTCGCAAAATGGATCAGTCCATCTTAAGTTATAACTTCCACGAGGCACTGCGCCTTTCCAGCACCAAGGGTCTGCTTCACGACTGTCTCCAGTTCGGAGCCGGCTTGCCCTTCTCCTCTGTTCTCTCGTGGCGCATAATGGAATATCTTCCATTTCGACGTATGGATCTTCAACCGGATGGGTCGTGGAAACCAATTCGATGGCCTCTTCCGTGTGGAGAAGTGCGTGATATCCCATCAGATGCACAGATCCATGTATCTGTTATCCGTCGCCTGCAAGCAGATCCTACTTACCGCCCTGGCAATCTCATCGTGGGTGGAGGTGGTCGGGGTGTCAGAAAGGCCCCAGAAGAGTATGGTATAGGTGAATGGGTTATATTCCAGAATGAGGGAGACCCGGTCAGGGAGACCTACATCCGGAAGAGTCATTCTAAAAGGTGCAGGGATGACCACTTGAGTAGATGTCTCGAGATTGGTCATTGATTGAGACCTTCGTGATTGTCTAGCCCATGGAAGTCCGGCTCTAGCAGATAGGGGGCGCAATGATATCTTTTCTTTCTTGTGGTTACTGGAGTGATGAATTTGTTATATCCATGTTCCTTCGCGATTTGACAATCAGGCACTTTTTTTCATAACGAGGACGAACCTATTTGGCATGATGAATCTGTGAGCAATTTGGATATGCTTAGTGGCTCTTGTAACTAAATAATCTTAGGACCTACCGATGGTCGATATTATCACATGAAGCATGATGTCAACGAGATCGCACTTCAGTTAGTTTAGAGGGAATATTTCACGTATCGAGCAAAGATCTTACGCGAGTCTACATGCGTATGTGTAAGGAAAAGAGGAAGAGATGTCTCTGCTGTCAGTGATTGCCTGGTCTCAGGGAAGGCTGGCCGTGAAGCTTTCAAGAGGCTGATAAGATCAGTAGTGTGCAGTCTCAACCTCGCCATCTCTCTTTCAAAAAGAGAAGGAGGAAAAGGGAACAACACTCGGTGCATTCGTACGGAGTATTATTTGATGCGGTGAGGCATGTTTCACCGAACTATTATCGAAAATTCTCCAATAGTAGTCCACTATGGTCATAGCGGACAGTTCAGAGTCTCGATTGCCACAGTTCGTTCTGTCGCTCAGCGGAGAGGCAAAATCCAGCGCCATCGGCGGGAATCGCCCCTTACCACGAGGCATGCCCAAGATGCCATTGGATGTAAGACAGACCGCTCTCATGGATAGCTTGTCGAAGTCCAGACGTCCAGATAAACGCTAGAACGATGGTTTCTCCTGGCGACGAGAGGCTAATGCGAGCACCCGTCCAATGCCAGAGGGAGATGCTTAGTTTCTGCCCATCTGGCTGACTGTATGTATACCAAAATCCGAACAGAGACACTGGTAACCACGACGTGGACAGTTTCCAGTGCAACAGCACTACAAGAGAGAGAGCAGTCGAGAGGCTGAGAGTCCAGACCGTTGCATTGTTGATTCAGCTACGGCGGTCAAGCCGCATACCAGACCGCCCAGAACGTGCTTCATCAGGATGTTCGCGCTGACACGTTGAGAAGCCAGGCGTTGCAGACGGAAACAGACACTTTCAAGAGCCAGTGGACGTTCCAGAAGCGATCTTTTTGGCGTGGCGTGCCCAGTGGAGGGGAAACGGGGAGATTGAAGTGAGCCAAGTGAGACTAGAGAGGAGAGCGAACAACAACGGGAGATCAGGAGGTCTGGAGTTCTCCGCGTTTCGCTTCTCGGGTCTTCCACCAGGACGGCGTCAAGTTCACATTAACACTGGACTCGTTCTTCTTTTCTTCTTCTTCTTCTTCTCCTTCTGCCACTCAACCCCCCTCGATCGCTGCTTGTTCCTTCCGGCAGCTTTCGGGCTCAACGCCCTTTGACATAGAGTTAGCCTCTCCTTTCCGGCGTCCTTTCCGCTTGGTCCTCCCCAGATCTTTGACCTCATCATTTGCACACCCGACTCCATCCGGCCAGCAAGCTCATCCAGGTCGACAACAGCCGAGATTCCCATTCCCAAGCTCTTCCGGTTGAAGCTTGCCAGCTGTCGTGCATCCTTCGTCACTGCTCTGCTCGTGTCCGTCGATACAGGCGGCGCTTGGAGCGGCCCCTGGTCGCTCAGCGAGTCTCGCCGGTTCCCAAGCATGCGACTGTGAGAGCTGCAGGTTCTGGTCGTCTTGTCCTACGTTCGAATATTAAGGGAGACCGCCATGGACGCATCATGTCTGCTTCCGGAGCAAATACCGCTTCCTCCCAGTCCAACGGAGCCTGCTGGCCACAGTAACGATGTTGCGACCGAAGTCAAACAACACCCCCAGAAGCTCGAGGACGTCACGATAAACTCGTCGCTATCCCTACCCATTCAACAACCTCTTCGGGACCGATCTCCATTTTCGCGGACTCACTTCCGTTCTCGATCCCTGGCTGGCCCTCCGGGCGCTCCTATGACTCGTGCACACTCGACCCCAGGGCCCGACTCGCGCGGCCGGTACATCTTTATCACCAGTCCTGCGAAGCCACCTAGTCCTCTAGATCTCTCCAAACGGAGACACAGCCCACTGCGGATGAACTTCGAGGAGAGTGGATATCCCAGCATGGCATCTTTGAATGTGTCGGAGACCATATCAGAACACGCAGAGCTCGATAGTCGCTCCAGATCCAGCGGTTCTGACTTGGATACTCAAGCCAATTCTCCTACCTTCCTCACGACCATGCATCATACCTTCCCGCGAGCTGCCCGTCGACGGCCATCCTCTCCTCTATTTCCACCTGCGATCAACACCAGTGGTCCATACACGAGCAGCCCGGTGCCGACACAGTCCTCTCCAGTCACATTAGGAGCCAAATACAACGAGGCCTTTCCGAGTTATTCGACCTCGTCAGGATCATCCGTCCCGTCAACTCCCACGAGCATACGCTCCCGTAGCCCGAGCATTTCTTCTCTGGAAACGATCCCTGACATACCCGACGCGGAAGCAGCTGCCACGGAAGCTGACCGCATTGACAGTCTGAAAGCTGCCAATGACAGAGCTGATACAACTGCCGACACAACCAGGCTGCGCGGGTGGCCCGATACCTCGGGGTCTTCTAACGGCGTAGGTAACATGCGCACCGGGTTAGGAGGCTACGGCGTGAGGACCGATAAACGGAAGCGTTGGAGTGTCTGTGGAGCAGAAAGACGACAAGATCTCGATCTGGAGACTATCTGGGAAGATTAAGTGCGTTACCAATCGGACCGGACGCAGTTTTCGATCTCGAAATCTGAGAAGATAACATCTCCGGGAGAGAACCTGGGATACCCTCTATGGCTACGCAAGATCCTGCACCATTGTATCATATTGCCCATTTGGATTTCAACGTCTCTCCATACTTTTACACTCACTTTCGGCGTTAGATTCGACTTATTACTGATACCCTTGATGTCCTGGTCTATACGGCGTCGTTCAGTCGTTTCAAGTTTGGATTCCAAGCAGGCGTCTCCTTTTTTTTTTACCATCTAACCATTATGGCCGTCTCTATGCCCATCTCGGACGTTTGAAGCCTTTCCCTACCGGCGTTGTCATCAGAACTTTTTTTTCTTTCCAAGGAATGGGAGCATTCTCTCGTCTATGGACTCTCACATTGTCCTCATGCGCGTTGTTCACAGTTCCTCAACGACTGTCATCATTCTGCAAGCAGTTCATATCTATTCCCAAGCGGAGAATCGCAATCATGCCGGACATGAGATCCACCGTCTTCTACTAAGTCAGACTCAGTCTGCCAATGGCGTTTGAGAGGATTGTCTCTTTCTTATCAACTTTTCTTTTTTTACACACTTTTTCGCTTCATTGCTCTCTTTTTATTGCGCCCCTTTTTACGTCGTTTTCGCATGTATGATCTATCGCTCTCGTCACGAAAGCGACTCCAGAACTAGGGCCGGTTGTAGATACATATCATCGTCATCGTCATAACTACAAAGCTTCTTGTTGAAGTTTCTCGGGTTAGAGATATTGGCAGGGACTTGATGAAATATATTATCCATTCAATTGGGAACCTGTTTGTTTCCGCGGCACTTTGTTCTATGGAGTACGGCTTTCTCGGCTGTTACACAACCGGGTTTAGAATCTAGAAGCGCACGCTTGCCTGCCACAGAATAGGGATTGTTGTCCAATATAAGGAATTATATCTTGATCATGCGCTTATTCCTGGCTATGGGCTAGTCTCAAACTATCAATAGAGTCGGCGTCCGGACAAAAGACACGATCTATATGCAAAAAAAGAATGATATTGGTTCTTTAAATAATAGCTAAATCAGATTAATCTTCGATTATTATATCCAACCAGTATATAATAATCATTTGTCGTCTTGCTGTTCAAAAGCTATACTCCGGGATCTGGGGAGGTCTAGATGACCGTATAGGTTTTATCTCACGGCATCTTGTCTCGCTGCTGTATGGTCATCCGTTCCCAAAAACGCCCTACCCCCCTATCTTATCTTATCCAGTCTTAACCTTTTCTATCTTCTCTATATCTTATCCTCCTCTCTATTCTTTGGTAACGAGCGTAGTAAGAGGTCCGGTGTGGAACCCTTTGACGACACCAAGTGCAACGGCAGAAGGCAGCGAGTCGTCTCTTTTTAGGTCGAGACCAGCCTTTGGCAGACCATATACATCGCATATCTGTCCAGCGGCACGCTCACCACTCCAGTATGCACCTGCGGTTGTTCCCAGGTCAACAAAGGGCGCAGTATGCTCACCGGCAAACCACACTCCACGCTCGGCGCCAACTCCGGCTCTGAAAGTCTCGATATCCTTGTCACCCTGTTCGAGGCCGACCTGGAAATTCGAATATGAGCCGTTGCCTGCGTAAGGGTCATTTTGCCACTGCGTAGCTAAGAAGGCGGACGGCTTGCAATCCGGAGATGACGCAGAATAATTTGGCAGGCGGGAGTAATAAGGAAGAAGGAATTCATTGAGGATGTGGTATAGCTTTTCCGAGGAAGGGTCCAAGCCTGTGATCTGCGACACTATATGGGTTGCACAGGGCCCATATGTATAGAAGAGTAGAGTTGGATGATTGCAGCCATCGGGCAAATCAGCTAGCGAGATGGATTCCTGGTTCCAGCTTATATCCTCCGGGTGTTCGACATAAGTTGGGTTGAGAAATTGTGCAAATGCTGGAGGATTGCTGCTGGGACCCTTGCCGTTGAAGACTTCATGCATCCCATTCGCTTTCCCAGAATCCATATCTGGAAGTGAGGCTCTGGGCTGGGTATGCCAGAAAGCCCGCGGAAAAGTTACGTATACCTTCTCAAGCCGTCCATACGATATACTGTCGATAGCGCTCAGCAGACGCGATGGAAGAGCAGGACTGAAAGCTTCTTTGTTTCGTTTTAACCAGCCCAAGGGGCACGTAACGACGACTTCGTCGAAACTATATGAATCTCCAGTCTTGGTCGTCACTGTGACTTGATGATCCACGCCGGGTTTCCGTGGATTTGCCTCGATCCCGATGACGGGCTCATTCAGACGGATATCCGCCCGTCCAAGAACTGCCCGAGAGATATGGTTTAGGATATTCCTGTAGGTAGATGCGACAAAGAGATTATCTGTACATAGCTTTTTAGCTGTTTCATCTTTTATCAGCATTCAACGATACAGCAATACTCACTCTCATCGATGCATTCTTCGAGGCAGAAGAATTTCAGACTCTGTCTGTCTATCGGATCCCCTACATAGGAACCCCACATTTTAGAGGACTCGATGCATGCGTCCTTTTCTGCTTGCGTGAAGTTGGTTTGCGCAACCCGTTCTTTAAAGAAATCTAGCAGACTCTTATCAGCGGGGATCTCGTCCTTGAACCTATTGCTATGCTCGAACGCCTCATCGAGGGTAGTCCACACAAAGTCAGAGATCTTAGTAGCCGTCTTTTCATCATAGAGGTTTCCAGCAGTGTCAAAGATCGACTGTCTTCCGTCCCAGTCATGCGTCGTCGTATTCGATAACACGCCTATCTTGGAAATTGGATTATCCAAAGTACCATGGATCCAATTAGGACCGCTGTTGCATTGTCAGTCATGTTCATCTGCACAGATCAACGGACCTACAGGTCAACAAGGTGTCCTCCGATTTCACTTTGACAAACCTGTTGCTTGTCGTTAGATATCTCTCCGGACTGGAGATCACTGGTAGACGTACTCTGCCGCCAATTCTATCCCTTGCCTCAATGATCGTCACCCGGACACCATTTTGGATCAGGATGTCTGCGCATCTCAGACCAGCTATGCCAGCTCCAATGATGCCGACATGGGGAGTCTTTCCCATAAGTGGCATGCTGTACCAAAAAGTGGAAACTGGCACCTTAGTAGCGGCCGGAGACGGATAGGGGTCGAGGAGAATGCTCTTAGGAAAAGGAGACTGATGCCACCTTGTGGGCTGCGTCAAGCGGTTAGTCTTGCACTCCATAAGTTTACACAATATAAGAATAATAATCTCTCTCGAGCTCTCTCTAAGGTCACCGACGTGAGACTCTGAAAGAAAATGCAACCATAGATAAGAGATAACGGGACGAAGAAAGCTCTTAGGTTGGATGAAATGAAATTGAGAAACAGTTGCAACTAAGTGGTTCAAAAATGGCTTCTAGACTGGAGTCCCGAGAGGGCATCATCATACAGGCGCTCTGGGGAGGGCATCTGTTCCTCCTCAACAGGATGAACTAGCAGGCCCTACTGGCTCAGCAATCAGATGCAGAAGGCGCATGATGTTCCCTCTAGCAGTAATTCAGGGCAGCCAGTATGAATACTGTGAATACGTATGGCACGGAAAGAGCACATCAAAGATATAACCACAAGACCAGTAGTTTGCACAACATAGATAACGGTGTACCAGAAGCTCGGAGAAAAAGTATGCAGCATACCTCAGGATAACCTACCGCTCGTGGGAAAGGCCGGACGACGTGGGAAAAGCAAAGAACAACGAAAAGGCCTGCTCGAGAAGATGCAACGAGATCTCGAGAGAACAGACACAGTATTAAAATGAAAGACGTAGAACTGAAATAATGGATATTGTGAAGCAATATGGATAAATCCTTTTATCACAGAACCACGTTTCCACCGGCCAAGCACCACGGGTTCGAAGCACGGGCCACCCGTTAACGACCTCAAGGGAGGGAGTTACGCTTTCTCTTCTTCTTCTTCTTCTTCTTCTCTCAAGCTCTTTAGGTATGATCGGATGATCATCATGGTTCGACCTTTTTCTTACGAGACGAATCCACCGGTCCTACAGTGCTAGCGGTATCCAAATACATGATAATACCCTCGCGAGCTTGGCGGGGTTGCTATCTTAACGCTTATCCTCGGAGGCGGGGAGTATCGTTATCATCAGGGATGGCATTAAAGTGATAGGACTACCTGAATGAACTCTCTACGATCACCGGGTTATCGGTGTCGATGCGCTGGTCAAGTGGAACTGATCGTCACAACATCAAGAGTTTAACTTGTACAAAGGAAAGCTCAATCCAATCGTTACTAATATGCATCGCTCGTGCGCCCCATGGGGTACATATGCCGCCCGTCCAGGTCACGGCTTGAAAAGGAATCGTTTGTTACAAAGGAAATGGGTAAAAGAGCGGCAGTGCTTATCGCCATGCACCTTGGCTTAGTGATAACAGGCCCTGAATGCAATCGAGGTCTTCTTCCTGGCTAGGCCCGCCAGCGGCAGACATGAATGCAGAAACCTCTTCATCAACCTCCGGTGCCAGAGCATTCTCTTTACTTGCACTGGGTCCCTGATTTCGGGATGACCGTGCGTGCCTGCCATCGGCCATTACCTTCGAACTTTTCCCAGGCTGGTCTTGCGCCCGACCTGCTTCCTTGAGTATAGGACGCCGGTTCTGCCTGGGAACTGCTCTCCGGCGGACCTGAGGTTGCTGTGTTCCCGGGACCCAGTTTTCTTTGTCGGAATCGCCAGGGTCGATGTCTTCAAAAACTTCATACTTCGAGCCATTGTACGACTTGAGATCCTTCCGTGGCAAAGGGCTCTTGTCCATGGAGATATTCTGATCAGACTGGAGTCTTCCTAGGGATGAAACAGTGCGCGACAATTTGCGCCTCTTCTCGCCTGACTGTAATGGAACCGCCACCCTGTTCTGAAGATCCGAACGGGGAGCAAGAGCATTTTCTCGGCCAGAGAAGCTCCGACTTAATGATCGGTTACTCCTGGACCGCATCAGACCAGATTTAGCGGCGTTGGGTGTACCCTGGGAACTTGACGGAGTGGACAGTGCACTTCGAGCATCAGTATCGCAGTACAGTTCCCAGTTGCGAGCGTCACGAGACCTCCCAAAAGCCTTGTTACGGACATCCCGATCTAGCAGATCTGGTCTCGCTGCACCCAGGCTGACAGCACTGTTGCTTCTCCGTAGGCCGCCAGCTCGAAAGCTTCTGTTTGGGGTGGGAAACAATACCGTCCGCGCTTTGGAGGGGGATGGCTCGTTTCCGGTTCGAATCAATGCTTCACCGTCTGAAGACATTGAGATTCTCACTGCGCTGCGTCCCTTCAACGGCGACGGTGTCATCTCTCCTTCCTTCCTGACCATCGCCTCGCCGTCGAAGGATAGTGATATTCGCAATGAGGGTGGCGTCTTTACCCCAGGCAACCTCTGGATGCCTGTCCTCTCAATGCCGTGTTGGGTCTCGGATTCGCCACTGCAGATGTCTGTGAATGTCCGTTTTCTTTTGGGGGATTGTCCAAGTTGTTCTTCCGCAGACATGGTCTCTTTTAGAGGCTTTATTTCCGGTTTGTCAACAGTCCCGGGAGCATTCCTGATGCTACTCGAAGACTTCGAAGCGACGCTAGTCTGCGAACTTTGTATCTGAGGCTCAACCTCTTCATTATCCGCGGAAACTACTCCGGAATCGAACGACGATTGAAATGATGCGTTGAGGTGTGAGTTTGTTACAGCGTTCGAGTCTGTGGCTTGCTCGCCTCCGTCACAGTGCTCCGCCCCACTCGATGAACCTTTCTCCGCCAACACGTTGTCGTCACTTCCGCTGTGCTGCGAGGAATCCTGCGACGTCGATCGAGGGGCCAGAAGTTCATGTGGTTGAAGAGGTTTCGACTTCCGTCGATCGTTCTGCCTGCGGTTTTGGAACCATATCTATATCCGTGCAATCAAAAGTTAATACACTGGAAAGACGCGCTGCATACGCGTTATTGGGGAACGTACCTGAACTTCCTTTTCCCCCAGAGCAACCCGACTAACTATACTGGCCCGAGCTGCCTTGTCTGGTTTCGGGTTTCGTCTATACTCCGCCTCCAAAATGGCATGGTCCTCAGGACTTATGCAGCAGGTATTGTTAGCAAGTCCGTTCACAGCGGCGCCAGAGACGCGACAAGCGCGACGACAGGATCACAAATTGTAGGATAAACTCACCTGGTCCGACGGCGCTTCTGGCGTGCCAGCAGCTTATTATCGACGCGGGGAGGTAGATTTTGCGTCAATGTCTTCTGCGAATGGACCAGAAATGCGTAATTGAGGGCTGCGGACTCCGATGCGTTTGTTGGCGGCGGAGGTGACGAGCTGGCCGCTCCTGAGGGCTCCTGGTCACCCATTGTCGACGCAGTAAGGGGTCACTTGCTGTCACAACAAAGAAGAGAGACCCAGGAGGATATAAATCAGTCGAGACCTTAATGTCCCATCAACCGCGTCGCGATGTGGACGCGGACGGCGCACCGTGCAGCAATGGAGGTACATGGACTCGGGCCGGTTCTCGACCCGCCACTAGCTGCTTCGAGACGCGGTCATCCACGACTCCAATCTCGAGCAATCCATGGCTTGGTTTTACACGGACTGTATCTCTATTCTTTTATATGATCTATGGCTATCGACTCATCCCCGCCGCATATAAGTTGCTCCCGTCTCCTCGAGAAAATGACCCCGCGGGGTTCTCTTTTGCGAGACTTATCCTCGCAAGTGTTTGCTCTTGGACCACCTCAAATAAGTTTAGCCAATAGCAGTCTAAAACATTAGACTACCTTAGGCCATCTAAAAGCTCTTCTAGTTCGGTCGTTCGCTGTCATGCGTTCGCACCAAACTGGCAGCATCGAGCCCGCAAATGTTTTGGTATCCCGCGGGACCTTGCCTTTCCAGCTATAAAATACATACGTCCTCTGTTGTTGTATCTACAAGGGCGTCTCGCAACTTGTATAGAAAACGACTGTTGCATGATCTTTTTCATCTCTTCAAAAGCCTTCGCTGACGTCGTCTAGGAAATTACGGACTTGAGACGACGTGCTAATTCTATTCCTAGAGCGGCATGTGTGTTCTCGCGTTCTCGATTGTTCGTTGAATCGTTCCGGCCAGACGCGCGGGAACGCGAGATCCCGTGACCGTGACCTCGTGCTGCTCTAACCGGATGCGGCACAGCTGAGAGTCGGCCCTTCACAGTGAGTAATCGTTCAATTCTCAGCTGTCAGGCAACAACAGCGGATCTTGTTCAAGGCTCCACATTCCAGTAATGACAGCTGAATTCCCTTTCTCTAACTCGGACTCATCAGATGATTCAAGGCTTGCACGACACGAGGTCGCGCCTCCGACATTCTTGCTCTATTCCTTGACGCGGACAGTGACAGTCTCGCCGTATTGTCAATGAAAGCCTGTCAAAACAAGGAAGGAAATGGAGCCAAAGTCATTATAGTCTTCAATTTTTTGGAGGGAAATTGCCGGCGGTTTTGTACTTCGTATCTCGCGCTCTGTCTCACACCGAGGCCCTCTGGACAACCCAGCAAATCCGCCTTATCACGGCAAGCAAGGCCCCTGCTTCTCGAACTGATCGCTGCAGGGAATAAACGAGGAACATTACTAACGTCATAAAGCAAAGAGCTGAATGAATACGTCATATTCACCTCTAGCTCCCCTGCTGCCTCAGAAGCGGTGCATATATCCCTCCGATGTCACTTGCTGTCCCTTGATTGACTGTGGATTTTCAATCTATACAGTAGCCAATGTGGATTTGAGGACTGACAACTTCCCAGTGCCTTCTGCATCTTCCCATGACTCACCAATATAGGAAACGACTTCGTTGAGCGAATCTGCTGTCTCTTCAAGTCCTCCGTAGACTTCTGCCATAGGATCAGCTGCGAATCCAAGGCAACAGGATGAGCAGGGAGATGCAAGTTCGATATCATGCACACGGCGAGATCCTTGTATTCCCATCTCTATTGGTTAGGGATCAAAAACATGCTTCCCGTGTTCATCTGCATTGTCACGTCTGATCAACATTGCAAGTTGGAATACCAGCTATGTCTGCTATAAAGGACTTGAAACTCAATCCAGTTGTATGACCTATTAGTGCTCGATATCACTGTGACTTCTTTATCAGATCCGACGTCTTTTCCGAAGACGAAGAGAGTTTTGTATCAGATCTCTGCAATTCTCTTATCGTGTACATTCCGGTGATTTTTCCATAAGAAGAAAGAAGAACGCCTAACCTGGAAACTAGTCCCTTTCCTTTTCTCTTAAACAGAAAGCCACTTGCTAGTCATGATCAAGATAGCAATCGCCGGGACGGGCGGCCTGGCACAGTATCTTGGGCACTATCTTGATACACAAACATCTCACCAATTCATCTTCCTCTCAAGAAACGTAAGCACAACAACAACAACCCACTCCCCATTTCTAACATCTTGACTCATACCACCGCAGCCTAACCCAGGCTTATCCACCAAAGGATGGCAAGTGATCCAAGTGAACTACAGCAACGACCAGGACCTCCGCTACAAACTGACCGGGATTGACATGGTCATTTCCACTATCCACGGACAAGCCCAACTGGCCTTAATCGACGCAGCAGCCCACGTGCATGTGCAACGATTCGTCCCAGCCGAATTCGAAGGCCTACCTGCCCTCAGACCGCAGTCAGACATCCTGGATCGCGGCAAGACAGCAGCCCTGAATAAACTAGCACAATACAGACCCTACGGAATGGAATATGCCGTCTTCGCCTGCGGTGTTTTCTACGAGCGCTTCGCTCCTGGCGGAATGGCCGCTTTGCAACTTGGTCAGAGTATCTATGCAGCTGGAGAAGGTGACTATGTCATGGATATACGAAACATGGTGGCTCGGATCCCGTATTTCGATTCAACAGGTCGAGAGGTTCGAATATGTCTAACGTCCGCTCAGGACGTTGCCAGATTCGTCGTTGCGGCGCTGGAACTGCCGGAATGGCCTACTGAGTTTACGATGTGCGGTGAGCGAATGACGCTGAATGATCTTGTTGGTGTTGCGGAGCATATGATGGGTGAGTTGACGATCGTCGTATTGTTATTTATTGTCCTGGTGGTCGTCGATATACTATTCGATAAGACGCATATTTAGAAACTAACGATTGAATTCAAAGGTGTTCACCAATTCCACCGTGTCGGCCATACCGTGGAGTCATTACAGCATAGTCTGGAATACGCAAAGGCTACAGGAAATATGCCTGAACAGTGGCGTCTTTATCAGTTATTCGGTACGGCGATGGGGAGGTATGACTTCGAGGAAGCGAATCTGAATACCATGGTCAATGTTCGACCCATGAACTTCAGAGATTGGCTTTGCGCAGTGTGGTCTCGGAGAGTCTGATTTGTATTGCACGCAATAATGATAATAATGTTTTTTTTATGCGTTGATGATGCATTTCGGGGTGCAGGATTAGATTAACATTTTCTGGTGCGATGGTTTAGCTAGGGTGGTGTTCTAGGATACTACAAAAAAGTGATAGGATGCTGCTAAAGAATAATAACTTATCAGAGTCTGTGTCAGTTGCGAGGTATTCCAAGAGAAGTATAACCGATTGATAATAAATGGATACTTAAATTTTCGCAGCTTGGTACCAACACACTATCGTAACACGTTGTGAAATGATATTCATTCCTCTATGCCCTGCATTAAGAGCCGCTAGTGTAACCGTAGAGCTTTTCGTCCAAATCATCTATATATCAATCAATCCAATCCAGCCAAAGCAAACTTCAAACAGACATTTTCATGGCAATGGTCTTATGGGGGTTGTATCCCTTGATGACAAAGTCCTCCAGCTTCCAGCCGTCAATGCTTCCACCTTTCTCCCGTGCTATTTCCAGCTCGGGGAATTCTCGAGGTTCCCGTTCTAACTGGGTCTTGAGCGCATCGACGTGATCCACATACACATGTGCGTCGCCCATGACGTGAGTCAAGCTACCAGGAACGAGATCGCAGACGTGCGCGAGCATATGTGTCAGAAGAGAGTAGCTAGCAATGTTGAATGGGACACCGAGACCCATGTCACAGGACTGCGTTCACATGAGCATGTTAGCAGACAAGTATGGAGAAGAGGCTCAGGGAAACAGTGATACTCACTCGTTGATACAGCTGGCAGTGAAGATGGCCCTTTGGCTTCTCTCCATTTTGGCCCTCTCCTGATGCGTTCGTTCCGCTTCGCGGATAGGAAACGTAGAACTGTGCGAACATATGACACGGGGGCAATGCCATCTTCTTCAGATCGGCGGGGTTCCACGCGCTCATGATGATCCGGCGATCATAAGGGTTATGTTTCAACTTGTGAATCACATCTGCTAGTTGATCGACACCCTTGCCGGTATAATCCGTCTTCGCATCTACATATTCGGCACCAAAGTGACGCCACTGGAAGCCGTATACGGGACCCAGATCCCCGACTTCACGATGCGACAAGCCCACGCTGTCGAGGAACTCTCGTGACCCATTGCCATCCCAGATCTTGATGCCGGCCTCACTCAATGGGATTGAAGACGTGCTTCCAGCAACGAACCAGAGCAGTTCCTCAATGACGCCTCGAGTAAAAACACGTTTCGTTGTGAGGAGCGGAAGGATGGGCGTTTCGTTCTTATTGAGGCTAAATTTCAGCGGTCGGGGCGCAAAGATGGAATATGTACCAGTTCCAGTGCTATAAATACCAACAGTCAATTCTACCTTTCTAAAACTAGTGAAAATACGCAAAATTCGCCTTGCGCATGGGAATCAGACGTACCGGTCAGGCCGATGTTCCCCCTCGTCTAGGATCTCGCGCACGAGGTCCAAATACTGGTACTCCTCATGTTGCCTTGAGGAATGAGCCCCATTCTGCTTAGCAGAATACTCTGCTGGAGGAACAGGCACTGTCTCTGCTGGTGCTGTGGTAGCCATATCTGCGATGTCTCTGAAGTTTGTCAAAGTACTTGCCAAACGTGCCGACGCGTTCGGCGACGCGTTAATTAGATTTCATAGTTGGTCTTTGGAGCTGGCCGTATTATGAGGGGCTGCGACACTTTGATTCGTCCATATTAACACGCGCTAATACTATCGTTATCTGATTGTTATCGATAAGGCTGTAGAGTCAGGTGATAACTATTGATTATACCACTCGAGAGAACAATCAATGTAATGTTATTATTAACAGTAAAATGAGACTCTAGACTCGTTATATCATCTATCCGTCTATATCTTACTTCTAGCGACTCCACTTCCCACTCTCTCTTTCTCCATGGCCCTCAACCGATTCCGCATAATCTTCCCACTGATGGTTTTCGGGAGAAAACTCGGTTCCACGAACTGAACCCTCCGCGGGTACTTGTATGGCGCAGACATCTTCTTGCAGAAGTCCTGGATCTCCTTGCGAAGCTCATCCTGGTTTCTTCGCTTGTATTCCTCAGTGAGGACGATGAAAGCTTTGACGACCTCGACACGCTCTGGATCTGGTGAAGCCACTACGGCCGACTCGACTACTCCCGGATGCTGCTTGAGGACAGATTCGACTTCGTATGGTCCTGTTGGGATTAGAATCAGGAGTCCTTGTATGTAAGGTGAACGGTGAGTGTTGGAACTTACCGATTCGGTAGCCTGATGAGTTGATAATATCATCTGAGCGGCCAACAAACCAGAAATATCCGTCAGTGTCCCTCGTGGCACGATCTCCTGTTAGGAACAGAGTCTTCCCTGCTGTCGAGGCTGTAACGGGTCTCTGCACACTTCCGTCCTCCTTGATATATCCCTCGAATATGCCAAAGAAAGGGGGGTTAGTGTCGTCGCCTATTGATAGCGCGATATTTCCTTCTGTCCCTGAAGGTACTTCCTGTCCGGATTCATCGACCACCAGCATCGGTACACCCGGAACGGGTTTTCCCATAGAGCCGACTTTGATTGCGTTTCCTTCAAGGTTGCCGCATACGAGGATCGTTTCTGTCTGGCCGTAGCCGTCGCAGATCTGAATGCCGCTCATTTCCTTCCAGAGTCTGATCACTTCACCATTCAGGGGCTCCCCTGCTCCGACACAGTGTTCCAAGGCAGCGGGAGGGTTCTTTCTGAAGTGAGCTAGACTGGCTTGGAGAACCAATTGTCGATATGCGGTTGGCGGAGCACATAGTGTCGTGACGGGATGTTTGTGCAGGGTATCGAGCAGATGGATGGGGTCGAAAGGTCTGCGATCATCTTCTACAAAAAGCGCCGCTCCGCAATTCCATGTTGCGAAAACCGCCCAGCCAGCTTTCGCCCAACCTGAGCACACGATTGTCAGCATCTATATTTGTCTTTGGGCTTTTCTTTCCCAGAGAAGCCAAACGCACCTTGTTCCGCTAGATTCCAATAGACCTTACCAGGCTTCAGTCTAAGCCAATACTTTCCAGTGCTTGTGTGTGCTGCGTGGTATTAGCATTTCTTTTTCTTGTCCCAGAGACTGACTTCAAGTTTCTTGCCTAAAGGATACGATATCTGATTATGCAACACCATCTTCGGAGGACCGGAAGTGCCAGAGGTAAAATATATCAGAGCGGGGTCCGTCGCCTTGTTTGGCTGCCTCGAGAACTGGACATGCTGTTCGATTTTTCCCAGCGCATCGAAATACGACACCACTCCTTCAGGAGCATTTCCGCCGACCTGCAATATTGTCTTCAACTGCGGGCATTGATGTCGTACATTGAGCAACTTCCCAACGCTCGTCTCATCACCGATAAAAGCTGTAGCGCCGGAACGTTGGGCTCGGTATTCGATCTCTTTATCGACAAGGAGAGTGGTGCACGGACATAGAACAACTCCGGCTCTGATAGCAGCGATAGCAACTTCCCACCTTTATTCCGGTGAAATCGGTTCTTAGTGTAAGTAAGATTTCTTGACATCATGCAGGAGCCGAAGGCAGATTCATGACAACTTCATCAGGGGTGTTTTGGGGGGTTTAGTAAATTTCATTTTGTACACATACCACGCAGTTACCCGAGGTAATATGATAATCAATCTATCACCAGCTTTTATTCCTAGTTGTCGTAGTAATGTGGCAACACGATGCGATTCCCTGCTGAAATGATTGTAGTCCAGTGTACGGCATTCCCCCGTCGCTCGCGAAGTCCAGTACATCGCTCGGAGACCGGGAGATTTGGAAGCCCAGTAATCGATAACATCGGTAGCGAAATTGAATGTTTCAGGCCGGGTAAGTGCCTGTGCTTCGAAGTGCGCCATACTGTGATAGGTTCCCTGTCTCGTGGTCGTTTGCTTTGCTTTTTTTTTTCTCCTTCCCTGCAGGTGGGTTGTTATAGGTATTATTCCTGGTCAGTTGGAAGAAGTTTGGTTTCTGTTCTTTTCTTCTCTTCGTCCAGGCAGGGTCACCTTACCGTACTTACCTAGGTAGTAGTTAACAGCCTCCCCCACCTGATGATCAAGCCATCACGGACCGACATTGCTATTTTTTCTCCTCACTCTAGCTGTTCAGAACCCACATTTATCCTGTACGGGCTCTGGAGGCGGGATGACAAAGTCATTTGCGAATGTAGACCTCATCTTCTTGGTAGATGGCTTCGGCAAACATACCGTTGTGGGGACGGAGCGCGGTCCGTTCCCCGCGTTTTCTTTTAAGCACAAACTCCATAAAATTAACTATCGTGGATTCTTTTTGAGTTTTGCGGAGTAAACTTTTGCGGGACGCAGGCCGAGGTAGAGAACTATACGTAGATACCAGAAATCAGTCTCCGAATTCCAGTCGGGTGCATGCTTTTGAAACGACCCCAGATCATGCGCGGTGGCGTTAGAACTATATAAACTGAATCTCCAGAACCGTCGAATCGGTGATGATGATGCGGATCCGCGGGAATAATTGCTATTTGACATACGAAACATGGTACCATTCAGGTATATCTTTGTACGAGGCTAGGAGCAATATATTCATTTCACCGGTGCTGCAACTGAATACATAGTATGACTGCTGTCTACGAGCGTACTAGTCATGCAACAGGGCTCGATTGGCTTCAACCTACTCATACATGATATAGTTCCACGCCAAGTTCACATGACACATGTAGACAAGAATGAGCATCTCCATCAGATTATTCTTAGTCCGACAATCTCGACAATGTGTCTACTGTCTATACTGCTGTCGAACCTGTGCACTGTGTTGCAGTATTGCAGTCCGTGAAAACGCTTGTCAATTCTCATATAGCCAGGTCCGATTGATTGATAGACATGATATTATCTGGGTATCTATCTGCATGCAACAACACCCATCGAATCCCAACGACGTTGACAACAGGGGTCCCATGACAGCGGCTCGGAAAGATCACTGACTAGATCATAATATCCTCCCGGCCCCCAGATACGTGCTGTCTCCATGGTCGGAATCCTTCATCCGCGGGTCCGCTTCAAAAATACCTGAGCTGCAGTTGGCCCTCTTTGTCCTTCTAATCGACTCGCTTCGGGGAAATGCAGATCCACGTCCGCGTGGACAAGACCGCATATACCCCGCATGTACCCGTCCCTTCTCGACTCAAAAGCGCCGGGGTCCTAGGGTCATGATCCAAGCAGAAGGCATATATATGTCACACCCTGTCAAGCAAGCCAGTATCCTGTTATCCTTGCCAGATACTCGCCTTCCTATCTCTTGTATCAAGATAGAGTTTTCATTGTGTGAACAGCCGTCAATTCCTTGTCCTCACGCATCATCTTATCCCATAATGGACATTCCAAAAACACAAAAGGCACTTATCACAGATCCGCCTGGGCCGAATACAAAGTCCGTGGTCAAAGAGATCCCCGTCCCCACTCCAGGAGAAGGCGAGATCTTGGTGAAGCTCAATTGTACTGGGCTCTGCCATTCGGATGTGCACCTCATGCGCAACGACTGGGGAGATCGGGGTCTCTCAATGATGACCAAGATTGCTGGTCATGAAGGAGCCGGTGTCGTTGTGGCTATAGGGCCCAATGTGACACGGTTTAAAGTCGGAGATAGGGCAGGCATCAAATGGGTGGCTGATGTCTGCGGAGAATGCGAGATGTGCACGAATGGGACAGACGAACTCCAGTGTCCGAAGCAGCTCAATAGTGGCTTCACGGCCGCTGGAACCTTTCAGCAGTTTGCCACGGCAACTGCCCGTTACGCAACTCGCATCCCTGATGGCGTCTCAGATGAGGAAGCAGGACCAGTGAGCACTCTTCCATTCACATATGTACCAAATGGTTCTCCCGAACTAACAGTCCATTTTCAATTAGGTGATGTGTGGCGGAGTTACGGGATACGTAGCGCTAAGACGATCCGCTGTTCGCGCGGGACAGTGGGTTGTCATCATGGGAGCAAGCGGTGGACTCGGTCACTTCGCTGTACAATATGCTAAAGCCATGGGTATGCGGATCATAGCCATCGACGGAGGTCCCGGAAAGAAGGAACTGTGCGAGAAATTGGGTGCAGAACAGTTCATCGATTTCACTGTCGAAAAGGACGTTGCTGAAAGAGTGAAGCAGATTACCACCTGGGGTGCGCATGGGGTTGTTGTTGTTGCTCCGAGTCAGGCTGCATATGAGCAGGCACCTTACCTCCTCCGCGCCGGAGGAACGATGGTGTGTGTTGGCCTCCCGAAGGAAAATTTCAACGCTGGTGCTCCGCCACTAGTCATAGCTCTTCGCAGGTTGAACATTGTCGGCTCAATCACCGGGACGTTGAAGGATGTCGACGAGGCGCTAGATTTCACAGCCAGAGGTTTGGTTAAGCCCATATTGGTCAAGGGGTCAATGAACGATATCGACGATCTCTCCGCCAAAATGATGGCTGGTCAGTTGGCCGGTCGGGTAGTCATTGATCTTTGGGCATGAGTCAGAGTTCTACTTTTCGCAGGACCTATCATGTCTTATGGGTTGTTACTATGCTGCCGTGTTTTAGGCTGGTGGGCTTCCGGGCAAGATCAATCGATTCTCTCCTCGACTCCTTATGACTTACTAGTTTTGACCCACTATGTACCCGTAGGGCTCAAAGATGCAAAAGCGAAGTGTAATGCTTCGTCATGTCTCATGACTTCTGCTCTCGTCAAACATATAGTCCTGCGAGATAAGTAAGCTCCGAATCCTAATCCAACTTTAACATCGATGCCTACAATTGCGACTACTTACTGAAAGGTTATCGGACACTCCCAATTTAGCCGTTCGACCATCTTCCCGGATTCATATCCCCAAACTCATCTACTTTATAGAAATCCGGTATGAAATTTAGATTTCCTATGCTCCCCGGAGGTATATTCGGGGGGCTACCGAACAGCGCCGAATTTGGCATCATAAAATCGGTGTGTTGTGGAACTGAATGTGACAGCGGTTGACCTAGAGTTGCGCTCGAATTGAGCATAGGTGGATCTGGTCTTGGGTTGTAGGACGGAGGGGACGCATCATTAGATGGCGGTCGAGAAAGGGTGTTATAATCTGTAAGGAAGTAGAGCTTTTCAGCATCGGAAGGGTCGAGTTGCACTCGCTGCGGTTCTGCTTCAATGAGTCCTTTGAATTTCGAACTCTCCAAAGAGAACTCGGAGAGTGCATTTTTCTGCGACATTATGTTAATCAGCATTCTGGGTTGGTAAACTGCTTTCACACGTACAATGATGACCGAGTTTTTCCAGCATTTCGCATGTTCATCTAAGAACGCCTGATCAAATTGCAGATCTTCTATAGCTTGTCGCCGCACAAAATCGTTTTCAGAGTGTTGATGCAGCGCATTGATCATCCCGGCTACCACGACGGCAAAACCATAGAATGAACTCTTCAATTTACAGCCCGCCTTTTGCGCTTCTCGAAGTACTCGGGTAATGTCTTGGGTGTGCTGCAAGCAGATTGCTATTGACCTAGCGAGAAACTTTGCTGGGATGTTCGCGTTATACTCCTCTAAGCGTTGACGGAGGAGGAAGGGGTGATGTAGAAGGCAATGTGAAAGGTGGAATAAGATGTATGAGAAGATTAGAGGCTCTGCAGCATCAGAGTCCACATGACCATCGACTACGCAGTGTCTCAAAAGTGCGCCGGTGATGTCGAGACCAAATTCGAACCGTGTCTCCAGGTAGAGGAGCGCCGAGGAATTGATAGCATGATCGGACTAGGATTTTATGAGCCTGAATCAAGAGGAGCCCTGGTGATAATCCACTTACGCGAGGGTCCCAGGGAGGTTTTCGACTTTGAAAGTGATAACCTTGAAGAGAGTATTGTGCACACTGTGACAGGACGGATGAGGTAACGATCACCTTGGCGAAGGTACTAGAGCAATCCGTTTCCAGGCTGTCGTTTCGAGTAAAATGTTCGATACTGAACCTTTTCTCATCCGCCTCTAACCGAAACGCTGCCTCGGTGCAGGGTAATTTGACTCTGCAGTAATGTTCCTGGAACACCGGGGGCTTGGCCCTACCACAAGTTCTAGAGCGTAGTCAGCAAATGTTCAACCGAGATAGATAACTACGTTATGGAAATTGTCGCTTACATCAGCTTATCAAGAAGGTACAATGACCAATATGCGCGGCGGTGTTCTTCCTGGTCAGCTGGAGATAGTTCTGCCGGTGGTTCAGACATCAGATTCAGATCCTGAGCATATCTGGCGGCTAATCCAATCTTGATCCAGGCAGCCCGGTGCTTGCACTCTAAAAAGAAGGACCTAGTCAGCCACACACCAGTCCGCAACTGCACAAATCGTCCACCATACCTGTGAAGTCAAAAATAGCTAGAAGCGTCATGGACTGAACCAATGTTACATCACCTTCTCTTCCATCGGACAGCCACTCCGACACTATAGATTTCCATGCGCGTGTTGCATAGGAGTCCGCCATGGCGTCACGGTTCTTTGCAAAGAACGGTTCACTAGAAAATCGAACCGCAGATGCTAAAACCGAGAGAAGGAGATGACCTGGTAGCTGGTCCTGCTCTAGCTTAAGGCGAAAGCTGTTGCTATGAAAAAAGGAATATGGCTGATTGTGGGAATAGCGGAAATAGTCGTCTACAAGAGATCGAATGACAGAGGCGGGTGGTAGATCTTCGGAACTGTTTGAGGAGAGAAAAATGTCAGGCACATACGATGATTGAGACACAAATTCAGATCGACTGACACTTGAGATTGTTCCTGTCTTTCAAAGCCCGTCGTGGCTCTAGCTGCATTTCCTGGGTCTAGCATCATCATGGAATTTGAGCTCGGTGTAGACGCTGTTTCCGCGGGCGATCGATTGATGTCTAGCATATCAGCAGTACTAAACCGACAATCAGCATGCATTCCTTCTCTTCTGACATCTGTGTCCAGTGAATTGCCCTTACAGGTTGGAGCCCGGAGTCATGCCCGTCAGTCTGGCCTCGATCATCGAAATCCGCGACGCTAGCTCTCCCTAAGAATCATAAGAAGATAATCCCAACACTAAAGACTTTTGATGATCATACATAGGCTGCTGTCGCGTCGGGCTGGTGGAAAGATAAATTGGACATGTGGCTTCTCGGATACTCGCATCGCTGTCCCAAACGTACGCAGAAGCTGCATTGTGGTTGATCTCCCGGACACTTAACTTTCTTACGCCTGTGCGTGTGACAGATTGTAAGCTTCTTCGCCTTGCATACCGCCACTGCGACCATGTTCCCTGACAAAAAAATATATGAATATACCTGCAATTCAAGCACGCCCGATGGACGCGAGGTCTCCGGCTGCCAGGTTTTACGTCGTCCATCGAGCTTCCATGGAGAAATCCTCTGACAAACGCAACGATGAATGGAATTGATGATGAAGATGATAGCCTCGATGCTGACGAGCGGCAGCTGTTTTGATATTCGAGACGAAAGGATTATCACAGTCCGTGTTGGGGTTGACACACTAGCTGCGTCCAAAAAGCGGGGTAAACTTCATCTCCACTGAGCTGCGGGCCAGCGCAAATTCACGATCCTTTTCGAACTCCCCAGAAAAGGGCACAAACGGCGGACTGGCTGGAGGTCTTGGCTCTGTTCCGGGCGGAGCAGAAATCAGATCGTCTGGACTCTGAAGGGACCTCGATCTTGTTCGATCTGCGAGATGGCCGCTCAGACTTCAATCACTGCCTTCGGCCTGTTCGTTCACTGGTCAACTGAATGGTAGGAATAGGAGCAGTAGTACAGTAGCAGCGCATCCTGTCTCTGGGCTAAGTAACGGGATAGTCTGTCATCGTATCCCGATTCGTTTAGTTGAGTCTTAGTCAGGACTCAGGAGTTCAGAACTTCAGGCAAGCGTTCCCCCTACTAGAGTAGTATTTCGAGGTCTTGTATGTACTCTGTAGATAGCCCTAGGATCAGCGTGGCGCTAACAGTCGTTAGAGAAATACCCACTCATAACTAACTTCTCCAGGCCCAAGCAACCGTGTTACCATACTCTAGAATTGACACGTCCAGGCTTTGGAATGTGACTCTGGACGTGGAGCTGTCAAGCGACGTCTCTCGGTATGGAGATAGCAGGAAATTAAGGGAACGTGTCTACTTCTGCAGTTTATTAGTCTTGAACGTCGGATCGCAAGTGGACAAAAAAAAAACGATTAGCGAGTAATCAATACCGTCTGCGCTTATGCATTCCTCTCGCTTAATATGGCGCATTAAATCAGTCGAATCCCAGGAATATGTAGAGTACACTGTGCCAAGGTTGACGTACCATATGTTTGTCTACTGGCGATCTACCAGCCACTAGTTACTGAAACATAAGATCATCCATCAAACGGGGGACCTTTCCCATTGACCAGCACGAGGAGTATCTCAGCAACGAGCAACCAACCGAGGCGCAAAGTTCAAGCTCGAGAGTCGAAGGACAATAAATAATAATAAACCAAGGACTCGGGCATGGTTGATCGACCACAATGCCCCGCGCACATGACCTGCCAAGACGGAAATGCTGCCATCTCAGTTGCCAGAGCGTTTCTCAGCTAGAAATGCAGTCTGCTGGATAAGTCGACGCGCTGCCGCTTTTTGCTAGTTTTACAGTCAATTGCCTAGGTAGCTTCCCATCTAATCCACAGGGAGGTCGTCCTTTCATAGTACGCACGAGTGCGAAGAGTATCTCACGCCTGGAGATACATACTAACAGAGATCTAGCACAGACACGAGATGAAACGCATCTTCAGGTAGATAGACACAGGACCAAATAACTACAACGTGAGTCTGTGCAACGCCGTGCAACGATGAAATATTCTATGAAATATTCTATATTAGGATGCCCGATCGGCCCAGCCTTTCCAGCATGGCATGACGGGTTCAGTTGTCGAATGACATGATCCTTGCCTGCGCCACGGGATAGCCAGCTAGCTCTTTGTCCCGCTGATTGAGCTTAAATACTTGTCCACGCGATCAGCCGGTGGTCTCATCACTCTCGTTAGGCTCGTCCGAATGTTGGCCGTACTTGATCGGCAGATGCTGTCGCGTTGTCGAAGCCCTATACTTATAGTGGGGTAACTGGTCGTCGCAGTATGAGTTCTTCCATGCTCTGGAGATTGATTCATCTACGGACATTCTCTTCTACGCATCACATAATATTTCGCCAGTCGCACAGTCGCACAGGTGCACAGCTCAGCAATATAGTCGCCGAGAAGTACGTGGTGCGTCACCAAGTGCTTTTTGCTCTTACGAGGATTCTGCGGGTTAAAGCGTCTATCCATCGACAGGTCTAAAAAAATAGAAATCACCTCAAAGAAGCACATTCCGCAAACTTGCCTCGTTCCTCAAGATTATCGCGCATGTACGTCCAAAGACCACTTTCCGCCACGCATTTTCCCATGTTAGAGAAACGAGGCGATGAGAAACTCGGAAAACCGATCATCGTACTGTTATCAGTAGCTCTTGGTGTGATATTTATCTTTGTTGTCTGTCTGCTGTGAGTGGCCTCGTTCGCCAATCCATCCAAGATTCCTGTTAATGACCATAAATCTTTAGTTTGATGATCTATGTGAACCGCGGCAATACTCGCCGGGACCCAAAAAGCAAAGGCGCTTCCCGTGAAAGGCTGAGGAAACTGGATGCCGTGTCGCCGATATGCCGACTCGATCAGTGGTGGCCTAATGTGAAGGGTTCCTTGGGTCTGCCGGAAGCAGCCGATAATCAGTTCATATGGTACGTTCGTCACTTTAGGTATTCTGTCATGGTGCACCGCTAACCGCGACTGACAGCGTGGTGTGTCTGGAGCCGGTTCTAAACTCCCAGGAAATCCATCAACTCAAGTGCATGCATGTCTTTCACAAAGAGTGTCTGGAGAAATGGTATCTTGGGGATCATTTCAACTGTCCACTCTGCCACCGCGCCTATTTCCACGAAGCGCGCCGTCCAATGAGTGACGACTTCGTATGGATGGTGTGAGATCGATTCTATTACTGACACATAGTTTACTGATCTGGAATTTACAATGAGATACCCCCTGCACTTATTACCTGATTAATCAATGTTTGCATCCTTTCAACTGATAAAGCCTTGCAATTGCAAGAGAGTAAAGATAGATGGGATACTAAGAAATGAACTACTATACCTGGATGACTTTCAAATATAACCAAACATGCCAGGGTTAACCAATCGCAGACTCCAAACAATAGATCCGACGCTCCATGTCTATGTACGCTTATCGCTTATAGGGTGGTAAGGAAATACAACTTGTTTCAAGGTCACCTCGATGGCTTAAGTTAACTAGTTAGTCAATTAGGTTGTAATGATTGGATAGGATACTCAGCGCCGAAGTGACCCAAAGCCCGATCTGGGTAATATACATGCGTCTATAAGATATCATCATTCTCCCCCATAGTATGATCTATCTCCAGTTACTCGGACCGAACGTCTCGCCCGGAGCCACGGTTCTCAAGGGCGTCCCTTGCCCGTCAGCAGTTTTATCAGCAATAGTATTGCCGTACCAGCTCAGCGTGACACCAGGATACGAAAGACAGAAGAAGATGAAGAACGTTCCAACAGCCAAAGCGGCGTCTAGTCCAGCAGAAAGGATATAGTTATACTTTGACCACCACGGATGATATTTGCGCTTCAGATAGAAATTGAAGAATATGCCGATTATACCCCAGGTCATGTAGTTAGCTGCTGTCGCGGGAGGGATGGATGCAGTTGATGCGAATATTGCAGGCATGTGGATCTAACATGGCACAGTCAGTGATCAGAGAAGCATTCCGAGTGGATGATGCTCCTACCTTGCTGAGAAGCTTGCTACGCAAGCGCAGGTTCACAGCCCACAGAAGGATAGGCACGGCGGCACCGATGAGGAAGAACCACAGCATGGATCGATACATAGATCCCGAAGAAAACAGCTTCGTTGGTCCGATGAGACCCCAGAAGACTGCGTTTGTGGCATATCCCCGTGCAAGTGGGCAGGTGAACTGTACGTTCAGAATCAGCGAGAATCATTCCAAGCGAACAATCAATGGTGTGAACTGACATTATTATCTGCTTCAGACTCGCAGATATGATTGATATTAGCCATTGCCCATAAATTGACCCCCGTCTGGGTTAACCATGACACAATTATGCCGGCACATTGTGCTGCAAACGTAATCCTCGGAGGTATTTTCTGAGGCCAAGTCAACACAGTAATAAATATGCGTCAGAACGAGAGACATACCATATAGTGTCCGATCTTCATGTCGCGGACGTATCCCAGTCCCTGGTAAGAGGAGACAAGGACAAAAATCTTAAACATGACATTGTTCACCATCTTCCCAGGCCATAGATACCCGGCTATGAAGGCGGATATAACGGTTGTCGAAAGCATGATGTTGCAGACAGACATCATGATACCAGTTGGTATAATGAGGACAATGACTAGTCCGATAGCTAATATCATGCCATACCATGGGAGACCCGTATCGTAGACATACAAAAACACAATGCTAAGCCCGAACATGCTAAAGAAGACGCTCGCATACCACCAAAGCGGCACAGTCTTATATTTCTGCATGAGCTATTTGACAGTCAGCACAACTAACTCTACTTCAAGCATTCCAGCGGTTCGGGATGTTGCTGTTAGATACCTTGTAATGAATATCAGGTTTCTCCACTGTGGCCGACTTTCCAATCGTGGCAAGAAGACCTCTCCACAGAATCTGGTGATGATGTAGCAGACAATGCACGACGACTGAAATTGTCGAAGCGAATCCGAGTCCATACGAAAGTACGGATGTAGTGGAGAGATACACTGGCGAGTAGTTATGATAAGCTTCATCATCCAACGAATAGTCCGAATTCATTACACGACTCGTGTTATATGAACTTCCTAGAGAATGTTGTTAATTGAAAGGATCTGACATTAACATCAAACAAAAACTCACCTGTATTATCGAAAGTGTCAGATGATGAGAACGGCATGTATAACCCCTCCCATGCATTACTCCAATGCAGCGCAGGGGCGATAACCCAAAGAAACAGAACCGCTCCCCCGAAAACATTTACCAGTGCCCACGAGGGAACTAGCAGTGGGGAATACAAATAGCCGGTGATTTGATTCCAGTCAAGGGTCAAAGGTAGGAGGTCCATTCCAGTTGTCGCGCCAAAAACTTGGTTCAGCGTTACGTTGTTCGGTTTGATCCAGGTGATCCAGGCGAAAGTGGTGAGCCCGGTAAATAGATAACCGGGGACGAATTGGTAAAGCGAGCCGCAGGCAAGGATGATCCAGAAAAATTTCATTCGATCGATCTTCCACCCATTGGCCTCCTGGTCTCCAAATCGTCGATCATGGAATGTGTATAGAAGGGCGCATGTTGGAAGGGCAGCTGGCCATACGCAAAATGCAGGCTCGACGAGCAACTTCTGAAGTATTCCAGCAATTCCAAAACTGAGCGCTTGAGACGTCAAAAGGAACATGAACCTGTATCCAACCGAAATTGGAATGTTAAGAAATTTGTCAAATGCAACGTAGACATCGGAAGCCAATGAGCCATTGTCGAATACTGTCGCGAGAGTAGACATTATAGCAACGATCGAGTGTTCTTTCTGATTGAACGGTCCAGGATTCAGTGTAAAATTCCATCCCCAGAAGCTGTATATAGTCGTTGGCAGCACCCTTTCCATTAGTCGTCCAACTGGCAAGGTGACTAATATTGCAAGATAGGGCGAAAGAAAGACTGTTACTCCGCATTAATTTCATCATCGATTAGTGAAGCGTCCGCTCACTTACTCGGTGGCGAATGCAGCTGGAAGAACTGATTCAACGCTGTTAAGACCATGGTCCCAGTAATGCCCAGGACCCAAGCACGGAAGGTATTGACAGGCACATCTTCATCAACTGGAGGAATGCTGGCCTGAACTTCTGGATAGGGACTGTCATCAGGTCAACACTTGCGCTTTGCTGTTGCGCGCCGCGATAGAAGGACATACGAATCGTCTGAGGACGAGTCAGGTTCGACATTGTTTTCCCCTACAGGTTTATCTGATTTGACATCGTCATCGTCAGGATCGTCAGGATTGTTATAATCGGTTTCTTGCGCCCCAGCCGCAATTACACCTTTCTGGGACTCTGCTGAAGGGCGACGTCTCGAACGTCCTGTCCCCGCCATTGTCGCCCATAGAGACTGGCGAGTTCAGTGATCGTGACGGTTTAAGCTGGCAGGCAAGCCGTTAAAACTGCATTGTTTGGCCGTGTCAGTTCCAACGGGAGCTGATCTCGCAGCCTCAACACTCCGGCTAAGAAAGGCTTGACAAAGTGGCTGCAAATCTGGGGAGTCTTAGGGGATAGGAACTGAGACGATCTCGCACCACAGAGGGTCCGCGTCCTCGTGGCGACGGCTAGTGTTCTGGCTGAATCCACAAGCACCGACTGATCACCCGCCAAGCCCGGTTCGTTCTCATCTTAGTTCGAGATCCGCAAGCAGGAGACCCAGCGGCCCACCAGATAAACTTGTCCCACAATCTTTCTTTAGGAGTCTAGATAGGTAAGCATAGGTAAGGCTGGTACAGTTCTAAGCCTTCCAAGCTTGTACCTCTTCAGAGGACAGGTCATAGCTCCTTCTCAAGCTAGGAATCTGGTTATAGAAGCACAATAATCCTCAAAGAAATCTTCTAGCGTACTTTCGCCTATGGCCAATAGACAGGTCGCTAGTTATGCTCTTAAGGTCCAGACCTAAGCATCTTCTGCAAAAATCCGATCCAGAGGTACCTCTGTCATCGTGTTCAATGGCTCAACTGTCCAATGGCAAACCACATACCATACGCCCAGGTGGACAATCGTAACAGAGAAGATGTTGTTGCTTGCAAGATCTTATCATGGCCAGTTTTTGCCTACATTATAGAGTTATATCTCAGCATGCCTAGGCTGTGCTCCGATGAATAACTGTTATCTATCATACTAACACATTCACGTCGAATCGTTATTCTTTTCAAAGGAGGCAGGTGTGAAACCATGATCTGATCTAGGAACTGTTGATTTCTTTGGGAGGCTATTGGGAGGCGTATTGGGAGGCGTATTGGGATGCTCTTGGATATTCAAGCTGACCGCATAGCATAACCTTTTCATCTCACAGGTCTGAGTTACTCATGAAGCCAGTTTCGTTTACTTATCAGTTCTTGTTCCGGGCTGGCTGGTCAGTGAAGATATCGAAGAACCACGAGTCCACGAGAGGTATTCCGATAAGCACAATTCCCACTGTCGTTCATACGACAAAGGCCCAGCTTCGACAACATCTTCCTGAGGTGAGACATCACTCTGCGTTGCACAAAGCCTCAAGAATAGAAAGGCGTCAGTGATGTGCCAATCAAACCAGTCGCGACTGATAACCCGGTCATCCGCAACATCAAAGGCAGGTTATCGGGCTCATTGAGACTGTCAAACTGCCCTACATCAGGCCCTTGCCAGGATCAGTAGGGCTCTCAGAAAAGGAAGAAAAGAAGAGCAAAAGAATAATAGCTGTCTCCTGTTGTTGGAGTCAAGCGAACTAGTGCGTATAATTTCTTGAACCTGCATCGCAAGAGTCCATCACTTCATTCCTTGGTCCATAACAAGTAGGACGCATATTCGGGAGCTTATATATGTAGCGACTGGCGGGTGGCGATGGCCGTTTAAATCCCGCAGCGGACGCGAACTTGGTTGATTCTCGAGCACAGAGATAAGAGTCGTGAAAATTCCGCTCACGCAACAACGCATACATATAACCTCATAGTCGACATATATATAGTTACTGTTACATCCTGCCGTCAACAATTGCTGTATCTGATCCAAAAGGAACGAGCGCGCCGGTTACCAGAGTAGAGTAATTCTGAACGAGCGGAAGAACTCAAAGCTCGGTCCACCCAGCGCGCCGTCGATTCCAAGCGAGGATTTTAGCCTCATCTGGCAATCGAGAACGACCGGGCTTGACTTTGTCGGCCCCAAAGCTCCATTTTCCCGTTAGGGCCATCGTCTGCGAAAATCCCCGTCAGCAAGTTCGATGACGGAATCTGGGCTCGAATCAGAAAGCCATGAAAAATGATAACCCTAGGGTCGCTTCAGCTCTAAGTTGCGCGAGGAGATTCGTTCGAGAACGCGTCCGCGATGGCAGGCATAATCTCGACAGCTAAATCTCCGGTAGGCTTCCTCCGCCATGTGGCAGGTCTAAATATGTTTCTCAAACCACAAAGTGGGCCCTTGGAGGAGGATTTGGGGCCTCTCGTTTCCCATGAACACGCGTCTAGCTGATATAAATGAAGCAGCCACCCAAGATCGCGAAATCACCCCGAATGGCACATGTCATCTCTCGAAGAATATGTGAATAGCAACAGCGATTAAAATATGCCGCGCCTGGGGAAATTTCGGGGGACTTTACCTCCGCAGCATGGGCCTCCGCTGATAATACATCCCGGCGCGCCTCGTCCACCAGAGCCGTATCTGCCGCTCGAGAGTGCAGTAATCCTCGCGGTTCTCTGTCTGTTGATATTTCTGTTCAACATCAAGTTCTACATTCGACGGACGAGATGCGCAGCCGTAGCTTTCACATGGCGGCATAAGTGGCTAGGCTACTTGGGTCTCTGGAGCAGCAGTTGTTGCGTGGTTGCCTCCCTCTGGCCATCACGACGAACCCGTCTGGATGACTGGACGAGAATTCTGGTAGGGACTGTCTGGGTATGTGATGCTCCTGTGAATCTTTCTCGAAGGACATGACCGTACTGATAGAGTTAGCTGTTCCTATGCGTAAGCCGCATCATCTATTTGATATCCCCAACACAGCGTCGGATTGCCTACAGGAATGCAGTGTTGCTGGGCACTTCACTTTTTCTGGCGGCAATCGTACCCCGCTATCTCTACCCTTCGATTTGGATGTCTGGGCCTCCAGGGCCTGATGGTCCTCCTCGATTTCCCTCACTGCCTCCTCGCCATTGTCCTCCAGGATCGCATGGCTTTCCAGGCCCTCCGCCTCATGGTCCTCCTCACGGGCCTCCTCACGGACCTCCCCATGGGCCTCCTCCTGGCCCGCATGACTTCTCTCCTCTGTTTACTCCTCGAGGGATTCTCGAAGTATTCTCTGCTTGTGTGTGCACAGTTATCATCCCTCTATTAACCCCATATCATCATCCAATCACCGAACAGTATCCTCACCCTTCAGAGACATGCTCCCCTGTGTCGCGATGGTGGCTCTATTCCTGGATCAGTCCTCTAGTGAAGAAGAGCTATGCTCATGGCGGAAATTTGGATTCTGAAGACATCTTGCCTATCCACCCTCAAAGCTCTCCGGAGAAGTGGCTAGAAAACTACGTCGAACTTCGCCAAAAAGGCGGCTCATTCCGCACGGCTATGTGGAGGCTTTTTCGTCCCCGCCTTGCTATAACAGCACTCTTCATGATTCTTTGCGGGTTCTTCGAATTCATCGGTACCTGGGGCCTCCAGCAACTACTTCTCTTCTTCCAGGGCTCTCGAGAAGTGAAAATTGCCCCATGGTTTTCTGTATTACTCTTTGGCATATGCCCGATTCTCCGTGGTCTATGCATGCAGACGTTCGAGTATTTCGCCACGCATACGATCGGTCACTGGAAAGCACTTATCATCTCCGCCGTGTATCAAAGATTGCTCCAGTTTCCTCCAGGTGAAAACATCGACGTAGGTCAGCTACAAAATAACATTTCTGGAGATATCGACCGACTTGGCACTCTACGCTACACAGTTATGACCATATTCATGGTGCCAGTTGAGCTTTCCGTGGCATCGGTAATGCTATATAGGACCATTGGATGGTCCTACATACCAAGTCTTGTGTTTCTGATCGCCACCAGACATCCGTTGTCAAAATTCATCGTGCAGGCACAGGGTGCGGCTCAGTCGAAAATTTTGCAGGCAACAGATGGACGAGTGGCACAAATAAGTGAAGCTATACGATACATGGCGACGATAAAGATGCTTGGGCGCGCGCAGGCTTTTGTCACGGGGATTCTTGACAAGAGAGCTAAGGAGCTAAAAGCGCTGTGGAAGAAAGCAGAAATAATAGTGACTTCGGAAGCTATCTCGACGGCCTGCACATTCGTGGCACTTGTTCTATGCCTGTGTCTGTACACGACAGTCTCGAAGGAACGTCTCGAAGCCGATGTCGCCTTCACTGTGATAGCCATATTCAACATAATCAAAAGCATGCTCTCGCTAGCTGTTCTTGGGACCGGACAATATGCGCAAGCGGCAGTGAGCTACAACAGACTATGTGAATTTCTAGATCACGAAGATCTTCCAGCAGGTTCACTCTATCCCACATCAACAAACTGGTCTAGGAATAGTATCGGTTTCCAGGGAGCGGGATTCGGTGTCCTTAATGCGGATGGATCGTCTCGGATGCTCTTAAGAGACTTGAACGTCCAGTTTGTCAGGAGAGGGCTAAACGTCATTAGCGGTCCACTGGGGTAAGCGTATCAATGAGTCACATGCAGAATACGTGGAATACGTGCTAACGAAATCTGCCAGATGTGGAAAGAGTCTCCTTCTACAGTCTCTTTTGTCCGAGCAACGGCAGTATGAGGGTACCGTGAGATTACGAGACGCACCATTTGAGCCTGTTGCCTATGCTTCCCAGAATCCCTGGTTTCAAAATGGTACCATTCGGGACAATATTCTGTTTGGGTCCCCGCTCATCAGAGAGCGGTACAAGCAAGTTCTGAAGATGTGCGCTTTAGAGCTAGATCTGGCTGAGTTTGAAGAAGGCGATCTGAAAGATGTTGGAGGAGCCGGCAGCGCACTCTCGGGCGGACAACGGCAACGCATTGCACTGGCTCGTGCGCTATACTCCAGTGCAAACACCGTCATCCTCGACGATGTGTTGTCCGCTCTAGACTCGGCTACAGCTACGTTCATAGTCGATAATTGCATTTTGGGTCCGTTGATGAAGGATCGGACATTGATCCTGGTCACCGATGACGCAAAATGTCTCGAGAAAGCTCACTTAATAGTTCGTATGGACGACGGAACTATCCAGGAGATCATCAGGAAGACAGAGAACGACCTCAGCATCAGTGATCGCGCGGAGCCCGCTACCCTAACGCTGGCCGTCCCTGGTACTCCCGAGACGCCTCCCAGACCTATAGGAACTCCTGCTGAAAACGCCATTGAGTTGACCAGTCCGAGAAATACCGACAGTGGAAAGCAAACCCCACTCATCCTTGACAGTAGTCGTCGCGGCCTACTGGGAACGGCTTACGGTGAATCGAGCCCTCTCCTTCGAGGTAGTCTTCTCGTGCTGACTTGATTCAGTTTTCAAATACATACGGTCTTTGGGCCGTTGGCCCTTTGTCCTTTTAACTTTCATAACTATGATGGTCGCGCAAGCCATGGATGTCGTCCTTCCTGGATGGCTTTCTTATTGGACCCTTGCGACGTTCTGTGCTCCGCCTGGCACCTCTGCCGGCTTCTACCTTGGGATTTTTAGCGGTACGTTGACAGCCAATATATTCATTGAGATTCTTGCTCATCGTCCGGACAGGTCTGGGTGCTGCTCAGCTCGCTCTCTTGGCCGCTTCTCTCTTGCTCCTGTACAGAGGTGCCTTGAGGGTAAGCCGCGATAAACACGTCAAGCTGCTTGCTACGGTCTTTGGTGCATCGTACACATGGATCGTGAATACACCAGCTGGTGAAGTGATCAATCGTTTCTCCACCGACATGACGAGTCTGGATGATACGCTGATGAGATCCTTGCGACCTGTCTTGGAAACGTACTTGTCCATCGGATTACGAATTCTGACCGTGGCTTCGATGGTGCCCATCTTCGTGTTTCCAGCTGTCGTACTCACTGGACTAGGGATCTATACGGGGTACCGGTACCGATTTGCATCCACAGCAGTAAAGAGACTGTACGCTGCCAGTCTGTCACCTCTCCATCACAGCATTGCGGAAACTGCCTCGGGGCTCGTCACTATCCGCGCGTACCGTGCAGAGAGGACCCTACAGGACCGGTTCATCGGTCAAGTTGAATACCATGTTCGATCGTGGGAGGCTGTCAGCGACTTGCAGCGGTGGCTAGCTGTCCGAATGGATCTATATGCCTCGCTGATCTGCTTTTCAGCCGCCGTGTTAGCGTACCTGCGACCGGGGCTAAACCCATCCTTCATGGGTCTGGGACTAACACTGACCACAGGGCTGTGCACCTCTCTTATGTGTAAGTGCAGAAGCTCTCGACCTGAAGCGAGCCCTGGACTAGACTGCTAACGGCCATGCCAGACCTGGTATATCTTTCAAGTCTACTTGAAGTGGAGATGAACAGCGTACAGCGCATCGACGAGTACATTGAAGACGTGCCACGAGACCCCGGCGAGACTTCCCCAGACGATGCAATTCCCGACGACTGGCCCACCCAGGGCAACGTCGATGTTCAGCATCTCACCGTGGGTTACTCGCTCGACAGCAAGGAGGTGCTTGGAGACGTCAGCTTCCATGCGCCTCCAGGCACACGCGTGGCCGTAGTGGGACGGACGGGTAGCGGGAAGAGTTCGCTCGCATTAAGCTTACTGCGACTAACGACCCAGTTCTCGGGCACCATCCGCATCGACGATGTTGATATCTCATCTCTGCCCGCCGAACGGGTGCGACAGCGAATCAGCCTGATCCCACAGGATCCCACCTTGTTCAACGGCTCTATCCGGTTCAATCTGGATCTCAGCGGGACCGTCTCTGATGAGCATCTTCAGTCGGTCCTGGACGCGGTCGTAGGCACGCACCAGTGGACGCTCGACGATATGGTAGAGTTGAACGGACAAAATTTCTCACAAGGTGAGCGACAGCTGATTGCTCTGGCGCGCGCGGCGGTCAATCGTAGCAAGGTCGTCATCATCGACGAAGCGACAGCCAGTCTCGACCAGGCCAGCGAAGCGCGCATCCAAACGGTCCTTCGCGACCAGTTCCGTGACTGCACCATCCTGGCCATAGCGCACCGCTTGGACAGCATCGTAGATTTTGATCAGGTCCTGGTGTTGGATCACGGTCGTGTGGCGCAGCGCGGGCATCCACAAACCTTGATCGAGAGGGAAGAAGGCTTGTTCTACGAGGCGTACGCGCAACAGGCCCGCCGGACGGCGTGAGCGGTACGCCCTTAAATGGTTCCTGGAGTTTTACCACTTGTGTAGTTGCATGTACATAGTTACTTACAGTAGATATCATCGAGAATTACTCGGTTGTCAGTTGGCTTCCATACTTCATCGTGATCTCCTCGTAGTCAACTCAGAGAGTAGTTAACTATAAACTACTAAATTAGATATCCAGCAGTCAGTTCGATCGTCCTCCCTGCGAGTACTAGTAGATAGTTACCCTAAGTTTGACGCTACCAGGTGGACCATCTCTAACTTACCACTAGAGCAAAGGGTGACGACGGCGTCTTCGTCGCACGCGGCCTTTTTGTCCACTCAGCCCCAAATCCAATAATAATAATAATGGCCCTTGCGCTACTCGGACATCCTCATCGGCCTCGGTGACGCCTCCGGATTCGCAAGCTTCGTTCTTGTGGCTGTCGATCTCTGCGGGATCCGCAGAATATTCAGACGCTTAACTGGAACCCACCAAGAGGCCCGCGGAGGCCTTCAATGGCGGAGGGTTTCTTGTAGTCGATAAGACGCTCTCTGCGCCATCCACCGTTTCTTCATAACGCTCCCCATCCCTCAATTCTCTTTGTAACCCCTCCTCCGCAACGCGATGAGCCACATGGAGGATTCGCCACATGCCAGACGATATCGAGGAGCAGATTAGATGCGCATCTCGACGCTATTGCTCTGGACCAGCGCGGGGCTTCCAGCATGACTGACACCAAGAAGGAACCGGAGAAGGACAAGGGAAAGGACAAGGAAAAGGAAAAAGAAAAGGAAAAGGACAAGCAAAAGCCCGTCAGGAAGCGCAATGTTGTCTCGCGAGGTCGCACTGGTTGTCTGACCTGCCGTCGACGGCGTCTGAAGTGCGATGAGGCGAAACCCGCTTGTCACAGTGTAATTGACCCAGATCCTCGCGCATCATGGCCTGCCATCTGACATCTGCCATTTACAGTGCACTCGTCTGAACCTGAAGTGCGAAGGCTACGCTCAGCGCATCTCCTTCAAAGATCAAACCGACCTGGTCGTCGAACGGGCCAAAGGAAAGTCGACCAAGAAACGGAAGGCATCCGAACCACCGATCAAGGAGGAAGATTCTACAGACAGCGTGCACCAACCCAGCGATAGCGGGAGTCCAGCGGAGAAGAGCAGTGCCAGTCCGCCAGCTACGAGCTCGATCACCTTCGATAACCCCATCGTTTTTGCCGGAGAGCCATCGGATTCACGCCGGCTAGATTCCGGGCGCACGCAAATTGATAGCCAGCAGTCAGCAACTTCCACTCCCGACCGTGTTTTGGGGGACCCCTTGGCCTCTTTCGATTCACTACTCTCGTCCACCACAGACCCCTCTGGGGGTTCGATGATATTATCGGATGTTCCTATTAAGTCCCATCTCGCTGAGGATTTTTTCACAGACTCCGGGGAAGGCTCTTCCACGTGGGTGGTAGCGCAGGAGGGAGAAGGACCGTTCGATCAGCATTACCAAACAGAATTCGCTCGAAGCTCTCCGGATACACATTCTGAGTTCACAAGAGGCTCACCGTCTTCAGAGGTGGCATTCTCGGCAGCCTACGGCACACCTCCATCAATATCGCTGGTGCCATCATCCCCCAGCAGGCCGCTTCCAAACGCCTTCCTGTCTCTCTGTGGTGCGTACGAGTTTCCGGAAGATGTGGCCTACTACGAGTATTCGGCCGGTCACTTTCAAAGTCTCTCACGGGTACTTCCACTCTCGGAATTATTTAGATCAGAACCGGTGTCACCTCATGTTTACAATGCGGCCTTAGCCCTTGCGGCTTTGAATCTCTCTAGTATGGAGGACTATTCGAAAAATCCGGTCGTGCTACGGCAACATGCATTTCAGCATAGTCTAAAAGCTGTTCAGGGTATACGGGAGGCGCTATCTTCTCCAGACCAGTCAAAGGCTCTCCGAACACCGAAGAACGTGGACACCGGTCTGTCATTATTTGCGACGATTATCTTGCTAGCCAACTTCGAGCTTCAACGAGGCTCTTTGTTTTCCTGGCGCTCCCATATGCGCGGGGCAGCATCATGCCTAGGCATCTGGCACAAAGACATGGCACAGAGACCTGCAGGGATGTTATTGGCCAAGGCCTTTGCTAGAATGGCACTTCTCTTACGCCTATACAACGAAGACTACTCGGTTACAACACCAGATGTTCTGTCTCCCAGTTTAGCCGCCTGGTTGAACAGTCTGCTCGCCAGATCTTCCGAGTTGCAGGATCGGCTCTTACTTCTGGTCGAAGAATGGACGCAGATAGAAATAAAATATCGTGAACAGCCAGAACTAGAAGACCAGTGGATTGCATTCAGCGACGACTTCTTATCCAGATTAGATGAGTGGCGGAAAAATATACCGCCCTCAGATCTACCAGTGGAAAGCAACGGGCCTGCTAGTGTGACGGTTTACGCTCCTTCACAACAGTCTGCGGATTCGTCCGGTTTTGTCTACGTTCCGGCTCTCTGTTTTCCAAATTCTGCGGACCCATGTACTGCTGCGGTCAACTACGCCACTTACCTCTGTCTGGGTATGAGATCTCGGACGCGGTACTCTGTGGAGTTAGGGAAGATTGTACCTCCAGACAGTGACGAGACAGCACTCATGATTTGTCGCATTGCGGCTGGCATCTCTCCAGTATCATTTGGACAGTCCTACACATATGCTTATGGCATGCTGCCTTCTGTCGTGGGGGCGGCTCGCTGGTCATCAAACCCGGGTCTGAAAGCCTGGGTGAGAGATTACCTGACGAAATATAAGAGTAACCGTGAGGGAATATGGAATGTTTCTCATTCCATTCGGTTGCTGGACCACATGGACCGTGAATACGCCAGGCGCGGAGCCGCTGGATGGGAGATGGTTGCTGTCCGCGTCTTGGACGAACCGACGGATCCATCCCCTGATCTTGAAGAAAACGATAGCAGTAAGCCCTTCAAGATCGTGATGCGCGGAAGGACCAGGCAAGGCCGCTCTGAAGACGTCGTCGAAGTCCCTTAGAGCGCTCATGGATATTGCTTTTTGGGAGTCAGGGCGGTATAGGCGTTCGCCCCGTTATTGATTTATGGCTGTCGAAAAAGACAATTTAAGTATATGGTCTCGGACATCTGATGTTTGGATGCGGGTTTGATACCACTGATGACGATAGCCTCTGATTTTGTTTGCTTTCTTGCATGTCTCCCGGAACGGGATCTCGGGATTTTGACGGCTGATTTAAATCTCTGTCAATGAATATACTCTTTTCTCTATCATGCGGACCGCAGGCAGCTGCAAGATTAGAAATGTTTTTAGGCGTGTTAAAATGACTCTGTTTTAGATACGGCAAGTCAACTCATTGATGGCTCGAGTAGTTGCCGCCGACTCTCCTAGCCTCAACAGAACAAACATGATAACAAGCCAACTGTACGATCTTCGGAGGTTGCTAGCTCAGGAACTTGTTCCTGTGCGTGTGACCACTTTCCGGTCAAAGCTCCCAGGCTAAGATACCGATATCATGCACGCCACAGAATGATCTTATCGGAGAAATCGACCAAGCAACTTATGGCTCATCCTCAAGCTAACCATATCCTTACTAAAACCCCACCTCTGGCAGGCCAAGAATTACATAACTACGTGCACAGATAACAGGTAGTTAGTTAGCTGGGCAACTGTACATGATACGTACTGGGTCCCAATCGGTATCGTCAAGAGCAGGAGGGCTTGCTGTATACTGGCTATGCCGTTCATGATACCAAATGTCATTCAGAGCATTCTCAAGAGGTCGTTGTTAGCAGTACTCAGTAGTACATCTTACCATAGAACTGACAAAATCTCGAGGTTTCAGTTGTTCTCGACGATCTAGCATGACGAAGATCGACAGGGAAAGAATGCTAGTTGGCGCTCGGTAGGGGATTGATAAACATTCCCCGTTCCAGGCCAGGCCTGTTGCCAATTCTGGCCCCCAAACAGCGATAAGGACGATGCACAGACAAGTATTGTCCATAAAGATGTCCTTGCATCTTGGAAACTTTTTATCTGTTTGGATAACTGATACTCAGTAAATGGGGTCTTGTTCCTTTCTGTTATCTATGCTCTCGGCCTCAGCGTCGCTATACCGTACGAAGTGCCAAGCAGCCACTGTATCCCCCTCGTAGCTGGACATATAGCTAAAAGCTGGGTGGTGATGAACTTTCGGCTTTCTTTCAAGGAAGTATAAAATCTTGTTTGCCTTGATTTCTCACTCTCTCTATCTCAAGCGTAATTGCGAGATTAATAGTCACGATCCATCCTCCTGTATTAGCGACAACCAGTGACTACTTCGAACCTTTGCAAGATGTTAATCGACCCCGAGAAGAAAGTTGCGGCTACACCAACGAGCATTAGTGCAGACAATGAGGATGGTCGGGGGCTTTCGCTGGATGAAACTTCCGGTGATATCCAAACGGTCGAGATCGATAAGGCGGTCGAAAGATCGTATTTGCGAAAACTAGATTTTTATCTGCTACCGTATCTGTCGTTGATGTATTTGTTTAATTCAGTTGATCGAGTGAGTTTTCTTTTTCTATGTTTGAGATTTGGTTTCTATACTATCTCGTTGTATGCTTTCAGATTGCCGATAACTTCTCGACTTTAGTCAAACTTGGCAAATGCAAAGACAGACGGGTTCGACAGAGATATGCATTTTACTGGAAACGAGTATTCTCTCCTTCTGCTACTCTTTTACATCCCCAATGGTCTCGCCGGTGAGTACTAGCTTCATATAAAGCATTTTTGGACAGGGGCCGCTGACCTGGACATTGTCAGACCTGCCACTGAATCTCCTGACGAAACGGTTTTCAGGGAAGATTACCCTTCCATCGTTAATGCTGATATGGGGTGGTCTGTCCATGATTCAAGTTGGATGCACAAATTTTGGAGGGATGCTTGTAGTTAGGCTGCTCATCGGGTAAGAGTCGATATATCATCTTCATGCTTGCTTTTATAGATCGAGACAGTAGGAACTAATAGTAGTACGCAGTTTCTTCGAGGCCGGCTTCTTCGCTGGAACTGTCTTCTACCTTACACTTTTCTATAATCGAAATGAACTCGGATTCCGCATCGCGCTTTACTTTGGTAGTGCGGTCCTAGCAGCTGCCTTCTCGGGGATTCTGGCCTACGGTGTCTTTCAGATTAATGATACTAGCATTGCCGGATGGCAATATTTATTTATTATTGAGTATGTTCCTTCGTTTCTTTAGCGGCAACTTTGTCGTCGAAAAAACTCGCTCACAGAATGGTTCCTTAGAGGTGGTATTACCGTTCTCCTTTCACTTTTCGGTTACTACTGGCTACCATCCTCACCTCAGAATGCACGCTGGTTTACTCCCGCGGAGAAAGAGGTAGCCAGGACTCGTGCTCTCCGGGACGGTTCGAAGGTTGTCGATGAGAAGTTCAACTTCAATCTGGCATTCCAGCAGTGGAAAAATCCCAAAATGATCTTGTGGTCGTTTATCTCCTTGACATACCCGATTCCGTTTACTACTTCGGCCAATTTCTTACCTCAGGTTCGTACATTGCGCTTCTTTTCCCTACTCTTCGTCATTATAGGGAGTTGCATGATAATTAATAGTATCAACAGATCGTCCAAAGGCTGGGCTACAGCGAGGTCAAAACAAACCTGATGACCGTTCCTCCCAACCTGGTCGGTTTCTGCGTCCTCCTCGTCGTCACCTGGTCATCAGACCATTTCCGTGAGCGTACATTCCACATCTGCTTCGCTCTACTCCTATCCCTAATTGCACTTATCATCCTATCCACCATCGACGTAGCCACCCACAAGGGCGTCGCCTACTTCGCCATGTTCCTCCTCGCCTCCGGCGCCTACATCCCCTCATGCCTCGTTCACTCATGGCATAACAACAACAATCTCAGCGAGAACGCACGAGCCGCAACCACGGGAATCCTTGTTGGTTTGGGTAATCTGGGCGGTATCCTGAGCAGCGCGACTTTCCGCATCGAGTATGCTCCTAAATACATCCCAACTTTGGCAGCTACGGCCGCGAGTGCTGCGGCGTGTATTATCCTGACGCTGGGTTTTGGTCTTTGGATGAAATGGGATAATTATAGGAAGAATCGTGAGCAAGGAGTGCAATTGAGGGCTGAGGATGTGGATACGCATCTATTGGAGGATGGGGAGAAGAGCCCGAATTGGAGGTGGTTTACTTGATCGTGTTCTGTCGGACTCTGTCTGGAGTCACTCTGGATTAAATGGGATATTTTTTTCCCTGATTTCCCCACTCTTGGGTCTCTAGTCCTATTGTACATGGACCGCCTCAAGAGCTACATTAGCTCAGCCTTCAGGTAACCTCAAACGTGAACCGAGGAGCATGGTGCTTTTATAGAGTATGACTCAAGGCTCGTCGGGATGGTTTCTCAAGCCCCACCAGCGATGGGTAGTGAGTCGTAGTTAGTTGAAATGAATCGCAGGTGATGTTGCACCATCGACGTCTTTCACTCTAATCATCTACATGTTCCGCACCAAACGGTCATTTGTTATAAAATTCCGTGACCTAGATCCGATTCAAAGATCACCAATATCGCCTGAGTGGATGATGTGGAAGACAAAACGAGAATATGCCTTATCCAGAAATCCTTGAAGGAAAAGCCGGGGCTGGTACCGCAGTGTTTCCTGACATAGAGCCGTTGAAAAAGGTGTGCGAGTAAATATCGCTGCTATTTGGCCCGAATAAGTATGCTAATGCAGCAACAGCATCAAGTTGGTGACCTATCCTTGGAGGCCTATGGATCCAATTTGGATGACATCCAGAAAGCCTTGTCCTCCAAGACATGGTTTGGCTTTGATCTTGATGACACGCTCCATGAGTTCCGAAAGGCCTCTGCATCCGCGTCCTCTGCTGTGTTCAAGGCGATCCGCAATGAGAACCCAAATATTAGGATAGAAGACCTTGACACGACCTACCGTGATATACTTCGTTCAAAAACAGCCGGTGCTTTCACCGATGGAAGGACATCTACTGAGTACCGCAGGGAGCGCTTCTCCCATCTCCTTCAGGTCCATGGAATTGCGCCATCGGAAGACTATATAAACCGTCTCTTAGCAATCTATCAAAATAGTCTCGGGAATTCTCTCAGACTGAAAACGGGCGCGCTTCAGTTGCTCCAAAGACTGAAGACACTAGGTAAGAAAGTGATTGTGATGACAGAGGGGCCGCAGGACGCGCAGGAATGGACAGTATCAGAACTTGGACTGCGGAGCTATATTGACATTCTTATCACGACCAATGAGATAGGAAAGTCCAAGATCGATGGCCTATTTCCGATTGTGTTGGACAAATACAATATTGCCGCCTTGGATATCGTCTATGTGGGTGATAATGAGCAACGAGATATTTTCCCGGCACGGGCAGCGGGTATAATGACTGTGCTTTATGATGAGCGGAGTGATTGCCGATTTGAGAACGCTGAGGTATTTCGTCTTAATTCTCTTCTAAAGCTGAAGTATCTGGTAGGTTGAGAAGCTGGCTTGGCTATGATGTTAGAGACAAAAGAGTTGTACGTGGTCGTTGATGTATCTGCTTAATTCAGTACATAGGATAGGGTCTTCTTTCTGAGTATACTTGAGGTTTGCTACTATACCTGACTGTATCTCTCTTGGTATATATGCGTCCAGGTTTCTGATAGCTTCTCCACTCCAGCCGATCTTGGCAAATTCATGCTACTCAAAATTCATAATCCAAGTTAACTCGTGAAAAACACTTCTATAGCATGCAAAGTAAACAATATACTGTTATATTGTAGTAGCTAGCAGTGCTATCGGCGATCGGCGGCCGGCGGACTCCGTTGAGAGTTCTCCCATCCTTCTTTATCTTGCTCAAAAACCCCAACTCTTGGAGCAATATTCATTAAGAGCCCCATGTCAAAGGCAGGTTGTGTATGATCAATAAAAACCATAGAGTCATATAGTCGATGGTGACGGGGATGGGGCCCCGGCGTGCCTATCAGATCCATCCTCAATGTGTGTATCCTGTCAGTGCAAGAGCTAGAGGCACCAATTGAGACGACTGGGTTCACTAGCATTTCCCATATTGATCAGTACTAGGATCATGTCATCCATTTATTCGGTTGGTTGAGGTCCATTGAGTGCCAAGTCGATTATCTCTTATCGGCGGCACGGCCGATAGAGGATGTATCTGGTTTTGTAGCTTAAAAAAGGTATTATATCGGACTCTCTAGACCACTCAACTAAAAAGGAGAAATCTCCGATTTTGTCTCCTTGGGTCCAACAAGGTACAATTCTACGCTTGAGAAGTCAGGATATTTCACGTATAGAGCCATCCTTGGTATGCATGTCCTTTATTATCTACGAGACCTTTCTATGTTGATTAACTGTCCTCTTTATCCGGTTAGAAATAAAGGCGATCGGCAAGTACAATCACTTGGGCCACAAGAAAGATGCCACCTCCTCCGATCCTTGACTTTTCTGGTACGTAACTAATGCTTTGGAAAAACTCCCTGCTCAGGTCAGCTGGATACCTTCCTGGTGACTACCGATTCTCACTTTCGCTAACGGGCTGCTTGTCGACCGGCAGTATTCTACGGCGATGATCAAGCTGCGAAACAGCAACTAGTCGACCAAATTCGACAATGCTGTCTGTACAACGGCTTCTTCCAGATAACTGGACATCGAATCCCGTGGGAGCTACAAGAGAAAATGCTGCAACTCTCGAAAGAATTCTTTGAACTACCTCTGGAGGAGAAGGAAAAAGTCAATAAGAGTATGTGTCCATTATCGGTTTGCTTATGGAAACGAGATGTAAGGTTTTGAAGAAAGACACGTCTTTTTTTTTTCAAATTTCTGACGATTTTCTATCGTAGATAATAACACGTGGAATCGAGGATACGAACTCCTACGATCTCAGATCCTCGAGGAGGGGACGCATCCAGAGTTGAAAGAGGGATTCTACATCGGGGACGAGATCTCCACCGATCATCCATACTTCCTTCAGAAGAAATTGAACAGTGGACCAAATCAGTGGCCGCAAAGCGTCAGGGATCCAGAGGATTTCAAGAATACTGCGATTGCTTATTATCGCGCGGCGTTTGAACTCGCCAAGGACATCCTGCGCATACTCGCATTTACGTTAGATCAAGATGAGAGCTTCTTTGGTGGTTTTACAGATGGGGCGGTTGCTACGATGAGACTGCTACATTATCCACCACAGCCGAAGGATTCGGACGAGAAGCTCAGCCGCGGCATTGGGGCGCATCAGGATTTTGGGGCCGTAACTCTGCTTCTGCAGGGAGACGTCGATGGATTGCAGGTGTTGGATGTGCCAACTGGGGAATGGTTTGATGTAAGTCGATTATTTGGTCTCAATCTCTATCATCGACTTTCTGCCACTGGATGCATGTTAATAATCGTATCTTCAGGTCGAACCTGTCAAAGGCGCCTACGTCGTGAACCTGGGAAATCTCTTCATGAAATGGTCCAACGATAAGTATAGATCGAATATCCATCGAGTCATCAACAAGTCCGGCCAGGAACGTTATTCGATCCCATACTTCTTCAGCGGTAACCCTGACTTTGTATGCGACTGTCTCCCCAACTGTGTAGCAGAAGGCGAAAAGTCCAAGTATCCGCCTAGGACGGTCAGTGATTTCATCAATGAGGGTTACCAGGTCAGCTACGGCCGAGCAGAGAAATTCAAGAGAGAAATGGAGAAGAAAGAAGCCGAGGGTCTCAGTTTGACTGCGCCGGCCGTTGCGGCGGAGGCGTAGGAATAGCAACTTGGAGAAAATGCACATCATGACAGCCATAAATGATTCTTCCAGTTTTGGTGTCGACCACCTTCGATGGGAACCTCTGTGGCAATGGTTGGTTACGCAAAGCTTAGAAGATAACCTTAGTGCAATGTCAAAGATAGAGCAGGGCCAAGATCTGACGCCGACAGACTGCAGACCAAATGGAGAGAGCAATAGAGCCATAACGGCAAGTCTATAATTATACTATGGAACATCTGCTGTGACTAGCTCATTTCCTTACGAGATAGTCTATGGCCAGGTAAAGTTAATTAATGACCGACGTTAGCATGCACCGGAAATACTTCCTACTGGCAGCTGCCATCTATGAGGATAGGGACCAGGAGTGGATTGTGGCTCTATCCTCCCTCTTTCTTCTTTCATCTCCCAGACCTCATCTCCTATCTTCAACCTCCTCTGGCTCTCGGTCCTACAAGCACTGACTACATATCTAAACAGAGATCGCCATAGAAGCAAAGTCACTCGTCGTGACGGGAAATACCGGCGCTGATGCGCTCTCTGGGACCTTCTGGTGGCCTCGCCCTCCTTTTTCCAACCGCACAGGCGCCGTCGACCCGCTCGCGATGGTCAGCCACTTCCGCAACCAATCCATCATCCAGTCTGCCCCTCTATCTCGACCGTTGAGCTATTCTAATTTAGATCGAGTTGCGATCTGATCATTCCTATTCTCTTTGGGAAGTGAACGGCGGGCACAAACACCTGCACGACAGTCGACCGGAACTGCGGATCCCATATAGAGATCTACCGTAGTCATGACCTGTCGATTCTGATCTCATGGGCCAGCTTGGGCTTCTCTTCCTTCCCTTCATTCTCTTCATTCTCTTCGTTCTTTTTCCTTCTTCTTGCTCAGGCAGTCATTCTGCAGCACCTTATCACCGGTCTGTCATTTTGTCCCGAACCGTGCTGTGACCGGCGGGATGGTAGAGACGCCACGATGGTCGGCGTACCGCGCAGCAAAGCATGTCTCTTATGCCTCCAGCGGCGCGTGAAGGTTAGATCTGGGTGCCAATCTGCATAATACGACCTTCTAACTGGTACTCACCCTAACAGTGCGACGAGCTCCGACCAGGATGTTCCCAGTGCCAGAAATACGGCGTTGCATGTCCCGGGTACAATAAGGCTCTAAAATTTCAAGATCAAGGCCCCCTACTACGGCAAAAATTCGGATCTCGAGCTGTCACCAAGCAAAACAGTCTACAGGGATTTCAATCGTCAATCGATGAGCGGGTGGTGCCGTCCCTAGTCTCAATATCCATGAGCAAGCAACAACCCAATGTCTTCCGTGACTTCGTCTTAACAGCTTTCCCACGCTGGTTTGGCCTGAACAAGCACCGTGTACAAGTAACGTGGGTTGCTTATGTTTCTGAGCAGCTCGGCAAGAACCCAGCGCTAGATGCTGCTGTCTACTGTATCACATGTGCATTTATGGGCCATTCTCGCAGGGACAAAAGGTTGAAGGAGTCTAGTTTCGAGATGTACTCCAAAGCTTTGAACCTCTTGAAGGAGTCGGTCAAGGATGGGACGGCCCTATGTTCGCGGGAAAGCATCAGCACATCTATACTCCTCGCTATGTTTGAAGCATATACAGCCACTAGCAACGATGCGTGGGCTCGACACGCCAGCGGTGCATCTATGATGATGTCCCTTAGGGGAGCAGAGAGTCACCATTTCGGATTTGACCGTAGTTTATACATCTCGTTTCGCAGCTTCTTGGTCGCTCAAGCATTCGTCGAGGGCAAACCGTGCATGTTTGAGAAACCAGAATGGCAAACCTTGATTGACCAGATCCGGAAAGAAGATATGGCGGATCCTAGGGTGGACGAGCCGATTGCAGTCTTTATCGACATATCCGATAGACTCTTCATGGAGATCGTCAAGTTCCCCGGGTTGGTGAGTGAGGCACGCTCTCTTATCTCATCACCAGGAAGAGGGACGTACGAAAAGAAAGACCTCATGGCAAAGATGCTCAACGCTCGTGAAGTGACAAGTATCCTTGCTGCAGATATGCGCAATGCTCTAGCTGCACATGGCCATCTTTCCCGCGGAGGTTACAGAGTCCCTTTTATCGGTCCAGTTCCCTCAACTTTTCCAGAGGCGTTCGCAAACAGTTTACTTCGTGGCACTGATATGGCGTTAAGCGTACTCGACTTCCAATTGGCAGACCTTGCAACCGAGGGGGCGGCAGACCGTCCGGTCTCCAGGCCCTTTCGGATCATATCGAACCTTGCAGGTGGTGAGATCAGCCAAAGCTCAGAAGCAGCTGATGATACTCGACAGGTAAATGAATGGCTAGACAAAGTCGCGTCTTCCATGGGGATGGAAGGCATGGCAATTGTCCTATAACATCAAAAGCCCCCTGCGGTGGTCCACATAAAATACGATATGAGCCAATAAACTCACTCAGGCTCCAACCTCCAGGAAGCAATTACAAACAGCAGCTCTATAACGACAGAAGACAGAATGTCCAAATAGGATTATTTATCCGATTCCGTGAGACGAATATCGTACTGACGTGAGTCGTAACATACAAACAAACAAGATTACCTTCAACCCTGGGAAACACCGTGCTATCGAAACCATAAAAACAGACCAGGAAAGTAAAACTCCTTGTACATCTTCAATCAACTCAATCAACCACACCCCATATCCAATTGCAACCGAGTTTTCTGGATCGCCAGGCGGCCAGCAAGATGCAATCCAAGAACGCCGTATTAAACTCTTCCCAAACCAAAGACCTCGAGTCCCGACAAACCACAGGACAGAAACAAAATTGTGAAACCGGGCACAGCCGTTGAAGATGCACAGTGCATGCCGGTGAGACGCTTTCACCGGCGAATTCACAAATCGAAGCAAGCAACCATGAATAAAAATGCTGAATGGAATCGCAAAGTCATGAGGCATAAATGGGGGTCACCAGACTTGAAGTCGACTGAACCTTTTTACAGCATCTATTTGACTCTTGTGGAGCATCCGGCACTGCCAATCCTGCCGCTAATCTTCCTAACGCCCTTAGTGGTTTCGCTTTTGCTATCGGTCGCTCGTCGAGGACTCGAGCGCACCTTACCCATGGTAAGAGCACCGTTGCCACTCTTGCTGCTACCAGGGGTCTTTGGCTTCCCGGTCGGCGACTCAACCCAATTCTCACGGTCCTCATGTATTTCGTCGGCCAGCATATAACTGGCACTCACCGTGGCAGAGTAGCTGATGGAGCGTTGAGTGGGGGAAGCGGTAGGGCTCCTGGAAGAGCGTTTCGCGAGCATTCTAAGTTGGATCTCCTCTTCACTTTCGCTGCCTTCATTGCTTAGGCGATGAGATCTGGTCTTGCTGCGCTCAACCGTCCTCTCGACCTCCTTCTCAACGGTAATACCGCCTGAGACATTGCGGGCGTATGGATGATGCCGGGAGTCCTTCCTGTGGGACTTGCGCGGCTGTCCAGGCGTTGGTGCCGGGAGATTATCTTCAGCATGGTGACCGCTTCCTTCGTTGTGATCAATTTCACCGAGAGCCGCACGCTTGGAATGGCTTCCATTGGGAGGCGTGGTGGTCTGTCCGTTGCTCGCCCGCTGCTTCGGGGCGGCCCTACCAGGCGTGACCGGCATAGTAAGAGCCAGCTTCTCCCTCATTGAGTCCTCAAACCACCATTCGCGGAAGGCGCCTTGGTTCAGGTGCAACCAATGCTGCTGTGGTCCAACAACCATGCCCGGCCGCATGAATCGCATGAAGGCAATGATCTCGTTCGCAGTGAACCCATATCTGTAAATCAGGTACGCCCCGATAAGGCATCCAGTACGCCCCAATCCTGCTTTGCAGTGCACAGCAATTCCCTTCTTTTTGATGGTGATCATTTCGTGGGCCATCTTGATGAAACGGCGGACCAATGGCAGCGGTGGGCAAGTACCGTCCTCGAAGATCATGTCAATGTGATTGATTCCCAATGCAGTGAAGTACGACGGCGAGTACAGCTCCGAATTCAATCGCACTACCAGTCCGACATTGCGGGAAGAGAAGTGGGCAAGTACGTTCTTGAAGGGAAGTGGCAGTCTCGAATTGAGAACTTCAGAGACGGTCGATGGCAGGGCGGCATATTCAGGCGTGTTTGACGGGATGGGCGCTACCGGCTGGTGCTGAGGCGATGCGAAGGCCAAAAATTGGGGGGTGATCCAGTTAAAGTCACCCATGTCGACACGTTCAAATTTCTCATACCTAACCCCGCGTCAACATTGTTTGTACCATGGAGCTGGACATTACTTACTCTTCCAGGCTGAACTCCCTCAATCCACATAAACCTTCTTCCTTGGCCTTCCAGACGCCGTACACAACATCTTGAATGCTCAAGACAAAGTCTGCCTGGCTGTATCCAGCATCGCGGAAAGGCATATATGGGGGATCCGCCTGAGCGATTGGGGCAAGAGCCAGATGCGGGGGCCAGGACTGGATCAGGACCATATAGCACGCCACCAAACAAGCAGCGTTGGCACGGCTCCGCGAATCAGTCTTGCTGTAAAACACCACTGCGCGGTCACTGTTGGCGGGATCTCCCAGAATCTCGTGGAAATGCACGGCAAAACGATAGAGGTGTCCAATGTGGAAAGGACCGAAGTCTGCATGGAAGGCATTGTAGAGCAGGGTGTCATCAACAGTGAAATAGACAGGCCTCTTCGACGTGTCTCTTCCTGGGGTCTGCTGGCCTCTAGATCGTTTACTAGGCGACTTGGGCTGCGGTGCAGCATAGGGGAAAGGCGTGTGAGCATCGGGGGTGGAATCGTAGGAGGCGAGGTACAAGCGATCTGTTTCGAGTCAGGTACGGATTCTCCTCCATCTGGGCCTTTCCAGGGAAGCACGCGACCCACGAACCTTGGATATACTCGATCACCTGCCCATAGCAACCCTGAGCGGAAGGCATCTTGTTTGCGCAGATTGTCGCGGAATCGATCCGGACACCAGAACGAGAGAGAAGGGTTAACCCAGGCGTCCTAAGAGGACAATTGGATGTTTTGAGCAGAGAAAGACTTCAACCTAGGCAGGTCCGCAGGAAGTGGAAGTTGATTCAGGGCCAAATGGTCATGGCCTGGGCAACAACAACAACCGGAATTCCAATCGTCCACGCTCGCGGCTTGGGCTAGCAGTCAAGAGAAATGCGGGAAGGTAAGGATACAGGCGATATACCAGAGAAGAAATGAATATGGTGAAGCTGAGCCCAGCGCCGAGATAGACAGATGGAAGTCGGAGTAGAAGAGGAAGAAGAAGACTTGAAGGTCGAGATACCCATGACACTTTTTGGCAGCTGCGACGCACGCTAAGTGGCTGTTATGTTATGATGTCCCGATACGGTAAGCGCGCTGCCGTTGACAGGACAACGGTTGCCGGCCTGAGGCACCAGGGCCCGTCCTGGTCACGGGATTGGCCGTCACCATAACAAACAGTCGCAGACCGCCCTCGTTCACAACAAACACATTCCTGAAAGGCTCGTCCATGGCGAGTCAGACGGTGCCATGTCTCTGCTGAGGTGGATCGGGCATCAAATCTCCATACCGGGTGACTTCGTCTGAGCTTCAACAGCCACCACCCCAGCTGGTTGACTGGGGCCCCTCGAGCCCACAGGGAGGGGTCCAGATGGCATGTTGATGATTCTATTGTTGCTTATCCACAGGCGTGATATACAAAGCGCTCGTGATAGCTAGTATCTGGCCCAGCATGGACCAAACTGGGCGATTGAACGAGTATGAATTCATCGGCCACGTATGCTCGTCCTTAGATATTCACAAGCAATCCGCCGGTTTTCGAGACAAGTTGGTGACATAGCAAAGGAGCATGGGACACATTGTTCATGTGCAGTCCTTGGCTTCTTCCCCCACGGACACGATTTCACTGGGTTTTTGGGATATATTTCCGTGGGTTTGCTCCCCAGATCAAAGATATGCTCGTTGTGATTCTATGTGACCACGATCTATAGTTATCTACGTGGCCACGATCAGAACCCATCGACATGGATGCACGAACCTATATCGTTTTCCCGGCTCGAGGCCACCCTGCAAGACATGTAGCGAGTAGTCTAATTCCATCACCAAAAGCACGAGATAAACCTGCAGCGGCGTGTCTGATACATCGCGTTATGTGTGAGCTACACGGACAGGTCGTCTACTGAAACGCCAGGTCATCCCGCGGGTGTCAGACAAGAATGCAGCGTGTGGATTTTCTCGAAGCATGCCCTGTAAAGTTTCGTTCATGGAGCTAGGTGGCGAAGACGGGCTGAGTACCCACGACAATGGAATTCTCCCCATACAATGTACACGCGCGGCTCTACAGTCCAATGGTGATCTCGTCCTTGGTTTTCCAGGCCATCTACTGTTTACCATCACTGAGGCAATTGAATTTGTACCCTCCGGGGATGTGTAGTTCATCGTGTGGACATCGCGCTTGGCGAACGATAACTTTGGCCATTAGGCCTCGTTATCCGGACTCGCTGTGCAAGGATCCAAGATTAGTATATGATACCCATGCAGCTCGTAGGGTCATCACTGTACTTTGTTCTTGACGATACTATGCATACTAATATCCTTTGATCTGTTTGCGATGGTGGTAGTACCAACAGTGTATAGACATACATTATCTCCAGATATATATTTACGGTACACAGCCCTTCAGTCCCTCTCAATTACTTCGAATAAAGACCACCCCTCCACGAACTACATGAAAAGCCAATAGCAATGCTTAACACACTCAATACTATAGGGACCCTCGCAAATAACAAACTACCCGCTGTCAAACACCAGAAAAGCATACATATTCTCTACCATCTCGAGTAACCACAAGTACGAACTGTCCGACATACTTAGTTCTGAATCTCTGATTAATAGATTCAAAAGACTCGCCGCTTTAACAAGAACCGGTTCTGTAGTGTAGCGGTTATCACTCCGGATTCTGATGATCAGAATCTTCCGGCAACCCCGGTTCGATTCCGGGCAGGACCTGAGTGGTGGACTCCTTCTGACTCTTAAGATCCCGATTGGGATTCGTAGAGGCAGTGAGTTCCTTTTATTTTTGCTCCCTAGAGATGTGTGATGGCTGCGATACATAGGAAGAATTCTAGGTTCTTTGTGGGAGATGTATAATTAGACGAAGAGATTTAGGGAAGGGTCTTTTTAAGCCGTTGAATAGCATTTGTTGAACAAATAACCAAATTCGATAACCAATTTCTTTCTTTCTATGTGGGCAAGGAAGAACTGTGGAGATTCTGGAAAACTTTGACAGGCTATCGAACTCATCACAGATTTACCTTAGCTTGATAAGATGAAGATGCCCCGATCCACACCAAGATAACCGGTTCTGTAGTGTAGCGGTTATCACTCCGGATTCTGATTGCATCAGGATCTTCCGGCAACCCCGGTTCGATTCCGGGCAGGACCTTCTTTTTTCACATTTTTTTCTCACCAGAAAAAATGTGACTAGACTATTGTCAACGGGGAAGTCGCAGTTTGTTGCCCTCAGTGTTTTTTTTTTTTTCTTTCTCTTTTTTATACACTACTCCGCACAGAGTAGTTAGTTATCTAGTTGACTATACCGTAGAATCTGCCCTTATCAATAGGTGGTGTGGCGCAATATGGAGCTATTATTCGGCGCAAGCAGAGATGCATTGGTTGCATCAGCCGTCCGCACGGTCTTTAGAATGTTGCTCAGATCTACGGAGTCACGTACCATAGTAAGATAGTCTATTATTCCATGCCCCTTTAACCAGTAGATAATCTGGCAGAGATATGGATTGGCCCCCATCTTGATTTCCGCCACCATTGACTATCTTGATCGGGGTAAAGACCAGCAACTTTCCATGTATCCGTGCTTCCCGAACAAGCAGGATGGAGATGCTCCACATACTCTAGTTATCCTTCCCTGTGCTGTGGGATAGTGGACAATGGAGCTTTAGATTGACGAAGATAAAAGCGAGTTAATTTTGCCGTACTCCGTAGAAAGATGGCTGTTCTTGGATCCCATCCTCGATGTCAGCAGATCGGCCCCTAAGATATCTGCACCACTGCTTGCCGTTGGGCTCTCTTGCACACTCTCTCGGCCGACCCTATCTAGTAGTGTGCAACAGCGGCCGTTGCAGCGGAAATAGTGGTGGCATAGCCGGCGTTATAGATCACGGCAGTTGTAGCTTTCGCCCAACTAATCGGAGAAATCCTGGACTTAACAGATCAAGATGGTCCAACCAATCCAGTCAAAGGGTCTGAACCCGGCTTGTAAGGCTGCTGAGGCACATCCTATTGACAAAAGCCGCTAAGAGCTCTTTATCAGATGCTGAGAACGACGGGGAGCATCGCCCATAGACTAGCGGCGAAGAAGATCTGAGAAAACTTCGCCACAAACATGGGCAAAGCTCGATACAACTAAGAACCGGACCGAAGACGGCTGTCGCCTTATTATTTTAACAACAATTAGGATGCGTTTCGCGGAAGAGTGTTGACCGCCAATTTGATTTCCAGCATTGCCATCGAGGATTTGAGGAAATGTAGGCATATTATCGGCCCGAGAAAAAGACGTTGTCTACCATCAGAAGACGGCAAGGAGACTCGAACTCCTATGCCGAAGCATGAGTTGAACATATCAAGCAACATTTCCCAGCGCTGCCATGTGGTGCAGCACCGTCCAACGTCACTGATCAGCAGAACTGATCACTCGTAGTGAGAGAGACGGTCACTGATCGTTATCTCTGATACCACCCAGGTGTGCCAGCGCACATTATGGAGTGTAGATCATCTGCACTGGTGTTCAACAGGAGCTTCCTCTAGTCATAGCACGCAATAATAAGACAGCTGTTCGGGGGCAAAAAGACGGTGCCCCCAAGGCCCAACTGTTCCTGCAGCGACCAAACCTCCACCCGCGAACACACGATGTCATTCCCAGGACACGATCGACAGGGGTAGGAGGCTATTGGTATTGAAATTATTCCGTTTCCAGATCAAATCTCGACATGCATGCTGCCCTGGACACCTTCGTATTCGAGCGTTCCAAGTCAGAAATACCTCAAAAAGGGACAAATAAGAGTACTAGACCATATTGTTACAGAAGCGGAAATAGTGCGACAGTTGCAGATTACCCAAAGGGCCGGTGCCAGCGCTAAGCCGTACGGAGTGACCACAAAATCTACGGAATAGTTATCTCTTTCTGTTTCAAAAGAAGGGCTCCATAGTGCTCCCCGAGTCCCCCTTGATTCTGTGCCATAGCACCAGGACCGTCGCGAGCAGCAACCAAAGGAATAATCTTCGTATAAGGGCCTGATGAAGCCTGCTTATGAATGCCAACGTCTCGACAGGTCAGGGGCAGCGCTGTCCGATATTAGAAATACGGATCCGCGACAGGTGGAGGCCCGTGTTGTCGCGGGTGAAGTCATTATTATTGTTGACAGATCGACGTCCCTTAAACGTCCGCTAAACGGCCGGCGCCAAACGGGCCGTCCTTTTCACGCCGGAAATCCCAGTCTCTCCCCGCATAGGAACCACATGGGACGCCCCGTGGCAAATGAGGCTGCACCGGATAGGCGCGATCGACAACGCGTGGATTTAGAGTATACGCCGGGTCTGCTGTTAGCGACTATTGTTGGGCCAGGTTATTCCATATACGAGTATCGTTGCCGCTGTCAATAGATGGCCCTCCCAATGTTTTCTGAACCACGGCTGCGATACAAGCAGTAAATCCTCTGGCAAACAGACTGATGCTGTTATCAGTTGAAAGAAAAAAGCCGAAAAGCCGCACCTTGATGGCCTACTCCGTAATTCATGCCCTTCCAGGAAGCACGCTTGTGAGCCACCAAGCACAAGACATTGGGCGCTTGGTCCTCCGGACCCCTTTCCTTACACTGACGGAAAGCTTAGCCTGAGGAAGGCTTGATCCGTTATAGCAATAAATCAGGTATATCGCTATTACGGCTGCTGATCCGACAATTGCAGCACAACTCTTGGGATTGCCGATCCCAGCGACAGTTTAGGCCTATCCAATTTCCCGGCCTCGCGGGACTGGCGATCTATCAGGCTTTTTGTGGGCGCTAGGAAGATTGGACGAAGGACTTCTCGAAGACGATTGTGTAACAAAGCGCCGAAAAGGGGTCGCTCCTTGTTTAGTTGACTTGGTAGATATGTATATAACCGCTCATCGAGTCGGAGCCATGAACGGCTCTTCTCCAAACAAGCAGTCGTTCTCTCAGCGATCCTTCCTTTGCTTTTTCCGACTTCATACATTCTTTTTTGAAATAGTCACTCCTTTAAACAAACCGCAACAATGAAGTTCACTGGAATCGTTGCCTCTATGGCCGCTGCTGGCGTCGCTTCCTCGGCCGCCCTCCCCGTTGCGACCGTCGACGCGACCCTCAACCACGTCAACACCGTCCTCGCCAACGTTCAGGGTCTTGTCGGCCAGACTCTGTCCTGTGCCACCGGCCAGGTTGACCTCAGCACCGTCCACTCCGACCTTGTTGCCGTCAAGTCTGAGCTCGTCAAGCTCGCCCCCGTTCAGAAGCGTGATGGCCTGACCACCCTTCCCGCCGATGTTCTTGGCAACGTTGCCGGCACTGTCCAGGGTGTTGCCCAGCCTATTGCCGGCCCTATCGTCAACAGTAAGTCTTGAATGAAACTCCAGAAGGAAGAACCCAGGCTCATTTGTATCTAGACGTTGGAGGCGCTCTCCCCGTCAAGCGTCAGCTCGGTCCTCTTGGCACCGTCGGCAGCGCCGTCAGCGACGTCGAGAACACCGTCGGTGGCCTCACCAGCCCCGTCGCTGGCCCTGTCCTTGACAGTAAGCATCCATGATTCCGCTACCGAGAGAATTTGAGTCGAATCTAACCCGACGTCCAGCCGTTGGCAACATTGCCCCTTCCCCCGCCAAGCGTGACGTTGTTGGCAGCACTGTCGGTGATGTTGCCGGCACTGTTGGCTCTGTCGCCAACCCTGTCCTCAGCCCTGTCCTCGACACTGTTGGCTCCGTTGCCCCCGTCAAGCGTGATGTCGTTGGCAGCACCGTCGGTGACGTTGCCGGCACTGTTGGCTCCGTTGCCAACCCTGTCCTCAGCCCTGTCCTTGACACCGTTGGCTCCGTTGCCCCTGTCAAGCGTGACCTCCAGATCCTCAACTCTGCTGGTTCCGTTGTCAACACTGCTGAGATGACTGCTACCCAGCTCCTCCAGGGTCTCCAGTCCGGTAAGTTCATGGTTCCAGATAATAAAGGAAGCCATTGAACCGTTGAACTGACAATCAACAACAGGTGCTCTCCAGCTCCCCACTGAGGGCCTTCCCCTCGTCGGCAAGCTCCCCGTTGTTGGCGGCAGCAACTAAGCGTATAATGTTTGATACTTAGACGCCTAGTTTAGATCAATATCATTCCCCCGCGGAGTCCCTCCGTACTATCTTCTCTTTTTTCCCTTCTCAGGTCGCAGATCGCAGTGGCGGTGCGCTAGGGTCTTTTTGTAGATATTTTTAGCGATAGGCCTCATTATGCTTAATGGACGATACCGTTCTTAATGCAGTAATAATCAAACCGATTTGACGATTCGTGGTGCCCTTTATCTACTCCATTGTTGCGATGCGTTAATCTCGTGGAACTCCAGATGCTGAAGTAGCAGTGAAACAAGATGCTTGGGCTGATCTCGAGATCTCGAACGAACGGTGGATCATCGTGCCTGGGCAGACGCTTATCTTGACATCTTGACCGACGGGACGGATATGGTCCGTTCGAGCAAATTCATGTATTGTAAGATCAGGTTAGCATAGAGTTAGTGACCTGGGAGAAGAAAGAGACTCGAGGCCATCTTGGAAGGAGAGGAGAGCTCAGCGTCGATCGTCGTCTGTTGATGACTCAGCAGTCGTTCTTCCCCACCAACGCTCTTGGAGGGGAAGACCATGAGAAATAGTTAAGACTCCAAGTTAACCTTTCCCTACAGTGTGCGAAGAAATTGCAGTTTTGCTGTACAAACGTGATATAATATAACGTTCTCTTGACCCTGGATTCAATAATTTGAACTCGTCCCTACACCTACGAGTGCACTCAGCGACATGGCAGCCGCACCAGTATCCGAGTCGCAGTTCCCTTACTCATTGTACGTCAAGACCCTTCGAAGGCAGCTTAACTATGCAAAGATCATGTTATTAATCATATATACAAACCAGAACCATCTCACTTCCCCTCCCTACCAACCGCCTAGCGTCCTCCGCCCTCCGCGCTCTACAGGTCGACCAAGAACTCTCGCCATATGTTAGGCGGGACTTTGAGCTGGCCGCGCCGGACGAGGCAGCTGCAATTGAAAGCAAGGAAGCAGACGAAGCGAAGACAGTTCTAAAAACAACGTATCGCGCGACAACGAACCGTATGTTACGTGTTGCAGTGAACGGCTTTATGGAGAGTCTCGGTGTCGTGCTGGGAGTCATGGAGGAGTTGGATGTGGATGTTTTGAAGCAGGAGTTGGGAAAGTGAGATATGCTTCGGAGTATGCATATTTGAAAAGTGAAACAGAAAGACTCGCTGCACTTTGTGCAGCTTCTGGCTGGACACTCCCCATTGGATCTGTGTCGGGCGAGTCTCTCTCCAGATTGGTCGGGTATTCGGACGGCCTAGACCTTGGACACGGGGATTCACTATTCTTTCCAACGAGCGAGGCATCATATCGAGGAAAAGAAAGGGATGCAAGTGCCCTTGTTTCCCTTGTCGCAGGCTACAGGCCTGGGGGGCATGCCTGCCCCTACGGCGTCCTCCGTTGAGACATTGATGACTCCGCCAAATTCTGTGGCCCTACATGGGATCGGTACCCGGGAAGAATAGATATAGAAGCGAGCTAATGACCTCTGAAGACGAAATCACAGCGAATGCGCATTGTTTCGGGGTACCTGATGAAAAGAAAACAATATATGGACATTCATTCCTATTTTGGCTCCACTGTATGATCTTCAATAAATACAGAACGCTTTAATCTTAGTTGAACAGCAATGTTTCTAAGCAAACTTTATTCATGTTCAAGCACATTCTCGATAGAGATCGAAGAAACACTGAATATTGGATGGATGAAAGGGTAAATAAAAAAAAAAGAGTAAAAACAGAAGGTCCTGCCCGGAATCGAACCGGGGTTGCCGGAAGATCCTGATACAATCAGAATCCGGAGTGATAACCGCTACACTACAGAACCGGCTTTCTTGATGAAGTCCACATAAATGTGATATATCAGCGATTACATCGTGCTGTTACACCCGTAACCATCCGTCTGACTGGCAGGGATAGCTAGTCATGCAGTGTCGATCTTAACGGTCGCAACGGTTTTGCAGCCAGAGACATCTCTGGAGTAAGCTGGGGAGAGGGGTCTATGAGACGGTGAGACCAGAACAGCCCGATTCTTGAGCATTGGAGATAACGACAGACGGAATAATGCTCTTACAGCACATTAGTAACTTCTTAGCCGTCTAGACTCTGAAATCTGAAACGGCGTCGAGACAAGGCCCATCTATTCTACTGTTGACATACGCCACGTGCATGAACGTAGGGTTGGTAATACAATAAACCGGTAGAATAGCGATTATTCCATGCCCCTCGAATCGGATGACACGATCGATTGCGAGAATTCCAAATCAATATGAAAAAGTCACTAATTTGACAGCGACGGGGCCTTGGGCTGATCCCTGACACTTTGCAGTTTCCACTCCCAAGGGTCCGGGCGCTAGGTTAGTTAAAGCCCCGGGGAGCGTTAGTTAACTACCTAACTAACCTAGGTAGTTGATTACTTAGTCCACGGGTTCCTAGGCAAACTCCCAAAGTTGCCGCAGATATAAGAACCTCCCGGAGCCTCGGTCAAGTTTCAGGACAATGCGCTCATCCTCGAAATTGTCATTTCATCACGCTTCTCCATTGCTATACGCTAGGATCGCGAATCCCTCACTGATTGAACGTTGTTCGATCTCTTTGATTATCAGCTCGGGTCACTCGACTGCGACGTCACCTACATCATCTGTCTCCCCTCAGCTTACTTCTTCTACCTTGCAGTCAGCTCCAAAGAAGAGCTTAAACTACCAGCTTCGCACATTCAGCGGTCATAGTCGGATCGCAATCGCAAACTCGAGCACCATGTCGTCCGGAAAGACTTTCTTCGACTTCGAGACCGTCGACAGTACGTTTTGGATTCCCTTTTTCTGCCTGCCCCCCCCGCGTCTCCCCGCACGTGCTCATGGGATGAGTCCATGCACGCGCTTTCTGCGGTAATTGGATTCTCGCGCTGACTTTTCTTCTCATATTACAGAGAAGGGTGAATCGTTCCCCCTCTCCAACTTCAAAGGCAAGGTCGTCCTCGCTGTCAACACCGCTTCCAAGTGCGGCTTTACCCCGCAGTTCAAGGGTCTCGAGGAGCTCTACCAATCCATCCAGAAGAAGGAACCCGGCGCCTTCACTGTCGTTGGATTCCCCTGCAACCAGTTCGGTAACCAGGACCCGGGCTCCAACGATGAGATCCAGTCTTTCTGCCAGGTCAACTATGGCGTGACATTCCCCGTGCTGGGCAAGATCGACGTCAACGGTGACAACGCCGCTCCTGTCTACACGTGGATGAAGGCCGAGCAGCCCGGTATGTTGGGCTTGAAGCGCATCAAGTGGAACTTTGAGAAGTTCCTGATATCTGCGGATGGCAAGGTTGTCGGTCGTTGGGCTAGCACCACGAAGCCGGAGAGCTTGCAGGACACGATTCTGAAGGAGATCGAGAAGGCCAAAAAGGAGGGAATCCTGACGGCAGAGGCTGGTAAGAAGGAGGAGGCTACCGCTTAAGGGGGAGATGATGTGGTCTTGCTTACGTCTGGTGTGATGTGACAGGACCGAAAGGGAAGCTATGATACCTGACAATCGACGTCTGAATACTTGTTTCACCGAGATTGTATTTTATTTCTTATGATGGAATATATCAAATGGAGTAATGTATCGATATTTGTATCTCATCTCAGCTCAACTGCATCTTGCCCCACAAATTGACAGAAATGCATCTGTGATTGATTTCTCCATTGTTCTCCATTTATTATTGCTTTCTATCCTTTCCCGGTGACGATGTCGCTTCAATCCGGGATCTGACTGGTTCCAGTCTCAGCAACGCACGGCATCTCTGCTATGCATCAAATGGGCAGGGCTTCTTCTATACCCATACGACATGATAGGATTCATGCCGATCCTGCTCCTGCTCCCTTCGGGACCAGGTTTCGTAGCGACAGGTCATATACGACATCCTCGACCTTCTTGACCTGCAGCGAGAGAAGGATTCCATCAGCGAATCAGCGTGCATGGTAGACACAACCCGAACTATTTGGAAACGACGGTTTCGGACAGGGAGCGTAGAACTTACACTGTATTTGATTCCGTCACTCCTCTTTCGCAGGATGTCATTCTTCAGGTTTAGTAGCTGGAAACCTGCAAATAGATCCTTGATGAAGTTTCCAATCTGAAGTGGACGACCGTAATCGCCCAGGGTGACGGAATTGACCGCCAGACGTGCCTATTATGTATTAGCAAAATCATCAAAAAGGGTCGAACTGAACGCCAAAGAACAGTGACCAGGAGAATAGGTAAACTCACGAGCTCTTCGACCATCGATATCAATGCAAGGAGATACTCCTCAATCGTGAGGTGGAACTCATCCCGCTCCTTCAAGTTGACGGGGACTAGATTTGCCAACAACAGTCAGCTTCACAATAGAAACGCAATGCATAGCAGTTCGGATTAGGACTTTCTTACTATCCAAGAACTTGCCGACGTCCTCAATCGTCATAAACGAAGCTGACGTCGAGCTCTTGTATTCTGATAGGCCACCAAGCCAGGCGCACAGCTCGATAGAGTACACCTTTCACAGAAACCGTGTCAATTAAAAATTGCCCAAGATTATGGTTTGGATCGTCATCACCGGGTATATAACTCACTAGGTTCTGCAGCTCGCGCGACCATACTCCGTTATATTTGTAAAACGGGTGCTGAGAGGCGATGGCTTTTAGTTTGGTAACCTCTTCTTTCTGAGCGAGAATCTCCTTGGTAGCATCGTCGAGGACGGGTTTCACTTTTTGTATTGTCAGCCATTCCCCATCAGCTAGAAATCGAGTGAGGGTGTGGCATCCATTCCAACCCTTCATAGAACTGGAGAAAGAGCCGCGACAAAAGGAAAGGGGAAGATAAAAGTGAAAATGAAGAAACATACGCTGATCAGAAGGCGTAGAATGTGCCCTTGAAAGAATAGCCTGGGTAGATCTTCCTGCAACCCAGTATCGGACATGTCAGTCTCAAATCCCAACGCTCAATTGAGCCCAGCTATCACCCCACGATTCTGAGCAGGAATGGAATAATGACAGGGACACAGAACACACCTCTGCGTGCAAGAGTCTGCACAATATCTTGGAGTTCCTACATTCATGAATAGTCGTGAGCGTCATTCAATAGGTCTTTGGTGTAGTCTGAGCTTTGCCTTGGCCAAGTGACTTCTCAATGAGTCTCAGGTTGAAGAGAGGCCACTCACATCACGGACAGCAGTCTCCGCATCAATCTTCTCCTGGAGACTCTCAAAAATAGATGGGTCAATCATTTTCGCTGGCGCTCGATGTTGTTGGTTGGAGCTTTTTTAGCGCACGGGAAAAATAAATGAGGTCTGATGTTTTCGTGCAGCGCAAACGAGTGGACAAGTTGTCCTGAGACTGCCAAGTCCAGTTAGTTAGTTTATTCTAGATCGTGCATACAGTTTGATAGATGTACATTTTTTCTGTACCTCAGTAATCTTTAAGGTACGTGGGATCTAGTTATGCTAGGGTGATCTTGACATAATGCATCGGGCAGTGAAGAACCAGTGACGTTTGTGGGGAGGCTTGGCGGTGAGTATAGATCTCGAGCAGAGTTAACTCTTTGACAAACGTCATTTAACTAAACCATTCGCTTATCATATTCTCATCAATGCAGTATCATGCGGAAGTTTTTAGAAAGATACAGATACGATTATATAGACAAATATGAAGGCTACCTTCTATGAACCAGACCCTGCGAAGTTAGTAACGAATTAGTTGTCCCCCGAAGCAGCAGATATTGAGAGCAAACTGCTTTCCTCGATATTCGTACTTTTTACGCGTATCTACGTAGAGTGACCTTGCTCGCCAAAAGCAACTATCCGTAAGGTGGCGACATACTAGCTAGCTCCTTCCCCATAAAAAGAAAGTTCCCAAGTTGACGAGGGGGGCTTACTTGGACAGTGAAGAACATATATCAAAAAATGACATACCAGAACCTGCATTGAAAGATTGATTTCGATTAATAATGACCTGAATATCTAACCCGCTAAATCGGTTTTGAGATGACAAGCTTGCCTTTTTGAAACAAAGTCATAAATACGCCGTAGCCCTCGCCTGCATTCCCTCGTCTGCATAAGCTCCATGATCGGACCGTGTAAGGGAAACAGTACGATAAAATCAAGATTCTAGTATCGGTATCTGGTAGAGTAATCTGCAAAGGAAATGCTGTTAGCACCAAGCCAAGGGAAAGAGCATAGAACCAAAAACATGCGGACTTACCCTTTGGACTGACCACCAGACCCCTACCCTTCTTCGCACCCTTGTAGATCGTTTCGATAATATCGATCAACTCCTGCTTATCATCGAGCACCCAGTTCAATTTGTTGTTATTACCTAAACCCCCAGTTAGTCTCTGTCTGTGCCCGCCACATCCTCACGGATCTCTGTTCTCTCATGGCCTGCGCTTACCTGTTCCGAAATCGCACATCATGTGTTTATTTCTGAAGAAGAACATGATAGTCATCGGGTCGTAAAGCTCGTACATTGTGTTGAATTCGGGTACCTCGTCGATATCGCATAGGTAGATCACGGCGAAGTCTGAGATAAACCAAAGCTGTTAGCGCCAGTCCACCGGTTCTGCAGAAGGATGTTTGGTACGCCACTCACTCTTGACCCTGTCGGAGATCTTGTATAGAACTTCATCCTGCTTCATGCCTATATCAAAAGAGTTAGTATCGCATTGCAGCGAGGCGAGCGAGGTAAGCCGCGGTCTGGGAACATACAGTCTGGGTCGTGATCGCGGCCGAAGCGGATGACAACCAAGCGCTCATCCTCACTGAGGATAGCCTGGTCGACGTGCCAGGCAGTGCGCAAGTGAGGCAGCACAATAGAACCCATGGCTGAGGATAGAGACGATTGCTGGCTTCGCAAAGAGGACGATGACCGAATGCAGTGTCAAACTTCCGCGGGGGCAACGATCACGTGATGATAGTATCTGGCGCAGAGGGGCGATATACTCGAGGCAATATTATCAAATAATGGAGGTTGGAACTTCTTTACAGGGTTTGGTTTAAATGTTATGGGAGCGAACCGAGGAGTAGGATGACAGCAACTGTAGGAGTTTGTGTAATCGCATTAAATAATTCTGCGTACAGCCACCCTGCCAAACTCAGGGTGATAGGAAACCGAGTACACCACCATAGAATCTTATACGAACTCACACCAACCCATCAACATTCGATGACATTCCATACCGCAGACCCAGATCTTCCACAAAACCAGAGATTCTACTGCAAGCACAAGCTATCTACTCCTCCAAACCGACTTTCTTCTCCAACCCGCCGGAACAAGCCGACGATCTTGATGAAAAAAGGGTGGTTCGCGTCAATCGGGGGTAGTGTAAGCCCGATGACACTGTGCGGCGGAGTATGCGCAAGCACAGAGGCTCCGCCGCGGGGTCCAAAAATGAGATTAATCAATGTTGTGTCCCTTAGGACACTTTCAGAGATTAAACTGAAAAGAACAGATACTACACTTGATCTAAGCCAAAAGGCAAAGAGAGCTGGAAAAGAAAAGAAAAAAAACTTCCAAAGGACGGCGGGTTCGAGGAGTATTTATGTTCTTTGGCGAGTGGTCCGTGCGGCGCTAGTGAGGTCACCTCGCTAATAATTCGTCAAGCGAGGTATCTTGATGCCTGAATATGACAAGGCATCAAACTGTCTTCGCCTCCATGCCCCGTCAACGGATCACCTGAAAATCCCGCCCCTAACCCTGTACCTGTGCCCTAGCCCTAACACGCAACTTTATTCGGCAAGCGCACATCGAGATGAAGTAGCGGCTCCACCGTTGCAAGATTAATCCCGCGACTCCAACAAGACCCAACTTCTCCCGAAGCAAAAAAAAGGCGCAGGATATTCACCTCTTTGCGACCGTCTTTTTGAAAAGTTCCAATAAAGTCGACACTCGACCTTACCATCAGTCACAATGGCTCCCGCTACTGTACGTTGATTATCATCTGCAAACCGCTTTGCTGTTCCCCCACGGAGGTGTTTCTCCCGCGCGAGCTTTGTCCACATTATTTTGTCTTCGATGTTGTCGTCGCATTGAGTAGTGATTACTGTCGCTCTTGGGTGTGATGGCTGAAGAAGATGCGAGTTGGGATAAGAAGCGAGCGCTGGGGAAGCTGAACTCCAGGGATTATTTCGACATATGGAACAGTAGGCTAATTGATCGTCTTTGGATATGAATAGGCTCGTGCTGGCAAGAAGGCCCAGAAGGTGACCAAGAAGGTAATTCAAGACATTATTATACTCAAGTGGCTCATGTTTCACACCTAGAATGATGGAGATAACTAACATAACTTGCTACACAGTACGTCATCAACGCTTCGCAGCCCGCGAGCGACAAGATCTTCGACGTCTCCGCCTTCGAGAAGTTCCTCCACGACCGCATCAAGGTCGAGGGCCGTGTCGGCAACCTTGGCGAGAACGTCCAGATCTCCCAGTCTGGCGATGGCAAGATCGAGGTCGTCACTCACATCCCCTTCTCTGGTCGCTACCTCAAGTACCTGTACGTTATACTTTTCCCCTCTCGACTACCGTAACCATGACCGCCAGGGTGACATCGGTATTGGAGGAGATGGCTGATGATATCGTGAATACAGGACCAAGAAGTTCCTCAAGAAGCAGCAGCTCCGTGACTGGCTGCGCGTCGTCTCCACCTCCAAGGGTGTTTACGAGCTCCGCTTCTACAACGTCGTCAACGACGCTGAGGACGAGGAGGAGGAGTAAATTTCTCCTTCAAGCTGAAGCTACGAACCCGTCAGGCTTGCTGGTCAGAGCCCCGTCCCTCCACATGGGAAAAGATGGAGGCCAGGGCATGAACGAGCAGGACTTTCGCGGGAAAGACCGAGGGACAAGGGGTCAAAAAGCGGTATATACGACAGTGTCGGTACATCGCTAGTTTGAGGAGTTGGATATCGATTCATACTGGGAACCGCAGAGGCAGGGTGAACATGGTGGGAGCCGTCGGCCAGAGATGGTCGTGGTGACACCTGCGCCTTGTTGATGGATCTGGGTCGAGTTTCAACATCAACGAACAATTCGTTCCTATTCATGACGTTATGAATGATAGATAGATACGAATTCAGCCACCTTAAACCTCAATCTACATCCGTGCATTGAAGTAGATAACTAGTCTTCGGCCATTAAAACCAAAAACGCACTCGTAGATGATCATATATGCTAGCGCCATGTATGCAAGAAGTATGCAAGAGATGGGTATCATGTGGCTTATCTAGAACGCCGGGAAATATGAGAAATTTCTATGTTGATGGCTCAGTCCGTGTGGGATCTTTCCTCTTCTGCCCGGCACCAGGCCCAAGCACACCTCTGCCAGTGTTCAATTTCTGATCCACGCCTGGTGGTGCAACAAGCTTGTCGCCTTCAATGGTCCAGCCTTGTCTTTTGAGCATCTTCCATGTCTCTGCCACTTTCACCCTGACCAAGTCCCCGGTAGCCCTAGCGTCTTCTTTCGAATCATGCCCTTTATCGCCAGCCGTCTGGATATCTCTATCGAGGTATCTCTTACATAAGACTTTGAGGCTCATCCTCATTGGAAGACCTCTGGGGTGGGGGTATAGCATGACAGTGTCAATGATCGTTGGGTGAATGATTCGACAGGCATTAAGATCATTATCAATGGCATGTCCAATCAAGGGAGTCTCTGGCTGGAGGAACTTGAAGAGCAGCGCCCGCGCTGCAGCAGGAGAGTCAACGACCTGTAACGGAGTCTCCTTTGTCTCCCCATCTTCAGATCCTACATCGTGTTGTTCGGGAGGCGATGTACCATAGGGGATAGCATTCGCATAGTGCTCCGGCCGAACGCCAGAGAAACGGGAGTTCAGATCCAGGATCTCGCCCATTGGTCTGACAAGAACATCGACGAGCTCTTTGCCCTCGGGCCAGCTGACAGCAGTCAGTCGTATGAGCTCGAGCCCAAGTGTAGTATAACCCATCTCGCAGTCAAAACAGACAGGCGGCAACGGCCCTTTATCGGGTTGTGGAGGAGTCTCTTCGAACTGGAGGATTGACGCTAGACGTTTCACTTCGGATATCTTGAAAACATGATACTCTGCTTTCGTACATCCAGCAGAAGTGCCTACAGTCTCGTTGCAGCATGGTAAGTATGCTGGTCGGTCACCAGTGATATGATCTGTCTGCTTCCGGGAGGGATATATTGGCTTCCCAGGATGGAAGCTACACTGTCCCCCCGTTGCCAGCGTGCCATCCTCACGACGCCCTGGGAAGACCTGGAAACGGCCACCGCACCGGTCACAGCTCTCGAAGCCTTTGGCAAACTGGACGCCCTCCTTTGCGGACTCGACTTCCTGTTGGGACGGCGCTTTCGTCACGTACCCGAACTTTTCTCGACCGATCAATGGCGTAATGAGCTTGGATGCTACGGCGATCTCTTCTTTCTCACTCAATTCCGTCGTAAAGGTCTGGGGATTTTGAGGTTTCTGGCTTGTTGGAATCTTGTAATATCTTGCGTTGAGATGTGCTGTGACTTCCTTCTCCCAGTCCTCCTTGCTCATCTTCCCGAGCTTTACAATCCTCAGCTTGATTACATTGGCGTATACAGCTGGATTGCCCTTGGCAGCTTTCTCTTCTTCATCCAAGGCCATTGTTATCAACTCATCCTTGGATAGGACCAGAGCTTTCTTTGTGCTGTCTGGATCTTTGGCAACCTTCTCGTTCAAGGCAACCATAGCCGAATGAAGTTTAGCCAGTATAGCTGACCGGACAGCGTGGGATGCCGGCGCTTTAGTTATCATGCGCGGATTTAGTGATTCCTTGGGCGCCTGTCGCGGGGGCATCCGCGTTGGTGATGCCCCAGAAGGCTGAGACGTGTCTTTGACTGCAGCCGTACTTCCTTTCGGGTTGGAGGCTGCTCGTATTGGAGGAGGGGAAACACCTCTGTTGATCGATTGGAGACTCTTGACATCTCGGCTTGGCGTCTGTGATGAGTCCCGCCTAGCTGCGTCGGGCGCTATGTTGGCGGTGGATGTTTGATCTCTTCCACTCTTGATGTTCGTCAGCGACGACGATCTACTCTTCTCCTCAGCGCCATCAGTGGATGCCTCTGTCTTTCTTCGCTTTGATGGCGGGGCTTCTTTGAAGGTGGCATCGTTGTCAGCCGCACGTGGTGTCACTGCTGGAGCAGGAGCCGCCACGGAGGCAGGACTGACATCTGTGTGAGAGAAAATGCAGGTCAAGAGGGCGCACTTGCTGCCCTGCGGACAAGGTACATCCTTAAACAATCCAAGTGGGGTAAACATGATGAACTAGAAGTAAAAGTAGACCGCATGGAGGGGCAATAGAAATGGTTGTCGTCCGCTGGCTGCGCTGATACCCACAATAATAAGCGCGGCGCTCTCCTGCTCGTCTGTCTGGAAGCTTCCAACAAGTTAAATAATGGAGTCGGCCAGACGGTCGCAAAACGTCCGTATGGGGAAACGGGAGAATTTGATGCCCAACCAAACCCAGTGGAAATCAGAGAACCGCACACAGGTCGATTTGGACTTTGGAGCAACGGGACAAAGAAAAAAAAAAATCAGTCTGCTGCTGGCATCCGTGGATCCTGCCTAGTACACCGTGTGCGCCAAGGGTGATTCTGTCCCTTTTCCTTGGCCAGATAAGGTAGCGGATAGGAGGAGCGGGAGTTTTCGTGCCGTCACGGAAATCCAGTAGAGAGTAGTACAGTAGTAGTTCAGCGGGTGAAAACGCACAAGACAGCTTACCGTTCTAGGCAAAGGAAGCGGATCCACGGTCGAGGACAAGCAGGATATAAGGACCGTCGACAATTCCCTTGGTTTCTTCTTCTCGTTCCTGCTCCTTGCCCTGAGAGCTTGCACAGTGAGCCTGGTAATTGCCCTCGCGACTCCGTAGATAACACCAAGCTTGGCCCGTTTGGTTGGCTAGCAGGAGGCGACGGTTACTTATCGCTGCATTTGCTTGCTTTCCCCCCCTGAGATAGTGAAGGACGCGACAGAAGGGACACGTAGTCTGGGCTCTGCGGGATATTCACACAGATATCTGTTGAGAAGAGTCGACTCTCTGTTTCTTTTTGGGCAGGACAGACAACCAGCCAGGGTGGTTTTAATATCATCTGTTGTTATTTTGCGGAGGACGAGCGGTGCCAAGACTCCCGCTGCAAACAAGACAAAACCCCGAGTTCCGCCCCGACACGGCCGAAAATCGTGCGTAGTTGCACGGGCGTGTCGCCAGTTGATTGTCTATCAGATCCCAAGGCAGCAGGTTTAACATCACCCACCACGGCGCTGCCTTTTGCCTTTTCGAGTTTCGATCGAAACTCGATTTTCTGCAGAATCATGGAGTCAGATATCATAGCTGCTCCGGATAAACAGCCTCTGGCAGACCATCTCTGCGTTCTGGTCCATGGGTAAGTCGTTCCTGGTCCGCCACTACGATGACGTCCCAAGCTAATCGCTCTCTTCCGTCCCGGCAGTCTTTGGGGCAACCCATCGCACCTGAACTACGTGGCATCAGCGCTGAGAGAGCGATACAAGGAGGATACTCTCTACATTCTTGCCGCCAAGCGCAATGCGGGAAGTTTCACCTACGACGGTATCGAGCTCGGTGGCGAGCGCGTTGCATATGAGATCGAGGAGACCCTGGAGAAGTTGGCGGCCAAAGGATACCAGATCAAGAAGTTGAGCATAGTGGGATACTCGCTGGGTGGCCTGGTGGCCAGGTACGCCGTCGGATTGCTCAACTCGAGAGGATGGTTAGACAAGCTGGAACCGGTGAACTTCACTACGTTCGTCTCACCACACGTCGGGGTGCGGACGCCGAAGAAGGGGATCCAAAACCATCTTTGGAATGTCTTGGGGGCGCGGACCCTTTCGATGTCTGGCAGGCAACTGTTCATGATCGACTCATTCCGGGATACCGGTAAACCGCTGCTCAGCGTCCTGGCCGACCCGGATAGTATCTTCATACGCGGCCTAGCCAAATTCAAGAACCGCTGCGTATATGCCAACATCGTCAACGATCGCTCCACGGTATTCTACACCACCGGTGTCTCCAAAGTGGATCCTTTTGTCGACCCCGAAAACACCAACTTCAACTACATCAAGGGATATGAACCGGTCGTCATCAACCCCGACGTGCACGTGCTTCCCGAGGGCGAGAAGGAGATGCCCTCTGCACTTGCACGGGTTCGTCAGCAGTGCGTCAATGCCCTTCTCAAAGTACCCTTCTTGCTCTTCATCCTCATCTTTGTCCCCATCGGCTCGATTCTCTTTCTTCTCAACTCGGTCGTCCAGAACTTCCGCAGTCAGAAGCGAATTCGACTCCACGAGGAGGGCAAAACTGGCGTCACTTTTGGGGGATATCGAGTACCTCTGATTGTCCAGGATGTGCGCAATGCAGTAGAAGACGTCTTTGAGAATGTCAACGCTACGCAGGAACAGGAGTACCTTTCCGACTCCAGTGAGGCGGATGAGAGGCGGGTTTCAAAACACCGGTCAACGTCGTCATTCAGTGAGAAGACTGCGATGGATGAAAAAGAGGGAAACCAATTCGTCGAACATGTAGACAGTGTGGAAGACAGCGACGTGGAGGACCAGGGCTCTGTGTCTTCAGCTGGCCGGCAGACTTCTGAGTTCCCGACTCTCGCCCTCACGCCGGCGCAGTTTGCGATTATCGACTCGCTGAACTCGATTGGATTCCGCAAGTACCCGGTGTTTATCCACAATAGCCGCCACAGCCATGCTGCGATCATCGTGCGGATGCCCAAGAAAGCCTTTGACGAGGGCAAGCTCGTCATCAAGCACTGGCTGGACCAAGAGTTCAAGATATGAAACACGGCGAACTCTCCCTGACCAAACACAATGCTGTGTTTGAGATCATGCCAGGATGGTTCTGGGTAATCGTAACCTCAGCCGTCTACCATCGGCGTTCAGAAGTAAGCAAGATGCGGAGAGACGTTCCCCACGGCGATGCCGACAAACTGTTCTCTCGGACGGTGCGGAGACGGCGGCATTCCCCGAAGAACGTTGATCGCAGCCACTCCGCCTATTCAGCGGGTCTATCTCATTGCCTTTCAAGGCTGAAGGAGACCCGCGTCTGCTCCTCGCAGAGTAAGTCCCTACATATTGTATTCTTATGACCGGCGACGGAGCGATCCGATCCCTGCTCCCCCCATCCCAAGGCGTCCATCTAGGAGGATAGAGAAAACCTCACGACAGCATCGGAGTATAGATGAGCGATATTTTCGACCTCGATCTGTTTCCATGCATGGCAGGGTTTACCCCGGACTTCGCCCAGACGACGCAGATCTTTCTGTCCGTGCGTGATGAACCGTCGTCCATTTCCTCGCCCGGTCCTTGGTTCCCCTTTCAGCCCCATGTTGAGTTCAGGAAGCTGGCGAGCGGAACATTCTGCTCCGACTCTATATATGCATCCGCCCCAAAGCAGAGTACGACCGGCTTTCCCGTTTTGTCTATTCCGAGTTGTCATCTGTTCCTGTCAACCAACAGACAGACGTCTTTGAAAATCCGGGGTACATCACTCCACCATGTGTATCTACCCCGCGTGGGTCTACGGGAAAGAAGGGTTTTATCATATGCAACATGTACATGTTACATGCATTGTGTGCTCGGAGATAATGGTTGTGATCTTACTCTGTTATGGGTGATGCGGGGTCTACTGTATATCCCATACTTACCTAATGGAGCAGGATGAAGAGACCGGCCGGCCAAACGCTTCTTTTGTTTTCGGCGGGGACACTCGTATCATTCTTCTTTTCTGTATTTTGCTGCCTCTTCTCTTTTTCTTTTCTGGTTAGATGTCTTGATCCTGTTCTAGAGCCTGCATGTGAGCGATTCAGTTTTCTTATCTTTGTCTTTCTCCGTCAAGTTGATATAGTCATTTTTGTAAGATCGATGATAGATGGGATACTATAGAATAGAATAGACGAATGTTCCAGTATACAAACATATATCTCGCCTACTAAAAAACAAGATAGTAATCCAAAGACGGGAGCTGAGACTGTCGTTTCTTCTAGAATTAATTCATCGTTTCCGTTCCAAGAAAAGTTATAGAAATACTATAAAATATAGGTAATAATAATAATAATACTAATACTAATACTAATAACCATCTATCTATGATCCTATCATCCCAAGTTCAAGTCCAAGTCCAATGTCTAACTGTTGCCAGAGACGACCAATATCATCTCTCTTCAGACAACATTCGACGACTCAGCACACATGCGCATACGTACGTAACATACAGGATAGAGCAGCAAGCGGTATCATGAGCCAAAATAACAAAAGGGAAAACCGAAATGACACGACACGACACGACACGACACACAAAAAAGCCTAGACTCCACGAGACGGAAAGTGAAAAGCGACGAGAGATGGTAATCTGATGCCAGAAAAGAGAAACATCTCATTCGTGCCAGGGCGCCGTCCAGTTCGATTCTCCTTCTTTTCACTGCTTTTTTCCCCTCTTCTTGTGGCGTCTTTTCTCACTTTGTCACCGCGAAAATCCCAGCGCGGAAATCAATGGGAAAAAGAACAGATTTGAGTCTCGCGGATGGGTAGATAGATCGGAGAAGAATTGAAATATAAAAAGAATATGGCAAAATACAGGTCCTCGAATCATGATGTAATGTGCAGTAATCAATATCATAAAATAAGACAGTTCGTTTCGGCATTTTGAGAGGTGGGCTTAGTCGTCGATGTCAGCCTCGTCCTCAAGGGCAGCTTCCGCAGCCTTCTTCTCCTCTTCGTCTGCATCGCCGGAGACCTTCTCTTTCATGGCCCGGACGAACTCGCGCTGCATTCCGAATCTTACTGCCTCCAACACGTCCTGAACGCATTTCTTAGGAGGGAAGCGAGGAATGGTGCCGTCCTGGTAGACGCCGGTCTTGACCAGGATCGAGTACCAGTTGCAGTCGCTCAGCTCAGAGTCGTTGAACGCGTTGGTGCCTTGGATGTCAGATTCCGGAGTGTCACCGACGAAGTAGACCGTCTGCGGGGGCTTGTCGATGCCGTAGACGTCCTTGCGCCATTGTTGGAGGAGTCGAGTCGCGAATGAGAAAGTCCCGAGCTGGGGCTTGCCAAAGGCAGTCGTCTTCAGTTCCTTGCCGGAGACGGCCTTGAATAGCGTCTCCAAAGATGCTCGCAGAGCACCCATGCCGATGCGGACGTGCTCGTGCGACGTCGACCAGACAATGTCGTTGTGAGAGAAGTAGACGGGTGGGCCCTCGTCGAAGGTCTCCGATCGGGTGCCTAGCTGGCCGTTCTTCGACATGAGCAGGTCCAGAATGATCTGCTGGTCACCGGCCCAGTCTCTGCTGTCGGCGAAGACGAAGATGGCATCGATCTTGATCTTGCTGAAATCACGATCGCGGGAGTTCTTCCACTCGTCCTCGGTCAGTTTGCGGAACGGGGTGACGTCCTGCTTCGCCTTGATAATGTCTCCGGGCGTAACGACATCTTTGAAACCGTAGCCTTCGGCCACCTCACGGCACTTTTCACCCTCACCACCTACGACGAGGACGGTTTGGTAACGCTCCGCCATCTCCCGCATGGGAGTGTGGCCGCAGATGAACTGGCCGGTGGAGACCTCGATCTCGAGTTGTTTGCTCAGATCGATACATCGTTCTTCCTCAGTCTTTCCACCTCCGTTAGTGAGGAAGATGTATGGTCTGGGACACAATGGGTTAGCAAACGGCATTGAAGCCGTCCATCCATATGGTCACGGAAGGAAAAGGAGTTGGAGGCAGGGTTAGACTCTTACACTTTGATACCGTAAGGGTTCTCGCCGTTCAGCACCTTCATGGCCTCCACGGCCGCCGGGATGGGCTTCCCACCGCGGATGAGGACGCCATCGATATCGAAGGCGAAGGCATACTGATCCGTAGGCGCGGCCTGCTGCGCGGCGTTGACGGGAGACGATGACCGCGGGGTGACCTCTTCGGACGAGGTGGTGGCTTCTTCGAGATGCATCTTGGCCCTCTCGAAGGACATGGCGGTTTCATTGGCATCGCCGAGGGTTGCCATCAGCTGTTTGGGAGGCACCAGGACGGTCGGTCCGCTGATGAGGTCGCCACGGCTGGCATCCATACTGGATAGCCTGCGGATCCGTGGAGTACCCGCACTCTGTGCTGCTGCCATGGTGGATCTTGGGAAGGGTTGCGTAGTCGTTTCCTGTAGGTGAGTATTGTTGACAGGGAGACCACAGCCGAGCTATTGGGTCAGTCGGAACGATCAGAACGGGGCTGGTCGTGACGGAGAATGATAATATATATATATATATATATATATATATATATAGATATATATATATGATACAGTGGGCGAGGACGATGATGATATCACAGTGGAAGGGATCTGGAGAGCTCGACGAGAAGCGACCTGCGTCTGCCCGTCCTAGGTCCCAGGAGATAAGGAAAACCGGTGAGCAAGAGAGAACGGTGAGCAACGGTGGATCGATGAGGAAGCTCGACTGCTATTTACTCGAGAGCAACGCAGTCCGTATTCGGTAGATCAGTTACAGTTCGAATTTGTTGTAGCTGGGACGAAGGGGGAACAAAGGCTGGTATATATAGATCCAGAGAGCGAGCTAGCTCATGGCTGATGCCCTGAGGCACGCTCTGGGGATCAGCGGGTGACAACCCGACGTGAGCGTCCGAACGAAGGTTGGATCCACCGTGGGGAGAGAATCGAAGCGATTACGATTCGCCATCCGAGCGATCTGGCTCCATCGGCCGAACGTCAAGGCTGTGATGATGAGGGCTTTGTCTCTCTCTCTCTCTCCACCCGTCAAGGTGTGGAGTTGGCGCATGCTGAGCGGTTTGTGGCCGTGCGTCGAGTCGAGTCGAGTCGACCGCATCAACCCCTCGCCCCCAATCCATTAGTAGCTAGATATCCGTTGCTTTTCTGCACTGGCGAGATTCGGGATGTCGCAGGGGACGAGAAAGGCAAGATAGTCGAAAGGCGAAATCATAGAATCACCGCAACAACAGACAAGACAAACGGAGAGCGAGAATGGTGATGACTAGAGTCGAGTAGATCAGGTCCGTGACGAAGGATGGAACCTCGGACGACCGGATTGTGGTGTTCGTGTCTGTGTGCGTTCATCGAGATAGACGAAATGCCAGAAGACCGGTTTTGTCCCTCGTCTGGGTCGGCGACATCATCGGATCTCGGGGGTGAGCGTGGACCGAGAGAGCTAACTGATTAGTTAATTAACTGGAGTCTTGAGTTAGCAGTAGATAGTAGTAGTAGTAGTAGTAGTAGTAGTAGTAGTAGTAGTAGTGATAGCAGTCTGGACAGAAAAAGAAACAGACGCTACTCTCGTTAGTTCTGCAAACGGGGGATTTCTCATCCACTCCCTGCGTCATGGAGGGGCTCGATGGCCGATCTCTCCCTGACGTCTGCGTTCATTGATTATCAACGAGAATAACAACATTCCTTGATGGAGAACTTAGTCAATTATTGTCAGCTAGACTAGTAGTAGTAGCCATGAAGAGTACTGTATAGATCCTCATAGCCACATCTATATCCACATCCACACGTGCAGCCACACACTTGAAGTCATGGATGATGTACTCAGCAGTACCTGGGATGCAGCGTCGTAATTAGTAGAGTATGTATGTATGTACCATAACATAACTAGTCCTGCTGGTGAGAGGTCAGAGCACTTATTAATGTCATTGTGCCCACTGCCGAGTCCCTTCAGGTTGCAACGCTCTGTTGCAGGCCTATCGGTACAGAAGGATAAAGTGAAAAGTACCGTGCAGTTGATGTTATTGATTATCAGAAAATACCTCTCAGCTGGGCCATCCGGTTTCCTACGGTATGCAGACCTCCACTTGGCGTCGCAGAAGAGACACGGCGAGCAAAATGATTATCTATGGTAGAAGCGACTAGATAATTACGTTCTACTGTTTGGGTTGACGTCTATCCCATCCTGTTAACAGCATCAAATCAACTTCGATTCTCTCTACCCGGTCTGAGATGGCGCCATCAGCCACCGTCTCTCCTCCCCTCCCTAGATACTCTAAACCTTACCACAGCCACTGTCTTTTCTATCCCATGAATCAGGGGACTTCCTTTTCTCTCTCTGTCTCTTTATCAAGTCACATTATCCCCCTTGATCACTCCGGCTCCGATAACACTGAGGTAAAAGAAGCAGTGATATCAAACCAAGAATGATGCCAAAGCACTACTCAAAAGAAAAAAAGAAAAAGAAGAAAAACCCCCCAAGAAATCCAGAGCATGGATAATATCCATAGAAACAACACGATAACTAGTAGAGTACCCAAGATAATTAACGTCTTGGACGAAAACGCCTCCAAACCAGCTAAACTTTAATAAGAAGCCATTGTTCAGCCAGTGACGTAGGAGGTTGAAGTGAGGATATCAGCTAGTTTACCTAGACGCAAAATCCTTAAAAGAAAGAAAAAACAAATATCACTATCTCTTTTTTCAATTAGAATGAATTGCTCTTTGTTTAATTTGTACAGTATACCATATTTCTCCACCTTGGGCGAAATCTACGTGCGGTACTCAACTTTCTTAAAGCATATAACTACCCCTAGTAGTCTCCAGGGAACGGATAACAAGGAAACATCCGAGAGAGCTAAATAATAAAATGATTAATTATAATTAACCTCTTGTTATTGCATCTGTAGTGAAGTGGGGGTAAAAAGAAACGCACTGACATCTAGCCTTTATAAGATCTTCTAAACTCGACTTCAGAAAGAGGGGTAATAACAATAATACTACCTATAATATAATAATGATTGTGGATCCGGACAAGACTTTAGTTTAATGGTCTAAATTATGATACTACTGCTACTCCTCCTCCTCCTCATTCACACGAACCTTAAAAGCATCATGTACATACCTAGGTACATACTGCATACAGGCTAGTGGAGGGGTCTAGGAGGACTCTACTCCGTAAGAAGCACAGAAGTTAAGAATGATATCGGTATGGTCAACGACTTGGGCTACGGATCACGAAACAGATCGAATTTCTCGGCGTTTTTCTTTTTGTCAACACCGGGTCAGAGCGCTGGATTAAGATACAACATTACACTCTGCCCTAAACATCAGACCCTTCCCGCCCGGAGTTCAAGTGCTCTCCTTCTTCTTCTTCCTCTTCTTCTTCCTCTCCCTCCCAGAATCAAAAGCCAGAGGGAGAAAGCAACGGAAACGCCATCAGCCCTACCATATGCCAGTCCCGGTAGGTAATGTGAAGAAATATCTCAAAATGTCAAACTCCTGTGGCCATGTGGCTTTCATAATATCAGAAATATACAAGCAAACAGCAAAAGTCCAAGGCAGAAAAAGCAGCCAGCTGAGCGCCGTGAATGATCAGAAAAAGTGAAACCCATTTTTACAAGGAGGCCGAAGGTGACATCACGTTGGAACCCTCTGTTACTGACGAGAGACGGTCCAAGATCTGACAACCATGCCACATATCCGCTTGATCACCTGCGTGGTTCCTTTACCGGCTGCCTCTTGTTCCAAGAATTTCTGCGCGACGAATAGCTTCGCGCCCGCATCCTTCTCATCTGTAGTCGTCGGTTGTGGGACACTGCGAGGGAAATCGGCCCAGCGCTGCCCAAGATGGCGGGCAATCGCAATCGAGTAAATGACGTCCCGATTCTCGTAAGTGTCGAGAAGCGTCCGGCAGCGCGCCAAGGTGTCGTCGATCTCCTTCGCGGAGCTGGCCTCGTCATCATGCAAGGTCAGGAAGTGCCCGACCGCGCCCCAGAAATCAACGGCTCTCTGATGGAGCTGTAGAGCGAGACTGGAGGTATTGGGTGGAGGCTGTTGGACTATGGGCTGTGCCAGGGGGTTGATGTCCAGGTATTCCCCAGTTACCAGTGCCTCGAAGACATCCAGTCGCTTGGCAGCAGTGATCAGCTCCGGGTCTTGCGATGCACTTCCGTTCATCCTGTTAGCCAAGTTGCGGCACAGGCACATGGACTGCCAGACAACGGAAGCCTCAAAACTCTCCACCCTTGACAGCACGGCTGGATCACCCAGATTTCGATCGTTGAACGCGTCAATGAGAGCAGAATACTCGGCCATCAGTTGGGCGTTCGTTAGCAACTGAGACAGGGCTTTGTCCTGGAACCAGCGCGTTTCCAGGAACTTGTCGATGGCTGGCGCGTATGTGGCAAGGAACACTGCTTGTATCTCGTCCAAACGCGCTTGCTGAATGGGGACAATGGGATGGGGAGGCGGCGGCGGGACACCTCTGAGGGCGAGAAGATCTGTGATCTTAACTTGTTTCGCTAGGAAGAAAAAAGACCCAGTTAGCAAAAAAAGATCTCCATAGTTTGGGGGATATATAATGCGGTAATGCATCCAGTGCGCGCATGAGGGAATACCAACCTTTTAGTGCGGAGCCATCAGAAATGGGAGTAGCACCGACCGAAGAGGAGTTTCCAGCCCCTTGCAGACTGCCTTCCATAGCATGTTGGACGTTTGCCATGGCGGACATGGTATTGCTCTCCAGTGCCGGATCGATAGCAGTCGATGATCCGTAGTCGAGCTGTTCCAATGACGGGGTCGGCGAATCTGACTGAAGCGAAGGAGCAAAAGGCTGCGTTACAGCAGGAACGTATCCAGGTGGTGCACCAGGATATTGTGGCGGTTCCTGAGGAGCGACGACGAGAGATGGAGGGGGGTTCGGAGCCGGCTGGATGGCAGATGGCGCTGGTTGAGGCCGGAAGACGGGATCATAGCCCAAGCATTCACGCTTGCTTTTGACGCAGTTTCGACAGACCGGATGTCCCTCGTCGCACTAGAAGGAGAGCAATTGCTGGTCAGCTCCAGATGAACGGGCGATGTTGGGCGCGCAAAGTGAGAAAAATAAATAGCGGGGTCGTGTGAAGGCGGAGATGGGTATTGGGAAGCTTGGGCGTGTTGTTGCAAGCTAAGCGACTGCTCGCGTGGAACAGCCCGCCTCTCCGCACCCACCAACCGCCCAGTTTACGGCTTACCTTGATTCTTCGTTTCCTGCAGGTCAGACAGCCCGTCTTTGTCCTGCGCTTTACTTCCTTCTTATGACGGGCACCTGAAAGCATTTTACTGGGATCGCCTGGGATCTGGTATCTCATCTGCGCATTCGGCGGAACGCCCATCTGAGGCATTCCCGGCGCATATCCCGGCATATATTGGCCCATGGGTGGCATGGGAGGCATACTCGAGGGCAGCGGAGAACCGATTGGCGCCTGTGTCGTCTGAGGAGCAGGAGCCGGTTGTGGTGGGAGTTGTTGTTGCCGACCGTCCACCGAGTGGATCGAGGGGAGGTTCATAGGTGCGGGCTGCTGGGGAACAGTTCCAGCGGGTGGTGTACTATGATAAATTTCGGTATTTTGCTGGGGCTGTTGAGGCTGAGGAGCAGGCGATTGTGAGTATGAATATGAGCCATTCGACTGCGGAGTCAACGTATGCGGCAATGTCTGAGGCGTGCTCTGAGGCGCGGCTTGTGGTGCGGCATGAGATGCAGCCGGCGACTCAGTCTGTGCTGTGTGTTCATTTTCAGATAGCGCTGAAGATGGAGGAGGTGCTGAAGGAGCGTTTGTTGGAGCCACTGGTGCCTCCGGGGCTGTTGAAGGAGCAGGAGGTGCTTGGGCCTGTGCCTCCGTTCCCTGAGGAACCTCTGCAGCAGTGGGCGGTTGTGTCGACTCGGCTTCTGACATGTTCCCTGTCTTGAGGGGGCAATCTATCGTGGAAGACCTAGATGTCTTATGTGTCCGTCAAGGTGAGCTGGTGAAGTCCTCAAGCCTATATCGATAGAACCGTCGAGGTGATGGATCCCCGAAAGACACCACTAACTAATAGTATTGACCGGAGTTGACTTTGACGAGAGAGTATATAGCTGGAGGCCCATGTATGATCCGCGCCTATTCTGATCAAACGAGGTTAGTTCGCTCTTCAAGATAGAAAAAGTGCCCGTGTGATGACAATTGTAAATCTTGATAGAATAAGAATCGTAATCACGCGTCTTTTCCAGAGGCTGCAGGCGTAAAAGAAGAGCCTCTTAGGCCCTGCGCGGTCGCTGAAGCGGATCCATAGTAGCTCGCAAAGCCCGTAGCTTCCTCGGTCGAGTTTGCATCGAGGGTTGATACATGTCTACCAACGCACCACCCGCGCCATCCAAGGCCTGAGCTGGCTGCAGAGCCTCTAGATCCCTTTCTAACAGCGTATTCGGAACAAGATTCAAAACAGGCAGCGAATGCGACCGTCATGGGTCATGATGAGCCGGCATTGAAGACCAGCGCAGCTCATCTGGGTCGCAAACCCTTCAACCATCCCAACAACAGACATCCCATAAATGCAGTATAGATCGTCTGGGGAGAAGCGGAAAACATCACGGCGCGAGGGACTCGGAATTTGACCGCAAGACAGCGTGTTGGGGCCTTCGATAAGACGAAGCAAAAAGGCGAAGGGGAGACGATGGCAGGAGCCGAGAAAGCGAAGCTCTCGTTTATTGATCACGTACGTACCTGGGCTAGATAAGCGAAAAGAAGCGAACCGAGTAGCTTAGTCCACCAGAGCTTGTTCTCCTGGAAGCGAGCGGTCTCCGCATTTAACGGTCAACAATGCTGGCGAACAAAGAGTGCTTGAAGTTGAGCTCCGGAGCAACTTGAAGAAAGTCCGGACCGTGACGATGTGAGAAGCGCGAACGGAACAAAAAAGCAGTGGCAATTATAGCCTGCCAAGGGCCGCGCTTCTCTTCCGGCGCAAACTGGCAAAGGACGCAATTTTTTCTTCTTGTACAGCAGCATCACAGATCAGAGAAGGATGATTAGCAGAGAATGTGAAGATCAATTCTCTTTGTGGTTCTCTGGTGTAGTAAAGTCAAGTAAATTCAATCAAGATTATTAACTATCGGTCTTGTTAATTTTACATGTGTATGTAGCAATACAAAGCGCAAGGAGTTAGATTCATCAGAAAATGCAATTGCTCACTGTGTGCAATCTAATTTCATTATGCTTATTCTTTAAAGATATCTTCAGCTGTGTCGCTGTATTCTGTGTTACCCTTCACCGTGCAATTTCTCCAGGTTGGAATGGCTAACTTATTCTACAGTAGGTCCAAAACAACCTCCCCGTGTTTGCTATCCTATGTCTGATAGTATCTTCCGACGATAGTTTCTGGATATCCCCAGAAACTGCTAGTAGAGGTATACAGTGATCAGGAATCAATCTACATATGATCCTGCTGCGAATTCAACATGGCCACAGCTCTTTCTGAAGCGCAAGGTCGTATCGTGGATCCTGTCACAGGCTTTACTTAGCCCAGACCCCTGTCAAGCAGCTTTGCTAGCGCTTATGGTATAATCATCCGTCAAGAAGGGCTGGCTCTGCCAGAGGATGACTTTGTATGACCACGGCAAGAAGGGGAATGTCTGCAACCTTTTTCATGATCAGAGTTTTTGTCGGCTTCTAGTGATTAGCTGCTCAACGCGAAAAAGGCGCCTTCGTTGCGGCGTATTTCCGCAAGAAAAAATCCGAGGTAAAGTATTCAACGAAAAGAAATCAGATCCGCTTATTTCTTCGCGAACTTGGGCTTTCGTTTCTTGAACACAACACCCGGTGCAGCCTCCTGGGCTTCGCTCCCAGCTTCCGGGATAGATTCTGGGACTCCTTGGAAAGACTCCTCCTTTTTAATCGCAGGAGGCTTGTCTTCTTCAGCGGGAGCCGGCGGAGGAGGACTGCTCTCCTGCTTGATATATTCGTCCGGCTCTTCTGTCTTCGTTTCCACTTTCACCGCCGGCCCCTTGCCCTTCAAATTCTTCGTAGACTCCAAAAGCGCATCCAAATCTCCATCATCTTCCGCACCAGGATACTGCCGTGTTGTGGAACCCCAGTTCTTCTTGACGGCTCTCTGCGCCTCCTCTTCTTCCTCCGCCTCTTGTCCTTCGAGTTTGCGCTTTCGCACTCCAATATTCAGAGATGGGTGTTCTGGCTTCTCCTCATCCTGCGTATCGATCACCCGCTCAGAAACCGTCTGCCACTCTCCGGCCAAAGCCATCTCACGACGGAACTCATCCGGTATAGCAACGCCCATCTCAGCCAACTGCGCCATTTGCTTTTTCCTCTCCTCCAACGAGACCGGACGCGAAGACGGCGCAGCTGCCTTCTGGTTACGTTTCCAAGGCGCATCTGACTTGTCCTGTCCGGAGGAAGAACCCGAGACTAGGCTGGTGAGTCTCTGCACTTCATCTTTCGCCCTTTGCGACTCCCGCTCATGCCGCTCTTGGTTCCTGTGTATGTCTCGTAGGAACCGTTTGAGATTCGACTGATGCTTCGCAGTGGCTTCATGTTGAGTTTTTTCGAAGGTTGTGTCGCGGATAAAGACCTTGCAGTGCTTGCACCAATACCTGGGCTGTCGCAACGGTTAGTTAAGAGGGCTTCTTTTATTGGGGATCCCGACGCGGTCGCACTTACTGCTGACTTCCAATATTCCGCCATCAGTGCGAGTATCAGGTAGTTCGCACTCAGGCTATCGTATTAACACGTAAAAAGATAACGTTTAGAAGGTGAGATTTCGTTGTCTGGCGCAAAAACAGTCCCACGGTGACGTTTGAGAAAGCGCCTGAGATGTCATCGGCATCGGAACTAGCGCGGAGCTAAGCGCCACGAGCAGACATGTAGGAGGTAATTATGGAAGTCCTGAAAAGCTGGACAATAGCATTTTATAGATTTGGAAGATTTTCTGTAAGTGAGTGTTTTATCTGAGAGCATAGAAGCAGGATTATTATTGCTCAAGGCAATCGTTATAACTTTCGTACATATCGACTGCCATCCTCATGTACAATACACGCAGTGTATTTATTCTACAAATATACCAAAAGATCAAAAGAACTATATATCTACAGGGGCAAAATTCTTAAGTCACATCAGAACATGAGATGAAAAGCGCTGGAGTATCCCTTAACCTCTCCGAAGATTGAACTGGTCATAGACTGTCACAAGCAAGTTTTCATTTCCTCATCAGGACACCTGCGATAAATCAAGGGGCGAGACACACGTAAAGGCATTCACTTGCGGATTCTGAAACGCTTCAATCATACCCTCAACGGCAGCATACATTCCCAATCCGGCCGTCGCCAGCGCACCGCCCCCATACAACACATGGAGAACATTCCAAATCCATGGTCCATTTACCAGGCCTCTCCACAAACGCTTTAAACCGGTATCTTGACGAACGACAGTACCGGTGGTTGGGTCAAAACCGTCCCCTTGACTGGTCTTCAGAGCATAGAGTTTCATGTTATAGCCCAGGGCTAGAATGGGCGGGAAAGAGTATGTGAATTGGACAACGGTCGCCGCAGAGATCACAGAGACGAACCCGAAGTAGTCGGGAATTGCGGCAGCGACAACATAAGCAATGGACCACCATATGGGCACAATGATGGCCCAGAGGATCTTACCTCCTTTGTGCGTCAGAGGCGGTGCGCGGAAGAGATCCCTTGGTTTTAATATCAGATCAAAATCGATATGGTCGGATCAGATGGCCAAAAAAACTTACATAAGAACGTTGTTGTAAAAGACCTTGATCCCAATGTTTCCATACAATCCTGCAGAGATAAGGCCACTTACACAGGCGAGCATGTCTCCCACAACCTGCCATCCGTAGCGAGAGACCCCTTGATAAGAGACCTGATAGGCATATTGCCCCTGGAAATGATACACGTAGCAACCGTAGATAAGGTAAACGCTGTATATGAAGAATTGAGCCCCCCACATGGCCTTGAAGAAATCAAATGGGCGTCTCATCTCGGCCATAAATTCGACGAACAGTTGGGCGCCACCGTAGGCGAAGACTCCCTGCAGAAGCCCATTGAGCGACCCGACGAGACTTTTCGAGTCAGGGAGACCACCGTAGTGCCTGACCGGGGGATATATTCCAGTTTTGGGGTCGGGTGTAATGGTTGAGGTGTCGACTGCAGACCCAGCAGAGCCAAGTACAGAGATAGCATAATTCGGCGGGCTATGAGCCATAACTCCCATGGTGATGAAAATAACCATGAGATTGAGCCATACTGCCGTATTTGCTAGCCAACCGTAATTGCGAAGGGTGCGCACTTGACCAATGAGATATCCTACAGCCACAAATACCACGCAGCAGACAGAGTAACACAGACGGAATCTGGACACCTGGGAGATGCCTTGGCCGTTCTGGATGATGACTTGTCCCAGAACCAGTAATAGAAGGAGTCCCTGCAGGATATTCACGAAATGGCGAGCATAAGGACCGTATATGCGAAATGCTAGATCCCCGTAGTTTTTGAGAGGAAACTCGTACGAATCCAACCCAAGGAACATTTTCCATAGCAGCCATCCGGAATAACCAGCCATGATACCAAAAACGGTATAAAGTGCCTGGTACCTTTTGTTAGATCTTACTCAGCGGGAAAAGTGTGGTGATAGTTAACTAGATACCACGCGAGCGGATGCCGACTTACTACACCGGGGCCCCAGCCCAAGGTGCCGAGTGCGAAGCCAACGCCATACGGTCCCAAAATATCTAATGAAGAAATGGGGGTCAGGTTTCTGCGGAATCTTGCGCGTCATTAGAATCGGGGGGATGCTCACCAGTCGTGATTAGATACCAGCAAGCTCCCCAGCTAGCTGTCCTCATCATGCGTGAGGCGTTGGTCCATTCTTCGTCCGTGATTTCTAGCCGGTTGGCTCTATTGGCCAAGTTGACGTTGAGAACCTTTGACTGCTGTTCACTTTGGGGAGCTGAAACTTCCGGCTCATCTTCTTCGGGCTGACCAGCGCCCTTGAACAGCGCTTTCCATATGCTTATCGTTGGACCCGCGGGCGGGGAATCCTTTTCCTCTTCGCGTGTTTTCAATGCATAATAGCGGTACTCCTCGAAGGTTACTTCTGGATCATGGAGACGTCGATGTTGTGGCTTGATGATCGTGCCTGTGCGTGGAGGACTCTCGTTGGAGTCTTGCTCTGGGCGCTTTTCGGTATCAGATGCTGACGACGGAGGGAGAGCAGTTTCGTTTAAGGACATGATCGCATCAATAGGTTAAGATCCAGCTCAATAACCATCGAATCCCCGCATACACACAATGAAGAATATAAGATTGTTTCCAGATGGATCCGGATTTGCTGCTAGCGACGACCACTTTTATACGAAATTTCTTTTCCTTTGGGTTTTGTCTCTATGGGAGGGTCCCACTGAATAATGACTGATAAAGAGAACCACGCCTTGTGGTGTTCCTGGTCACCGAACACAACGGTACGATGTAACTGGCGCTCTTCGATGGCGTATTATCCCTGGCGCCACCGGCGAGCGGCAGCAGTTTAGGGGGCCAGATAACTAGGTAGGCATCGAGCAACCAATGGAGGTCAATGGGGACTCGGATATATGCGGCATCAAAGACTGCTGCTGATCAGCCATCGCTGGTGATAACTAAGCGCTCCAAAGAGAAGGTTCCCATCCAAGCTTCAGCCGAACCGTTTTTGGACTTAGCGGCCTGACTTCCAAGGCCCGCAATTGCTTGTTTTATGCTTGACTCGACGAGCCTCGACGGCATTGATGTCTACATTTAAAACAGTTAACACATAACAACAGCACAAAAAGCTTTTAATTTAGTCAAGATAATCCATCACTATTTTAGAACAACGCGCAGTGCCAGCGCTTCGTTGGAGCCTCAATCTGGCGGCTAATCCTCCTAGCTGTCTCATTATCCAGCATGTGGTCCATTCAAGCGGCGACGCTGCCCAAGCAACACTAAACTAGTTAATGAAAGGTCTCGATTCATGGCACGAGTATTGTAAGTATTAGTGATTAGCATCGATAGAGTGGGTGGCCTAAAGAATAAGATGCCAATGGGCGTCTTACATTAGGCCTATGATATTTCGTAGAAGCAAAATTCAAATTAAGGCGTCCAGCAGCTAACAACAGGAAGATACCTAGGTAGCATCGACCAACCAAGACTATTCACCCTGCATGTTTGTACTGTCATGTCCTGTTTCTGGTATCTATGTGGAACAAAGAAAAAAAAAATTGAATATGGCAAAAGGTAGGTTACATTGTTGTTATTGCTTGCTAAAGTATCAAACTGTAGGAATAGATTGATGGGAATAGATAATGGGACAAGAAAGAGATAACGAGACGCTGGGGCTATATCAGCTTTGCATGCCGCACTTCCATTCAAGGATATGGGGGCCAAACTAGCTAACTCCAATGCCTGGGAGAAGCCTGGGATCTTTCACTAAGCTTCAATAGCTATCAATCATGTCCATCATACCATTTGCTTACGATAAGGCTGAAACATCACATTGCCACTGCATGTTAAAGCAGTTCGAATATTCTGTCTAGAACCCCTTCCATGAGGTTAGTCTTCCCCCAGAGAGACGACGATGGAACTAAACTTACCTGCAAGCAGCCGAGGATCAAGGAAAATTAATGCAAAACAACCAAGAAAAAAAGACAAAGATTTAGTTCGCTATTTTAATAGAACTAACCTTTCTATTTGGCACCTTATACATTGGCGGTAGGAATGACATTTATACACCCAACAGTAACTATGCCCTAACTTAAAAGACCTCCACCCTCACAGTCGCTTCCTTAAGATCATCATTAAACCAGTATCCAACGTGTCTCGTCGAATCTACCAACTCTACCTCCCGTTTGACGAACTTGTTCCCATCTTCTCTTGTCATGACTCTGTCTGATGCAGCTCCATTTTTGGATATCCTCTGCCCTTCGCTTTCTGCGGCATCTGGTTCATCATCATCGCTGCTATCCCATTCATCAAGACCAGTATCTGCTTCGTCCACGGGATCCCATTCCTCTGTCTCCCAGATTAATCGGAAGCCGAGAGGAGTTAGATCGAAGAGCCGCGAAACAATAGATTTCACTCTATAGACGTCGAAAGTGCGCGGTATCTCCTGCGTGTGCTCTCTCCTGTTGTTGGTGTCCGGTATATAAAACGTAAATCTGACCAATCTCGCGGCAACGGAGCGTGGGTTGATGTCTCCCCTGGAGGAGTCCAACGCTCTCCTGATAACTGGTTCTCCGTATAGGTCACACAATTCACCGTACCGAGGATGATTCGCCAGGATGCTCTTCTCTGCACTTTCAGGATAGGCCGAGAGCTCCTTTCCAATCAAAGACAGATAGTACAGTTCTCCATTAGTTCGCTCTTGCGGAGTAATCTTGCTGTAGTTCAGAGATTCGAGGTTCCGTAGACGGGCTACGGTTAGCATGAAAGCTTCTTCAACCGTCATTGATTTCTCAGGCAGATTTGTCACATTGGAGGGTGCCACCGGTTGGTCGTATAGAGGATTATCAGATATCCGTAGAGATTTGAGACCAGGGAAAAGTCTTGGAAGAGCATTGATGAAGCTCCAGGAATTGATATTGTTGCGAGAGACATCCAGAGATCGGACGGTAGGGGAAAATTGGAATGGTGCATCTTCGCTGGGCGAATCTGAAGGCAAGACACCGCGTATGTTATTGCCTCTTAACGAAAGCCGGTCTAGATTAGGGAGCGATGCTAAACTCCGGACCGAATAAAGAGAATCAATCTCATTATTCTCTAGGGTCAGGCTCTGGATTGTGGGCGAAAACGTTGATGAGATAGATGAGATCTGGTTGCTGGACGCGGATAAAGATGTCAGGGACGGGAATTGATAGCTCAAAAGCGCAATCTATAACCGAAGTGTCAGAAGAATTCGCCAAATTTATAAAAAACCGAGATAAACGTCGTACCTCGTCCGAAGTCAATAGGGTATCATCTAAATGCAACTCTAGAATCCGCTCAAATGTCAACTCGTTTTTGATGGCTTCAAACCGATTTCCACTGAACAGGTATTAGCACAATATTTCCGCTTTTGTAAATGGACAGAGAAACCCACTTCAACTTCAATAGCTTGATCTTTTTCAATGGCCTGCATATATCTCTCACATCCACCCATCGTTGAAGTAGATTATGACTAAGGTCAAGTTCAACAATTCTGGGACATGTCTTCTCAATATCCTCCACTGCTTTTTCCCGCTGCTCAGGAGCAACGTCATTAGCCAGTAATCCAGAAATACGCAGACCATCCAGGATGATGATCCTGAGCTCCTGCAGCTCAGCGAGCTTCTTTCGGATCTTCTCAAACCCAACCTCCTCCACAACCTTCCCATTGAATCGAATTTGGTCAGGAAGAGGTACAGCAGTTCCTGCTTCCTCTTTCTGCTTGCTCTGAGCTAGCTCTTCCTCATATTCAGATGCATATTTTTCATGCACGGCTTCGAGGAAACCCCGGGGCTTCTCCGTGGGCCGGGATGGACGAACAAACGACCCCGCTGTAGGATGATTACTTTTGCCTGCGTATTAAGTATGAGCATCACGCCTAAGAAATATAGACGAAAATATTCAGCGGCTAGAGGAGGATATGAATTTATTACATCGGAAATATTTCACTCCCTTATGTTCCCCTGAGTGCTTCCCGCGTGTTGGATCGTCCCATTCCACTCCAAGCCATTCGCCAGTTGTGCCCTCGACCTTTCCGATATAGCGCACCGTGCACAACGCGCCATCGAACGATAGTCGCTGGCATTCATAAAATTCGTGACTCATATCTCGTAGATCTTCGCAAACATGTTTCTAGCATAAGGGATGTTGTCCAGTCTATTGGGGGAAGCCAATAAATACATATCAACCAGGCTAAGGGCCGCAGTCCAGCCGTGAGATGCGGAAGAGCCAATAGTAAGCGAGAGCGCGGCGATGGTTTCGCTGCTTACATAACAACAGCTCTGCGGAACTTCCAGAATCTCTTCGAGAAAGCTGTTTACTGATAACCGCCCAGATCGCGCCACTGTTATCCCTCATTTGCACGAACTATTAGTGCAATAGGGCACATATATCAACATGGATTACCAGGTAAGCTACATATACTCCATAATGCTCTAAATAACCGACTTTCTAACATCATCTTAGAACCGCGCAGGTTCCAAATTCGGTGGCGGTGGTGTCGCATCGCACTCCGCAACGAACGCCGACCGTCGTGAGCGTCTGCGCAAACTCGCCCTCGAGACGATCGATCTCGATAAAGATCCGTACTTTTTCAAGAACCACGTTGGAAGCTTCGAGTGTCGTCTCTGTTTGACCGTTCACCAGAACGATGGCTCCTATCTCGCTCACACTCAGGGTCGCAAGCACCAGACGAACCTGGCGCGTCGTGCGGCAAGAGAGCAGAAGGAGGGGAAGAATCAAGATGCGCTACTCCCCGGAGCGATGGGTGTGCAGGTGAAGAAGCAGACGCTGAAGATTGGACGACCGGGTTATAAAATCACGAAAATTCGGGATCCGTTGACGAGACAACTGGGATTACTGTTCCAGCTGCAATACGACCAGATCACTCCTGGAGTGAAGCCGCGAGTACGATTCATGTCAGCATTCGAGCAGAAGGTGGATGAGCCCCCAGACAAGAACTTCCAGTACCTGGTTGTAGCCGCGGAGCCGTACCAGTCGTGCGGTTTCAAGCTACAGGCGAGAGAAATCGACCGGAGAGAGGGCCGGTATTGGACTTGGTTCGATGAAGATAGCAAGGAGTTCTGGATCCAGATCATGTTCAAGACCGAACGTGAGGAGAGATTCAGTGGTGTCCCCGGTCTGGCACCGGCAAACACTCAATAGTGTTTCCTGCGGCAACGTGTATGTTTTGTGGAGAAAAGGAAATTGTCTTGGTCGATATCAGAGCAGAGAGTATGTATCTCTAATGGGTTACGGTTGAGGCGTTTTACGGTTGTTGGGATCAAAGTTTGAATTTCAATGTCAATAGCCCAAAAGGCGTTCTAGCGTCCGCTTCGGACGTGGCATGGTGTATCCAGTGCTTCGTGAGGTGAAGAGATAGTCATTTCTTGAATCCGAGGGCTAGATCATAGCCTCAGAACATAACTATCCTACTACTCTTAATGTTGATGGAGAGCTCACCTTCTTGCGGGGTCCCCAGGCCCCGAATTGGCTTGCTGAGGATGACTCGATATAATCAAAGCTTGTAATGCTACTTCTATACCATGATTTCATGGCTTGCGCAGCGCCGTCTAATGCACGGCCCAGCCAAATACTCTACTCCACCTTTGTCGACTAGCAAGACGTAGCTCCAGATGATCTCAAATCATTTCTTTCTGAATATCCCTTTTTTGACTTATTTCAAAGATTTGTCTACATGCAGAGTCTAGGTAGACACAGCCAGCTCATTGTGACATTTTTTCGGCCAAATAGCATTGATATAGGAACAAATCCTCTACGCCACGTCAGAGACATGCACATGTAAATATAGACCAGAGATATTCGATCCCATTCGCCAACAGGTGGTCTTCAGGTAGTCGTCGCCTCACAATAAAATCACAAATAATGTCGGAAAAAGAAGAAGCGTAGGTCATCACCACTGGCAAAAGCTTTCGCTGCATGTTGAACGACAAGTAGCCACATAAACGGAGTTAGGATGCAGATGAGCCGCTGAAAAGACGTTAATGCAAGCCCGCCTGCTGGAGACTTCCCAGCCAGGTTCACCGTCACTCCCAATCTCAGGTGGTCGGCCAGCTCTCTAGCTCGCCTGGAAGGCATTGAAGGCCTTGTAAGTGTAACCAATGAAAGGAAGACTCATCTCTGCCTCCTGTTCGTCTGGCATAGCACGAGCCTGGGCACGGTGAGCCGCGGAAGTATCTTCCTGAGGAATCTCGTCGACGGGGAAGTAGGAGACGTCGACGTTGGAGCTCAGCTTGGGTTCAAAAGGTGCGCGGATATTGCGCAGTTGATCCCAAACAACCCCGCGGAAGAAGGGGTGGGCCTTGATCTGGGTGGCACCGCCATGAGCACCACCCTCGCTACCGATACGGTGCTCAGCATCACAAAGGAAGCTACGAAAACCATTAGCAATGAACTTGACCGAGACACGACCTGAGCTGGAATTACCTTCGAATAAGCGACTCAGACTCACGCGAAAGAGTGAGCTCTTCGGGGAAGTAGAGACAGTCCCTCCAGTTCACGATCTTCCGGTAAGTGTCGGTCGTCTCCTCAGCACAGAACGGCGGCCAGCCCACAAGACACTCGAACATGATGGCACCAACGGACCACCAGTCGCATAGGTAGGTGTAACCCTGACCGTTGAAGATCTCCGGGGCAATGTAGTCTGGAGTACCGACGGTGGAATACGCCATCGCTCGTCGAGACTTCCTCCAAGTGTTGATCTGTCCACGGTTGGAGACAGTCAGGTTGATCGAGTCCGAGAAGTAACCAGAGTTACGGTTCTTGTCCTTTGACGTAGAGTTCTTGAGGAGGTTCTGGTAGTAGGCATTGTCGTGAGTCTTCTTTCCTCCGGTGGAGAGACCAAAGTCAGTAAGCTTGATGTGACCACCACGGTCGAGAAGGATGTTATCAGGCTTGATGTCACTATACCGAAACGTGACTAGTTAGCGCCCCATATAAAACAGCAACAATAGATGAAGTATTATCAAGAGCTGAGACTTACCGATGGAGGAAGCCTAATTGATGGACAGCCTCAATAGCCATCACGATCTCTGCCATGTAGAATCGCGTAATGTCCTCCGAGAAGATTTCGTATTTGATAAGCATAGTCATCAAGTCACCACCGGGAAGGAACTCCATGAGCAAATAGAGGTATGCGGTGTCCTGGAAGGAAGCGTGCAGCTTCACCAGCCAAGGGTTGTCCTTGGAGTCTGCCAGGATATCACGCTCAGCGCGGACGTGTGCCAACTGATCCTTCTTAAACATCTCTGTCTTGATCAACGACTTGAGGGCGTAGATCTTCCCATCAGTCTTCCTCTGGACAAGCTTCACTTCTCCGAAAGCACCCTTTCCAATAACCTTGATGGTCTGGAAGTTGGCTGGTGTTTCCTTGGTGCGCAGGAACCGAAGGAAAGTAGACTCCTTCTTCGCCATGGTTTCAGACTCCTGTCGTTTCTTGTCGGCGGACACATTCGGGTCGCGAAGCATATGGTCAAGGGTCGCAGCACTGTCCCAATATTCGTGTCAGCAACGGTAAAAGATGTCGAAAGTGAAGACTGTATGAATACCCACCGCATGTTACGATCGCGAGCACGCTCAATGTTCTCCTGGAAGAACACGGTGACCAATTCCTTCAACGCCTTTCCACGCTTGTGAACATTTTCCGAGTACCTGTCCGGGTAGCGCTGGAGCTCCTCATCTTCACCCGGCGGCTTGGGACTGCGAGTGTTGGGCTGTCCCTGAGAGCCAGAAGTACGAGGACGCTGGCCGGGAGAGCCACGACCAAATAGTCCCGCACGAGGCGAGGCACTCAAGTCTTGGTTTGAAAACTGCTGAACCAGGCCGTTGGTACCATCGTTGGCGTTGTAGCCCATACGGGACTGGTATGCGGCCTGCGGGGACTGGAGGTTCTGTTGCGCATACTGCTGCTGGGCATACTGGGCCTGTTGGGCCTGGTACGGGTGATTCATGAAGTATCCCTGGCCATAGGCTGCATTCTGGGCCGCCTGGGGGTTGACATATTCCTGACCACCATTGGGATAGATTGGTTGCGGGAAGGTGGATGGCGTCGTAGGATAGGCGCGACTGTTTGGCTGGGGAAGGGCATGCTCGTTGTACCCAAAATTCAAGTGCAGGTTATTGTTGTTTCCCGCCATCGTGATTGAGGTGCTCACGCTCAAAGACAGTGAGCGCGAAGGGGATAAAACGACTGAAGACAAAGGGGGTGGGGAAGTGAGCAGGTGGCACAGTACTCAGGGGACTGGTGAGACGAGTACGAGGGACCCGGCCAGACCAGAAGCGCGAGTCGGACCGTACGATCCCACAGGCGGACTCAGCAGACCTGGAGAAACTGTGAACCGGTAAACGAAGGGAGAGGGTGAAAGAAAAGGAAGTAACGAGATGGTTAGTTCAGGAGAAGCAGAGACAACAAAGAGTTGTCTTTGGAGTCGATAAGTTATTACCTGGCTCCGTTTAGCGTGGAGATGGCCGCCGCAGACTACTAACTATCGGGGCCAGCCATATCCATGAAACGCCCCAGGAACATCGCCCCCAATGGCCCAATAAGCGAGGTCACGGGGGTTCGATCATGGACGATGCTTGATGTTTTTGTCGTGTTTCTACAGGGAACATTCCAGCCTTGGATGTCACTGCGGGGTCTATTATTGACTGATTTCTACAAGGTGATTCCAGACCCTAGTCAAATCCTATGGCATAGCAGAGGTTACAAATTAGAGAGTCAGTAAGTGGATGGTCGGATGCTGAGCAGTTAGTTACTAGATCTAAAGAAGATAAAATAGCTTCTGGATGAAGAATACTATAGAACACGACCATCTCATCAAATAAGTCAACAGTTCCACTGCTAGTTAGGTAGTTATTTGTGCGCCCGCTCTCAGTGCTGAATAAGTTGGTGATAAGAGTCTTTGATTATGTGGATTGCAATAATTAATAGGTGCCGTAAAGATACCCTCTATCACAATGATTTACTATCTCAAAGCATATATAGATAGTATCTTGATATAAACACTTATATAAACAATATACCACCGCATATATTACACAAACCCAGCTTTATCCTGGCAATCAGCGCATTATCATCGTCTGCTTTTATCAGATTCACGTTCCAGATAAAGTTTGGCTTCCGCCAACCTATGCCGGAAGAATAAAACTCCGATCACAGCTGCCGCGGACATCAACTTTTTTGGCTGCAGTAGAACAACACGCAGAGGACACGAGCTCCAGGAACTGTATTCCAGGACATCGGGCTGTCGACGTCGAGAAGACGCCCTTGTTGAACGTACTTTTCTTCAGAAGGGGCGCTTGTATCTTGCACAAAATGGCGGAATCCTCCAACTCTTCCGCCCCATCTGGTCAGCCCCAGAATGCTGTCCCGAAGCCGCCTCCGAAGGCACAGAATCCGGCCCTGAAGATGATGGGTGCGTTTGCCTTATATGTGTTTGACAATCATCTATGCTGACAGGATCCCTAGGACTACCGCACATCCGGTTCAAGTTACCCTCTCGCAATTGGATGATCTTTCTCACAATAACCGGCTCTTTCGCCGGCGCCTTGATCTATGACCGAAGAGAGAAGAAACGTGCACAGCAGAAGTGGTGCAACCTGGTCGCTCATATGGCAAATGAGCCTTTGTCAGTTGATGAATTGAGGAGGAAGGTCACGATTTTCCTTGCCGCGCCACCCGGTGACGGCTTGAGGGTTGCTCGAGAACACTTCCAAGAATATGTCAAACCGATCCTGGTTGCCGCTGCTTTGGACTACGATGTCATCGAGGGCAGAAGAGAAGGTGATGTTAGAGCAGGGCTCGCAGAAAAGATTCGCAGGTTCAGACGGAGGGCAGGTGAGCCCAGCAGCGTGGTGGAGGAACCAAACAAGCAGAATGTTCTTGAAGAGTTCCGGAGACTGAAAGGCAGCAAGGAAGAAGCTGGACCCAAGGGTGATATTGTCATTGGACGGCATACTTGGAAGGAGTACATTCGGGGTCTCCATGAGGGCTGGCTTGGTCCGCTTGATCCTCCGCCGCCCCCTCCAGCTCCTCCAGCCCCCGAGCCTGAGACCCCAAGTTCAGATGATGCATCGCCAATTGCTGGCTCTGAAGAACAGAAAAAGACAGAGGAGAAGAAACCTGAGCAGCCGGCTACGCCTCCTGGACAGGAACCGGCCTACATCTCACCAGCGGACTACTCGTCCCGGCCTCTCCCTCCCACCATGCCGTCCACTCTGGAGGGATCCGTTCCCATCCCATTTCCTCACATCCTCGGCTTCTTGAACACCCCCATTCGCATCTACCGTTTCCTCACCAAGCGATACATCGCAGATGACATTGGACGGGAAGTAGCCGCTATCGTCCTTGCATCATCAACCAGACCATATGAAGACAATTCCTTGAACTCCTCTCCAACCCTCACTCCCACTCCAGGCACGGACACCTTATCCTCCGCGCAACCCACTACCTCCGATGACTCGAGCCCGTCCTCCACTGCCAACGAACAGCAGACCATCCTCGAAGATGAAGAGAAAGAATGGCACAAGTCGGTCCACAAGCGCTCTGAAACCATTCCCGACGAAGAGCGCGAATGGCTTGACGATATGGTCGTCGACCCGCGCATCGGCTCACGGATGCGTCGCTTCGTACTGAACTCCGAGGAAGAGGCTCGCGCCCAGCGCATCGCCGAGGACAAAGAATGGGTCAAGGGAGAGACGAAGCCCGCCCCCGTCCCCTTGTGGAAGAAGCTGTGGATCGAATACGGGTATGGAGAAGACGAGGCTACTCTGCGAAGAAAGCCAATCCTTGGAAACATTGACGAGGAGTGAAAGAAGAAGAACGCATTGCTTTGCTCCCCTTCTTGTATGATTTTGGGTGTTGGACAAGGGATGAAAACCAACCGCACGATGATCGCTGGTTCTGTATATTACTCACACGTATAGAGGGCATAGATGTACGATGTCATAATTAACAAACTCCCATTTCTCAATTCACCCAATGACGTGCAGATATCTCGAACGTAAACTAGAACGAAGACGAGAAATTTCTCTATGTAGATTGTAGATATCTCTTCCTTTACGAAGGTATGGTCAAGTCGATGTGCCTCCGACTCTCACTACGGGGTAGTTTCCTGCATTAGTTATATTGCTTTGTGTATAACTATTGCAGTTACAAGAACACTTATTAGCAAAGGCAACCTTGATGATGCCCAATTGTCTCTTTTTTGATAAATGGCTGAGCTCACTACCTACATAATGTACAGTATACCGTGGTCAGTCAGATAATAAAAACAATTAGTGCACGTCTCTCCGTCCCTTTATCTCTTTGATTTATGAAATTTTTCGTCTTCACTAGAAAGGCTAGAGACCTTTCCGGCATTTTCCCTGACGGCCTTGGGTCGTAGAGAGTGGCATCTCATTCCTCTTCACTTCACGTAGCCGTCAAGCATATCGGTTGTTCTGTGGACCCGGCCCTCGTTGAGGGAAGTACAGAAAAGAAGTATAATCTATCCTTCTTCAAGCGTCACTTTGCTTCGCCTGAAACGCAGATGCTTCGTTCCACTTCTTGTGCGCCTTCTCAATGTAGGCAGTCTTTGCGGCCTGGTTACTACCCCACTCGTTGAGCAGGTCCAGACCCGCCACAGCCTTCTGTATCGTGGCGTCTTCCAGATCAAGAGTGGAGAGAAGATCCTGCTCACACTGCGACTTGGAGTCAGGGCTGAGGAGCAGTCGAGCGGACAGCGCGGCTTGCACGTGGGTGGTGCGTGTCTTATGAGCAGTAAGGAATGCGTCGTTCCACTCAGTGAGGTTAGTAGATTTCGGGAGCAGAGGCTCAAATTCGCTGGTGATGACCTCCGCGACCTGGGGGGGAAGAGGCTCTGCGAGAGAGTCGAGTTCCTTCCGGAAGCGAAGGAGCTGAACATGGAGTGTTGGATTCGAAGCGTCAATGGAGTGAGCAGCCAGCAGGCACTTCAGCGCCAGGAGGTGCTTCTCTGGAAGACAGTCAGTCAGTAAATTCGAGCTATTCGTATGCGAAGACTTACTTCTTCTCAAGTAGACTTCAAACCCGACGTTCTGCGCCTCAATATTGCCGGGGCTGAACTCCAGCAAATGAGTAAGAAACTTGAGAGCCTCTTTCAAAGGATCTTGTGTCTGCACGAGCTTCGTTCCTAGAGGATCCGTGTCCTCCTTCTTGATCTCACCATCCAGATTCTTCGCGGTAGCGCTTGCTGCCCTCTTCGCATCTCTCTTCTCAGCTTCCGCCTTTTCAAGTTTTTGCTGCTCTTTCTTGGCTTTCTTAAGAGCCTTTCTCCTTTCTGCACTATCCTCCTCACTGCCATTCAGACCAGCAGGCACCGGGCCGTGAACGAGATCGGGCTGGTCATGCAAGAGCACGTAAGCCTTAACTGCGGAGAGCGCCATCCGTGTGTAGAAGGGATGATCCCGCAAGTGGTCCTCCCAACGGATCATGTCAACATATGCCCGAATCATACCCTTTCGTAGCGAAAAGCTGTGGAAATCGAACTGGTCTTCTTGCCAAACATCAAAGATGGTCTGAACAGCATGGAACCGCTTCAGAGCGAGTCCGAGCTTCCTCTGACGCAAGTAGGACTCTCCATCTTCGGTAAGATACCACACACATTGCATCTCGAGCAAGTCACCGAGTGCACCACCAACGGTCTCGTTGCGCGTGAACTTGCTCATGTCATCAAGTGCCTTCTCATTGTCGTCATTTCTAAGCTGGTACTTGGCAGCTTTCGAGTTGATGTAACGGTCCTTCTCGTCCAGCTGTCTCGCTTGCTCCATCGCCTCCGCAGCCTTGGCAAGATTGCCATAGTGCTTCCATATCCGTGCCTTGGTCATTTGATAATCCACTGACTTGGGTGCCAGCTCGATAGCCTTGTCGACGTATTCCATGGCCTTTGCCAGATCCCGACTAAGATGGTAGTTGTAATGCTGCGCAAGGAAATAGAAGACGGCGGACTTGAAATCAGTTCCATCAATCTTGACCTGGTTCTCTGTGGATCCATTGGACTGGCTCTCAACCTTTCCTGCTGCATAACCTTCAACAAGCTCCTGAACAGTGTCACGCTTAGCCGTGTTGGTGTAGAGAGTTTTAATGTTTGCAAAAAGTGACGGCACGCCCCTTCGAAGCATACGCTGGAGATAAGCGTCTGCGGCAGTCTTGAAGTCGTCACCTTCCAGGAAGTCCAGAGGCATCCGACGCGGGGCGTCACCCCTGGGATACTTATCAGCCCACTGATCGTACACAGCTTTCAATGCACTATGATCAGTCTCGGGGATACCCTTTGCCTGTATCAACCCTTCATAATAGTTCGCGTTCTCAGGGTTCCGGTCGATGAGGGCAGTATAGGCAGCTTCAGCTTCCTCCTTACGGCCGAGGCGCAGAAGGTAATCGGCCCTCATTTCCATAACGGCGAGCACATCTGAACACCTCTTGCCAACGGAATCCAGATGCTCGAGGGCCCTCTCCAAATCTCCCGACTCGGCGATGATCATGTTCTTATAGAGGACCGCCTCAGAATGTTCCATATCGGATCTTGGCGGGGGAGTCTTCAGTGTCTCCTCGTACGTGTTCAGGACATTCTCCGCCTCTGTGAGATTGCCAGCCAGATGATGTGCGATCGCCAACGCAGTCCAGTTCTGTCGGAATGCTGGTCGTGCCTGAAGCATGGCGCTTCTGCTCTGAATATAGCCCTGATAATCTCGCATCTGCATCTGGAGCAGAGCCAGATCACGCTGAATGGGCTGAGAGTCTGGCTCCAGTCTCAAGGCAAACTTGTATGCTTTGATAGCTTCCTCGAAGTTCTTGTCCGCTCGGTAGAGCAGGCCGAAAACGTGCCAGCAGACGTGCGACTTCATGTCGTTCTTGAGCGCCTCCTTCGCAAGCACGAAGGCTTCCTCCTGCTGACCTTGGTTGCTCATTATCAGAGCTTTCATTGCTTGTGTGTCGCCATGGTTTGGGTTCTTGCGCAGGATCTGGTCCGCAGCTTTGAGACCTGGGAAGCAAACACGCAGTCAATATCTGCTCCGTTTCGGGGAGTGCTCCGGGACCGTATGAGACGTACCCTTCTTGTATTGCTTGTTCTCATAGTGGCGGACCACCTGGCGGAACAGCGATGCGTCCTTGGAGCCCAATTGTTGAGGCATGGCGGCCGTAGGTCAGTGCTGATGACACTGAGGGAGCTGGAGGAACTGCGGCGATTGACTGTGTGGGAGGAGGGCAGGTGATGTGCGGGGGTAAACTGCCCGGTGAGAGTAAATCGCTAACAGTATATATAGTACAGGATGAGACGCGGAGAATGTGTCACTGTGTCTTGACAAACAGTTCCATAGCTGTCCACGGTCGCTGCTGGGGGTTCTGTACGGAGTTCAATGCGACGATACTGGAGGTAAAGGCTGCAGCTGCGACTTGTCCGGCGGGCGACAAATAATTATCCGAACCTCATTTCTACTCTGTGCTTGTGCATACGCATGTGTCATTGTACATCCCAAATTCGACAACAAACAACTTCGAGATTGGACGCTCTATATATATTCCAAGGACTGCCTGCTTTCAATTTATCTTATGTCCTGCTGCTCTGTTTTGTTGGGAGCGAGCAAGCTCATCATTCATCGGATCTCCGATGCCGGATCTTCAACCACTCCCTGATCTTGGATCGACTGCTATGTTCTGTACTATGTCTATTCTCTATCTGAATCATAGAGACACATTATATATACAAAATGCTTTTTCGGAATGCTATGAAAATGCAATCATTTCCCATCTCGCCTGAACCATTGCGCCATAGAGCCGAGACTTGACCTTATACCATAGGACCATGCTTTAGAGACGAGATACTCGTGTACCACCCTATTCCACGTGGCTTCACGAGGATCGTTGTCCCTTGTTTTCCCGCCATCGATTCAATGCTTCCTCCCAATCGCCCGAAGGGTCGCCGCACCTCTCTGTTACTAGACCCCAGGTGCGAGCGCGAATGATCTGTTCAACGCTTCGTTCGTTCCGGATTAAGTATGCCAGGGACTCCGTGCGCGCTTCTTTGGGGAAGAATCGAGCCGAGTACGGGTCTAATCGCTCGTCCACCACCCGTTCGCGATCCTTCGCGGACTCCGTCTCTCGCAGAATGAGATCGGGATCTTCAGGATCAGGACTCGTAGCCACACCGGCGCAATAGTTTAGAACATCTGATCTTGTCTGCCACGAAGGGAATAACACGTTGTCTTTGAACGATTGACAAGCTGCGGGATCTATAGTCTTTTTGCCTGTTTGGCGCACGGCAGTAGAGGAAGGGTCGAAGCCGACCCGGGCTGGTGTTATCAACGCATTGAGGTTCTGTGTGATCGAGTCATCAATCGCTGATCGCGAGAGGCGCAGGAAATCTATGTTCACGCAAACGTTAGCATTGTCTCGAGAGTCTATGTTCCTATGACTCCGGCGGGATGCCGCGCACCTCTCAGTACTCTCTCATTGAAGCAAAATTGGGGGCTCAACTCCGGAGCTACCGTTGACGACTGCTGTGACATCTTCCGACTCACCGGATCTTCCACCTTCTCGGAAGACTGTGACTTTTTGGCCCAGAACCACTCCAGATTGTGTAGCTAAAAGGATTGAGTGGGGATCAACAAGAGCTCTATGGTATGCTCCTGGTAGGAGTGGCTTGAAGCTGCTCGAGCGCAGAAGGTATTACTGCTATCAACCCACTATAAAACCAAATAACGTTCCCAGCGAAATTATGGCAGAATGGGAGCTGCTGGAAGCATATATGGTGTCGGAGGAGCCGGCGTAGTAGAAGTACTTTCGGACTTCTTCTTGGCCGGTCTGAGCTCATCATCCGAATATGGGTAAATTTCAAAGTCACGGGACAACGCGCCTCGACACGCGTTACAAATACAGCTCCGTGACTGCACATTGTAGATCCGATTTCAAGCCAAAACTAGGGTGATACGATCCCATTTCTATCTCATAAGGACCATCTATGCCTTCTGTCTCCTTAAAGAAATCTGTTGTGTGATCGGTCCATAGCTATCTTTATGTGGTATTCCTGTTCCAGTGGCCTTTGAGATTCCAATCAGAGGACAAATACTTAATCAGGTCATCACTATGCCCGAGTTAGCAGAGGTGTCACGCATTGTGCACTTCATTCGCAAGCATCTTGTTGGCAAGAAATTGGCCAATGTCCAAACGCAACATGATGATATTGTCTTCGGTAAAGCTGGCACAAGCGCAGCAGAGTTCCAAAAGGCCATGCAGGGAAAGACTATCGCTGGTGCTGGCCAGCAGGGCAAATATTTCTGGATTACCATGTCTTCACCACCTCATGCAGTCATGCATTTCGGTATGGCTGGATGGATGAAGATCAGGGATGCGGATACGTACTATTACCGAACAGACAAGCCGGAGGACAAAGACTGGCCGCCCAAGTACTGGAAGTTTCTCTTGGAGACTGATGAAGACCCGAAGACGGAAGCTGCATTTGTTGATTTTCGGAGACTTGCGAGAATCAGGCTGGTCGATTGCCCAGCAGATGACATTCGGAAGTACAGTCCTTTGAAAGAGAACGGGCCGGACCCCGTTGCAGACAAGGATACGGTGACTGAAGAGTGGCTCAAGGAGAAAGTGAAGAGCAAGAAGGTACCTATAAAAGCTCTTCTGCTTGACCAGGCGAATATAAGTGGAATTGGCAATTGGATGGGGTACGATCATCTCAGTATTCCATCGTAATGACGTACTGTGTGTACTAATACGCTCCCAGGGATGAGATTCTTTACCATGCAAAGATACACCCTGAGCAGTACAGCAACACACTCACTGATGACCAAATTAAAGAACTGCACTCTTCTATCCACTACGTCTGCGACACCTCAGTGGAACTGTTGGCAGATTCCGAAAAGTTCCCGGAAGACTGGCTGTTCAAGCACCGTTGGGGTAAAGGCAAGAAAAACAAGCCTGCTGTCCTGCCCAACGGGGAGAAGATAGTCTACCTGACGGTAGGAGGAAGAACAAGTGCGGTGGTTCCGTCAGTTCAGAAGAAGACTGGCCCTGTTGCAAAAGACGTCAGCGACGAAGACAAGAAGCGTCCAGCTGCGTTGAAGGAAGAGAGTGATTCTGAGGCAGTGGAGGATAGCGCTCCGGCAAAGAAAAGAGCCACAAATGGCCGCAGTAAAGCGACCGTGAAAAAAGAAGAGGTGGAAGATAAACCAGCCAAGAAGGCCAAGGAGCAATCTGCAGGGAGAAGACGATCAACACGTCTTACTAAATAGCTGCGTTCTATAATCAGAAGGTCGTCGTTAGGAGCACTGTATGTATAAACTTCTATGTAACTTGGAATAAGGATCTGGTTATCTTCATGAGTTGAGCATCCAATTTAGGATGTAACCAGTAGTTTGATCATGCAATCGTCCAATTCAGATCATGACCCCGTGTAACTTCCGATAGAAAACGCCGAAATTACCGTCGCCGTTTTTACCTGCCCCTAGATCGTCCATGACTGCGAAGACGATACTCTCCCACCACCCACCTTGGAACTCATTTTCCTTCAAGACCTCTGCCCAGCAGTCTGCGACTTCATCCCTCGGATTGAGAAAGGCCCCGCAACCAAAGGCACCCAGGACCAGCCTCCGATGCCCGTTGAAGGCTGCAATACGAAGGATAATGCGCATCTTCTCCTTCATCAAATCTCTATCTTTGGCGTTTTTGTATTTAGGCAATGTTCCGCTCGTCACCAACGCGGGTTGACATAGCGCAGCTATGCTGATGACGCTCACGATCGGAAGCTCATCAGGCTTCGTCAGATCCAAAAGTTTATGACCGTCGTTGATACTGTTGCGAATAATAACAACAGTCGGAGAATATATTGCTTGGTTATCATCAAGGGGATAATATCTCAATTTCAATGTAAAACTGAGACTGCTCCGGTAGCAGAGCGCCTCTTCTTGGGCGAGAGCCCCATTGAGCCAGCCTCCTCCGGCACTGTATGCATTTGCCATGTTGAGTACACACACATGCCGTCTGTCTCGTACTGTCATGTACTGGCTGCAATTGGCCAGATTGATAGCAGTGTCAAATGAATCCGCATCTACGACTTTGACCTCAGCAGGGAGGAAACCCGGACAAAACTTCTTGTCGAGAACAGGTGGCAATGGAGGGGTATATAGGTAGCCCTTAGGTGGCGCATGAGGTATTGCCTGAAGAATTTTTGGAAGAATCTTTCTTGTCTCTTGCGCTATCTGTGACAGCATCTTGCGCCGTCGTACGACTTCTGGAGGCCGTTTTCTTTTGGGACGGATACGAGACTGTGATGGTTCTGAATCTGGCCACTCGTCTGAATAACCTATCTCTGTCGCAGTTTCTGATGGCTGGTCGCTCACGTCGCGACTCTCCTGCTCGGAGTCAGTTGGAGAGCCTGTTTTTGCGGAGGTGGATGCAGGCCTCTTCTTTGACTCAGGAAATAGATAGAATGCGGAGAGCTTTGTCTGGGTCAGCTTGGGATTTACATGTGGACTGGACATCGTAGAAAATCCCACAAAAACAAATAAGATAAGATGAGATGAATTGGAGATGCCAATTCTCTATCATTATTATTTTCTCAAGTATCCTTATCGGCTAACGGTAGGCAACAATATGCGGCGGAAAAACAACGTCTTCTCCATAAACGGAAGGCGGTGTCGTTATCAGTCCGATCGGACGCTGATTAGTTAATTAGCGCGGGGGGGCAGCTTTCTAAGCATTGCCACTCCGAAGTGATCTCCGCGGAGCCACCTTGGGTACTTACTGTCTTCATCTTTTTACATCTACAACATCTCTTGTCCTGCAGATTATTTCGCTTGGCTATAATCGGATTTACCGTCTGGCTGTAGATTCAGCTCGAATCAGTTTGTTCAAAACCTTAGAGGTCTCTGGCCTTCCTGGCGTTGGCCACGCCACGCCGGTGTTCGAAGTACATTTGTCACCATGAGTGCAATACTATCAGCAGACGATCTCAACGATTTCATCACCCCTGGTGTGGCCTGTATTAAGCCTGTTGAGACATTGCCCAAGAAGGACTCACAAAATCCTGAGGTAGGTCAATTCGAAGTACTCGTGATTTCGGCTTGTTGCGCCACGTCCAATGACAGACGGCTAATTTGCAATTTCATTAGAATCCCTACGAAGTAACGACAGAAGACAAGGTGCAGCCAGAGAACCTCCCACCAGCACAAATATCGTTGACAGACTGTCTGGCATGTTCTGGTTGCGTCACCTCTGCAGAGGCAGTGTTGATCTCGCTGCAATCGCATGCTGAAGTTCTAAATACTCTCGATACCTTTCCTGAGATCTCCGTGTCTGGCCAACGGTTCAATTCGGACAACGATGGTCGCATCTTTGTTGCAAGTGTCAGCCCCCAAGTGAGGGCAAGTCTGGCCGCTACATATGGCATTACAGAGAGAAAGGCAGCGTACATGATCGACCAATTTCTTAGCGGACCGCAGGGATTGCGAGCAGGTGGCAAACATGGAAGTGGCTTTTCCTGGGTGGTTGATACCAACGTGATGAGACAAGCTGCCTTGACTCTCACTGCAGATGAGGTTGCGGAATCGCTGGGGAGCGGAGACTCTTCTGTGCAAGACGCGTCCGGTTTCCCAGTCCCTAAGAGACCTATATTATCATCTGCATGCCCTGGTTGGATATGCTATGCAGAAAAGACTCATCCTCACGTCCTTCCTCATCTGTCACGTCTCAAGTCTCCGCAAGCCATCACGGGCACTTTTCTCAAGACAGTATTGAGCAAAAGTCTCGGAGTTCCTCCGTCGCGAATCTGGCACTTGGCTATCATGCCTTGCTTTGACAAGAAGCTGGAAGCAAGCCGGGAAGAGTTGACCGATTCCTCGTGGCAAACTTCAACTTCGGAATCTCAGTCGCCTGTGCGCGATGTCGACTGCGTTATCACTACCCGGGAGTTGCAAATGCTGGCATCGTCTAGGGGCATTTCTCTTCCGAGCCTTCCTTTGAAGCCCTTGTCGAAGTCATACGTGCCCGAATTTCCTGACAAGACTATTGAGCCGTTTATTCTTTCGAAATCACTGCATAAGCAAGACTCGGCTGCCGGAACATCAGGTGGCTATCTTTACCATGTTCTCACTACTTTCCAGGCACGGAACCCAGGCAGTCAGATTGTGACTCAGAGGGGAAGGAATGCCGATGTCGTCGAATATACTCTTGTGTCTGCATCTGGAGAGCCAGTGATTAAGGCTGCACGATATTACGGGTTCAGGAATATCCAGAATCTCGTTAGAAAATTGAAGCCTGCAAGAGCCTCGCGGATGCCAGGGGCAAAGACCGCATCTGCCAGTGCACGGAGAGGGCCGGTCTCACGGGCCGCTGGTGCTGGAGGGCCATCTGTTGACTATGCATATGTTGAAGTCATGGCTTGTCCTGGAGGCTGCACAAATGGTGGAGGACAGGTACGGATCGAAGACGCTAGGGAAGCCAATGCTAGCGCGCAGAGCATTCCTGCAGAGGGAGCACCCGGACAGTCGTCGAAACCAACGCCTAACGAACAACGAGCTTGGCTGGCGCGTGTGGATGAAGCATACTATTCGATGGATTCTGAGTCGGATTCAGAGTCGTCTGAGTTGTCTCAGCAAACTTCTATCACCGATCGAGACACCAAAGTCCGTGATATTCTCACATACTGGTCGACTACGACAGGAGTTGCGTTACCAAGACTCCTCTACACGACATACCGAAAGGTCGAGAGTGACGTGGGTAAAGATAAAAGTGAGGCTGGTGAGACAGCTCGCGTGGTTGAATTGGCTAGTAAAATCGGTGGAGGCTGGTGAAATCGATTCTCGTCCTATTTTATACCCCTTTTGCCATCGATTGCATAGACTTAATGAATTGCATTGTCTCTATTTATGGGGAATTTATATAGATTACGAGCTCAGTATTTTATTCAAGAGACATAGCTAATGGTACTATCGGGATACATATCATGTCACATCTCGTCTTAACTCTCAATGTTCTGTGATATTGTCTTCGTCGTCTTCCTCGAGTGGTACTTCCTCATAATCAGAGGGGATCATCGGATCATCTGATTCACCCTCAATTGCGACGTCATGCTTACTGCCGAGTCCCCAGAGCCGATAATCTATCCTCGGTATGAGTTTTATCTTTCCTTGATAGTCGAACTCTTCTATGCCGACAAAAAAGCTACATGGCGGATTAGCGATTTATAGCAGAGGCTATGTCTTGAAGCTGAAAGTGCTCACCATCTCTTTGTGTCATTATCCCACATTATGTTGCGTCTGCGAGGGTCCAAGTGCGTGTAACCAAGAGCATACAACTTCCTAAAAGAGCGAGCTTAGCGATCACAAGAATGTGGATCGTAGAAAAGATCAACTCGTACCGGAGAGACTTCAGAAAGGAGATTCGGACCTCATCTCGCTTTTTTAAGGAAAACGTGTGAAAATTCTCCAGATTACGACCAGGAAGCTTCTCCATCAAGATGAAAGCTATGTATCCACCCGGGACGTATTCGTCATCGCTCTGGGCTACAACATCATAATCGATCAGTGTCGGCGTGCAGCTGCAGCCGGCTTCCGTGAGCTGTTGAAGGACCTGTATCTCGTGATCACCCATCCAACAAATCTCGGTTTCTTTTAGCTTGGAGTAGTCGAACTTTTCGCGAAGACGACTGTTTGGATCTTTAACCGGGGGAGTTCTGAAGTTTTTTTTCGGTATTAGTTTATTCAGCACTTTCAGATTCCCATGAACTCAAGAAAATCCAAGAAGGTTTTCTTACTGCATCCGTATTCTCAAAATAGCCTCCGTACCCTGGGATGGTCCTCTTGTCTGAGTGACGAGCGCAAGTCCAGAGACTTCGTAAACGCCGTCCTTACCGGTGATTATATCGTCGAATATCTTCTCCGTCAGGACCTGCTTGAGTTCCCATTCAGTCTCTGTTTGAGGGAAATAGAGAAGGCGCCGGTTACTGCGAGGCGTTTCTTTGTCACTGAAGATATCTAACCAAAGGAATCTCGATTTGGTCTCGTCCATGGTGAGCTAATACTGCGATGAAAAGAAAATTTAGAAATAGCATAGGTGATCAAGCCTGTATGAATACCTAATGATCGTATGCCTCTGTAGCGGAAGACTTTGGTTTGTTAAGAAACAAAGAAGGATGTGTAGCCTGATGCCACTATATTCCCTCCGAGCCGCTCGAGTGTGAAGTTGCGTCAGACTTAACACCTGACATGTCAAACCTCGCAAGGCTATTATTATATATTGAATGAGGAGCTTCACACCTGTCTCATCATTTCACCGCATTGAGCCTGATCGATTTCACCAACAACGCCACACATCTCCGTTCAATCCGAATATATGCATCATCACCCTTATCTGCCTTGACCGTTGATATCTCAAGGCGTCTATATGATCCTTATAGTATCAACGTCTTTATTCTTTTAAAAACCCCAGAAATCAACGTCTATTTCTCTATCTTCCACGAAGATTGTTCAAACGAGGTTTTCTTCTGCCAAAATTGAGGATTTAGCCTCCAGGGAGAACAATTTGACCACTCTCCATAAAGCTAGAGATATAATTGTCGACAACTTTCCGCAGTGTCTGATTGTCCCCCAGATTCCACATCACAAGTACGGCCATCCATCGGTTGAGGTTTATGGGGGCGTTGCAGCACTGGAGCTCCTTCCAGCTCGATGCGAGACGGCAATTCAACGCCATTGACTGGCAAGATCACACGACCTACCTGGATGCTACTGTGGTCGATGCTGCCACAAATGGACACAACATACGTAACGAGCACTATAGGTGCTGAGAGGAAATCACCAGTAATGGTCGTTATGTAAACCACGTTCTGCACGTATTGTCCGCCATTGCGCTCGAGATCGGCTTCCCGGGGAAGTTTGGAGATTGGAATTCGTGTAAGGAGAGAGGCTCTAGCAACAGCCAGAATACCGGCCAAGAGAGGGGATTGGTCCCAGATTTCGTCCTCATGGGCCCCTGTCTATCCCTCTTATTGTCGGGGAGGGGAAGACACCCTTTCAGAAGCATCAATTCAAGGAATGGTTTGAAAGTGCAGTACTCAGAGGGAACTCTGCCTCGCTGCGCGTCCTTCTGGGTGAGTTATATGCTACTTCTCTTGCAGAGTTCCTAACAATTATGCAGGACAAATTGCACAGATCTCGGTTCGTGAGGCGATGCTGTACCTGATAGCAATTGCATCCACCGGTCCGCGCAAGCGGACTTTCAAGAACTAGACGAAAGCAGAAGATTGGGTGCAACCTATTCGTGCCAGGGGTTCGTTCTAGGTCAAGGGCCGGATATGTTGGGAGTTCTGGAACGCCCGATCTCAAGAATAACAAACGATTTAGCCTGGGATTCGGTTTTGCGGGAACAGTCGAAGCGCATGTCAACAAGGTTGAAGGGAGGGATAACGCGGCACAACATCCTGTCGGCGTACAAAAGCAAACGCCAGGTGATCTGTCAATCATCCGTTTGTGGCATAATGGATTACTACTAGATTACTAGGTTACTAGGATCTAAATTCTTTGTATGCTAGAGATAAATATGGGATCAAATCCCCCCTAGACCTAGAGTCAAGTAAGCAATTCAGATTCTGCTTCCGTGCTCTTTTGGATTCGACACATCCTACTGGGATACCGTGGCGCCTGTTACATGGCCACAGGTCTATCTAGGCTAGGTCTAGTTGTCACCGTTATATAGGTAGGTATCTCGTCATGAATAGGAGGTACCTACAACAAACCAAGAAAGGTGGCCGCTCAAGACGGTGCATAACCTGGGGACGCGCAATTGCTAGCGCTCGAAGTTTTCCGGGATACCGTACTGATCCATGTGAAAAATTCTCTTCCAAATAATCGGATAAATACCTCTATTTCAAAGGATGCTGTACACAGACAAACGGACGGGCTGCCACCTGAGGACTATGTAGTTACCGCTTTCGGTAAGTGACTTGACTAAACAAAGACTAGTCTAGATTAGGTTAGTCTGCAACTGTCCGTCGCATGGAAGATCATCGATGCCGCCGCATCTCCATTTTTCCCAAGTCCAGACGATAATTATTCCTGCGCCACTCATTATTCACCACCTCTCTCCGCTACAACAGCAAGCTCGCATCTCTCCTGCAAACTGCTCTTCACTTGAAAAAAAAGGAACGGAAAGCAAATTCTTGAGCAAAATGTCCCGCGAAGCCTACCAGGTCCCGTCTTTGGGCGCCCAGAACGCCTTCGGTGCCGACGGTCTCAGCGGCGCCTCCGCGGACGGTCCAGCTGTGACTTATCTCTGCGGAGACTGCAACTCGAAGGTGTCGCTGAAGCGCGGCGATCAGATCCGTTGCAAGGAGTGTGGTCATCGTGTGCTGTATAAGGAGCGGACCAAGAGGTGAGTTTCCGTTGATGACTGCTGAAGAGTCATTTGTCTTTGGGTCCTGTTGTGATTGCGGATTTGCTGACGAATGCTGTTTGCGGTGGAATAGAATGGTTCAGTTCGAGGCGCGATGATTGGGAAATCGACTGTGAGGTGTTGACCTCGTCAGTTTTGCTAGGGCCATGGTCATGATGGGCTGGAGACACCGGTTGATTTGTCACGTTTGCTACGCATTTACATGGCGCTAAGGGAGTCTAGAGGGTTTTCATCATATAAAAAAAGCAATCTAGAGGCAGTTCAAGCGGAAGGGATCATTGCAGAGAGAGCATGACTCGTTCACGGACAAACCTAGCACAAGGAGTAACCAAGAGGATGGTTCTCCCTCCAAAGTGCTTTCGATTCTAAAGGACATACTGTCCTGCTGAACCCAGTACGCTATACAGAAGAATTCGAACACAACCTTTTTTTTTGTTCCCAAATTCCAATCCTATCCATCCCGTTCTACATCGTAAGAATATCACAGATTATTTGTTGCCTGAATAAACTCCTCAAATGTCTTCAGTGCTTGGCCACTCTCCACTGCCCACCTAGCTCGTCGGACACCTTCCTTCCAGCGTCCGCCACCAGGGCCCCGTTCAGTGATGACCTTACCGTCATCACCAGGACCCATGTTACTGGTGTCAGCCTCACAGATGCCGGAGACGACGAGGAGCGCTGCGACATTCATCAGTACGAAGTCCAGGATCGGATCATCGCGAGCAAGTTCGTTGCGTAGAATGCTCATCAGCTTCGCAGCGTTGTCCTTGGGCATCTTCCTTCCGTACACATCGGACAACGGGTGAGTGGGAAGCCCGAAGTCAGATGGGTGAAGCTGGAATGTCTCGAGCTTGACAAGCGTTCGAGAAGGAGCATCTTCATCGCTTGTGCTGGCGTCGTCATCGTCCGACGATCCCTTGTAAGCTGGATTGGGATATTCCGACAGCCTCCAGCAGTTGGTCTTTCCGGCACAGCTGATCTCGTCCATGTCTTCTTCACCGCAGACGACCATTGCCTTCTTTGCACCACTTAGTCTCAAAGCCTCAACGAAAACAGGTCCCAGGCTCTGGTATGCGACGCCGACCACCCGGGCTTCCAGAGCCCAGTCGACGGGATTCGCCAACGGACCCATCAGGTTGAATATCGTTCTGATACCGAGGCCGCGGCGGACAGGGTTTGCGTACATCATGCCAGGGTGAAAGTTGGGTGCGAAGAGGAAGGCGTAGTTCGTCTGCTCATACACTTTCGCAATGTTATCGGCAGTCACCGCGGAGATCTTGGGAGGTACCGGTTCGACCGCGTTAAGGACATCCGCTGAGCCCGAGAACGAGGTCTGCGCACGGTTTCCATGCTTTGCCATCATGAGGAGCGGAGATGCGATTATTGAGGAGGTTGTGGAAATGTTGAAGGTCGAGTGCGAGTCACCGCCGGTACCAACGATGTCGCACTGCATCAAGTCAGCATTTTCTTGCGCCTAGGGCAATTGTATAAGCTCATCGCTCACCAGTCCACCTCTGTAATTGCCCTCTTTCCGACCCCTAGCCTTGACTGCTTTCTTCAATGACTGCTTTTCGATCTGGCTTGCTGCCTCTCTCATGCGTTGCGAACATTTTGCGATCACATCCGACTCCCGATCTTTACCAGTGGAATGCAGGAGTGTGAGCAGAGCAGCGGTCTGGATCACTGAGATTCGATCCTCGAAAATCAGAGCGAATGCACTGGCAATTTCCTCTGCAGAGACCTGAATCTCCCCTGCTGCGGGGTAGGCCAGGCTCTTTAGGAGGGGTGAGATCGAGACGGGCTCGGGTTTTTCTTCGGCGGGAGCAGCCATAGTATTGACCAAGGGGAATATGTACGAAGTAGAGACGACAAAAGTACGTGCGCAATGATTATCAATTGAACGGCACGCGCATCTGGCAATTGAGCCTGCCCTTGTATGCTTGATTCGGCGTTACACCGGAGATCATTTCTTACTCGGACGGAAACGAGTCATCCTGCACCGGCAGAAACAGACCGCCTTGACATCCGACCTTTTCCTTTTTGGGATCCAAAAGCCCGGCCGCGATTCATCGCCAAAATTTCCGCTTCTCCAGGGCATCAACTGCATCTCCAGCCTCCGCTGCCTTCAGACAGGTCGTCAAGCTGGGCTAATGGCCCGTTTCTGAATTCTTCAATTGCATCTTGATCGTTTTGTCAACTCATATTTTCCAGATGCCGCCCAGGCTACGACTTGCGCGCTCGCGCATCTCCCAGTCGCTCTGCCGACAAAGGGTCTATCAATATGAGGTCCTGGTACCCAGCAGATATGCCAGTGGTGCTGCAGCCTCTGCAGTCACTCCGGCTGCATCGATAGAGCAGATGACAACCTCTTATCCTCCGATTGCCAGATACCCTCCCTCCCAGCCTCCATCACATCGCAGACCCGAAGAACGCAGGTCACAGCTTCTCCGACAATACACCTCCCTGCTTCGGACAGCACCTCTCATGGTTCTGTTCCAGCACAACAACCTGCAATCTACTGAGTGGGCTGGTATCCGTCGGGAGCTGAGCAAGGCACTGCAGAAGGTCGACGATGATCAAGCTGCGGCAGGACGGAGCCTTCCTCCGCTCGCCTCTTCCATCAAGCTGCAGATTATTCAAAACAGCATTTTCGAAACGGCTCTTCGTATCGTCGAATACTATCATCCTGACCAGAATGCTCTGAAAGCAGGCAAGCCAACCGTCTCGGGATCGAAAAACGACCCAGCCTTGACCCACGATCTCTCCCGAGCAGCGCATGACGCTGTGATGAACATGAAGGGCAAGCACGAGCTGACGACACTTCTTTCTGGACCGTTGGCTGTGCTCTCTTTCCCGCACGTCTCCCCGGAGCATCTCAAGGCCGCCCTCTCGATCCTCGCCCCGAAGGCCACCGGTTTCCCGGCGCCTACGCGACGAGCCAACCCCGGCTACTACGAATTGACCGTTCAGGATGGACTACAGAAGCTTATGCTACTCGCTGCCCGAGTTGACGGAAAGGTATTCGACGTCGACGAGACCAAGTGGGTCGGAAGCATCGAAGGCGGCATGGACGGATTGCGCTCCCAGCTGGTCACCATGCTTCAGAGTATCGGTGCCGGCATCACGAATGCTCTGGATGGCCATAGCAAGAGTCTCTACCTTACTCTGGAGAGCCGACGGAGCGTGCTCGAGGATGAACAGAAGGGTGAGGGAAAGAGTGAGCCCTGAAAAGGGAAGAGAAGCACTCCTCAATGTACAATACCTATTTTTATTTCGTTGCGAATCTGAATTGGTAAAGGATGATCGAGATATATATATTTTATCGCGAGCTATGAAGACAAATAGATACAATGTTCTTTAGGTCGTTTTCACTGACGAGTAATCATTGCCATCTAACCAATAAACCTGTAGAACACAAGATATAAAAAGCAGACTACGTATACCTCTGAGGTCCTGCAGAGGGGGCTTTTCGCTTGAGAAGATTACAAAAATAAGAAGAATGAACACAGATAAGCTCAAAGAAGTCTATCTTCCGAGCTTACTGCCTCGACTTCAACCTGGAGTTCATGCCCACGACACATCTAACCAAGTCCCAATCTCCATCTAGACCAACCCAGTCCATAACCAGGATACCCGTGGACCAATCACCATCCTGCTTCTCGGGGTGCTTTCGACAGAGATAGTCTACGGTGGCTGGGTTCAGTTTCGCTGCTATCTTCTCAGGCCAGGTTCCTACTTTCCAGAAATTACTGGCGGAGAGGAAGTTGATATAGAAAGGATGACGCTTTCCGTCATCGGGGTTCTTCAGGATGCCGTATGGATAGCATTGCTCGCCAGATCGACAGATTTGTTCCGTGACGTATTGGATCTTCTTATTGATGTTTTGGGTTTCGAGGACCTCGTAGAAATCTTGGATACAGATCTCTCCGCTGGGACACATCGCATGGGGGGTGTTATCCGCCCATGCAGATGCGTCTAAGCCCCAGCCTCTCCCGTTATGCTCGTGCTTCAATCGCTCCTCGATGTTGAAGCGGCGGATGAGAACGACTTTGCCGCGGACCTCACCTAAGGTGGGTATCTTGGGGTCTGTATACCAACGGCTGTCTGGACGAGCGTAGTGGTCGCGTAGGATCCGGCTTAATTGTTCATCAGTATGTGTTCCGGGCCCCTCTCTCTTCAAAGAGATGATGAGGGTCTCCGATGGATTACGGTCCAGGAACTCGTTTACCGTCTGCATCAGATCGCGGAAATACTTGTTCCCTGTTAGAGAAATGGGAAAGACACTGTGGACCAGGAGCAGCTGGTCTTTGGCTGGGTCCTCAGGAAACTGCGGCTGAACCCGAATGTCAAAGAAGCGTACACCGTTCTCGAGCTGCTTCCGTGGGCTGACTGCTTGACAGCGGACAGATGGCGGAGCAACATGGCAGGTGGGAGAGTTATGAGTACCAGGAATCGAGAGAGCGGACAACAGGGTGTCGTCTCTCAGTTCGCGCATCCAAGCCTGGAGATTGGCAGAGGAGAAGACTGCCAGGTGTGACTCGGGCGTGATATAGATGCCAGTAAATTGGAAACGAGGCTTGTCCGTCAACGCGCGCATGGTTGCAGATTCTGTGGTCGGCACCGGCGTCTGCACCTGGTGTCGTTCCCCTTCTGCTTCGATGGTCAGGCGCAGTCTCTCCTTGTCGGACTTTGTGAAGGCGCGGATATCTGTCTGGGCCGTAGCCCACGGTTCCACCCGGACATTTACATCCTCATGCGCGAAAGGCTTCGCATCGTTCGCGATGGCATCAACCGGGTTGTTGGTGCGCGTCGTATTCGTCACCAATCTGGTGAAGTTCTTCGCAAGGGTTCCCACATCAGCAAGTGGTGCGTCCGGCGCAGAGAAGCGCTCCACGAGCTTCAACTCGATCGGCGTCGGAGTGAGGTTTCTGATAGTGAGATGTTCAGCAACCATTTTGGACTTCTTAGGCTTCGTCGGTCCTGTCGCTGCACCGCCATTAGACCCAAAGGGCTGTGCGAGAAAGCGAAACATGGCCATGACGACGGGCGCAGCCCGGATATATGGGAACGAGGCGAGGAAAATTAAGTTCTGCTCTGTTGGATCTGGGATCTGGGATCTGTTCCTGATTGCGCCCTGGCTCTCTTCGACGGCCCGTGGCTGATAGCTTGCGCAATGTGAGTGTCCATTCAGATTGCGGATAGAGGTATGCGGCCCCTTACGCTGGCGGGAAGAGGCGCGCGAACTGGATTCTCAGCCGCTGTCCCAAGGGTCGGAGAGGTCTCCGCGCATTCTCGGCGGCTGAAAGCGGTCATTTTCGTATTAACAAGCTGCGATTGTCAGTAAAGATGGCCTCGCAGTAACCTGGGACCACGTACGCTGATTTCTGAGCACGTTGAGGAGTCTGGAAAGCGCTTCTAGACAGTTCAATTGACCCCCGAAAGATCCTTTTAGATGAGCTGACGGCGGTTCTCTCACCGCCCGGACATCAACTTATCTGAAGAGGGGCATCTCTTCTCGCATTGGTTGCGCAGACACGTATCCATGGCCCTGAAGAGATGTCAAAGTCTATCTAGAATAACAATAGATCAACAGCCGTGGCTCGAGATATCTCTATCTCCTCTCATGCTCGTCAATCCATCTCATCTTCTTCTGCTACGCCAAAGCTGGGGAAAGTGCGGAGTAAGTCACGTGGCAGCGGCTATCGTCGGCCTTCCAGTCTGGGGTAGTCAAGGGCCGCGGGGGGATAAGTCTCCCAGAATCCTCAGATCCCTTTCTTTCTGCTCTGTTGTCAGACTCAAGGGATCATGATGGGGATCCTGCGTTGCGGTGGGAAATTTCCTCGTGTGCTGAGGCTGGCTTGCTCCAGCCATGCCATGCCAATTGTTCCTACATCGGTGCTGGGGTCTTATCGGAGATTCCACAGTTCACCTATTTGGTCCGGAGTCAGATCGCAAGTCTTGAAAGATGTGGGTGAAGGTGAGCCTCAAATTAATACTGGTGTTTTGCAATTTGATAGTATATTGATATCATTATCCACAGGCATCATGGAAGTCCAGATCATCCAGTGGTATGTAGAGGAAGGCGCTCATGTCGAGGAGTGGAAGCCGCTTTGCCAGTATCAGTCTGATAAAGCGGTGGATGATGTATGCTTCCTATGTACTGGTCTGAAGAATTAGTATCCTATATACTAACCTACCATCATAGATCACATCGAGATACGAAGGCATCATCAAGAAGCTTCACTTCCAAGCAGACGACACAGTACCAACCGGAAGGGTGAGGCAGTCTGAATAAATCACCACCATACAATGCTGACGGTCTATAATAGGCATTGTGCGACATCGAGGTCGATGACGCAAAATACCCTGATGATAGTCCCCATCCCCCTGCCCCTGCAGAGGAACCTGCCAAACCCATTACCTCCGAATCTCAGACAGAAACGACAAGCCTCAGTACGGCACCTGAAACGGCAATATCAGTCCAGGCGGAGAGTCCTCCTCTTCAAAGATCAAAATATGCCACACTCGCAACTCCCGCTGTTCGAGGGCTCCTAAAACAGTTCAACATAAACATCCTCGATATCACAGGAACAGGCAAAGACGGGAGAGTAATGAAAGAGGACGTCCTCAAATTCGTTGCTATCAGAGACTCCGCAGCAGACACTCCTGCTTCAACAACAGAAGATACCAGATCAGCACCAACACTAGATGCAAAGCAGACAGAGAACCCGGTTTCTCTGACCCCGATTCAATCACAGATGTTCAAAACCATGACTCGATCCTTGTCCATCCCACACTTCCTCTTCGCAGACGAGCTCAGCGTGGGCCGACTGTCTGATCTTCGAAAGAAACTCGCGAGTGACGCCAACAATCCGCAGAAACTCACTTTCCTTCCATTCGTCCTCAAAGCAGTATCCCTTGCCCTAGAGCAATACCCCCAGCTCAACGCCAGGGTCGACACCAGCGACCCAAACAAACCAAAACTCATCATGAGATCTATCCACAACATCGGAGTGGCAATGGACACGCCTCAAGGCCTAATCGTCCCTAACGTGAAAAACGTCCAAGCGCGATCCATCCTAGACATCGCATCCGAAATATCCCGTCTCAGCACCCTTGGAAAAGCAGGAAAACTCACACCAGCAGATCTCACCGGCGGCACGATCACCGTCTCCAATATCGGAAATATCGGAGGAACGTACGTTTCGCCCGTGATAGTTCCCACCGAAGTAGCTATTCTAGGAATCGGAAGGTCTAGACAACTTCCCATCTTCGATGAAGCCGGACAAGTCACCAAGGGCGAACTGGTCAATTTCAGCTGGAGCGCAGATCATAGAGTCATTGATGGTGCCACCATGGCTAGAATGGCGAGTGTCGTTCGTCAATTTATCGAGACGCCGGAACTGATGCTTTTGAATCTGAGATGAAGAGAAATGGAATTGATTTGACTCAGGCTCATGCAGAGGTCAAAATGGGATTAATAAGAACGATAACTACACGTGAAGTCTTCTGGGAGTCCTTCAACTCATAGAGGCTCATGACTGAGGCTGTAATCCCTTTATATTCACCTCAGTATACACAATACGCAATACGCCCCTTTGGGCGCGAGACGGCTATTTATGTATATAAATGTTGATGATGACAGACTTGACTAGAAAAGAAAATCAGTCGAGATGATGTTGCAATGGACAGAATCCTTTATAGATTTCCTAGAATACGTTGCATTGACGATCATCCATTCCATGGATCCTAGCAAGAAGAACTCTCGATGTTCAAAGAGATGTGATTCATAATTTAATATATTTGTACGGCCTATCTAACAAGCTAGGACATCACGCATACACATCACATAGACCATGAGATGGAGAAACAACAAGAAAAAAAGCGCTGAGATTCTTTTCTTTCATATACTCGAATCATGATTTCCTCTATAAGTAGAAGAAGTAGTAGTGCACTTGAAATTTCGAATTCAAGCACTTCCCAGGCTCATCTTCTCAAACTGCTCGATTGTTCGCTTGTAGTTCTCCGTCGCGGCCTCGGCGTCGGCAAGCTTCTGCTTTTCAGCACTGCGCACGACCTCGCTGACCTTCTCTTCGAAGCCTTCACGGGTCAGGACCTCGTTCTGCTTCTGGATCGTGGTCTGGCTCTTTTGGAGCTTCTTGCGAAGCTTGCTGATCTCAGCGTTGATGTCGGTCAGGCCGGCAGCCACGTCGACCATGACGACGATGTCGGCAGAGATGACAAAGATAGCGCAGCCAAGGGGAGTGGCATCCTCGGGGGCATCAGGACCGAGGACCTTGAGCTCGGTGATCGCCTTGCCGGAAAGAGCCTTGATAGCAGAAGCCTGAGGCTCAATGCTGGCGTGGCTGGCAGGGGTCGAGGCCCTGATAAACGCACGTCCATCGTTGCGGACGTTGAACTCAGCGATCAACGAGCGAATACCCATGACACACTTCAGTCCCAGCTCGTAGTTGGCAGCATCCTGCTCAAACTCGAGGCTGGCGTCGAACTCTGGGTAGGGCGCAAGCATGATCGTCTCAGTCGAGTCTCCCTGCATACGGGGAAGACGCTGCCACAACTCCTCGGTGATAAAAGGCATGATGGGGTGAACCAAGCGGAGGGCAACATCCAACGCGCGGTACAGAGTCTGCTGGGCACTGGCCTGTTCTTCAGGGGTACCGTCGGACAGGATAGCCTTGCTGTTCTCGATGAAGACGTCGCAGAGCTCATCGTAGAAGTACTGGTAGATGATCCTGGTGCTTCTGGAGAACTCACGGGCAGCCAAGGCTTCGTTCACACCCTTGACAGCAACGTTCATGCGGTGGAGGATCCACTTCTCGGGGAGAGAAAGCTTCGAGGTGTCCAGCTTAGCAGTTGGGACAAAGCCCTGGGGAAGGCGACCCATGACATACTTGCTAGCCTGCCAGATCTTGTTACAGAAGCGGCGGTAAGCATGCATGACCTTGATGTCAAAGTTAATGTCTCCTCCACCAGTGGTGTAGGAGAGGAGAGTAAACCGGAGGGCGTCAGCTCCGCACTCTGGAATGCCTTGAGGGAAGGCAGTCTTCTGGTACTTGGTTGCCCTCTCGATCTCGCTATCTTGAAGGTTTCCAACAAGGAGCTTGTCGTGAAGCGCCTGAAGGTCGATACCGTGGATGATATCCAGAGGGTCGATGACGTTACCTAAATCTCTGTCAGTCACAGGCACTCCAGTCATAAGTTCTGTTCCGGATATGCATATACGTACCGAGAGACTTGCTCATCTTTCTACCTTCGGAGTCACGAATCAAGCTGTGGCAGTAGACCTCGCTGAAGGGCACTTCACCGGTAAGCTTCAGCGACAGCATAATCATACGAGAAACCCAGAAGAACAGGATATCCCTAGCACTACAGTCAGCGTCGTCATCATTACTTTCTCGGAAAAAGGCACAAACCATCCAGTCTCCAGCAGACTCGTGGGGAAGAAGTTCTTGAAGTCGGGCTTCTCGGTGTTCGGCCAGCCGAGAGTAGCCATGGGCCAGAGTCCACTGCTGAACCAGGTATCCAAGCAGTCGGGATCTTGCTCCAGACGGAACTCCTTGTCTCCGTACTTCGCCTTGGCCTTCGCGTGAGCCTCCTCGGCCGTCCTTCCTACAACCCAGCGAGTCTCAGCGTTTTCAGAAGACGACTCTCCATCGAAGATGACGCGGTAAGCAGGGATACGGTGACCCCACCTGTAGTGAACAGTTAGCGAAAGCAATAGCGAAGCTTTTTTTTCAGGACTCCACATACCAAAGTTGTCTGGACAGACACCAGTCATTGATGGAGGACAACCAGCGCTTGTATGACTTGTTGGCAGTCTCAGGGGCAATAGTGATCTTTCCCTCGTCAACAGCCTTGACGGCTGCCTCTGCCATTTCGTTCATACGCATCCACCACTGAGGCTTGATCAAGGGCTCGATGACATCCTTGGACTTTTCGCACAGCGGGATCTTCATGGCATGGGACTCCTTCTTCACAAAGAGACCCAGCTTCGTCAACTCTTCCACGACGGTGTAACGAGCATCAAAACGCTTCTGTCCCTTGAACTGAGCCGCATTTTCGTTCAGGGTGCCGTCCTCATTCAGGATGTTGATGAACTCGAGGTTGTGGCGCTGACCGAGCTGGTAGTCGTTGAAGTCGTGAGCAGGCGTCAACTTCACAGCACCAGTACCGAATTCAGGGTCGACATAGGTATCCGCAACGATCCTCAGAAGACGGTTCGTGAACGGATGACGCGCATACTTGCCGACGAGGTGGGTATATCTCTTGTCATCCGGGTGCACAGCAATACCGGAGTCACCCAGCATGGTCTCGGGACGGGTCGTGGCGACCTCAACGGTCTCGTTGGATCCGTCGATCTGATACTTGAAGTGGGTCAACACACCAAACTCGACCTTCTTCTCGTAACCGGGGACGGAGAGCAAGGTCCGGCCAGGGATGTCCTTGTTCTCGACCTCAAGAGTACTCAACGCAGTGTTGAGCTGAGTACACCAGTTCACCAAGCGGTCGGAACGGTAGATGTAGCCCTCTTCGAAGAGGCGGCAGAAAGCCTCCATGGTGGCAGCAGTAAGTTGCTCATCCATAGTGAAGGCCTCACGCGACCAGTCCATGGAACCTCCCATACGTCTCTGCGCATTGTTGATGCGCTGGTGGTATTCATCCTTCCAGTCCCAGACAAGACGAGTGAACTTCTCACGGCCAAGGTCGTGGCGGGTCTTCTTCTCCTTCCTCCAGAGCATCTTCTCGACGACGGACTGAGTCGAGATACCGGCGTGGTCACAGCCGGGAACCCATAACGTCGTGTAACCCTTCATGCGGTGCCATCTGATAAGCGTATCCTGCAACGAGTTGGCCAGAGCATGACCGCAGTGCAGAGCACCGGTGACATTTGGCGGAGGAAGGGGAATAACGAATTTTCCATCGACATCATTCCTGCCGGACTCAGGACGGAAGTATCCGCTCTTCTCCCACCATGTGTACCAGGACGACTCGACCGCTCCGGGGTTGTAGGCAGAGAAATGCGGGCTGTCGAACGACTGGATCTGCTTCTTCTCCCCAGGCGGGGTAGGGTCCTGGAAGGGAGGGAGTGTCTCGACGACTTTCTCTTTCTTGGGTTGCGCCTGTGCCTGCGTCTTATTCGAGTTCTGCTGCTGCTGCTTTTCCTTCAGCTTCGCCTGCTTCGCAGCGAACTTGGCAGCCTTTTCCGCCTTGGCCTTTTCCTTCGCCTCTATACAAGAAAAGAAAAAAAAGGACGTTAGCGCGGACCCCGGACCATCAAGAAAACCATAGAGGGGTAAAAGGAGGGGGGGGGAAGACAATAGGTTCAAGTGAAGAAGGGAAGAAACTTACGGTCCCTGTCGGGCTTTGCCTCCGTCATTTTCGGTCGTTGCGTGATATAGTGACCTCGAGAACGAAAAACGGCGGCGGCTGAAAGGGCGTGAGAGAAATGACTGCCTCGTATACTCAGCCGATGGAGCATCGCAGTCTTCGAGAGTGACTCAGTGGGACAGAATTTCTCGGTATTGCTCGATTCTCACAGGTTGCGGTGGGGCTGTCATGTGACCGTACAGCAAGTACGGGTACGTATTATTACTGGCCGATATCGCTCGACTGGATTATTGTTCTTGTACCTCTCCTGCATGCTATTATTATTGTGTTTCATTGGAGCTTAGGTATACAAGATCTAAGAGAAACGAAAAAGAAAAAGACGCTAGGGGTAGAGTTCTGATTTTGCACACCCTGAAATTGCATAAGATACGTGACATCATCAAGAGAGACGCAACACTGGTATTAATAAAAAGTACAAGTCCAAGAAGAACACAACACCTCCCCATGTTTTCTCACCTGCCATTGGAATGACAATGAAACGCCTAGGAATTAGAAGACCCGAAAAATAAAAAAGCAGATGATGATAGACCGAAAGATCCGTCTGATGAGATACTTCCCAACCTCCAAGACACCGAACCGAAACTGACGCCGTACAGCTTTATGCTCATATGATGGAAGCAGACTACCAAATAATAATCGTCTGAGAGACTATTACTGGTACTCTGCCATTGTTGCATGCACTGCAGTGATAACGCGATTCGCAACCTCCTCCGGAGGTGCAGCGACATCGACAGCAACTGCATCCCACTCATTGACCGGCTCTTCCAGGAGCTCTATCTGGGAGTGCACCATGCCGCTTTTCATGTAGTGGTCTTTTCGTTTGGTCACCCGGTCCATCAGAACATTCTCGTCAGCTCTGAGATAGATGAAGTGAATGCGAACAGACGGATGACCATAGGCAGCCACGCGCATCACATCTCGGTACTTTCTCTTCAACGCAGAACAGGTGACAATGACGCCGGATGGAGGTGTTGGACATTCATCTGTGGCGGAGAGTGGCAGAATTGCGGCCTCCCGCAGAGAGATGAGCCAGTCCCAGCGGTCTGCATCCGTGAGGGGGATGCCGTTGGCCATCTTCTCCCTGTTGGCCGGAGGATGGTACTATTCCCAGTCACACAATGTCAGCTATCCAGTTCACGAGAATTTGACAAGTTCATGGGAGGAGGGAATGGTATACTTACGTCATCTCCCTCGAGAAAAGGGAGGCCCAGTTTCTCTTGTAGACCTTTTGCGACAGTAGTCTTGCCGCAGCCTGCAGGACCTGTTACCACCCAGATGTGCTGTAGCTTCTCCGGTGGCATGTCTGTCTGCTGCACTGTCACGTTGTAGGACTTGACGGGCCTGGCAAGTTGAGTCCGCGGCCGGCCTACGGTGGGATTGAGAGAGGGCTGCGTCCGGCCATCGGCGGTCAACATGATGATGAACGGATGAAGATTTCGGGACGAAAGTCTAATTGATGTTGTTTTTTCGGAGGAGTACTCCGGAAATCACAGTGAAATCACAGTCGCGGTGGGACGCTGAGGTTGTATGCGATGGTGCACCGTGGATATACACAATTACGGAGAGTCGGGATCGAAGTATAGAGCTAGCTCGATGGTGGTTTGTCACAACAGGAGATCGATCGGATCGGACTGGCGCAATGAAAATAAATAGTCGTCAAGGGGGGAAGAAAAAAACAGAGCGAACGGCCTGGTTGCCGATGGCAGGATCTACTTCAGATTAAATACTCTTATGACGGTGACTATTGGGTGGGCCGGCAGGAGGACGGGCAAACCGAGCTGAATTGATGGAATCTCAAAAGCCGGGCCCGAGTGGGGGAGAAGTGCAAGGGACGAGTCCGCCCGTCTGGTTCTGGCGTGAGAAAGCGGCCGGGCTAAAATTGCTCCAGTGGGCTGGGCGGATCGATAGACAGTAGTGAGTATCACAAACCGTTGGCAGCTGTGGCTTTTTAGGGGTCAACAGGAAGAAGGGATGAGATGATATGTTTCTGCGTAGTATTATGATTGTCCGTCAGAGAGGATAGCGCTCGTTATTTAAGTTGACGACTGCCAAACCTCTTGGGCCAGGATCTGGTCAACTAAAAGCTGGTTTCATCGGAAGGAGGATCGCAGACGACCGTCGCAGCAGCAAAGAGTTGGGCCTCGTTACCGCCGCCGTATGGTACGAGTACATACAAGTCGTTTCATCTGTTGCACGCGGCATGAGGTCATCGATCGTGGTGCAGACCGCCTAGACCAGCGAATCGGGGACCTCTGGGACTCGCGGACGTGGATGTGACGGTACTGATGATACAATAATAATACAGTACATCAACATATCACATAAAATGTCGCTTTCCCCCACGCTAAGCCACAGGGCGACGTTCGGGATTGCTGCCCCGGCCGACGGTCAGTTTAGGTAGGTAGTTTGGAGGCCAACCATTTCCGTCACATCCACTGCCAGATCAAGGGGGAGAGGTTTCACGAGGGCTTGTCAGACTCACAATAGGGAGTGGGAAGCTGCGAGTATGGCTAGAGTTTGTGATCATTTATTAACAGGCAAACATGCATGGTTGGTTGATTGACTTCCTCCAGAAGGACAGAGAAGAAAGAATACTTAACTAGTTAAGTTAGGCTGCGGATAATTATTAATCACAAACATTCTGCAAGGTTTCCACAGTTGGGGCAAGCATCAGCGCTGCCGCAGGGATATCATGGAGGAAGCCCATGGAGTCTGGACTAGTAAGTGCAAACCATTTGATCCGGTGCGACATATCATGATTGCTGAGGAAGCCCGAAATGCGAGAAAGGAGAGAGAGAGTTGCGCATCAGGAAAAGGCAAGGGACCGCCTGACCTCTGCGTTCCAAAGCGGCATGGCGCAGTCCGGGGAAGAGCGACCGCGTGGAGTCCGGAGCATTTTCGGTTTTCTCTTAGATTCTAATTTCTGACTAACTACGGGGTAGCAAGTCATTGCTATCTTTTGCGTGACAACCACCATGATGATTCTGATGCCGCACATTGTAAACGCATCCCACCCCTCTCATTATCATACTGTTTGCATCCCAAAGACAAGCATCAAAGAGAGCACAGAGAGGATGGAATCGAGTCCGGGAACAACACCGATCGCCCCACGCTCGGCAGCCGGCAATTGATCACCTGTAATACTCCGTACTGGGAGCCCGAGCACGTCCTGCGCTCTGTGAAGCGATGTCACTATCGACGTATCTGAAACCCTGTCAGTAATCGAAATGGCGCTCGAACCTGCGGGAACCCCTCACGGATCTTGAGTGCAGGTAGGAGTCTAGTGGATGATGTTCTGCAAGAGAAATCCTGCATCGCTCGTGGCCGGTACCGTTCGGGACGCCAGTCAGTACATTACGCCGTACAGCTTATGCCTCATACATATGCTGAAGAACAATTCTGCGACGACCTATCCAGATCTTCTGCTAGGGCAAAGTCAGCGTATCAGCCTGGATGTCGAGTTGACATTGGTACGATGCAGCAGCTGAGGCTAGCGGTCATCGCGGGCGCGGGCAGTGTCACCGGTCAGTCCTGGCGACAAAGCAGATGATATAGTTAGCAGCTGAGGGGGCTGGTCACAACTGACAACCTTCTCATGCATCGCTAAAGATAATGGCCAGACGGTCCGAAGCGAACCTAGTAATTACCCAAAAAAACTTACTCTGCAGTGGCGCGGGGAATCGCCCCCCGTTTCATATGGCCGACTGGACTTTACAACCCACGTGGCAAGGATCACCTGCGCTGGACTTCTTTATTAGTTTAAGCTATTGCTTATGCTCCCTCAGATTCTCAATCGGCCTGCAAGCTCCTGTGTAGGGAAAACTGGCGTTTATGGACAAAGGTAAGGTCGGAATCCAGCTTGACTATATCATCGCATATGCCGCGTCCTCAGCACCTCATCTACAAATGCAGTGTGAAAATGTGTTATACACTCCATTGGTTGATATACGTGCAGATGGTAGCCAGCTGTTAGAGACAAGCTACTGAGATGCAGAATGCGCGCCGTATGTACTCTCGACGTGTGACGTGACGCATCGCATCGGAATCGGTTAATGACGATACCCGACTTGGACAAAAAGAAAAGGCTATGGTCAAGTTCTAACAGTTGCCTTATTATGGCTGAATATGAGCTGCTTCTTTGGTGCAGCGAAGTGTTTTCTGGTCAGATGCAGCGAGTGATGCTAAAGTACATACATACAGTACATTCAGCACAGTGATAACCACTAGCCTTGCGCCTGGTATTAATGTTCAACCGATAGCTCATTGTCACTCTCTTATGCAACCGATCCGTTATGTCAATATATGAAGTTCCATTGGTGACTCACATGATCACTGTATCCAGATGATACAGGAAACTAGGCCGTGGCATCGATACGAATCATTTCAGAAGTGCTTCCCCAAGCCGAGTCAGTTGGGAAGATTTGTGGCTTAGTCCAGTACTCTACAGTAGGTGCGTCACTGATCTTCGCCCCGCATACCAAATAGGATAATTAGTGCAGTACTCTATGGTCTGATGGAGATTGTTTCCTGCCTGCAACATTGATCCCGGATTGCTACAATCATCGATGACCGTGTTGCGGTTTCCCTGCTCGGTCCTGCAGCTTGCCGCTGTAGGTAGTTATACCCGTGTCGGGAGACTATCATGATCACCAGACCTGGAAAATGCGAAAAGAGGAATTACAGATCCACAGAATATTGTTTACCTTCAGAAAATAATGATAGCTCTCTGCATGGCCGTTCTTACTTAGGGAGGGGGGCTTCGGATTGACATCCGGCCTCGTATCTCCTTTATCGACGTCTGAAAGACATGGGTTGAGCCAATAATATATCAAGTCAGGGATTTGGAACAGGTAATTAGTTACATTCTTACCCCATACACCTAAAGTCAGCTCAGCCGCAGGTGCAACAACTATGTTACTAGTAACTATACCGACACAGCGCTCTCCATATCACCTGGGGCTAATACCCCATGGGGCAACATTTTGTATGGACAAACACCGAAACGGGCTCTAGAACAAATTCTAGAGCATTTTGATTCTTCGAATAATAACACTCTTATGCTGTTCTGTCCCGGGTCGGCGGAACCTCGTTAGCTAGGAGCAAGGATGATGTCCCCATGAATCAAGCCGTATCTCGGGCATTTCTTCGTTCTAGCAGACAAATCACCTATCATACCATGGCAATGGAGAAGAAAGATATATACTACGCATGCTCCATTACACAACTAGCTTGATAACCATTCTGGACCATACACTGATAACTTTTGCCCTAGTGTCCGCAGGTTCTTCCATATTCGATGTGGCGCGTTGTTGCGCAACAGCGGTGACGGATTACAATGTCTGATAACAGTACGGGGTACATATTCCTGTATGTTGAGTCTCTCATATTGCCGGCAATCTAGCTACTGTGATGCAGAAAACCATTAATCTTGCCACAATACGCGGAGAAGGTAGTACTGTACATACATCGTTGCAGTGCGGAACGCGAGTCTCAGCTTGACCCGAAAATCTTACTTTATCATCATCACTGCTGCCTTCACCATGGGTTTTACCATCATTGAAACGAAATCACGAATAATCTGTCCTTCAGAGCTCATCCATAATGGCTTGTCTGAAGTTCAAGTATCGATTTACGCCTGTTCTCTCCGTGAACATACGGTAACAGTCCAGCGACATTGGATAAGTCGAGATTCCTCTCCGAGACGGGCTTGCAAATAGTGGTCTCCTCGCAGACTTATATTGATTGCTTTTGAATAGATATACAAAAATAATGGTAAGAATCGTCTTCAGTACACTCACTGTAAATTAAGTTACTGTCTTATGTTCTTCTCGAACAAGAGCGTTTGGTGGTACGATATCGATTACATAATCCGCACTGGACCCCCGACGCCAGCTTGCGCGGAGCTACTTTCCAGGCAGTCGTGAATCTTGCGATGAAGCTCCCCCGCGACATGACCCAAGCTCTCTGATTTCCATTGTCTAACGAAATTCACGAATTGAACTGGGTTGATTTCATCGAGCTTCTTTCCGAGTGTGGTTGATTTACAAGCATGGCGTCCTTATTCTTCTCTACACCGGTCGACATCGACGTCGTGCTCGAGGATAGCGATGAGCGGCAGACGGTCGATGTCAAGCTCGACAAGGGACGCCGGGAGAAGGCCCCTCTGTACATGGATGGCGAGTCGGTCAGAGGTGCTGTGACCGTACGACCAAAGGATGGGAAGCGTCTAGAGCATACGGGAATCAAGGTGCAGTTCATTGGGTCGATCGGTACGCAGTATACGGTGCATGCGCTTTCTTTCTGCACGCGCGCGATCCCTCCTTGAGGCTTTTGCAGTAACTACTGAAAGGCATTGGACTGACATAATGTACTTTTGCATAGAAATGTTCTTTGATCGCGGTAATCACTACGAATTCTTGTCTCTGGTTCAAGAACTCGCTGCTCCGGGCGAGCTCCAGCACCCGCAGACGTTCCCCTTCAACTTCAAGAATGTCGAGAAGCAATACGAGTCTTATAATGGCATCAATGTCAAGCTACGCTACTTTGTCCGGGTGACGGTTTCGCGGCGCATGGCGGACGTCATCCGTGAGAAGGACATCTGGGTCTACTCCTACCGCATGCCACCGGAGAACAACACCCCTATCAAGATGGACGTCGGTATCGAAGACTGCCTGCATATCGAGTTCGAGTACTCCAAGTCCAAATATCATCTCAAAGACGTGATTGTCGGGAGGATATATTTCTTGCTGGTGCGGTTGAAGATCAAACATATGGAATTGTCTATCATTCGAAGAGAGACGACGGGCACGCCGCCCAATCAATATAACGAGAGCGAGACTCTGGTGCGGTTTGAGGTTGGTTTTTCGTCCTGATTCTTGTCTTGTTTCCGTTGTTGGTCATTTATAGATCAGTTGCTGACGTTGACTTTTGGCAGATCATGGATGGTTCTCCATCACGAGGTAAGAACACTGCCCCAGAAGTCTTGCATATAGGTTAGCAGGATCTACCGGATCTTATTCCTCCATAATGCTGTCCCTGGCGAGGGAATTCGTTGTCAGTTGTATGAAGGCCGGTTGCTGAATGAAGATCAGGTGAAACAATTCCAATCCGGCTGTTCCTTGGTGGATTCGACCTCACCCCGACATTCCGTGACGTGAACAAGAAGTACTCTACTCGGTATTATCTGAGCTTGGTTTTGATAGATGAAGGTTAGTGATATGGTTCTGCCTTTCTTTTCACCCTCCCGTCTGCTTGAACTTGGTGCAATGTGCACGGGTGCGGGGTCATTGTTTTAGGTGCCTGTCCTATGACGATTGATATCATCCGTTCACTGCCGGCATGAGCACTATTTCTGTCCCTCTCTTTGCGCATGTGCGCGGCTTGATGCGTGGCCGCCTCACCCGCGGTCGATACCCGACGGCAATTGATCTGGCCGCGCTACGGCAACGGAACCTTCGAGCTGGGCGTGGCTCACGGGAGAACTCCCCACGCTCCGAGCCCACATCTCCCCCACGTCTCCCCCACGTACCAGTTCATCTCCACTTTCGTTCAAAACTATAAACTTTCCTGTTTTGGCCTTCAATACCCACGCTCTCACGTGCTCAACGCTCCTAGAACTGCAAAGGAAACTATCGCCAGCAATATACTAATACCAGCTAACTCTTCTGCAGATGCTCGTCGCTACTTCAAACAGAGCGAGATCACCTTATACCGTCAAGCCCCTGAGATCGCGACCACCCCACAGGTGGCTCAACAACAGCAGATCCAGCAGGCTCATATGCAACAGCAGGCGCAACAGCCGCCACTACCTGGGGCAGCCACAGCAGGTCCTGGAAGAGATTCAAACAACCAGCCTCGCGCAGTAGCCGCATAGTGAGATTGCCGTTGCTAAAAACGGTTTCCTCTGCTCCCACTTCAGAGGAAATCCTCTTGCTCTGTTGTTTGGACTATACCCCGCATGAACGTCTCCTCCCACAATGACCGATGATTCTACATCCCCTACATCTCGTGTGTTTGATTCTTTGATTGCTTTTCGAAACGAATATCAACAGAATTCCCATGTACATAGCATTATTTGATCTTTTATCCTTTTTTAGTAACATGGTTTCCTGCTATGGGCGGGGGCGTTGAGTATTCCGCGTTGTCTTGTACTGTATACCTAGATTCGAAAAGGAAACGACCTTTTATATAATCGATTCATCTGTGTCGCGTATCACTACCCTTGAAAAAAAAAAGCCATGCACTGAGTCCAAATAACACTATGAAGACACCCACGCTGCTAGATGAAATGAGACTGCTCTACCATGACGGATCAATATTATGGAACATTACGCTTCACACTTCATTACATTATAAGAACAAAACGAGGCCGTCTTTCTTTGATCTACTCCTGTTTTTTGTTACAAAGACAGACAGACATACACACACATACACACACATACACACACGCACATGTTTTTTCTCCTCCATTTTACTCCGAATCTGCTGCTTCCTCTTCTACTAAGCTGACTTCCTGTAGAATTTTACCTAGCGCTTCGAGGACTTTGCCGTCTTCTCTCTCCTTCCCCGCTACTTGGATGGCTTTCACAACAAGTGGATACATCCAGCCGAGGTGTTTCTTCTGACTAGCTCTTGGAGATGAGGATTGAGAAGGGGGAGAGAAGGCGGGGGCGTCTGGGATCGCGGCTGGTTCGCTGTTCAGCTCGAGTAGGTGGTGCAGGAGATGGAGCAGCTCTCGCCGTGCAGATGTGGGCTGTGGCATCAGACCACGCAGCGGCTGGTCAGCGATGTAAGATTTAATGGAGATGGCACAGCGCAGGATCAGGAAGGGAGAGATGGAGCGTGCGATGGAGACGCGACGAGGATCGGCCTCCTGGGCCGTGTGGTTGTCGTCGTCTTGCACGTGGCAGGCAGATGCGAGGTCAAAGAGCGTGTCTATGAGTACATAGGCTATTTTCGAGCGGTGTGTAGGTGCCGCGTCAAATGTACGTCCAGGACGGACCTTGTATAGATCGCGCAGCGGTTCGTCCAGCGCGGATCCTCGAGGGAGATCGAGCCGCTGTGGGGGATAAATGAGCGACGAGCGGAAAATTGCCCGTACGAAATCTCGACGGTGCTCGTCCGGAATAATGGAGGCTCCGAGAGATGGGATCACGAGGGATATTAGACGGTTGAAGGCACTGATATCAAAGGCTTCGTCGGAAAGGATTCTCTCAATGGTCAAATCAGGCCCCATCTCGATTCCACCGGACACAATCCCCTGAGCAATATTTACCACGCATCCCCAGAATCGTGCGACTTGAAGAGGGTCGGCAGATTCATATTGCTTCTCAACGTATGGTACGGCAACTTGCAAGATATTCAATGCGGCGGTTGTTGATTTCTGCCACAGTGTGGGTTCGCGATCTTTGCCCTGCCATTCATACTTCCGGGCTATCTGGTGTGCCAAGTGCTCCAGTGCGGTGCTCAAAGAACCATTCGTGAATATGTCCCTCTTGATCCCAAAGTCTGCGATATACCAGCTAAGGAGTTCTATAGCGTTCTTCGAAAACGCGACGAAGCTCGGTCTACTCTTGTCTCTGTCTGGCGACCATTGAGACAGGGCAGAATCGGCAAACTCCGCAAGGTATTGAACGACAGCTGGTTGAGAGCTCTCCTTTTCCACACATACCACTTTGAGACAATCTATGACGTGAGCCTGGAGTGTCGACTGATGGTCCGTGTCCACCGAATATCGTGAGCATACTGAATTCCAAACACTGGCTCGCAAATTCTTGAGGACCTGCTCAATGCGCTCATCGGACAGCTCATCCTTGAAGAGGCGATATATCTGCTGGAATGACCGTAGATATGCTAGCAGGGCGTCTTGATTGGGGTTATCCAGGTCTAACGGGTCCCCGTCAGGAGCAGGGTGACCGACAACCCAAAGATCCCATGCGCGTTCGACAGCTCCCTTGCTAAGCGTCTCAGAATCCTGGGCACGGGCGAGGATTTCCGAAACACCCGAGAAGATTGCTTCACTCAGCTCCAGTAATTTAACTTTGAGCAAAACTCCGAAATGTTGAACCAGTCGTTCCCACGACTGATCAAAATGATCATCTTTCACGACTGTATCGAAAAACCCAGCAATCAAATTGGAAGACCCTTTCACCATGACCACAGCTGTTTCCATCCACTGGCTTTCCTCAGAGTGGGCCGGACTAGACGCATTGGTCACTTCCAACATCTTTGATTCAATATCTTCGAACATCACAAAAAGCACTCTATTCAGACATAGGTGCCAAGCCCTAGGAGAAAGCTGTTGTCCGTACGCGTCGAATATCCGCAGAAGCGTACGAATAGCACTATTCCGGATTTCTAACCTAGAGTCGGTTGCCAGGTCGACGATCCGTAACAGTAGCAGGAGCCATAGCGAATTTCGAGAAACAAGCGTATCACTATCCTTGGCTAGTTTCGTGAGAGTCTCATCACTAGCGGAGGAGTCAACGTGTGTTTCAATTGAGAACTGCTCAATTTGGCCCTGTAAGAAGTCGGAAACATTCCAGAAGAAGGAGGTCGTGGTGAGTGAAATATTGAAATCTTCATCTTGGGATGCAAACTTCGAAAACGATTCGACAAGCTCCAAGAAGCACGATGCCGGCAGAAGAGACAGAAAATCCGAAGCGACAAGCTGAAGCGACTTATACGCAGTGCGGACTAGCCGCGGCGATTTTGTCTTCAATGGTTGGGACTTCCCTTTGTTCGGTGTGCTTTCTCCATCGTTTTCGGGAAGGTCTGGCTTATCGAAGACACTCGATATCAGGTCAAAGACAAGATCCCATCCGACAACAAAACTCTCCCCATACTGTTCGAGAATAGACTTCAATGTCTCCAGAGCCTGCTCATGGACGTCTATATCGGCAGCTTGAGAAGAGCCTGGAAGGCGTGTTCTCCATGCATAGAGGGAAGTCACTTGTGATTTGAGGGCTTCCAGATTTCTCAGTTGTATCTGATTCCTCAGAGAGATATCATCTTGATTTTCGGGTTTCATTGTCTGGAAGATAACATTGTTGAGTACCCTACTCGCCCTCAACCTTAAAGCAAGGTTGATATCCCCGTTCACGAGGACCAACTTAAGGTAATCAGTCAAAATACACCAAGAACGTCCGCCTTTATCTCCATCGGGGGAGGAAAGGCGAGCCAGGTTTGCCACAGTCAGCTCTTCCACCTTCTCCAGGACGAATCTCAGTTCGTCTTCCTGTACTTTGGCTTTTCCGAAGGTCATTGAGATACTGCGTGTGCTCTGATGGATCCGTCCCGTACGCCGAGCAGGAGATGGAGACTGGGGAGAAGGAGATGGTTTGCCCGGTCCCGTGTCAGGAATGCCGTCCTCGCTGTCATTAGAGAGCTTAAGGAGAGCAGTAAGCATATCCTCAAATGAATTGTCCGGGTAGTCTCCCGTACTTTCAAACAGCTTTGCAGCTGCCGTTTGCACGGCGATAATTTCCGCTCCAAAATTGGCCTTTGGGACGTCAGTTCCAGAACTAGCGGCGTTTTCGTCATTGTTGTTTGCAGCTGCAGCTTGTTTTGTGGCAACTACAGCAGACACGCTCATGACCAGGTCTGCCCGTTGAAGGGTCTCAAGGACAATAGACCACGCTGCCCGATCCAGCGTTGGTCCTAGAGCAATCCCCAGGTTCAGCAGGGCCCGCAAACACAAGAGATTTCGAGTGCTTAGAGATACAGCAGTAGTGTCCAAAGAGCCTCCAGGAGTCGCAACGGGAGTAGAAGCACCATCTGTAAATTCACTAACGGACTTTTTCCTTTCTCCAGCATATGATTCGGTCCCAGCTATGCTGAAAGGCCCGGCAGCCTTCGAGCTGGCAGCATCCGAAGGCATGGCTGCTTTCGCGAGTGTTGTGAGGAAAGCATCCCGAGGGGTGGATTGCCGAAGTAACCCAGCGACATGTGTCAGCTTTTGGAAAGACCGGACTAGATTATGATAGAAATCTGGGTCCAGTGCCGCATACAGGAAGGTTGAACAGGTCGCAAGGGCTGCAGGCCAACATGAATCGATGATACCCGCACAGGCCTTGATGGCTTCCAACTGAGGATGTGCATCTAGATCCAAGGGATTGACTGGAACGGAGCTCTTCTTTGATAAAGATCCACGGCGCTTCTTCTTTCCCTTTAGGTCGGGAACGGTTAACGGAAGGATGAACTTTGCCAGGCCTTCAGAAAAGGAACTAATACAGTTAAGCACAAGACTGTAAATGTACGTCTCCGGGGGGGATGGCGCATCCGTCTTGTCGAGAAGCTCAATGTAAGGAGTGCGAACGATACTCCACTGGTTGCTGATTCCCGAAACATTCTCATCCGCTGAACTTACCGCGGTGCCAATCACTCCCGCCACACCACCAGCTTCAAGAGTGATTTGATCCTCTGTCTTTGATCTTGAGTGTTGGATCCCAGATGGAATAGTGGACTGGTGACTGACACCTATCAGCGAAGGCTTTTCAGAAGCCAATCGAACAAATGACGCCATATGTTCTTTTAAGATATCCTTTCGCTTATCATTCGCGTCGTATAATAAGTAGATCGAACGGATAATCCCCGGTTCTGCATGCAATCCACGAAATATCTCCATGCAAAGGACTCTCTTCCAAGGTGCGGATCCATCAGGTTCGCAAAGATGAATCAGGAGACCCAGGGCCATTTCACACTCAGCAACCAAAAGAGCCATATGCCGTTTCAGAAGAATAAGTAAAATGCGTGCAACCCTAACGGTCTGAGCGAAAGACTGTCTCTCTGAGAAACACCTCACGGTCAAGGGCATCAGACGGTTCCGCAGCACTTGTGTCTGCTCTGGATGTGCATGAAAGAGACGGCCGCTATTGGACAAAATACCTTCAATGAGCTCTAGAACAAAAGTCGCCGGAAGAGATTTAACCTGGAGAAAGTCTGCTCTCTCCCCTTCCACCAGACGGCAGAGATCGTCCAGAATCTAGAGATATCCAATTAGTGAACAGTAAAAACGGTGTAGCATACAGTACTCACTCGTAAAGCATCGTAAGCAGCAAGTCCTATGGTCAATTGCTCTCCCTCGACCCTGACGATTACCGTCGGTATTGAGCCAGGCGGTTTCCCTGAAGACATTAGTATACGTCTGGGCCGATCACGGGTCTATTTGGCACTGACTATCTTCATCCACGACCTTATCAAATGCCGAAATTACTAACTGCTGTAGTGTGGCAGCCGCAGTATTCGAGACTGCAGCTGTCTTGCTAGCTTGCAAAATTGCACATATTTCCAATGTGCCTGCAAGAAGCTCTCCGCTCAATTCTTCAGAGTAACTGTGCAAAAGAGACGGTAGCGTCTGAAGTATCTTCAGCTGGACATCCAAATCTGCTGAAGTTAGAGACGTCCGGATCATGGAGCAAGCTCACTTACTCAAACTCGTGGTCTCCCGCAGCCCAGCTAGAACGTCTTTCAGTCGCTCAGCAGGAAATGCCCGTGACGTCGCCAACCGTTGCAGACAGGAGACACCAATAGCCGCGAGCCTTGCATTGCGAGTGTGACAGGAAAGAATGAACGGGGTAACAAAGTTTGGTCTCCGTATCAGATCTGATAACTTCTCAGCAACATGGTACAGATCTCGCAGTAATGTAGAAAAACAAACCAGCTGTCAATTGAGCTTCCGATGTCGAAGGCAATGCCTTCAGGTCACTGATAGATTGCTCGGCTGCCTAGCTATACCATTAGCAATGACCCTGATAGAACGAGTAGATCGCATTCGTACATTGCGCAGTTCAGAGTTCTTCCTCTTTGATTCATGTATCAAATTTGATAGCTCTGTCTGCAAAATCTGGGAGGTCATCTCAAACCGCGTGGTTCATGATAGCATATCCCAGACTACTAAGTATAGCTGAGGAGCGCGAAGCCAGTTCTGCGTGTTGGATAGCCGCAGATAGTCGACCATGAAATGGTTTGTTACTCAGTGTAGAGGTAGCAGAGTAATGCCAGATTAGAGATTCAGTGGATTATCATCAATTCTCATATGCTGCAGCAAGCTAGGTGCTTCAGCATAGGGAGTTGGTTAAATTCTAAGAATGGACATGTCTACACAGTCGGGCGTGGTCTTCCGGCACCGCCAAGAGACCACCTGGGCATTTACAGGGGTCTTGCCCATTCCAACCACGTGATCTGCTGTGCTTTGAGGTCACGTGGTTAGGCTGCCGCGGTCCTTGGCTTGCGTAGAGGCAATACAAAGTGGGCTGCTGCCCCTCTTTCATATCCTCCGATTATTTTACAGTCTCCGCCGCTTCCACAACTAACCTGTGAACCTTTCTTTTGCTGAACCAGTTTCTTACCTTTAGTCATTATGTCGGCCAAGGTTCCTCGCAATTTCAGGCTTCTCGAGGAGCTAGAGAAGGGCGAGAAGGGCCAAGGAGCGGGTTGGTATATTCAATGTTCCGCCGCGGGGGTATCAATGACTGATTTACAATTTTGAATTTGGCAGAGGCATGCTCTTACGGTCTGGCTGATGGCGACGATCTGATGATGACGAACTGGAACGGGACCATTCTCGGACCTCCGCACGTCGGTTTCCTACTTGTACCTATCTTCGTGGAAGCAAAGTACTGAGGACAAGCAGAGCGTGCACGAGAACCGGATATACAGTGTCAACCTCCACTGCGGAGACGACTACCCTGATAACCCTCCTACGATACAGTTCGTTTCAAAGGTGAACCTTCCGTGCGTAGATCCACGAACTGGAAAGGTACTAGTGTCCACAAAACTCCCCGGCGTGCGGAACATATATCTGACAATCAACAGGTGGACCCATCAAAGTTGCCCTGCCTTGCGCAGTGGAAGAGAGAATATACCATGGAGACTATTCTTCTTGAACTTAGACGGTATGGCTTGATAATTGTCTCGCCGCCACGCTCTGGCTAATATCGAGATTTTAGATACATGGCTCTGCCGCAGCACAAGAAGCTTCCGCAGCCCCCGGAAGGAACGACGTTCTAGACTCGTTTATCGAATATATGGCTCATAAGGTGAGCAGCCGGAGTCCTAACTCGGCTGTTTCTGAATTTCTTGTTGATATTGAAGAGCATGTATAAGTCTGCATCACCGGGAAGCATTGGCGTTGGTTTTGTTGCTTTGGAGCGTATATCTCCGGTGGCTTCATAAATAAATTCTATATTTCTATAACGTAAACTGTCTAATCTTTAGACATATGTCATAGATGAATAGACCGAACTGACTACAAATTCATGATATCAATCACGTGATTGGGACTAAGATATGCGGAGAAGCTTCGGAGCTGTGGTCACGTCCGCCAACAATGTTACTATTTCCGACCTAATAATCTTCAGATGCATAAAGTAGTATTCCCAAAGCACTCGGGGGTGCACCGGTTTGCCTGTGAGTCTCAGCATCCTGAGCTTGACCTTACCTAGATCGCAGACCCCAGGGCTAATCTAACGAGTCGCTTCCTCGCAGGCCTTGCGCTCTACCGGGCTCTCCTCCGTCAAAGTACAAGATTACCCTCGACCTTTCCCGAATCGCGTACGGTCAATCATCTCATAAGACACAAATTCCACAGATACAAAAACCTTCAGAGTCCGTCTCAGACAGCCAACGCCCTGAAGGCTGGTTACGAGGTACATCCCCTTCCAACGGTAAAAGTTGTCCATGATCGCGGACTAACTAGGCTGGAATTCAATGTAAAGGCGCTGGATCTATTACATTCCGCTTCTCAAGGCAAAAATGAAGGCATCTCCCGACTTTCAGCTCTTCTCTCCGAGGGGCGTGCCCTACGTTTACGCAACAGCTCTGAACAACGGGCATTAACGGAAGCACAGCCAGTCAAACCTCTATCTAAGAAAGAGAAGAAGAAGGAAGCAAATAGACGGCACCAGGAAGCAACTGCTCTGCGACATCCGGATGCTACGCCCATCTTGTCGCGCCCAAGAGCCGTTGTGAGCGGGCGGCGTCGAGTACCTGTCCTTGTCAGCGCTCGGGGTGATGTCCCGTTCCTGCGGATCAAGAAACCGCAGCCCAAGAACCTCAGCGGGGTCATAAGGAGCAAGCTTGATAATCGATGGAAGAGGATCGTCCGTCGAGACAGGCTGGAGGAGGAATTGCTTGTGGCACAAGACGAAGACCACTGGGACTCTATAACAGGACAAAAAGAGCCAGAGTCTTGGACGACTGAGATCCGAAATGCACATAAAGAAGTTATCCAAAAGATCAAAGAATCTGATAACAAGAACAGGTTGCTCGCAGAAGCAATGTGGAACGTCGTGCTAGCTGAAAGAGAGTTGGCGGCAAAAGAAGAAAAGCAGAGAGAAATGGAAAGGAAGGCCAGGTCGCTTGAACGGTCTGAGTCTTCTGATGAGACGCAGACGTCTTGATGCACTAGGGTAGTATTAGGAACACCATCTAGTGCGGGTTCGGCGATTCCAACCAGTCAGCTAGGCTGGTGCAATATGCATGGGAGACCTCACGTTGTACTTGGAGGATCGTCTGGTCACCTTCCAAGACACGAATGCCTCTTGAAGGCATCCCAGTATAACGATCTCATTTACGACCCTAGTCGCAACTCTGCAGGCAGTTAAGATGGGTTCTGTTCTGATAGACGAGGACCACATCTTGGCTGAGTCATCCTAACAAGTGAAGGGACACACCTCGAAACTACGGCCATATTAGTCGATATTCCGGGGATTGAATAACATGCCGTGTCCGTCGGAAGTTGAGGGGAAACAATCGTGGGATTGCTCTACAGGTAATGAGCAAAAGGCGCGTGGATTGTGGCCTAGTATCTTGCTGTAGCTACAGTCCATGTTCGGCAGTGTTCTCGGAGGAAACAGACCGTGGCTAAAGATGTCCTCGCCGCGAGCTGCTGGGAGGGGCGGGGGGTTCACGAGTCTGTATTCATATACTCGTATACCGTCCCTGCCGCATATCCGTGACTAGTTGCGAGTGAGCCCCTAGTCAATCGCTGCGGGTGTGCTCTAAAGGCACGGATACCCTTCTGCTAAATTAAATGCGCCCTCATGTAGCATTGTGGGTAATATATGTTGCACAATAATACCAGTGAATTTGAATATTGCATCTTCTCGAATAAGAAAATTTGCGAACTTGCTCGGAAAACGATGACATAAATCACCCAGTAGCTCCAAATCAGGCGGTTACTTTCATCCTCTCCATCGCTGCTGGAATATCCTCCTCGTCTTCCTCATCATAGTCGCCCTTTCCAGCCAGACCTGTCTCCCATAGTTGCCTGCCGGTGAGTTTCTTCTCTTCTCGTGCAGATGGCTTCTTTTTCTTCTCCTCTGCTTCCTTCTCCTCCAATTTTCGCTGTTCCTCCTCCTCCATTTCCTTCGTGAACTTTTCTTTCCACTCCAAAAACCTTTCTCTGGTCACAAGAGTGCCCTGGAATTTGCGGTTTTCCTCCTCTTCCGCCTGGGCGATCTCCATCTCTCTCTTCGCTTGGACAGCATTCGCACGTTCAGCCATCAGCTGCTCAGCACTTTCCTTGAGGGCGCTGACCAGAGTGAAAACCATCGCCATCCCTAAGTTTTCTTCGATGGTAGGCTGTAGGGTCTCGAGCAGACGCGCGCGGTCCTCTTGCAAGTCAAGAAGGGGATGTTTAGAAGCATTAGGTGGAGCAGAGATTTCGAGATCTGGAGCTACATCCGGATATTCCTCTGGGTATGAGACCTGTAAAAACAGGATTGGCGGTTCTGCTTCGGTGTCATAGTTCTCTGGAGGATCGAGAGTGATCAATATCCGGTATGATGTGTCGGATATATCTGATTAATCCATAGTGTTAGTAGACCTACGACTAAATTGGCCCAAACTACTATCAAGATGGCAGTGTACCTGTAATCTCATCTGGAAAAATAGAGCTGAGCACCTCGCGCTCTTCGACCTGATCATCGCGACCCATCCTTCATGTCCCCGCCAGCGGTATGGAGGGGTTTCGGAGTTTGATCTTTGACGCGGGGTAGGGAATTCCGGCAAAGGCCCAAGAAGACCGAAAGATATGAAAATTAGAAGGAAAACAAATTTCCCTGGAATTCAAGAAAAGAGTATATGACTTTAGACGTCAATCCTGTCTGCGGGCTTCATTCACGTTCTGCGGTGCGTCGCATGGCTAATCGCTGTGACCCGTGCAAACTACACAAACTCGAGTATCCAAAAATTTGGCTCCGTATTCGAGGTCCCGTCTATTTCGGTCAGATTTTGAATGAACAACTCTGGCCTGTCATATTGTCCTTTATCTTTCTTCTTTGTTTAATTCATCCCTGATCGCAGAAGGATATATACAGATTTATTCGGCAAGAGAAAAACGACGAAAAAAAATTAGCCATGGGCAAGACAAAGCCGAGCAATAAAAAGTCTCCAAAGTCCCGCGAAAAGTCCGTTCTCAGCGCCGGAGCTTCACTACAGTCGAAACAAAAGCTGAACGAGGACCCCGCCACTCTACTCGACCAGGCGACCGTTCTCCTTCAGACTGGTCAGGCCGAGGCTGCTCTTCCTTTAGTCGAGCGAGCACTGAATCTTGTGCCCGCCAATTCGCCCAATGCCCTTTCAGCTCTGAATTTGATCGGGGAGGTGAACGTTGAACTGGGAGAGATTGATGCGGCGCGACAATACTTCAAGCTCGCGGTGGATATAGATCCTGAGGGAAAGATACCTGAATCACAAGGCGGCGGAGCAGAGAAATTTCTATGGCTTGCTCAACTGAGCGAAGAAGGTGGAAAGGACAGTGTTCGGTGGTACGAAAGAGGTGTCTCCGCTCTCAGACAGATTATCCAGTCGTTAGAGCAGAGCGGTAAAGCGGAGGAAATTGCTCTGGCCGAAGAGAAGAAGCGGAAGTTGGCAAATGCCCTCTGTGCTGTTGTGGAAATCTACATGACTGATCTTTCGTACGTCTTGGATGTTCACGTCAAGCCTCGAACCAAAACTGACAATGACTAGGTGGGAAGATGACGCAGAGAGCAGATCTGAGTCGCTCGTAACCGAGGCCCTCTTCGTCGCTCCAGAGGCACCGGAGTGTCTACAGACTCTGGCATCCGTTCGGATATCACAATTGCGGGTGGACGATGCCCGAGCAGCACTCTCTAGAAGTTTAGGATATTGGAAGGATCTGGCTCCGGAGGACCCCAAAGTCCCAGATTTCCCTACACGGATCAGTCTTTCGCGGCTTTTGATGGAGGTTCAAATGGAACTTGAAGCGCTAGAAGTCCTCGAGCGTCTGATCCTGGAGGACGACCACAGTGTCGAGGCGTGGTACCTTGGCGGATGGTGTCTCCATTTGCTGGCAGAAAAAGAACAGCCTCCGGCACCTGCGGACGCGGAGGAATCACCCGCTGAAAGACGACATGCTTCCCTCGTCGCCAGCCGCGAATGGCTGAAGCAGAGCTTGAAGTTATACGATCTCATCGACTATGAGGACGTGAGACTCAAGGAGCATGCACTTGAGCTGGTTGAAGAACTGAACAAGGAACTAGGGGAGGACATGGATGATGAAAGCGATGCAGAGAATCCTCTGGCTGCAATGGAAGATGGTGACTGGGAGGAAGAGGAGATCGAAGTAGTGTCGGATGAGGACGAGGATGAGGATCACGAAATGGCGGACTCTTAACAAAAGCATTGCATGCATTGATTTTCTTTCGTAATTGGGAATGGGTTTTTGTCAGTGATACCAATAGAGGACCGTTTATATTTATCAGATCTATCGCTACATACTTCCAGAAAAGGAAGTATGCTAGAGCTCTATGCCAACAGCATGATTCGCAGCGCACATCGTCAGTAGTTCCCTATCACTATAGACACTGATTGCCTCAAGAGTATTTCAAAAGTAATTTTGTTCGCCACTCTTCTGTAGATAAGGTATTCAGTAAATCCTGAGATCTAGTTAACCCATCATTGGCGAGACCGGAACACGTTCGGGTAAATTGATTATCCGTGCGGCCACCCGGAGATGACCATAGAGCATGAGAACAAGTCAAAGAAAGCGGCAAGGACCAATGTGAGCTAGCGCTGTGTTATTCTGCTCGCTGGGGGCGTCCGCTCTTCCTTTTCACAATGGACTTGGTTTCAGCACCAGGTGGGGAGAGCTCATCGTTGAAGACGCCTGTGGTCGAGCCGGAAGTCGCTGATATGGCGTCCGGCGATCAGGAACTGAAACGGGCTGTTCACCCAGAGACGCGCCCAGAGGGGGACAACACGTCACATTCTGAACCTGATACTGATAGCGAGGCTTCTGGGGAGGAATGGGAAACAGAGTCCCTTTACGAGGATTCTTTGCAGATTGTTCAGGACGAGCAGCTCCGTGATGGAGGTACGGAACCTTGATACCTAGGTCTTGGGTCTATGTGATCCGTCGCGGCTAACTTGACTTCCAGTGCCTGATGCATGTACTCTGGAGGAAGCAATCGCGTATCGCAAACGTCTGCATGAGCTGGGGAAAGTAGCTTTTGTTGAGGATACTCTGGGAAAGGGGACTATCTCCGCCAAGAAGCTCTGCACTGCCTTTGGGATAATACCGCCAGCCTTCCTCGAGGATGCCCCTGATGAGGCATTTCACCCACTTCTTGCCATCGCCATATCGCGTGAGTTCTCCAAGAGGCAGAAGCTTCCGCAGTACAATACTATCGAGGATGCTGTTGAGTTGCTCAAGAAATCCAACAATATCATTGTGATCACTGGAGCTGGAGTAGGATTCCTTTACGCTTTTCATGTCGAAGTCACATTGCTAACGTGACATGTTAGATTTCTACCAGTCTCGGAATCCCTGATTTCCGTTCCAAGGGCACTGGCTTATACGCGAGGCTTGAGCATCTTGGTCTCAGTGACCCTCAGGAGGTCTTTGACATCCATCTCTTCCGCGAGGACCCCAGCATCTTCTTCTCTGTTGCGAAGGATATCCTTCCGAATGAGAAGAAGTTCTCCCCCACTCATGCCTTCATCCGTCTGCTCCAGGACCAGGGAAAGTTGCTTACCAACTATACCCAGAACATTGATAATATCGAAGCAAATGCTGGCGTGCTTCCAGAGAAGATTGTCCAGTGTCATGGTTCATTTGCTACCGCCACCTGTATGAAATGTGGACACAAAGTCTCGGGAGAATCCATTGCCGACGAGATCAAGAGAGGAGAAATACCTGAGTGCGTGGCTTGTAAAGAACAGCTCGCACGGGATACGTTGAGACCGCAGGGCATGAAACGAAAGAGAAGCTCGAACGGTTCTCAGAAGGACCGTAAAAAGAACTCGTCGGAGAGCAGTTCTGATGAATATGACATCCCAACTCCAGGCATCATGAAGGTTGGTTTCCAGACTCTTATCTCCATGATTCGAGTACTCTTGCTAAGCACGCGCTAGCCCGATATTACCTTCTTCGGGGAGGATCTGCCAGACGAGTTCGGCCGTCGTTTGATCCATCATGACCGCGACAAAGCGGATCTAGTCATTGTCATCGGAACATCGCTCAAGGTGGCCCCGGTCGCGGAGGTGCCCGGTATCTTGCCGCGCGATGTTCCTCAACTATACATATCACGAACAGTGAGTGATACCTAAGATACTATACCGTTCGACTATCATACTGACTCTCTCAAGCCTGTTTCTCATATTGGTTTTGATATAGACATGTTAGGAGACTGCGACGTTGTGGTATCCGAACTCTGCCGCCGGGCTGGATGGGACTTGAAACATGAAATGATACCCGAGAACGAAAGAGTAGAGGTTGTGAAGGAGGAAGGTTATGATTCACGATATATTTTCAAGGTTGTAGGCGCATAGCGGTGGAGTTGGTGGTAGCATATCAGTTCAGTTGCTCATGTCGGTTTGACTTCGATAACAGGGCGTACCTGAGTTTGTGCTAAGACTGTGGGCTGCAGATTTGGGGATTATTGTGCTTCAAGCAGATTACCATGGCAGATTACAGAATCATGTATCAACAATTCGGCAGAAAGGGGCTAGTAATCAGTTCTCATAATGGTTTATGCAGACATCAGTATAGGTATTCTCAGGTAGAGTCTAAATTTTCTATTCGTTAATGCATTCAACAGGTCATGAAATTGAAATTATAGCATTTTCCGGTCATAAGTCGTGATAAATATTTGTCGAAATAAAGTATATACGGCTGGGCTGCGCGGGAAACCTCATCAAGATTTTGCAAAAATATAAAATTATCCCACCGTGAACCAAAAAATCTGCAAATCAGACCCGAACGTACTCACAACCCCACTACCTCAGGCAACGAATCGAATCATCATATCCTAAAAAATAATCACGTCAAGAAACAGGAAAAAATAAAATAAAAAAAAGCAATATACACGACTCTAGACAGGAGAAAAAGAAAAAGCGACAGGACTTTTTTTTTCCAGGTTGGCGTCACCCTCCAGAAATGGAATATCTTATCCGCTTCGCGCAAGCGCACGAGACATTCCGACGCCCGGAGATACAGGCGCTGGCGACTCTTGCGGGGGTGGATGTTGAGTTTCTTTCATATGATCAGTTCGTATGTTGGTTGATAATTTCCATATGTTCATCATGAGCTTTTCGTCTTTTCTGCGCATTTGATCAACGCAGCGCTAATACGTCCCCCTTCATAGTCACCATACGCCGTCGTCAAGGTCCAAGATGAGAGAGCGGCACGAGCCCTCATTGAGAGAAGTGTCCTCGCGAAGGACATCATCGAAATCTGGGGCCAGGGCACGACGTATGACGAACTGCACGCCGATGTCCGCAGGCGGACCTCGGACCGCTGGGCGGCGTTCAACGATGTTTCGTTCCGCTTCACAGTCGACAGTTATGCTCTCAAGCGCAGTCAGCGCGAGAAGCGGGATATCATCCAATCCTTTGCTTATTTAGGCTTCGATGGACCAATCCGGATGAAGGATCCGGATGAGGATTTCTGGGTGCTTGAAGAGCATACTTCTGATTTGGAGATTGCGCGAACTAACCCGGGAGCAGTCTCATCAGATCAAGATCAGACGACGCAGTCTATGCAAATAGGACAGCTGGAAAAGATCTATTTCGGCAGATGGATCGCATCTGGGAGTCGGGATCTGGTGGCGAAGTATGATCTTAAGAAGAGACGCTATATCAGTACGACTTCCATGGATGCGGAGTTGAGTCTGGTTACTGCGAATATGGCTCTCGCGGCACCGGGGAAAGTATTCTTTGACCCGTTCGTAGGGACGGGCAGTTTCTGCGTTGCGGCCGCTCATTATGGTGCTTTGACGCTGGGATCGGATATCGATCCACGGAGTTTCAGGGGGAAGGAGGAAATGTCCAAGGGCAAACCGATGGCCTTGATGCTCAATTTCCAGCAGTATGGTCTGGAGAGTCGGTTTTTGGATACTTTCACCTCTGACCTGACCAATACCCCCCTCCGCGACGTGCCGCTCCTGGACGGGATCGTGTGCGATCCTCCGTACGGCGTCCGTGAAGGACTAAGAGTGTTGGGTCTTCGAGATGGGAGGAAGGATGAGATTTTTGTAGACGGTGTTCCGGCTCATCTGTATGCTGTCTTGACACTGCATGATAAAGTTCCATGAAGATCTAACACTTGGTACAGAAAACCCGGTTACATCGCTCCGAAAAGACCGTACGGCTTCGAAGCAATGCTTAGGGACATACTCAATTTCGCATCTCGAACTCTCGTTGTCGGGGGTCGACTCTCCATGTGGATGCCCACCGCCAGTGACGAAGATATCGAACTCGAAATCCCAACACATCCGAACCTAGAAGTCGTCAGTGTCTGCGTGCAGCCATTCAATAACTGTCAGTATATTACTGTGGTATACACTATTACTTCCTGCAGAACTAACTCATTATCTGCTGTACAGGGTCGAGGAGACTTATCACATACAGCAGACTACCGGAGGGGGTCGTCGCTGAGAATAAATTCATACGCCAAAGACAGGATAACCCGAATGGAGTTAGTGCTGATGATCTTAACGCGTTCAGGAGAAAGGTAAGTTTGAATGAATTGGAACACTTGTATTATGTCCGGGAAAGATATCGAAACTGACTGACTTACTCCTAGTACTTTATGAAAAATTCCAAGAGGGACACTAAGACACCTGCTCAAACCCAGGACTAGAAGGCATATCAATGGATCACATGGGAATAGAAAAAAAAGGGCTTTCAGGGACGATTGCATCTCGATAGAATGTCCGAGTGAGTACATACATGAAGCGTTATCAATGCGCCTCCCGCGCTGCGAGACATGAAAAAGTGATGACACCACGCAAAATATCCGTTTATATAAACGCTATCCAAACGTGACAAAAGAAAATAGAAACTCTGTAACTTCACAACTTCACCTGACTTCTTCCTTTCTGCTCTGGCTTAGAATCTATATCGAGGTCTATCCCCTCGGATTCCTTGATGCGAATGACCTCCCTGGCTAGTTCTTCTCTCATGGCCTGGGCGAGCTGCTCGCCTTCTTCATCGTCGAGGTCGTCTCTTTGCCCCCGGCCGAACATCACCCAACTCATCTTGGTGCCGGTAGGAACCACGTCGGTATTTGGTCGTGGAATTACATGGAAATGAACGTGGGGAACGAGCTGGGCTGCTCGTGCGCCTGTTGGGAAGAGTGATGGATATGAGCAAATAAAACATGTAGACATCTAACTCCATACTCCATAGAGAATTCAAAAGAAAAGTTCGAGAAAAAGAAGTGTAGGACCTATCCATATCAAGGTGTAGATAAATAAACAAAACAGGACTTCAGAAGAAGCCCAAGAAGAAAAAAAAAAAAAGAAAAAAGAAAATACTCACCGTTATTCTGTACAACGTTCCAGTGCATATCAGACTCTGGTGCATCCTTGCCCAGCACCGTCCTGGTCACGACCCTTGAGATGATAGGTAGCCACTTCCCGAGCTGCAATAACGACAGTGGATATCAGCAGGCAAATAAAATATTCATGGAAATTCAACAGATAAAGAGAACCCCGAAACATATGCATCAAAAAGAACTATGAATACAACAAGAAGAAAATCTTAAGAACCCACCTCCTGACCATCTTGCACCCCGACCTCACCTAACTTTTCGTGATGCCCTCTCGTGATGAGCAACAGGTGTCCCCTTGTCAAGGGCATGATATCTAGAAATGCGAGAACGTGCCTGGTCGACAGGACTAAATGAGCCTGTCCTTCTGAGCTGGTCGAAGGTGATGCTGTTTTAGACGACGACGATGATGATCTGTCAGAGAGGAATGAAGAAGGGGCGATAGGAGGATATGAAGATGAGATTTTGCAAAAGGGACATGATGAAGAGGTCGTTGGATGAGATATCATAGTGTTGATGTTGGAAGACAAATGGATTCTATGCCGATGTACGGAGTACTATTTGGTCTTCAAGATTAGATCCCTTTGGATCAGAGTTGTCACCCTCGATGGTGTCTCAGAAGGCTGCCTGGAAGGGATCGTTTTTCAACCAATATCTCTGCTTCATGCGTCCTTGTTCTCTAGATTCTCAAGGGAAAGTAAATTAGACGAGAACAGATTGGAAGGCAAGAGGTAGCTAATTAGCTAACCTGCACGTCAGGATACGGGGTCCGAACAAGATGAATTAAGATTGATGCATCGGTGTCGTTACACATATAATTAGAATGCAGAAAGAAAATCTCACAGATATGGACCAACACAGTAGATAGCTGTAGATGGCCACTCACTATCTTCAAAAAGAGAGAGAGAGTGGGATGTTCTTGCGGACACGATTGGATGCAGGTCGGGGTACCGAGGTTCGGGTGTTGCCGCTGACAGCGCCTTCGACAAACTGCACGGATTCAGATCATCTAAGTAGACATCTAAGAGATTATTGGACGAACAGGCCAAGTAATTCTAAACAACACCAAAGGTTCAAGAAATTGTTCAAGGTAGAACTCTAACAGAATTGCAAGATTTGCTACACATTATTTTACCTCCAGCCTCGGCCGTTACCCTGTACTTGCTTTGCCCACGAAACACCTATTTCCATATCATCCAGGCTCCATGAGCCATTTGGGGTGTGCTGCAAGGAATTAGCCATCCAGCAGGCAACCCGACTCCACAAAGTCCCTCTTGAGTAGCGCTTATGCTCGTTATGTGTGCAGGAGACTGCATAGCAATTTCCACGTAAGACAAGAATATGAAAGGGCTACGCGACGAAACGGTGCCAGATGAACCCATGAGGAAGAAAGGCATCAATATCAAAAAGGTGCTGCAGCCGTAATGAAAAAATTATTCCCAACCGTAGAACATCCGACGCCAGGAACACGGGTAGGTCACAGAAATGAGAATGATCAGAATGTAAAAGAGCAAAAGCAACCACAGCAGACAAGTGGAGAAGGGTGAAACAGCACGAGAACCCATCGCTGCCAGTAAACAATGAAACCAAAACCAAAACCCAGAAGAACGCAACAATGCCGTCATCCCATATGCAATAGATACTCCCATCAGCCGTCAGAAAAAATATGAGCAAAGGGCAACAGGCATAATGAAAATCCATTTCCTCAGTTGTCTCTGGGAAGGGTACAATAGTCACGAGCCCCTCGAAACTATTGGGCAGACTTCTTATAGCTGTAGCCCTCCGTGAGCGAGCTCTTGATGTATAGATGCTGGTACTTCTTCGCCCATTGACGGGTGAGGATAGAGGCTAACACGCGTTAGTAAAGCTTCAGAGAAGGAGGACATCTATGACTATTTACCTTTGAGGAACTTCTTGCTGGCGTACTTCTTGAAGAAGGCCTCGTGAGCCACGGGACGGTGAAGGTAGTCAATCATCAGTCGGAAGACAGGCAGGATCTCTTCTTCGGTATAACCGGCGTAATGCGCGAGAGTTGCATCCTAGATCACGATTAGCTCAGTCATAAATGGGGTCCGGTTGAATGTTCGTCACTTACCCATGCGCCCCGGTCGAGGATCAAGCGCGCGAGGTACATGGCAGCAGCAGCAACATGGCTTTGACGGTACTCCATGAATCTGTGGTCCAACAGGCTGATCTCCATGAGATACTTTCCCAGTGTTCTCGTTTGGATGTCGTAGTTGTCTGCCTTGGAGATTCTACGCAGGAAGTTCATTGGGTTGGGGTAGCTCATGTTGTAGTCCAGAGTGGCAAGAACGTGTCGCTCAGCGTCCAGGATCTCCTTGTCTGAGAAGGTCTCATCGGCAACGTGGCTGAAGTTGGCAACATGGGGTGAGAGCACCTCCTCGTACTTGGAGGCGATGAACATGGCAGTGACGCCAACCAGCTGAAGACGGTCGAGAGCGACGACCTCGGCGGAGAGGAAGCGGTCGATGATGTTGACCGCCAGGAAGAGGGTCTCGGGCAGCAGACGGAAACGCGTGTGCACTTCGATCAGCCAGTCGACAAGGATGCCTCGCATCTTCCACTCCAGGTCCGGTTGGTGTTCAATGTAGTCAGGGTTGGGCAAAGTCTCCAGCTCCAGATCCCTCATGTAATCAAAGATCTCGACAACATACTCTGCAACCATGAGAGGGTCATCCAGATCTTCTTCATCCAGGTTCTGGGGCACGTCGATGTACTCTTCCTTGCCCACCTCTGCCTCAGCAACGACATCCTCCTTGATAGCGGTAGCTGCCTTTTCCACGACAGCCTTCTCGACATCAACCTTCTTGCGAGGAGGCTCCTCCGCATGGGAAGTTTCTTCCTTAACCGACTTCTGGCTAGAGGTTCTCTTCATTTGCGTGCTACCCATCACACCCGAGCCACTTCCCGGGCGCTTCGGCTCAGGGACGGCGGCCTTCTTGCTGTTGACATCGCGGGTACCGAGAGCGGTCCGCGAGGTGTTGGTGCGGCTCAGTTTCTGGACGCCTCCTGCATGGCCGGTGACCTTAGAGGCCAGGCCAGTCTTGGTGGTTGCCTTCTTCGCATCCTTCGTATCTTTGACATCTGCGTTTTCAGTCTTGGTCACGTTGCTAACATCTCCAAGGGCAGCTCGTCTCCTCTGAGTGCCAGTGGCCGTTGTGGTCGTGGTAGCCTTCTTGCTCTGAAGGGGCTTCTTTGCTGGCTGGGTAATCTGAACTTCTGGCGCTGAAAGAGCAGCAGCCTTGGCTCTGGTCAGACGCGTCGAGGCGCCATTCTCATCGTTTTCGTTGGTGATTGCGCGCGTACGCAGACTTCGTGCCTGAGATATGGTCAATGATGAGTTAGACACGCTATGTGGTGACTCAATCGATGAGGTAGACATGTCGACTGTTCAGGGGAGACATCAATCAATGGCTTACCGGAGGCATTGTTGTCGGCCCTCAGAGATTACAGGGACGCGTTAAAAAAAGAACTGGAAGGGGACAGGTGAAGAAGTAGGCTCAGAAGCCGTTCAGAAATCGTCAAGGTTCCGTTAGAGTGACCTGTTGCTGCACATTCCGTTCAAGATTAACGTGGATCAAATACCAGAGAACGAGTGCACGTACCACGCGTGAAAATGTGGCCAATCGACGAGCGGGTGTTCCCTTGTGAGCGTTGAGAGGGCAATGCTACGTGCAGCAGAGGAATTCGATCGTGGAAAGTGCTGAATGGCAGATCGAGAGCATCCAAAGGCTCTGTTGACGTGGATGACCAGTGGTGGATCAGGACGTGAACGAAGCTGCAACGACGCGAAGTTGGCTTCAAACAGAGGTTTTTGAGAAATCTCAAAGGTGCGCAATGGGTATCAATGGTGAAGCAAAGCAGGCATGGACAAAGTGGTCAAGCAAAAGACCGTGAAGGCCAGCAGCAGGTGTTCGCGAGGATGGTGGTTGGATTAATTAAAGAGGTTCGAGTTGGCAGGGCACGGCGATGTTTGGCCCTCTCCTAGCGCGGCACCTGGCGTCAGGCTGAGGATGCCCCACGGCACAACAGCCAAGCAGAGCCGTAGACAAGCTAGAAATGCTGACTGTACAATAATACAGAGCTATGATGCGCACTGGGCCAGCGAAGAATCTGGCCTGGGACGCAATGCCACGATACTCTCTGCTGGGGGATGAGGGATGTTGAAGGGAGTATGCACAGAGAAGAGGTAAGAGCCAATTTGGGAGAGCAATCGGGAGATGATTCGAGGTGCAAGACAAGAAAGCCAGCTGGGGGGATAAATTAAATACAAGAGGGAAACGTCGTCTGGGGAGAATTTCAACGTAGATACCGGTCGACGGCGTCAGGGCTGCCCGAGAAGCGAGAGACGTGCTGCCAGAGCGCGCTTGTGGACCCGCGAGGGAGAAAAAAACAAAGCGTTGCCGGGCAACAACTCGCGCTGGACGTGTTGGCGTTGATGGAAGCGTCACGGGTTCACGGGTCACGGGTAACGCACGGTCACGGGCGACGTGTAACTTGTAAGGGACTCAGCCTCTGTGGCTGGGCACAGTCGAAGTCACATGACTTTCTCACTAGCCACACCCGTGATCTCGGTCCCAAGACACTTTTTCTGAACGCCAGACTGAGCAACGGCTGGCCACTCACTAACGCTGGCACGTCGGGGAACGAAAGACGTCTTGGATTGATTTATATCGGATCAGTGGGCCATGATCCAAGGTTCATAGATCTGGTATCACCTCAATTGATTCTCCAGATTCGGCGAGACAACTTCGTACACAAAGGCCTGTCCTTTGTTCCAGTCTCCCGACACGGCCATGCTTCAGCCTCGGTTGGCCCTGAGGGCCATCCAGCTACCCTATCGGGCACTGTCCTTAGTCGCTTCCAGGCCGTATTCCTCGGTCATCCAAGAAAGCAATCCTCCCCCGGCTGGTGAATCATCCTCGTCCGCCAGCTTTGACCCCAGCATCGCATTCGCTCCGCCCCCAACCCGAGATGAGGCCGGTGTCCAGCTACGAACCTACACTCCGCGGACGCCTGGTATCAGACATTTGAGGAGACCGATCAACGACCATCTTTGGAAAGGACGACCGGTGCACAAGCTGACATTCCCCAAAAGAGGTCAGGCAAAAGGTGGTCGCAATAACACAGGAAAAGTCACCGTGAGACATCGCGGAGGAGGTCACAAGCGAAGAATCCGTATCGTCGATTTCGAGCGGAGAGCACCGGGTCCGCATGTCGTGGAGCGGATCGAACATGACCCCGGACGAACCGCACATATCGCCTTGGTGAGAAGCAAAGACACAAACCAGCTAAGTTACATCTTGGCCGCAGAAGGAATGAGAGCGGGCGATGTTGTGCAGAGCTACATGTCGGGTATCCCAGAGGATCTCTGGAAGAGTATGGGTGGTGTCGTTGATCCCGGTGTGCTCGCCGCGAGAACCGCATGGAGAGGTAACTGTCTGCCATTGCACATGATTCCCATTGGAACTCTGATCTTCAACGTGGGATTGAGACCTGGCAAAGGAGGACAGCTATGTCGAAGCGCTGGCACTTTCGCAACCGTCGTTGCCAAGGGTGAAGAGTCTCCGCAGAAGGACGACGCCGTCGAAGGTGACGCGGAGGGTCAGACAGAGGAGAAGAAACCCATGACCCAGCGAGAGAAGCAAAAGCTCGAGCGTGCGATGCAACACATTACGATCCGTCTCCAGAGTGGTGAAGTCAGACTCATCCACAAGGACTGCTGCGCAACCATTGGCGTTGCTAGCAACCCCAACTACCAGTATACCCAGATCGGAAAGGCTGGACGATCACGATGGCTCAACATCCGACCGACTGTTCGTGGTCTTGCAATGAACGCAGCCGATCATCCTCATGGTGGTGGACGAGGAAAGTCCAAGGGAAATGTCGATCCCAAGAGTCCCTGGGGTTTACCGGTATGTTCTATTATGGCATCCTTTCATTTGCTATGTATTACTTACACAATTCATAGGCAAAATCTGGTTACAAGACCCGTCCGAAGTGGAAGATCAACAAGGCCGTGGTTGTTCCTCGCCCTCGCAACCAGGGCAAGCGTCGCAGAGGCTACAACTAAGCTTTCTGTACTTTCCTCCAGCCTTCTGCATTTGGCACGCATCAAGTGCGCCACCCGCCTATTTGCAGTTTGCAATCGGGTCCACAGGCGTAATGTTCTCTGTATTATAGTTCGCCAAATCTTGGGGGCAACTTCATCTACTACTTCGGTATATCCACCGCCGGTTATCCTCGGTTCTTTGATACCGTCGTCTCATGTCTCTTCCCTCATGCATTTATTATTTGCCGATTTAATTTGTATACTACGGACCAGCACATCGAGGAAAATAGACGAATGGGAATGCCGTATGAACACTACTTGGTTGTTTAAGCCTGCAAATTTACCATAACCCACTTCGAAGATCTGACGGATTGGCTCTGCATTTTGTCGAGAGCTTGGTTGGGCTTCTGAATCGCCATATGGGGTCAAGCACTATGCCGTCGCGTTCAACTGCACACTTGCTCTAGGTATTAACTGGATGTAAAGAATCGCCTTCGTGGTCCAAGTATAGATAACTAAGCGTCCTCGACATGTGGTCACCCGCTCGGATTACTAAGCGTTAACTCTGTAACTAACTAACTAGTTAATTACGCACAATTTGACTATGGTAGTTTAACTACGGAGTATTGGAATCTCTGTTATACTCTACTGGATCAAGTCCTCCCTTGTACTTCGGATTCCCATACATTTTAGCCTTGGAGCGCCGGTGTTGGGGTTCTAGGCCATCTAGCGGCAGAGTGGATCGAAATAGGGAGTCGGACATCATTATCAGATAGCCTAAAAAGCTGTCAAAGCTACGGGCTGTCTTCTCCTTATCGCCAACGTCAGTCGAAATCCAGCGTTGTGTACCTGACGATCGCAGAAGACCTTATGAGCTCTCTACCGGTTCCAGGATTCTCCAACGTCGATAGACCAGCCAGTGTCCATCGCTAGCGCGCCATTCTGCGAGCCGACAATTTGGGTTCGGCCTCTCCGTGCTTCTAGGCTGAGGCAACACCTTACGACACGCACGACGCTTCAGATCAGAATCGAGAGGGTCTGGGCGTCTTTTTTTTTCCGCTCGCGACCAGGCGTTACGCCGGAGGTTTCTATCACTTTAGAGACCTTCAAGATCCCCCGGTCCTTGTTCGATTCTTCCCCGCATCTCGAGTCGATACCAAAAGCCATTCCTCGCTGCGCCCGCCACGGCGTACGGGACATCACCCACGCGACCCAAGGACCGCTTCACAGAGATCCAGGCATCATTCTCATAGTCATGGAGGTTGCAAACCCCTCTTCAGATCAGTTTTTCAACGACCTATCTCAGGGTCTACCCGCCACCGATACGTACCAGTCGCAAACATCAGAGAACACCGGCGCAGCCCAGGGTGAAGGAGATGGGAACTCAGTCCCTCGTCCTAAGCGCATCGCATGTGTTGTTTGCAGGAAGAGAAAACTTAGATGCGATGGCAAGAAGCCTAGTTGTGGCACTTGCTCGAGATTAGGTCATGACTGCGCGTATGATGAGGTGCGCAAGAAGAGCGGCCCAAAGCGTGGATATGTGAAGCAGCTAGAAGCTCGTTTAGGTGGGTTGAATTCCAGCGCTGGACTTCCGAAGAGAATGTTGCGGCTGATAACTCTTTACGATATAAAGCCCAGGTTGAGACGTTATTGAAGAGCCAGGATCCAGAGCCACCACGGGCTTCTGCGCCGAATCCCCAGCAGAGCAGCACCTTCAATGACACATCGATACCAAGTGACCCGATGCCAGGGATGCCTGATATGTCTATGTTTTCGGATAACATCCCAAATTCGATGCCGTCGCTTGCTGGGACGTTCGGACAGACCCAGTCTGGCCCAACAGGTCTGGCGGGAGAAAACATGGGCTTCAATGGAGATTTCTCCTGGGAAATGATCAGTCTTGGCCTGGAGGAGCCGTTGCCTGCGCAAGACGTGATTGATGAGCTGTATGTGCTCCGCTGATTTATTTACTATGGCGCTTGGCCCCTGGGGTATAGCTTCTAACGACAGAACCAACAGGCATCAAATCTACTTTGACAAGGTCCATCCCTCTTCACCAATTATACACCGACCGCGATATTTAGCTGCTATGAATCTAGCACCTCATACGCGGCCTCCAGTGTGCTTACGTTATATCATGTGGTGTCACGCCGCATCAGTATCGAGCAAATATTCTTTCTTGCAGGAGCATTTTTATCAGCGGGCGCGGAAGTACGCTGAAGCAGATGAAATGAAGGGCCAAGGAGAAGCGATAACGACTGTTGCTTATTCACAGGCATGGTCCCTGATTGCCGCATATGAATTCAAGATGCTATTCTTTCCTCGAGCGTGGGCAAGCGCTGGTAAGGCTTCCAGGTTGTCATTGATGACTGGCTTGCATCGCTTGGATGGAACTGGTCTCGACACGAAACAGTGCATAGGACCGCCTCGGGACTGGACAGAAAGAGAGGAAAGAAGGAGGGCGTTCTGGTTAGCATTCTGCCAAGACCGATATGCGAGTATCGGTACTGGATGGCCCATGATGCTGGACGAAAGAGATGTCAGTCACGCAAAGTCTTCTTCTATTTTTCTTTGTCAAAGGGGGTGGAGCTAACCATTTACTGCAGATTTTGACGAATCTTCCTGCTTCGGAGGACGCATATATCCACGGACGCCCAGAAAAGACACCCTCCCTTTCCGAGGTCGTCGCCGGCGAAGGTCTTGCGAACATGTCGCCATTTGCTGGTGTTATAGTGACGGCCTCTTTCTTTGGCCGTCACCTCATGCATTTGCATCGTCCAGAGCCCAACGACAATGATCATGATCTTAATGGGGAATTTTGGAAGCGGCACAGAGCATACGATAACATCATCCTAAATACTGCCTTGTCACTACCAGCCCATCTTCGGTTACCTGCTGGCATCAACGATCCGAACATCGTCTTCTGCAACATGTGTATCCATACATCAACGGTCTGCCTCCATCAGGCTGCCATTTTCAAGGCAGACAAGAATCAGATGCCGAGCCAGATTGCAGCAGAAAGTAAACGAAGATGTATCATCGCTGCCGACCAGGTAGCAAGCATAATGAAGATGATAAGCCATACTGATTTATCTACGGTAAGTTCTTTGAAGCCTGTGGTCTTTGGGGGCTTTTACTGATGATTCTTAGATGAATACCTTTATCTGCTTCCCCCTCTATGTTGCCTCCCGTGTCTTTGTGCAATATCTTAAATCGCGCCCCAACGATCAGACAGTTCGATCGACCCTGCACTTCCTGCTTTCAGCGCTCAATGCTATTAAGCATATGAATCCTTTGACGGAATCGTTCTTGATTCAACTCAAAGTCGACCTCGGTGGGACGATCATGGAGACACCTGATATAGCAGTTAAGACGAGCTGTGGTATGAAGGGGAAGGTATGTATCACCTTGCTGGTTGAAGTTTCCGTTATCCATACGGCACATGTGCTGATTCCTTAAACTATAGTCAAACGCGTCAGGCAGTGCCGGAGGATGCTCGCCACTCGTGCCATTTGAGAACTCTCAGCAGTCCCAAAAGTCCGGGTCGACCGTCGAGAGCCCATTGTCAGGAGAGACACTCCTAGATAATCCAGGATCATATGGTCAATCCGGAATTAACCCCTCGGCTATCCCTAATCGTCAAAAGCAACTTGGAATACAGCAGTTCAATACGAGTCTTGGCTTAAGTGGCATGGAACTTCCAGTCCGTCGGCAGGCTTCTGGGAATTCCAGTCCCAGTATGGAAACAATCGGTTACAGGATAAACGGGGATATGGATGTCTCATCTGATATGAGCGTCAGTGACCGTAATCAGCCTTCTTCGGATCACCCCACTCCATCGACACAAAACTCGTCTTCGAATACCTCTTACGGGGTTTCGGGAGCTGATTATCCTTCGCCGCAAAAGCATCAGCGTTCGTCCACGACCGCTTCCAATATACATCCGAATTCGTCTGTTGACCCGTCTGTGAGAAACATGGCGATGCCTTCGGACAATCAATCCTACCTCGCAGAGGTATCGTCGTCCGTTAATTACTTTGCTCCTGACGGCGGTAACGCCGGCGGTCTCACTGGATCAGAGAATCCTTTCGCCATGCCCGCAGCTTGGGACTACCCCCTTAACCAAGGCTCTCCTGAAAACATAGAGGTTGTTGGGGGAATGTCAGGCATGACTCCTACAGAAAGCCAATGGACGCAAATGCTTGAAGGCGCGAGTTGGGAGAACTGGCGGACATGAAAACGTATGCTGGTTTTATGAGCGGCGATCTTCTATCTGTATTTTCTGAAGCTGCAACCTAGGAGCTCGTTTGGTTTCTCCTCGATCCCGCATGGATCATCTCTATGGCTGCCGGGGTCTTGGCCTGGGTCAGTGACATCTCGGTGCAGTTATCAGCCAACCTAAGCCTAACCGTGGGCAGTCAGGCAATCACGCAGCTAAATCGACCGTATGGAGTGCATCTGAGGAATTTCTGGCTTCCGCGGAAGCAACAGCGGCACATAGAGGACCTAGTTCCTCGGGGATAGACAGGGTGGAAGTCCGTCCTTGTAGAGAAATCCTACGCTCCTACATGCAATGCGAGACCCACAGGCCAGCGAGAATAGCCTCGCTTTTCGCCTTGGAGACATTCATCAGCCTCGTTAGTGCCGTCATCAAAAGGCGATATCTACGTTTGATGGACCGGTAATCTCTGGCAGATTAAATTCCTGCGTAGACCGCCGGCTCCCAATGCCACATATTGGTGTTACGAATGACGTCCTGGAAATTTCAATCTGTGCTCTTTCTTTCTTTTTGTTTTCCATTTGGAGAGCTTCCTTTCTTCTTTTTGGGTGCGTTTTCCGAAACAATTGCGCAGTGCAATACTTGGACTTTGACTGGGAGTTGAGAAGTACAAGATACTCTCGAACACGGAGTTTTCGGTATCCTTGCCAATTCTTTTGGGGTTTATTGACTATTGCGGAGAACTGGGGCTTATGGTTCTTATCTCAGGATTACAATGTGGAGATAGTGCTTTATGGTCAAATTATATGGAAATGGGTCATTGGACCAGAGTAATGGCGTGGCTGTATGGTTATCTCCAGTACTCACTCCTCTCCATGGTTATTCTGTCTATCTATGTGGCGTCTATTTCCATTAATTTAACCTCGATTACGAACAAAGGCAAATAACCACCAGTGTCTAGTCGAGAAAGCCATCTCTGGTATCGAGATGTGAATTCCATTCTTCAGGTGTCATTTTCATAGCTGCTTCCAAAAAACCCAAGAATCGTAGGTAATGATTGTAGTAATGATAACCTCACAAACTTCCCCCGCCCGCTCCTACAATCTTCAACCCACCGGCGGCATTTCCCGGCCCATCAGCTGTTGTCGAGTATGCCAACCAATACCTCGACGGATGCCACGCCACCGCAGGGACTCCAACATTATTACCCTGACCAGTAGAAACAGTAAAGACGCTTTCACCCGTCTCTGCATGGAAGATCTCCAGTCCATTACCTCCGCAGCCGGCCTCGTCACAGGCCCCACAGATGAATCGTCCGTCGAAACTCCAGCTGACGCCACGAACGGCACCGCCGTTGTTACTCGATACGGTCCGTCGGCAGATCCAGTCCGTTGTATCCCAGAGGGAAATGAGGGCGTCGCTGCCTCCGATAGCAAGGTAGCGGCTTGTTGGCGATAGGGCTAGAGAGAGACATGCGGATGTGTGAGCGTGGAGGGTATGGAGGATATCGAAAGAAGGGTAAGAAAGGATCTTGACAGTGCCGTCGCCAGTCGTGAGAAGGAGGTCGAGATCGGGCGAAGATGGGGTAGGGATATGGTGGGAGAAGGTGGTAGCGTTTGTCTGGATAGGTTGGGGGTGCGGTTCAAGAGCTGTGTATGTGAATGATTTCGAGTTATTCGTGGCTGGAGAAGCGCCGGAAGAGTTCCCATTGGCGACGATAGATGGGGTCGATGGGGATTCGATAGAGATGGGAATTAGAGTATCGTCCTATAATATGAAGCTATTGTTAGATGCCTTTTCTTTTACCATTGACCCATTGAAGAGGTCCTATGAGAAAGATGGCACAGCTCGAGCTTAGGGGATCTCAAACACACCTTTCTTCCAACGAGGACGACCTTTCCATCCGCAGACCACGACAGTGTGAATGCCTCTCCACCGACATCGAGACGGCTCACGCACGTCTTCGATCGTACATCCCAAAATCTCACAGTGCCATCACTGGAGCAGCTGGCAAGTTCAGAATCTCGAACCGGGTTGAAGAGCACTTTCTCGATGCCTGCGGAATGGCCGCGCAAGTCAGTCGAGTATTTCACATGAGGTCGCTCTGGGTTCCAGATTCGGAGTGTACGATCCGCAGAGCCCGTCGCAACTAATTGGCCTGTTGGATTCCAGGCAATGGTTCGGATACTGGAAAAGCAAGAAGAACAAGTTAGCAAGCGCGTTTCTTTCCTCAGCTGGGACGGTCAGATCGTACGTATGGGAGCCTGGTCCTCGCGCAGCAGGATCATGGTAGCTTTGAGTCTTTAGTGTCCCAAATGCATATGCGAAGCGATCCTTAGAGACTAAACGACGGGGCGGAGGAGCCATCGCGAACGGGGGACTATCCTGATGCTGCTGCTGCTCTTGCGATTGCGGCAGCAACGCTAGCCCACATTCATGCCCGTGTAAGCCGTCGGCGGCACAATCGAGGGACGACTCTGGAAATTCGGCCTGCGAGGTTACCCAAAAGCTAGCGTCATGCGCAACTGGATCGACAATGGGAAGTTTCGCGGTGCGCTGGGTTGATTCCTGTCCGCGGATATTGTCGACGGTGCCGCGCGAGGATGGAGGATCGGCGGGAGCTGTGTCTGCCTCAGGCATCACGTTGTTTTTGGGTCGCTTCACGTATCTAACTGGATAAACAACATATGGAAAAGTAACATAGGTTTGATTTTTGAGGCAACAGCATATAAATGAGGTAACTGTCGGGGAGCATCGTATCTCGAGCATTGCAGGGAGAGAGAAACCGGTAAAAGAGGGATATAGATGTTTGACCCCGGATACACACATCATGCCTTTGATGAAGACAACAATGAGAGCAATCTGTGGGCATTATATCTGCGAATGGTCTGATTGAAGGAATAATCTCCGGTGCTGAGATGGCTGAGGAAAAATGAAATGAAAGTATTTACTGTAAGGAGATCTATAGCTCGCTTCCCAAATGTACCAATATGTCTCCTTACCATGAAAATGTGATTCTAGGTACTAGGGGATCTATGGCACTCTCCGCTTACGACACCTTTACCGTTCCTTACTCTATAGCTATTAATCTAGAAACTGAAAAGTCATTATGGATATATTGGAGCTCAACTTTTTATGAGACACCTCTAGTTCATGGACCAGGATAGTCTATAGAGGGTATGACGCCAAGTCTATATGAAATCGTTGCTGGACAAAACCAGTTCCGATACCCGTCTTCTGTGCATCTTGGAAAACATCACAATACATACCGAAAAAAGGGGTTCTCCTTGTCGGTCAAGTCATGGAAGGCAATGCGGTCCCGGCTATTTTCGTCGACGTCTAAACTCTCTTTTTGCTTGTTTGCTCTCCACAGCACAAAATACAGGGTGATTGCGGCAATAACAGTGATAACGTAGCTATATTCAGATATTAGTCTATATGTGTCATTCTAATTGGTATTGCAGACTCACCAGATGATAAGCCCTATCCAGAGCTCAGGATAGTGACGGTCCTTAGTTTTGCTATTGATCAACTGTGGCCCGATGATATTGCCAACGTTGTAGAAGACAAATATGCCTGCCGCCATAAAGCTTTTCTTCGTGGCCCCTGCCACATTGCTTGCTCCCAGAGTGATGATTAGACTCACGACAGGCCCAAAAAAGCCGATTATTGAGTACCCAACAACTGGAGCAGCTGGGCGGTGACCCCATTCTGATTTCCAGATGATTATACACCCGGCAATTACAGGAAGACAGCAGGCAACCAGGAAGATAATACGTAGATTATGCACCCGGGAGCATAACCATCCGGCAAGACAAACGAATATGGCGGTAATTCCGCCAAGTGGAAATTGGAACAGGATGGCATCCAAGGTATTGTAGCCAAACGTAGAGACAATCAGTGGTCCGAAACCAGAGACTGCGCCATTGATGGTGTAACTGTACTCTTTGTTATTATAAATTGATGCCTGAACTGAAAGTAGTGACTCACGCGGCACCCATCATTATGCAAATAAGCCAAACTTTGATATCCAAAAGGGCTTCTTTGACCTGGCCAAGTTTGATTTTCTGTTCACGAGTCCCTGTTTGACCCTTTCTTAGTCGCTCAACGGCTACAAGCCGCTCGTCCTTCGTCAGAAACCAGGCAGAGATAGGCGAATTCGGCAAGCAAAAGCACCAAAGACTGAATACTGCTGTCAGGCATCCTGCAAATATATAGATATACTGCCAGCGCTTCAGCGAGCCACTCGTTATCTGACCGAAGCCATAATTCAGAGCACCACCGATAATCGTGAACCAGCCGGTTGACGAGAACCAAAACGCCTGGCGTAATGCTTGCTCTTCTTGCGTATAGAAGTTGCTGACTATGGTCATGAATCCAGTAGGGATGACACTCTCCACAAATCCTTGGATGCATCAGTGCCTATCATCTGAAAAGCTCCCCACCTCTCAGAATAAACTAACCGAGAAAGAACCGTTGCGCAAACAATCCGTGCCAGGTAGTGACACCGGCGGTAGAAGCACAGATAATAGCCCACAGAAAGACTAGCGGTCCCAGGACTCGAGCCAAAGTGAAGCGCTGCAGGATGAACGTCATGGGATAGGAGCCCGCTAGCATGCCGAAATAGAAGATGGATGTCGCCCAGCTGAGCCTTGATGTGTCTGTTGTCGGCGGCTTAGTGCTGTAATCAACATAGCTTAACGCAAGATCTTGGGGCATGCCAAATAAAGCAGCACTTCCAAGAATAGCCTACAAATGTCAGTATTTTGGCATTGAAAAACCTCATGGGGCCTCCAAGGAGTCTACTTTGTCATAGTACACCAACCCGTAGCCTGTGTCTTCATTAGTAAGTTGTCTTCAATAGACAGCCTTAAATGAATCTCGTACCAATTAGCATAGCGGGCATGAAAAAGTAATCGATCTTTCTTAGAACGCGAGCTTCGACAACCGGATCAATTGGCTTCGCGGTCTCTCCGACCACCGATAAAATGGTACCTGTAGCCCATGATGCGGTGTCTTGTGGGGAATCGACCTCAGTACCCCGGATATTATTTTCAGGCTTATCTTTCCCGTGCTCGTCAATAGGAAGGATACTCATGACTGTGCGGGGATCAAAGGGTTATCAGATAGAGGAATGCCAGATAGAGGAGGCTGTAGCTGTATATAATAGCCACCTATACACCCTGGCCAAGACAAAAAAAAAAAAAAAAAAAAAAAAAAAACAGATTTATGCTATCCACGATACATGCCTAGGAACAGACTGAGCCGGAGATTCAGAGCTTCTAGCGCTTCGCCATGGTCGCAATATATTTACTATATGTTGCCAAAAAGGCTGGTTTTTGCTTGGCGAAACTCTCCAATTGGCTACGTCCTCGTATAAAGATCAAGAAATTGCCGGCACAATCAAATTGGCGTAATAAAAAGACCAGGAGACTGGATCCTCATATAAGCGAGGGGTACATTTTTCAGTTCCGGTATCGGATTGAGCCGCTGTCACGATCTAGGACTACGATAAGTAAGTACCGGTATCCCGGGCTAGGCCAAGCCAATCCAAGGATCGGGAACTACGAACGACTAAATATACGTGTAATAGTTAGATCAGCTAGTCACACGATATAGCCGTCAGAACTAGGTCATTCTAATGACCTAGTAGAGGATTGAACAGATACATTAGACTCCCAATGAATAGGAAGTCAGACGGATCAGACTACTGAACCTGACCTTTGACTCTACTGCCAGTAGACAACTACTCGTTGGCGACTTGACTCCTTCTCTCGTCCTCTGTTTTGACTAGTTCGACTAGTCACCCCCAAGAGCTTCCCTTATCCTAGCTCTTTACACTGGATGCTCATCACCGGTGGTGCCGCTATATGGATCAATACTTTACCCATAATGCCAATACGTTTCAGACCGAAGCGAGCAAAATAAACTACGCAGCTGCTTTGCTCGAAGACGAACACGGGATAGCATGGAGTCACGGACCCCCTATTTCGGCTACGACTTCATGGCAAGGTTTCCAGCAATGGCGACTGGATCGCCTGGAGGATCTAAGATATCGACCTTGGACCGCATCAGTACGATTCTTTCGACTGAAGCAACAGCAATCACAGACTGCTCGGGAGTTTCTCAACGAATTCGAGCTTCGTAGAGCCGAATTCAGCATCGAAAGCAAACCTTCGCCGGATATTCCCATCTGGAGCCGGATATTCTTCTCAATGTTACGAGAAGACGTACGAAGTCAGCTGTACAAGTGCGGAGAAATCCCGACGGACCTACTACAGTTAGCTTCTAAAGCCACTGTAGTAGAGCAGAATCCAGAAAGATCTGTCAAGTCCCGCTTAAAGGATTTTAAGAAGAAGAAACGATTCCATTCAGCAACAAATAAGCGGAAGAGGGAGTCGTCTAAATCAAACTCCTCCAAACCCCAGACGGAGTCAAAACCTAGGAAGTTTATGTCCCACGAAGAAAAGAATCAGTTTAAAAAGGAAGGGCGATGCTTTAACTGCAGAGAAATCGGATATATTAGCAGTCAATGTTCAGAAAAAACTTCCGAAACCACTTTCGCCCGTTAGGTTGGCACATTATTATTGATGGTATCCCCATCACGAAGTCCGTTGTGGGCATGCACTACTCTATTCCTCATCGCTATTCCTGCCTTGAGATATTTAACTCCGCTCAGCCTTCTAATCAGCGAGTTCGTTATTAAAATACATCTTCCAGTCAGATTATACATAAGCCTGCATTTGCCCGAAAAGTGAAATGATCACAAGATTTAACTTGGGACTTCAATGAAGTTCATTTTTTGAGAATTAATATGGTGAAGATGGGCACAGGAAAGAAGACAGAGAACATCATTTCGGGTTTTCTTCATAGACGACCCCTCATTGCAATATTAGCCATGGTAGGGAAATCATATCTCGTCCCAATTTCGAATTCGACTTCGATTTCTCGTATATACTTTAGAGAATATGGACTGGGATAGAGAAATCATGACTATCCATGGCCTGTCTTAGCCCACTAATGAAACGCAAGTTGATTCAGGGGCCTGTACTTATTTATATTATTAGACCATGAAAATACTAGAGGAAATATTTGAGAGAATCAAAAATAGCAGGTTTAAACAACCCTCCAGCTAAGGCTAGAGAAGCATTACTAAAGAAAGCAACATAAGATCAGGTCGGGTAGCGTTCTACGGGAAATGGCAGATGCCTGTGGCAAGTCCTACCAGCGGACAGCAAGACGGAATGTATGTAAGCTACCAACCACGAGCGTGGGATGGTCTCTAGGAAGGGAATAGCAAATAACTGTAAGAACCATGGCCGGTACCTTCGCGTAAAATGACAAGTACGCCATAAAGACAATTTGTCGCACAGACAGATTATTCTAATACCCAAACAGAGACTCTGTGTAGTGTAGGAGTGTCGAGGCTACTGGTGCAGGCATCCAGAGATATCTTTTCATTAAACCTTTCTTACACTGACAATTTATGCATGAGCAGTCTCCCTAAGTATCCCCTGTTGAATGTAACGTACATAAGATTGCGTTCACATATACTTCAGCAGGAGTTGCACACGCGTGTCTTGAATCATATCGAAATGTGGATCGGTGCTGAGGCCACGCAGTGTGATCCTTTCGTGGACAGGCCTTCAGCATTGCACTAGGTAGATAAGAAGTTTCCCAGAATGCGGAGAAGCAGATCGAAATAGAGGAGTACAACCGAACCGTGGAAAATCAGCTATGAATATCGGGATTTGATTTTAGCCTGCCGATTACATGACTATCAGGTACCTGTAGAAGTTGCAATCAATGAGCCATTCCAACGTAATTATTAGATGGACATGGACTTAAAAAACGGTCCGAGTCCCTCTGCTCTTCTTTGTAGTCCCCTTGGGTGGCCACTCCAGTAGAAGGGCGAGTGTAAGAATGCCCGCCGATATCACTTCAGCCTTATGGGGCTGCGCGACTTGATCCGGCAGCTCCCGTCTCCGCATTTTTGAGCTTATCCGCACTTCACGCGTACGGCGCAACAAGTAAGAATTTTCGTCACGACGCTGAAGACACGATCCCTTTGACGGTCACGGTGTCTTTCGCGCGTCAATGTGCGCGGGCTGCGACCATGTTCGAGTTTCACGATGAGGCATCACAGCATGAAAAATGTTATGTTACCGTCGGCCAGCTTCCTCGCTTCGTGGACCCGAAGCAACCACCAACAAAAAAATCGCCCTTTTCAGCCATTCTTTCCCATTCATACGTACACACGGTATGTTTTGAAGAGCCATTCTGGTTTTTGATCTGTTTCAGAGGAGAGTTTGACTGACTTTTCGCAGACAGAATTGATCTTACCCCGAGAGATCTATAACGCGATCTGGGAGTCGGTAGACTCAAAGCTCCAGAGACTCCAATATGCCAAGGTCATACTTCCTCTTTCTTCTTTGCTCGAGGGCGAATTCTTCAACAAATATATCAAGACGAGTGCGTCAACCGTCTCCGTATTGACCTAACCAACTTGTTTTCACGTGTTCGATCCTAACTTTCAAAATAGGTGATGTATTAATGATTTCTGAGGGACGTTCGGGAGTAGATGATGTGTTTTCTCTCCGCAACGGTGCGTATGTCTTCCCATGTGTCACTTTTGATCGGGACTTTTCTGATCCTCATATGTACTAGGGATTTTGAGACTTGAACTTGGAAGAGAGTCCTATGAAAAGAGTGGACTTAGCGGGAAACCCATCCGTAGTGGGGGAAGAAAACATGCAAAGGAGAGGTACCGTACGTGAAACTTATGCTTGCCTTCATTCATGACCGAAAATTAATTCTCCACCAGTCGTTGAGATCAACCTGCGGTTACCATCCATGCTGCACGGAAAGAAAGGATTCGAGAGGATTGTTTGGGCATTTAAGAATGCACTCACTACATCGGTTACTTGGTTGTTCTGTGACCTCTCCTCAGAGCCAAACTATACAGGTCAAGGTAAGAACATACCTTGGCTTCTGACATGTCATTGGTACTGATGGTGACAGGGAGTCCGTTGGAGAAACACCACCCCACCATTGTCTCTTGCTCTCCATTGCGGAAAGATTATCATGATGTTTTAGTCCCACCAATCGACATGGGAGGTCTTGTAGATGCATCTCAAGACGATGTACAGGACTTATGCCAGGAATTCTCAGAATGGATTGCACTTGTCTCGCTAGGCTCACCACGGGTGGTGGCTGGCGATAGTGTAGATCCCTATCTAAGCCGGTACAGCGTGCCGCAGGTCGAGATCAGTAAACCCTCGGATCTAGTCAGTCTGAAATGGCGCGGCCTCATACCTTCTCATTGGATCAGCCAGTTATTCACGCTATTGCTGTGAGTATTTCTTTATTCCCCGGTTGACACGCAGATAGATATTCCGGAAATCCTGGGAACTTACCTGAACTCTATCGTGCTTTCCTCATTCGGATGCTGACTTTCTATATCCCCGATTGGGGTTTATGGTGTTTATAGACGTGAAATGAGCCGTACTTCTACATCAACATTTTGGTTTGCCCTATCCGCTAATTCTCTGGGAAGAGAAGCCGTTGAAAGCAAAGATGGCTATACAATAATATCGTTACCCTCGACGCTTGGTCCCAAAGAAACCCCGAGTGATGGCCTTGTCCCAGGGGAAGGACAACCAGTGAATGAAGGCTCTAGGCAGGAGCGACACTTCATTTGTTGTGAGTATGTCGGCGCATCAATATGTACATAGAAGCGAAAGCTAGAGCTGCCCCATACGGGCCCGTGGATTTGATGGTGCTCGAGAGGCCCCTTCATTGCAAAGGGACGTATTGATGATGATTCTAGCTCTAGGTAGCAAGCCATCTGTTGAAGGCCTGAATGCCTGTAACTCATTTCTGGTCCCTTCTCCTGCAAAAAGTTCTCTCCACACTTCTCATCTATCTTTATTTCCATTCATCTCTATCCACCAGTCACTTGCTGCATTGCATCTTTATCATTCGTTTCCAAACATCCAAAAGGAAATCCACTGTTCGCTACTCACACATACGAGCATAAGTCTGCATATACCGACACAGATTCTCATAAGCAGCGTATCATAACTGCCAGCATGGACACTGATCTTTTAACCTGCAATCCGACCGACATCTTTAATCCCTTCGACTCGGACCTTCCATTCTACGCTGTCCCTGAAGCCAGTGAGGATATCTTTTTCTCTCTTTCCGACGAAGACTTTATCTGCCAGTTCGACCGGGCCCCCGACGAGTCACCTCAACAAACGGCTGAAGAACCCGCCTGTCCACTCGAGAAAGAGACCCTTCCTTCAGAAGTTGCCAGTGACCAGCAGCTGAACAACTGCCAAAATGCGGACGATTCTTTCACGTCCGACTTTTTCGACAGTGCCTTCTGGAACCTCGATAATCTTGACAGTAAGTATATTGATCTTATTATCTGATGATCCCAGCATCTGCTTCACTTATCATCTATTTATTTCAGCCTGCTTGTCCGTACACTTGAGATGTTATTCATCGTCAGTGCCGTCATTCTTTTAGAAGCACTGACTTAAGGCTGAATAGTTCCTGAATCATTCCCGGATATCATTCCGGAACCCGCACAAGGCACAACACCTCAAGCAAACACAACAGTGGACGGAGAGATATTCAATTCTGGAAGCCGCCCGCCTTCCCCCGGGACTCAAGACTCAGCCGATACATTTATTGTTGACTCGCCTCGCGCTGCCGAAAGTCATCCTGCTGACCCGGAAGAACCTCCTCGAAAACGGACAAGACACAGGAGAAAACAAATCATCCCTGCAGGAATTTCTTATAACGAGCTCGCTGGCTCTGTCGCCACTACTGAGCCTACACCTTCTTCGCCGGTTCCTCAGCAGACTCCGGTACACCAAAATACGGTACAAGCAGCAGTCCATTCGGTGCCATCGGACCCCGTTTTCAACCCCAACTTCGGTATTAGCCAGCTGGCTTTGGCCCTCCAGAACTTCGGGCAGACACTGATGTCCTACCATAACCTGGGACTCAACAATTCGGCTCCTCCTCAGGTCATACCTCTGCCACTGGTGCTACCGACACCTTGCGCCAGTCAATTCGCAAATCTAGTACCAAATTCGACCTTCCCAACGCAGACATCATATGCTTCCATTCCAGTTTCGAGGAGACCGCCGGTGCCAAACCGGCCAGTTATCGATCTCACGACAACCTCTCATAGTCAATCTGCCGCACGTTCTCGCCCGCGCCCTGTTCAGCAGTTCACATTCGCGGAGACCTCAGTGCCAGAGAGCTTTGTCGCCAATCCAAACAACCACGGAAGGTGGCAGATCGACGAATCCGGAAGACGCCATTACCTCAATGGGCCCAGAAACAGGCGTCCCCACTAAATACACCATTTCGAACACCGGCATTGATACTCGACCTCAGACAACTGCAAACCACCCTTTTTCAGAATTAATGGGAGCCGAATTTGCCTGCACACATCACACCGAAGTCTTAGCAGGAAGGCGAACAAAAAGGCAGGGACCTGATATGAGGTTTTTACCACCGATGCAGCCACAACACGCTTTACTCCTGGTGGAATATGTGTAAGGTGTAATGCCGTTGTTGTCACACAAGAACCATCGCGTGGACGTTTCCCTCATTATCTCGCGAAGCACACCGAGCGAGCCGAATGGCAGGTCTTTGAAGTACTCTTCTTTCCCTCGTCAATTGGGGAACTACTCGCGAAGAGGAAAACGTGCCTATATATAGTACAGATCTTGTTGTATGGAGTTTGGATTTCATCTGCGTTATTCATTTGGGCCTGTATTGATTGGTGATTTTCAGCATATGTTTTTCTTGGGTTATTGAGATCAGGAAAAGGTGACATTTATCAGTCATACATGTAATTTGTATCACAAGAAACTGCATTCTGCATACCTACAATGCCTACATTTTTATTTCAATTCTCCTTATAAATATGAATTCCCGTACAGAAGTAGGCTGGGCTCTGATCTACTGTTTCAAGAAAGGACCTCTTCAACTAATAGTGCCGTTTCATGGCATCTTAATGCTTAGTGATTCCAGCAAGCTATAGCGACCCGATACTCCAAGATAGCGTAGTAAAGCATATACAAAATTCTCGCCAGGAAACGCCAGGCAGCATATATCTTGCGCAGACACCAAAGGGACAAGTGACAAAGAAAAAGACCCATCCAGAATACAATACACCCATCCCAGCCAATCCGATCCAGACTATTATGCCCATAAGAAGGGCAACATATAAATAAATAGTGTTCAATACCGTTATCCATGATCTCAGCCGATCACATCATTCATCATATCACGCAGTATAGGTCTTTGCCGCATAATCTTCTCCGCATCCATCATCTTGGCGCCTCGTTTTTCCGGTTTCCTGATCCCCTTTGGTGCCTGTCGGGGCTGAACCGGGCTCAGGGGATTTCGCGGGCCTTTCTTTTGGGAAGGGTTTGACTTCGGTTGTTCTGGAGAAGACAACGGCCGTTGGGTCTGCGAGAGGCTAATGTCGTAATCGTCGAAAAGGTGGTCGGAGACGGCATCCTTGGGAAGGTCATATACCCATCCACGGTCTGAGACCAGTTTCACGTATTTGCCAAGTAACTCGTTCCCGTCACGGAGTGTGCTCATGCTGCCGACGACGAGGAGCTTGGTTCGTGCTCTGGTGAATGCGACGTTGACGCGGCGCCAGTCGCGGAGGAGTTCGCCGACGTTCTTGTCGGGGTTGCTGCGCACGCAGCTGAGGATGATTACCTCTTTATCGCGTCCTTGGAATTTATCCGCAGTGTGCATTTCGAGGTCAGGTAGGTGATGACGGAGGTTCTGTTTAAGCAGCGAGAGCTGACTGCGGTAGAAAGTGATCACGCCTATGTCGCGTGCCTCTATACCAGCGGAAATGAAGGATTCTACGAGCTGCGCGCAGACGTTGGCTTCAACTGCATTTACAATGCGAGAGCCATTGGCGGTCTCGAGAGCTCGGGGTTCAAGCGTGTCGGTGTTGACAAGACGTGTCTTGGCTGAAGGTTCGAGGAGATCTCGCAGCCAGCAGCGACCTTGTGCGGTGCCCAAGCATAGAGACTTCTGAGATGGGATGTCCGTCAATGAGTTGACGTGATGCTTTTTCAGCCCACCCATGTCAGGAATACGCAGGGAACGCGATGCGACCTCTGGTGTGCCGCACTTGAGGTGACCGGAGTAGATCAGGGTGTTGGAAAGTAACATGATCTCTTCACACATGCGGTATTGGTGCTCGAGGTTGACGACGGACGATGGATGAGCATCGGAAAGAAGCTTGAACAGACTGACATCAAGTCCTCCTTCTTGTGCTTCTTTGTTCTGAACAAGGGGCGGTAGCTGGTAGTGGTCACCAACTAGGATGAAAGTCCTTGCCATGCGAATAGGCCCCAGACAAACGGGCAACGTGATCTGGGATGCCTCATCAACAATACAGTAGTCGAAAATACGTTCTTTGAAGATTGTGTGGTTGACGCCTAGGCATGTTGTAGCCACCACTCGAGACTGTTCATACGACTCTTGGAGCTCCTCAATTGTCTTCTTTGGAACTGCTGCCAGATCAGCGAACTGCTGGACCTCCGGATGTACCTTGGCAGTGGCTCCGATTCGCAGAATACGGATGTTATCATCCTTGATCTTAAGCAAGATATTGTCAACCGCAGTGTGCGTGTAGGACGTTAACAGCACACTCTTCCCCTGAGTGACAAGGGCACGGATAATATGAGCGATGGTTGTTGTTTTGCCTGTACCGGGCATTCCGAGCACAAGAGCATAGTCTTTTGCACTCATGACCTTCTCAATCGCTTGTTTCTGGTCGACGTTGAGACTCTCCCGGACCGATTGAGACATTGTATAAGCACTCGACGTTTGCTTGAAGGATGGCGGTTCCCCTTCAATGATAAGCCTCCTAAGTTGTCTGGCCTGAAATAAATCCTTTTCCATCATACAGATGATATTGTTTCGAACCGTTGCCATTCCATTACTGAACTCGTCTTTGTCAAGTCGATATAAGACCTGCTCATCTGGCTCAATAGGCGTGACGTTTTTGGCATCTGCTACCCTTGAGACTTCCATGATACCCTTGAACGTCTGGTTACGTTCTGCATCAAACCCTGGCTCTCGTGTTCGGGCATTGTGCAGCCTTCGATCGACCGCAACAGTTATGCGCCTTGGACTAATTTTCACGACGTATCCGTTTGCAAGTGCAAAGTGACCCCTCTCATCCGAGATCACGATTGGCTCTCCCAGTGTGATCTGAGATTCGCCGAAGGAGAAGCCTGGAGGTGCGTTCTGTTTGACGAAAGTATATCGAAATCGATTGATCTTGGGCCCATTTGATTCTTCATAGGCAGATCCAGGTTCGATCACCACATTGCTGAAGCATCTGCCGAGTGACTCGCGCTCAGTGCTCAGCATAGTCCAGAGCTCTCGTCGGAATCTCATCATGTGCTTCTCTTCTTTCGTCAGGAGCAGGTCCCATTTCCTGAAGAAGTCTTGATGCGGCTTCGTCAAGTGGCCCACAACCTCCAGAAACTTATCGCCTAAACCGCTAGTTTCACCATCTCCATCATCGACCAGTTTGTGATAGATGAAGCAAGAAGTCTTCGAGTAGCATTGGTTGCACAAACCCGGCCTTTTGATCATCGGGGGCAGCTCAAACCTTTCTCGGACAAAGCCTGCCAGCCGGTTCCGTGCCTGGATCATCTGCAGGATTTCATGTCGAATACGACGGATGCGGAACGTTTTCGCGGTCTCCAGGTAATAGAGGATACCGAAAGTGACTTCAATATCTGCTGGCCAATTAATGTCCGCTGTGCGGAAACAATGGGAAGGGGAGGCACAAACCGTAGCGGTCAGAGAGAAGCAATGTGTAGAGAGCCGTTTGTGCTCTATGCGCCTGATTTGAGTCCTTTCGACCGGTTTTGAGTTCCAGGGGAACCGTGAGAGTGGCATGATCATTACCGTCGGTGTAGGCTATTTGAACAGTGGCATCGATGTTTCCTTTTAATCCGTACATAGGAGACCACACATGTTCTTCGACCTCAAGCAGTTTGTTGATGCTCAAGGAAGCCTTGGTATTATGACGATCCTCAACCACAGACTCGGCCTAGGTTCAAATCAGTCATGGATCAAAAGTGGGGATGTGAAGCTGGGATTTCGTACGGTTGGTTTAGCTCTGAGAAAAATATCCGCCCAAGCTCTCAAGTCTGGCATTTTGCTCATGACATGGTCGAAAGCTTCTGACATACTGGTATGCGTAGCATATAAGCTATCGACGTAGCCGGCGAGGATATCCTGAACGGTTTTCTGTAGCCAGCTCAAGTCCCAGCGGTTGGCTCTCAAAGCAGTCTGGAAGACCTCATGAAATATGTTCCCGTATACTTGAGGTTTGCCTAGGTCGCTTGCGGATTTGATACGGTCCTGAAGAACAGCTCTCCGTTGGCAACTAATTGCGTCTGCAACGACAGTCGCGGAAATGAGGTGGTCCGGATGAAGAATAATCATGTTGTTGGAGTTGTCGACAACGCAAACTCCGGCAGCAGTGAACTCTCCGATCAAATGGACGTACGAGCCTTTTGTGCAAGGAGTGTCAAACCAAGACTCTCGGAGGTGTATGACATGTTTCTGATTAGTCCTCTCGTCTTGAACTAACAGAATCTGACAGAGAATTAGTTGGTATCAGGGCGATCTGTGGAGTAATTGGGTGGGCTAACCTGCTCTGGTTGTACACGTCCATTGTGGGTAGTATACATGTTCTCAGTAATACTAATGACAAGATACCGTTTAATAGCCTGCTTGGCTCTATGGATCTATAGACAGACGACTTAGCAGATACCTAATATATAACTGGCTAAGGGCAACCGACTTGACCTGGACCATCTCCGCTGGCCTGCAGCATGGACGATTCTATCGCTTCTAGATCAAAATCTTCATCTTCGAACTCATCCTCCGAAGATCCTTTGCCCTGGTTTATAGCTGGCCCGTTCCCCTTTCCATTACCCTTGTCATCTATAACTGCAGCTGCAGGAACGTCACTTTTGAATGAATCGGCCGTGAATCGTACTCTCTTGGGAGTTTTAGTCTTAGCAGGCACATCCTGCCTGTCATATTGAGCGAGTATCTCCTCCATCCCATCCGGAAACTCGTCATCATCATCAAATTCGTCATGGTCATCGACGTGTACAGCAGAATCTGCTGTCACGAGGTTGGCGGCGCCTTGTGTAGTTTCTGTCGTGCCTGACACGTTGACTGGCAAGCCTGGAGCAATTTCCGCTCCCGTTTCGACATCGTCCACTGCTGGGACGACGGGGGCATCTACCGCCGTTTCTGCCAAGTCAAGGAGATCCTGATCCAAGTCATCGTCTCCAAAGTCAGAAGACGATTCTTCGAGTATAACGGCTGAGCCCTGTGGCTTCTCAGGAGTACCGATCCGATTGCCCTTCTCTATCACTCTGTTCCTTCTTCCTTCTGCGGGAGACGGCGACCGGTTTCGCAACACAGCCATGGGCTCCTGTGCGGGAAACGAGTCCGACGATGCCTTGCGAGCTCTTGAGCTCCTCTCCAGATTCTCTTGTATCTGCCCAACCAGGAAACTAATCTTCGACTTCGAGCTACCCGAATCAAGGACATTACTCCTCGACCGAGAGAAGATATTCCGAGCCTTGCGTGTTTCTTCATCCGTGCATAGTTTCCTCCTTTTCGCTTTCGAACTCGGCCAGTCGTCAGTGCAGCTGTTCGACCTCCTCAAGCCTGAAGAGTCGCGGGTTGTCTTGGCGGAGCCAGGAGTCTGTGGTGAAGAAGAAAGAAGGTTGGCCCAGCGCGGCGGTGGAAGTTCAACTTTGCCAGTACCCGTGGTCTTTTCGACGTAGTTATTCCATAGATCGGCAGCCATGTCATTCTGTGGCGTCCTCAGAAGAGACTGAAACTTCTGCATATCGAAAGGTTCTTTGATCGGTGAACTAATCGGAGGAGAGGAGCTGTGACGACGCTTTTTCCCCCGAGTCGCTGGCGTCCCGTCGTACTCTGCACCGGAGCTTCGAGGCACATGCTGCCAAAAGACATGGTCATCTGGCGTGAGTTCCTTTCCTGGAGCGGAATTGACGGCATCTTCCATATTGCTGATGAGATCCGCTAACGGAATTCTATTCGCCGGTGTATGCGGACATTCCTTTGCCAGTTTAACCTCTTTTGTTTGCGTCGACGGTTCAGTTTTGGTTTCTTGCGAGTGTGCTGGCTGTACGACACCATTCACCCATGAGCTCTGATTCTCCTTGTCTGCGTTCCCGGCTGCGAGGGCGGCCTTCGAGGGAGACTGCTTCTCGGATTGCGGTTCATCCTTGTTGTCTGTATACCGGAAGGCATTGAGTTTTGATCGGGCAGTAGATGAGACCTGGAGGGGCCTTGGATTTGCGGCCATGGTGGGAGCCCTTCAGCAGTTCAATTCGAAGCGCAATAGGTATACATTGGTGGAGACCTTGTAGCCTGAGGTGAGTAGTGAGGACAGCTGAGGAGATGCGCTCTCTGTAGATTACCTGAAAGAGGATATGCGAATGACAAGGAAGGTGTGTTGGCTGGGGATATCACGTATCATGCATGCCATACACACTGACATGTGCCTAGCTTTTGTGAGGTTATGTTAGACAGTGGTTGTCTGCAATCTCCCTGCCTATTGTTCCTGTTTACTCTGGATAGATACAGCTGCCGCCATGGACGCGTCCTTCGCGTCTGGCGTATTCCTGCCTGAGGCATGCACTAGTTATTCCCACTCCGGGCATAAGTGATGTGGCCTGAGGCAACAAAAAAATCCCAAAGAGATGAACAGAAGAGTATCATTTTCGCATACAATAATAATCATATTTCTCTGTTTAACTCGCAGCACTTCCTCTTAGCATCATGGACAATGAATTAGCCTGTTTACATGGCAACCAACTGTCATCTACTGTTCACCATGTGAAATGCAGAAATAAGAAGCACAATGGATGGAATAAGATAGACAATAAGACAAAGAAAGAGTACACCACACGATAATTGTTCATCTTGGGCCCTCTAGACAGACAGCCATGACAACTAATTATAATAATAACATGAAGGGCTAACTATCTCTGTAGTCCAGCTTCTTCTTAACTTCTAAGCGGTTGCCGGATCGCAAGCGGCTCAAGGCTCAGATGACCCAGATCGGAGAGGCGGATCCCGACCCGACGTTCGCTCCTAGCTTCATCGGCCTTTTGCTGCTCTCAACGACAACGACAGCCCATCCAAACCACCCCCTCCGTCTTACCCTGCGGCTCCCCACGACAGGAGCTCTGTCTGCCAGTCAGTCAATTGAGCTGACTGCTCCCTCGCTGGTCGAAGAGGCTCCTCATCACGAGCGTTCTTTTGTCACGACAAACTCTGCTGCGCCGCCCCCCCGCATCCGTCATAGGATTCATCGCCCGTGGCCACCGTCAATTCTTTCGCACACATTGCCAACATGCCTGCTCGACCTGTCTCCCTGTCTCTTCGAACTCGCTGCCTCTTGAGGCGTCCCCAGAACGCCCAGGGCTTCTCGACGCGGAGCACCCTGCGCGCCGCTGACCATGGCGACCACTACGACCCGCCCGGTGGATATCTCTTCGGAGTGAAGCCTGGTCACAAGTACGTCAAGGAGGGCTGGGAGAACATCTGGTACTATGGCTTCGTCGGAAGCTTGGTCGCAGCTGGTGTCGCATACGTTTTCAAGCCGGACACATCGTATGTCAACCCTTTCTTTCGACCCATCGCCCCTAGCCTGCCGTTACCCTGCAGGGTCCAGCTTATTGAGTTTTGATGGGATCGATGATACACTGGACTGGAGAATATAGAAACTGACAATCTGGTTGCTTATAGGATACAAACATGGGCTCTTGAGGAGGCGCGGAGAAGACTGGAAGCCGAAGGCATCTTGGAGGACCCGAACAAGCAGTAGCGGCCATGATGTATGCGATCCATCAATGACACTGGAGGATTTTTCATGTTCAGGGAAGCGCTGCCAATGGAACCGACTTGCTCGATACTAAGCCCCTTGGAGACGGAATAGAAAACTGCTTTGTATATAGATGCCAGGTGGGAGGTCTAATGTGCTCGCAGCACTCTATGGTCCGGATGTTCATGCGCGAGACCAACATTAGCCTTTTGTTGCATTCTTTTTCTTTCCTAATTTTCTACGCCTAGCATGTGCTTTATTAGAACTGCAGAAACTGTTTTCAACTAGTCCATGCAAATGGTTTGGAAACCAGCTGATCATAATCGTGCATCTTATGCCCTCTACCGATGTAATATTAGGTCCTGCATGCTTGAGTCTCCTGAGATAGCACCATAAGGGGGGAATTGCAAGACCATTCGAAGTACAGCGCTAGGATCGATTATCGAACATGGTAACATCAGATCTATAGGTGGAAATATGGACGTCTACTACGTATTACACTTCCGGATACACGTCCGTTCTCCTAAGCAGCGGCATCTCCGTTCTAATCTTCGTGATCAGATCGAGATCGATCTCCGCAGTTGCAATCTCAGGCTCCTTGTACTCGCCTCCAAGCTTGGCCACGACTTCGCCCCAGGGGTTGACGATCATCGAATGACCGTAGCTTATCCGCTTTTCATTATGAGGTCCAGCCTGCGCTGCTGCAATTACGTAAGACTGAGTTTCAATCGCTCTGGCACGCAGTAGAGCTTCCCAATGTGCTTTGCCCGTTGGGACGGTAAAAGCGGAAGGGTACGTGATGATATGTGCGTTCTGGCGCTTGAGAGCAAGGCTGATTTCAGGGAATCGTAGCTGCCTGCTATCAGTATTATACTCGCTACAGTGCAGGATTGGATGGACTTCTTCTAGAGAAGGGCTTACATCAAAACATATAGCCAATCCGACGCGCCCCAAGGACGTCTCAAACGGTGGTAAGATCTCCATTCCCTTTTCAACGCTCCTAGTCGAGAAATCAGTCCACAGATCTCTGCATATAGATGGGCTCACTGGTGTATAAATCTGCGTACGTGCTCTCTTTTAAGACTGGACCATCTTTGATTTCAACATCGAAAAGATGGATTTTTTGATAGCGCTGCGAAATCTCGCCATCTTCGTCGATCCATATCAATGTATTCTTCACTTTCTTACCGCCCTGTGCGGGCTCATGGATACCGACATTGATCGGCAATTTGGATTGTCTGGCTTCTCGCTGGAGACCTAAAACAAATTCACTCTCCTGGACTGAGCGAACTAGCGATAAACTCTCAGCTGCGGAAGAGCTGATATAGTCTGAAGCTTCCGGAAGGAAGAGGGCCTGATGACTTCTTAGGAGGATGACTCAAAATACATAATCAGTACGTTGAACGTGAAACAGTACCTTTGCACCAGCGGCAACTGCTTTTCGGACAAGGACCTGGCATTGAGCAAGATTGCTAGCCATGCTCGCTGTCGAGCATAGCTGTCCCACGGCCTATCAGATGTATTGGTCAGCGATTTGGCACAAGAAGAGCTGGACATGGAACAAACGTACTGCAATCGCCATTGTACTAGAGTATATAGAGACAATTCAATAAATTCTTTTTCGAAGTAGGAGCTCTCCTGATCTTGTAGGATACTATTGATGGATTACTTAGCGCAGGAGGGGCCTTGGTAGGTAGTTGATAACCATCTGGGTACGTCGGCAGAGTTTCCCGATTTGGGTGGAAATATTTCATCTGCGATCCCCACGCCGACAGCTTCGACAGCCCACGCAACGAAAGCTCCGAACGAACAGGACGACGCCTATTCTCCCGAGGCAGCTTCTGGTCTGAGTCAGATTTAAACTTGGTGCGCAGCTTATCAGCTGCTTTCTATCAGAAAGAAAAGATGAAGAGTTTACGAAGAGATTTCTCTTCGAACCCGCAAGCCGCAAATGTATCGAGCAAAGTCTTCGTGAGATCTACCAAGAGTGGCAAGGTGCAGAAGATCGTTCGTGAGCTGTATTTGCGACAGGATATTCCTTGCTCGTCTCAGCTCTGTTCGATATGTCGCGCAAATGCGCCAGCTGATGCTAATGGAAACAGTGAGTATTACGTCGTGCTGCTTCAAGTTTGAGCGGATGGCTAACATGATATAAGTTGCGCCCTTTGTCCTTTCCGATCGTCCCGCTGGTACGAAGTCTTTCCCCAAGGGCCATTATCTCGTTCCCGATACAAATGCACTGTTGAATGGAATGGACCTTTTCGAGCACACTGGCGCTTTCTACGATGTCATCATCCTACAGACTGTCCTTGAAGAACTGAAGAACCAGTCTCTACCTCTCTACAACCGGCTACTTTCCTTGATCAAAACCGATGACAAGCGATTCTATCTATTCTTCAACGAATTCCGCCTGGAAACACATGTTCGCCGAAATCCCGATGAGACGATAAATGACAGGAACGATAGAGCTGTTCGGACTGTCGCGAAGTGGTATTCTGAGCATCTTCGGGAGGCAGTAACTAGGAAGGGCAAGAAAGAAAAGTCTATACCAGCTATTGTGGTCCTCACGGATGACAAGGAGAATCTGCGCAAGGCAAAGGAGGAAGGCGTCACGGCTCTGAAGCTTACAGATTATATTTCAGGACTGGAAGATGCTGACAAACTCCTGGACATGGTCAACGATGCTCAGGAAGGAAGAGATGCGAAGGGACTCCGTGGAGAGCTGTTCTACCCGGAATACTACTCTATGTCGAAGATGATGACCGGTCTAAGGGCCGGCACTCTACATCAGGGTGTTTTCAATATCTCGCCATACAATTACCTGGAAGGTTCCGTGAACGTGGCAGCCTTTGCGAAGCCACTCCTTATTCTTGGTCGTGATAACAGCAACCGTGCCATTGCCGGTGATGTCGTTGTTGTTGAGGTCCTACCGAAGGACCAGTGGAAGTCTCCATCAACCAAGATCATCGACGAGGAAGCAGTGACCAAGGATGAAAACGCAGATGCAGAAGAGAATGAAGCAGTAGTCACTGAGAGGGAGCGAAAGGCTCTTCAAGAAGAAGTCAAGAAAGCCCATGGGAAGAACTCTGAAGGCAAGCCACAACCAACGGCCCGAGTGGTTGGCGTCATCAAACGCAACTGGAGGCAATATGTTGGCCACGTCGATTCTGCTTCTACTACTTCACTTGTCCAGTCTGGGCGAAGACAGCAGACTGTGTTCGTGCTGCCTATGGACAAGAAAATTCCAAAGATCCGAGTTAGGACTAGACAGGCTGCCGACCTTTTGGGCCAGAGGATCTTAGTTACTATCGATGCGTGGGATAGAGATTCTCGGTATCCGACTGGACACTTCGTTCGATCCCTAGGAGAGCTGGAGACCAAGGAGGCGGAGACTGAGGCTCTCCTTCTCGAGTATGATGTACAGTACAAGCCGTTCCCGAAGGTCGTGCTAGACTGTCTACCGCCCCAGGGCCATGACTGGGTAGTACCGGCCACCAAGGAAGACCCCGGTTGGAAGGGACGGAGAGATCTCAGAGATCTGCTTATCTGCAGTATTGATCCTCCAGGCTGTCAGGACATTGATGATGCCCTCCATGCGCGACCGCTGCCGAACGGTAACTTTGAAGTCGGTGTCCATATCGCGGATGTTTCTCATTTTGTGAAGCCAAACAATGCCATGGATCTAGAGGCAAGTCTTCGCGGAACCACAGTATACCTGGTCGACAAACGTATCGACATGCTTCCCATGCTGCTGGGTACCGATCTTTGCTCTCTCAAACCATATGTGGAGCGTTACGCTTTCTCTACAATTTGGGAGATCACTCCCAACGCAGAGATTGTGAAGGCTGATTTCACTAAATCGGTCATCCGTTCTCGCGAGGCTTTCAGTTATGAGCAGGCACAAAAACGCATTGACGATGCGTCTAAGAATGATGAGCTCACGCAGAGCATGCGGACCTTGTTGCATCTCTCCAAGATCCTTCGCCAGAAGCGTATGGATGCTGGTGCACTGAACCTCGCGTCTCCCGAAGTCCGGATCGAGAGCGATAACGACGAGCTAGGTGATCCACTTACAGACGTGAAGACCAAGGCCATGCTCGCTACAAACAGCTTGGTCGAAGAGTTCATGCTTCTTGCCAACATTACCGTCGCTTCCAAGATCTATGAATGCTTCCCACAAACCGCTTTGCTCCGTCGTCACGCAACCCCTCCTCCCCAGAACTTCGAAGACTTAGCCAAGCAACTCTCGAGGAAGCGAAACCTGGAGCTTGATGTCTCCAGCTCAAGAGCGCTTGCCGACTCTCTCGACCGCTGTGTGGACCCGCAGAATCCATTCTTCAACACCCTTGTCCGTATTCTGGCAACCCGCTGCATGACGTCTGCGGAATACTTCTGCGCTGGTGCCCACGCGGAGTCTGAGTTCCGCCACTACGGTCTCGCTTCTCCTATCTACACCCATTTCACCTCTCCTATTCGTCGATACGCCGATCTCCTCGTCCACCGTCAACTCGCTGCCGCCATCGGCTACGAAGGCGAAGACGGCCGCGGCACCGCTGAGGCACCCACTGTTCGCAGCAAACTCGAAGATATCTGCCGCAACATCAACTACCGTCACCGCAACGCTCAATTCGCCGGCCGCGCCAGCATCGAGTACTATGTCGGCCAAGCTCTCAAGGCACGCGGCGAGAAAGCCGCCAGGACTCCTGGCGAGAACCCCGGCGTCGACGAAGACGGCTACGTGATGCGCGTGTTCGAGAACGGTGTCGTCGTCTTCGTGCCCCGCTTCGGTATCGAAGGTGTCGTCCGTCTCGAAGACTTCATGCTCCCCGGCGAGACGGCCCGACCGGGTCTCGAGGAGCGCAAGGAAGTGGCTCTTCGCAGGGAGAGTGAGTTCGATACGGAAGAGTACTCGCTCCGTGTATGGGAGAAGGGTCATCCGGAGAAAGAACGTGGTGTCAGTGTTGAACTATTCCAGAGACTAAGAGTGAATGTTAGCTCCGTCAAGGAAGAAGGCGGCCGAGGAGCTGGAAAGAGGAGAGTGAGAATCTTGGTCCTTGGAACTGCGAATTGATTCGGGAACTTCTATTGTCTATAGGGATGCGATGTGGGATTGGCTTTTTTTCTTCTAATGATCTGTAATCGACGCAGGTATGTATGTATGGTTGTACGTGTATCAAAAAGAAAAGAAAGAAAGACGGACTTTGAGATTATGGTACTTCCCCTGGGAAAAGAAAATAGAATATACGTCTGATGTTACGAGTTACCCTACCTGAGATCGATCATCTGTAGTCTTGTCTAATATCCAGCGAAATATGTATATGCCAAGAACGTAGCGATGTATTATTATACTTTAATACTCAGCGACTCATAAATTCTGCATGGTGTATCATTTCGTAAAAAGCGAAAAAGGCCCAAGAGATGCAGTGCACATGACATAAACGTGGAAGATGCAACTTATATATACATACGGTGGAGCATTTCACGTGGAAGAGAGAGGTATATATATACCCAAGATAAAGGAGGGTTTAACGAGATCATGCGGAGACATTCGACATAGACACGTGCATGGTATGGGTGAAATCAAACTCTTTTCCAAGATACCATCCCCTGCCACACAGTGACGGGATCCCACAGGTTGATTCTGGAAGTGTCTTCTGTGGATATATGCGGTGTGATATGAGCAGGAGCCAGGCCAGTTTCCTTCTCCGTGGAGCTACTGACGGGGTAACTGCATGTTGTTATAGCATCTTTTCGTTCGATTAATGCGAGTTCGCGGACTTTCCAGCCCCTCACTAGCCAGAGACAACCTGCAGCGCCGACGTACATGCAGGCAGTGAAAATCTGGACTCGCAAGTACGAAGAGCCGTCCTGCGAACTGTCTCTTAGGGCGAGAGCAATAGCTTCCGCTACCGTTGTGGGAGGGACGAGGGTGATCCAGGTGATGCTCAATCCGCTTGGAAGCTCTTTTAGGCCGATGATCTCTGCGAGGACTGACGATACTGTTGCCCAGTAGGTTCCTGCCACGGGGCCGACGATGATAGCAAAGAAACATAGCACGCCCATATTGGTGGCGAAGATCCAGATCACAAAGCAGAAAAAGCCACAGAGGAAGGTGAGGAAGGTTGCCATATTGATACGTCCCACTTGATCACTGAAGAGGCCGACGAAAGGTCTTCCGAGACCTTGCCCTAGGTTCAACAGCGCGCTAACAATACTGCCTTGGTGAGGTGAAAGTCCAACGGAGAGTGCAAAATTCGCCAGACTGAACAAGAGCGCAACGTAGCCTAGCATGCTGAGGATTCCCCAGCCAAGATAGAGGAGAAACTCGAGCCGTTTGAACAGAGGCACATGAAAGGCGGCTACACGACTCCCAATGGCTTTGTTACGGTCCCTCAGCAAATTAGCAGCCACCACGTTCACAGAGAAACACACAATGGCGAGGACGCGGAACGTCCATGCGAGGCCCAGCCGTGGGATCATGGCTCCTGTCGCGAGGGAATACATCAGCCCGCCGATGCCAGAGCCTGCGGCCGTGATACCGTTGGCCACACCTCTCCGACGCGAGAACCATTGTGGGGCGATTCCAATGGTTCCGACAAAGAGAAAGCCCATACCGAATCCAAAGCAGACGCCCTGGCTGAGGAAGATATGCCACGTCTTGGTAGCAAAGGACGCACCAATGAAGGAAATAGTCTCGAAGAACACTCCCAGATTGAGCGACAAGCGCGTGCCACACTTATTGATAAGATATGTAGCAAGTGGTGCTACCAGCATGGCGCAGGATATACTTAGACCTCCGGTGAAAGCATATTCGAGGGCACTCGTATTAGGGAATACATTATGGGAGAGATAGTATGAAAGGAAAACACCATAGGACTGGTAGTAACGAGACGTCAGCACCCCAAATCGACCACGTAGGATCTAGTCATGGGCAATTCTCAGGTGACACATACACTATTAACACCCCAAGTATGCGCGTTGATCCAGAAGACACAGGCGACACAGACCCATCCATAACCGCCATCGGGAGGGACATCGTCATTTGGTTTCGTGTTTCGATTGCTGCCATCCTGCTCTAGTCTCAGGTCCTCAGTTCGCGCATTATGTTGGTCCTGAGTAGAATTTCGCAACTCTGGAGTATCTTCTTCTGATGCGTAGACCACATCAATCGGAACATTATCTGACATTGCTCGAACGAGCATTGGGGCAATGCTCAGAGGGTAAAGAGCCTGTGATCAAGATCGTGCCTTTTTGGCGGTGTGCAGCTCTCACGCCAGAAGTGTTTACCGCAAACGGTCATAGTTCAGCGCAACATAATATGGATGGATAGATCCGATGTATTCATGTAGTTAAGATGTCAAAAAACGAAACACAGAAGGACGGCCATAAAAATCAAAAGCGCCACACGTGCTTTTTTCTCGGCGAGGACAACATCTCGAACGTCTTCTCGAATGTCCATAGACCGGCTAGCAGCGAGCTTCTAGGATTGGCCGAGAAGACCGCTAAGAACCAACGGAACCGATCTTGCAGCCGTCGTCCCGACGAACCGGTGCGGAGACGAGCTGGAGCGCGAGGCGGGGTTCCATGATCCAGTTCCACGAGGGGCAGGGTTGTTGCTGCTGATGTTGGCGACGATAGGATCAACGCAGAAGAATGCTTCCAACGCAACTGAAGCGTCGAGGAGAGAGAGTGTGTGAGAGAGAGAGATGTCGTCTGTGTCTTCCAGTACGGAGTAGTTCTGCATGATGCGAAGCAGGAAGAGTCTAACCGGCTTGGGCAATCGACAGGGCTTAGGGCTGCCAGGAACCATGTGATTTGCCAAGACCCCGCGCGTTGCCTCAGGCGACGATATATGGGATTATCATTGGTGGGCCAACCAAGTTAACTAACTATGCTAACTATGAACTTGCTGTGTTGTCCGCCAACTAACCAAGTCAGTTAGCTTGTAAACACTAAGATAGGAGCTCCTCTAGCTTCCCCCCGAAGTTCGAACGAAGGCGTTCCTCGGCCTGATCTATCGGGATCGCCCTGGTTCTTCCCTGCGCCATGAGGATGGCCTGAGTCGAGATCGTGATTGGCGCCAGCCCTTGACTCACTGCTGTTGTCCCAGGCCCTTGTACCCAAGCAACTTAACCTTGCTTCAGGGACTTAACTTACTTCTTAGACTTAGTACAGGGCGCGCTGGCCCGTTCCCTATCTCGACTGCTATCAGCGTCCACATTCCACCATCACAACAGTCAGGAACGTCGCTCTAATATTGCAATCATGTCGCCTCGTTCTCTGGAGAAGATCATGCACAGGAATAGATCCAAAGAGGGTCATCGGAAATTCTCTCCTCCGGGCCCTACATACATGTCAGATGATCAGATTGGTGGGTATCCTCCATTCATCTCCATTCGTATCCATTCCTCCAAACTGCTCCAAAACCCTTCCCACACACTGACACGGTGAATGTCGAAAATACTAATCCGACCATGGATCCAGCAAGCTATCTCAAGGATCTCCGGACAAACAGACCCCCTCGTCCCAATGGTTCGCGGCCACTCCCCTCCAAACCCAACCCGTCCACCACCAGTGTCAGGGACGAGCTCCCTCCACGGGCAACGTCGGCGCTCTCAATGTCGAGACGCACGGAGACACCATCCCAGGAACACCTGAGAAGTGATCCTCAGCCTCGATCAGCAAGTGCCCTGTCCCATCGCCGGCTGACCTCAGAGGCGGGACCCAGGAGGGGTTCGGTTGGACGTCCGCTCGTCCAGGAACCAGGGAACTACTCAGGGAGACATAGCTACGGCCCGGGTGCGAAACTGGCCTCCCCGACTAGCGTCACCCCCAGTGGTGCGTATCGAGAGAACGGCCAGCGCTGGATGGAAAAGCAGGAGGCTCGATCACTGCGGGACGCCCTGGAGGAGCTGGATCTCCAGGAGGAAATGCGGATTTACGCGGGGGCCCAGGACGAAGCAACCGAACTGGTGTGGAAGCACCAACATCCTGGTGTTCCGTTCAAGAACCCACATGCTGCGTACCGGAATCCCGATATGACCAGAGTCTACCCACAGGACAGAGCTTCCTACACAGGAGGCCGCAGTAATAGCATAACTACAGACGACGAATCACACAGCTCGAAATCGGGGGGAGCAGCCTCGATCGACAGTAAAGGCTCGGCTTCTCGAGGTGACACCTTACCCAGAAAGCCGAAAGTCAACTTTGCGTTGCCTCCTGAGGAGGACTCTCCGTTGCCAGGTTGCCGCGATAGCAGCGGCTCTCCCAAGGGGATATTCAGGAACCCGGAGGATCACATATATGAAGAGCCCGATGAGCGGGATAGCAGAAGGGCATCATCTCGGTATGAGACGATGCATCCGACCTCGTCTGCATTGAAAGCAAAGCCACGAAACTCCTTACCACGCGATGGCCGGCCGTCACTCTCTCGTTATGATATCCACAAGAACCCCCCTTCTCAGTCGAGAAATCCGGCTTACACAGTCAATTCTTCTCCTTCTCCAGAACGTGAACTTCTGAACCAAGACGTCCCAAAAAAGAACGGTATTGAAATTCGCAGCGACGACATCCGTGCTGCAACCAGTATGAAGCTGAAGGACCGGAGCAGCAAGTTACCAATGCCGACAGCTGTCAGCGATCGTCTCGGACGGCCCATTGTTAGTTTCGACAAAAACTGGAAGGCCCCTGATGAGCCAAAGAGCAGTAACTCTACTTTCGGGAAGGGAAAGTCATCTCCTACTCCACCGCCACCGGTCCCTGAGATCAACGTCTGCGAACCTGCCTCGATACCCACGATCACTCTGCCTGACAACAGTCCCCCGAAGATATCAGAGATGCAGCCGATTTCTGACCGTGGGAGAGATAGCACGCGGCCGCTGCCTGATCCGAAGAGTGTTCCCAACAAGAAACACGTAACGAAAGTGAGCCAAGGAACGTCGAACCGCTGGTACTCCCCGTACACCCGCGCTGGTGTTCCGACGGCCACCTGTGCTGCTTGCACTCTTCCGATTGCGGGGAAGATAGTGACGGCAGCAGGATCACGGTTCCATCCTGAATGCTTTACCTGCCATCACTGTGGGACTGCTCTGGAGTGTGTTGCTTTTTACCAGGAGCCGGAAGCGAAGCGTGCGGAGAGAATTGAAAGATCGGCTGCTGACGATGACGAGGCTCAGGCGATGCGATTCTATTGCCATTTGGATTTCCACGAACTCTTTAGCCCCAGGTGTAAGAGCTGCAAGACCCCAATCGAAGGCGAAGTGGTGGTGGCCTGCGGTGCAGAGTGGCATGTTGGTCACTTCTTCTGTGCGGAGTGTGGTGATGTATGTGCAACAATCCCACCAGTTCATAGACACTTTGCTAACTCTCTCATAGCCTTTTAACTCCGAGACCCCATTCGTGGAAAAGGATGGCTTCGCCTGGTGTCTTCGTTGTCACTCTCGACGTACCGCTTCACGTTGTCTTGGCTGCAAGCAACCTGTGCTCGATGATATCGTCGTCACCGCTTTGGGTGGCCAGTGGCATGATAAATGCTTCGTCTGCCACGAGTGTGGTGCTGGATTCGGCCCTGAAGGGCGATTCTTCGTGAAGCAGGGGGAGCCAAAGCGAACTGCGAAGGGTCGAATCATCGGCGGACCAGTTCAGTTAGCAGTTTGTGAAAGATGCGAGGGCATAAGGCTCAAGGCCTGATCACAATGTCAAGCAGACCGTCCCCATTGAGTAACCGTCCAAACTCTCCTGGTTAAGCAAGCATTTTGCTGCAGCCGCAGAGCTGTCGACCGAATCTTCGCTGTTTCCCCCGGCTTCTTTCTTGATTGCATCTGAAGGTTTCTGTTTAACTGCATTGCCGGAGTTTAGCAAAGCGTATTGCGTGTTTATATTAGGGAGAATGACTATTGAATCTCTGGGACATAGCGAATGGGATAGCATGATTGCATGGCTGATTTGATTATTTCATCTTCATTTATGTCTGTGGATTGATCTGTTCTGTATGGAGTTGGAATGTGTTCCTGATGGTTTTCCTTTGGTATAAGTTGTTCTCTTTCCATTATTTACGGTCACGTCAGTGACCATGGCTAGAATGTGATGTTTGGTTGGTGCGTGTGTATATTGTCCCGTTTCAACGATGACCGTTCGACATGTTGTGCGCATGGCATTGGTTCCGGGCATTGGTATTTAAGGCTTGTTTTCTCTCGCCTGGAGATCTTTGCAGTTATATTCTCGACATTTGGGCGTCTGCTTATATTGTTCTCATCCAGTACGTAACCTGACCGAGTCCAAGCCCTGACTAAAGGCGAAGCTCATCTGATGTGGAGCTGTCCTGGCACGGGATGCTGTATGAACATATCTTATAATAATAAGATCTTCAAGCCGGCCATTCCGGATTAGCCTTCCTCCTGAATACCGCAACGTACTTATTCCCCTTATTCCTCGTGACCTTCTTAGACTCTTCCGTCTCTTCGCTCATAATCCTCACGCACGGATCATCCTTCAACTCCTCATCCGACACCCTCTCCCAGAGTTCTTTAACTCCCGTATCACTATTCCCTTCCCGCTCATCGCTCGCTTCCTGCTTCTCAGCCGCGACGGCATCTTCTACCGGAGACGATTTCTCAAAGTGCTTCAGAATCCAATTATGATAATCCTCCACATCAGTGATGGTGTACAACAGACCACCGGGCCGTAGCACATAGGCATATTCGGCGTTCAGAGCCGGAGAGACGATGCGCGCCTTGTGTTTTCTAGCCTTGAAGTGCGGATCGGGGAAACAGATGAAGATCTTGGAGAGTTGTGCGCGGGCGAAGAAGTTGGGGAGGAATTTCATCGTGTTGGTTCGCAGAGCGGAGACGTTCTGGTACCCGCCTGGAACGGGGGCAGTGATTGTCGTTGATGATACGGAGGGGGAGGGAGAGGATGTGGAGGAAGAGGCCTGTGCTTGTGCTGGAGCTGGAGAGGAGGATATTTTCTGTGCTTGTTCGCTCTGCGAGCGAAGGACCTGGATGCGTCCTGTGACGTATTCGAGGACAGAGATGCGGATTTCCATGCCTGAGAAAAACGCACAGCAGAGTCAGTATTGCTTTTTATCTCATACCGAACATTCATTATAGGTCTCAGAATAGAATGGAAGAAGAAGAAAAGAAAAAGACGAGTTTATACGCACCGACAATCAAGGTATCCGGCAAGACGGGCGCAAGACCAGCCAACAACCCACCGAAACCACATCCAATATCAACGACCTCAACATCCTTCACTAACTGTCTGAAACCACCTTCGTTCTTCTTATCCGGATTCGGATCCACGAAAGCCGGAAAATGTGATGCCCAATCCATATGTGCAGGACTAAGGGGACTGTGTTTCGTTATTATCGTTAGCCTTTTTCTTTTTTTCCCTATCCTTCGGACAGAATGGCGCAATCCAGATGTGAGAAAAGAACAAGTGAACATACTAATCCAACATATGATCCGAAAACGGATTCGCATGCGCTCTCTGTCTGTAGAATCTCTTCTTTGGCATCTTAATCTCCGTGCTCTCCTTCTGCGCTGCCTGCGTCTGCGCCTGGCGATATTCTTCGCGCTTTTGGCGCTTATGCGGTGGGAACGTCATGGTTGGAACGAATGATGGCTTTCTGCTATGAAGAGGAGCAAGTGAAAATGAGAGTAGAGCAGAAGAGAAGTTCGCCTTGGGGGAGAAGAAGAGGTGGGGTCGTCGCAATGGGAGGGCGAGAGGCATGGACTGTTAAAAAAATGGCGGCGGCTCCGCGGCACGGTTTTTTTGCGCTTTTCTACCGTACGCGGGTTGGAGCTGGGGAGCTAAAATTAAGCTTACATGGATGGATGTCCGAGGGGTTAGATGGACACCAGAGGAGATTGAGAGAGTGTGTTATGGCAGGGTATTGTTAATAAGAGAGGTTGACCTAAGTAGACAGATGGGATAGAATATTGCTACTATTTTATCATATTCATCAATTGATTGTTCGTCTGATCTTACCATAAGTAATCCGTTCCGCGGACAGGCAGAAAGCGGGCAAATCATCACCGCCCAGGATCTCTCTCTATCTTATCTCGTACCACTTTGTGTATCCTGCACGAATGATGACCCTTTTTGTTTCTACATACCCCAGTTGATTCATTTTGTGAAGAATACCCAACGAATTCTCCAATACCCTTCGAAGACAACTACAATAGCACCTTACCTTCAACACTCACGCGCCAGCATACCCCCTCCCTCCTCTCTCCGCACCCCCCCTCCTTCGCCGGACTTACCTCTATTACATACGAACAAACCCTCGAAAGACAACCATGACCATGAGCTCCTCACGTCAGATCCAATCCTTATCCACAATATCAACGGAGAAACCCCCCTTTCAATTCCCTCCAACATACTCCTTCCCACCATTCTTCACCCCGCAACCAAACACCTCCACACGTCACTCCCAGCTCGAGAAATGGTCTGCTCTGATCCAATCTTGGTGTCGGTATTATCGGATATTCAAACTATCGTTAGTCGACGCTGTCGAGACGCCTCTTTTCCATAATGCGGCGTTGAAGAAGAGGGTCAGTCTGAGTGAAGCGCGCGCAATCGTGGATTGGATGGCACGTGCGGACGAGGATGGCGGTGGAGGAAAGAGAGCGGAGTGGGTGGAAGGTTTGGCCGGGAAGGAGAAGACATTGGCATGGATTTGGTGGAGGAGGCCTGAGGAGTGGGCGGCGTTGATTGCGGGTTGGGTGAGTGCCTTTTTTACTTCTGTTACACTTCTCTGGGCCGTTGAGCTTTATAATAGATGACTTCGTCACTAATCAACCGGGATTGTATCTTGTAGGTTGAGGAAACAGGTCAGAAAAACACGGTGTTGACTCTGTATGAATTGATGGAAGGTGACGGGACAAGATCACAAGGTGAGACAATCCCTGCATTGCATATTGATAACGTGTGCTCTTAGCCCGATAGTGGCTGACGTCCATCTAGAATTCCACGGACTAGATCCCGATATCATGCTAAGATCCCTCAACGTCCTAGTCAAGCAGGGAAAGGCACAGGTCTTTGGCAATGAAGGCCAAGAAGGTGTCAAGTTCTTTTAAACAAACATGAATAGCGGCATAATTATATACACCGTGCAGTGCCTTCAAAAAAACTTGCAGTTGGGTATTCATACAGCAAACTAAGAAAAGGGACGAAGCAAATATTGTGGTTGCAACAAAACAGGAAACCGACCGCCAAATACACCATATCTCTGACCAGTAACAAGATACCAAACCTGTGCCTCATGAGATGCATCCAACACCACCATACACTATGCCACTTACGACCGGTTATGCTTCGGCGTTCTCGATCATGTCCTCGTTCAGCTCGTATTCGTCCTTCCAACGCAACTCCTGAGACATGGCAATATCCAACAACCAGTCGACCCGGACGATCCGCGGCACCTTTCCGACGTCGCGGACCATCTGGCGGAACCGCGGCCACAGCTTCACTTGGTCGGGCTGGGTACTGCTGAGAAGATACACTTCCTTTGAAGTCGAACGTCTTTCTTCTTCGTCATCGCTTTCGTCACTGTCCGGCCGATGGTGGCTGCTCATGGCTACACGTGCACGGAAAAGGGCGCATTCGCCCCCGTTGATCTCAACGATGGATTTGAACGCTTCAAATCCTCCTCGAATGGATTCGACGCAGTACACATTGTGTCCTCGAAGAAGCTTGTTCTTGTTTATCTTGGCTCTGGATCTTGCTTCCTCAAGCGAGAAGCCGTATTTGCTTTCAGCAGCCTTGTCTTCCAAAATGAAATCATTGGGGTCAAGAAGTTGATCCTTCTTGAGACATTGCGTAATGAAGTCGACATTGATGATCACTGGCCCATATGCCAGCGCGTTGACGAACTTGGGCGTACGCAAAATCGAGGGAGCTGCTAGGTGAGTGCAATTGCGCGCTTCCTGGATAATGACGATGCCCAGTTCCCGAAGTTGTCGCTAGATACGGTTAGAAAATACAATTCATAAGATCTCAGAATGCTTGACAAACCTTGTCCGCATCTTCCTTCTTTTGATTTCCCACCCATCTCTGAAAGCCAGTAATCAATAGGCGCATTGTCACTGGCGGTTTTGACTTCTTCAGCCTCTTTGCCTCGGATTCTTCCTCCACATTGCTTTCTTCCTGGCCATCAGTCGATTTTCTCTTCTTAGCATGAGTGATCCTGTCTTCGTCACTCTTCCTTCTACCACCGTAAATGACACCACCAACGCGTTTCAATTCTTTCTCGTACAGTGCAATGTCGGGCGCTATCTCGTGCAATCGCGCGGCAGCGGCCTCCTTAGACTTGCGGCTACTTGTTGTGGAAGGCGTGTCGTTCTCCTTTCCATCCGCTAGAAGACGTGAAAGAATGGGTGTTCTCATCTTCTCACCATTCTCGACATTATGGGATGTGGTAGCAGATCGAGGCGTCATGGCACGTGTGTCAGGAGCAGCATCACCCTTCTTCTTGGTCTTAGTTTTTGGAGGCTTCATAGCATCAGCAGTTGAACTCGCTGCCACATTTTGGTCCTTCTGTTTCATCACTCTTGCTGGGCTTGCAGCTTCCGGCGTCTCCTCGGAGGGAAAGAAGAGTTGTTCGAGAACAGTCTTGTCGAGTTTCGTTTGACCGACAACTTCTCCCAAATTTGTCCGCTTTGGAAAATGCGTATAACGTGGATCCGAGACGGGCTGTTGCTTCCACTTTGCATAGCTCTCTTCCAGCCATAGATGATTGACGACTTGCAGACCCCATTCTTTGGCTGCGCTGCACTTCTCACTGTTTCCATGGGCGGTGACAAGATGCGTGTTATCCTGTCTCAATGTTCTCGTGCATTCTGCACCGGTGGCAGCAATGAGGTTTTCGAGATATGCTCGCGCTTCACCTGCGTAGTTCGAAAGACTGATCTTCAATCCCTTGAATCCGGGGATCGGGGTACGCGAGACGGGATAATGCAGCAGACGACGCATAGGAGACGTCCAAGTGTTGTGAGTGATCAGGTGGTACAACCAAGATAGATTTCCGACGTCCTTCCCTAACCTCGAGGCGAGCCTGTATTCGAACCCTTCCCGATAACGACAGATAAACATGTCCGCTTTGGAGACGTCAGATGTGAGACTGCCGCCCCCTTGCTCGATGAGGCTCTCTATTGAACCATGCAGATGAGACCCGATCTTAAGGTCGGACGATAGCATCACTTTCTTGCCCTCGAAAACGTCCAGCTGGCGTTTGGTTTGAGGTGTCTTGACTGGGCTCGGCAGATTGGAAGGTTCTGGCGTTGAGGCGCCTACGATATCCTTATTCTCATAAGCACGAATTGGCATGTCAGGACCGGCGCGCAGGATTTCTGGATCGGGTAGAATGTATGGGCGTTCGGGGATCCTTCTGCCTAGTTTCAAGCAGTCGTCGAACCTGACCCGGTGAGAAGGGAGCAAAATTAAGAGGGTGGAGCGACCTACCAATGAGGAAGTACTATTTTAACGTTCAGTTTCTTCGCCAGCACGATCTTTGCTTTGTCGGAGTCCGTCGTCAGATCCACAAGGTGTGTCACCATGGCGGTGATCCTAGAGCTGTAGAGACCACCCATTGCCAGGACACCTCCGATTATCGCGTCCTTATCACCTTCGGGAATATCACCGCAAGTAACAACCACGTCATTTAAAAACAGTCTCGGGTCTGGGTTGTGTTGTCGGGGATTAGCAAGCTTCATCTTTGCGATAGAAACCTGCACCCATTGCGGCTTGACCACAGGTATAAGAGCATCGCACGCTGCTTGGTATCCAGGGAAGTCGATCGTAGGTGAAATAAAGTGCGTGAACTCCTGGACTGAAGGGAATATCGATGATGCACTGTGGATGACCGTTTCACCGCCATACTCTTTCATCGAGATGGCAAGCTAGAACTAGTCAGTTTGGGCCCGCTGAAACTATATCCATATCCGCGATTGAGAAGATTCGCATAATATTCCCTACCTGGTTGGCTGCATCTTCGTCAAAGTCCTTGGAGCAGACAATGCAGATCTTGCATTGTCCAAAGAGTTGGACCCCCTCCTCGTGGTCCGCCATGGCCCCTCAACCCCAATTACAGGGTGACCAGCTAGTAGGTTTCAAAGTCTTGTCTGCAGAGAGACCACGAAAGGAACCGCTACAGGCTAGGGGAAAGGGGAGAAACTTGTGGTAATGAGAATTCAGACCGTAGTGTTCCGGGGAAAGCGTTGTAAATTCGCCTGGCGACAAGATCATCTGCGACGCGGGCCAGACGCGAGATAAACGCGCCGCCTGACACCATGTCACGTGATGTCAATATCCCAATTAATGGGCAGTGATTTCTACTGTCAATGCTCTGAATAAACCTTCATGAAGCTGGATCTGACACTTATTCTATATGGGAGTTCACAATCATAGTAAATCCGTGTATAACTGATGCCAGCGGTAGTCATGGTCATCTCTGTCGATATTCGTCACTGTACTGCTCGTGCCGAGGCTTGGAGTTTCTCTGCCCCATCTAAGTACAATATTTTGGAGCATCCTGCAGCGCGGCGAAGAGAGTAGATATTAATATTCCCTAGCCTTTTCCCCAGACTCTGCGGAGCAAGACATACTTTACTGATCGTTGTTGGGGTTCGTCAACCAGCATACTGGCATATCATTTATCTAGAGGCGTTCGTTTGAGTGCCACCGGCAGCTCCCTTTCCCGCATCCACAGCGAGATCCTCGGCACATCGCCGTACGCCGGCAACGGGCGCCGGACCCTGGTGCCAGTCCTAAACCTCGCTATCGTAAATGAACGACTCCTAAACAAACCCCTAAAGCCAGTCTTCAAGGTCTTTGGGGATCTGTCAAGATTGCAATAATCCGCTTTCTACCCCTACCAAGCAGAGCTGGCCATCATGTCTTCCGGTCCTTTTCGTATCGTCGAGCATGTGGTTCCCTGCCAATACATCAGAGAGTATCCGCAGGCCACGTCTAATGAACAGGAAGATGTGCTGCACCTAGCCGTGAAGCAGTACATTCCCCTCGATAACCCGAATCCTCAGCGCGGAGATGTAACTATTATCGCTGCTCATGCAAACGGTTTCCCCAAGGTGAACTTGTCTGTACATCCGGAGCGGCGAGACACTGGAAGTTAATATTAGTCTTAGGAACTGTACGAACCACTATGGGAAGAGCTGCATGCGCGTTCCAAATCTCATGGCTTCCGAATCCGAAGTATCTGGATGGCAGATGTTGCCCATCAAGGAGAGAGCTCGGTGATCAACGAAGATCTCCTGGGAAATGACCGTACGCAATTCCTTGCCATTCTCATTTCCTACAATGACAAGACCCTCTAACTCATGCTGCAGCTAGCTGGTTCGATCACTCCCGGGACCTTCTCCATTTGATCAACGTCAAACGCCATGAGATGCCTCGTCCACTCGTGGGAGTGGGGCATAGTATGGGCGGTGCTCATATGTTAGTTTCCCTAGTCGCAGTTGACTTTTCTCTCTCTGTGAAATATCCATATCTAACAGTACGCAGTGCTAAACTTTCACTGCTACATCCTCGTCTATTGCATTCTGTGATCTTGCTCGATCCTGTGATCTACCGACAATCCACCTATGACGGGACACGCAGCTTTCACAAGGCGGGCAAGAATGTCCCCATCACGACGAAGCTGTCAACATATAGACGCGACATATGGCCTTCTCGAGAAGCTGCAGCAGAAAGCTTCAAGAAGAGTCCATTCTACAAAGCCTGGGACCCTCGTGTTCTAGAACGCTGGATCAAATACGGTCTTCGTGAGCTTCCCACAGCTATCCATCCATTAGATGAGACCGCCAAAAGCAAAGGCGAAAAACCAGTGACTCTCACAACAACTCTGCATCAGGAGGTCTTCACCTTCTCTCGACCAAACTATGACTTCAGCCCTTCCCAAAACACACCTATTAACAAGTTCACTCATCCCGATTTCGACCCGTCGTTGGACTCTTATCCCTTCTACCGGCCCGAGGGTCCACTCATCTTCTCACAGATCCAGCACCTTCGACCTAGCGTGCTTTACATATCTGCCGGGAAATCAGATCTATCCACACCTGACCTGCGCGCTGACAAGTTAGCCGTGACCGGCACAGGCGTCGGAGGAAGCGGCGGCGCCCCCGCAGGCCGTGTCCAAGAATTATTCCTAGAGGATCGTGGACATCTTTTAGCCCAGGAAGTACCTAATGAATGCGCAGATGCAGCCGCGAGCTGGTTTGGCAAGGAGCTCCAACGGTTCAGGGAAGAGGAAGAAGCGTTCCGGGCACAGTGGAGTCGGAAATCCAAGGTGGAAAAGATGACAATCGACGAGGAGTGGAAGAAGCATATTGGTCCACCTCTGCGGAGAGAAAATGGGAATGGGAAGAAGGGTGAGAAATCGAAGCTCTAGATTCACTCTGTTTGTCTTGTATGTTTTCTTCCCTTTCCCCCCATTTTTACGTCAGAGATGACTTACTCAACAAATGCAGCTTTGGCATTGTATCTTCTTTTGTCTTATAGAATGGGCCATTCATGAACTTCAAGAGACTCTTTCTTCTTTGACAAGATTCTGAATGTTTTTTATATTTTCTTTATTGTATTGTTTAAATCAGTAAACATCAAGAATAGTCCATCATCAACAGGGATATCCATAGCTAGCGGTCATAATTCAACACTGCAAGTATCAAGAGAAAGCATCCCAGTTCACGCCACCTTCTTTCCTTTTCTTCCATCTCTATATTCGACCTTTGCTCCATTGATGCACGGTATCCTAAAAGAATGAGCATAAGACAAAGAAAACGCGGCATACATTCGTGCCGGCACGTCGCGAGCATCTATCCAAGTCACGTGCAGGCGGATCATCATGCAAACTTATCACGAAAGTTTGGGAAAAGCCAGCATATAGGGGTCCATTGTGAGATGTGAGCAAGATGACTTGAAAAATTGTGTATCTAAATATAAGGTTGGGGTGAGGGGGTTCTGGCTCATGAGTCCTTCTTGGACGAGCCGTTTTCGTGGCTACTCTCGGGCTGTACCCGAACGAGCTCGGGGAAGTTGTAGAAATGAGGCCACTGCAGCATGAATTCATCCTGGTGGTTGTTCAGGCACACGCGAAGCCAAATACCCCAGATGATGTAGAGGTAGGCGCCAATACCAGTCATAAGATGCCTGCTCCCAATTAGTTCCGGAAATAATCTAGAATAGTAATTGGTAGGAAGATACTCACCACCAGCCGTGTCCCTCCAGGAGCACCCCCCATGGTAGACCGACAACTCTTCGCCACCTTCTCAAAGTAGGGCAGAATTGGTTGTCGAGGAACCAGATGAAGAAGCCACCGAGAAACATAGCGAGTCCATATACGACCATGAACCACATTGTCTTCAGGGTCTTCAGATCCCGCACATTCTCGTAGTGCAGTCTTTCTTTCGAAGGTGTGGGCAAACCCTTTCTCTGTCGCTCCAAGCGATCTTCTTCGGTAGTCTTGCGGAGCGAGGGACGCAACGTTACCTCCATGATCCACATGCTGCGTAACACGATGACGGTTGTCAAGAGCGCATATGCGTTTTGGTGGAAGACTGGATCCTGCAGGTAGTGATAATACAGCGTGATGAATACCGACAGAGCTGTCAGCGACACGGCGAGCGAGACCCGGGTCCAGATATCCCTGGAGTACGAAAAGGACGCATATGCCATCAAACATGTTGTGTAGATCATGGAGAGTTCATCAACTAGCTGCATCGGGTCTAAACGGAGTTCTTCTGTTAGTTTGCAACTGCCCACCAAAATATACTGGAACGACGAAACGTCTCAGGAGGCTTGACTTGCATTTCAGAGTTGAATGGAACAGAAAGCTGCCAGTTCCCACCACAAGGTATCCGAGAAAAGAAACCTGGAATACCGTGTCATGTCTGTTTCTGCGACAGCTCAGATAGCCTTTGATTCCCAGGTACATGAACATTAGATTGGTGAAGCTGTTGACGACCTCTGCGGAGTACGGCGTGGCATAGTAGTCCTATCCTCAATGGATTTCCATTATCAGCCTGCGCCTGTTCTCAATTCAAACACATCCCTCCCATATTCGCGCGGGATCGCCGGATAACATCAACATACCTCTTCGCACCAGTTCAACGTAGAAGTAACAGGGCTCCAATATCCAGGCTTGGCAGCCGGATATGGGACGAAAGGAAGCCACCGAGGCATGGCGGAGCACAAGACTGTCTAGATGGTGTCGTCCGTATTCAATTCCAATTCCCAGGAGGGGGAGATAAGGAATAAAAAAACGAGGCCGATGGAAGCTGTGGCAGTAAGTAAGGTTGGAGAAGTCGCAGCAGCTCCCGTGACGTATGCGCGGGTGCAGGCAGAAACACACAGCTTTCTCTAGACTAGTCTCGACTTCGAGTATCTCGACAACGCCAGAACGGCCAACGATAGACTCGACCCATGGCAACACTCCGCGTGAATCGCTGGCAATTGGCCACCCCGCGCGAAGCGGACATTCCGCGCTCTCCCGAATCACCGTTTGGGCGGCGGCAACGGGGATATTAGTAATGTCGCTATCCTCCGAAGCGGTTAGGTTCGATATTGTACAAGTAATCGCAGACGGTCTGGAGTTGTCACGGTCACCGCTAGATCACTGATTATTATTATCGAGGGGGTTTCCTCCCTACTTACTTCCACCGTTACTTCCACTGGGAAACGAACCGTAGATCGTCCATCACCACGAAGAACTACTAAAGTAAATACCATAAACCATCATGATCTCCAATGGCCCACTACCTAGATCCACTCACAATGGAATCATCGTGATCTTCCCAGAATCCTACAAAGTCTGACACCCTCTTGTTGTAGCGCTAATGCCAGTCCTCTGATAAACTCACAGCCGAGTCCGCCTCACCGAGCCTCGGGATAGGGCACGGGGAGGTAATGATGCGTTAACAACGCTTCGATATTGTCCTTGATACCTGCTAGCGGTGATTATTTATATCGAGAAAAAGAGAAAACTGCGCATGGGAAACTGGAAACGGAGAAGATCCTCACTGCAGGCGTGGTCAAATGCCCATAGGGCTTCTATAGCTTCAAGGGAATATACCAGTAGGTACCTAGTTAACAACTAAAGTGTAGATGCTTATCTTAGCGCCTGTGATGATCTGTCCCGCTTATGTCTGCAATGTTAGGTCCTCACGTGTCGATAGGCTCCATTGTTTCTGGCAGTATTAATTTCTCAGTTATCTCATGTGATGCACCGGATTCTCAGTAGCGAGTCTATATTTAGCTGGCTGCAGCTCTGATCTACAGAACGCTGCTGAAGGACAAAAAGATAAAGAGCGACAGTAGGTCAAAATGAAACGATGAATTGGGCTCGAAGAACGATGTCCTGGCATGCCAATTTTCCTTCTCACCGCTCCACGAACTGGCCCATCAGCAGGAGACAGTTGGTTGGTCGAGTCTCATGTTCCAAACATGCAGAGAAAAGTTGGCTAGACTAGTCATGTACAGTTATATAAGGGTGTTAGTAACGAAATATTGAAGATGAAATATTCCCTGTTGAATACATATACCTATGTAATAGAGCAATAAGCAATATAAAGCTTGGTGAGCTTTGCACTTAAGACAATTGCACCTTGGAGCTCTGCTTCCTATCTGCAGTCGTGGCTGTGGCTTTCCACAGTAGATAGTTCAGAAGAAATAATAACAGGGGGGGGGGGGGGGGTAGAAAGACCGTAAGCGCTAAACATTGTGAACAAGACTGAGGCTCCCAGTTAGTGTTTACCAGCCACGAAGCTTGACTACAGCGTAGAGGTTTCTATTGGGAGCACGTATGTACCTACGTGTGCTGTATTTTGGCGGTCGTTAGGGCGCCCTGCTGCTGCTGAGGGTACAATGAGCAATGCTGAGTGTTAGAATTGCGCCCAATGCCTTTCCACACTCTCACTCTCTGCTGTCTCACGGCCTTCTCTAGGAGTCTAGGGCCTCCTTAACTCTACCCTCTTTTCTTGCCAACATTCTTCAACACATTGTCATCTTTCTCAGTGTTGCCATCCCACTCCATCTGCATGACCAAGAGCCCCTTCGCCTCAGGTCTATCGTTATCACAGCATATGAATTCCGTCCTGTGTAATTTCATCCCGTTCGTCCGCCGGCCTGGACTTCGTCAGTTGACGGGTCGACTAGGACCAGCAGTGGGAGTGCAGCTGCCAACCCAGAGCTGAAAACCGCAAAGGCCCAGTTATCGGTTGGTCGAGAGAGAGATTTGGTCATTTTTTTCTGGGCTGTAGCAGGCGTATCGGTCGGGTACATCCTCTGCTGTCTCATCGCCCATTCAAGCTATCGACTGACTGGCCCAATCCAACTTTTACCGGGACTGATCAATGCATCAGTTTCCACGTGCCACGGGACTTGTATACCATAACGAGGGACGTGTTATTCGACGTCTCATCTTCAGAGATAACAATGAACGCATAAGTATATGTGCGAATCTGTTTTGACGGTGATGACTTGAAGAACTCCCGAAGGTGTCTGATGAAGTGCTTGGTACAATCGCTGAGGTCATCAAAAGCTCCTTCATCGACCGCATTCTAGACATCTGGCTTGGCGAGTCGCCCATTGGGCAAGTTCAAGATCTCTTTGGCATGGCTCTCAGTCGCTTGGTTACAAGTGTTCTAAACCATGGCTGCTGTGACATCCTTCGTTCCATACGCGAGCACCTTGCCATCTTCAACGGCGTATTGGGTTCCCTGGTCAAACACGTTGCTAGCACCTGAAAGTAATTCAATTCCAATGGCTAGTCTTGTACCCTGCAACAGTCGAGCAAATGAGCGATCTGTTGTCTGGTGAAAACTCCAGCTTGCCAATAGACTCGGGACTCATAATAAATATCGCTTTCAGCCTTTTCATGGCGTTACATTGGCGCACCAGAACGATGGTGGTTGCTTCATATGATTTCTTTCGTGTCTATAGGAACAGGTACAATCCGAGTAGGTAGGTAAGTAGAGAGGCTGCGGGGGCTACACAAATTAATGGGGGTTTGTTGGGTATTTGCCAACAGGCTGCCCGTCAACAATTAATACCATACGTCCGTTGCAAGCTCAGCCTCGTAAATTATTATGCGACACAACCAAGGAATGCCAAGACATAATACTCTTCTCCAGTTAGGAACTGAAGGAAACAAAACAGTAATGGCTCGCTCATACTGCCATGACTTGTGATCTAGTTAATAGTTTACCCTGAAGGAGCAGGTGTGGTTATAGTCCGGATAACCGAAGTATGAGTCTTAGTCGGCGTTTTCCAGTAGCCTTTTGAGACTGACCGCAGTAAGTACTGGGCAAACGGGCCTCTTTCAAAGATCGTGTTTGCTCCTTCCTAGGCAGCTGGACAACATACGTCCTGGCATAATTCGTTGCCCTTCATCTTTGCTCTCATGACTTCGGGTTCTCCGAGAGATGGAATTTCTGGAAGCTAACATGCCAATCGAAATCCAGCCTCGCCATTATACAGGAAATCGGTTGTCCTGAAAGTATTGATGCGTAAGGGGCACTGTCAATAGTGTGTATACTGGCGGCGCCAAATTGACACCTGATTGAGTATGTAGGCGATCCCCATGCTAAGGCAGCCGGATCAGTTCAAATTTATAGATTGTCGAGGGTTAGAAAAGCCTGCTTGTACTTTGATTTGAACCGAAGCTTTGTTGAGATATGCTGATTGATATGAATATATACAATGCAGTTATACAGGAAAGTTCTATGAAGGTTCAGTATGTCAGATCCCGCGGCTTCTGCTGGGAGAAGCTGCAAACCTGCTGCTTCCCTATACAAACCGGATAGCAACTGCAACGGGAAGCCACCTAGATCCACCTGCATGGGATCAAAGAAGACGGGAGTAGAACCGTGGAACAGTTGGATTAGGTGTTCAGTTCAGCTCTAGGCAGCTGCGATATTGGGATAGAGTCGAGGGTCATAAATAGCTATTAGACTTCGGTGTCCTTTAGTTCTTCAAGCAATCCAGAGGTCATTCTCGTTTCATATACTCCTTCAGAATCTTTGCTTCTGTGATCCTAGATCTTCACACAATATTTCCTCCTGATCGACCTGTCTTTTTTTATCAAGACAGGCATTTGCCGTTGGTTTCTGATGATATTCCAGGTATAATGATGATGGAATGAAGTTAATCTTCTATACAGCCTATGCTAGAATCTTGACACTTGATGTCCACAGTAATGTGTGCTACGGTATGCTATATCCGAAATCCTATGGTCTTGGATGGACAGTAACGACTCGAAGGTGCTAACTGCAAGAGTCTGCCAACCCAGCTGTTCTGGGACCAGGCTGACCAAAGCCACCCGTAACAGTCGTGGCTATGCAGGCTGTGTCACATCCCACACTTGCGGTAGCACGGAACAGTGCGACAAGTATCCGTATGCCTCGACCAGCAACGCTGATCAGGTCAGTGCGGTTAGCCGCTATGTCCCTCGTGACCAGAACCATCATGAGTCTACTGAGGGAACTCAGACTTGAGCGGGGTTAATTGACTGATAGTGAATTAGGCCAGGCTCAGGCCCTTCGTCACTTCTACAACTCCCAGGGCAAATTTCGACGATGGAGAATTTGGTGGTTGAAACCCAGGCACCTACACCGTGGGCTTTGCCAACGTTGGCGGTATTCGGTACTGCTTCGCCAGTGCCAGTGCCAGCTGCGCGAATGATGGCAACGAATAGACACGGAACGCAATGAAGCTGTTCGCCCTTCTGATGAGGAAGCGTGATAGCTGAGCATCCAAGCGTTCGCCCATTCCGGGGTAGGGGACACGCGGGCTATCAGCTCAGGATTCGTCGTAGATTGCACTGCCTCCGCATGCTCAGACGCGCGCTAAATCTGTTTAGAGCCTTGACCAATCCGCTCTACTGTAAGCCATGAAGAACTACTGCGTTAGTAACATGAAGATAAACATAGTTACGTTAGATTTGCAATATACAAGAAATCCTATAGGGCGTTTTATACCCCGGACGGAGCCAAGCCCAACTCTAATCCTCCTAGAAGCTTAACCGGTCAGTTGACTAGCTAATTGGTTGGTCGATTGTCAGTTACTTGAATAGGTCAGCTAGTTAGAGTTACAGTATTAGAGGATTTTAGCAACCGCCCCACAGCAGCACTACAATATAAGATTCTGCCGGCAAAATGCCTAATTAGGACATTATATAACTCTAAAATTTAGTAATTTAAATATAACGCTATCTGAGCAGAATAGTAGTTCTAAGCAACTTCCCCTTTAAATAGTAATGCTGGCATTAAATATATTATTTAAACTATTAATATACTAGAATTTAATTAATCAGATGCTTATATTATTATTATCCTAATGCTTATATATATTTTTTTTAAACTAGATACACCTTGGAGATATATTATTAAAGCAATTCTTTATTATATATTTTTATAATTCGATTTAGTAATTTTATCTGATATTATTGTTATATAGTAGCTTTAATTAGCCCCTTTAAATTAGTAGGCTATATAGGATCTTATATTAATTATATAGAAGATTTAATAGGGATAAAATCTAAGCTATTCTCTTTTATCTTAAACTTAATATAGTTATCTGGAGGAATTATATTAACCCCTCTTTAGAGATAATATTTAGTATTCTACTTACTTATTTATCCTAGCCTTATAAAGGTATAGATTATAAATTCTTTTTTAGATATTTAAAATTATAGATTTTATTAGTTTTTAATAATATATTATAATATATCTATAGACAGTTTAAGGATATTATCTCTTAATATCTGCTTTTAACCTATAATTATATATAATACTATGCAGATACCCTTAAAATTATTAATAGTATAAAAAATATCTAGGGGTTTATTAATAGAACCTTTTAATTTATATGCCGATTTAATTAGAATTAATATTTCTTTTACTCCGGCTATAAAAAAGATTATAAATTTAAATATTAAGATATTGCTACTCCTAATAAGATAATACTATCTTATATAGGACTATTTAAAGAGAAAGTAAATAACTATACCCTGTTTAAAAAAATATAAATAAAAGAATACTTTAAAGCTCTACTTTATAATTAAAGCCAGACTTTATATCTATATAGAGATTCTATATATAATGCAGCATATTGTATTATAACTCTATATAGGCAGATTAGGATCTTAATGCCTTCAGAGATAAACTTTAATATAAAGCTATCCTCAGACTGTATATTAGTAGAATAAGTATTTAGCATTATATAGACCTATTAGCATATAAATGCCTTAAATATTAATCTATAACTAGTTAAGCAGGCAGTAGCTATAATCTATGCTATATCTATTCTCCTAATAAATATTATAATATATTTATAGGGGAATTTAATTAGTTCTCGCTATATTATATAACCTTTTTTATTAGATGATTATCTGCGACCGATCCCTATTTCTCTTAGTGATATAAATGCCCTAGAATCTCCCTAATATTATATCTAAGCTTAAGGAATTTGCTTAAGCTAATTATTTAGAGATCTTTAGCTACTAATTTTAGTTCTATAATAACTAATTTTAAATTATTAAGCTTTTTTATAGTAGAAGATTTAAAATTATTAAGCTTTTTTAATTATATTATAAAAAGCTCCTTAGTAGAAGATTTTAAATTATTAAAGTCTATTTTTACCCTCTTAATAGTTTTAGCTATTCTCTTTATATTATTCTTAGGTTTAATATTTAATTATAATCTCTCTACTAATTTTGCTAAGCTTATAATAATTAAATATTTTATTTAGCTATTAGTTATAGAACTCTACTTAAAGATAGAAGAGCTTATTAGATCTTTTAAGTCTAATATTATTAATTCTAAAGAACTATCTAATACCGCTATTTTCTGCTTATTTAATCCTATATTTAGTGTTAAATTAATCTAATATTAACTATTCTTTCTAAGATTAGCTTATTTAGCTATTGATTTAGCCTCTATTTTTAGTTAATTTTTATATTTAAGGTCTTCCTAGCTAATTTATTTATTAATTATTATTTATAGGTCTAATTGCGGTTTATATTTATTATTTATTTTATTTAATTCTAGATCTATCCTCTGAGCATTTATTATCTGTTTAACTTATTGTTAATATAAGATCTAATTATAATAAATCTTTATTTTATACTAATAGGTTCTAGAGACATACGCCTAAAATAATTAAAGCGACTTATTTAAATATTTTTAATAAAATTTATTGCAGATCTAAAAAAGCATAAGCTTTTTTTTTATTTAATCCTCTTTTCTTTTATAATAGTTTAATTAGCCCTAGAATAGAAGTAATAGCAAATTAATTAGATTTATCCTCGCTATAGATATTATTATCTGGTAATAATACTAGGCTTAGAGATAGATTTATTAGAGTTTTAAATTAAAATAGGGGCAATTAATCTAGGCCTAAAGACTAAGGAGTATTTATATTTAGCGCTTTTATAAATAATAATACCCCTAAAAATATAGATTTCCTATTACTATCTTATAGCGAAAAAAAACTTTAATATTTAACCCTATATTAAATATAGCTTAATTAGATATTAGGAGATACCGCTGGCTTCCTAATTAGGATAAATTTATAATAAGCTAGGTAGCTTATATTATAAGCTATTTAGCTTATTGTAATAACACTAGTAAATACGCTATACAGACTGCTTGCTTTTAATGATTTCAAATAGTGTCTGAATAAGGAAATTTCTTATATTGTAGTCCTCTGTAGGGTATTGCTAAAATCCTCTATTTTATTAGCATTTTATTATTATATATTTATATGTTGCTTCCGATTGCGCTAACTGATTACTAATTGGCTAAACGACTTGACTAATGTAGAATCCGGACGCCCGCTAGGTATGCACCTGCCTAACACTGTTAGACTATCTAGTCTACTCCGTATTTCGCGCACGTGGAACAAAGCCACCCTTGCTAAAACGAAGAGTAAATAATCCCTCTTATTCCTGAGCGATACATAGTAGTAGATATGCTATCACCAAGCAATATATAATTGGTGTGATTGCTCTAGATACATGATAAAGGACCAGTAGTACAAGGAAGGCCTGTATGACCCGATTGCTGTATTATTATTGTATGAGTGATTTTACTTGCCTCGGTGACTTCGGTTTCACAGAGAAATCTGGCGTGTCAGTGCTAAATGCGCCTAAAAGCTTGACTTGATCCACTGAAAGATACCGCTAGACCATATACGGAAGCTACCGGCTATGGCCGCACAAATCAGAGCGACTAGAGGAAGCTTGTCTGAAACCCTATGTGTGACAGGCCAACCAAGCTTTACGGCGATAATGCCGGTCCCACATACCGGTGGGTTCATTAATTAATGAAATGAACATCGGCTGTCCCGAGACGATTATGGTATTCTCTGGGAGTCTGATAAGGCAAACTGGTGGTGCGACACACGCGAGTGCGTCCAGGTGTTACGCAAGTGATCTTCGCGAGAAAGAAAGTACTAACTAACTAATTAAAGTCTGGGGATGTTGGAAAGCCACGGTGAAGCCTGGGTGAACCGGAATCAGAGAGCATCTTGCGTTCGATTTCCCACTGCCTATCTATGGTAATCATACCTGGCAGAGACGGATTATTGACGAACTAACTTATCGACGGGTCCTTCTGAGGGATTCTAGAGTCTAGAGTCGAGCAGAGCCCGTGGTCTTATCTGGGATTGATTGGTTGCCACCGTCAGAATGTCGAGATTTTACTCCGGATTCCGCCACTGGCTTCCACAGCCATGTGGAGAATTTTCACGTTGTATCGCGTGCCACTGTCACTGTATCGGTGCAGTCAGTGCGCCGCCTTTTTTCGGACACCGTCGGGCTTCTTGTTGAAAAGATATTACTATTTATCTATTCCTGCTGATCCCTCCAAGCGTCCACCACCTTGTGTCTCCCTCCCATTGTCAAGTTGACCCGTTGGTGTCAACCCCTTTTCAATTCCTTATCTTCAGTCACAATGGCCCAACCCGCCAGCTTGATACTGGACGGAGGTGATCCGCGACTCCATGAAAAAGAGCGTGAGGTTTTGGATGCCGTAGACTATGGTGTCTCGACTAGCCAGGGCATCGCCATCAGCCCGCAGCATCGAAAACTGCATGACCCCGATGTAACATTCGAGGAATATTACTACTATGCGCAACTTACTCGAGCCGAAGAAGAGCAGCACGCTGCTTCTGAGGAGACTGTGAAAGACAAAGGGATTTTGGCCTTTTTCTTTCCCACAAAAAATGATAGTGGTATTCAGAAGGTCTCCGACAATGCCGCGAGAGATGCCACGAAGATGAACACCAATAATGTGGCCACTCGCATGACCATCACTGATGAGGAGTGGACCAATGCATCGCGTGCGCTCCGGACAGCCTCTCGTGGCGCTGTTTTCTATCTCATCACTACTGATATTCTCGGCCCTTTTGGTCTTCCCTATGCGTTTGCAAGCATGGGATGGGGGTAAGGTTCATTCACCTTTAAAAACTAAGAACCCGCGCTTATTCGTCACAGTCCAGGTGTTGCCCTATTTACCGTCTTCGCCGGTCTCGCTGGTTACTCTGGTTATCTTCTCTGGGAATCTTTCCTCGGTCTGGACTCGTACCAGTTCCCCGTGCGCAGCTTCGGTGACATCGGTTTCCGCCTCTACGGGCCATGGATCCGATATCTCTTCAACGTCCTGCAGAGCATCCAGCTATTGCTAAACGTGGGTCTAATCGTCATCTCCAATGGTGAAGCGTTGTCCCAGGCTACGAAGTTCAGGTTGTGCTTTATCATCTGCTGTCTGATCTGGGCATTGATTGGCTTTGTACTGGGCCAGGTCCGTACCTTGCAGAAGTTTGGATGGCTTGCCAATGCCGCTGTGTGGATCAATATCATCTGCATGATCATTAGTATGGGTGGTGCTGCTCACTCCCCTCCCAACTACACTGCTGCTTCACAGTCCGCTGGTGCCAGTATTGACGGCGGCAGCTTGATCACCCCTCATAATGGTGTTTACCCTCCAGTCACCACTAGCGGAGGCCTACCGAACGCCGGTGGCTTCACAGGGGCCGTTAGCGGCGCTATGCAGGCCGTGTTCTCCTATGGTGGTGCTATGGTGTTCCCTGAGTTTATGGCCGAGATGAAGCGACCCAAGGACTTCCTGACTGCCATGTGGGGAGCCCAGGCTTTCATCTATTTCGTCTACATGTTCTACGGTCTCTTCATGTACGGCTACCAGGGACAGTATGTCGTGAACCCAAGCTACCTTGGAGTCAGCAAGTACAGCATCCAGACGGCCGGCAATGTTTTTGCCATGGTCAGTGCTGCTATCGCCGCTGCCCTATACGGCAACATTGGTATCAAAGGTGAGTCATCTCTTTTTATTATTATCATCATTACTTCTAGCAACATAAGACAAGACTCTAACCAAACTATCTAGTCATCTACAACAATATCTTTGTTGAACTTCTCAAAGCGCCACCCCTGACTACCACAGTCGGCAAACTGCTGTGGGCTGGTCTGATCCCAGTTTACTGGGGAATTGCCTTTGTCGTGGGAGCTGGTATCCCCAACTTCTCCGGCCTGACTTCCGTTGTCGCGGCATTTTGCATCCTCCAATTCACCTATACCTTCCCACCTGCGCTTGCCACCGCCTACTGGATCAAACGCGCCGCCCTCCGCGACGGCGAAGGCTTCAACCCCAGCACTGGGGAGACAATCCGTCAAGACTCCGGCATCAAGCGCATTTTCCGAGGTTTTGCGAACATGGAAACCAAGCAGTTGCTTATGAGCATCTTCAATATTCTCTACTTCCTTGGTGCATTGGCGCTAGCGGCTTTGGGAGCGTACTCTGCCATTGAGGTATTGATTGCGGCATTCGCGGATAGCAGTGCGACGTCATTTACCTGCAAGAGTCCTTTGAACGGATAGGCTTCTTTTCTGTTCCTAGGCTCAACGGCAATCTCCCTTTCACATTTACAATGACATTATGTACAGTAAAAATCTCATAGTAATGAGGCCTGTTTTGTATTACCAAATATTCATGCATGCTTTTCATCGAATTTATGAACTGAACCGACCCGATCTCACAAGAATAATCGAATCCGATCATTCGGTTAAGATAATGAGTATATACGCTCGACATGATTCTCATCTAATAATCCTAGTACAGGCTTTGCCGTTGAAACTAAGTGCTTACTATGCTTGACGCGAGATGATGACAAGCCACGTGGTTTCGAAGGGGAACGGCCCGTTAATTGGGCATCCGTTATTTACTTCTAGCGAAGGATCGGATTACGAGATATATGTATCTGATGGTTGGATATGTAGACCAATTAGCAGTATTTTAGTCAGATACATTTATTTTGGTCTGACCGACGCAGTATCTCGACTCAGATAACAGTTCCAGGCTAAGGCCTCTCTCGAAGTCTTCCTCTGACTAGTTACCTGTTGACGGCTTTCTGCCAGTCGACCAAAAAGGAGAACTCCTTGTTGGTCTACCTGGATCTCTCTAACACCTGTACTGAAAAGTAGGGTACAGAAAAGCAGGAATAGCCATGATTGACTTTACAAGCTCATCTCGCTTTACAAGCTCATCTCGCTTCATATCATCGCGAACTCCTGAATACTTGTAGATTTCGTCTCCTAAATCCTCCAGTGCGTTGTTTGATTTTCTTCCAGGGAAGAATCCATCGGGAATTGTTACTAGGGCCTTATAAAGGGGATATTCGAAGACAACATCACGGTCCTTACCACCACCCTGAAAGACAGCAAGAATCCGATATTCATCCATTTTAGTCAGGGTGATGGTTGCTCTCAAGGTTTGCTGTTAACGGTGGATTAAATAGGTATTATTGCCATTAAGCTTATCCAGTCCTAGTTGTGGATCGAATGGAATTAGCCCAGTAGCTGTAAAACCGTTGCAAATACTGGTAGGAGATGCATATAAAGTACAATGAAGCTCTACTTATTGATATGATGGATGTCATTTCGAATATGATATTGTACATACATATCTTTCGACCCTAGGGCGCCTGTAGGCGGGCGGGGTTGACCCTCACCTTCCGCATTGCGTTTAGAGGAATACAATCCAACCAGGTCCTACTTCTAACTGATGAAAGAAGGCACTAAATACTACGGCCATGGTGCGATCAGAGCCAAGAATAGTCAGATAATAGCGGGGCTACAAATTTCGGATAGAAGGAAAAAAGAAGAGAGATGGTTTAAGTTTTCATCACGTCTTTCTTCGTTATAATAGTTATGTCTAATCTCGTGGTCGGGATTTGAATCCCTCTGTCTTTATAGGTTCGTAGTGACCATTCTGCTCGACTCTCGCTGAAAAATGCAACCAAGGGAAAAGGAGCACGTTATCGCTGAGATGCTATCCAATCATAAATTTCCAAAAGCCCCAATTGCGCCGATGGAGATCCCATCACCATGCTAACTCCTTGCTTAAACGCTCATAATAGTGATCCACCATGCAATGCAGATGGTGGTACTCATAGGAAAAGAAAAGAAAAGATACCAGCCGAGTGTGCTGGGTGCCGACATTAGGTGTTCGGATCAAGAAGGGTAAAGAATAGTCCAAGAAGATGTCGTAATGAAGATTTTGTTTAATAAAGACTCAACGAGCCCTGGATGCGTGGGTACTGCGGCTGGAAGTACTTCGCAGGCTGGCCGTGCTCCCAGCGCCCCGGAGAGTCTTGCGCATCTTTGATATGGCTCGCATGCGGTTCCGGCTTTGTCTTGAGGCGGAAGAGTTGATTGAATGTTGCGAGGAAAGCGAAGCAGTCGGGCTGGCAGGTTCTGCTGAAGTGTAGCCAACCACTCTTGCCCAGTATGAATGGGCTGCTGCCTCGGGGTGCTCCTCCATATACCACTCCGGAATGACTTCATGGAGCTGGGATGGTCGCAGAGATTCGACATGTGGATAGAGTGCCGAAAGAGGATGCAGGCTCGGGGATGCCGGTATGCCTTGTCTGCGGCTGGCTGAGCGATAGGGCTCGTAGTTCGTCTTGTAGCTCATTGTGGCTGGTGATGATCTCAGATGGTAGAGGACGTTTGTTGTATGGTCGAATAGAAGTATATGAGGCTTGAGCAATCTAACTTCTTCAGTGTAGTGAAGAGAGGAGTCTTGTTGGTTGAGGATGTGAGGCTTAATGATAACTACGACGCGAGGGGGAGGAAGTATGTATTTATGCTCGATGGTGACATGCATCCAGGATGAGGGGGAGCGGTGATAGCGGGGTCTGACATGAAGCTGACAGCCTTCAGCCCCATCCTGATAGAGCACGATTTGGAATTTTTGATCTGGCTAAGTTCGTGGCAGTTCGTGGACCGTGGACTGGCTGATGGCCAAGCTACAAGCTGGCGAACGCTAGTAGGAAGATCTCAAAGTATCTCAGTCGCTAGAGGCTCACCAGACCGGAAATAGATTAGCTGTTCGAAAGATCCTCGAAACACGCAAAGAAACATGTTTCCCTCGTAGGGCTCCATCTCAGTTCCACACGGTGCGTGGTCTCGTGGCAGAAGTGCAATTATGAGAATATCATGATTAGTTTACCCTTTCCGAGTCATATCTCATTCTTCTCTCTCACAATCTAAGTCTGTTCTGCACAGCTTGTAGGAGTCTGCTTCGGGTCCTGCGGAACCCACAAGCTTCAAGATCTCAAATCACTCCTGTTAGCGTGAGCTTACCATTGCGCTAGTCCTCTGATCGCCGTTCTTTTCAACATCGCTGCAGCAAGTTGAGTTGGCTTAGCCAGGCACCAGATTCTCTCGTCTCGAGCGGGGCGTGGCCCTTCTTTGCGGGACTGATTGCATATCTCCTAATTCATAATTATGAGAAGCTTCTGTGAAATCAAATCCTCAACTGCTGAACAGCACCGGACCCAAGCTATCTATCTAGTGGGATCGCACGCGAGACGAGAAAGGAGCACGTCTGTGATCTGCAATTCGTGCGTCCCGTGCTAAGTACTGGATCTCTGGTAGATAACCCAACGCTGTCCTTAGATCGTAGCGTCAGTGCGATCCGGGATCGATAATGCCAGGAAAATTTGTCACAAGGCTGACTTGCGACTGGATCATATGTGGCTTGTTATCCTATTCTATGGTCCCCGAGTCAGTCGTGGTTGTCTGAGCAGACGCAGTGCATCCCCGTTGGTCGTGACGTACCCAAGCAGAAATACCTATTGGCTACAGCCACGGCATCCCACGGTATCGCTGACTCCCTGTAGCTTACATGGAGATCATGGAGATACGAGCCACAGGTGCTCTGGGGATCGGCTGAGAGATGGTAAGGTTAGCCTTTGACAAATTGCTGCGACAAGACAAGCCAAGAAGGAGAATCGCGGATAGGGAAAGCGTTCCATCTTCGACGACTTTTGAACGAAGCGGTGAGAAGCTTGTTTGTTTACTAGATACTAACAGACAGGCATTGTGCATACAGTACATAAAGTAACCAGACACCATGTAACAGGGTATTTTGATGGACTTCGAACTGAACCAAACATAAGCAATTATCAGTCAGTTTCTACTACGGATTGCAATAATCAATTCAATTACCTCTTTCAATCTTTCGATTAGATTTTGCGACCGAGATGCGTCATTGCCAAGACCCTAAGCGAGTCAATCTACAAAAGCACGAGGTTCCTTCCTGTTCCTGAAAGGTGCTGCCTGGACGCCAACAACAATCATCCTGTGTTTATCTGTCCGGACTTTCACTGTCAAGAAGCATGTTTTGAACCCCTGAAATCGTACATTAGGAATTGTGTCGTTTCGATCATCAATTGCTCGTACAGAGACCAGGAGAAGACGAGTAACAACCAAACTGAATGAACAATGACAACCCTAGAAAAGCTACGACCAGTCGGTGAGTATCGAGATGGAACTAACAGGTACTCAGAGGCCACAATCAATATTTCTGACACACATTATAGGTCCATTGGAGCGATATTCCACGGCCCGCCATCATCTTGGCTTCTACAACAACGTCGCCCTCACAGCGAGGCATCTCGTGCCTTACGATGATGAGTCGTCGCTGAAGGATCGGATCTATGGAGCGTGTGCTACTGTGATAAATGACTATCCCATGCTATCGGCTGTCCCGGTTGACGAGGGCAGCAGAGAGCCGTACTTTGCACGGCTACCAAAGATCACTCTCGACCGAACAGTGTCTTTCTATTCGCGTAAGATTCATCTTACTAACGATGACGACGAGGATGCGGAATTAGATAGCCTGCTGGAGACCCAGCACAATACGTCTTTCAAGACCGATCCCGGATCTGAGATGTCCACTGCTTGGCGCCTAGTGGTTATACTGGATTCCGAGGATCGATCGGCTTTTGACGTCGCATTCATCTTTCACCATGCACTTGGGGACGGCATGTCGGGTCTTATCTTCCACAGAGCGTTTTCTGAGGCCCTGGTATCATTTAACGGGACCCCACCAACGGAAGTTATTTCCCCCAGCCGAGAGATTTCGCCAGCTTTGGAGTCCGCGCTTTACATCACCATATCACCGCTATATCTCTTGAAAGAGGTCTTTTGGTCCAGCATTGGCTGGCAGGAGCGAGGTCTCTGGGTTGCAAATCCGACCGGAACTACCCCAAAGTCGCGCTACCGATCAATGCGGTTCTCGAAAGATACAACCGCACGGCTCTTATCGATCTGCAGGGAAAATGAGACAACGGTGTCTGCCTTGCTCCAGGTGCAAATTGCAAGAACTTTGTTCAGTATACTTCCATCCACATACGGCAAACTGCTTTGCAATGGAGCAGCTACCGCCCGACGCTGGATGGATGTGAATGCTGTCGACGACAATACTATAGGTTGCTATGTTGCGGCCTACTCTGAAACCTATATTCGCAACGCTCTTCAGACCGATGACTTCCCGTGGCACATAGCCCGTCAATCCCGAGAGAACATACTCAAGTTGATCGACACAAAAGGGAAGGATAACCCCATTGGCCTGCTTCGGTTTATACCAGACGTCAATAAGATGCTTCTTTCAAAGATCGGCAAACCTCGGACAAACAGCTTCTCCATCTCCAATGTCGGTCTATTTAGTCCTAAAGAGTCAGCGGAACCTGCGGCAACAACTAGCAATGCTGGACCACGAGTGGGAAAGATGCTATTCAGCCAATCCGGCAACCATTTCGGAACTCCGTTCGAAGCCTGCGTGGTGACAGGAGGAGATGGCTGTCTGACGATAGGATTTGCCTGGGCTGACGCAGCCTTTAATGAAGAACTCCTCCTTCAACTCATGCACGGTGTCAAACATGGTCTGGAGGATTTGGTGTTGCCTTAAACACGCATACAGATGATGGGGCGGCCCTTCTTCCACATCCCAGAGTGCCGTTAGCTCTTTGCTCATTGCCTACCTAGTCAAGGCACGTGGTTTTCATATGACCGCTATTAATACTAATATTAATACTAATATCCATACGGGGCTCCCCGAGAACAGGGAATAATAATAATGTTAATGACAAGAATCACTATACTTTCTGTTGGACTTGTCCATCATCTTTCCCTATTCGACCAGGGGTAACATGCCAAGCCACGCTAAGTAGTGTGCTCTAAACATCCTTTAAAGAAACCCGGAGACGCGATTAGCATCATAAACAGTCCCTGCTGTCTTAGCATAAGGTCAGTATTGCGGGTTAATTGTAGACATGATTCTCAATCCGGCGGCTTAACAGTACACGGCCCAAGCTCGTCACGCGGTTGATGTTTTCCTGTTGTCCAGTCATCATATCACGTTTGCAGCTACAGCCTTGAATTATCTTACTTACTGAATATCATGCCTCCGAAGTCTGCAAAGTCGCAAAAGCGACGGGCTCAGTCCCCAGAGCCTCCATCCAGACGCGTCAAGTCGATGGCAAGGAGACCTAGAAACCAGGCTCTTGGACCAATCATTGAAAATAAAGCGCCAACCACGAGACTCGACGTATATGTGTTTGGAGGAGGCAGCACAGGAGAGCTCGGGCTGGGACCTAAAAAGTCAGTCGACGTCAAGAGGCCCCGGCTAAACCCTCTCCTAGATGCAGAGAAAGTCGGGGTTGTTCAACTTTCTGCGGGTGGAATGCATGTTGCTGCTTTGACATTCGACGGCAAGGTGCTGACCTGGGGCGTTAATGATAACTACGCCCTAGGTCGCGATACCCCCTGGGAAGGAGGATTGAAGGATATGGACGCGGCAGAAGACGATTCCAGTTCGGGCACGAGTAGTGATATTGAACTAAATCCGCACGAATCTACTCCAACTGCTATTCCTGGAAACAGCTTTCCGCCTGGTACGGAAATCGTGAGCGTTACAGCAGGTAATAGCGCGACAATTGTCTTGACGCAAGACGGGCGGGTTTACGCCCTAACTTGGACGAAGTTACCGTCCCGACCTTGATCGATAATACTGCTGTTCGGGATAAGAAACTCACCTGGGCAGGATCGGGTGGTCAATATTCTATACTTGCGGGACCACATCAACTTAAGTCAAAAGAATAGTGTAGGCCATTTCTCATATTGAAGTCCACCCCTGCATTGCATACGGCTTCCTCTGCTATCCAAGCCCTTATCACATAGATGTACGTACGGAGAATGTCGACGCGACGGTTCAAGTCTTATTTTCCGTCTATCCTTAAGTAACTTATCATTTACCGCAGTGGAAGGAGAAAAGACACCGGTATCAAGCGTCAGTGCCCGCGTCAATGTCGCCCAAACACCGTTTCGACCAAATAGCACCGTAACCTTTAGTTTCCATAAAGGGCAAGTGGTATAGGAAGTAGACCCAAATATTCCACTCCTGTTGGGCAAGCAAGGAACCAGTCCAGGTGCAATTCCATGTACCCTAGTTACCGATTGATTCCTACCACGCTATGCATGCATAATTTAGAAAGTAGAAACAGCCACTGACTTCCTCTTGGTCCTTGAATGATATGCGGAATTTTGTAGCTTCTTAATTGGTTTACTATTCCGCTTGGTTCCTCGGTGGCCAATCCGGAGCAGGGTAACTAAGCAGCTTGCAGATGTCCTAACACAGTTTTTGTCAATTCAGGAACAGGTTTCGAATTCATTTTTGATCTCACCTTTCTTCTTCTTCGGAAATCTTCATACAACTCTCTCCATACTTCTCGGTCGCGGCACCCGCTCTCTTCTGGCGTACCTGGCTTATTGTCACATCGGGGAAGCATCTCTGCCAACAGTTTTTGCGGCCACATTATCCAGGGTTTAGGTAGCGGCCAGTCAGAGAAATGAACGAGCTTGGCTTCTTTGAGGACCTTGTCTGGATCCCAAGTCTCGTATTCATTTCCGAGATAGGCTCTGTGATCCTTCGTCCGGAACTCTCCCGTGACGAGACCATATTGCCTGTGGGGAAGGACCATGGCAGAATCGCCGTAGCGATCATTCAGCAATTCCATGTCGTATCGCACTTCTGTCGTCTCGTTATCTGGGGCCGCTTGACCCGCGCCAACTTGGCCAGCGATGATCGGTTGGGCAGCATCCATGAGGGCTTTATATTCCCGATAGGAAGGCTCAATCAAGATAAGAAGGGAAGTCAGCTTCCTAGTCTGTGCGTATTCCCAATACGCCCGAGGCATTGCCGCTTTCGCTGGAGGCAGGAAGAAGAGATCGTCCATCTCTTGTAGGATGGTAACATCAGAATCAATATGCAATACGCGGTCGTACTGGGTCTGGCTAAATGCGAGGAGCTTCGTGATGCTACTATCCCAAGAATCCACATCGTCTGTATAGAGATTAAGATTTGTCAGCCATTTGATAACTACGACTTGGACGAAGACATGACGGCGCCGGACGAACTTGAGCCACCCCTGACAAATTGTACATCGATCGGCATAAGTTGTACATTGTACTGGTCCCGCGCAAGAACTAGTAGTTGGCTGTTACGATCTGTTGCACTCTCGATCAAAGTATCCCATTCCTCGGGATAGAAGAGAACCCGTTCTGCGCGGCTCCCGAGCCGGTGCAGAGCCTCGAATATCAGGATGGAGTTGCAGAGATATGCGCTGGAGGTCGCATACTGCACGTATGCGTATCGAGACCAGTCGACAGCTTCATAGCGGTAGAAGGGCGAGTTTGAAAGGCGATGTGAACGGTGATGGTTGTACCAGAGAAACGCCAAAACGAAGATGGCTAGAATCGCATAGGTTCGGAAGCGTCGAACTGGACGCCCAGCTGGCATGTGCCCCAGCTTGGGAGGCATGAATGCATCTTTGAGTCCCGGGGACGTCCGATCAGCAGCTCTGGACATCCTCGACAGGACTGTTGCAAGTGAAAAGAAGTCATCTTGCTGTGACGCGTCAGGTTCATCGTCGGAACAGACACGTGATCACCGCTTCCCGCCCCTGAAGTTGGTTCCTTTTCATGGCTGTCAAATCTCACTGTCTACATGATCTTACGCATACATTGAGGACCCAAGATGATGCGGGTGTTAAACGCATTGAATGCAAGATATTGTAACAGACAATTTCCAACCGTCAAGGGAGACATTGCAAAGGGCCAAAACGGCCCGATAATCAAGTACTACCTACCTATCTACCTAAGTCGGTCATTACACCACAAGAGCGACCACAACAGAACCTGTTAGAAGTGAAGTCAGGCATTCAGGGAAAACAGCGATGAGACTCGCTTTCATGTCCTGTCAGAGAATGGACTATCTAAGTATCTAGCGCATTTGTTACTACATACAAGCGAAACCACCAATTCTTCAGTTCAGCACACCATTTGCAGATTGAGCCCCAGCACCGTACCATTGCGATAGGTAGGTGATGAGCTTCTCCCATTCACCGGGGATACATGCCATGCCAACGTACAAGTCTGGTCGGATAACTATCAGGCGACCCTCTGCAGGAATATCGTACCGCGTCTCAAATTCATCAAGTTCATCAACAGTCTCGTGATCGATGTCAAAACGCTGTTCCCGTTGCCGCGAGATCAGATAGGTCGAAACCTGCCTGGGATATAGCTTGTTCAGTTTATCACGAACTGATGTCCCGATGTCGATGACACTGTCCGGGTTCGCTGTACCAGGGGCCACGAGAACCGTGAACTGCGGTCGACGCAGGGCGTCATATAAGCGTCTTTTGGGTTCCCTCACAAGCAACGCATCTGGAGCGCGTTCGCCCGGTTTGGGACCGCTAACTGGAGTCAAGCCTTCAGGAAGGACAGTCACATCACAGTAATTGTGTGACAGACCGGATACGAGTTTGATGGTGCGTTCCTCCCAGCCTGGTTCCTTGGTGAGATGGAGACGGTCCTCGGGCTCGACACCGAATCCCATGACTATGTGATGTGTTGCGAGTGCGCCTTCGGTGACCTGGCTACCAATTGGTTTCCGCTCCTTCTCATACGTGTTGAGAATAGAATCATCTGCTTCCCCTTTGAAGACAGCAGCCAGCTTCCAACCCAGATTGAATGCGTCCTGCATCGTACAGTTCATTCCTTGTCCACCACTTGGGGAGTGGACATGAGAGGCGTCACCACAGATGATCAATCGCCCAGCACGATACCGCTCCGCCATATGGTTGCGGACATCCCAGGCCGTCACCCAATCCGGTTTTCCCACCTTGAATCCAACACCCAGTTTGTCTGCGACTTCCTGGTATGCTTTTTGCGGGTCCTTGTCGAAGACGTATTTCCCGGTCGGTTCACTCATATAGATGCGCCAGTACTTCCCGGGCATCTTGGTGCAGTTCATAAAGAGGTCCTTGTTGAAATAGTAGTTCATCCATCGGTCATCAAAAGTGACGTTGCTGAGTTCCACGTCCATCTGAAAAGATTCGGGTTCATTAGTTCTGTTTCATCACCTAGCGCAGCCAAGGAACTGTTTCTCACCATTGACATCACGGCGACGGTCTCGCCCTCGAACTTGATATCTGCTGCCTTCCGGACAAAACTGTGGACACCATCACATCCTATCACATAGGGATAGGAGGCCTTCTCGATGCTGCCATCTGGGTGCCGAATAGTAGCCGTTACTGACTTGTGCTCGTCTTGCTCCAGGGCCACTAGCTCCGTACGATATTCTGGGCCAATGGAGTAATTCGCGAACAGTTGCTCCCGCAGCACCAACTCGACATTTTCCTGACTGATCTTGTAGTAGAAAGGATATCGCGTCGGTAGTACTCGGTAATCTGTTCGAGGCCATTCGTCTTCGCTGAGTCCTGGAAAGTGATACAGGTTTCCTGGGCATTCCAGACAGACCTGCTCCAGTCTGTGTGCCATTCCCATATGATCAAGCATCTCCAGGGTCCGCGCATGCAAGGTCATGGCCCTTGTCGTATGCGACGGACCCTGTCGTTTCTCGATGATCCGCACAGGAACTTGTCGGCGAAGGAGCTCATAGGCGAGCAAGAGGCCCGTAGGCCCTCCTCCAACGATAAGGATCTCGTTCTTGATTGTGTCTTCCATTGTTTTTTTGCCCTGGAACATCCTGAAACTTCGATCAATCACTCCAGATATAAATCGACCTGCGAAAGAACCTCGTGGGGTCTCCATTGTCTCTCTCCACACCAGGCGACCTGCCTGTGGGGCTGTATAGGGGCGGGAAGATGAAAGAGCAGAAGGTGGGAAGTGGAAGTTCGTCGTGTAGGACATCCATTGAATCTAAATATCCAAATCCAGCTGTAGGGTTGAGAGGCAGATTATTATCTGATCCGATAATCGGATATAGATCTTAGCATAGGACTTAATTTCCTGCCCCACAGGCGGGGCCCCAGAATCATCCCATGTCCCCATATACTGACGAGGACGTTGTAGGATACATGAACCGATGCGCTTCGGGTAGTGTTTCCTGATCCTAGTAGAGGCTTTAGCCGAAAGACGCGATGGTTAGAATAACCGCAGAGAAAAAAGAAAAAAGGAAGAAAAGAAAATATGTGGGTGTTTCGATTCCTTTTTCGGCACGTCAAGATCTTGAAGCAGACCCCCCCCCCCCCTCCTCTATCCTACCACCTTGGTCACCTGGAATTAAAAATGAATATAAGCTAGAAATCCTACATTATCGTAATTCTGATCCGAATTCAAGAATCTTCTTGTCGTAACAGTGTATCCCCTATCTTTTCACAAAGCCTTACTCCCTCAACATGCTACAGCACCATATTCCCCATTTGGGTAAACGTCTTCGGGACTAAAGGTGGGACACCAAAAACTCCCCCTATGAACCCCCTCATCGGAAAAGGAGGGACCATCCATCCCACATGGCATGAAAGCCGAGGTTAGCCAACGGTCCAACTGATGGCACCACCATAGAAGGTAGTACTAACCATGAAAATCATTCTCCCCTCCTTGACACTTAGTACAAGTACTCACCGTAGCTATGGAAATGGATAAGTATGATATGCTTTTTTTTGGCGGTAATAACTCGGTCTCCCACCCAAACGCGGGATCTCACTTGAAGCACACATTTGTAAGTACCATATGGTACTTAGTTAGTGGGGTCCACCCTTTTTGTGTTTGAATTTCGGGATATTATTTGATCCAGCAAGGAAATTGATCTTCATTTTGAGTTATTTTATAACGGTTCATGGGATATTGAAGAGCTTGAAATAGGTTAGTTTGGAAAATTTTATCAATCTCCGAATTTCGCTGGTAGATAGATAAAAAAAAAAAAAGAAAAAAAAATCTACTTCTATGATTTGATTTTCATGGATGAGAGAACTTGACTGACTGGACTAACTAACTCGTCTGGTTAGCTTAGTTTGATAATCGCAGAGTTGTGCTGACGCGTCAAAAGCTGCTTGTGTTTCAGGACTGCAGGCACTGATGTGATAGTCTCATAATATTTATTGGTCCGGAGATGTTGTCCCAAACAACATTACTAATTATATAGATGTTGTGTACGTCCTGTTAAGTATGGTCTATTCTATACTAGGAAGGGCTGTTTTGTGTTGATGGGTGTCGACATTGTGCCATACGAGCTATGTATGCCGGTCAATTGCTCTTTACGTTGTATGCAAGTAAGCGCATATGGATTATGGTAGCCTGTACACGATTGAAATTTTCAAGTATCCTGTCCCATACATACATAAAATAAGTTAAAAAATAGAACTGAGAAAGACGCGGGATATCATATTCGCATGAAGAGATCAGCAATCAAACATGTCTCTGTGACCACTGCCCCCGCTCTCGCGAGGACCCGAAGACATTGAACTGCTCCCTTCCTCCTCATCATCAACCTCCACAACTATATCTGTCTTGACTGTAACTTGTCCACTGCGCACAAGTCCTGTTTGATCTGGTGAAGACACCATTATTCTGCTTTCGGATCGGTCCGAGCAGTGGTCCCAGTCCAGCTCGGTCTTGTCCCCGTACACCGGGGTGGCAGAAATAGATGTCTCCCTGCGGGGCCCACGGCGGTGGGTTTTGCGCCCCATCTCGATTGTCTGGGTATCCTTGCTCGAATGTGAACGAGACCAAGGATAGCCAGGATAACGCCCATCCCGACGGTTGTCAACAAAAGTGCGAAGGAATAGCCGGATTACTGGGGCGCAAGTGGCGATTAGAATACTATAATTCTCGATTCTATTGCCAATGATGATGAAGATCAGTATTCTGTACGCATGCCTGTAGCTTTTAAGTTGTGGAAGATCGAAGGTGCTTACTTGACCCAGAGAATAAAATGCACAATATTGTCTGAATGGTAACGTTAGCATGTGGTCACAATAGAAGCTATCGTTATAGGACTCACAGGTGAAATCTAGTCTATCTCCGAGAGATTTAAGAAGCTGTAGAGATGATGTTAGTTATCCGACACCAAAATTGAAGTGGTTAGGCTCTTTAAAATTAACGTACGTAGGTCTTAACGATGGAGGCTGCTCCCGAAAGGAAAAGAGGCACGCTCAAGCTTATTGTCTGCCAGATACGACGTGACCGTACGCTACTATTAAGTCTCTTGAACTGAGTCCAAACAGAAACGTTCGGATTACGGTGTAGTGTCTGGATAAAGAACTGCCAGAGCTCGAAGGCAGATATGACGCCTAGGAAGAAGTCGATAGACGTGTTGAACCCTGTCATTATTCTTTAGTCAGAAATTCGAGAGAATACAGGACGATGGCTCCTTACCTCCTTGCACAAATCCCACAGTCGTCTGCACGTTTGGGCTCTGGCACTTGACTGACCCATCCGCAGGGAGAGGATCCCACATGTAGTGGAAGTACTTTGTCCTATCCGCTGGACGGTAGGGATTTGGTCCACATTGCACGACGATTTGTACAATTGTCAGGGCATTTGCTATCACTTGTATGATCATCGAGATGATAATGCTCAACCGTATACGTCTATCGCTGGCAGAGAAACACTGGTAGAGGAACCACATCATCCCGGTTCGCGACACCATGGCTGCAGCGACAGCTATTGATAATTAGAAGAGGGACAAGATGATAGAGATCTAGCAATGAACACGTACCTGTCGGCTGTGACGCGAAGTCGAACCTCAATGACTGCACTTTCTCTGTAGGACTAAGATAGTAGAAGTGTCGTCCAAGGCCCCATTGATAGCTATAAATTATTAAGTAACTGTTTCGAAGGAAACCACATAGGAAATTCACGTACCTTAACTGGATCAAAGTCATATGCAGGAGATCTAGAGAATACCCGAATAGGAATATCAGATCCTCGAATCCCCACACCCTTTCGGGAGCTGACACTTGAGGAAGGGCCCAACGGATCCATGCTTTCATAGAGAACCTGAAGATCAGGACAACTCCGACAATGCCGGTGAGGACCTTTATTTTCTGTGTCAGAAGTGGTATGCACAATTGATCAACTATCTTTATCATACCCAGCAGACTCTGACGATATCCGTGCCTGACCGCAGGTTAGCACAATCACTCTCATGACGGAGCTCGGGAGGCAATCGAACCAATGTTCACATCACCCTCACTGGGGCGCGGGATATCCATCTCTGCGTATACAGAGATCGGTCCCAGTACGAGATGGCAGCAAGGCTGATTCTGTTTTGGTAAGGAATGACAGATGTTCACAATTAAAGACTAACAGGGCCAGACTGCTGTTTATGTGGTCGAGCTCTGCGCAACCATCAAGCTGGATCGTTGTGTAGCCAAGGCGACCCGACTTTGTGGCTTCCTACAGGCCTCTATCATTATCCACTCCCAAATCAAAAAGAATATTGCTGGTCAATATGGTCCAGACAAGATATCCTGGAGAGAGACATGCAAGATCTATCACAGTTTCCCCTCCAGTTAAGCATCCCTCGATTGAGAGAACCAACCAGAGTTCCTGTCATTCCTGCAGATGGAGGAATGAGGTACGGCCAGCCTCCCCCAAGGGATAGTGGCGGATCTGCAAGTAGCTGGGAATCCACGCGAGGGCGAGACATTCAGACACATGAAACTGCGAATAATAACCAAAGAGTTTATTGTGCAGGAATTATGAGCGACCATCTTGTGGGTGGACCGGACTGCATCTTTCTAACACCAGAATTAGTCCAGCAAGCTCACTTGTGGCAGAAACCTTATCTGCACATGGTAGACATTGGCCTGCAAGGGACTGGTTTCTAAGTACAGTATGAAAAGGAAGGACATCGAGGGGCATGCGTTAGGTTTAGGGTAACAACCACGCAGATTCAAGCGAACGTTCGTCAATATGTAAGACAAGCTGTCCATCAAAGCCACCAAACAAGGCCTGTTGGCCAGGAAAGATTGCTTTCCGGAGGCCATCGATCTGACCGCGATGCAGCTCAGCTAGCTGATGACGCCGTTGAACCCTCAACAGCTGGGTAGCCGATCAAGATAATCGTGTGTGGCATGCTTCAAGGTTTCTGTACGGTGAGAGCGTGCTAGCGAGATCTATCCAGTTTTCAGCACATCGCTCATTTTGGTAACTGAGGGGCGAGGGCAGAAACGGGGAAGTAGCAGTTGATCTCCGTTTCTCCCATTTTGGCTTCAGGCGACAGCGTCGCCGTCACTTGAAGCACAGTATTGTCAACTTGTGTTTGGTTCGGGTGGTTTGGCTAAGTATCCGAGAGCGGGTTGAGGTTTCAAACCTTTACGGCCGCTAAAAGAACACAGACATTTAGTTCAACAGCTTATTCTCCCGATGCAAGGGACCATCGCGTGAAATCAACCAGTCATGGACAGTTGTGTCTGCGGCTCCTTGCATCGACAAACATATCCGAAAAAAAAAATGTGATCCATGTGTATTTCCCATTGGATGACAATGTCAGATATTACAGAGAATTGCCAGTGAACCATTTATTGTCGAGTTCAAACCCTACCGAAGGATGTCGTCTTTATCTATAGATGATGTCGGAACTGTGTGTCCACTAAGTAGCTGGTGGTTACCTATTGTTGAGTACCACGTAGAGCTCCAAGGCAGTCTATACATGGCACCCATGAACACGCATCATCGCTGATACCTGCTGTCATTGCTTTCCTTTGGCATGCTGGGAGACAAGTGGGAGCCTTCTGAAACCAAAGTATGTCTGAAGATATCTCCAGGATATCTCATCTGCTAGAATTTCAAAATCCAAAGACTATTGCCTCGCATCCACCCCAGACCAGACCCATCTGTTTGATTCAGTAGCTGTACTGCAAATTTCTGGGACTTAAAACCTAAGATATCACAAACGCATATATATGATGGCCACTCTCCCTGTGTTCCTCCATCGGGGATAATAAACGTTTAATGAATCCTTGACCGTCGTGGATTTGCTGTTTGTAGGGCAATAAAGACCGAAATGGAGGGCAATGGACGACAATCTCAGCGCAGCCATTTATTGCCCACATATTACGTCCATATGGAACGCTAATAACTATAACAATAAAAAAAGAACAATTCACGGAGACGATAGCCACCACAATGACTGCTTCAGGGGGAGGCGTCGTATAAACTTGCTCTATCTTGTACTTGCTGGTCCAGACAAGGAATTCAAGATTTGTTTCAGAGATGATAATTTTATCACAACTTTACCAAGAGAATGGAGAGACGCCCATGTGGCAATCCACGTTTGTGGTGTTCCATCTCGATCGTTGTTCGATTCCTGGCGCAATGCAAGGGGCGATCATCCCTTTCTTGACGTGTCGGGAGTCTCTCCCACCTGTTCGTGTCGGAGAAAACACTCGTCTAATTTCTATCCCCATCTCGCTTCTCCAAAAGGCAGAACTGTGGGTCTTTGATAGCCTAGGGTAAGCTCGAAGTCCACATCATGCCTTTGGGCGTTCTGGTTTTTATGTTTAGAGGGCGAGAAGAGGTTGGGAGGGCGCGCACAGTTCAACCTCCGGATCGCACTCCAGAGTTCCGCTGTCCGTTAACCTCGCCGAAGGTTTTGGACCTTGCATTCTTGTCCGGCATAACGCCTCTGGGGACGCATTAGCAGACATCTTCTCCGGTGATCAGATAGGCTTCCAATGTAAGAGTTCGTCCTCCAGGTTTATCTACGATCCACAAGGGATGATCCAGACCTAAAAGACTTTGACAGAACTTGAGAGCGTGGCCCCGGATTACTTCCGGTCGATCCAGCTTTCCCCATGCCACATTGTGGAAGGTTTGGGGCTCACTACTATCTCTCTTCCGCTTCTGGTCTGACATACTTGATCGAGGCCGCGAGGGTCATGGTGTCTACGCCGTCGAATGGAATCAGCCAGCCCTAAGTGTTTCGCGTCTGCAATGAGATGGATCATGAACGCTTAACCCATATTGACCGGACTGATACTGTCTGATTTTTGGGTCTTTTTCTCGTGGAATGATCTGGATGCCACAATTGGGGGCAATTCGTCGTCTTCCATTTCGCGCTTATCCCGTTGTTCTGGCTCTAGGAACCCCCCCTACTGTCGGACACGCTACGACTTACCTTATCGAAGGGCCCACATGTTCTTCATATGCGAGGATCTCTATCCGCTGAACTTTGAAGTCAATGTGAGTGTCGACAGGTCCTCATGGGAGCAGGGATCCGACCACAGACCCTGTGGCACGCGTCTGCCATGGACGGCGACCAGCAGGCTGGCCATGCCCTTACCATCCGATTGGATTTCTCCATAAGATCGGGAGATAGATGACTTCAAGCCATGTGGTTCTGGCAGTTCCAGACATGTGGTGACCACGCAGCTGGGGACATTCAAAAAGACTGGGACTCCAGCAGGTAGAATTCTATCGATCTTCTTTTACTCCATCCCCTGCAGACCATCAGGCTGTCATTCTTTCTTCTGGCCCACGTCTTTCTTTGTCTTCTGTCGTGTACAATTGTACCATTATCCTACCCCCCTCTGCGAGGGGCCTGAGGCTGTGCTATACTATCAATTGATATCTTCCCCCCCTTCTTTCTGGGAGTCGTCCCAACCTTGCCGTTACATAGGTACTAGTCGTCATACAACTGTAATACAATGGACACGCAAAGTCATGAAGCTCCCCGATGGGAGAAAACCTTCGAAGTTGGTCAAACATCGTCCGATACGAGTAGCGATCGAAATATGTCCAAGGGACCAGATCGCAGTGATGAGGCGGATCCTCGAAACTGGAGTCCATGGAAGAAAGGCTTATTGTTTACGGCCCTCATGACCAGTTCGTTCTTAGCGGACGGGTAAGTGCAATTTGTTCCCCATGCTATCTGCACAGCATTGCTCATTGATCTCAGTGCGATGACTTGGGGCGCGACTATGGTTGTTCCACAGGCTCTAGAGTGGAAAATCAGCACTACGCATTCAGCAACGAGTATGAACTATGGCATCTTACTGCAGGGCTTTGGTGGCATATTCGCAGTCCCTTTTATCGAGGCATATGGTCGATTCCCCGTTTGGCTTTGGCCGCAAGTCATCACTATGTTCATGGTTCTGGGAGCCACATTGTCAAACGACTGGAGTACCTTCACTGCGTTCCGCTCTCTGCAGGGTCTATTCGGGACGGTTCCCCAAGTTGTTGGACTTCCTATCATCCATGATATGTACGCACCAGAGGGTCAGTCTCGATTATCTCCTACCTATATTCTATAATTTTACTAATTTTCCCTTATAGACTGGCCAAGCATGATCAACATCTGGTATGCTATTGCTATCTCTACTTCAGCGGTCCCATTGTTTGTCTTGCATCAATACTAATATCCCTAGGGGTACTACCTTCCTCGCTGGACCATTCCTTGGTCCTGCCATCGCAGGCTACATCTCCAACGCTGCCGGGTGGAAAGTATCGTTTGCTGTCCTAACAGGGCTGTATGGATTTTCAACGCTACTGGTTCTCTGCTTTGGCTACGAAACCTACTATGTACGAGGTAGCCATGTGTCAACATCGTGGTTCAAGTCGCTTTTCAGCATTGGAAAGACAAACCAAGCCAAGGCTTCCACGTTCGCGTACGAGTGCAAGACTCTTGTGCTTCTGATTTTCAAGTTTCCCTTGCTCCTCACAGGTATGTGCTAATCTCACAATCTGCATCAACTACTCCTTGTTAATACTGACATATTCTCTTTCTAGGAATCGCAACCATGGTGAATTTCACTTGGCCTATCGGTATGTTCTCTCATGATATTCCCATCTATCTGGGTAGTGCCTCTGTACTGACTGGCTTTCCTAAGGAATCACCACTACAATCGATGGATTCCTCCATGCGGCGCCATACTTTTTCAACACGGTGCAGGCATCGTCGTTGCGTTTCGCTGGTGTCATCGGTGCTATCTGTGGTATGTCTTACCTGGCAAACCAACCAATAATCACTCTGGCCCACAGCTCTGATGATATTCTCTCTCCCGAATAGGTTACATATTCGGCTACTACTTCAACGAATGGATCTTCAAGAAACGGCGCTTCCACTGGCGTCCCGAGTATCGTCTTCATGGTGTCTGGGTGCCTATCTGCGCTATGGCCGGCGGTCTGCTCACGTATGGCCTAACTCTCCAATTCGGTAAACACTGGATCGGTCTTGCTTTCGGCTGGGTCCTAGTAAATACCGGAATGATCGGTTCCACTGTGTAGGTTTACCCCTGTCCCTGAAGATCTTGAGATGGGAACAGGAATGCTAACAAGACATCATAAAAGCGCAATCACCGCATACGCCCTTGAGAAATATCCTTCCCATGCTACTGGTGTATCGGCCATCATCAACATGTGGCGCACCTGTGGGGGGTTCAGCGTTGGGTACTTCCAGCCCTCGTGGGTTGCGCGAGATGGCGTCGGTGTCGTCTTCGGTGTGCAAGCTGCCATTGTCGCTGTTTGCATCGTCCTGACCATTGTTCCTGTCATTGTCACTCAGCGAGGCAAACAGGACTCGATTGATGGTCTAGATCTAGACGATCATATGAGACATCAAGAGGCAGAACATTCTGAGGATGCCTGAGGCAGATCAGAAACGAATGATGCGTATATATATGATCAACGTGCCAAGGTGTTGTATATCTGAATTTATGTGAAAGTCTTATTTGTGAATAAGGATAAACCGCTTGCTTTGATGGTGGATTATGTGATTTTGTACTGTTCTATATTGATTGTGATTAAAGGCATGTGAATATATTTTTTGATGTTAATAAGGTGTTTCCTCACTGCGTATTGTAAATAGTAAATATAGCCCAAAGGACTGTTCTTATGCTCAATTACAGTCAGACGATTGCTAGATGTCCTTCGACAGGAAATGGACTACACAGAGCTAAATTCACGACTGCTGATCCTGTGCAATGGACATAATAATTCTTATATCCAATGCACATGGAGAGCGATATATTATGATTTAGCCTAGTTAATTCATTCGATACTCACTACCGATGTAGGCGTCAAAAGTTTTTTATAATGCCTGTCACTTGGCGCTGATCAACTGCAAAGGCAGGTCTATACGCGCCCAGTTGCGCTCCGAGGGCAAAACGATAGCCGATCTTAGTGCTTTTAGGAGCATCTGTGGTCTACACAATGGGACCACAACCGGAAGTGAATCTGCAGCCCCAGGACTGCTGCCAGGTAAGATGGCCCAGCCAGAGGGAAGCAGGTTTCCTGTTGGGATACAGTCGCGCATGTGATCGCGGTCCTGTATTTTGTAAATTGACTGTGTATTGTTAGTGTTCTGTTGTTTAAGACTCATGAATGGAGGTTTGTATACAACTTACCTCGAGGAGACAAATTCATGCACGAGCGGGCGCATAGAATTGCGACCTTCCTTCCTAACGGCTATTGTCAAGGAAGAGCATTATATCGTATTTGCCGTCTTGTGCAAAGTTTATATGTGGATATCTTTCTGATAGGTCCATCGAGAACTTTCACTCCAGGGAAACTTCAAAGTCAGCCTTCGTTGTTCCCCTGGAACGCTTCCGGGAAGAAGCCAGGGGGAGGCCATATGTCCGCGATAGATTGCGGATGGGTCAATGGCTGCGAGCCGATCAAGCGGTCGGGATCATTGCAGAATGCTTGGAATGTACTGTCGTCGATAAAACCGAAGTCTTCCAACGCCTCTTCACGACTGTTGGCCCACTCGTTTGTGTCTAGATAGGCAAGATCGTTGAAGATAGAATCTAGGTCACCATGAGGGGATGGGTTCTCAACGGCGGCCTGGGTTCCCTGACCTGTACCATGTGGCGCGTTGTTTGAGCTGGAAGGCTGGGCTGCGTTCGCGGCGGAGGAATCAGGAGTTGGAGGATGCGTCTGAGCACCAGGTCCTAGGCTTGCCTCTGGTCCGATCTGCGAAACGGTCTTGCTAATCTCGACTGGAGTATCCAGTGGCCGTGAGAAAAGCTCCGAGAGAATCGAAAGGTCGACATTTTCCGTTGCGGAATTCTGTGGTGTGAGGTAATAAGAATCTATAGGGATTCTGATTCCCATGATGGGAGGAGTGAAATCGGTGTCAGTGTTTCCATTTCGATGGAAAGAACCCCACGACGAAGGCGCTATAGGGTTATCGTTCATTTTCTCTGGCTGTCTTATAGCGGCGTCCGCAGCGCCCGCGCCTAGGGGAAGAGAATTCCAGATGTCCTGTGTGGATTTCTCCGGGGATATCAATCGCCTTTTCCCGACAGCTAATGAACGGGACGTATCACCCAAGAGGGCACGTCGCTCAATAGATGTCGCCAGGGATCGGAATGCAGGCCAACAGTGACCAATCTCGAAGATCTCCTGGAGGACTGTTTCCAGCCATCTACGGAATGGGAAACTTTCCAACTCGAGTTTCTCCCGTACATTCGACGCTCTTTCGACTATAGAACGACAGGCGAACTCGAAGATGGGCGGTAGTCCGCATGAATTGAAATTTTGACCATGTTGCGATAGCAGCGGTGCTATGCGGTATAGAAGTTTCTTGGTCGCATCAAAGGACGGTCTCTGCATACCAGGCTGATCACGTTCACCGGCCGTGAGACGGGAGAATAAAGACAATAAGGTCGCCGCGTACGTCAGAGCCAGATACGTCTGGTGCGGGAGTAACGGTGGAGAGCCATCCGAGGAACTACCTTCAACTTCCATCAGTCGACACCTTGATGGCAATCGTTCGTCCCATTTCTTTAAATCCCGGAGAATCCGCTGCGTGAGGACCTGGTCACGATTGCCTGTTGAGAGATCCCGCGCAATCTTGTTCAGAACCGCTGCCAGTTCGATCAGGCGATTGAAACAACTGAGAGCCAAGAGCGGACCACGACGAGGCATACCTGGTCCCTGGGTCCGATGTTCGCCAGATAGACAGAGAACATCTACCCATGGGCTCCATTCTTCCAGACCGTCTTCCTCCAGAGGCGGGATCTTGGCCAGGTCTTCTGGCCGCATACAGGGGCATCGCGAGAGGCGAACAGCCAGCAGGGAGTCGATCACGAAACAACCCAGAAAGGCCGCTTTTCCCTGCTTGATCTCCGACGCCCTTCGGGGCGGTGGGAGAATGCCTCCTTGTCCCATCGCGACCACCATGCGTGTCGCCTGCCCACTGAGCAGCCAGGCCGCCGTCCAGTCCTCCAGACCCATATTGACCATCGTCAATAGCAATAAGGCCTGGATATGGCCTATCTCGAATTTCTCCTTCTCCGATGGGATTAGGCTGCGTGCCACCTTGTAGTATTCCTGCACCTTTGGCGACATAGCATTTCCCGTGTTCTCCGCCGATCCAACCCGTATGGGATGCCGTTGAGCAACCGTATAACTGAGGATAGCCCACAGAGCGGCATGATCTCCAGAACCAGATGTAGACTTCCCAGCCGAAACAGGAGCCGTGGGGTAGAGGTAGGACGCCTTGAGAACATTGTGCTTGGCGATAATGGGGAACCAGGTATGCGTTTTGGCGAAGTACCATTCTAATAACTGGGAGGTCTGCGGCGGCAATTCCAAAGCCTGCGGACTGGATGCCGCCGACCTATCCCTATCAGTGTCCGTCGAGAAAGAATGTCTGGGCCTCTTCGCTGGGGGAGCGTCGGAAGTATTCACCACCCGGGGCGTATCCAACGCCTTGGAGGTGGAATCTCGTGCAACGCGGAAGCCCCATTCCTCATCGCTATGGCCGCGGGGGCATTTGACAAAGGGCAGGGTTCGATCGGCATCCTGGTTTGTGAGCATCTTCTCGAGGGCACCATAGAGCTTGCTGGACTTCCAGGTCTCGTGCAGGCTTTCTGCGGCGCTATCATCGGTCCAGAGACTCATCAGTTGCGGCCGTCGTGTAGCGGACTCTGCCGTTACCCCCAGCAAGTTCAGCATGGTGTCCTCGAGCCCGTCGATATTGCAGAGGGACAGTGCCCATAGTTTCTCGAGGCCTCTGACATAGCCCTCGGGCAGACCACGCTTCTTCGCATGGGGGTCATAGGAGCAGACGTGACCGGATGTCTGGCAAGCCGAGCAGGTCGGGCGAATCCCGTCGCATTTATCCTTCTTGCTGCGACAGCGGTCGCAGGCGCGCGATACCCTCTTGCGACGAGAGCCTCTGAGCTCCGATCCCTCTTCCATGAGGGCTGGCGTTTAGGAACACGCGGACATGACCTGCCGTGGCGAACGATGCACACTCGTGAGAGACATCCAAGGCGTCGAGGAGAGACGATACACAATCACCGCGATTGCTTTTTCAATGTTTTCCTAGAAGACGATTCCCACGGGGACGATCTGGGGTATGTGTCGTGGGGTTTCTGGTCCTTTAGTCACGTTCCGCCATTGTCTGCGGAACGGATTAGATAAGATTAGTCGGTGTACGGAGTAGTTCCGTCGTCGGTCATCAGTATTCTTATACTGGTGTTTCCAGGGGACGTCGACAATGATGCTTTGGACAATTAATTCTGATATTGTGTATTAGACTATCTCATACTCTACAATTTCCCATGATACGAGCTTGGTTCTGTGGTTTGAGATCTCCAGTTCGTCTAACCACGAGGGTAAGCTGTACTAAACTATCGACAAAACACATGATACCAGATTAATGATCTGATACGAACGGTGCAGCTTCTGGCCACTGCCGCGCCAGATGAAGGACCAATGCTCCTTAGTAAGTCCACCAGTTGAGACGTGCTGTCTCCATCGTTAAGCTTAAAGAGCCGGTTCAACGGGGCTTAAAGATCTTGTTGAGTTTAACAGATAGCTTTATCCTCGACGGAATCGATACACAAGGTAAAATCTCATTTGTACTTATCAGAATATAGAGTTGACCAGTCGCCGTTCAGATATATTTGTATTTGCAGTGGTTCGGGATCGGGCATACCATAGATAGAACGCATTTCAAATACACACAGCAGCAGATCGCTAAGAATCCAATACACTTATAGAGGATGCGTTGCCCCAGAAATAAGTAAACAAATATATAACTACTCTGGATAATAAAATAATAATAATAATAATAATATAATAATAAAATAATAAAATAATAATAACTTATGCCCCTGACCAGCCCCACAAGTAGTCTAAAAGACCCGCTAAGGCTGACCGCCCAGCCTGCTGATTGGCCCCTTGCTTTAACTGTTCCTGAAGCTTCAATTCACATCTCTTTCTATCTTTCTATCCATCTCTTCTGCTCCTCTTCCGTTTCTCATCGGACGGCCGTTCCTCCAAGGCACTTCAATCTCCCTCTTACCCTCCCATCAGGGGGGCGTTCTCTCGGTCTGTCCATTCGCTGATTCTTCTGTGCCATTCCCTCTCTTCTTTGGCCTCCCATCAAGCCCATGCATCCCGATCCCTCCTGGGATATCGCCGCCCATTACGGGACCACCATGCCAGCGCGAGCCACAGAACCTGCCGCCTTTGCTGCGGCCACAGCAGGCTGGAAGAAGCGGAAACTGGATGCCGTTTACCATGAGCATCCAGCATTACCAGACGAGTAAGTAGACAGAACGAAAAGGACTACGTCCCGGAAGATGTAGGGGGAAGTATCCGACTGACATGAAACGGTAACAACAGAACCACTTTCTCTCCATCACCTGTACAACATAATCTCTATTCTCCACTTCACGTCGATTATCGAACTGAAGATGAGATGATGAAGTCGAATCCAGCGTTTCTTGCAACAGATGCAATGATGCATCCTCGCCCCCGCATTCAGCCCTCCCTCACGAAAAAGCGACGCCTATTGCATCAGCAGCAACAGCAACCACAACAACCACAGTACATCCAGCAACCTCAACCTCGATTATATGCCCTTAATACGAATCTCAAAACCCCCTCGAGACTCTACTCGCCGGAGATCTCACCTAAGACTATCCCTTCCTCTATGGACCAACATCAGTATCCCACCCAGGTGGCTGCTGCCTCTGTCCTCCGTCCCTGCCACATCTGTCACCGACGACCGACAACGCGTGAGGTACTCGACGCATATGCGACTTGTGAACTTTGTGGCGAGCGAGCGTGTTACATTTGCCTAAGGGAGTGCAGCGCGGTGGATTGCCGGGGCGCGGGCTCGACCCCTTCCATTGCTGTCCCGTCTCTGTATGGACCGGATGCCATGATTGATGACACCGATGATGTTCCCCCTGCAAGTGGTTGGAGACAGACCGATTGGAGGTATCCGCAGGCAGCAGATGTCGGGAAGAGAAGGAAAGTGTGCTCATGGTGTGCGGTCGAGGGGTTGACTGACGGTGGCATGGAAGTCGTACATTGTCTGGACTGTGTCCGGCGGGTGACATGACTTTGATACCGCGGGTCATTCAACAATTGGAGCGACTATCTCAGGAGGAAGAACATAGTTTTTCGGGGAGGTTTACACGGAATCAGCACAAACACGACTGGAAGGACAGGACACGTCGTTTTCTCCCATCATTTCTATTATCACTTTCCTACAGTCTCATGTCATATTATACCCACACCCTGTATATCCTGTCAGATTATACCCGCATCGTTCCAATGGAAGAGTATAATGAAACGGATTCTATGATATTCCAGAGTTAATTTATCCCAAACAAATCAGAAAAATACCGACTTCAAGTTCGATGCATATAATACAAAGAGAAAATAAAGATAGATTTACACCATTTAAAAATGTGGGTTTGTCTCCCCTATAAAACTATGCGCCATTCCAAACACTGCTAGCAGAAGGAGTGGTATATAATTTTCGAACCACCCCCAAAGGAGAATCGAGAACAAGGAAAGCAAGATGCATGTCCGTATGGAGATTTATATATATATATTCTCGGCACAAGATGCGATGTTGCCAATCCCCCTCCCAATCCATCATGCAAAGAGATGAAATATCTGATTACCGCCCGAATCGCATCTGGGCCCTCGCGTACCGACACAGCCCGCGCAGGAAGCCTTGATATTCGACCGCGTCCCGGCCACCGGTGATGCTGCTGCTACGGTCGCCGGTGCAGAAGATCTCTGTCAGACGAATCTGCCATGGTGGATATCCATCCAGCTTCACATAAGGACCGAAGATCAAGAGTAGGTCTGGCTCTGGTGAGATGATGGGAGTCGGCAACAGACCGTCATCGCCGTTTTGCGTTGGCTGCGACGTGATTTCACTGATCTCTGCATCGATCAGTTCCGTGCTGATGTCGTCAGGTGAGAGCTTGCCGTTCTGCGCCATCTCGGTCAAGGTCTTGGTAAGGTCGACCAGCGTCTCACGTCCATCCGGGGCGGAAAGAAGGAGGATAGTCAACGTTGCAGGGTTGTGCTTATTCTCGCTCCTTTCGACATCTGACAGACGGTAGACGGGATGGTGAGGAGCAAAGACCAAGAGAGTGGGTTGATGCGAAGGAGGTCCATAGTAGGAAGCGAGTTTACTGGTGACGACCTGGTGCAGAACTGGTATGTAGGACTTGAGGATGCCTGGAATCTTGTCAGTATAGGTGCCAGTGCATGTTCCATAGCCGATGCGTACCGCTCTTCTCATAGATGCTCAATGTCGGAATCCCAGCACATGCACTCCAGGCCGCGAGTTCTGCTACTTCATCCATGAGCCCTTCCAGCGCATCTTCCTGCTTCCGCAGCGAGAGCACCACGCTCAAATGCTCTGGCAGACGGTTTAATCCCTTGACATCCTTCTGAATCAGCTCCGGTGTGTGGTGGTGATAGTACAGGATAGCTAAGATCCGATCCACGACGGCACGGTAGCTCTGCGTCAGACGAACGTAGATGCTAAAGCAAATATGAATGAGGGTATAGAGCAGCAGGTGCAGCTGTGACTTGACGAAGTTTCGAATCGGTGTAGGCTTCTGTTTCCGTCCGCTCTTGCGGCGTGGAGTTCGACGTAGCTCCGAGGGCTCTGGCAGATAGGACCGGACGATGCGCTCCCTGTCGGAGACAGACAGGGAGGTTCCTCGAGTACGAACGTCCCGCCGGAGCAGTTCTGCGTCTTTGGTAGACACCATGGCGGGTGGACTGTTTCTTCAGGACGGGAGAGGATCGGTGATGATGGTACGGAAAGGAAAGGATTGGGTTCCGTGGTATTAGATTACTGGGGACGTGGCGATACCCCACACGAGAGCTGCGGACTTCCCATTCCTACTTATGGAGCTTCATCAGAAACGCCCCTCGAAAGAAAGGAACCTACGCTTCACACCAATACTTATCTATGGAGACTTCAGTTCCTTGAATCGATCTCCCTCATCCCCGTTTACGTCCTTGTCCGGCTGCATGCATGGGAGTGACTGTCGGAAATCGCAGCCATGCCGGACAGCATCTCCAGTTCCCAGTCGGGTGCCACGTCGCGCACCGTATTCCCCAAAGGCCCCAGCTTCAGTCTCGAGGACTTTTCTAGTCGCGACTATATTGTCAAAGATTTTATCGAATCCTTATCCGACAGCGCCCATCCATCACGGCGATCTGGTGTCGGTGCCCCCAACAGCTCGAATCAACCTTTCGATCCGAAACCCCTCATCCGAACGTTCGAAAATGCCCAACGCAGGCTCAATGATCTGTCTGGCGACCTGGAGATTCGCGAAAATGAACTATCGGCCGCAGTCCGCAGGGCGGAAGCGCAGCATACCCAAAACCTGAAAACACTGGGCAGGAAGCTCAACGAGACTATCGAATCGTTCCAGAAGCTGGACACGTCTCTGAATGGAGGAGGGGGCATCGCTGCGGAAGCCACCGGTGGTACCGGAAATATGGCGGTGGAAATCGGCAGGAAGCTGGAGGAGCTTGACAGGCAGAGACGACGTGCGCTGGACGCGCATTTCTTGATCGAATGCTGGGACGAGGTCTGTAATAGGGGAGAAATCACGCTTCTGGAGAGTCTGAGGAGAGCTGGTAGCAGTGAAGGACGGATACGCTCTGCTCACATTGCACGCCAGTTGCTGAGAATCAGCCAGAGGCTCGACCCGCGAAGCTGGAACGAGACAAATGGAGGAGGTAAGGGCTACACAAACGGTGGTACATCCCCTGGAGCCAACGAGGCCGGAGGCACCGGAGGCAACGAGGAGAGAAGGAATACAAGGGAGATTATCGAGAAATTCTCCGAGACGCTCGAGAAAGATCTCTTGAAGCAGTTCGACGATTTTTACCGCAAGGCCAACTTCGATGGAATGAAAGATTGCGCAACTGTGCTTCGGGACTTCAATGGCGGTTCCAGCGTCATTGCGCTTTTCGTCAACCAGCATCAGTTCTTCATTGATCGCAGCCAGTTAGTTAATGATGAAGTAGGTGGAGATCCAGAGTCATGGGAGAAAATGGCCGATCCAGATGCCGAAACCCCCGGCGTCGAACCGAGTCTACAGTCATTGGTGGATGAAGTCAAAGTCGTCGTTCAGGAAGAATCGGCTATCATCAAGAGAGCTTTCCCGTATTACGATGAAGTACTAGGGAGATTTCTACAGAGAGTATTCCAGCAATCCATTCAGCAGCGATTGGAAATGGTTCTGGAGAAAGCAAGCAGCGTGTCTTCGCTTGCATTCCTGCGCTGTCTCCAAAGCTCGCGGAGTTATATCAGTGCTCTAGTGGATGATCTCAAAGCTCATGGCTTAACTGAGCATCCCGATGCGATCTCATCGCAGACGGCCGTTGTTCTCGATCAGCAGCTGGAAGATCTCTTCGTACCGTACTTTGTGGGTTCATCGTACATTGAGCGAGAGAAGAGGAATCTGGAGGAACTATTCACCGCTTTGATGTTCAAATTCACAGCCTACCATGCTCGCAGAAAGAAAGCCGCGACCACCTTCATGGTATCTCTGGCAAAATCGGGGAGCGAATTTCTGGCCTCGGCTAGAGACGCCTACGTGAACCGCCTTGACTCTCCCGACTTCACCCCTACACAAAAGAAGACTCTACTCCGCATTGCTGGCCTTAGAGAATCAACAGAATCGGTGAAGCAACCTGATACAGAACTGACAGATGCGGACGGACAGCTGAACGTAGCATTTGCGAAGCGTATGCTCAAGTGGCTAGCTGAGGGTGTCGGCCGTGGGCTCGAGCTCAGTGTTAACAGCGAAACGCCAAAGGATGTCTCCGTGCTTCTGGGCTTGCTTTTGTCGATGGTAGGTGAAGGATACATTGAAGTCGCTCTTGACGCCGCTCTCGATTCTGCAGCGGCTCAAGAGACCGCTAAGACCGAGCCGGATTTCGGTTTCTTGCCCAATCTCCATGCCGCAATCACTATCACAAACCTGATGATCACTTGTATCAACACGGTACTAATTCCCCTTGCGGCGGGCGGCATAACTATCCGTCGGGAAATGGAGAAGCGGACAAACATGCAAGTCAACCGGATCGAAGAGAAGATCAATACTATCGAACAGAGGACAGTCGATGCAGCCTTGACGTGGGTGACACGCCTTTTGTCCAACCAAAAGAAGAACGACTTCCGGCCCCGCGAAGCAGATGGCACAGAATGGCTGGAGATGTTGCAGACACCGGTAAGTCACCGAAGTCAGTCGCAGCTAATGTATATATACTGACCTCATTTCAGACAGCTGCTTCTGTATCCACTTTTCTTACCCGCGTACACAATATTGTTGTCACGTCTCTTCCAGCAAGCGGCGCAAACGTTCGAAATCTTCTCACTGAGCTTGCTTTGGGAACTAGAAGCATCCTGCTGGAGCATTTCAAGCGCTTCTATGTCAATGGACCTGGTGGTCTGATGGTCACCAAAGATGTGACAAGATACGTTGAACTACTCAAGTCTTGGAACATCGAGGAGGATGTTAAAGCTCCTGGAGGTCTTTTGGACGTCCTGCTCGAGGTTGGCAGTCTGTTTGTCATCGGTCCAGAAGCCCTCAGAGAGAGAATCCGCGGAGGCGCTGCAGGCGGCGCAACTGGAGGACCTGGCAATTCTGGTTCAAATAGTGGAGGCGCACCCGCGCAAGGGAAGGGTGCTACATTGTCCGTGCAAGAAGTCAGAGCGTATGTTCTTCGCAGGGAAGACAGCAACACTTACGCAATGCAGAGCGTTCTGAACGCTCTATAACCTTGCAAGGTCTCTTCTCATGTTTCGTTGCTATATGGCGGGAGATTATTATGGTTATACTCCACGCACAGCTCCACTGCTCCTGCTTTACGAATTGTATACCCCCTTGCAAGCTTAGCTGTTTTAACAATGTGATGCCAATCATCGACTGTCGTTGGTATAGATATATCTGAATGGGACCCTATGTGTATCCGAGAGTAGTGGTATAGAAATGGAAGCAAATAACTATAGTTCGATATTAGTAAGTCCTACTTGTCATCAGAGAATCCGAGTGACCTGGGGGAATACCATGATATCACCGTATCAATATGGCAACATCCACTGAGGTTTCTCAGTCATCATCTCGACTAAAAAACCACATATGCAGTGGATCCAACGGGGCCAAAAGACCCCAGAGATATCACTGATTAAAGGAAATGGCCAGCAATAGTCGGCTAACAAGTAATGAAGCAGCTAGTGCTAGAGCGCATATTTGCTACAAGGCAAAAGGCCGCAGAGTGAATATATCCTCCGGCGAGGTTGCATTGACCACGGCACGAAGCTGCCACACGGCATACATGCTTTATGGTACTTTTTGCCACAAGCTCTAAAACAAAGCGTAAAATGGCGCGCAGGGCGCTTTATAGTAGGGACTCCCTATGGCTAAGTTACAAGTACATATAAGGTCTTTGAAATATTTGGTTTGATAATGTAGCTATCCAAGTAGTCACCGATCTGTTGACTTCTCGATAAATTTAACATTTTCCACCAAGTAGAGATGTCTCGCGTATCACACACCTCAAGTTATCGTCGAGGATATGTTCTGGTAATGCTAAAGCATGAATTATGAGCACCATTAGGTTTGAAAAGAAAGAAAATAGCAAAGAAGTATGACCCAAGAGATCACGCAATGGACCAAAAAATTTGGAGCCTTTAAGAGCAGCTGTCTGAAACTTGAGAAAGAGACCGACTGCGATCTGCATGTTCCGAGGATTGTTCTTCACGCCAGCTATACAGTCGGTTGAACAGCTCGGCCTCCATTCGCTCCGCTGGTTGCGGCCCCCGGCGAATTTCTCCCATCATGTCGGTACCAGGTGGAAAGTCGAACTCGAATATTGGTCCACCAGCACCGCGCATATTGATAAGCACGGCCTGCTCAAAGTGCCAGAGCAACAGGGCATCGATAACACTTAATGGATTGCCCGGCTGACGACACACAGTATGCAAGACATTACCTTGGAGATCCCAAGTAGATGGACGAAAGGTCTGCACTCTGTAGCCATTATTGGGATTAATAGCGATGAAGTAATTATCCCACAGAGAATGAATATCCGCCCGAAGTAGGATACCGTTTTGGGGTGAATTAACACCTGGCGGATCATTGTAAGTCATCAGCTGGGCAAATCCCTGGCTGATAAAGAGAGGATCGAGTGCCAAAGGGAAGATATGGGCTGCTTCAAAACCAGTCCAAATCCCTACATCCGCATCCTGATTGATACGGCCAGTGATCACACAGCGCCTATCGCGAGTGCGGACTTGGTCCCGGAATGCATCTTCTCTAGGTGTATTTGACAATGACAGTGTGCGGGGGTGCCACTGTTCGTCACTTATTTCCACTTGCTCTCCCGCTGTTCGAGGATGGAGGATGTAACTACCGCGCTGTAAAGGCTGATTGGTACGGGTAATTGGAGTATTGGAGCCATAGAAGCGTACTTCGAATCCACCAATTGCTCTGAATGCAATATTGAGCATATCAATGAACTCACGTCTGGTGAGGTTTTGCGCAGCACAGAGTCCACCCTGGACTACACCAGGTTGATGCGAGAAGTAGATAAACACATTGCGGGAGGCTGAGCGACTAGGAGACATGGGTATCACTTTTATTAGGGTGTTAGTGAGAAAACTGCTTGTTTTCCTAGAGATCAAAGTCTGTGATAAGATAACTCACCAGCGAAAATCAGAGCATTAAGCAGAGTCTTGATAATGCAAATCTCCAGGTTCACGTGGTGTATGTAGGTAGGTATGTACTGACAAGTAGCAAAGCACAACTGAGATAGGGAAGTGGAGGAAGATCCAAGATGTGCTAGCAGACGCTCACTTTATAGTGGGGCAAAAACAAGAAAGAAATGGATGTTTCTCATTATTCACTGTGAGGAAGAGTGATGCAAGCCATATTTTCACAAGGTAGCCTTTAGGTACCTAGTTCCATGATCCAACCACAGCCCCCATTTTGAAAGCTTATCCGACGTACTATTGAGGCGATAAATAACCTTTTATAAGTCGAAAAAAGAATAGATTAAAGCAATAGTAACTAGAGCTTATAACCTCTTAGATGTGCAGCTGTAAAACCTAGAGATGCTCAATTAAGGAACAAATCTAGGGAGATGCTATATACTTAAGCACCTGGCTAGTGGCATACCTACGGAGTAGATCATGTGCCAAGCCACACGGCAGGCGGGGTGCCATAAGTAACTTGAGGCCACTCCGCCATTTCGTCTTTGCTCTACTTTCCCCCTTTTCCTCCTCGAGGGCTGATATCGAGGAGATAATAATCCTCTACAATAATAGGTATGCATGGATCTTAGTTGCTATCCCTACGACTTCCACCCATTTGCTTCACCCTAGGGTTGATTTTCAGCTCACCCTTTCTCTACCCCGCAGAGCAGATCCCCAAGCCAGTTACATGTTTAAAAGGCCAACGAAGCTGACAGGACAGCAGTTTTTTTTTTTTTTTTCTAGTTGACTTTTCGCATTAAACGTCAAGATGGCTGCGCCGACGGATCCCCTTCGTGCCCACCTCACCTATAAGCCGCAGCCTCTCAAGTTCGGTACCAGTGGCCGTCGTGGTCTGGTCGTTGATTTGACCCAGCTTGAAATCTACACGAATGTTCTCGCTGAGATTCGCTATCTCCGATCTCTCCCACTCTCAGAAGGTGGTATTCAGGCTGGCGACGATTTTTATTTTGCGTATGACCTCCGCCCCAGTTCGACCACCTACGTTGAGAATAACCGTGGCGGCATCTCCCAAGCCGTCGTGCAGGCCTTGAAGGATGAAGGCATGAATCCCATCAACCTGGGCGATATCCCCACGCCTGCCCTGACATACTGGGCCCTCAAGAATGGAAAGGGCAGCATCATGGTCACTGGTAGTCACATCCCTTTTGACCGCAACGGTTATAAGCTCAACACGTCGAAAGGAGAACTCCTGAAGAAGGATGAACAGCCCATTAACAAGGCTGTTGAAGTCACTCGTGAACAACTCATGGAACAGCCCTATGCTGAATCCCTGTTCAACAACCATGGCATGCTTCGCAACGCGCCGTCTAGCCTGCCACCCGCTACGTCAGATGGAAGAAACGCTTATATCCAGCGTTATCTCGATTTCTTCGAGGGGAAGACACTCCAGGGCATGAAGATTCTGGTCTACCAACACTCTGCTGTAGGCCGTGACGTCGTGGTTGAGATTCTCCAGAAGCTAGGCGCTGAGGTCACCGCCGCCGGCCGCAGTGATACGTTCGTGCCAATTGACACTGAGGCTATTGACCAGGCCCAACTCGACACAATCGAGAATCTCCGCCGCGAGACTGGTGGAACATTCGATGCGATCGTCTCCACGGATGGTGATAGCGACCGTCCACTCCTGGTTGCCCCTGAAGGCAGTAAGCTCCGCTTCTTCGGTGGCGACCTTCTAGGCATGATTGTTGCGGAATTCCTTGGTGCCGACGCAGTTGTCGTCCCTATCAGCACAAATGATGCTATCGATCGGGGACCGCTCGCGCGCGTCACTGAACCAAAAACCAAGATTGGCAGCCCTTACGTGATCGCTGGGATGCAGCGTGCTACCGCCAAAGGCCATCTTCGTGTCTGTGGATGGGAAGCCAATGGTGGCTTTCTCACCGGCTCCGACATCGAGCGAAATGGCAAGACACTCACCGCGCTTCCTACGCGTGACGCCGTGCTTCCTCTGCTCTCCGTCCTGTTCTCGGCGCGTATCCGCCAGATTGCGGTACCAGAACTTTTCTCGACGCTTCCTCACCGTTTCAGCCGCGCTGCATTGATTAGAAATTTCCCTCGGTCGACAAGCATGAAGATCATTCAACGCTTTTCGCCTCCCGAGGTCATCATGCAAGAGGTCTCTTTTCACGGAGACCACATCGTTGCTTACGACCCCGAGCGCACAACGATCGAAGTCCAAGAGTCTCAGACAAAGCAACTTGACCAGATCCGTCGCGAGCTCCAGGCTGTGTTCTCTAGCGAGTCCGGGTTCTCTCTCATTGGCAAGCTAAATTACACCGACGGCGTCCGCATTATCTTTGCCAATGGCGATGTTGCTCACTTCCGCCCTTCTGGCAACGCTGATGAACTGCGGATCTATGCTGTCGCCGACTCACAGGAGCGCGCCGACCAGATCGCCGTACAGGGAATCGCCGAGCCTAATGGTCTTCTGAGGCGTCTGGAACGCACGGTTTAGGACAGTGGCTGACCCGATTTTTCCAAGTGTTGGAATTCACTTTATCCTAGTCGTACGCCATTCATATACCCAGTCATATACTCTATAGTTCTTTTTTCTGCTTGTCTTCCACATTGGATCCTTCGAAGCATTTGAAAAGCAAGGTTTTGGGAAGCCTAGTGTAGGTGCCACATTTCACCTGGTTAAAAGAATGCATGAAAGTCTGAATTCAAGACCAGCGCTACATTCCAAGTATGATTACCATCTATCATCTTAAATAAAAATTTCAAACTTATACTGGCAGTGTAAAATTGATCAATTACTACGTGAGTCTTTTCATATTGAGAAAGCTCCATGGCGTGATAATTCTTCTTCCAGTTAATGTAACCAAATAGAAAGTAGAGAAGATATGGGTGGCTTAAGAGTTTAAATTATCATGAAAGATTTACATCTTTAGCCATTAGTAGCTCCTTTTGCAGATAGAATTGCTTTTCTATATTGGGCTGTGGTTGATATTCAGAGCTGCGCCGCATTATGCTGTGACAAAGCTAGTCCTATTTGCCCGCTGCGCTCTCAGTGATGATCGGGTTAGACCACCACGAACAACCGCGTTTTGGATAATAGTGAATATATGTATCTGCAACCACGCTCATGCTGCAAAGGCGCTATCAGAGCCTCTCTATCTGTGGTGTGAGTTTTCAGAGCCCCCAGGGCGCCTACTGATAACGTTTGATTTAGCTGTTGGACCTGCTCTGCGAGGAAGCCTTATTGATTGCAACCTAGCGTGATCTCCATAAAGAAGAACCTCCTCCTGCTCTGGTTTCATCATGACAGCTGGTGAGACAGCTGCAATATTCTTCAAATATGCTTCTATTTCTGTGGCGGCCGTTGTTGGTCTGTACGCCGTCCTCCTGGGTTTGTTGACCACATCCACCTTTCAGTCTCATGTGGTCTACCTCCACGCTATCCAGATGACCTGGTTCAAAGACCTCGATGTACCTGAAAATTGGGGCTTCCTTCGGAACCAGGTCACTCCGTTTTATATCACCACGCCTGATGGGGAAAGATTGTATTCCTGGCTAATTCTTCCGATCGAGCTGTACCGAAAACATGAGTTGCCGTTGGTGACTGAACCCACCGGTCTCAGTCCTGATATCACATCTCGCTATGCATTCCAGCTACTACGTGATGACCCGGAAGCGCGCCTTATTCTGCATTTCCATGGTGCAGGTGGCACAGTAGCGTCGGGTTACCGCGTTCCCAACTACCGCGCATTGTCTGCTGGCCATCCAGCCAAAATATTCGTTCTGACCTTTGACTACCGCGGTTTTGGGCGCAGTACTGGTACTCCCTCGGAGCAAGGCTTGCTGGTCGATGCACGAGCAGTGATCGATTGGGCCCAGAATGTTGCAGGCATACCTCAGTCGCGCATACTCATCTTTGGGCAATCAATGGGCACCGCGGTGACCGTCGCTGTATCGCAACAACTCGCAGCACAATCTCCACCAGTAGTCTTCGCGGGCACTATTCTAGTGGCCCCCTTCGTGGACGTACCAACACTCGTCGCGACCTACCGTGTTGCTGGAATCATCCCGATTCTCTCGCCGCTGGCCCGATTTCCGCTCGTCTTTAACTATCTTCGACGCTTCATCCGAGATCAATGGCCAAGCAAGGACCGTATCGCACAATATGTACGTTCCAACGAGGCAAACGGTCAGCCATATTGGCTCACCATCATCCATGCGGAGGATGACTACGACATTCCCTGGCATCACACCGAAGTTATGTTCTGGAACGCTGTGAACGCAAGTGCCCTACCCATGGGAATTAGCTACGACGAGCTCGCGGTGCGGAAACAGGAGTCTCAAGTTGACCTAGGCGCAGCAGGGTCTGTTATGGAGTGGCGGGCTCGTTTTGGCATTATCCGCGAGGAGATCCTCAAAACCGGTCTTCACGACGTGGTTATGGGTTACCCTGTCATTACTATGGCAGTGATGCGTGCGTTCGAGTCTACTGACCCGGAATTTACGAGTTGGTCATGAACGGAATGAAATGATATTTCTGTCTAATCTTTCTGGGCTGAAGGTTAATTGCTTATTTTTAGCTTTTCTAGATATTGTGGCAGAAATAGCATCCGCATAATGTCTTTGGATATAATGGAAGACGATATAGTCCTGATTTGGAGTATCTAAATAACCTACCGTTGCTTGATTTATCCATGATGCACTTAACGGTACAGACAGGAATCTAAATCGGAGGCCATGTTGTGATTGTAGTACAGTATACTATAGGAATGGGGTAAATTCATCGTAACCTAGGTAAGATCTGGACAAAGCCAGAGTTCCGATTGGCCAACTTTGTTTTAGCTAAGTTATGTTTAGGTTCTGACCCACGTGCCGAAAAACATGGGACGTCGACGATATCGTTCAACCTCCCGCAATCCTCTCTCTCCGAGAACATGACTCCTCGACAATAATAACACACAAGACCCGGAATGTCGAAGTTTCAAATCCAATAATTGCGGCATGGCAAGGTCGACTGCTATGCTAGCCCCAACGGGAACTTGAACCACCCACAGCACACGCGCGGTACGCGGTCGAGTTTGTTAGTTACCTACCTAGCTTAACTGGAACGGCTGACGGAAATGCGATTCAACGCCCTTATCCGCACACACCATATCACATCACGCAAGAAGGTCGGGGCACTCAAGCGCGCTGCCGATACACATAGCTGTTGGGTCCTGCTTCGCTCCGGCGGCTGTCCGGGCATCATGTACGTTGAAGGTTCAACGCAAGACGATGTGGGCAGCTGGGTGGACGTCGTGCGTCGCTTGCGGTATAAGGATTTCCAGCTCGTTGCGCGACCAGGTCCCTTCGTGAAGGAAAGTAAGAATGATGCTTCTCGGGATACAGCAGACCGCCCGGGGCTGAGTGAGGTGGATTCGGTCAAGGAGTTTGGGAATATTATGGAGCAGAAAGGGATTTGGGGTTGGTGGAGGAAAGGTATGGGATACGCGGGGGAATAATGGGGCAGCTTGGATCGGTCTACATCTGGATTAATCCTTGCGATGGCTGCTTTCTCTGTGATACGGGAGGCAGTCTCTGACTATTCCTAAACCGAGAGCCTCTTTTGTGTACTTTTGTATTGTTGGTCATAAAGTGATATAACAAGATACTAGAATCCACTCTCTCATCTCTGTATGGCCATTGTATTGCCGCCCGTGACACATATCTCCCGAGTTGTTTCTTCTATGCGGCCACATCTGCAACGCCTGTTCCAGCTTTACTATCATTTGTACCTTGGCTCCCCTGCTGCTTTTGCTCTCTCTCGAGCCGTTGATTGCGGCTTTCGCTCTGCGGGTCCAGGAACGCTACCAAGGATCAGCATCTAAATTACTGCGTGAAATTAAGAAAGACGCATACGCTTTTCACCAAATACCGTAGTTCGAATTCCTCTTCGTGGTTGCTTGTACTTCCCGGGAATGACGCGGTGAACAGTGCACCTGATGTACCCGGTAAGTTTTGAGAATGTAGAAGAGAAACAAGCTGAACCTATGTACAGTACATACCTATTATCCCACATGGCAACGCTTCCTACTTCCCATTTCCATCGTACGTAATGGTCATCGGCAGAGTGGAGATGGTAGGCGAAGAAATCCAGGAGTTTATCTATCGCTATGGTGTCAGAAGAGCTGAACCACGTTGGATAGCATGTGACGACAAACCTGATTCAGTTTTGTTCAGCTCCGCAAAGCCAGTGACGAAACCCGTATTGACATTGAGCGCCTTGAGCCCTGTGACGGGATGAGTGCGTACGGCCGGGTGGTGCGTATCGATCGGTGGACGATTAGGTCCTACTCCCCAGAGATCGAGAATGGTATCATCTTCGCCGATTAGTTTTGTGGTACAGTATTTCACAGGATGCGAATTAATGAGAACGTACACTGATATCTGGATGTATGCACCGCGTGGAGACCGTCTACAAATCGCTTCATCGCGTCGCTTAGGGCATCGTAGAGTCCGTATTGGGAGACCTTGCGGGGTGTGGTCAGTATATAATTGAAGATCTTTCTTCATCAGGATGTATTTTACCCAGGCGGTATCTCCGCCAACTGGGGGGTGTTCTTCCATCCTAAGCATAGAATAAGAGGGAGCTGCGCAACCGTTAGATAGAAGTGGCCCACGGCAGAGGTCCAGTTAAGCAAGCGCTCACGGTTGATTTCGAAGGATGTATCAGCATGCCATTCTCCCGAAGGCCAGGGTGTGTACTTTCCAATTTCACGATGGTCTTCGGTACTTCCGCGTATTACAACGTGCTAAAAAATTTTTATTAGAAGAAAATGGCCTCTGTATTTCCGAAAGATTGGCTCACCCTCTGGTCCTATAGTACAGCATGTCTCTCAGCATGATTCTTCAGATTACAAGCTTGTATGATCTAATTACCTTTTGTGCAGGATGCTTGTCAAGAATGCCTATTGTAGAATGTCAGCACTACAATCGAATGACTGAAACAGGTCTTTATCTTATTTCCAAGCCTACCATAATGCTCAAAAAGCTTAACTTGCTGTTCCGTCGTCAAATCCTGGTTACGGAAGAACACGACTCCCCTTTCGGCGACAAGCAATGCCAATTCATCCAGTTGCTGCTCGTTCAATTGCGAAAGCTGAACATTCTCAAGGAGAGTTCCTAGGGACTCTGTGAGATCGACTCTCTTAGCGACGGAAAACAACGCTTTCTTCTCCGGGTCCGCAAACGAGGCCCTGTCCTTGTCTGGCTGGAAGGGTTCTCTACGGGGCTCTGGAGGCACATGGTTCTTGATCTTAGGGTTGAATGCGGGGTGGAGGGTGATGGGAAACCCTGAATCGGGCGAGATGTGTTTACGAGATTCGAGATGAGCCATGCTGCAGGATCGATGGCTATGATTTGATAATAACGGCAATATATCGATGGAGATGACCAGAAAAACTGATTCTTGAGGGCACTACAAGATCTAAATATCTAAAGGAAGGCAATTACAGCCTGTCGCATTATTTCTCGGCATCTAAGAGCCAAGCGCGACGGGTCCAGATATCGCTGTTCTGTTGCGCCTTCTATCAACTCGTATGCTGGAGGACAAATCCATTGATAATCAGATGGTGTTTGTTTGATTCGTCTCCCGTTAATTCTGGATGGCGTAATCCCGTGCAAGTGTTGTCGGTATTGTGCTGTAGATACATTTCATTGGCGCATGTGGACTATGGCGCGACCACTACCACGAATGGCATCAAATGCGAGTTTGGCATGTCAGTGACTGTGGGAATCGTGAGCGGTGGTTGCTAAGGTATGACCTGTATAAAGTATTGAAGTCAGACGCGATGATAAAAGGGGGAGTATATTCCAGTACACAAACTACCTACTACTCTACTCTATATGATGGGAATGGAGAAAGCTAGCCCCGCAAGATCTCCGATGCAAAAAGCTTAGGGTTTCGGTTTAACCGGCGGATAAATAGCATGCAGTGAGGGTCTATGATTTCATATTCCTAATAACAACAATAATAATAATAATAATCGAATATGGTTGATGGGAGAATACCTTGAATATCATTCCCTGTTCTGGGGATATTTGGTGATTTCTAACCGTACCACTCCAAACCGAGTTCGACGGCATTCCGTGAATTCAGGCTGAACAGAACATGATGTGGCCGCTTCTCCCGCTCCACTGGTTGGACGACATTTGATGGTTGATGCATAGCACGCAAACGGGCGCTTATGAAATGTACGATACTCTAAGCCCATGCTGGAGAATCAAGCTTTTGTATTTTTGTGGTTATCGACAGGATAAGTTAACTAACCATCTTACCTACTGTAGCCGGGACCCTCGGAAGGAGCCGACTTAGTTAAGCCAGAGATGGCAATTATTATCAATATCGGAGCAACTCCAATGAGGGGTTTGGGATGGCGGGGCATCATCGTCATTTGTCCCCGCCGTGGAACGTTCACGTAATTACTGAGCAGAGCAGGGCAGACGGAGGACCCTCAGCGCCTTTTTCAACCGTCTGTCCCCCTGGAGATATCATATTCTTCTTCTCTTCTTCTTCCTCTGTCTGTGTTCTCTAGATCGATATCCAATTATCCAATTCACAACATCAATCAAGGAATCAATCTATCTATCAATCAATCATGTCGCTCGGAAAGAAGGTCACTCTCAACTCTGGTCACCAGATCCCGTAAGTTCATGTCCCCTTTCGCTCAACAGCTATCCCCAGAAATCAAGTCAATCCGTGTACTCATTCTCGATTCACAGTCAGCTGGGCTTTGGTACCTGGCAGGCCAAGCCTGGTGAGGTCGAAGAAGCTGTCTTTGAGGCTCTCAAGGCCGGCTACCGCCACCTGGTAAGCTCCCCGGTTGCAAATAAGTATCGGACGGCAGAGCATTATCTGACTGATCTTGGCCGCAGGATCTCGCGAAAATGTACGTTACGTCCAGTGTCCCGGGAAGATGGGTTCCAGGAGCCACGGTAACGGGACTATGCTGACATGTTATCCACGGAAACCAGCTACCAGAACCAGAAGGAAGTCGCCCATGGCCTGAAGAGAGCCTTCAAGGAGATCCCTGGCCTGAAGCGTGAGGATATCTTCCTTGTACGTATTCCCTTGTCTTGATGCGTCTATGAACACAGGCTTAACAATATCTGCAGACCTCCAAGCTATGGAACACGTATGTGGCCCCGACATTCAAACCTACAATTGACCCTGATTAATCATTGTATAGCCAGCACCGCCCTGAGGATGTCGAGGCCGCCTTGGACGACACTCTCAAGGAGCTCGAGCTGGACTACCTCGACGTAGGTTCTCTCCCGGAATCTTGCTACAAGCCTATTTTTTCTGACCTCTTTCTCAGCTCTACCTGATCCACTGGCCCGTTGCCTTCAAGGCCAGCAGTGACAGTTTCTTCCCTCTCGATTCCTCCAGCTCCCATCCCGACGGGGATGTTGCGATTGACGACAGCGTCTCCATTGTCGACACCTGGAAGGGTAAGTCAATAGCCTGTTGAACGTGAACCTACTGTGTCTGATCGAATCAATCCAGCCGTTCTTAAGCTTCCCAAGACCAAGGTCCGCTCCGTCGGTGTCTCCAACTTCACCGTCCAGCATGTGAGTATTGACAAACATGAAATTTACCCTACCTCTTAATTATCTCTGCTAATATCTTATTCTTTTCTAGCTCGAGGCAATCATCAAGGGCACCGGATCTGTCCCCGCGGTCAACCAGATCGAACGTCACCCTCTCCTTCCCAGCAAGGAGCTCCTTGCCTACGCCAAGGAGAAGAACATCCACATTACTGCCTACTCGGTAAGTCTTGCGTACATCTACCCTACGTGGCGGGGCTGAGTTAATGTGTGACAGCCCTTTGGTAACAACATGGTCAATGCTCCCCTGCTGGTCACTCGCCCAGAAGTCAAGGAAGTCGCGGAGAAGGTCTCCAAGCGCACCGGATCTGAGGTTACTCCCGCCCAGGTTATGTGAGTATCCTTCACGAATGAAGACTGGTCAGCATGCTCCAGTTGCTAACCCCTCGATAGCCTTGCCTGGTCCCAGGTTGGCGGCCACAGCGTGATCCCCAAGTCGGTCACTCCCTCTCGCATCCGCGAGAACTTCAAGGAGATCGAGCTGCAGGATGACGAGTTCGCCGCTATCGAGTCCATTGGCAAACAGCCTCGCCGCTACAACGTCCCCTACGCCTCATACAAGCCGCGATGGCCCATCGAGATCTTCGGCGAGCCCGAGGAGAAGTCGGCTCCTCACAAGGTCGTCTTGGGCGCTTAAACGCACGATGCGCCCTAATCTATCTGGAAATTACGTGCGACGCAGTCCACGGGCAACGACCAGGCCATGGCCGGTCAATATACCCGATATCTTAGGAAGATCTAAGACTCACGAATGGTGAATTCCGCTACAATGTATGACAGAACCAATTAATGAATAGATATATGTTTCCGCTAGAGGGTCTTAAGACTCGGTGGAATCTGTCCCAATGCATCTTGCGATCCCTGTAAGCAGCTTTGAGAGTGCAACATAAGCAATCTGCACTGTACACGAAGTGGCATAAACAAACCATAAAAGGAGTCTCACTCGATGACTTGGGAAATGGAACGTGTGACCTTTCAACTCGTAATCGCGGGCAGTAGCATCAGTCTCGACAGGCCCATACACTTGAGAATGTACAGTACGTGTGGAGGATGCCTATACGAAGCAACAGCCCAAGCCTTGCTGCGGTGTAACCTGCCATTGTCCAATTTGTCTAACAATATTTGTTGGGTTCGAGCATCAGGCGCCAGAGTTCGTGCCCTGTCACATCGGAACCCAAGCTAATACCTTGCACTGCAGAAGGGATGCCGGTGTTCCGTTGTTATATACGCTTTGGTCTTGACGAGCAAGCGCTTGTCAACTAAATCCTCAAGTCCCGTGTGGACTTTCTAAATTCTATAAATATCTCCTCGCAGCTTGAATTGGTCCCCGCGCCCAAGCTTCTCCGCAAACGAGCTCGGGCCCCAAGGGACAACGACAAGGGCAGGAAAATCGAGAATACCCGGGGATTCTGGCAAATACATAAGAATAAATCGAATTTTCCAAGGCACGCAGTGGTCATAACCAGAACCTGTCGATTTTAGTTTGCCATGTGGAATGTTTGACGGGATTGCACTCACCGGCCACCAAACTCAGAAGTGATCCTTTCTTTCTCCGATGCGCGCCAGGCCCTGCTGGAGATCTTCTTCCTGGCATCTCGAGTAGCAGAGTGGCGACAACGAAGCTGGAAGTTCTCGGTTTGTTCATTTCTGTCTCTCTCCAGATAGATAACTATGCTGACGCTTACTTTGTCGCACCGCTCAGCTAGCAGCTGGTTGTCAGGATGGGTTCGCCGCGCCCGAATAACGGCGATTTGCATCTCGATTCCTCTCAGATACCAACTGAATCTCAGTCCACGATACGAAACCCGCTGAACGCAGAAGGTGCAGCGCAAGGTTTGCAAGACGATGGTTCAGCTCCAGCATCGGTTGCGCAGAAAGGGGATCAAGCAGACGCCAACAGCCAGAGGGAGGGCCAAAAAACGCCAGACTCGGCCGAAGACGTCGTCCTGCCTCGAGATCGACAGCAGAAGACGCCCAGCTACAACTATGCCTACGAGAAATCTATGAGCCATGCCGAAGCCAGGCTCTTCTACCAGCGCCAACTGGCGTCGCGAAATGCGGAGAGCGAACCGCAGAGTCCGACACTAGCCGCTCGAGATGATTTGCCTAGTCGAGCACACTCGCGCATGAGCAGTCGGGGCTTCAGTGGTCCCAATGGTGCTTCGGAGGTGACTGCAGCTCCGTATGGGCCTCGAACCTCTGCTCCTCATCCCGGAATGTTGGCAGGTTCGCAGAACACCACCTCGTATGCACGCCTACCTGCTGAGGTCTTGATAGCAGCTGATCAATCTGCAAGAAGCCATGCTATGCATCCCGGGCTTCCCCACGAGCACAAACCATACCTGTTAGCGACAGAGGGCATCCACGGAGCCGGTGCTGGTATTGGGGTTGGTCAAGGTGCTGGAGGCTATGCACCCAGTGACGAAGCGGTCACGTCGGAGTTGAGTCTGATCTGCCGTAAGATCCAAAACCTACTAGACATGCGAAATAAGTATATTACGCTCTCACTGCAGGGACCTGGTCATAACCCCAAGGACCAACCAGGCTGGAGAATCTATCCTTCTCCCCCGGAGCCTGTCTGGGGAGATGACCTTATCCGGAATGGACAAACTGACAAACCGCGCAAGAAGAGGAAGATGGGACAGGATATCGGTGAAGACTTTGATATGGAGGAATTGATGCCTTTACCCGGACCTTCGAACTTGACCTTTAGAGTAGATCGCAACAGTGTGTATCAGGTCTATGAAACGGAGGAGGCTGCAGATCTGGGCGAGCCGATTGTCCAAATTCCGTCCTTGCGGGATTTCTACATGGCATTGGATGCGATCATCGATGTCTCGACGGACGGGCCGATTAAGACGTTCGCTTTCAAGCGACTGTCGTATCTCGAGGGCAAGTTTCAGCTCCACACGCTGCTGAACGAATATCAGGAGGTGGCCGACAGCAAGAAAGTGCCGCACAGAGACTTCTACAATGTGCGCAAGGTCGACACTCACGTCCATCATTCTGCGTGCATGAACCAGAAGCATCTACTTCGCTTCATCAAGAGCAAGATGAAGAAGTCCCCTGACGAGGTTGTTCTCTTCAGAGATGGAAAGCACTTGACGCTCAAGGAAGTGTTTGAGAGTATCAACTTGACGGCGTATGACCTGAGTATCGATACCCTGGATATGCATGTGAGTTCAGGCAGCTCTCTAGATTGTGTCTCTTGATTATTAACATGAGTCAAAGGCACACACGGACACGTTCCACCGCTTTGACAAGTTCAACCTGAAGTACAATCCCGTGGGGGAATCGCGACTGCGTGAGATCTTCCTCAAGACGGATAATTACATCAAAGGACGCTACCTAGCCGAGATCACCAAGGAGGTCATGTCCGATCTCGAGTCCAGCAAGTACCAGATGGCGGAGTGGCGTATCTCCATTTACGGAAGGTCAATCGATGAGTGGGATAAGCTGGCCGCCTGGGTCGTCGACAACAAGCTATTCTCGCCTAATATTCGATGGCTCATCCAAGTACCTCGACTGTATGACGTGTACAAGTCCAGTGGGATGATGGAGACTTTCGAGCAGGTCATTACGAATGTCTTCCAACCTTTGTTCGAGGTGACGAAAGATCCCTCCAGCCATCCCAAGTTGCACATTTTCCTTGAGCGTGTGATCGGTTTCGACAGTGTCGACGATGAGAGTAAAGCAGAACGTCGATTATATAAGAAATACCCCATCCCGCGGGAGTGGGATACGAAACAGAACCCGCCATATAGCTACTGGATCTATTTCATGTTCGCCAATATGGCCTCTCTGAATACTTGGCGAAAGCAGCGCGGCTTCAACACCTTTGTCCTGAGACCGCACTGTGGTGAAGCGGGTGATCCCGATCATCTGGCGGCAGGATTCCTATGTTGTGAGGGCATCAGTCACGGAATTCTCCTTCGCAAGGTGCCGCTGCTACAGTATCTGTTCTACCTGGACCAGATCGGAATCGCCATGTCGCCGCTGAGTAACAACGCCTTGTTCCTTACATATGACAAGAATCCGTTTGCCGGCTTCTTCAAGAAGGGTTTGAATGTCTCTCTTTCGACCGACGATCCTCTACAGTTCGCTTTCACAAAGGAGCCGTTGATAGAAGAGTATTCAGTGGCAGCCCAGATTTATAAATTCAGTGCTGTCGACATGTGTGAGCTGGCCAAACGTTCCGTCATGCAAAGCGGGTTCGAGATGGCTCTGAAGCAGAGATGGCTTGGAGCGGACTGCCTCCTCCCTGGAGTAGCAGGGAACAACGTCGCCAAGAGCAATGTGCCTGATATCCGCGAGGCGTACAGACACGAAACCTTGGTCGGGGAGATTTCTCTGTAAGTTTCCCAAGCTGCATTCCGTGGTCTTCAAAGTCGTTGCGCTGTTACTGACCACACCAATTCAGCATCGAACGATATGCGGCGTATACGTCTCCGAATGTGCCAGGAACGCCAGCTAAGGAGCCCCCCCGTCAGCCGTTCAACCCGAATGTCTCTCCGCTATTTTCGGCTAAATCCGCCGCAGCTACCGGTAGGTGTCAGTGTTCACATGGCATTCTGGCTGTCGCTTATTGACATTGTATCCCAGGTACTCCTCCAGTGGTGGTAGGAGATTCCGATTCTCCTATCAACCTGCACTCCCAATTGGCCGGGCTGAATATAGACACGGGCAGCACTACGAACGACACTAGAACCGATACTCGAGCTACGAGTCCGATTCCCCAAGCCTGGAATGCGGGCCAGGATGCTAGTTTCGCCATGAGTGGCAATGCCGCCGCAGCCTCAGCTGCGGGATCTGGTCCCAGTAATGTTCCGGAGCAGAAGCTCTTCCCTGGGATCGTCCACGAACGTGCCAGGAGGAGCAGCATGATGACCAACGCATCTGCGGCGGGGGAGAGGCCCAAGCTAAAGAGAGATAAGGACACAGACAACGCCAACGAGTCAGCAATTGCTTATGATTACGCGTGGGAAAGCGATGACGACTGAGCAACTAATACCTATAATACATGGCGTTATCGATTCCCCAGGCACTTACTCTTACTATAGTACCATAGAGTTATTGCTATTATTAGATACTGTTGCATTAAAACTAAAACCTAGTCACATCACGCGAAGAGGAAAGAGAGGGAAAAGAGAAAAAAAAAGTTGAAATAATAGATGCAAGTCTACAAAATTGACTACATTGAAAGCAAATTCCTGTACATAATACATCTTTTAAACATGAGCATGCATGTAACATATTTCATTACACCTCGTCGCACTTTTCGACCCTCTAAAGCGCATGACTCACTCTACACCTTCTCCTCGGTTCTCCCCTTCCTCACCGCCGTCGAATGTCATCGCGTATAGCCATGTTGGGGGCCAGAGTCAAAATACGAGACGCTGGGTAGAAGGAACAACGCCGGACTACCGTAGACTAGACTAGACCAGACTGGATTAGACTAAATCGGAGACGATGAAACAGCGGAATGATAATTTTGTCTCTGGAGGGGACAGACGAAAGTACTACTAGTAGTATCATATCATAATTATAGATCCAGGACGGATAGTTGAACTGTATCTTGTTACGACGTCAGTTCGAGCACTGCTAACAGAGTAGTTAACTTAGTAGTCCGCGATTCTAGAATTAGTTAAGGCACGGACTAAGTACAGAGTAGTTAGGCTACAGACTATAGAGTAAGTAGATGTCAAAATAGAAGAATTTGTCATAGATAATCTTCTACTGAAATTATTTCTTCCAGGAGATTCATTGATCGAGTCGAATGTGGAATTGTATAGTATGTATGTACATCCTTCGATCAGGGATTCCCGACTCAGAAATCCCGCCAAGATGTAACAGATATAAATCCAATAGTCCTGGATCCTGTGTTGCGGTTATTATTATTGCAAGGTGCTCCTCTCTTACTAACTAGGAGTCTTGAAACATTGTGTAACGTTCAGACGAAATTGTCATATACCTTGTTCTTGTGATACTAACTGGTCGCGAAGTGTTATTTTGGAATTGATCATTGATTAGTTAGTAGCTACAAGCTATGTTAGCATTTACTCTAGAAATAGGAAGAGAAGGAAGATTTCTAATAAGAGGCATATCATATCTGGTAGTCTAATGATGCAGTTATATTCTTTGTTCTACGGAGAAGTGCATCAAAATTGACTGCCAACGCTAGTAATCATGCTAGTATGCAAATTACACCCCTATCCCCGAGGAAACACCAGGTCTCGCCCTCTTTAAATAAGGATATTGCTTCTGTTCTTAAATAAATATATAACTTATCGCTCCAGAATATCTTTGTACTTATAATCATCTTGATATAATATATTATTAAGCCGAAAAAGAAAAAGAAATATGGGAAGAATATAGTAAATTAAGGGGGCTATTTTGGTATACAAAAGCTTTTACAAATTTAGTCCTTTATCCTTAAGTAGTTTAGATAAACAAAACAATTTCCTAAAACATCTCCAGAATCAAAATATGTAATTAGTAATACAATGGTATTTATCCTGTTATTACTAGCGTTGGCAGTCAATTCTGATGCACTTCTCCGTACAAGCGATAGATAAGCATAGCCGACTTCTTTAATTAGCTAGGGTTGTTCTATACGGAGTATATTAGCCAGTGTTATGATCGCCCGCTGACAAGGACTCGGGGAAAACTCGCTACTAAAACAGAAGTCCCGCATGGAATATGACGACAGAGATTGTGAGCGGTTGTTTCAGGTTTGTTGTTGGTCACTTAACCTGTACTACCTAGCTTATTCGAACATTCAACAGCGTTGTCTGTTGTCCTCTTTGTGGTAACTATTTCCTAGATAGAGTAAGAACTATACATGGAAAATTTACTTCGTCTAGTCAGTTATGTGATTTTCAGTTCTCCTTTGGTCTGTGCTCGTTGTTGCACGCGAGAGAGGATCATGGAACATGCGTTAACTGTATTACTGTCTATTCCAAATAACTAAACAGGTCCTGCTAAGATGGACCTTGGAGAGGGATATCGCGCTGCAAGCCTGCACGTCGACCGATGCAGTAAGACCTAGGCTGCGCTGGCATTTGACTTTTCTGTGGGCTTCGAGCCACGCGAGCACTTGATAAAGACGTGTTCTGGAAGACTACTCGATGCACAGTTAAGAGTGCATGTCTTGGATGTTAGCTGTCGGTCCACGATTCCGATAGTTTCGGAGGAATTTGTACGGTGCCACGGTCAGATCCATAATACTCCGTAGCTCAATAGCCTTATGATAAGCTGAACTATAACTATAGGGCAAGGGGGGGCGTTTTTTGGTCAAGGCTTTGATCCGGACAGGGTTTCTCGTATCGTTAGAGTGGTGAAGAGTATTAACAGTGGGATTTGGTCCTGGCCTTTGTCGCGGGGAGGGGTTGATGCGAACCCGGGCCAGGAAAATATCCTTGAGACGCAAGGGATGGTGATGAGGGCGTTTCCAGACTGTTCGGATCAAGCCAGATGCAATGACCAGTCAATTCTCCTAGGGCATGAACACGCGGCGAGAGTTGATGGGAATATTGCCTGCATGGACAATGTGGACAGCTCGGTTTACGTCTGTTACTGCATCAGTGCCTGCTGGTTGTATGTAGTGTAAAGTATTCAACCTGCGGCCTGAGGCCAACTGCCTTTCCTTTTTCGTCCAGTGAAATACCTCAACTTCAACCTCCTTCTGCTCCGGCCTTGCTTCTCTCAACTATCTATCTTACGATACATCCATTTCTTCTTATCTCTCGACAGCTGTATCCTCGGAATACTCCTCGTATCGCTTCCGCCAGTACGATGGCAGGAAACACAGGACGTTTCTACAAGCGCTGAGGCTCGATGGCCGGTGGGACGGTCTCCTTACAGATCTGGCGTATTCGCTGGACCTCGCACTACGACTAGCCAGGCCCTTCGGGGCCACAATGGCACAAGCGACGGGCACAGACTCAACCAGACAGACAGTTCATCGGACAGCGCTAACGAACGGCGAATCCTCCGTACTCCAGCTTTTCCTTGGAGAAGGTTTAACCCACCCAGGGGCGGTTGAACAAGCACGGTAAATCGAGTGGGGAGTGATCCTCCCGCCACTTTCTGCGCAATAATAATACCAGGATAAATAACTTTGAAGTTTGACGCCCTTTCGGTGGAGACGCAGGTTCGCTCACTAGAGGGCTGTCATCGAGGAGGTCCCGCCGAGCATGACGCCCAGCTTTTTCGATCGCTGCGAAGTGACAGATCCCAAAATAACCCTCGATTGGAAGTTGTTTTCGCCAGTCCCTTCCATTGGCGGTTCTCCATTCTGAAACAGAACGGGGTGGTGGTGCTGACGCTGTCTGGCTCCATTATTAGAGCGCTACCGCCAGAGCTTTCCCTCTGCGACAAAGGAGCCCAACAGCAAACAGCTCATCACGTCTCACATCCAGTATCTCCTGTGCAGCGGTGGATCTTGCAGCTCAAGCGCTCCTCCGTGCATCGGCGCGTATTCCCAATTTCCCATTCCACCCGTGGGAAGACCATGAGGGCGCTGTCAACAGTCAAGAAATCATAGACCCGCTGGTCCAGCACCACGTTCGTATATAATAATATCATAGCCATCCCTTCCTGGTTTTTGCTTTTCTCGCCTTTTCCCATGTATTATTATCGAAAATCTTCCCTCGCATGATGATCTAATCAATTCCATTCTCTCCCAACTGTTACTGTTGGCTGTGACCTGGAAGCACAGTTCTTCTCCGGGCTCTTTTCATTGTACCGTTGCTGGAGCTGTGTTCTGGTTTTCTTCATAACCGATTGCCTCGCGTTTTGACAGCTTATGATTCTATTTCGGGCTTTCATTTATTAACTTCAATTCCCGATTTCCCAATTGCAAACACGTCGCGTGCTCTTCTAGTAAAGGGTTGATCTTTCTATTGAACTACGAAAGGGTTCGCCAATTCGCTTTCTATTTACGGGCCTCGACTGCCATCAGTTCCAACGCTTTGGAAAGAAAAATCAAAGAGGATGGTGACCGTGGAACCAACAGATGAAGAGTTCGACTCTCTTCCACCGGCGGTGAGACGAAAGGTATGTATATACTTTTCTTGCACTATTACGCCCCCAACGGAATTCGGCAATCATGCAGGTAGCCTAGCAGCTATCGCTATTCTAGTCCATCGTTTGAAATGGCCATGGTTGTGTCGTATTTCTGTCGGCCATCCTTCGCACTACGTTGATTTTAGTTTCACTGCATTTCTCCGGCGCTTAGTTATTATTCTCGATGCTGTCGAATGCGCCACCTTCCTGAGATAACTACCCTCTTCTTTTACCGTGTTTTGCATTGTTTGTTCATGATTCCCTTGTCCAAAGCTCTGCGCCAACGACTCAGTAGTAGTCTGAGCGCTGGATCTGTGGGGATTGCCAACACATCATGGCGTTGTGAAAAGGGGCGAACTATGCACACTATGCACAGCATGGAAGCTATAGCACGTTTGGGGTTTGGCTTATCGGGCCCTGGAGAGACCGATATCCACTGATCCCTGAACGATTTGGCTATCGGCACAGCAACAATCCCCACCCTGCTCCCCTGAACCTCAACTCTATTCGCATTCTATGCTTGACTATCGACCACGGGTTCCTGGATCGCCCGACTGCGGCAGATAGTCTGGGGGCCTTCGGAACGGTCTCGCGGGCTCGTATGCAGACGTTGCAGGAAGGAATGGCCGTGGAAGAACCGCCATGGCCACCGCCGGTCTCAGATCGGACTCAATAATCGTACATTGCTAACGGGGGACCCTCTTTACTATAGTTTTTCTCGAACCTTGAGCGTCTACGTCTCGAGCGAATGCGATTAGAGCATAGCGATCCGAGCTTTGACCAGGACCATTCTTCAGGAGTATTTGCTGCCCATTATTTTCAGCTGCGCAGATCCAGTACGACTTCTCGCGTGAATACTTCTCCCAAGAAGCGCGGTTCACAAAGAGGTCGACGGCTTCGCAAGGCCGAATCCGCCCAGGCAGCCTATCTTGCAACTCGGGCCGAATCTTTGTGGTTTCATTCCTTACCTCCGAAGGTCCAACAGAAGCATTTCTCGAAAGAAGAACGAATCCTCTTTCGAAAAGGTTATCGCAATACCGTGATTCTCGACGCTGCCGACGAGGCGCTGTGTAGACTCGAGCAACGACGCCAGACCAAACGGTCGTTGAAACTGTCTCAATCAGAACCATCCAGCGCGCGAAATTCAATCGTATCTCAGGCCTCTCAATCCCCCGTTGACTCGGCCATCGACATGGACAGCGCTTTCATTGACAGTAGCCGTTGGTTGGAGGGAGATGGAGATCTTGATCTCTCGCTGTACGACTACCACAATCATGTGGTCGACACCGTGCCCACCAGCGAGAAGCCACCTCGCAGGCGAGCTACCTTCCGGCGAACATTGTCCACCACCTCAATGCATCTGAGCCGGGCTTCAACTTCCAACATCCACACTAAAGTACCTGGGTCCAGCCGGTCAACCACTGCACCAGCTCCATTCGCAAAGCGCATGCACCGTGCTTCCACCTCGCGTCCTGTATCCAGCCATCCTACTACTTCTCGCCATATCGCTCGCGGCTCCGTTTCGAGCATCGAGCCCGGCGCCCAATACTACCAAGACCCAGATGCTCGCTTGAAACTGAGAGTCTATCTGGCATCACCGCAGAAATTTGACGAGGCTGTCGAGTTCGGGTTCCCTTCGCTAGAAAGCAAGGAGAGCGCCCGTACAACAAAATTGGCAGAAGACCGCAACCAGAAACCTGACGAGCCCCACGGCATCGTCACAGAGGAAGACAGCACTTTCGGCGTCGAGGACACGCTCCACAGTCGAAGAAATTCGATATCGAAACCACTTAATTTGCAGCGCCTCTCTCGACGGATACAACCTGTTCCTGTATCGGGGAGCAGAGCGCCCGGTCACAACCGGGAGATGACATTGAAAATGACACTGACGAGACCGGATCTGCGGACGGACTCGCCCGTTTCGCCGTCGATGTCAGAAGAGGCGGACGATCCCCTCAAATTGGCTGATTTACCGCCGGCAGACCAGAACTCGGTGGTCTGGGACTCACAACAAGATGAGCGCGGTGTGATAAAGAAGGTGTGGCAGAGGCTTCGAGGAAGAAGCTAGGTTAACTCTGGGTCTGTGCTCTGTCTGTGCTCTGTCTGCAGCTTTAGACCGTGTTCTGTTCTTCTGTCTAGACTCTAGAGACTCTAGACACGCCCTACATGCCGTTGTCGCCACTATCATTCCTCTCTTCTCCCCGACATCCCTCAGGTCTCTGTCCGTGCACACGCTCAGACAGACCACCAAACCATTGATGACATGAATGAAACTGTACAGGCATTTCTTATTCTATTCCTACCATTGTGCAGCCGGGGTTTTCTGTTTAGGACTTGGGAGCTTTTCTGTTTTGCCTGTTTGTCTGTTGCTAGCGTGGTCGTTTAGGGATCTTGTGCAGCGCATAGTAAAGTATCCAATACCATCTATCTAGGTATCTTTAGAAAGAACCAATCAATAGGTCAATCGATCAACCAAGGATTCATCAAGCTATTTGAGAAACCGCATGGAGTCTGCAATCTATCTATATAGATATAGAAATATGGAAACCTGGAAATATGGAATCTCTAGGCGTCTCCAGACTTGACGCCGTGCCATTTCTGTGCGTGCCTGAATAAGGCATGTCGTCCTCAGCTGGCACGTGACATGGAGCTTAGGACACGCTGGAGCTCCCATCGAGGCAACAGCTGCGATATCAAAACATCAGCTTCATTTATTTCCCGGAGAGTTTGCCACCATAGCCAGCCGAGTGTAAGTGGTCCTGTTCCTGTTTGAGTATTCAGAGTCTTGTCTCTCATTACCTTCCATCTCGTTGCAGCCAGCTAACATCTCCCGTTGCTCCAGCCCGCACCTATCCGCGCGGCTAGCTGTTCTTCCTGATATCCTTCTGTGATGCAGGTCTAATAACGGCCATGATTACCCGCTGGCTTCTCCTTGTGAGCTGTCTGCTGCTGGCGCTGGTCGCTCAGCCTAGCACGGCAAAGAAGTCCGATGGTCCTAAGATAACGGCGACACAATTCGACCATGAACCCATCAACCTGTTCTACTTCGAGGACAGCGACACGGTGATATTCCAAGATGCCGACACCAGTGACATATACCGATCCTTCGACGGAGGTGAAAAATGGGAGGTCGTCGACGATGAGGATAGCAAGATGAAGGGCAACGTCTGGACGGTCATACCGCATCCCAACGACAAGACAAAGGCCTATATCCTGGGAACCCAGGGGAGGCATTGGGTCACAACCGACCAGGCAAAGACATGGCGCCCCTTCGAGCTATCAGTCATACCATTGCTGATGCGGTCACCCCTCTCTTTCCATGGTCGCGATTCCAACAAAGTGATCTTCCAGGGTGAGGAGTGTGCCGGGTTCCATTGCTTCCAGAGAGCATTCTACACTCGTGACAACTTCCTCACAGTTTCGCCTCTGCGTGATGGTAGCCACATGTGTTCCTGGGCTGTGGGAACGCCTGAGTTTGCCCGTGACTTGGAAGCCGCCGATGAGATCGAGGACCGCGTTCTCTGCATCGTTCCCGGTTTGAAGGTGCCTTACGTATACGCCAACCGTCTTGTCTATTCAGATGACTACTTCACGACTGACGAAGAAGGGATCGAGGCGAAGCTCGATCAAGGGAGGCCGATCAGTGGTATCATCAGTACCGCATCGGTCAAGAAGTATCTGGTGGCCGCCGCCAAGTCGCAGGGAACAGATGAGCTTGCGCTGTATGTGACGGATGACACAAAAGTGTGGCATCGGGCAGAGTTCGGTGACCACAAGCTCGAGGAGGATGCCTACACGGTTCTTGAGAGTACAAACTACAGTATCCAGGTGGATGTCCTGACTACACTCCCCACCAGCGGCATGGGTGTGCTATTTACCTCGAACTCCAACGGTACTTATTTCACCCGCAACATCGAGCATACAAACCGGAGTCCCGGGGGATTGGTTGATTTTGAGAAGATCGCCAACATTCAGGGTATCGTACTGGTTAACGTTGTTGACAACTGGGAGGAAGTGGAAAAGACAGACGCTACATCCAAGAAGATTGTCAGTAAAATCAGTTTTGACGATGGCCGTACATTCCAATCACTCAAGGTTGGTGACAAGTCGCTACATCTCCACTCTGTCACTGCCTTCGCCAATGTCGGTCGTGTCTTCTCGAGTCCTGCCCCTGGTATAGTCATGGGAGTAGGCAACACTGGGGATCATCTTAAGAGCTATGAATCCGGCGACCTTTACGTATCTGATGACGCAGGTGTCACCTGGCGCAAGGCTCTCGATGGATCGCACAAGTACGAGTTCGGCGACCAAGGTGCTGTTATTATGGCCATTCAGGACAAGGAGAAGACGGACAAGATTCAGTTTTCTATTGACCATGGGAAAGAATGGGAGACTGCCGAGTTGAAGCACAAGATCCACACCAGGCTGCTTACAACGACCCCCGATTCGACCAGCCTGAAGTTCATCTTGGTCGGCGCTGTGGAAAAAGACCTCAACAGAGAATGGATTGTCTCTTCTATCGATTTTGGCGGACTCCACGAGCGGAAGTGTGGCAAGGATGATTTCGAGAAATGGCCCGCACGATTGGATGAGAATGGAGAGCCGGACTGTCTCATGGGCCATAAACAATTCTACCGCCGTCGCAAGGCCGATGCCGACTGTTTCATTGATGAGGAATTCAAAGACCCGGAACCTATCTTTGAACCCTGCAAGTGTACTATCGAAGACTTTGAGTGCGATTACAACTTTGTCCGCAGCGAGGATAGAAAGAAATGTATCCCTGCCAGACCCCTCGTCCCACCGAAGGGGGCATGCCAGAAGCCTAGTGACAAGTACGTGGGCCCGTCCGGTTGGAGGTTGATTCCAGGAAACGCCTGCATAAGAAATGGGGGTGAGAATCTCGACAAGGATGTGGAGCGCTCTTGCGATGAGGCAGCGACAGCACCCGATGGGGCAGTCAGTGCGACAAAATACGTCTTCGACGCGCCGCGATTCGGTGATTTCTATTATCTGGAGAGGGCGCCCACTAGTGGTGGAGATGACGAGACGATCGTTCTAGTTACCAGTGACAACGAACTCTTCATCACACACGACCATGGCAAGAACTGGAAACGAGCCTTGGAAGGCTCGAAGATCCGAGAGATCGTACCTCATCGCTACTTCAACGATCATGCATTCTTCCTTACAGATAGCAAACAGGCCTTCTGGACGGTCGATCGTGCTCATCATCTTTCCGAGTTTGAGGCCCCAAGTCCCCCAAACAAGGACAGAGTGCCGACCCTTGGCTTCCACCCACAGTACAAGGACTGGCTGATCTGGACTGGGCATGCTTGTACCGGACTTGGCTGCAATTCCGTGGCTTCTATCACCAAAAACAGAGGCGCCAAGTGGGAGCTTCTCCTCCGTGGTGTCCGCAAATGCGATTTTATGGCCAGGGATGATCGCAAAGACAGCGAGAATCTCATCTTCTGCGAGCAATTTGAGAACGAGGATCCAGACAACGGCGCTCTGCAGCTCGTCTCTAGTGACAATTGGTTCTATGAAAGCAAGGTCCACTTCACTAAGGTTGTTGATTTTGCTACGATGGAGGAATTCGTCGTCGTAGCTGCGCGGAACCCCGAGAACGAGGAGTCGCTCAAGGTGGACACCAGCGTTGACGCAAGAGTCTTTGCTGATGCCGAGTTCCCGCCCAACTTTGATGTCCCTGTCCAGAAAGCCTACACGGTTTTGGATAGCTCGACACACGCTGTCTTCCTGCATGTGACTGTGAACAACATGGAAGAACGTGCCTATGGATCGATCATTAAGAGCAACAGCAACGGCACCTCCTATGTCCTCAGTATCGATGCTGTCAACAGGAACGACAACGGTTACGTCGATTTTGAGAAGATGCAGGGTCTGGAAGGGGTCGCGGTAGTCAACGTTGTTGGGAACGTCAAAGATGTGGAGAAGGGACAAGCGAAGAAGTTCCGGACCATGATCACCCACAATGACGGAGCACAATGGACACTTCTGGCGCCGCCATCGAAAGACTCAGAAGGCAAGGGCTACAACTGCAAAACCAACAACGGAAAGCCTACGGAGAAGTGCGCGCTACACCTTCATGGCTATACTGAGCGAAGAGATCCTCGCGCCACCTATGCGTCCGCCTCGGCGGTTGGTATCATGATGGGCGTTGGAAACGTTGGTGAATACTTGACCAACAAGCAAGATGGCGAGACCTTTATTACCCGGGATGGCGGTATTACCTGGAAGGCTGTCAAGAAGGGAAGCTATTTATGGGAGTATGGCGACCAGGGTTCGGTCATTGTCATCGTTGAAGAGTCCAAACCGACCAAGGTTGTCTACTACAGCGTCGACGAGGGCGAGACTTGGGAGGAATATCAGTTCTCGGATGTGGAGATGCAGATCGATGTGATCTCCACCGTTCCCTCGGACACGTCAAGGAACTTCCTCCTCTGGGGACGAGAACTGGGTGACAAGAAGAAGATTGCGACTGTTAACCTCGACTTCAGCGGTCTTCGCGACCGGCTTTGCAACTTGGAAGAAGACTCGGCTGAAAATGAAGATTATTACCTATGGGAACCCAAGCACCCGATGCAGGAAAACAACTGTCTTTTCGGCCACATTGAGCAGTACCACCGCAAGAAGCCGTCGGCGCACTGCTGGAACGACTGGAAGCAGCCGCACATCCACCGCATTGCTCAGAACTGCACCTGCACTAGAGAGGATTATGAATGGTAAGGAGACTCTTCTAATAAAAATAGTCGTTTAATCGCAGGTTTAATGCTGACACCGTTTAATAGCGATTATAACTACGAACCGCAAAGCGATGGCAGCTGTGCTCTGGTTCCAGGCCTTCCGAAGCCGGACGCCTTGGCTGTCTGTCGGGATGACCCTGAGGCAATTGAATATTGGGAGCCGACTGGCTACCGTCGTATTCCGTTGACAACCTGCCAGGGTGGACTGCAGCTTGACCACATCGTGTCCAAGCCGTGTCCCAACAAGGAGAAGGAATACGAGAAAAAGCATGGCATCAGTGGTGTCGGACTGTTCTTTGCCATTGTGACCCCCATCGCAGTGGCCGCAGGTGCTGGATACTGGATCTACACGAAATGGGACGGCAAATTCGGTCAGATCCGTCTGGGTGAGAATGTTGGTGGCGCCGACGGCATGTTCTCACGCGACTCTTCCCTTGTGACCGTGCCGATTGCGATCATCGCCGGCATTGTCGCTGTGGCCAAGGCACTTCCATTGCTAGGCATGAGTCTCTGGAGAAGCGTTAGCGGATATGTGCGTCTTCCCGGACGAGGTGGCATCGGTTCGCAGAGGCCATATTCGTCAAGAGGCGCATTTGCCGCTCGAAGAGGCGATTACGCGAGCGTTGTCGAAGACGAGGACGAACTCCTCGGCGTTGAAGACCTCGAAGGGGAAGAGGACGAGGAGGTGTAAACATAGAGCGCTTTCCTTTTTCTGTTTTGCCTTTTATCTTCTGGTGTTTCCGCTGAGTGAGCTATGTTTTTTGTCCTCTATATGATATATGAGTGAACGGATTCAGAGATGCATCTTTTTTTCGTCTTTTTGGAGATGTGATGTTGCTGGTCCTGTCGAATGGCAGGTCATGTTTTGTACTTAGAGAAGGTAGAATGGAATGATATGATACGATAGATATATCAGCTTCCTTTGTATGTGGTTGGGAGTGGTTTTGAGTGCGCTGCGTTTCAGATATTACCATACTTTGAGGCTGTAACTAGAGTAGATCCAATAATCTACCAATGTCCTTTCTCCTTAGGTTCTTGGTGACTTGCGGGATGACTTGTTGATCGTTGGAGCTATTATTCTATAAAAAAAAACATTACATATTACAATCGGTTACTAGCTACAGAGAAATCCAGCACAAAGAATAGACAGCTATATATCTATCTCCAGAAACACTTCTCCATTATCACGAACTTCAACGCATCTCCTCTAAACTCCCCCACCTCAAGACTCCTACTTATATAAATACTGAAACAAGTCCTCTTTCCGACTTCAGAAGCTCATCAATCGCCAGTATAATCCGAGACATGATCATCCATTTCTTTATTTGTCCTGCTCACTTCGAGACAGCAGATCATTAGGCCCAAACGAACCCGGAAGAAGCTACTACGTGTCAGTATCTACTCCACGAGTTCAACGAATTGGATCATCCCGGAATTCTCGAAAGAGAGAGAGAGAGAGAGAGAGAGAAAAGAAAAAAAAAAGGGGGGGGGGGGCTAATACTCACCTCTCCCATTGTCACGACGGTGTGATTCCCATCCCCATCGTACATGTACACGGGGAAAGAAGGGGTTGTAAATTCGCGCATGCTGCGGTTTTCGTATTCATATTAGTTTGGTTTGATCACAAGATCAGGGAAAAAAGAAAAAAGAAAAAAGAAAAAAGAAAAAAAGAAGAAAAAAAAAAAGCGGGAAAAGAGAAAAAGAAAAAAAAGACATACAATTGTCTACACATCCCACACGGCGACGCGCCGGGCTTGATATCCGTCGCGACAGCAATGGCCTTGAAGTCCTTATGGCCCGCTACCTATAACATGAAAATCAGCACTCATATTATCCTATCTCAGATAATAATAGAAACCGAAACAATTTCCATATATGCATGGTATCATAGACTGGAAAAACATAAACCTACAATAGCCGTTCCAAAAGCCACTCTCTCCGCGCACGTCCCAACAGGATAAGAAGCATTCTCGACGTTGGCGCCGGTGATGCATTCACCACTCTGCGTGAGTATGCATGCCCCCACGCGGAATTTGGAGTAGGGGCCTATAGTATTCGTTGTTAGTTGTGTTCTGACTATATCGTGAGAGATCACCCGTATAGAGAGGGGTGAAAGCGGGGTGTGGACTGCACCACAAGTTCTCCTAAAAAGAGCGCAACAACGAGGCGAATGGATGAAATGTGTATGGCTTACGGCCTTGATTCGTGTGATGTATAAAAAGAAAGGAGGGTAGTAAATACATACAGTAGGCAGTGGCCTTAGCCGCAATGGCTTTGGTGGAGAGGATCTCCAGCTCAGAGGCGGTTAATGGAGAAGTTGACATTGTTGAAGGTTTAAAAATCGATGTCCTGCGATTGGTGGTGATCTGTCCCGTCTGAGAAAAAGCAAGTAAATAATACGAGGGGAGAGTTGTTTGGGAACAGAATCCTTTAAAGATATCCTGTTCTTTCCGGTGGGTCGTCAAGTTGATGCGGTGAACGGACGGTTGATGTTGTGCAGCAGACGCGGACCGGACTCTCCGACGGGTTTCCGAGAATGGATGATATTATCAGTTCTACAGGAAGATAATGAGATAACCGGCAAGAGAAAAATCATGATTGAAGTTCTATCTATGTTGCTTTTTTTTTATCCAGATTAGCGACCAGTCGCCGCATAACACCGAAACGCCTCGTCAGCTAAGTGCCTTGCCACGTATTCCCCCACCGTTGTCAGAAAAAAGAAAAAAGGAAAGAAAGAAAAAAAAAATATAGACGATCACACTGCGCTCTATGGGAATCAACCGAAATAGTGTCGTAAGCATTCGTAGATGGAGAAGATAAAGGCAGAGCTGGGTGCAGAGCGTCCCACGGTGATGCCGCAACCGCGGTACAGCCCCTTCAGGCCATGCTGTTGCCAGATGCTCTTCCCGACGCTGAAGAAGGTTGGTCGTCGAGAGTCTAGACTCAACCGTGAGACGTCCTCTGTCTGCATCCGTGATTTGATGGTATCCGCTGGGTAGAAGAGGAAATTATAACTGATTCCAGCCGCAGCTCCAGCCAGCATCTGCTGGTAGATCGGGAGCGGAGGCGAGTCTGATACACTACCATCCGCTGTGGGCGAAGCAGAATAGCCTCGGAAAAAAGCAGACACGCCTTCGTAGCTACCGAACCAAGCGGCAGAACCACCCGTTTCGCGGATCAATGTTCCCAGTTGGCCCCGCCAGAATCCAAACAAGCCCGAATGGCGGAAGACCGACACGATCAGGGCCAGTGGACCTGGAGGCTTCTGACCGGCCGAGACAGGGACCTGCATCTTGCACTTGATGAGCTCAACGGGCGTGAGGAGTATCGATGTAAAAGCACCGGACGCGGCACCGCAGAGTAAGAGAGCGGAGAATGGCAGCGGCTCCGTAGGTGAATAGATGGCAGCCTGAAGAGCCTCCTGCGCAATGCGGTAGCTGAAGAACAGACTGCTATTCTCGATGGCAGCCCCCGCGAGAGGAGCACTAATGCCTCGGTAGAGACCTCGAATGCCCTCTGCCTGGAACGACTGCCGGAAGCAATCCAGAGGCCCGCTATATCGTAGGGGGAGGTGGTCTGGCTGCGACTGTAGCCGCACCTTGATCGTATCGAAGGGATACTCGATGAACTTGCCCGCAATGCCTGCAGTCTAGTGGGGAAGTAAACGTCAGCATGGGACAGCTCAGAACATCCTGTACCCAGTGCAATGGCATACCGATCCAAAGATTATGTCCTTGAAGGCCTCAAGGCCCTGATTTGGAGGCAGGGACGGGAGTTCCACTGCCATTTCATCCTTGAGGATTACATGTTCTGCCGCCGCCATCAAGGTAAAAACGCGCCCAATTGGGCTCCTGCTCTAGGGACTAGGAAGAAGAGAGGAAGAAATCACAGAGATTGCTATCGCTGGAGCATCGTAGGGACTCTGGTGGTCGAGGATGGGAAAAAAGGTGGAAGTTGGGCCGCCGAAGCGGGGTGATAGCTGAGGTATTAAATATGGAACTGGCAGCGTCTCAGACCGACTTCGGGAAAAAAAGACGCAGCCCGGCTCATAGCAAAAGAGATACTAAAACAGCCAAGACGGCGGGACCCTCCACGAGCAGAGTGAATGGTGGATGAAGGCGTGTTTTCGTCGACGATGCAAACTTTAGGGCGTTGACGAGGCAGAAAAAGGAACAGTGAGTGGGATTCGGAGTGGGTTTTTCCGCTTATCTGATCTAAGATAATCTGCCCGCGCCAAGGCCGAGAACGCTGAGGCGAAAAGGGCAAAAAGAAGAGACGAAGAGACGAAGAAGAAGAAGAAGAGGAAGAGAGAAAGGACAACCACCCACGTCGTGACACAGCTTCATCCACCATGTCTGCTCCGGCCACTACCCCGGCGACTACCCCTGCGGCAAATGCTACCCAGGTCAAGGGGATGAAGAAAAATGGTACGTACACCCTTTCTTTCCACGCAGCAGTTTTATTTTTATTACTTCTCTCCCGTCCCGCAGTCTCTGACGGTCCCCTCCAGGCAAGAACTGGCATGCCACCAAGAAACCCTTCCGCCCCGGTTCCGGCCTGACCTCCTATGCAAAGAGAGTGGAGGAGCGCAAACAGCTGGCTGCCGTCAAAGAACGCGAAAGAGAGATGAAGGAGGAGAAGGAGGCTGAGCGACAGGCGGGTTCAGCCCATACGGAGTGGTGTGATTCCCAGCTAACCGCCATGTAGGCCCGCATCCAGAAGATCAAGGAACGCCGAGCAGCCAAGGAAGAAAAGGCCCGGTATGAGAAGATGGCGGAGAAGATGCACCACAAGCGGGTGGAACGACTAAAGCGCAGAGAGAAGCGCAACAAGCTGCTCAACTCCTGAGCGTTTTCTGTTTCTTTCCATCGATATGCCTCATTGCCTTGATATCTGTCCGACGTGGATTTCATTGAACATAATGGATTGGTGTATGGGTTTACGGCGTTGGTTTTCAGCGGATAAATATGGAATACAGAGTGGGTTTCAATATAACAATTCGCCTACTCGGTCTCTTTGTGGACCTTCTCTACGGACGTCCGTCGTGGCTATGCTGAAGATCTCTATGAAATCCCAGACTTAACAGAGTGAGTCTGGATGTCTTGTTGGTATATCACCAAGTCCTGAGTGCATGGAAGGGGCACTTTACAGAGCCTCCCCATCCCAGTGGTTCTCCCCGTGATATATCCGAACGATGACCTTTCCTACGATCAAAAGGTCTTCACTTGCCATGCGTACTGCATTGGTACTTGCACTATCTAGGTGTAATTGCTGTGAAGCGAACCAATAAATCAGAACTGCTCATTTTATATCTATCCGGAAATCTAATAGTTGCAATGTACTATTTCCTTGGATCGTCCCATCTAAACGAGACCTAGCAATGTCTAGGAAGTGGCAGACTGGTAGTAACGACGCTTGTCATAAGAAAGAAAAGGTGTTATGGACACTCTCCACTTCCACCCCATTCCTGCCTCTTACTGTAGTTCGATCGTGTCAACAGTATCATCTATTAAGATATCACATGTCTCTATTATGATGTCGCTGCAGTAGATCTAGATGTCCTAACAAAGATTGCAAATTCAGATAGCACATATGCCGCCTCAATTATAGGAACAAAATCAGTGCCTAGATAGATGATTTAGACCTTGACCCAAGGTTATAAGCTTGAACTTAGAAACTCGATGCTATCTGGAGAAGTTGACTCCAGTAAATTAAGCTATCCAATCCCGGCGGCGCGATCGGCGCAGCCAAACCCAACCCAACCCAACCGTCCGGGGCAAACTACATCCTGCAACCATTGTTTCGAGTTCCTGGGCCCCGGACCCTGATCGTCGCGAGCGTACTTAATCTCAGCAGTGCAGCTTAACTAGTTATTGTTACTTTTGTTAGATTGAGTTTTCGTCTGTTGATCAGTTAACATAGTTCCCAAGTTGACGGGTGCGTCATATTGATATGTGCATGTACCCGAGCCCGCAGCAGAGTACCGTTGCGACGAACCGACGACGACAGCCCATTCTACGACGAGGGGAAGAGTAGACTCCCAACGGGGTGGTTAGCGATTAGTAGCAGCCATGAGTCACTTGACGTCAAATAATGCTGCTCGGGGTCTCCTCTCCACGCGATCGCACGGGAAGGAGAGGGAGAGGGATAAGGAGAAGGAGAAGGAGAAGGATCATGATGGCGATGACGGTCTGCTCCGACCGACGGCCACGCGCGAGTCGCCACGGGCACGAGGGGGATCGAATTCGACAGGTCATCTCAGTAGTAGGAAGAGCAGCCAGTATGAGGACAGCGACCCGGGAGGGGTGTCCAGACTGAGGCGACGGACTATTACGACGGAAGATCTGAGGCGAGAGAGGGAGATGCGGAAGCAGGGCGAAGAGTATGTTACGATTCCTCTGTCGATACGATAACAGAGGGATGAATATGTACTGATTTTTCGTCGTACTCACTTCAGACAACTCCGCTCGGCACTCTTCTCCATCAGCACGTTCGCTACGGAAATCACTCGTCGACTCGATTACACCTACTACAACCTCCTCGAGAAACTGACGACGCTCCACGCGGTGATGGATTCTTTTCACGAACTCACCAAATCCACCGCGTTACTTGGCCAAGACTTTGAGAAAGAAACCGCAAACCTCGACCAAGATACGCGCAGACAGCTGGAGGAGTTCAAGGGCTTCGAGACCCAGATACGGGATATAGAAGCGTTGGAGAAGCGCATGGACGCTGGACGTGAGAGGGTGGATGCTCTCGGGCAAAGAGTCGCTGCGGTGAAAAAGCAGATTGAAGACTGGGAGAGGAAAGAGCTTGAGTGGCAGACACAGACGGCGAGGAGGTTGCGTATCTTTTGGGTTGTGGCAGGGACGGCCATTTTGGTCCTGGTGATTGCCGTTGCTATGCAGACTCGGCCGCATGAGGGTCTGGGCAGACTGGCGAACGGGTCGACGAATGGTTCTTTCGGTCGTCTTATTCCAGAGGTAGATGTGAATCAGGTGCGGTTGGAAGACGACACAAGCTGGACCAAACGGCCGTCGCGACTCGGACATGCCACCACTTCTACGCGACCTCATCCGAATCTCAAATCGACAGAAGAAGCAGAGTCGAAGACGTCAGCGCCGGAAATGAATCCTTTTCGGTTACTAGACGAGTTATAATCAGGTCGGGCAGGTTAAGTCTTTTGTCATTTACTCATTCCCTGCATAACAGGGATTGTATTTTGCTATCCAGCGACTATTTGTATGTAATAAGAGGTCTGTTTTGTTTTATGAGATACCCAATATGATATGCACCGTGACATCTAAATACGTTTTCATCCTCCTAATACATCCCAAAAGAAGAAACATATAAACTCCGGTATGCCTTTAAATTGAAAATCGATGTGCACTTTCTCTGCCCTCCCACCCTGGCCGTCATCATCATAATCATGACCCATCAGCATAATCAAGCAGGAGCAGCACTGCTCTTTTTCTTCTTATCCTCAATCAGCTCGATATTGTCCTCTGGAACCTCCTTGCCATGGACCTCGAGCAGCCAATCGTACAGATCGTCACTGACGTCTCCCTGTACTGTGATCTCCTCGGCGCCAGCCGGCGACTTGGTCACCGACGAACCAGTCGCGAACTTCTTGCCGAGCTCCTTTGCGATCTTCTTGTTGTCCAGTCCATGAGCCTCCAGACCCGCCACGACCGTGACGAACTTGCGCTTATTCCGCTCGACACGCTTGATCTGGATCTTGGCCGCCGCCTTGCGCTCCGCGTCACGGGTCTCTGCTAGAGCGGCCTTGGCTTCCTTCTTCGCAGCGTCTTTGGCGGCTCGTTCACGCGCGGAAACGGAGAGAGTGGACAGGTTTGCGTTCAGGGCTTCTGCAGGTGGGAATGGGTTGTTAGCGTTCTGATATTTCAATCAAAGACAGACTGCGGGGGAGGCGAGGTGGGAGGCATACCTTCAGAATACAACTTATCATGGAGATCCGGATGGCTACTCTTCAACCATTCCTCGCATTTCTTTGCTGTACCGCCAAATTCACAGTACTATATTCCGCACCAAGTCAATATCTATTCCTGCAAAGTGACATCGGTGCCCCGCTTCTCAATCACAATCGACAGCGCCCACTACAACGCAAATCCGACACAAGTATGAGAGACAAATTTCCCTTACCTCTGGAGGCAATGAACAGACTAGTACCAAGCACCATTAGCACTCCGGAGGTCCTCACCTAGAGTTGATGGAACGAATGAGGGGCATGCAAGCACAGAACAAACTCACCTCCGCAATAGACAATGCGCCTTGCGCGGGACTCAACAGGGGCCGTTTCGACGTCAGCCATGTTCAAATCTTTCGTCTTATCAAAGAAAAAAGAAAGGAAAAAGTGGCTCAATAATCCTGGTTTTCAATATCGCGGGGCAAAAACTTCGTGTTCAATACTCCCGACTTAGTTTCCACTCGCCATTGCCCGATATGGGACGCGCGGGGTCGGCGCGATGTATTTCCATATTCCGTGTTTGTATGCAGTCACGTGATATACATACATACATTATCTGAACGATTCATTGGTATGAGAGATACCTAGATAGAAAATATATTACTGGTAGCACAAAGTGGGCAGTCACACAGAGGAAGAAGCCCAGGCGACGGATGTTGGCTGGTCAAAAATTCCATAGAATTAAATAGCTTGTGGCGCTACCTAAGCAAAATAGGTACTTCACACCATGAGCTTCCTTACCTAATTTAAAGAAGTGATGCCCCATCCTTAATTGTTTGCTAGTTGCACACGGCAGGTTTTGTGAGTAGCTTGGTGAAGGAAGTTATGGAAATCTTGCTTGTCTAATTAATTGCAATCGACTAACTATCGGATGACTCGTGGAATAAGATAGAACAAACGAGATCTACAACGTAGATAAAGCACAGAAGTGAAGCACAAAATAGTATCTCTGGAGCAAAGCTCGCTGAGCTTGGATTTATCTAGCAACTAGCTCAGACTATTTATCCCTGTGGGTGGAGGGGCTAGAAAGGCGTGGGAGAAACCCGACAGGAGATCTGCCTGTAGGCAGATTCCGACATAGTATCTGACGGTCCTTTAAGTAGACAAGTCACGCCGGTTGAAATCCCATATTGACGATTTCAGCACTCGCCCAAGTACGCAATATATCGACACTCAGATTCCATACGTCGGCACCATTTCTTCCAGGAAATACGTGCGCGGGCCCAAAGAGCTGAGCTCGAGTTATAGGGATAACCTGGGTCGCTGCATTTGCCGGCACTGGGAAGATGGCCTATTATCATTATTTAATCACCTGTTTGGTACCAGGGTATCCAGTAGATTAATAACTTACTCCGCTTTGCTTCAGGTATGGAGTGTTTCCAGCGTCTCGTTCCCAAACTTCAAAAATTCCCTTGACTCTATGGACCGGAGTCTCGATGGTCTTTGTCCAACAGAGAACAATAACAACCTGTACTGCTGGCAGCCCACCAACAAGCCACATGCACATATCTCCATGGAGCCGTGGCAAACTTTCGGTCCACCCGCTTTCAATTGCAATGCTTGGCATCAGTACAGAATCATAGTGGATGAGGAAGTCTGGATCTTTTCGCGACCCAGTATACTGTCCCGTGAAATCAGAAATAGCTGTCCACTATTAGCAAATAACAATTGGAGGTGAAGTATATTATGATCAAAGGGTATTAGCATACTCGTGCCAACCCCCGTCTTCAAGCCAAGCGCTTCTGCAGCATTTAAGAATCCAGAAAGAGCCATCCGCATGTTCTCTTCATGGATCCACTGTTGATGAACATTATGTACATTCGTGGGCATGATTAAAACGTTAAGCACTTTGGTAAAGGAGTTATAACTGAAACTAGGAAGCATTAGTGAAATGAATAGGTAATATATTATTCAATCTTCTTCTCATGGAATTTTACCGAGGATTGCGTCGTTCAATATCAGGATCTTGAGAGAGTGAGTCAAGCAGTAATGAGCCCTGATCAGTCGAGATATTCTCGAATCTTAGCTCCGTGCATTGAGTAGCTGTCTGTATCTGCCTTTTGATTTGATCGAACCAGGCCTGGGCAGAGTTGTTCGACTGCGGGGGTGATGCGTTGACAGTCATTGCGAAGGATGTTTTCGACAGAAAGTTTCTGCAGCCAGTATTTGAAAGATAGATTTGTGTTGGTTTCCTTCTGCGGACTTTTATGGCAGATGGTGAATGACAGAAATCCCGTGGCCGAGGGCTTCAGATTGTAACTAGTACGTACTAGGCCTCTGGAAAGTAAAATCTGAGGTAGATGTGAAAGGAATGCCCGCATAAAATGTACTGGGAAGATATATTGACTGGAGCTGACGAGATGCTGGATTGAGGATCGAGGATACTGCCGTGACCTGACTCTGGCTTACTATGTAGTTAGTTAACTAGGTACTTACCTGTTAGTTACCGGTAGATATTATTTAAGTTAACTAGGTTGGTCTTCACTTAGTAAGGTCGCGCCGTAACTACCTAGGTAACTAATCTGGGCCGCCTTGGGAATTAATTCTACAACTAAATGTTATGTAATAAGCTGTGGTTTAGTTAGTTAACTAGGTATCTATCTATCTTCTTTTATACTTAACAACTTAGTGGACTTCAACCTAACTTTAGGAGCATTGCTTGACATCAGTGATCATACAGATGAAGGGCAGGGTTGCTTAGCGACTACTCAGTGAGCAGATTAGTTGCGAGAGGCTTGGTAAAAGGAGTGCCCCTTATAAACCAAGGAAAGGTGACCGGCTTCAAGGTTGTTACTAGAGTAGTGGACACGCTTTGAAAGATGGCGCTGGCTGCTGCTCAAATGGACCAGCAGCAAATCTAACCAGTATTCGCCTCGCGGTAAGAGCTTTTTTATTTGGCACCCGAGAAATCATGATCTGAGAGATAAAACTTAACAAGGCAAAAAGAAGGTAGACCTACCATAGCTGATAGCCTGTCGTGTATTTAAATATTAGCTTCAACCAGACCTCAGTATGCCAATGGTAAAGAGTGTGCTTACGATCAGATTAAAGATTAAGTTTGCAAGACCACATAACAAAATACTCATAGCTGTGGCAATATTTAAATAGTCAATTGTGACTCTAGATTCTCTCATGAATCCTGTATACTGGACGCCGCCGATAGCGGTCGCAGCGCCTAGAACCATGACCCGGAAACAGACAGATTATCTATCATTTGGAAAGGAAGGGAAGATATGTTAGGAAATGGTAGCCTGGTTGCCTACTAGTAGTCTAGGATCTGTTGCCTAACTTCTTGCCTAATATCAGACACTCTCCCTTTCCTTTTACAGTTTGAACCTCATCTTTCTTCATTTCATCTCTCAACCTCGACATGTGTCATATCGGAAGTCGACTAGACGACTCGACCAAAAAGGAGAACTCCTTAGAGGTCTGGTCCTAGCTGGATCTAACATCAGGTTATCTCTTTTTGTGTCCACGCTTTTCTGCTGTTAACAACCTTACATTCCATCTCTTCTGACGAGCCTCTCGACCTTTGATAACCTTATTTTCCCCTCTATTCTGTCCTTACATCTCTCACCTTCACGACTTTCCATAAAATGCCTCGAATTATGCGTCAAGGACTCGACAAAGTCAAAGAACTGCTTCGCTCAGTAAAGGGCATACTCAAGGAGGAGCCGGATACAGGCCAGAAACTGGATGAGGCACGTCGGAAACTGGATAAGGCCTTGGAAGTAATGGACAGACTGCCAACTTTGGCAGCCAGCAGCTTAAGGGAACCAGATGTCACGGATATATTCGGTCTATCATATGATAAAAGATCACCTGAAATATGGAAGATCGACGAACGTGATCTTATTCCAGTACCAGAAGCTCTCTGTAAGTCTTTATCCTAAATGCCATTCATTTCTTTAGGAAAATTCCCAAAATTCTAACCTTCCTAGTGTCCCGTATTGAAGAGATGGAAAAGGTCCGAGGAATACATCCTATAAACGAGGCGACGGTTCGATGGCGATTAGATATCATTCTCCAGTATTGTGTTAGGCTCGAGCAGCAACGTGTCGCTGATATAGATCCGACCACATCAGAGAGGCCTATTACTCTCACCGCCGAAACGCAACTGGAATGCAGGATAATGTATAAGAAGCAACCTGTCCTCCTGTCTGGAAAGGCAGACTATAGTATCTGGTATGAAGACCACGGAATGTCAACAAATTTAGTGATATGTGAAGCTAAAGACCTTGGGCATGCATCCATTGGTATCCCTCAATGCCTAGCGTATATGGGTACGTTGACCAACATTATTGTATCTTTGAATAACAATAAACTAATTAGATTATATAGGTATGGTAAATGACATTCGTCGACGGGAAGACAGAATAAACTCTATGGTCTATGGATGTGTTACGGATGGACAAGGGTTTACCTTTCTACGCATCGACAATGACCATAAGGTAAACTTTCCTCGTTTTGACCTATTATATGGTGCTAATACTTTCATTTATAGTACTCTGTATGGAACAGCCAACGGTGGGATAACGGCTTTCCAGAGAGAGACAAAATATGGACTCACTTGGTCCGTATGACGAGATGTGCTAGTGCGTTATCGCCAAGGACGTCGGTGAAGAAAGTACATCGAGCAGTGGATGATACGACAAGGGGGCAGAAGCACTGGAGGCTCCATTTCGGTAGCAGTGAGCGGTCAGATGAAATGATGAGTATGTAGTACACTTTGGTAGGTTGCAGGATTAGAATGATATCGTCGATACCAGTGGCAACATATTGGCCATGATGGAAAGTATGGCCTAGACGAATCGGATGAAAACCACCAATGTCGTAATAGTCCGGCTCTTCTGCGACTGGGTAAGAATTGACGCGCTCTAGCGATGTCAGTTGAGAGGGTGTCCCAAAGAACTTTAACATTCGCGATCGTATTTGGGCTAAAGACGCTTTTAATAAACTCATCATCTTAGCAGAAGCTGCTCAGTGTTACTAGTAGCACAATGTTCGGGGGTCACGCAGAGGGAGCAGCCCGGGCGACAGATGTTGGTTATGTACTGTACCTAATGTTTTTCTTACCAGATATTAATATAATTAAATAGTTTGTAGCGTTAAGCAGAATTCTTAAACCCATGAGCGTTCTCGTTCGAAGAAATGATGCCCATTCCTTAGTTGTTTACTGGTTGCACGCGACATGTTTTGTGAGTAAGTATTTAGGTTGGTCTTCAGTAAGATCGCGCCGCAATTCTATGTGACTAGGAGATTGTGAAGGAAGCGGTGAGAAACGTCCTAATTCATCGCCTCGCTAGCGCTCAGCAATCAATTCTTATCCTCCATATTTCTCCTCATCTTTAGGATAGTTATACATACTTCTTTGTCACAAAATCACTGCTTTCCTTAATCATTTCCGACGTCCAACGGCCACCAATAGGATTAGGATTCCGGGGATCATTAGGCCTTAAGAGAATTCTGAAAGGAATCCTTGTTTATTTATATCCTCTTAGTGTAATGCAGCTTGCGTGCTTGATCTGGAGATAGCTCTAATCGGTTATTTTGGCTATATATTGGTCGCGTAAATATTAGATTTTAAATCAGCGTATTATTTATAGGGATTGTCGTAAGTGTAAGAAGAAAGCGGACTTCTTATCACAATAGGTCCTATATAAAGGCATTCTAGATGAACTGGTAGTTGCTCTTGTTATAGAATATAGCCATATCATGATCTGCTAGCAAATTTATAAGGGACTATTTGGATTCGACAGAAAGACAAAGACATTATGAATATCTAGATGACACTGAAAGTATTCAATTCGAGGCATGAATGTGATAAGTGTTGATGGGAAGTCTTACGTGATATGCGGGGAACATAGTTAAGTCACAAATTGATATCATACTGCAGCCATTGGATAAGTCTACTGTCCGGATATAACGGAAAATCAGTGATATTGATCTGGTACCTATTAAAATTGCGGATGTTGACCGCTGAACATAAAGGTGGTAATTTGATGCAAGAGGGATCGCAGTTTTGCTACAGTCTTTGATTTTGGCTGGTCACTGAAGACAATAAGTTTTTTAAAATATTGTCGACCGCAACCTTTTCGTATAGGCGGACTCGAGGGATTCTAACCACGGTGTTTCGACCTGTTATTGCACTGCACCTGGTAGTCTCAGACTTTGAAGGTAGGCACGTCGTTATGCGTTATACGTCATGGCGGAAAGATCAGATATGAGCATCCGTTGCGGCAGGCATACGGCTCAAAATTAAAACAACATAATAATCAAATCAGACAGGAGGCAAGCTGCTGTTATGTGATGAGGTGATCTTTGACTTCATTCGGCTCCACTATCACGTATAATTTTAGGAGTCTGTAAGTCTGTAGCAGTAACGAAGAACACGGTTGAGATCCGGTCAAACCCCGCAGCCGTTGGTAGCGGACCCCCACGAACAATGACAGGCAGGACGGTGAACACAGACGAACTCCTAGAAGGGATGCCAGAATCGCCTGGCAGGTGTTCTGTGGCACAGTCACTGGCGGGATCTGTTTGTATGCAGCACAGCTGGGATCATTACAGGCGGAATGGATCGCTCCGTGGGAGGACGGTGCAATCAGGACGCAGTGGCAGGTTTCTGTAGCCTCAAAGCTGGCCCGTGTAACGATCATGCAAGCGCTGGCGGGGACGTTGATGGTTATTTTAGTAGGCGTTGAAAGTCAATTGACACCGTGGGTCGACGATGCAATCGGTTACTTTACGTCAATTGCCTGTTTCGAGTCAGTGGGACAAGAGAGAGGAGTCGCGGAGGAGAGACATTTCATTCGCAAGGATTGATCATACTCGCCTACAGTAACTGGAACTTATGATTATTGCTATCACTAGGGTGCAGCAATCAAAACAAGGCGGATGCGATGCTGCACAGCGGTGTCTGCAAGAAAGCATCGACCCGTTATGTTGTATCACTTTCCAGTTTCCAGGGTCCAGCCCATGGCCCAAAAGACGGCCGCGATCTGCATTGCCATGCAATCAATGCCGCTGAATCGACTAACCAGGAGCTGGAGAAGGCATCAGTGGTGATCCAGCGAATACGAGGAGTCGAGGACCATATGGGATGTACCCACAGCATCTAAACCTCCGAGCACTCGACAGACGAACTACATACATACAATTACATCCATTCATTTCTCACGACGGGACACACTTGACTTGCATCCGGCCAATGCAGGCGCACAGACAACCAGCTGTCCAGAACGCGCAAGTGGCAGCTCCATCGGATGGTCCAGATCGACCGGGACGACGTCGCTACATTTCCGCGACGGTCTAGAGTGCAGTAAAAAAAAAAAGAGAAGAATAGGCTTGGCTAGATGGATGATGTTGGACTCACCACCAGGGTCAGAGACGAGACAAGGTTCCAGTGACGGACTGCGTCGAGCATGCTGGATGAAGGAGCGTATTCTCGAAAGCAGGAACATTGTTATTATTCAATAATGGGTATCTAGTCTACACTATGTCGCACGGAAGCTCATGTTCTGGAACCCCGCAAGAGATGGATGATCCCGGCCAGTAGCAAGGGCGCCACTAATCTTCTCCGCACATTCCAAGTCGATCGAGTCCAGGCGTGCAGTGATGCGCTCGTCTCCGAGGCAGACGAAAAGGAGTTGTGATGCTGGTTCCCGCGGTGTTTGATTATTATGCTATTGTGCTCACTGACTTCATCAGCAATTGATTCGCTAATCGCTGAGCGTCAGTTGCACAGGAGGTGTGCAAGCTCCCGAACATCTTGCGTTCACCACCGTCCTGGACTGGTGGCGGCGATGTCGGCTTTGTCGGCTTGGGTGGCTTTGTTCATGCCTTTGATCATTACTATGTTGGGAGCCCCAGTGTGGTTGGTATCCAAAAAGTGGCCGGTTCTTCGCTGATAAGCCCACAGTGGCTTCCCCGAATTATCTCCTGACATCTTCGATCTCTTTGGTCCTGGACTGATAACCCGGAATCGATGTTCTCAGAAGCATCTCGAAATGGAAGACAGACGGACCTAGGCCGGGGTAGACGTGCTACTCTATTGCCACTGTTTCGGTATCGTACCACATGCCAGTCTCACAACACTGGCCTTGACAGGCGAAAGGGAACCCCTGTTCCGCATCCACGATGCTCAAGAGAATGTGGAGGATTCCGGGGAAATGACAGATTGCACAATGCTCACAATCGATTGAATCCGGGGTATAGCCATCTTCCCCAGGGGGTTCCCCATCCACTGCAAACGGGGATTCCAGACAATTGCTACTTGGAGCATACGGTAGTACCTGATAGCATCGAAGATCCTCGTGTTTCATCACATCGAGTCGAGATCTATTCGGTTCACGCTTCGTCAATGTTCAAATTGCGGGGGCATCATCTGTTTATGAGAATCTCGATGGCTGATGCGGAGGACATCTTGGACGGGAAGTTCTACTTACGTATTGAAACATGAACCCAGGCAGGTTATCCATGACAGCTGGAGCGATCGTGAAGGTAGATGAGGTGCTGGGTAGTAGTAGTTGTGCTCTCTACCTAATCTATCTCGTAAAATACCATCGATCAATCCATTATTGTCGAGCGGTGGCACAACAGGAAAGAGAACAGAACAGGAAGGAATATCCTATCTACGAGAGACAGGCCAGCTATCTCTGACCTCTCTGGATGCAGGACAACGCATCCGAGATCCATGGATACAGGAGCCGGAAACATCAGGATCCCACGCACGAGGCACGGATCTCCTGCCAGTCGCTCGGATGCACAATTCTACGGTTCTGGCCCGGGCAAAACCCCCATCCTCTCGTACTGCCGCATCGGGGAGGGGGAAAAGATGCTGATGGCGCTCGTAAAAGGCTGGAGAATCATTCCTGCTTGCTCCGGACAAAGTTAGGAAGTTGTTCTGTCGGCACTGCTGCAGTATGTATCACCTTCCAATTAACTATTATTATTGTTTTAATAATAATGCCCCTCCGCCCTCCGTGCACTCTCTCCTCCTCTCTCCACTCCCCACAGAAAACGAGGATCGTCGGGTTTTTATCAGCCAACGACTATCTGGGGAACGGACGACGTGCTCTTCCATATTTTATTTCTCAAGTTCTGATACTACTAGTACTACTAGCGCTAGTTTTCACTACTCCCACGCCGCGAGTCTATCTCGGGTCCTGAGCGACAGACCGGACATCGGGATCGCAATATTCTCGGCCTTGCTGGTCTACAGAGGAGATTGTTGTTTGCCCCTCGCTGGCCGTGCGCCGGAACGATGGATGCCAGTTCCTTGCTGAGCCGGTGATTGATCGCACCAGGAATCGACAGTCTAGGTTACTCGTCCACATCCCGACTCGGATCAGCGTGCGATGACATCCTAACCCGATCCCTTCTAGCATCATCGTCCTCGAGAAGAAGTACTCTTAAGGGGCACAGCCGATTTTTCGTCTATTTTTGCCTCCTCCCCCGAACTCTTTGCTACCATATACCATACACATACTGCCGTTGTTCCCCGTCACATCCGGTTTCCAGGAAACAGGCCAGAACCCTTAGCGCCCTGTGGCTTTTTTTTGCGCTTTGGCTGCCCGGCTTATCGCGCTGCTATCGCCACCATCCCGGCCCTCCGCGACTCCGCGCCGCCTCCCTTCGGTTTTGGACGGGCTCGAGCCTTTTACATCGAACAGTTACACCACTGTCCTGTTGGCTCTTCTGTCTCTCTGACCGACTTGCTGAGGCTGTTTCGTCTACGTCTTCCATCCACCTAAACTACTACTACTACTATTACAGTCTCGACCGCGGGCAGAAGGAAAACCTGAATATCAACCGCCTCATGCCAAACTATATCACCTTTTTGATCTGGTAGTCGTCTCCGATGCTGCTGCTAAGATGACTGCTGTGCTTCTGGCTCCTGGCCGGTCGCCGGGGGACGTTCGATATTGTCACACGGATCTACGCCATGCCAGTGCGGAGGACCTGCTAGATGTCCAGGATGCCTTTCTTTCTTCGTCTCCTCGCGACTACACTGGCTATCCTGAGATATCGCGGTCGCCATCCGTCTCATCCTATGCTCACTCTGCGTCTACCTCTTCGACCTTTGCCACATGCTCTCCTTCAGTGACACCAAACTCGTCCCTCAGCCCCAACGACAACAGTGTCGATGATGACATTGCGTTTCCGTCCTACGATGAAGACTGTTCATTCGAAACCACCGTTCGGACCAACCAACAAACAGGTGTAGAGTCAGCGAATCCCTCTCTGGAGGCTCATTGCGGGACCTCCACCCCAGACTCTCTACTGCCAACCGGCAAGGCCGCCAATGACGATATAGCGATAGAAGATGAACCCTCGAGGCATGTGGATTATCTCTCGCATGATTGGCGTGAGGAGGATATCTGGTCATCCTGGCGCTACGTTATCTCTCGAAGAAATATGTATGCAAATGCGGTGCGGTTAGAGAATGCCTCGTGGAGGACGTGGGCCAAAGCGAAATACAAGTTGCGGACAGTGTCGCCGGAGACATTGAACTGGTGAGTCTTTATAATGTTATTCTTGCGCGGATACACTGTGTCTGTTTCTAACACTGAACAGGCTGAAGGACTGCGATGTAACCTGGCTATATGGGCCTCTCCAAACCGAGAATAAGCAACCAACAGTATCTAGTACAGGCAGCCGGGTTGGGACCCCTGCTTCGTTCAAGTCCATCTTGAAGAAGAAGACTGCTTCGGAGAATATTTTACAGCGCTCTCTCTCGCAGCATGTACTCCTCAAGCATGCCGGTGCAATTCTAAGGGCACGAGAGGAGGAGACCAATCGTGGAAGATCCCCCTTTGAGAGGAGTATCTCTGACATGGGTGTGACGCGGACACCCGCGGTTGACTCGGCTTTCAGCTCAATGGATACTACCCCGACGAACGCAACTTCGTCAGGTCTTACTTCCCCAGGAGAAAGACGCCACATTCACTTCAATAACGAAGTCGTCCAGTGCATCGCTGTCGAAGCGAAAGGCGCAGATGACGACTACAACTGTTGGTCTCATCCGTATGATCAGGACGATGAGTCGGATGATGATGGGCTGGTCATAATGAAGCGATTCTCTTCGAGGCCCCCAATTGCGAGGAAAAGAGCCCCTACCAGGAGTTCTAGCAGCGAAAGCAAGACGATAGCCCCATTGCCTCCGACCACGCTCAAGTACCGCGGCGATACACCAGAGCTTCCATCATCGGAAGGTCCTGCTGGGATGACTGAGTCTCCGAACCTGACACACACACCATCAATGGAGACCCTACGGCCGTCCAAGTCCCAGACCAATTTCCTTCTTGATGACGAGGACGATCTGGATATGCATTGGCAGCCAAGGCAGCCAATCTATGCGCCTGGACCGGACCGACCATGGTTCGTCAACCCGGAAGACGAAGAATCTGAAAACGGGTGCGAACTCCACTTGACGCCGTCCGGCATGTTCATGCCTTACGAGGAAACAGAGGGCTCTTCGTCTGGTCTCTTCGGACGGGTCATTAACACCGTCAACACTGCGAGAGATATCGCTCACGTTATCTGGAACGTAGGATGGAGACGATGAGCTGATCTCCCGCTAACGGTCCAAGGTCTTTGAAAGGCCGTTAAGTGGCCTGAGCACGAAGTATGGTCACGCCCGTTTTGAGTTTACCGTTCAGTCTTCGGACAGCATATCAAGGCGTTGTTTCGCAACTATTTTTTTTATTCTGGGAGGAAAGGATGGGATCATGGAAATGGGTTGTTTTCTAGCGCTTCTTCGATCATCAGCTGCGGAGTTGGGGCATATAGTATTGTCTGTTTTGCAGTGCCGCTTTGTTTGTTGCAGAAGATCCCTTATAGACGAGCTGCAGGCCTCTCCAAAGAGACACGATGAGGTTTTCTGGAGCAGGAGGAGGCATTCTTGACGATGGCTCTTTCATTTCAGACACGGCTATTACTGAACCACCGCTTGGCGCTAAGTATGCCTGTCGATCTTGTAAAGATAACGAATTCCTTTTTATAAAAAAAAAAAATACAATTACGATAGTTAGAAATAATACAGTGTCTACCATTGTCCCTGATATTGTGTTAAAAGTTGATGCCAACCATGAAGGGTCCAGGGTCAAGGGCTGTGGACCCGCGGGACCGCAGACTACGGGGAAATCCCCATCGTCGTCCCTCTTGTCTCTGCCCCTGTTCCTGGTCGCAGTTCGCGGCTTGATCGCTGCACACCCGCTGTGGAAATATCACACCGATGAATTGTGGCTATCTTTTCTCAGATAGTCACTACCATACCGTCCTTGCGGTTTCTCCAGCGCCAAACGGCATTCTCGACCTGATCGGACGATCCTGACCATCATCCAGTCCGGTACTACGCTTCCCGCCATGGAGGGCGTCAACGTCGCCGAACTGGTCGAAAGACTAGGGAGCGACGAAGATGCGGTGCGAAAAATGGCCGTGTTCAAACTGCAGGGCAGCATTGGCGATCCCTCTTTCGCAGACATCTTCATCGCGGAGGGCGGACTGGTGAGATTACGCTTCCTGACTCTGCATTCGACGGGAAATACACTTGCGTACAGCTTGACGAGCTTTGCGAGGCTGCTGGAGGTGGATAAGGGATGGGAATTTGTCGATCAGGAATTGGTCGATAGGGTAAGTCGTGAATCACGAGCGTGATGGTTTTGCGCTGGCATCATATCATGTCTGGTGATCGAATTGATACTGATGTGCTATGTGCTAGATCGTCGAGCTCATCGTCACTCATCCTCTCGTCAATATCCTGCGTGGCGCCATGGCGATCCTTGTCTCCATCGTCTCTCGCCCTCACACTGCTAGCGGCTCATCCGAGCCTGATCTGTTCGGTTACCAGGCGCTGAAACCCTCGATTGCTCTCTATCCGCAGTTCCTCGAGATGCTCGTCAGCCGGCTCTCTTCGGCGGATCATGCCCTCTGTGCCAATGCTCTACAATTGATCAATTCCTTGATGCGGGATTCGATCACGAACGATACCGAGACCGAGTGGCCCAAGTTTATCAAGCGACTACAGGATCTGGGTGTGATCAAGGCGGTCTATATCCTCATGCAGGGAACGGCATTGCAGGATCACGCACATCCTCTGATCGAGTTCCAGTCGCTCACCAAGGTGCTGTTGAGGAAGTGGAGAGATGTGTCTGTGGACTTGGAAAAGCCGGATCATAGGAGAGCGCTCAAGGGGATCCATCTGGCCAGCAATCCTCCCGAGAAACCGGAGGAGAGGTTCCTAGAGCTCAGTGAAGATGGTCGCAAGAAGAAGCACAACCCGGAGAAATGGCGGCGCCTTGGCTTCACCTCGGAAAATCCCGTTAGTGATTTCGAGGAGATGGGATTCCTCGGAATGATGGACCTGACGGACTACGTGAGGAAGTACCAAGAAGAATTCCAGAGGATGCTGCTGGAGCTGTCGGCCAAACCGGCCGCACAGCGGTGCCCGATTGCGCGAGCCTCGTTGGCTGTGACTTCTGTGCTCTACGAACATTTTGAGGTTGACAAGTCCGCTATGGAGGATGCCAAGACCTACCTTGTTCTCGAATCCCGTTCTAATGTGGACAAGCTCTTCAGGCCTCTGCTGCTGCACTGGTCGCGACTGCATGTGGCGGGACTACATGCGTTCTTCCGTCTGTGGAAAGCCACTGGAGCAGAGGTGGATGATTTCGACAAAGTGGTCGAGCTCGTGCGGATCCTCATCGAATCTGTCGTCGGCGGTGCATCGCGCACCAAAGATGTGCAGGATGTCGAAGAAGAGCTAGCGGCTTTCGAGTACCAACGACTGCGTGAGCTGCAGATGGAACTTCTCGAGCTGACGTACGAAGATGCATGGGGACAGCATCTGCGACTGGTCCGTGAGGAACTGCAGCATGAGGCCTTGCAGTTCGTCAAGGAGCAGCGAATCAGATGTTTATTGCAAGGTGCCTGGTTCCCTAATGAGCCCAAGCCTGAAAATGCCCCGGTAGGCAAACAGGAGACCAAGCGGGCGACCCCCTCGTCCTACAAGTATGCGCAGCTTTCTCACAACCGAAGATATCTCCATTTCGGTGATTTCGAATCGATGGACGATGAGAAGGCCCCCGAGCTGGACAGTTTGCCTGAGAGGAGTGAGTTTTCATCCATGTTTACTAACAGAAGAACCGTGCTAATCATGTATCCAGTTGATTTGTCCACTGTGTCGTCCGTTGTCTCCAATGTGTCCGCTTCGGCTGATGACTCGTCCGGTGCGACGATCAAGACGCTACCTCAGCAGTCTTCTACCAAGATAACGATCCATGGCTATGCGCAGACCAACTCATCGGCCGTAAGTTCGAAAGGCCACGCCCGCTCGAACAGCAAAACGACCGGGAAGGAAGTCGTTCTTCTCACTCTGCGGCCGCAGACTCACAGTGTGGCGTCGGAATGGCTTGACGGGCTGCTTATGCTGCTCAACCAGCAACCGATCACGGCCGAGACCAACAAGCTGATCAACCTGGTGAGCAACTACGGGCTGAAGATCCGACTGCTGAACGTGCGATTCGACGACGCTGCTTTTGCCGGAGAGCCGCCGGAGGTTCCAAGCCGTGAAGGTCTCGACGATGATTACTATTATGATGTTTTTGGCGGGGCGTAGCCTTGCTTTATCTTTTTATTTCCCCTTTCTTAAACCACACTTTCGGATCTATACTTTACTTCTACCCCAGGCTGCAGTCGAGGGCGACAGCGCCGCATTCTTCTTCGGCACATGACAAATTTCTTCTTTTCGATTGGAACTGGTACGGTGCTCACTGACCTGATGTGTTCAAGCACTTGTGTATTATTTTATTCTCTTGGAACTTTTGCAAAATACCCCTGAAGATTCAGATCTGTATATATTTTTCACTATTTACCTTCAACATTGCTATGACTTGTTGCATATATAACCATCAAAAGATAGACAATCCAGGTGTCCCCAAGCACGCTCTATAATTATCTTCCAGTCTAATAATTAATACTGACACGCGTAATAAAGTTACGCGCCTCGCGCCAGGGCAGATCACATGACTCCATTCGAACCACCTTCGGACCCGAGACAGCAACTCCGCAATAAAGAATCAATGGAATTCAACTGTAATCCCCCCAGATCAAACGCATGTCAAAGTGCTGTTGCAGGTCATGAGAATGATCGCGAGATGAACTGAGATACAATGATACCGGCCGGGAATATATCGCAACGGAACAGGAACAGTTCGCGCCATGGCTGCTCCTCCTCCGGCGAAGAGGCAGCGGAGAGTAGTGGTTTTGTCTTCGGACGATGAGGACGTTGGAGCGGGGGGGATGGTTTGTCTCCTTGACTTTCGTTTATTCTGTTTTGCTTTTATATTTCAGGTGTAGGGGAGAAGGAGCTAATTGATGATGATGATTGGAATAGTCTTCGACAGGATTGCGCACTCGATCTCGATCTACGAAGCACTCAGAAAGGACCAATGCGCGCAGTTCGAAAGCACCCTCCTCCTCACCGGAGAAGGATAGGAAAAGGAAACAAGTCCCTGCCAACGCATCCGGCTCAGGCTCACAATCTCTCCATGCCTTCTTCCAGCCCGCAACGGAGAAGCAGCGATGGTCGAAGTCGAAGTCATCGTCGCGAAGTTCTATTTCCGAGAACAAGACCGCCCAGATATCAATACCGAAACAGAAGCAACTGATAGACGAACCGTTGGAAGATATCGACGATCTTATTGAAGATGATTACGATTCCTACGATGAGATTTTCAGCCAGCATATTTCGGGTGAAAAGGAGAGTTTCCAAGAATGGAATCAGCCCCCGAAATATAATAATAATCAGGGCTTAAAAAATAGTAGTAGTAATGATCGAAGGAAGCAAACGCGGGTGTCGCCTGCGGTGGGGAGTTCGTTGAGTAAATCTACCGCGTCGAGTAAGCGGTTTCTGCTTCCGAATGATCATACTTCATCTGGGAATGTGCGGAAGGCCTCGCCGGCTGTCTCTGAATCCGGACGCGGTGAATCGCGGCCATGGGCGGAGCGTTATGCCCCAGTGGATATTGATGAGCTTGCGGTGCATAAGAGGAAAGTGACAGATGTGCGGAATTGGTTGACGGGTGTGTTTTCAGGGAGTAATCGACGGGTGTGTGTTCTATTGAATCGTTTATGGGGTATGATGACGACTGACTGATATAGAGGCTACTTGTCCTGCGAGGCCCTGCAGGAAGCGGCAAGACTACGACCATCTCGCTGCTCTCGAAAGCTGTAGGATATGACATTGTCGAGTGGAGGAATCCTCTCGGGTCCGAGTACACCGCGCATGACTATACGTCCATGGGCGCGCAGTTCGAAGAGTTTCTAGGACGGAGCGACAAATTCGGGAGCCTTGATCTGGACACTACTGGTATGCCGGTGCAGCATGATAGCCCTTCTGGACGGCGCATCATTCTCATTGAAGAATTTCCTACTGTGCTCAGCCGGACATCGCCGACCTTGATGGCATTCAGGTCTTCTCTACAGCGATATCTAGCCGCTAATAGCCACCCTTTCCTCAACAGGCAGGCTGCCCAGTCGATTCCTCCCGTGGTGATAGTGGTCTCGGAGACGATGCTCGGAACGTCGACCTCCATCTCAGATAACTTCACAGTGCATCGGTTGCTGGGGCCGGAGATATGCAAACACGAAGGAACGAGTGTTATCGAGTTCAACCCAATCGCGCCAACTTTTATGTCGAAAGCACTCAATCTGGTACTGCAAAAAGAAACGAGTGACTCCAAGCGGACGAAGATACCTGGTCCGGCTGTGCTGAAGCAGTTGTCGGATATGGGCGACATTCGCAGCGCTATTTCGTCTTTAGAGTTCCTCTGCGTCCGCGGGGACGAGTCCTCAGGCTGGGGAGGCAGAACGGTTACGAAAAAGAAGAAGCCTCCAGGTGGAGTGGCTCTCACGACGATGGAGAAGGAGTCGTTGGAAATAATAACGCAGAGGGAGGCCAGTCTCGGGGTATTCCACGCGGTTGGCAAGGTCGTCTACAACAAGCGCGAAGACGCAAGTCTTGCAGCGGAAGGCAGCATTCAATATACCCCGGCACCAGACCACCTTCGCCACCATGACCGCCGAAAGATATCGCAGGTCTCGGTGAACAATCTCATAAATGAGACCGGATCTGATATTCAGACATTCATTTGTGCACTGCACGAGAACTATGTGCCGTCTTGTCATGGTTCATCGTTTACGGATTCTCTTGAAGGGTGCATTGATTTCTTGTCGGATAGCGACATGCTCTCTGCTGAGTCCCGTAGAGGGATTCAGTCGAGCTGGACCGGTGCCGGTCGCGGTGCATCGGGCTACGGCAGCACGGTAGACAACATGCTCCAGGACGAAATCAGCTTTCAGGTGGCGGTGCGAGGATTGCTTTTCTCATTGCCCTACCCTGTCAACAGACGCCTAACGCAGGGCCCCCGGAGTCGGCCTGGAGACGCTCACAAGATGTTCTATCCTAGCTCCTTGCGCCTGTGGAGACAGACGGAAGAGAGGAGCGGTGAGCTAGACATGTGGATGCGGCGTCTCCTAGAGCCGTCCAGTGCAATCAGCGCGATTGGAAGAGGTTCGTCAGAAGGATCGAAGTCGGAGGGAGTAGAGTCGTGGGTGAATCGTGGGGTTGGTTCTGGTCATGCTGGACTGGAGGATCAGGCTGATCTGTCCGCGAGGGCGACGTTGATGTCTCGCGATGAGGTTCTTCTGCAGACCCTCCCGTACATGGTCAGGATTTTGGGGAATGTGGGCGCGATGAAAGACCTGGAGGACCTAACCCAGTTCCACGGCATAGAGGCTGAACCCGTCGATGTGGAAGACGAGCTTGACGGGCTAGACGATGTCCCAGTCGAACCTGTGGTGTCTGCTCGAAGCTCGTCAACCTTGCGTCGGGAACGATGGCCGAAACAACCAAGCTCGGAAGCACCAGAACAACCACCGATTGAAGATACGGTTGAGAAACTGGTACTGAGCGATGACGACATTGAAGATGATTAACACTGACAGCGGGCTGTCAAGGATTAATGGCGGATGGACATTGGCGTTCAATAATGCATGATACTTGGTTTGGATTTGGATTTGGGCCTGGACTAGGTAATGAGTTGGATGCATTTGCGGAAGGATTAATATTGAATCAAATTAGATCAGCAGTTGGCCTCTGCAGACTTGAGGTTAAGCGGGGGTTATTATTAATGTATCTACGAATTGCAGTACATTGTAACTATATTAAAATGTTTACTACCGCATACTAGTTACTACGTACATAGATAGTTCAGTAGTGGGTCTGATCCGAATTAAGTCCGATCCGATCTCCACGTGTTAGTTAATTGCTTAGTTTACCATGATTCAATTAGATTTACCCCGACTAAACTAACAACCACACGAATCAATGGAATTGGAGCGATTTCTCGCTTGGTGCTAGAGGACCTCTAACTCCCATCTTGTCTGGTTCTCGCCCAGTCCTGGTGTCAATTGGTTTGTCGAGGGGAAGTTATCGCGCCGCGGAGTCGCGCCCATCTTACTTACGGTGAGTGAACAGCCCGTCTTGGAACCATCTGTTTTGTTGGATGAATTACTACTGACTGACTACATAATCTCATAAGATGGCTAGATCTGGCCTGCACACGAATGAACAAAATGCCCACTTTCGCACAGAGTCCAATGGACACGTAGAGAAAGGAAAGACCATCTCCTCGTCGCGTCAGGAGAATGGCATGCGACACAGAAAAGATGGTTCGTTAGACAACACGCATGGTGATCTGTCGGAGATCGCTGCGGCGGCTGCGCAATCGACCTTTCCCGCATGGACGAATATGGTTGCGATGACGGCGTTGATTTTTGGAGGGTGTTGTGCGAATGTTCGTTTGGAATAATACCATACCTACTCTCAAGTTGTTTTGTGAGAGTGGATTGGAAGAAGTTGGGTCAAGCTGACGGTGGATAGGTGTATGCGCTGGAGGGGATTATCAAGTGAGCCCTTCTCTACTTGTTTATTCTACTGAGACTGTGGCGCTGACGAGATTTCTGTCTAGGGATGCGCCGAGTGCGGGTGAGCAGAGTCGCTATTGACGAGACTGAAATGAAATTCCAAACTGACAACAACAAGGTCCCTTGATCACGTTGATCCAATTCGTGACCGTCACACTGTTTACGATCCCCAGTTTCATCTCCTTCTCGGCAGGACCGCCGTCGGTGTTTGTCGTCCCCCGCGCGATCCCGCTGCGATCGTGGGTCATCTACACGGCGTTCTTTGTGACGGTGAATCTGTTGAATAACTGGGCGTTTGCCTATCGGATTTCCGTGCCGCTGCATATTATCTTGCGGTCCGCGGGCCCGGTAGCCTCGATGATCGTCGGGTATGTCTACAACGCGAAGCGATATTCGGCTGGACAGATCTTTGCGGTGATTCTGCTTACGCTGGGCGTGAGCGGTGCCGCGTTGGCGGACGCGGAGGCCAAGGGCAAGGTACAGTCTACGGGGGGTGAGTCCTCGCTGGCGGATTTCCTGGTGGGATTCCTGATCCTGGTGCTGGCCATGATCCTGTCCGCATTCCAGGGCGTGTATGCGGACCGACTGTACGAGACGTACGGCCGGAATCACTGGCGGGAGGCCCTGCTGTACTCGCACATGCTGTCTCTGCCGGTGTTTCTGCCAACGTATCCGCAGATCTCGTCGCAGTTGCGGGCGCTGGTCGCCAGTCCGCCGGTGCAGTCGCTGGTTGGTCCCTCTGCGTCGAGCATCTTTCCCAACGACCAGTCCATCACGACATCGGTGTTGGGGATGCTGTCGCGGGTGCCGGTGCTGGGGCAGATGCCAGTCAAGGTGGCGTATCTGGTGTTGAACGCGGTCACGCAGTACGTGTGCATCCGGGGGGTGCATCTGCTGTCGGCCAAGTCGTCGTCGCTGACGGTGACGATTGTGCTGAACATCCGCAAGCTGGTGTCGCTGCTGCTGTCAATTTATCTGTTTGGCAACCGACTGGCGACGGGGGTGATGGCGGGAGCGGCGCTGGTGTTTGCGGGGGCTGGATTGTATGGGTTTGAGGGAGCGCGATTACGGGGGAATCAGAAGAAGCGGGCATGATTGTTGATTTCTTTGTATGTCTATCTTGTACGAGTCGACATACTCGTATATGTATGTATGGTATAGAGAGAGAGATAAGACACCAACCAGTCAGAATCACTAGTTAACTACAATCGGAACATTACCAAGATTTATATGGTACATACACCAACGGGAGGAAACGGAGAATACTCGGACTGGTGGAGATGAAAGAAGAACGGGAGTGGTCGACAGAAGAGAATCATGGCATGATCGGATTGTTGATATGGCATGGTTCATTACCATCCTGGATAACAGTATGCTTGTTGGGAAGAAATGTCTGTCTGAGTGACGGAAACGGCATGGGATTGTTGGATGTGGCGGGATGGTCGATTGCGGGGATTCGACAATAGATTATTAGTGAACTTGGTTAACTTGGCAAAAGTACGGAGTAGGGAGTAATTATAGTCATGGAGTGATTAATCTGGAGATAATGGGATAACTAGGTAGATGTGTATGCGTTAATTAGTATAGCGTCGTAGTACAGTACTTAATGAACTTGCATGCTGTGCTGGCACCAGCAGGATGGAGAATATATTGTATTCTAGTCGGACTATATTATACTAGATAAAGAAAGGATAGGATAGATAGCTGTATTATATTCCAAGAATAAGTATGTATTCGCGCGCCCAACTTCTCCAAATCAGGAGATCAGAAGATTCCAGACCCGTCGAAGCAGCCACGATTCTATCTATGGCAGTATCTTTCCTCTTCCAACTCTGGCTTCTTTCTGTTCTTTCAATCCGATTATTTTGTCAATTCTTCTTCCAACCGATCGTCTCGTGTCGTCTAGTTCGCGCTGCTCCACTATTAGTTACTTACTTACTCTGTCTCGCTCTGGCCAGTGATCGACTCGACTTAGTGGATTAACTATCCTCTACTTCTGATTTCCCCCTGTCCGACATCAAGCAGTCTGATGAACTTATTATTATTCTTCTAGAGTATTCGCAACCCGACTGTTCCAACATCTCCCGACATCCTGTTCTTCCCCGCATCCATCGCTTCTCGCCGGACGCGGGAGATCCTCGTGGTCCATTGCGATCTGGACAGCCTCCCCTTTCCATTACAACATCAGCATCATCATCATCATCATTATTATAATTATCATTTCTGTTATCTTCGTCCTGGTCATCCTCTCTCCTGGTTTTTAAGATCTGGATTCACTCTACCATATAACAACCCCCATCAATCTCTCTCGTCTTCCCATCCAACTGGACGGGCCAACCCAAACAGGGACCGGCTCCCTTCTCCTCAATGCTGCAAAGCGCATGCTCTCTCTCCCCCGCCGTCTCTGTCCCTGAGCGAAGCATGATCGGTCGAGAAGAAATTCTATAAAAATGGGCGATTCCTCAGCGCCCTCTGCCTCGCCTCCGCGACGATTCCTCCCGCAGCCCGTGGAGACGTCATCCACATCTTCCCGATCTCCGGCCGTCCACCGTCCCGCCGAGCACGACAACCGACCTGCTGCTGGGACTACTTCTGGGACGACTACTTCATCCTCGTCCTCCCAGCAGCATGTCAGACGCTTCCTCCCTCAGCCGGTAGAGACTACCTCCCGCAGCTCCAAGGCTTCGTCCCCCGCGGACCCGTCCAACAACCAGGGCGCATCATCAGCTCAGCTACAAGCCCCCGCTCCTCGCCGTCGATTCCTACCACAACCCATTGAGACCGAGACCCGATCCTCCAAGCAGCCCAGGGATCAGTCTGGCGCTCGATCCCGGGGGTCCTCGGGAGCCTCTACCAGCAGCAACCGTCCGGTTCGCAGGTTCGCCCCGGAGCCCATCGAGACCGTCAGGGCGACCAACCGAAAGAGTGCTCCTGGCCGGTCCAACACTCTGCGATTGACATCAGATACTCGAGGGTCGACGTCGTCGGGCTCAATCTCCCCTCTGCGGAAGTTCACCCCGCAGCTGATTGAGACTGGCAAGCGCTCTGTCCGCAGGAGTGACACTATCGCACTCGAACGACGCCCGTCGGACAATATCTTTGAAAGGCCTGACCCGTCCGAGTCTCGTTTCTCCTACGCCAGCCTGCTGCGTCGCCAGGAAGGTGGTGGCCGAAGACACTCATTCCGCGTGCCAGACCTCCCTGCCATTCCGTCCAACAGCGGAGAGAGCTCCGATAGTGATACGCCTTCATTGTCAACCTCCCCGACTACCTCGACCGAGGAGAGTCGGCGCCCCTCGAGGCTTTCGGACGAGCGTCGCGAAAGCTGTGACGAGCGTGTGTCCGGCTACCTGCTGTCGCTGGCCGCCCGCTCCGCCGAGAAGCAATTGCAGGAGACGGCGTTGGCGGCCTTCCCCAATGAGCAGGTCTACCACCCCGTGTCCCACTTTGCCATCGATCGGGAAGAGGATGAGTCGACCGTGAGCGAGGAGGAAGTCGTCGATGTGGTCTTGCGCGATATGAAGAGTGATCTAAGCGCTTTCCGGCGCGAGTCCACGACCGATCTGCCCTTCGAGATCGAGGAGTTGCGCCGGTTCAAGGAAGAGGCCCAGAAGAAGGACAATAAGAAGGATTACCACCACCAATATCATCGCCCCAAGGAGACCAATGCGGTAGAGTCGAAGTTCTCCGCCGCCGCCATTGCCGCGCGCCGCGCTCAACCTGCCGTGTCTCCCAATTTCCTGCGAGAATGGCAGAAGGAGAAGGATGCGCAGACCAAACGGGTCAGCCCGCCGATGCTGGGCGCCGACTTGGTCTTCCCCCAGAGTCTCTCGCCCCAGTCGACTCGCTGCGATGTCGACCACCCGCCGGTGGACCGCCACACGAGAGCTACCCAAGGATGTACCAAGTGCGGCGGTCTCTGGTGTACCAGCTCTCATACCGATGACAGTCGCGGGAGTGGACTGTGGATGGGCACCTGCTCGAAACGCAAGGTGTCTGGCATGGAATCGTCTTCGCCAAACATACCGGGCATCCAGACCCCAGCCGTTGGCCCGGATGGCAAACGCTACTTGAGTGTGAATATGGGGCTTGCGTCCAGTCTACCCAGTCATCTCCCGACGACGCCAAAGGTGGTGGATCCCAATCTTGCTGATATGCAGAGGAGGCTGAGCGTCGAGGAAGAGATCGAGCGGGAATTCCACGATGGGTTCGTGACACAAGTCTACAACTATTTGTCGCTGGGATATCCGTGCACGGCGCGATACTTTGATGGAGAACTCAGCAAGATCTCCGGTATCCCCGTGCAGGATCTACGACAGGACGACCAGCACACGGATGCCAAGGGATACGTCGGCGCCCCTGAGGGAAACTGCCCTGACGCTGACGGGGTGACGGGTGGAAAATGCATGAGATGGACGGCATTACGCTTATATATCCGCGAGTGGGCTCGACAGCAGCCCAGGATGTCTGGCAACGATCACCTTGAAGCTTGGGGGGTTCGGGAAAGACGAGGAAGCTGGGCTGTTTAGCGAGTCTTGTTCTATTCCTACCGCTTTATATCACATTGAGCACACTTGGTTTTTTCACGCGGGATCGGTTGATATGATTGCATCGGCATTGCATTTCCATCTCCTTCGAGAGTTATATGACTCGCCTCCTTTCTCACTCTTGCCACTTACACCGTCAGACGTATATACAACCTTCCTTCCCTCCTGTCACATACATTTGTCACCCGATCGGACCTAGACCCTGCCAGAGTCAGTCAGCAGTGGTATCCAGAAGCACAGCACCACAGTGCTCGGGACGAAGATAGATCATCCTCGTTTTTTATTATTCATCACATCATATATTGTATTTAATTCGACCTGCTCGGCGTCTGGAGCCCGTCTCGTTGGGGCCTTCCCTGTGCACAAACAACAATATTGTGCTTGTCATTGGCGTGCGTTTTATCATATCAGGTTCTTCCTTACTACTACTACTCGATAATCCGAGGGTAGGTTTAGCATACAGGTTAGACTAGGTAGCGTTGTTCGAATTCAGTCGTCTATTATCCATATTTAGTATCTCCTAGAGCATACAAAGAATCCAGGTCTCAGTAACCTAGTAGGTTGTAGTTCTATCCTGTAATAATTAGGATAAAAGCGTACAATATAGCTGTATATATTCATATATATATATGTTAACTTCCGACAAACCTTAATTACGTAGGGCCTTGTATACAAGAACTCATCATATGATTTTATTTTATCTTTTGCTCCTAGAAAGATTCCCTTCTTTCGTCTATAATAACAGGAATGACCATATCGGATATAGAGTAATATGTATTTATTTATTTATATTTATATTTATAACACCACGGATGCATACATAAAGAGAGAAGGGGATGGGGATAGGGGAGGCATATGACTGACTTTATTTAGCGTACAAAGGAGAACGTTAGGAATCGATTATTCAAACATTCGACGCGAAATTCGAACTAGTGTTACAGCATAAGACAGACAGACAGATAGGACAGGATAGGACATGCGAAGCGTGATTCGTTCCTTTCTTTACACGAATGAAGAGGAGAAAACGAAAGAAAAAAGAGGGCAAGAACGGCAGCCTGATATCTTTCGTTTTTCTCCCATCCAGTCTTTTAGTAGGATTTGATTTCTCTTTTATCGATCATCACATGGCTCGAAAGGGGTTCCCCCTTTCTGGCTTCCAAAAAAAAGAGAACGACAAAGTCGACATTCGTCTCTCGGATCGGTTCATACAAAAAGAAAAGATGCTTATAGCACTTCGCCCACGATCTTGGCGGCTTCCTTGTAGGTCTCCAGAAGTCGTTCGCACTTCTCGCGCTCCGCTTTGATGCCGTCGTCTTCGTACAGGAGATCGCCGAAGAGATCCTCCTTGTACAGCTCGCTCACTAGTCGGTTCTGCACGACATCCTTGCTGTGGTTGACCAGGAGGTGCATAACCGCCTTGGGAACCTGGTCCGCGATGGTTTCCCGGACGATGTTAAAGTACGAGGAGATCAGACGTCGGATCAACTCCGTCTCCATCACTTCACGGTCGGTAAGAGTCGGTTCGGCATTATCCTGAGGCTGGAACAGATGTTAGTAAAGTGTAAGACAAAATGCGAAAAAAAAAAAAAAAAGAGAGAGATAGCTGGACGGGGTCCTTACGAATTGAGGTGTCTCGCCTCCATACTCGGAGAGTCCGGTGTAGTCATCCTGAACGGCAACAGGCGACCTCGGCTCTCCTCGACGAAGGCTCTGGCTGATGCTGGGCTCGTTGGTATGGCTGAAAGGCTTGCTTTGCGCCGCAGACGGTTGAGGCAGAGGCCCGGCGCTAGGCAGGCCTTCCTTGCCGAAGAAATAGTTCAGGAACGAGTCGCGGGCTGCGTTGCCCGAGCCGAATCGTGGTGGTGACGCTCCGTTTGTCGATGCGACACCATTCTCCACGTGCGGTGACATGCTTCGGCCCTTGGACTGGCCCCTGATCGGGATGGCCTTCGTGTCAGCCTGTTCATCCTCTTCACCGGTTCCATTGGCCGCAGCCAGTTCCTTCAGCCTCCGCTTCTCGCGCCGCCTCTTCTCTTCCGCCAACAGTGCCTTCTTCTCCTGCTCCTGCTTGTTCTGGATCACGGACGACATGGCCGCTGCAGCACCGAGGAAGTTGGGGTGATTCGTGTTGATGTATGCTCGCTGGATCGCGATGAGGGATTCGACGTAGCTGGAGCAGGGTCCCAGACGTTCGCGCAGTAGATCCGACACAACCTCGATCAGCTTGGCCTGCAGACGCGGGAACCGTGACAGTTCTTGGGAACCGCAAGTATGGCATATCTTGATGAGTTCCTCGTAGACGAGTTCGACACATCGCTGACTGGGCACTTCCAGCAATTTAATCTGGGGCTTCACCAGCAGGTCAAAGGCAAGTTCGGGAACGAACAGACTAGGTCTGGGACCGGTTGAGTTTCGAATGGCGGTCCGGATATCGGAGACGGAGAGGTTCTGAGTCGGGTCGATCGTCTCCAACGAGTTGCCGAAGACCGAATTGAATATATAGTAGATGCGTGCACCACCGCAGAGCTCCTTCGTTGAGATTTCCGAAGAGGTTCCGTCGATGGACGAAATGAATGAAGAAGCAAATCGAGTCATCAGCTGTAGGATGAGCGAGCCGCGGTGCTCCTTGCCGCTGAACTGCTTGTTGCCGTAGCTAGCGAGCTCTTGCTGGGTCTGGCCCATCAAGGTATTGAGCCGTGCCTTGATGTCCGGCAGTCTCTCCCGGATATGGCCCATCAAGGTCGTGTTCAGGGTCTTTGCCAGGAAATGCGTACCGCAACGGTTGGCCATATTCCGGTAGGCCGGGTGGTGTCTGAAGAATTCCGCTTCCGCCTTCAGGGCTTCGGACAACGACTTTCCACTCTGGATATCCTGCTGGGAACGGTTGACGACGCCGATGAATCCCAGCTTCAGGGGATAGACGCGACCAGACAGAATGTCCATCGCATTCGTGCCGTGATCCATCAGATCCAGTTTCGTCAACACACCGATTGTCCTCCGACCCATGGGATCTACGTGGCGCGCCAGCTTCAAAGCCTCTGAGTTGACCAAGTCGACATTGGCCGGTGACACCGCGAGGATGATGCTGTTAGGCTTGGCGATATACTCGGAGATCAGGGTGCGAGTCTGCTTCTCGATGTCGGATGGCTGGTCGCCGATTGGCACCTTGGTCAGACCCGGAAGATCGACCAGCGTCAGATTCAGGACGTGCGGCGAGAAGATCTTCAGGTTGATCGGTTGTCGATTGATACCCTTGTTGTTACCTGCTATGCGCGCAGTTTCCGCCTCGATCTCCTGCTTGACCTGGGCGAAGTCTTCGAACTTGCGTCCGGGCTGATGATGGAACTCTGCCCACTCTCCATGGCCTGCGACACTGGCGGCCGTGTGAGGCACATGGACTTCATCGCCGTCCAGTTGATCATCGCGATCGCTGGGGATGTTGATAAGCTGCAGGATCAAGGGTCTTCTGGTCACGATGCCGCTACCCCTCGGAAGGAAGTCTCTCCCAACGATATTCTCGAGCACCGAGGATTTTCCGGAGGATTGTGAACCTACCACCACCTGTGCTTCCGGGTCAGTTTATCTGGTCGAGGGAGGAGGGGGGAATGGCGGATGCAGTGGACGAGGAGAAAAGGTTGCGCATGGTCGCTCGCGTGAAAATTCCCCGAGAGAGGCGATCGACTTACAATCTGCGGCAGGTCTAAAGAATCATTGCCGATAGTGTTGAAGACGAGGTCTTGCAACTTGTTGACGGTAACGAGCAAGTCCTCACCCAGGGCAGCCATCTTGTCGTCTCAAGCCGGGAGGTGGTTTCTTGAGGATGTCTGGGGTATCGACGGAGGACGGAAGGAGGAGAGACCAAGAGACAAGAGACAAGAGACAAGAGACCAGAGAACAGGGCGGCCACCACGGCCGTTGTAGGGAACGCACAGGTGGCTGATAACTAACTGCCAAAAGGGAGGATGCGAAATGAAAACCGTCAAGAAAGCAGGACACTTGGACCGTCAAGCGCCTCGTGGAGACGGAGAGCGTTTCATGAAGCAAGAGAAGCTGTTTATCCGCATTAGTCGCTTTTCGGCGTCTCGCATCGACGGAGAACACGTGACTTAGGTATTCAGCCACTGTCCAACTTTCCGTTCATTGAAGTATTTAGTAGTCTACTTAACTTATTATTATCATCATGATTCATTTACTATTATTGCCATGATGTCCCATATTTATAAAGAATTATCATCGATTAGATCCATCCCAGCAATATATGGTATCGTGAACGCTCTATGGCGGGTGTCTATTCTCTCCTGTCCGATTCATAGAACGACCTAGACTATGGTAAACTGTTGCTCGCCACAGCATCCTTATGTACCCTTGACGTCTACCAGATTCGATTCAGGAGTCGCCAAATAAGCTTAGATCTCCGCCAACTAACTCTACCATAATCACTCACGACCGCTATCAATGCGATTTACTTTCTGGTGCTTCTCCGCAGACAGGCGTAAGATAGCAGGATGTTTCAGTATGGAACTGATCGCAGAACAAATTCCAGATTCCACGCTCGAGTCTCAACCTGATCGTAGAAGGCGCATAAATTGTTGCTTTGCCGTCTTCCCTCCAAAGTCTGGTATATAGTAGCCGATCGAGAGAATACGACTGCCTGGTTCTAGCCCGCCCACCGGTCAGCCTTGTCGTACGTCTGCGCAGAAATCATCTACATAGCCATCTCGAGTCGACTGGAATGCGCAGAAATCATGCTGCCTGGGATCGGGAGGCTGTGATGACGCTTCCTCAAGAGTCTAGATAACTCTGATGCTCTAGCAGACGGAGCAGAGGTAAGACAAAAAGCTCATAGTCCTAGAACGCTATTGAGCAGATTGCACTAGTTATTATTATTGATTCAGGCACATACGTGGAGTCCGTTGGGCAGATTGGGTAAATTGAATTAAATTAAATCCAAATTAAATTAAATAGAACAAAATCAGAAATGTTGAATACTAATGGCAGAGATCGCCAACTGACGTACTGTTTTCCAAGCCACAGCCCGTGCTCCACCGCAGCCTAAACTAAACATCAGCAACTTGGCCTAAGTTACTCTCATACATAATACAACCCCCTCGTCCATCCATACTCTCTCCGCCTTTGATTTACATATCGTCCTCTACTGCTGGAGAAGATACAAGCACAAGGTGAATTGACGCTTACCCCTATTTTCTTTTCTTTTGGTCTACTTGGTCCCGAGACCGGAGAGGCCCAAGACCCGCAAGCTGTCACCCCGTCCCCTCAGTGCCAGTAGTAACCAGTACAGTGTCTACAACAGTCGCTCAGTGGTTAACTGTCTTTCGCGGTACAGACGTTGATGTCCCCAACCTCGACCTGATCGGACGTCGTCGGTTCTCCCTTACTCTCACTTGACATTGGCACGTCGCCCTCGTCTGGACCCGACTCCTCCACCATGGCTACCCTCAATCTCTCCACGAACGGGCCGACGATATCCAGAAGCTACCAATCAGTCGTGAATGCCCCGGCTCCCAGTGGCCCTGCTGCTTCCTCTCCTACCTACGCCCAATGGGCGGTATTCTCAGTATCGGCTCCTCTGGCGAACGCCTTCCAGGATGTCGGCAATAAGGAAAGTGTCCTGAAGGTTCAGAGCACAGGAGGTCAGTGACAGACGTCTTCGACCGGCTTCTCCGCCAGACCAAGGCTAACACACACACACACGTACAGAGGGCGAATTGATAGACCTGATCGACGAACTCTCGGAAGGACGAATACAGTTCGCCTATGTCAAGGTCAGAGACCCGAACACCGGTCTCCCCAAGAATGTCCTCATCGCCTGGTGCGGTCAAGGTGTTCCGGAAAGGACAAAGGGTTACTTTACCAGCCATCTGGCTGCCGTCTCGAAGTTTCTGCATGTTAGTTCTCCTTTCGTTCTCTCCGACGGAGGAAGCAACCAACGACTAATTGATATCGGCCGGTTAGGGATACCATGTCCAGATCACCGCTCGCGCGGAGGGCGATTTGACCCCCGAAGGCATCATCCAGAAAGTTGCGGACTCCTCTGGTGCCAAGTACTCTGCTGGCGAGGCCCCTGCTCCACCCCCCGTCAGTGCTGCTTCAAAGCCCCCGGTGGCCACCAAGCCAGTCTTCACGCCTGTGCGGACTGGAGCCCTTGGATCAGGCACTGCGAGCCTTCCTCGCCGAACAGTACCCCGCAGGGAAGAGAATGTCGATGATGATGGGTGGGGTGCTGATGCGCCTCCGGTGACTAGAACGCAGCTGGAGAAGGTCCAGCCAGCGTACAAGCCTACGAAAGTGAACATACAAGAACTGACCTCTCAAAAAACGGCCACTACCTCATCCACCCCGGTCGACGACGCAGGCCGGAGTGATGTCGTTAAGGGAGGCTACCAGCCCATTGGCAAGGTAGACATCGCTGCTATCAGGAGACAGGCCCAGGAGTCTGGACAGTTGCAGGATGACCGTCCAGCGCCGGTCAAAGGCACATATGAACCGGTCGGAAAAGTTGACATCGCTGCTATCCGTGCACGAGCCAGGCAGCCCGACGAGACACCCTCATCGATCTCTCCTGCCGTGACGGGGGAGCCTGCAGATGAAGACCGGCCCAAGACCCTCGCCGAACGGTCCGCGGCCTTTACACCCTCTGAGCGTCTAACTTCCCTGCCCAAGCCTAAAGTGGAGAACAAGTTCGCTGGAAGCTCGCCCTTCACAGCCACTAAACCTCCAGTTCCTGGCGGCTTCGTTGCCAAACCCCCTCCTGCTGCTGCGCCCATTGGAGCCGCCAGCAGAACATTTGCTGACCAAGGCGGAAAGACGCCCGCTCAGCTGTGGGCGGAGAGGAAGGCGAGGGAACGCGGCGAAGCTCCAGCAGTGTCCGATGCGGGCGCCGCGCGACCCGTGAGTCGAGATCAATCAACCGGCGGAGGAGAGTGGAAGAGTGGATATACTGGCAAGTCGTGGGCTCCCGTCCAAACCACCCACACCGGCAAATCTGCCAGCAGTGCTCTTTCTGGCCAGCACACTGGATCTGTAGCTGGGGAGACCCCTGAGGACACCCCCTCTGGAGGTGTCGGCTCGCTTCGCGATCGGTTTGCCAACGTGGCACCCACTAGTGCTGCCCCCGCCGCTGCTTCTCCTCCTCCGCTGGATACCAGCAGTAAGCCGAACGCTGGACGTGGGATCCCCATGCCTGGACTTCCATCTGGTCCGGTGCAACCGGAGGAGAACTACGAGGCGGAAACTCATCAAGTTGCCCCTACTCCGCCGCCACAGCCACGATCTCCTACTCCACCCACTCCCCCTGCAGTGCGTGAGAGTTCTCCTATCCGTGTCGCCATGCCTGTCGGGCGCGGAGTTGCGGGTGGTCATGAAGAGATCAACTCTCCACCCCCGGCCATGCCCGTTGAGAGCCTTCAGCAGGCTGTGCCTAATGAGGAGGATCTGGAAGAGCCTGCTCATGATCCCGCCCGTGCGGCGGCTGAGACTACCGCATCACACGTGTCTCAAGGAGGCGGTATTCGAGCCCTTGTGCAGTACGACTATGAGAAGGCGGAAGACAACGAGATTGATCTGAGGGAAGGAGACTATGTAAGCGAGATTGAAATGGTGGACCAGGATTGGTGGTTGGGCGTCAATATCAACGGCGAGCGTGGATTGTTCCCCAGCAACTATGTCGAAGTGGTCGAAGCCGGAGACGAGCAGCAGGCGGCACCTGCAGCCCCAGTACATGAGCCAGAGCATGAGCCAGAGCCAGAGCCAGAACCGACAGCGCCAGCGGCCCCAGCAGCCGCTGCTGGTGGAAGACCGACTGCGACTGCGCTGTACGATTATGAAGCTGCGGAAGACAACGAAATCAGCTTTCCTGATGGCGCCAAGATCATCAATATTGTAAGTGCCACGCAGTCTCAATCTATCATCTGGTCACATCGACTAACAATTGTTCTCAGGACTTTCCCGATGAGGATTGGTGGTCTGGGGAGTACAATGGAAAGACTGGCTTGTTTCCGGCGAATTACGTCCAGCTGGACGAGTGAGCCCGCTTGGACCCCAGGCTTGCGAATGTTGTCGTCAAACGTTTCGATGCTCCTTTCTCCCAACATCAGCTCCCGTGCGAGCACTGAATGCAGTTATACCGTGCAGTGCCAAGGCTCGAGTCCTAACCAGCTTCCTGGCCGCTAGATTCAGCTCCGGACCTCAAGCCGTGTCTTCCATTCACTGTATACATTGTTATATGTTGGCTGACGGTTTCTGGTATACCTTGGCTTCCTCCCTTTACATCGATCGTTGCTAGCCCAGTTTGCCTGTATTATTTACACGACTAGTCATCATCCAGGAGGGTTGGTGGACGCGACATATATCAGTGGCCGCCTTGTTAAATTGAAGATCACCAGTGAATAGAGTCTGATTTGAAGATCCGTAGCTTGTGCCTGCGCCATGCCCTGGCGAAATTATTATTATTATTATATTCCTCTGTAGTCTTCTGTACCGTAAAGTACCATATGATAGTCGACGGGGCTTGTGATTGGCCAGCCAAAGTGAAGCGGCTCTCCACCTCGGCATCTGCCCTCTTGGCCTCTCCGTTTCCCCCTCGAGAGAGAGTCGAGACTGACTTGACTGTCACCAGTTGCATCTATTTCAACTATCGCTCCATCTTGATCACCATCTCTATCTATCCTCATCTTGCCTCTGCCCTGCTGCTTCGTAGCCGGGTTAGCATCTTTTTTTTATTGATCTTTTTTCACGCCTTGAACTACTACAGTTCAGAGCTGCCCCGGGCGCACCTTGTCAGCTCAAAAGTGATACCCTAATCTACCCTGTATCATTTCATCCATGCTGCCATCCTGCGACTTGCTTGCTTGCTCTCTATTTCTATACATTCCTGTCTAAGCTTGGGTGAACTGCCTTCGTCATTACAGGAGCTCCCCAACGTGCATGGGGAAGGATCCGCCTCGAGTTCTCCGTATCTCGTGCGCTCCTTCGCGGTGTTCAGACGCTTCTCCCGCTTGGTCTTCCCGTCCACACTCTTGTCCTCGTCTTCGAGGCAGCCCATACTGTTGCTTTTTAGTGTTATTGCACTATCTCTGCTGAAATGGAGCATCGGTCACCGGTGTCGGGACCCGGTGCTTGAAAGCTTCTTTAGTTTTCCTTTCCTTCTATTATACTTTCCCGTTTCCTAATTCTCATATTTTTTTTATTCTGCTCTGCGCACCTGTTCATCCTAGGACAGGTGCCACCGGCAGTTATGTCGGACTCTCTCAGGGATCCTGGAAATAGAGGGCCATCTTCTTTTGAACCAGACAAATCTACCGGCATCGAGGATGTCCGGACTCCTACACTCGATTCCAAGGATTACTCCCCTCGGACACAAAATGATCTGGACAGCCGTCAGGCAAATTCGACCGTGGATTTCCAGGATACGCAATCATTGTCTTCTTCTTCTTCGCCCCCATGGCATAAGGATTCTATTTCTCCAGGAACAGAACTTCAGCGTAAACGGAAACGTTCTCTAACGACTGACAACTTGGCAAAACCACTTTTGACGGACCATATGGATGCTGACCACGAGGATCCTACCACTTTACATTCTATGCCGAATGTCAAACGGGCAAAGACCGGGGAAACTGTTGCAATGCCGGAAAGAAGTTCTATTCCCGTCGACAAATCCAAGTTACCCAAGGAGTTATGGCAGCATATTTTTACTTTCCTTCCTCCGGCCACACTTGGTGTCCTATTGCGTGTCAATAAAGCCTTCAATTCTTACCTCACTTGCAGTGAGACGGATTTCTCCAGCACTCCTCGCTCTACTGGTTTATTAAGATTCCAAACTCAGGATTCCATCTGGTCCATTTCCCGTAAAACCTTCGTCCCAGGCATGCCACGGCCATTGATAGACAAGACTGAGCTTGAAATGTGGCGTTTGACCCGTGGACTCTCCTGCCAGTTCTGTGGAAAGTCCAGGATACCGACTCGACCTGAGTCGTCACCCTGGGAGTCCGGTCCAGGTCCCGATGGTGTCCGTATCATATGGCCTTTTGGGATCCGGTCGTGTGGAGACTGCTTCTCTGCGAGAACCGAAAAGGTTCGTTCCGTTAAATCGAGGACCTGTCTGCTTTATTAGTGACTGACGCTGCCATTCCTAGGAGCTAGATGTGATGCTCTCATCACTCCCAACGTTCTTGATTCCTGCGCTTCCGTTCGCCTTGGTTACCTCCACATTGCATTTTGTTCCATCCGTCACTCTCCGTTCAACACCCGTTCCACCGTCTGCTGCCATCACAAAGTATTATTTCAAGCCTCATATCGATAGCCTGAAGCTCAAGTTCGAGGATGTCAAAAGCCTTGGGCCGGCCGTGGTCGAGGAATGGATCAAGGGCCTTGACAGTAAAGGCAAGGAGCACCTGGCTGACTCTTCACGGTGGGAACAATGGGAAGCCAACGGTGGTTTGCGCGCAGTCCAGGAAGGCGGATCTCTCATAGGATCAAGGCGTCCACGCACCACTTCTCCCGCCAAATTTGATAATACTGTCCCGTCTTCCGCAGAGCCAAGGCAGACTGGTTTGTCTAATGGAAAATGGACCTCCAGCGAGCGAAGCCCTGCCGCTTCTGCGGCCAGGTATGGTACGTATCAAGACTGCTTTTCTTCGTCCGATATATCGACTATGATCACCATATTTTTGGTCTCTAATGTTCTTGAATTCGTCCGCTGAAAATTACCCCGCAGGTTTAATACTACCACCTCGGCCTTTTAGTCCGCAGGTCCAACCGGGTCACCATTTCCAGCCACGCATGGAACGAAATCTGCGCGATATAAACGAAGCAAAGGCTGCGCGTCGGGCTGAAATCGAGCGTCGGTGTGCTGAAATGGATCCTCCTCTCACCCCGTCTGTTTTAAGTCATATGGAATCTTTCCTAGCTGCTATACAAATTCCCCATCCCTTCACAGATCGAGATTGGGAGATCCTAAAGCCCCGATTGATGACGCAGAGAGAGGCTGCTGAGCGAAAAGAAGAGCAGCGCCTGAGGCAGTCCCAACTCCTGCAGGCACGATCCGAAGAACGTCGACAGCAGGAGGCCCACTTGAAGGAAGCCAAGGAGATGCTCGACCGTGAATGGGAAGATGTCCAAAGACCTATTCGGGACCGAATGGCCATGTATGCTGACGAGATAATCAATGAAGGTTGGCGTGGTGGTAGCGCTGTTACTAAAGAGAAAAGCCCGAAATTTGCCGCGGATGTGTTGATGTATGTTCGCAATAAGTTCTACGGTCACATTGAGGAAGAGGATGCCATTGCCCGCGCCTCAGGGAAGCCTGTTGAGCTTGATCCACCCAACGCACCCCCTCGTCGCAAGCTGATCCTGGAGAACATGAAGTGGATATTTGATACTAAGGTCAAACCTTTCACGGAGCAGTTCCAGAAGGAGTTGTTTATCTGCAATGGATGTGAGAACAACTCTAAATTTTACGGGTTCGAAGGCGTCATACAGCACTACGCTGCCAAGCATACAAATTCTCTCAGCCTAGGCAGTGTTGTTGTGCACTGGCGGTCAGAATGGCCCGAGAAGCCTCCCTTTCATCCAAACCCGAGTGCTGCCAAGGCTCTTTTCATGGCGATGGGCCAGAATTCCGGATTTCCAGGACACCAAAAGCCATCCGGGATGTTCGTGCCTGGCACCGATCAAGGTCATCCTATACACCCTGATACCCCCTCCATCTATCCACATCAGTCCCCAGGCCCGTACGGTCCTCATCCATATACTCCATATCCTTACGCCCATGGACCGTTCAGACCACCGTCCCCCAACATCAGTCACTATTATCCTGGTTCACCGCCAGCGTATGGATACCCTGCTCCCCAGACAGGATTTCCTGCTGGTGCTCCTTATGAACAACCTGTGCCGCCACCCACAGTATATGGTTCTCCATATATCAGACACGCCTATCCTGTTTATCAGAGGCCCGATCATCACGTCGCGCCTTATGCGACACAGCCGTATGGACCGCCGCCACAATATGTGCCGCCCTATCAGAACAGTTCCAGGCCGCCGAAGCGTAACGGCCAGTTCCATCATTACAACTCACCAGCTCACTCGTTCGGGCCTTATCAGGATCAAGCTGATGAAATGGCAAGAACCGCACGTGAAGTATGGAACAGGACCTCCGGGATCAAGGACCTCCCAAATAGTGTTCGGGCGCATGTTCTGATGTACCATGTCATCACCGCGTTCAGAGAGCAGTTTCAGGGAGATCCGCCGGTGGCGCTCTTTGCTGATTGCTTAAACAATCACCCACAGATGAGACCCATCCGAAATCTGGGCGGTCTAGCATGTAGAGCTTGCATTCGAGGAGAGGTCTCTGGTGGATTCCAGCAGCCCGAAGCCGGAAATGATGCGAGACTCTATACACTGCCGGCATTGGTTAGTCACTTTCAATCTTCCCACGGAGAAGCCGTGAAGCCTAGCATTATCCCGCAAACTGGGGTTGAGGTATTGAGACCGGACTGGAAGTATGATATGATCGAACTTCCAGACGCATCAGCAGTCGCCTTGCTTCTCCAAGCTCCCGGTGTGGATGGGGCGAAACTTCAGCTTGTTGCCGATGCTTTCCCGGGCGTCTTTTCAAAACGTCCTGCGTCGAGGGAAATAGTCCATGCAAGATATCAGGCTCCTTCGCCACGTGCGAAAGCACATACAGATGCTCGAGAGGCAAAGCGACACTGCCGTGGTCTCTCCGTTTCTACGTATGACAATCTGGTGGCTGATTCAGAAGAGCGACGACGAGAGGTATCTTCGAATCTGTCAAGCCCTAGGCGGCGTGACTTGGAATTAGTGGTAAGCCGCGTACAAAGGGGTATTGAGTCCCCCATCAGAGACTCTGCCAGGCCGTCCAGACCATCGCGGGATGATGAGTACTATCCGCGCCGGCCATCATCCATCGAGCCAAGCCGATTCCCTTATGAGAGCATGGGTAACAGGCCACCTGCTTCACCGCTTCACCGACAAGTAATCATGCATGGGCCATCTCACGGATATTCCTCTTCCAGGGACTACGATGATAAATCTTCACGCGGGACTCCTGCTAGTAGAAACCAGGACATGGAAGAGCCGGACAGGAATGACCTTCGATCCCATACGTCGACGGTTGACCGCTCCAGACATATCTTGGCAGATGCGACAAGTCCGCGGCTTTCCAGGCATCGGGAGCATTCTGCTAAGCTAGAGTATCGAAACCTGGACAGCGAAGTACTGGCTCCTGCACATCGTCAAGGATCCGTCAGGGCCCGTACTCCAGGGAAGGATCCCGAGGATGAAAAGATCGTTGACAAGCTTAAAGCCGAGAAAGGACCGATAGACGAGGTCGCTTCCACTGGAAGGTTGAGCGCGGCCGAACGTTTCTTGGAGAGTTTCTTTCCTGAGCAAGAAGCAGATACATATCAACCGGACGATTCTGAAGCCCAACCTAGGATTGAGACATCCCCTGGACCGCAATGGCGGCAAGCAGAAATGGAGCCGCGGCAGTATCGTTATGGCCCATCAGCTGACAGACCAGGCGAAAAGAATCCGCGAGGTGTCCGTGGCCGCAACGCTGCCTCTAGCGGTTGGCCGAGGAGAAAAAGAAGTCCTCCTGCAGGTTCCTATGACTACGAGGCACGATATGATTCCCGCAGCAGTAGGGGCCCGCCGCCGAGGTTCTATAACGGAAGATCCCCTGATCAGGCGGATTCTCGACAAGGAAGGAGGACTGCTAGCCACCAAGAGTCCAAACGGCCGCACAGTCGATTCGACCGCTATGAAGCTCAACGACAAGGGTCACTACGACCACGATCAAAGTCCCCTGGCGTCCGAGACCGAGTCCCTGCAGAAGTCTCTTATTATGACGAAGGCAGGCCTCAAGTCCAGTCTCGCGATGTATATCAGGGGCACACTCCCGATGCGTACTATGAACGCAGTCGCGTTGAAGAGCTAGCATATACAACCGCCCAACGAGGGCGTTATCACTATATTGAAGAACCAAGAAGCGTGGAAACACAATACGACAACCCTGTCGAGTACGTGCCCGTGCGTGTGGCCGCTCGAGAGCCTGGAGATTCCGGGACGTATTTCGTTGAACGAACGGCGCAGGCGAGCATCCCCAAAGACTACACCAGCTATGATATAGAGGCCTCCCGTCAGCCAGTATGCGACGGCCAGGTCCAGTCATATCACTCTCTTGCGCAGTCGCACGTCCTCGGTGAGCGCAATGCCGTTCGGCTGGATGGGAGTCTCCGATAGCTTTTGAATGAGCGAAACATTTGTCGTGTATATAGTTTTACGGCTGCTGCTAGAAAAAGGCCAGCTCAATGTAACTAAGAGGTATACCCTGCCACTGACTTGAGACCATTTCTCAGTTCTCTTTACTGTCCCAGTTACTATACCACCCAGTAGTATTACCATGCATCTCTGGTATCTATCAAATTACATGAGGAGTAAGGTAATAGGCGATAACATTCACCTACCGTTCCGTGATGTAACTGTCTACTACTTACATGAACGAATGACGCAATTCTCTCTACCCCACCTTGATTATTTATTTATAAGAACCGATCGCTCATCGGCAACAATAGACTATTCAACAATTCTACACTGACCCTCATTCGTCTCGATTTCCCGCACTATTTCGGACAGTTAAACAACTTACCACCGAACGGTATTAGGTCACATTGATATTCTGCCGTCGTGCTATATCTATCATGGCGCTCCCTCCGAAGTACGCGGGACAGAAGTTGTTCGCAGCCGCAGCCACGGTGCAGCAGGCTCATCATACGCTTGAATTATGTAGGTTCGAACTAGATGTAGTTTAATTGAATATTGATGATGGATTCGAGCTAATGCTTGTGGTTGTTTGATTGATTTCATATAGATCTCGATTATGTTTGTCCTGTAAGTATGGTGTTCGCGTTTCCACCCTACAATAATAACAACTGGATACATACTAAAACCTGGCGCGGCAACTAGTTCTCCGCAAAGCTATTTAACACATTTTACACCTCAGTCAGGCCCGTCGTTGTGGAGAAATACAAATCTAAGCTCCAGGTAATCTTTCGTCAGCAGATTCAGCCCTGGCATCCATCGTCGACATTGACGCACGAGGCTGCCGCCGCTGTGTTGAAGGTAGCGCCTGAAAAGTTCTGGGACTTTAGCGCCGCGTTGTTCAAGCACCAAAAGGACTTCTTCGATGAGAATGTCGTGAATGAGACAAGGAACAAGACCTATGGGAGATTGGCGAAGATAGCGGGTAGTATTGGAGTGGATGAGAGCGAGGTGCTTAGTTTACTGGTTATCAGTGACAAGCCTGGTCCAGGAGGCATCTTGAATACTGGCAATGGTGTCACTAATGATATTAAATTCATGACGAAGGTAAATAAGAACATGATGTCTGAGGGAATTGGCAATGTTGGGTTTATGGCTTATTTAAAATATAGGTGAACCGTGTTGTGGGCGTCCATGTTACTCCTACTGTATTCTTTGATGTGAGTTGGATCGTCGCTGCTGAGTTACCATACATGAAGTAAAGTGAATGTTGACTGTGGTTTGAAATATAGGGAGCCGAGGAGAAGGCTATCAGCAGCAGTTTTACAGCCGCTCAGTGGGAAGAATGGCTTCTGGAGAACGTGATTTGAGACGTATCGAATCTGGATCCACTGGAGGTCTCCCAGATGAGATTCCCGGAGGCCAGAGTGAAACGTGTCGTCGCATAAAAATTTGTGTAGGTGATCTGCCATATCGCCCGTTTGCGATAGGTTCCTTCATACCTATCCTAGTTATAGGATAGAACCTAATAAATCACTAGGACCTAGATTTTTTTTATATGCTATAGGAGATAACCATGGGATTAATCCCCCCCTAGATCCAGAGTCAAGCCAGAAACCTAACAACGTAGCCAAGTAGTTCAAATCATACCGTTGCTTCCGTGTCCTTTAGGATGCGACACGGTCATGTTGAAGGTCAGTTGGTCCTGTCCTTAGTCATCGTCGTTGTCCTGTCCTGTCGCGTTTCCCTCGTCGACTATAACTATCGCGCTATTACGGTTGGGAGTTGGCTGTTGGATGTCGGATCGGGTGTCCAATCTCCTGGCTGGGCGAAGGTCAACATGTTTGGCACCTTGACGTCGGGGATGACAAAGTGTAACTCGTCCTCCTCCACGTTTGTCCCCCCTGCTACTATGTAAAGTCTGGTTCTGACGGCGTAAGCCCACCTTTCCAGGTTATGAGCCGTAACTCGACGGAGCTCCTCATCGTCGTTAGCCAGTGCGAGTTCTACCATAACGTCCGTGACATCCAACTCCTCCGCCACGTTGGCCGGGGGCACGATCTGCCCCTGTCTGTCTATGAATTGGTGTGTATAAAGTTTCGGAGCGCCCCTTGTGACGCGGAGGTAGACGTCACTCCCTTCTTTGCGATGGGCTGGTGTCCTTGGTTTGGGGGGAACACCAGGTTACCCCTTTGGATGTCCTGGATCATCCGGGCTGCCTCTAGTGCGGAGGGAATCCAACGGCCATTGCCATATATCACTAGCATTTCTGCCAAAAGGTACCTGACCCGAAGGATAAAAATCCCCCCTATAAAGGGTGATTTCCTGTGCCGGGACCCCTAGCGGAGGAGCTGGGAATATCTCCTATAATTGTATCCGATAAGTGAGCAGCAGAAAAAGAAAGAATAATAGATACTTAAAAGAAATTACTACTGTAATACTCACAAAACGTTGACAAGTTAAAGAATTCCGTCTCCAAACTGCCAGGAATCCTTCTACGATCGTTCCACTCTGTACTAGAGACCACTTTAGGATGATTACGACATTTACATCTGACGTTCCGTTTATCCAGATGTCCCTATGACAGATTAACTGTGGATAGGATTCCGAATAACCCGCCTCGAAAACAATAGTCGGATGGCGTGACCCCGGGAGACGAAAATAGGCATCTGGTTGCTTAAGTGAGTTCTCATATGGCGGCAAGAAATTTTCAAAAGCTAGTTATTGGGTTTCGAATTAATACCTATCTCTCTCTCTCTCTCTCGTCGTATATATAAGATCCGAATTAAGAAAGAAAACTTACTACTATCAGAAGAGAAAATAAACGCGTCAAACTCCTGCAATGTAAAGAAGCCGCTAGATAGACTCAGTGCGAACTCGCGGACAGCCCAAGCTATATGAGAATTCTGAAACGCAATGGGCGTTTTGATGGACAGAATGCGCGTAAATGAGTTATATGAGATGTGGACTGAACGACGTTCGATCTCCCCGTTGCTATCGAGACTTTTCGACAGCAGCAAGCCAATGCTGGGGTCTGAAACATTGTACTGGAAATAGCCTGGACCGTTGCTGGTGAGAATCCTTCTCTTTACCTCGTAGAAGAGCTGCTGGGCTGTGTGGGTACTCTCGGAAGGATTGGCTTCGCTGCGTAGGTAATGTCGCTGGTTCGGAGACATGGTGGTAGTGTCGGTGTACAAAAGAAATGCCAGGTGATATGTCGATCATCTGTTTGCAGCAGATCATAAATATAGGATGGAACCAACTAGATCACTAGGATCTAGATATGTTCTTTGTATGCTGAAGAGAAATATGGGATCGAATCCCGCCCTAGACCTAGAAGCAAGCAAGCAATTCAAGTGTTCAGGTCAGACCTTGCTTCCGTGCCATTCAATATTCGAAAATGGCAGATCAGTAACAATGATAATAGCGCTCAGATAGAACGAAGTAGCGGTGCAGATAATGCAAGGAATAAAGAAGAGAAGGAGGTATCTATATCCTTTATGGAGGGCGGCAAAATTCCAGGCAGCGACTTCACTAAGCTCTAAGTTAATGACTCCTCCGTTGGCAGGTGTACATCACATAACTGATGGTATGGTCCAAGCGGGCGCGCCCGTAGAGTTCGGGCCCGTGGAAAGGATATTAAACAATGGTAGTGAAGATCTATATATGTGACCACTTAATTGTGACGGCCATAGAACCGGAGATCCAAATAAGGCCTAGTAGGAAGTAGTCTACTAGGCTACTTTGGGAAGAAGGCGGTCTAAGTCAGAGGGCAGAATATTCCAGGATAACCCAGGATACAAAGGGCGGTAAAGGATGCATAAGTGCCCGCGCCCTTCTGCCGGCAAAATACCAATGTACCATACTGTATCTTTTGTCTTCATAGTTTTTTATTTCGATTTCTTTTTGATATTTGAATTTTTTTTTGAACTATCTACAGATATTTTCCTATTTTATATTGATTAAAATTATTTGCTGATTACCGAGTCTGAGAACGTCGTGAGTATCTAGAGTATAAAACTCTAGAGCGCCTCTGACTTGGCAAGGTGGCTCGAGCACTCGTCCGCCTCGTGAATGCCCACGTTATCAGGAATATAGTGAATTCCGGTGTATTCATGGGTCATCTCGAACTGATCTCAGCGCGAGGCAAAGTAAGTACTGTCCAGGAATGATCGAAGCAAAGATACACATGATCATGAGGTCGCCGTTTCAACGGGAACAAACCGTCGAGACGACTTGTAAAGTATGGGAACAAACTGTAAACAATTATTGAGAAACAGGAGGTTGGTAATTAATGGGACGCCTATTAGAGGTCAGTAGACGCTACAGTGATGTGGGTAGAAGAGCAGTTGCATACTTGAAAAGCAAGATATGTGGCTCCGGCTCGTGTACTTCGTAGTGTTCCCATCCCAGACTCTGAATCGCTTAGTCAATTGCCATGGACCAATTTGGGGGGGTTGTTTGATTGCATTTGCGACATACCTGAGTGATGCCCAAGCCCCGCCATTCCTCTTCCCACAGAAGCTTCAACGTTCCTTTAGCGCTATCAAAATAATCGGCCGGGATCTTTTTCAGCATATTCTTCGGCAACTGCACGTGTCGGTACTCGTATTCATCATCGGAATATCTGCGGCTTGTCAGCGGGGGGTTTCGCCAACGCTAAGTCTGGACCGCAATACCTAGCGGAGTAATGGATGGAGTCGATGAATTCCTCAAGCTTCTCCCGCTCCGACTCGAGCAAGAGACGGGGCTTTTTGTTTCTTCTGGAGATGTCGATGTCGGCCATTGTCTAGGATCTGATCTGACGAGAAAGGCGTCAGGATTCGGATAGGAGCCGGGATTCTGTGCGACGGCGAGGAGAGATTAGCAGGGAAACGCGTACTCGCAAAGAGAAGCCGGAAAGGACAGGGCCTTGCCGATCGATATCAATGTGACGCGAACTGTTACGCACCACTCAGACCCGTAAGACACGGTGAGAAAAAAAAGCAACCGGACCGTGGTGATTCAGAACTTCCAGAATCGCGTTATCCAATACCGTGTTCTGGATATCAAGCTGTTTGAGGGGGGATCTAAAAACAGCAATAGAAAAGAAAGCGCAATTATTGAGAAGAGAGGACAAGCAGGAGAGTGTTAGCCTTCTTACTCCGCGGTGGGCTGTCAGTAGTCGGTAGTACTCGATGCGTATCTCAATAACCGCCAAGGAAGTTGGGTCAATTAATGCGGTACCGGCCCACCCAGTCGGGTTCTTCCTGTCTAGGACTTTCTGTGGCTGCCTCAGGTGTCGATCACGAGACTCTCCAGACTGTTATACAGCTAGACTAGTTATCTATCTACCATAGGAAGAGGCAATTGCCGCAGTGACTTGAGGACACGCCAGACTACAAAAAGGTCGGATGCCACTTAAGAACCGCCACAGAGTCTCTGCATTGCCCCCTTTGGGAAGCAACAATGCTATACTTACCTTCCAGGACAGATCAGAAATGGAAGGAGGTCTTGCCCGGTGCATCTCATGTCGGATTACACGTTTCAGCCGTGCAACAGACTGGGACTCAGCCTCGTTGCCGAAACACAGTGAAGGGGAGACTACTAATATGTTCCATAGTCACCTAGAATCTCGTTTCCTGTGTTCTCTTACTCCATTGTTTACCATTTTGACCTGCATTACCTTCCTTTCTCTATCAGGGACTCTGCTTTAAGCTGTGCTTGGCAACCCACTTTATACGTTCTTTATTTAAGATTTATAGCATTATCTGGGATAACTTTTATTTATACTATACTATATCAAACACACTCGAGATGGCGGATTCTGAAAGGCAGCAAGAGGCCAATGAATTCGCTCGCGAAGCTGATGTATGTATAGACAGACAGACAGACAGACGGCAAGACACTTCATCTCAGGTTCGATTGAATACTGACCATGTATTAGACCATTCTCATTATACGATGGGCAATCTTTGCAGGTATTGCTCTGATTCTTCTGATCTGGTTTCTTGCGGGTTTCTTGCATGCTCGAGTACGGATGAGAAAGGGCCTTCCTCCACTCGCTTATCACAGAGTAAGTTTATATGAGCAGATATATTCAAAAATCACGGCAGAATCTAACATGCGCGCCAGTGGTTCTATCCGCGCGACCAGCGTACTTATACGGCTACCAATGTTGGCTATGCCCAAATGCCTTATGGGGCACAACCACCAGGTGAACTGAACCTTGCCCAACAGGAGAAAGCTATACATTATTGCTGACTTTCATTAGCATATAACTACGGGAGTGCACCCCAACTAGCGCCAGAAAAGACAGAAGCGTGGCAGAACCAGCAGTACACAAGAGATACCTTCGGTGCGAGTCCTACTGCCGAAGCAGGAGCCGCGCCTGTGCTACCCCCATCAGCCTATATACCCAGGGCAGCACCCCAGATTTAGAGACCATGGAGATGTGGCCACTTCCTTTCGAGGAGATAATGAGCACTCCTCGAAAGTGACTTGCAATGTCCAGGTTGTGCTGGACACAACTCTCAGCCTATCATTAATGAAATTACCTATAAAGACGTCTGGCCCAGTGATATCTCACTTCTAATCGATATCCATCGTCTCGGTTGGATCTCGAGGCACATCCGCTGCAGTGCCAGAGGAGCCGTTCGGAGCATCGGTTGCCAAGTTGCGCTGGATCTCCGGATGATTCCTTCTTTGTATCTCAGCTTGCTTTTCTCTAGCTCTTGCTCTGGATTCAATAATAGCCTTTCGAACGCTGTCCTGTTCCTTGGGAACGGTCAATGACGTCGGTACTTGGTAGACCACAAGCTCATTATTTCGCGGCTTCGAATCTGCGAGTAAGGCCTTTGGTACTGAAACCAGTCGCTTCTCGATTTCCGGCAGAAAGGCGATGCAGCCCTCCTGTGCTTCTATCTCTTTCAACTCGCGTTCTAAATCGTAGATGTAGGTCGTGTGCTCTGTGTCGTCTAACAGCATCGAGTCGCTTGGCAACGATGGCTGCCGGACTGCCGGTGGCGCGTGCTCCTGTCCGAACCCATTGCAATCTGGCAGAGGCCCTGTGGAAGATGATATGGTTAATACAGATCAAGCAGAATAGAGATAATCTCAATAGGACAGAAAATAATAGATCAATACCGATGTGCAGGCGCCCGAACTTCTTGGTCAAAGGTTGGTCGCCGTCGGGGTCGCTCTCCGCGGGGCGTTTCTGGCCTTGAGTTCGAACGCCCAGATCAAAATGCGGTGCCATCAACCGACTCCCAAATCGGAGCGACCGCGATAAACTTTGGACGAGAGCGCGAAGCGCAGCTAATCTCTTCTGTTCTGGCGTTTCTGCTCAATCGTGTTTCGAGGCAGGAGTTTCTGCTCGTGGCCGGTCCGCTTTATGAGAGTTCTGCGGGTTCTCAAGGATGGGGAACTGGCTTTGACTCACCTATTCTCGCCATCCCAGCCAATTCCCAGAACATTCCATCATCCTCACCTTCTCCGCAACAGCACAACCCAACACCGGACTGTTCCTTTCGCGCTGTTCAGGATGGCTTCCACTCTGCCGCGTCGTCCTGAGTGGACTGCCAGTCAAGTTAGGGAGACTTTCTTGGATTATTTCAAGAAGAATGGCCACACTTTCGGTATGCCCAATTTCGCCCCTCCTTTGCTCTGGTCTTTTTTTTGCCCTTCTTTTTGCTGACATGCGACATCGATACAGTGCCTTCATCTTCGGTGGTCCCTCTATCGGACCCTACTCTGCTCTTCACAAATGCTGGTATGAACCAGTTCAAGTCGATTTTCCTAGGAACTGTCGATCCCCAGTCCGACTTTGCGCAGCTCAAGCGTGCCGTCAACTCTCAGAAGGTACCCCGCGCCCACTTTCCCCCTCGATATTATACTTCTCTTGCTGACTCTATAACAGTGCATCCGTGCCGGTGGAAAGCATAATGTACGTCTATTCATTGCTAAATGTTCTCGTGACCTGCGTTTACTGATCATTCTAGGATCTCGACGATGTCGGGAAAGATAGCTACCACCATGTGAGTTACCCCGCTAAACAAAGGAAGCTTGATAGAAGAACCACTCGCTGACCGGGAATTATCACTAGACATTCTTCGAAATGTTGGGTAACTGGAGTTTTGGCGACTACTTCAAGAAGGATGCGATCCGGTATTCCTGGGACCTGTTGACGAAAGTATACGGTTTAGACCCGGACCGCCTCTACGTTACGTACTTTGAAGGAAGTGAAGCCGGTGGCCTGGAGCCAGACCTGGAAGCCAAAGAACTGTGGAGATCGGTCGGTGTCGCTGAGGACCACATCCTTCCTGGAAACATGAAGGATAACTTCTGGGAAATGGGTGACCAGGGTCCCTGCGGTCCTTGCAGTGAGATTCACTATGACCGCATCGGCGGACGCAACGCTGCGCATCTGGTCAACCAGGATGATCCTGATGTTCTTGAGATCTGGAACAACGTCTTCATCCAATACAACCGCGAACCCGACCGTTCTTTGCGGCCCCTTCCCAACAAGCACGTTGACACAGGAATGGGCTACGAAAGATTGGTTTCTATACTGCAGGACAAGTCTTCGAACTACGACACAGATGTCTTCCTTCCTTTGTTCAAGAAGATCCAGGAAATTACCGGCGCACGAGACTACCAGGGACGTTTCGGTGCCGAGGATCCAGACGGTATCGACACAGCATACCGTGTGATCGCGGACCACGTCCGTACGCTGACCATCGCCATCACGGACGGGGCTGCTCCAAACAACGAAGGTCGCGGTTATGTGATTCGTCGAGTCCTTCGTCGAGGAGCCCGGTTTGCTCGCAAGTATTTCCAAGTCGAGATTGGAAGCTTCTTTTCCAAGATCGTGCCCACCGTTGTCGAGCAGATGGGCGGCATGTTTCCGGAGTTGCAGAAGAAGCAGGCTGACGTTATGGAGATCTTGGATGAAGAAGAAATCTCCTTCGCTAAGACTCTGGACCGCGGTGAGAGACAGTTTGAGAACTATGCACAGCAAGCCAAGGTCAAGGGCTTGGACAAACTGCACGGTGCTGATGTTTGGAGGCTGTACGACACCTTCGGCTTCCCTGTGGACCTGACTCAAATCATGGCTGAAGAACGCGGCTTGCGCATCGATGATGCCGAGTTTGAGGAAGCGAGACTGAAAGCCAAGGAGGCAAGCAGAGGCGAAAAGAAAGCTGCTGCTGATACTGTCAAACTGGACGTGCACGACCTTGGAAAGCTGGAAAAGATGAACGATGTACCCAAGACCGATGACAGTGCCAAGTTTGAGAGGGGCAACATCAGCGCCCAGATCAAGGCTATCTACCATGCCAAGAAGTTCGTTTCCTCCACGGATGAGATACCAGAAGGGGAACAACTCGGTATCATCCTTGACCGCACAAATTTCTACGCAGAGCAAGGTGGACAGGAAAACGACACAGGCAAAATTATCATCGATGGAAAGGCCGAACTTGAGGTCGGTGATGTCCAATCATACGCCGGTTACGTTCTACACACTGGTACTATGAAATATGGATCTTTCTCTCTCGGTGATACGGTTATTGCTGAATACGATGAGCTTCGTCGGTGGCCCATCAGGAACAACCATACCGGAACGCATATTCTGAACTTCGCCCTGAGAGCGATTCTTGGCGATGGAATCGAGCAAAGAGGCTCGCTTGTTGCGGCGGAAAAGCTACGATTCGACTTTTCGCATAAGTCGGCCATCTCCGACAGCGATCTGGCGAAGATTGAGGACAAATCAACCGAGTATATCCGCCAAAATTGCGCTGTCTACTCGAAAGAAGTCCCGTTGGCAACAGCTCGGGAAATCGCGGGAGTTCGCGCTGTCTTCGGTGAGACGTACCCAGATCCTGTCCGCGTTGTCTCCGTGGGAGTTGAGTTGGAGGAGATCTTGAAGAACGTCAAGGACCCGCGGTGGGAAGAAGTCAGCATCGAGTTCTGCGGTGGAACCCATGTGCAGAAAACCGGAGACATCAAGGACCTCATCATCTTGGAAGAAAGCGGTATTGCGAAAGGCATCCGTCGTATAATCGCCGTGACCGGTGAGGAAGCTCATGAGGTGCAGAGGGTGGCTCAAGAGTTCGAAAAGCGCGTAGACTTGCTTGATAAGCTGGAAATGGGCCCCAAGAAAGAGCAAGAAGCGAAGCAGATCCAGGTTGAGCTGAGCCAGCTCTCGATATCCGCAGTGCACAAGGCGAAATTGCGCGAGCGCTTTAACCAGATCAACAAGCAAGTTATCGAGGGCCAGAAGGCTCAGCAGAAACTCGAGTCCAAGAAGGCGCTTGAGACAATTACGACTTACTTCCAGGATCCCGAGAACAAGGATAAGCCTTGGCTAGTTGTGAGACTCCCCATTTCTGCCAACGCCAAGGCAGTTAGCGAGTCTCTCAATTATGTCAAGTCGAAGCTTTCAGACAAGGCTGTGTATGTCCTGGCTGCAGATTCTGAACAGGGCCGGGTGTCTCACGGGTGCTATGTCCCCAAGGTAAGCTCAGTGAACAGCACGATCTTCGAAGCATTGGTACTAATTCTTGACGATAGAACCTGGGCGAACAGGGCGCCTCGCCAAATGAGTGGGCTGGTGTTGTTGCTGGAGCTGTTGGTGGTAAGGCTGGAGGTAAGGCTCCTACTGCTATTGGCAGTGGCACAAACGTCGATAAGGTGGATGAAGCCATCGCTCAGGCTACGGAATACCTTCAGAAGTTTAAGTTGTAAGCTCCGACCATTGTGTTAGCTCTGTGACACATGATTTTCTTTTCTTTCGGGAATTTGCATGATGGCTTGGTGGGAGAATCCACGTTTTGAGTATCTGCAAGAAACGGAGTGGTTAGGAAAACGGCAGAATACGATATCGTGCTACCTCATCATTTAGGGATGGTCTTCCAGGAACAATAGAGCGAATAGTATATAAAGCTACTTTTTCTTTTAGCCCTCTTTTATTCTTTCTGTGTAGATCTCGACGGTATCACAAGCTAGCGAAGGTCACATTTCTCCGCACTGTACAATAACTACGTCCTGGTTTGGTTTATCTCTTGTTGTCCTGGTATTCTCTATCATACGGACAACATCCATCCCGTCAATGACTTTTCCGAAGACAACATGTTTGTTGTCAAGAAAGGGAGTCGGCGTAGTAGTTATAAAGAACTGACACCCATTTGTATTTGGGCCAGAGTTCTAGAAAGTGTTAGTTAGCCAGCACTCGCGAGAGAGAGGCATCCCAGAGAATGGTGGTGGTAGATATTTCCTTGACTTACAGCCATACTGAGCACTCCTGGGCTATCGTGCTTCATGATGAAATTTTCATCTGCAAATTTTTGGGTACCGTAAATCGTAGCACTGCCCGTGCCATCACCCTTGATGAAGTCACCACCTTGGATCATGAAATCTTTGATCTGTGCATGTAACATTAGCCTGACTGAAAGTTCTTCTTCTGTGGTAAAAAAAAAAAAAAAAAAAAAAAAAAAAAAAAAAAAAAAAAAAAAAAAAAAAAAAAAATTTAAAGGCGTTGCTGTTGAACATACCACTCGATGAAATTTACTGCCCTTGTAGCCTTGTGGCTGTCCTTGGGGATTCTTCGTCTCGCCGGTACAGAACTGACGGAAATTCTCCGCGGTGCGAGGGACAACATTGGCGAATAATTCCATCTTAATGCGGCCCAGTGGCTGCCCTGAAGTGATGGCTTTCATGTTAGATCTTGTCCCATTTTATTGATAGTAGCGAAGATGAATCCGGTGGACAGGTATACATATAAAAAAGTGATGCAGAAAAAAAAAGACACCATGGTTTCAAAGAAACATCAAGATTAGGAAGTGGGGGGTTTGTCCTCCTGTAGCTGGAAGACTATTGCCCATCCTACTGAGATTTGAATGCTGGAGTGTTCCCTTCTGCGTTGTTTCGAGGCGATCCAGAAAGAGATGCATGTCACTTACCACCGAGGGCGATGTCGAAAAAGACGACCGGATTCGGAGCCTTCGAATCTGCCATTGTGTCCTTAGAGCGATACGATATTGTATTCGCGAAAGGAAATTGTCGTAATGTTTGCTTGATAGAGCCCCTTCAATGTAGGGATCTCCAATGTCAATTTTGATCTCCTCCTAGATTGGAGATGTTAAAAGCGGACGTCACCCTAGCTTAGCTTAGGTAGGGATTATGATTGTTTCCTGCCACACCTTCAAGCTTCACCCACGCCCATGAGGATGCCAACAACCACCATCGAGATAATACGGCCATACAACCTTGATGCGCCATGGAATCTTCGTATTTAATGTAGAGATGGATCTAATTTCTTTTCGTATACAAGAAGTGCACCTATTCTGACAGGGGGTAATAGCTATCTTGTGTCATTGTACGTATCGATCTAGGTACAGTACTTTTGTAGTCCCTTGTACTGAAGAACTACTATAAAACGGCCTGAAGAAAGACATATTAATCAACGGAACGAGGTGATGGTCTACAGCTGCGAAACGACATCCAGTTAGAGTACCTGTTAGAGTAGTTATACTTTGTATGTACGAAAACGGCCGTCACGGACGTTTTTGACCGAAAACAACCCGTTTATCGCACCAGAAGCACATTCTTTCCTACCACTTATTTACTATAAGCGATCGACATCTGAAACGAGGGCTACGTTAAGGGGCAGATGGTCAAGATCCCTAGTTCAAATAAAACGAGGGCGTGTGCTCCTAAACCTCCATTAATTAATTAGGTTCGCGGGAGCAATCTCGTGACTTGCAGTGTCAGCCCCGAGATCTCGACTCTCTTCCCGTCTGCTACCATTATTGTCATTGCCAACTGCCATCCATTATCAGCAACGCTCTCCTACTTATCGCGGCACCTCCGGGGAGGTAGCATATCTCCATTACTGATACCCGCTTCATCCTACCTACCAACCCGGTGCACTTGTCGCCTTCTCCCGTGTTACCAGCCAGGGCCGGCCCCCTCCCGATCTCGGTCGACATATCCCAACTGCCCCGGTCGAAAGCGTTCGCAGTTACGGAGCTCCCAGCATTCGTCTATATATCCAATTCCAAGTGGTTAGGTCTAATGTGACCTCCATCCCGTCCTCGTCTTTGAGATACAATCTACCTAGTGGTGCACGGCAACTATAATCGCCTTTCATAGTTTGCGCTCGCGGCCCTATCTATTTCGCGGAGTATCTCTCTGTCAGTTGCGAATGCTGTCAGTGGAATGGTCCACAGGCGCTCTCTAATGAGTGCGCATGCAGAGTTTGTGACGACTACTGACAAACTTGGGCCCTGCCTGCCAAAACGAAAAGGAAAAAAAGCACCAGGCGAGCCTGGCTTGGTGCTTCAGTTCCCTCCCCAGCGCCGACGGTGAACTGGCGAGCGACTGGTCCTGAGAATTCTTTTCTATCGGTCTCCTAAACGAGAGAAGACGCATTCATCGGGGCGAGTAATTTCTCGAGCGTTTGCTCTATAGTATACAACTTGACGCTCCGCCCTTATCACCGTCTTGTTTCCGAACTCCGCCCTTAACTCACGCCACGGCTGGCATCAGTGATCCCAAGATGTCAGCAGCTTCTGCGACTACTTCCAGCGCGGCTGCAACGAGTTCCGCCGCGGGAAACGGAGGTGGTAGTGGTAACAGTGGGCCGACCAACTCGCCCTTATTATTCTTTGTCGCTCTCGGCTTTGGTGTTGTTTTTACAAATCTATGGTCAGTTTCTGATACTCGAAGAGAATTCCCTGCCTCTCATTTCTAACTCGCGACTCGCGGACGATCAGGATCATTGTCGGTGTCAAATATTGTTTTCGTTATAACCAACGAAACCGTCAAATGCGCAATGAAGGAGCCGGGGAAACTATAGACCTAATCAGTGTGCCTAGGCCGCATAGGAGGCGACGAGAGAAGAAATTAATGACGATGGATGAAGTGAATGAGCGATTCCCCCTTGTCAAATATAAAGTGTGGCGATCGACGAGAGCGGACAAAGGTCTTCCGACTGCCGGAGGAATTACGGCACCGAGCAGTAGACCCCAGAGTCTGAAGAATGAAGATGGCATATCTGCTGTCACTGTTGGAATTTCCATTTCTCCCGAAGCGACTACATCCGCCCCAGCCGGGACCCATCGACGTGTAGAGTCTACTTCCTCGGACTTATCGAGTACCATTGAACAAGTCCAACACAACGAGCATATACTGGTCCAATCAGATGAAAAAGGAGAGGCAGGACCTCCCATCCATGACGATCGATCATTTGAGTCGACCAATGCCGACGCTCGCCAGACCAACGCAGATGACACTGCAAACAAAGAACCGCGTACCTCGGAAGACAACGAGGACGATCCCATTCGAACAGCAATTGCGGCTGAGCTACTTCCAGACCCAGGAGATTCCTGTGCTATTTGTCTTGACTTAATCGAGGACGACGATGAGATTCGGGGGCTCACGTGTGGACATGTATTCCATGCTTCTTGTGTAGACCCATGGTTGACAAGTCGTCGTGCCTGTTGTCCTCTCTGCAAAGCGGACTACTATGTTCCCAAACCGAGACCTGCAGGTACTGAAGGAGGGCAAGAAGATGCACGACATCGTCGACGTGTGCATGGTCGTACGAATGCGCCCACACAGCCGCAGGCCGTCTTCGTTGGTGGAAGAGTGAACTTGTTTCGGCCCAGAGTGGTATTACCCAGTCGGTCTATGGGGCCTCTGCCTCAAGGGGAAAGGAGATCACCCGTTGGAACACGCCTCGCTGCTCCTTCAGACAATGCTGCTGATCCTTCCGACACAGTCGGACACGGGCAGCGGACTTCAGGATGGAGATCATTATTAACCTCCGCTCGCTCGACGCTGTTACCTTCCTCTTCACCTAGGTCGCCTATCTCCAGTCATTCTCGCAGAGGATTGCGCCTGTCATCAAATGCAGATACCAGGTCATCGAGAGAGGAGCCTACTCCTCGACAACTCGAGGCAGGCTCCGCCGTTTGAGCCAAATGAGCCAAAGGACTCGAATCTCATTGAGGCTACGTGCGCATGACTATAATTGTATTCTTGGGACATATGCCATTTATAAAATCGATGTTGATATTCGAATGTGAGTGCCTGTTTGACATCCAGTGGCTGTGCATGTTGCAACTGCGTTGCACATCATGCAGGATTTATGTACCATTACCCTCCATTTTTGTTTTCTATTGCTTTGGAGTATATCTGCGTTTTAACGAACATACCATGAGAAAGCTATTTATCTACTTTTCAAATTACTATGCAGTGACTATTCTCACCCTAAGGGCGGACGGACTAGTACGTTCCCGTAGCTTTTCATCCTAGGTAGAATATCAGTCCTTGATACTCGTGTTGGTTGCGATCTTGCGTTTATCGCCCTTTTGAAGGGTTCTGGACCTGCGTAGCTTTAGTAGTATTCCGAAATTATCGCGTCTTTTCAACTCTAGTATATATCATCATTTAGGGAGTATCTCATACAATCGATCCTTAAACGGTCATGCTCAAGGTCAGTTAACCTGCTAGGCTGTTAAAGCCGAGGCTTATCTTATCTTTTCTTTTTCTTTCTTTTTTAAAATACGAAGAGTGATTATTGAAGTGGGGCCTACCCAATATCATTCTTCGTTTGTATTGGGAGCACAACATGAACATAACTTGAAAAAAGAAGCCTTCGTGCATAAGCAACTCCTGCTAAACAAGACTCAGATTTGGAAAACACGAGACGAGACGAGTGATATAAACAAACATGAGGCGGCATGTCGAATAGTTAGGTAGTTATACAGCTAGCTTCGCAATGGTCTACCTCTGCGCCCTCGGCGCTCCAACACCGGCACCAATCACACTAGGTAGCTCCTGTTGCCCTACATTGAACAACATACCGATGCCACTGGCAATCGCGAATACGATAGCTAGTGTTATGCCAGCCAGCAGGAAAAAGGGCGTGCTCACATCCTTCTTCTGGCATGCTGGACCACCCCACTGGATCGTTCTTACACTACCATCCTTGCCTTTCTCCACAGTTTCCACACATTTGCATGCATAGCAGTCGCTTCGAGCGGATTCATCCTTAGAACCATACTTGCGGTAGCAGTGTCCATGCCCAGAGCAGTTATTCGTAGCTTCAACACACGCAGAATCCGAAAGATAGCAGACTGGCATCAGCGTCGATGGAACTGAGCTCTCATACCGCGAACCGTGGAGAGACGAGGATTTTGACGAAGCCGCTTGTGACACGGCTGGCTTTAGAGCGCTCTCTTTTGTATCATAACGAGCATTGCGCTTTTGCTTTGTTGTAACATCCGTCAGGGGCAAGAGAAGGACGGTCGTCTCTTGTTCCGACTTGGCTGCCAGAGACGATAGGTTGTTGAAAAGAGACGACAGGGTGTTGGACACCGCAGCTTTCTCTTTACGTTCCATCCGAGACTAGATTGAAGGACACTACGTTTAGCGGGGAGTAGTATATAGTCAGGTCTGTAAATGACATACCGGGAGTGTGATTCTTAGGATTGAAATTGCTCCATTTTCTTTGCTCCAACTTTCAACCCTTCTCACCGGGAATGATGGAGAGGATCCCCGGCCGAAAACTTGCAATGCTTCCGGGAAGGCGGTGGTCGTCGAGAGACATTCGCGGGCCTCCGCAGGAACTTCAGCATTGCCATTGCCATTCACATCGAATGCACATGTCACGAATGGTCCTCGTTTATCTTGGTTCATTCCAATGAGAGTTTCGAGAGAGTCATCGCTGGCAAATCCTCCTGAAACATGGTGTACGCTGAACTTGTTTGATTCCGCGTTCGGGACAGCAGAGACTATGAAGGAAGTACTGTTAGCTACAGCTCCCGTTCCACGTTCTGTCAATATTGGACGGACCTAGTTCATCATCCACCCCTTCAAGGACGAGAAGCTGTCTTCGCGGATCGTTGTGCTCGTGCGACAAGCCAAAGAGTGATTGTTGTTGTCCTCCAAACTGATCCACATATTCTACCACTTCATCATCTGCAGAGCCCAGCACGGACTCCTGGAGCATCATTCGTCGTTCTATGATCAATTTTGCTGCATCTTGCGGTAGAGTAATTCCGTGAGAAGGAGACACTCGCGGTTGCCGGTCAAAGGTATACACCGAAGCATCATACGCATTCGCCCCGAGAGCGGCCACCAAAGAGAGGGCGAACAAGTTCGCCGTTCGCCGCATTCTGTCGTTTATTCGACTCGCAGATGTATAACAATTCAAGTTGATGCTAGGTGCTGCAATGATTCATCAGTAAAAAGTGGTAACCGCCCGGCGGCCAGCTTGATTCGAGGCCAGATAAGGTGACGGCCTGCAAGTTGCTCGGCTGAGGTTAGGAGTTGATGCCGGAGAGTAGAGCGGATAGCTAGCATGGCGTCACGTGCATGGAGCACCTGCGACACCTCCGATGGGCAACATCCATGCTTTGTCCAACGTTGTCAGTTCTAAGTCAGTCACTTAACTCCTGGGCCATCTCGAGGGCCGAATTCAACCTGCCTGGGCAAACCCGATAGCCCGCCTTGTTTATTCGCTCCTGTCGCTCATCGCTGTACCACAAGAGCGGACTCAACTTTTGTCTTTCTCCTGGTCATGAAAACCAGATAAACGGTCGAGGTTACCCGATGCTACAGTTCAGGCGGCCACTATGCCGTCGCTGCTTATATCTTAGGCATAGTCGGCCATTATCTCAGCGCGCAGGTTTCGCGAATGTTCAGCAGGTAAAACTCAAGAAACCATGGGTCAAGTATGCAGGCTCCCTCTGTGCGCTTGTTACGAATGTGACCAAGAGCTAATTGTTCCAAAGGAGGTTCTTCACATCGTTCTTCCTCTATGGCGCTGCATTTAATATATGGTGTTCCTTGGTCCTCCTTCGCTTCGACGAGGCCGATGATATTGACGCTGAAGATGGAAAACCCCCGAAACCCAACAAGCAACATACGGAGGAGAGTCCGGGCGAAATGGACGACGCGGACGCACTCTTCATCCCTCTCACCTTGCCCAGTGTTCGGCCGGGCGAACTTTATGCGCCATCAGACCCCGAGTGGAAGGAGTTTGTGAAGATCGCCCGTGATAAGCAACGACTTCCTGCACTGAGAGGTAGGACCAGCTATATCTGCGCCTCGCCCGTGGCAATCCATTCTAACAGACACAGATGAGTTGGTATCAATTGTATGGAAGAAGGCTTCTGAGTCCAATCAAATCATACGTGTGCTTGGGGGCCCTCTTACCTTGACTGGGTCCTGGCTTGTTCATCGCTTTCCGTATCGAGCGCCTCCCCAGTTCGAACTATCAGGGTATGTACCTGTTGGATATTCTTCATCGCTCAATGTTCGGGATGTTGATACGTTGTATAGATTAGAATTTGGTCACGAGGGCGTCTTGTGGACCTCCAGGCCAATGGCACCTGAACAAGGATCTCGGCTCGTGAAGTGCCTACTTCCGTTTGCTGTAACTCTCGCCATGAAAGATGCGTATTTAGTGCTGTGGAGAAAACAGGTCGACCACGTGAAGGAATTTATAGGATTTAATAAACCTGAGCCGATCGCTCAACCTTCAATACCACTCGATCAGTCGACTCTTGCAGGGCACACAACAACGGACACAAAGTTTCCTCCTGCCGAAGCAGAAACGCGCATGCGTACGGAAGGTGAGCTTGGGGAGGATATTTCAAAAGGTGGACAGCCAATCGTACAGCATCCATCAGCAATTATATCCACATTACAGCGACTCCCCAGACCCCAGTTTGGGCCTGGGTCGGATTTACACGAAGCTTCGGCAGCTTTTAAGAAGAGACTAAAGGAGATATGGAAAAGAGATCCTCAAGTACCTCGGCGCGGTGTATTCTACATGGCTGGTCCTGTCGGCCTAAAGGGGCCCAAGGGATATTGCAGAATTGAGGTACGGGGTGAATATGACCCTACAACCCGAACTTGGACAGCGGTGTCTATGCAGGTCAAGGACTTGAATCTGAACAATCAAAGGGCACTACGTGTCTAGGTAAAGGTTTAATTTAAAAAGTAATAAGTTAAAGGAATTAAAAAAATATTAAAAAGTCTTGGCCGGGCTCAGCCTGAGTATCCCATCCCGTTCCTAAAAGTTTGTTTCCTCTGCTTTTCCCTGTGCAGTAGACTCAGTATGCTAGAAATGAAGGTGTTACTAATCGAATAAGAAGTAGCTATAAGAAAACGTTAGTCTTAGAAGAATATATCATATTAAAGCATATCTCGCCTCTATCTTTGAAGGTCTAGGGCGAAGAATTTACAGCTCTTCGACACCTTCAAGGTCTATTGCGATCATTTTAACTGAGAAGACTTTAGTAGAGCTTGTAATAGTCCTTGTAAGGATATAGGGTTTCCACCGCTCTTTGATCATCGGGAATTACGCTGCGGCGTTGTATGGAGGGATAGTGATATGGAAGCTCTGATTATAGCATCTATAAACCTTGTGATACGAATGCATCCGGCAGGAGACAGGGATTGGAAATTGCAAACAGTCCCTCAGGTAAATATCCAGCCTCACGAGTTAAGCGGATACACGAGGATTAGTGGAATTAGCATCACTCTTTGTCTTCAAACGGGTGACCCAGACTTTCAGGAGATTGGATTCAATTGAGTAGTAGCAGACCTCAAGGGACTTCTGACCATGAGGTGATTTCTCCTTCGGCGTCCTCCATCATTCGACCGCAGAAGAGCCATATCGCTAACCCATACAAATGCCCAGGTCGACATTCTAGGTAAAAGTGAAAAAATTACTCGGTTTTCAGGATTCATAAGTTTCTATTGGCCATGTATGCCACAGTTTGATAGCCCGTCAGAATCACCAGAACGGACAAGCAATCGACATGCTCTTGAGTGAATACCTAACTTAGGAGAGGAGGGTACAGCAGGTTCGTAGCCGAGGAATAGTCGGTGAATTTGGTACGGAGGACTCATGTGTCGACGGCGTTTCCCCCCAGCTCCGATATTCACCTTGCAGCCAACTACTCGTGGTATGGTTCTCAGGAAGAATGAATTATCAGGCTACATTGAAATCTTGCCGAAGAATCTAGCTTCTAGAATTCAGCTCTATATATAAAAGTACTGGTATTGGCAGAAAGATGAAATCTCAGTCCCTCTGGCATTCCTCAGTAATGGGCATTATTCTTCTCTTTTGTTGGTTAGAGACAATACTAGCATGAGAATAGTAGTTCATATTATTCTATTCGAGCTAGTCAAAGTTATAGGATTTGGTGGCGTGTCTTCCACCATTTTTGATTTTATGTTATATATCTTTGCAGCTCCATTTCCCCCTTTACGCTTACGCCTTTGTTCGCCAAATCCACTCTGATTAAAGAGACTTTGACGCTTCTAGTTTCAAGAATCTGACGAAATCTCTTTCTTTATCCATATTTTGCATACTGTCGTAAGCCAACTCCGCGATATATTGAATGCGGGCTCACGCGTTCACTAAAATTCAATCCACCATCTCCTTAACCCGCTATTCCGAGACCATTTACCTATCACCTCTCTATATATTAGTGACTTCTCATTTGATATCGGATATCGTTTCTACATTCTGAAACTATCCAGTATGCCTGCTTTCACCATGAAACCAGTACTGCACACTGTTGCCAACGGAGGATGCGCTTATTGTAGTCGCTCCGGCTTGGGTTTGGGATCTTGCAGCCTATTCTCTCTTCCTGTGCTCTCAATAAAGGGTATATATAATCATCGGGCGGCCAGCTGCTCTACTTTTTCTTTACACTCTTGACTTCATCGAATAACCACCATGTCTCCGTCACCCGAACGTGTTCTTCGGAATCAAGGCGGACCCCCTTCCCGCTGCCCCTTTTCTTGTTAAATAAGCTGTTTTAACGTGCCTTGTTGGAGAGAATGAGAGCTGACAGTGATATAAGCGAAAATCCGAGCTTTTATAGTCACTTTTACCTTCTGCTGTCTGCCGTGTCTCCTGCCTGAACGTGGCAGTATGTCTCTTGGTGATTCGGCGGTGTTTCCTTTCGACGAAGCTAATTGATATAGCCATGGTCTGTAAACGCAGTTCAGATCGTGATATATCTTTGCTACTCTTGGTCCAGGTTATCTACAATACATATCTATTTGCCCTGATATCGGTTACCAGGTGCTAAAAGCCTGTTCCTTGACCTTCAGATTAATTGAGAGTCGTATAATCCAGATTGTTACGGAATCATCATGGCCTGGTTACTTATTATCAGGCAATCATTTACCCTGCCACTACTTACCACCCTGGATCACATATACCATAGCTTTTATTTATTCGGGAAGAATAACTCCTTCGTTGAAGCATTCAGTGTCACATACACATTTAGTTTTTCTGTTACGCTCCCTATTTTTCACAATAGTTATACGTCTCAAGCTTTGCAACATTATGTAGAAGTGTTAATTGTTAATATAATTACTTCAAGTAAGACCAAAACCTTACAAATTTCTTCTAATCTTGCTATATCTCCTCTGAAGCAAAAAAAAAAAAAATCTATCAATGCAGCATACTAATGAAAGTCAACGATTTGACAGTTTTTCGTTTCCCTTGGCAGAATATTTACAAGGAACCGGATTTCTACGATACCTTTATATTACGAGAACGAGACATGCTGAAGTGGACTTTATCTCCTTTTATCAATTTACACACCTGCATCATTTACAACGAATGAGACATTACCAGATTAGGGACCCCAAAACCGTGTACTACCAAGGGACGAGCTCGAAAACTATTAATATTATTAAGGCCACGCGGAGCTGCGTTCCCAACAATTGTTTTCGAAGCCGGGTACTCCGAATTATATCCGCAACTTCTTGCCGACAAAGACAGAGATCTATGGTTTAATGGAATCTCTTCGGTCAATATTGTTGTTCTCTTAGTGGCTATTCATATCCGGATATTATATTAAAGGCTGTATCGAATAGGTCTTTCAAAGTATTCTCTCTGCCCTCTGCTGAAATTTCCTTTGACAGAGATGTCATATTGGATTGATCTTCACGCAAACATGCATCTATGGGCAGCAGGGTCTAAGGGAAATAGCAGAGAAGGTGTTGCTACTCCAAAAGTTCAGCGATGGAAATTGAGTATTCGAAAGGGGTAGGATTCTAGTTGCTCATTTTGACCCTGAGACAAGACACCATTATATCCTTTCAGTGCTCGTGATGCAGTTTCTATATTGGCAAGACGACGAAGGAAAAAAAAGGGATGTCTTTCAAGGGATATGCAGATGTAATATGTTGCTATTCTAGATATATCTGATACGGGATCATACCGGTACTATCTATGCTGTTCCTCTGTTGATCTGAACCGGATTGTATACCATGTTGAAGGTCGATTCTGCGTCTATCAGAGAAGCTACGAATATACTTCCGCAGTTGGGAGTCTCCAAATTTAAGTTCTTGCGAACGGCAGAGAGGTCCTCTTACAGATCTAGATATAAAGGAAGGAAGTCCTGACAAGGGCATCTGATACCAAAGAGAGGAGGAATCTGTATTTCGGGAAGTAGAAGGAGAAAGCACATGAAACAATAATTGTATATCAAATAGCAGGAGTTAGGACTCTCTGGGGAAATTAAGCATTCTTTGCACGACGAAGTCAAGCAGCAGTCAGTTCAATAATCATGAGGGAGGACTCCCATTAACAGCAGTATCAGTTAGTAAGTTGAGTTTATACCGAGCGGATATGATCTAGATATGTATCCTAGATCCAGCTCCAGCTTATGCTCTGCTATTCTTGTACTCCCGGGTATCCTCACCTCACAAGACGGGTTTGAGTAATGTTCCTTCTAACGCTTCAGTCACCAGATAAACAGAATACGATACAGCAGAAGCCCCCCTTATCAATTGATTGACGAGAACGGCAGACTATTAACTAGCACAGGTCTATATCGGACTTTTCCTGGAGTTGCGCATTTTGGCCCACCAATTCTTTGCGAAGTATAACAGCGCTTAAGTATCACGGAACAAACGTTTAATCTCTACGGGCTGTTATGCCATGATGGCTTTCTCCAGTTGACCAAAATGGAGAACTGCTAGTTTGTCTGGATCTCTAACATGCCACTTGTAAAAGCTCAGAAAAAGGAACCCGGGGCAACAGTTCTTTATTGCGGGGCCTTGACGACCCGTATCATGATTCTGGATAGTGAGTTTAAATGATTTTATACTCTGAATTTCAATTTCATTTCAAAAATGTCGGACCAACCTGTCGAAGATACCCCTGCCGCAGAACTAAGCGCAATTCGTGAGACTATCGAAGCAATGACTCGGCGTTTGCTTCCTGGAATAGTTCTTTACAGAGTCTTAATATGATGATACGTACCACAGGTGGAAACTTGAACAAGAATATATATGAAATGGCAGTATAGCTACGACAGATTAAGCTTCCAAGAATCCTCCATGCATACCCCTACAACAATTGCGATTAGATGGTGCCGGCTGGAATCATCTACAGAGCAGTCTCCATCTTGTCCAAGACAGCCCGGGTGAACTCGTGGGTGCTAGCCTGGCCACCCATGTCGCGGGTTCTCGTTTTGCTGCGGATCCAGAAGTGTTAGTGACACGACAAAATCATATCAGAGCGTAGTATGAATGCTGATGAACTTACCCCTCGGCGATCACGTCGTACACGGCCTTGGAAATGCGGTTGGCGTGTTCATCGAGACCCAAGTGACGGAGAAGCATAGAGCCAGAGAGAATGAGAGCGGTAGGGTTAGCCTGGTCCTTGCCCTTGATGTCGAGACCGACGTGACGGCAACCGGGCTCGAAAACGGCGATGTCGCGACCAATGTTGCATCCGGGAACAATACCGGGGCCACCAACAAGGGCGGCACCAATGTTGGACAGGATACCACCGTACAGGTTAGGCATGACCATCACGTCGAACTGCTGAGGCCGGGAGACAGCCTGCATGGAGGCGTTGTCGACGATCATGTCGTTGGTCTCGAGAGTGGGGTAATTCTCGGCGACCTTGCTGAAGGTGCTGCGGAAAAGACCGTCTGCGAGCTTCATGATGTTGGCCTTGTGGATACAGGTGACCTTCTTGCGGTTGTTTGCCAGAGCGAAGCTGAAAGCAAACTTGGCGATGCGCTCAGACTTGGCGCGGGTGATGATCTTCAGCGACTCGACGACGCCCTGGACGGACTGGTGCTCCAGGCCGGAGTACTCTCCCTCGGTGTTCTCACGGATGATGCAGAGGTCGACATTGTCGTGTCGCGTCTTGTAGCCAGGGATGTTCTTGATCAAAACGACCGAGGCGTAGATGTCGAGCTCCTGGCGCAGAGCAACGTTGAAAGACTGGTGACCGGAACGCTCGACAGGGGTGTGCAGAATACCCTTGAGACCGAGCTTGTTGCGCTTCAGAGAGGCGATCGACTCCTTGAACAGCTCCTCGGAATGCTTGTTGCCGGTGTCAACACCGCTCACGTCGACCTGCTCCCACTCAATTGGTACGTTGTCGGCCTTGAAGATGGTCTTGACGGACTCCGCGACTTCGGCACCAATGCCATCACCTAAACAAATAGTCGGTCAGAGGACGCGACCCCGGACAAGAGGAGGCGCAGACCGTACCTGGAATCAGAGTGACGGTGTATTTACCACCATACTTGGTGGGCTTGAAGATGTCGGACTGGACCGTAGCAAGAGCTAGAACTCGAGGTCAGTTTTGACGGCACGGACAGGCAATTGCCTTTCAAACCACGTACTTCTAGACGGAACGGAAGAGCGAGCAAAGTGCGACGCGGTGGAAGCGCCGCGCAGAAGCGACTACACGAAGATAATGTTAGCTGTGACGCCAAGGTGAAAGCATCAGGCACCGTGCGAAAAAGAACCATCCACAGCGGGAAAGTGGCAGGACAACGAACCTGAGCCGGCTGCGCAGTTCTCAGGGAGAACATGATGGGCGACAGAGTGAGAATGACGGAGGGGAGAGACGAGGAGGAAGGAAGCGTCGAGAGCGCAGCTTGAAGCTACAAGAGAGAGAGATCGAGGAGTTAGTTAGTTAGTTAGTTAGTAGTCTTCGATACGCGGAAGTGAAGGAAGACCGGAAAAACGGGATCGGGGCAAGTTGCCGCAGCGGGCGACTTTCTTTCTTTGCTTCTCACGTTTCGGCTTCGGGCTGGCCGGTCGATGGTCCGTTTTCCGATATGGATCTGATCTCCTCACTGTCGATTCTATTCTAGTCTAGGGAATAATAATTATAGGATCTGGCCTATTTCGAATATCCTCTTCGTTTCCCTATCATCTTTTTCCTATTATTATCTTCCGCGGGGGTACTTATTGCCGATATCGCTACTTACTACTTATTTATTGTTATTGAATCTTCCGATCGGGAATGCCAAGAACATCCGATTCGGTATTTACCGCGATATTTAGTATACTGCGACTTCTATTGACACTTTCAGTAGATGGCTACATGCGAACTGGGAAGTGTTCTCTACCCTTGGTGGGCCCAGATGTTTGTTGCTCTTTCTTTTTTGTATCAGTGCTTATTGAGTGCCACTATTGAGTGACTGACCACTGGCAATAACGGCGATATTCAGGATGAATCGCTTATTGCCGTGAATCAGCATCTAATCGAAGTGATGGATTAGCTCCTGTCTGAATTATATACATCTTCCCTTCCCAAAATAATCCATGAGGCCTTCTCGTGCCTGGAGATCTCCTAAAATCATGCATCGCTTCTCTTCCGCGAAGCATTTCTATACAAACGAAATACAAACGGCCATATCTACTTTGAACCCTCAAGTCTTCTCTGTGCAATAATTACTTACAATATCGTGAACAACGTTTTCATACTTCCAGTTCTTTCTAGTTCAGATTTGCATTCTCGACCGCTGGTTCGGTCATGAAGTTATCTCCTATCTTTCTTGTCATACTGCTGCTGGCTATATCGCTCGAGACGACGGCAAGTCCCCTACTTCATCTAGATCGGTGGTGCCGTCGTCCCGGTCAGCCGTGTGCAAGGATAAAGCGTGGAGTCCAGATATGGAAATCGGAGCTTGGAGCATCTGAACCCAGAGACAAGCAGTCTCTCGCGTTTGGACTCTTCAACAGTCGACCTCCAAGCTCTGCTGATCCATTGATGGATCATATTTCAAGGGAAACGTCGACTGCGGTTTCGTAAGCATTGGACCTGACTATCGGTTGAAGGGGATTGTGGACTGACGGCTAGAAGTAGAGACGTTGAACTTGGAGGATCTCAAGGTGCTAGTCACGCTCGATAGAAGCAACTTCCTCTTCATCAAGTTTCTCCTCGGCTTTGTTTCAGCATTTAGTGGAATTTGGGAATATCCTCAATTTCCAGGGGAATTAAGGGGCTGAGGACGATCTCAAGATTGGCAGACTGTACGTCGGCTTGGCATCAAGAGACGCAAGGTCTTCGACCAAGGATACAAGGAAATATCTATGTTTTTGTTACGCTCTTCTTCCACTTAATTCGACGGACTGTTACCTGGAGATTCTTGCATCAGATGTCTACTGTGGCATTGCTGGAACTGGTCACTTTTGCTTTCCCAGAGGGTAGCACCCATGCAGGTCTGCGTGTATTCGCAGACTACATATGCTCACTTATATTCATTCGTTCTATGAATAATCTCGTCTCAATCTTATCATCGTAAACATATCGGCGTATTTCGCATCATTATCGACCATAACCAGCTCCAAAGAGCGTATCTTCTCGAAACCTAAGAATCACTGTATAGGGTCATAAGGTATGAGTCGTAATACCTCCTCGGACAGCAAGGTGACGTACTGATTCGAGATAGGCATAATTATGTATAATCATCCATCGCGCTGTACTTTCACCATCCATGACCTTGATATACAGGGTCATACGCCGGGTTATACGGGGCACCAGTCGTGGGTTCTTCCGGCAATGACGTCTTCATCGAAGACAGTTCATATTCGCGCCGAGCTAGTGCTTCATATCCCGACATAATATAGGGTTCCGCGCCTTCTTCAGTGAAATCGCAGTCGTTGCCATTATCAATGTCCATGTCCACATCGGCAGCAAAGGTTTCGCGATCTCCTTTATTCAATTTGTTGGCTGATGGATGCTTCTGTCCCAAGCCCTCCTCTTGTGTAACACCTTGGGTCATCACCGACGTCTGACTTGGCTTTGATTGCTGTTGTTCAGACATGTCGGACTGAGAGCTAGACACCGACAAGCGTTCGGGATCACGCTGACCCAACACCCCGAACGAAGGTGCAATCGGTCTCCCATCACCGATACCTAGACATGCTGATGATTTCCAGGAGGAATCATGAAAGCTCTGTAGGGATGTGCCGGGGAGGGCATACTGAAACGTGCTATGCAGCGGGAAAGTAGTATTATTACCACGATGTGGACTGGTCGACGGAGGCGGGTTGCTTAGAGTGACCTGTCTAGCAAACAGTTCTGCAAGATGGCTCTCCATCCCTCAAGTATTTCGAAGATAACAGTGCCTAGCTAGATCTAGTGTCAATATCGATAGGTTTGTTACAAGCAGCCCATGTGGGGTAGAATCCGATGGAGCATAGACATGCAAGCATTGTATGCTGCTCAAAGGTGAAGGAGTACAAGCCACAGATCACTTACAGGGGAAGTATGAATCCAAACAATATAGTCGAATCTCTATATTCGCCGGAACCTCTGTGTAATCAGGCGTATGTATCTCTTGCAGAAAGATACCAATATTTCAACTAAACTAGGAAGTTCTGAGACGCGATTAATGGTGTTTTTGCACTGGAAGGAGGGAGAATCTCAAAAGTCCATTCCTGGTGAAATTTTCTAGAATACTATAAAGATATAAACCAAAAGCAAACCGATAAAGAAAGATGAAGTGGCTTCGCTGCCCAAATTCAAGTGGGTTGGGCGCGAGATGAGGGGCTCCAAAGAGCATGGGAATTGTCATTTGACGAGGAAGATAATACATCATGGCGTGGCAACAAAATAGACGAAGTAGGCATACAATCTGCCAACGACATGTTTAAGGCACATAAAAAAAAGGGGAGGATGATATGATTCAATTCCACCGCTATGCAGAACAGTAAAATGTGCCAGGAGAACAATTGAAAGCAACGAGGAGAACATGTCAATGTCCTGGTCATGTGACCGAGCCTGTACTGACAGGCAGCACCCGTGACGCGCTTAGAAGCTCAGCCTTGTCATGGCCCGCTAGCTGGTCCTAAGTCCCGTCGCTTGAAGCTCGCGGAGACAGTAACGTAGGTCGCTGTCTTGTCTATGCGTCTCAACGCCATAACTACCTCTCCCTTCCAAAAAACCCTTACCCGTGCTACCTCTCGTTTACCTCTCTAATCGATCTCTGTCTGTCTCTCGATCAATCGCGCTAGCCCCTTCTATTCGTCAACATGGTCCGTTCCTCGCCTGCTCGTTGAGCTCCGATAGCTTCGCCGACTAACCACTTCCTTGATACAGACGTCCATAGGTACAGGCTATGACCTTTCGAACTCGGTCTTCTCCCCAGATGGAAGGAACTTCCAGGTAAAGCTACCCCCTCTCACTACCTCCTGTACTCCTCGACTGACCAGTCCTTGTTGCGCATTGTAGGTCGAGTATGCCGTCAAGGCCGTTGAGAATGCAGGAACATCTATTGGAATCAAGTGCAAGGATGGTGTCGTCCTGGCTGTGGAAAAGATCATTACCAGCAAGCTCCTGAAACCCGGTGCGAACAAGAGAATAGCGACTGTGGACCGCAATATCGGTATTGTGAGTAAAGCCATTGCCACCGCAGGATCACAGCAAGAGAAGTAGTGGCTGTTATTTTCCAAAGATATATTAATGCCTTTCTTTGACCCTCTAGGTCTCTTCTGGGTTGATCCCCGACGGCCGTCACTTTGTGTCGAGGGCCAGAGATGAGGCCTCGTCATGGAGGAGGACATACAAGGGACCCATCCCCACATCAGCCTTGGCCGATCGGTTGGGCGGCTACGTCCAGGCTTATACTCTGTACTCCAGTGTCCGCCCATTTGGTGTGACTGCCATTGTGGGCGGTTGGGACTCCGAGGTAGAGTTGTCTGTTGACGGCCAAGTCGGTGCTGGACCACAGAGCGGTTCTGGTGGGAAGGTCGAGGGCGCAAAGGCAGGGGGCCCCGGCCTCTACATGATTGAACCAAGCGGTCTATATTGGGTATGATGGGAGTCTTATCGGTGATGAGTGCATGATATACTGACATTGCATCCAGGGCTATTACGGTGCCGCGACCGGAAAGGGCCGACAAGCTGCCAAGGCCGAGCTGGAGAAGCTGGATCTTCAATCGGGGAACCTGAGTCTGCTTGATGGAGTCAAGGAGGCAGCTCGGATTATCTACATTGCGCACGAGGACAGCAAGGATAAAGAGTTCGAACTGGAAATGACTTGGATCAGTTCCACTGATGGCCCGACGAAAGGCAGGCACGAAGAGGTCCCCAAAGACATTCTAGAGGAAGCTGAAAAGGCAGCGAAGAAGGCGCTAGAAGGCGAAGACGAGGAGGAGGAAGAAGGAACCGGTGAGCGAATGGAGGAGTAGAGGGTTGGGCATTTTGTACGACCCTTCAGTTAAATCGATGATGACTTGTGAGATGCAGTTCTAGACAGATAGACATGCAATCTGCAATACGCGCGGATTTCTATCTCTGTACTTGACGTCTTAATTTGAGGTTCTTCTGAAATATAGCAGGCCACCCTACTATATCATGGCCCCTCCAAACTTTGGTCCTTGAGGATCCTGTCTCCCTTGGTCCTGATATGTGCATGTATTTATTTCTCCTAGTTTCCCCCCTGCGATCGGATAGGCAGGAAGCAGCTCAACACCATTTCCGGTGCAGCCAATGGTAAACTAAGAATTCCAAGCTTCCCAATATCCTTTGCTACCTTTCCTTTTTTTCCCATTTCCAAACAGCAGTACACCGCCTATAAGACCATCGTAGCCTTTCTTCTTTCCCCCATTCTTTTAAACCCTTTAGAGAATCTTTCCCTGAATCCAACCCCTCCTCTTCGCACCAAGCTCCACAGCCGCCTTACCCCAATCTTCACCATGATTATGCATTCCCTTCTTCCCCAAACCAGCTCTCTCAAGACCCTGCTCCTCATTCAGAACAGTAAGCAATCCAAAAATAACAGGGACTCCAGCATCCAGCTGCACGCGCATCAATCCGTGCGTGACCGCATCAGCGATGTATTCGAAATGCATCGTCTCTCCCTTGATCAGGACTCCAATCGCAATCACGGCATCGAAGGGCTTCACGGAGGAAGACGTCTCTGTCTTGGTCAGATCGGTCGTCGATGAAGAAAGGAGATCGCCTGCGCTGAGACCGCCGTCGGATGAGGAGCTGGTGGCGGCTTGGACCTGCGAGGCGGCGTAGATCCTGTACATTGAGAAGAGGGATGAGTGTTAGTTTACATGTGCATATATATATATATACATAAGTGGAGGTAGGGAGAGCGCCTGTATGATTGCATGAACAGCTCTCCCTGGGACCTCTGAGAGAGAGGGGGGTGTGTGTGTGTGTGTCTAACCGTTGTACCGCAAAGGGCAATTCATAACTGCCTGGAACGCTCTGCATAACAATGTTCTCTTCCGTCACTCCAGCAGCGAGGAGAGTCTTCTTGGCTCCAGCGATAAGAGGATCGATGATGGCAGTATTCCATCGTGCATGAACGATCGCGACTCGGAGGCCGGTGCCTATGCAAACGAACGATGTGATCTTCAGTACTGTCCAACCAAGCGGGGAACCTGGAGTTCATCGCCTACCGTCATAGCTCTGCGCAGCTCCAGGTCCTTTCAAAGATGCCATCTTTTGTATGTATCGAGCTGTAAATAGTGAAAGTGCAGAGCAATGGGTAATAATAGAGGATTGTGAAGTAGATGCCGCGCCGGATTGACGTTGTGAGAGTGGTGGGGTTCCGAGTGACTGTCCAAATCCGTACAAATCGATGACTCCGCTTTATCGGATATCGTCGCTTAAAATCTACGATTATCCAGGACAGTGGAGTCACGATGTGGAAAGTGAGATAAACTGTCGGTGGCTATACGGATATGTAGCTTCATGCTGAACTGTACGAGAAACCCGCTTTATTCATACTACACAGCTGTTGCATTATATTCTCTTAATCCGACAGAGTCAGTGTTTCAAACTTCGTGAAGCTTCCCGACTCTAGAAAGAAAACCCCCCCCCCCGTATGCTCCGTTCCAAAAGACAAGTCAGAAGAGACGAACCGGCCATGATCTTTGTCGCATTCAATGCCTGAAAAACAAAACGTGCAAATACCTCAAGGGTAATGATTTACTCGACAGTCACAGACTTGGCGAGGTTGCGTGGGAAGTCAACGTTCAGTCCCTCGCCAACAGCAAGCCAGTACGCAATCAACTGCAGAGGGATGACGTTAAGTAGACCCTGGAGGCAGTCAACAGTCTTGGGGATCTCAATCTTCTCCGTCTGCGACGTAGGGAACTCCGAGTCATTAGGGTTACAGATCACGATCGGACGTCCACCGCGGGCAATCACTTGCTGGTAGGCATTGAGCGACTTCGGGAAGATCTTGTCGCGAGTGAGGATCATGATGATCGGCAGGTTCTCGTCGACCAAGGCCAGAACACCGTGCTTGAGCTCTCCAGACATGACGGCCTCGCAGTGAAGATACGAGATCTCCTTGATTTTCAGGGCTCCTAAACAAGATGTTAGCCATCAATTCTGGTATCATACATCATTTCTGGGTGGAACTGACCTTCGAGCGCTGTGGAGAACTGGCTGCCTCGTCCCAGAAGCAGCAAGCTCTTCTGGTTCTTAAAGAATTTCGCGCACATCGCCTTGATTGGGTCGTTAAGTTTCAGGATCTCCTTGAACTGATCCGAGATCTTAGATAGTCCTTCCATGATCTCCTCTCTCCTCTGCTGCTTCGATGCGCGGTCCTCGCTCAGTGACAGAGCGAACATAACCATGGCAACGAACTGAGACGTGTACGCCTTGGTGGAAGCAACACCGATCTCCGGACCAGCGTTAATGTGAACACCGCAGTGAGTGAGAAGAGAGATAGATGATCCGACCACGTTGACAATACCCACCGTCAAGGCACCACGCTCAAGACAGTAACGCAGAGCCATGAGAGAATCCGCGGTCTCACCAGACTGAGACACAAAAACGCAGGTGTCATCACGGAACACAGGAGCTTCTCTGTCCAAGAAATCGGAAGCCAACTCAACTGCAATCGGGATCTCCGTCAACTCCTCAAAGATTCCACGAACCGCCATGCAGGAATGATAACTGGTTCCGCAAGCAATGAAGATGATCCTCCTGCACCGGCGAATGGTAGAGATGTATTGACGCAAACCTCCAAGCGTGACCTTCTTGTTAGCGACGTCCAGGCGACCTCTCATAGTGTTCACCACAGACTCCGGCTGTTCAAAAATCTCCTTCTGCATGAAGTGGTCAAACTTGCCCTTCATGATTTCTTGCAACTCGAGTTCGATAGTCTGGATGGCACGGACATTGGAGGTGCCGTCGTCCTTCGTCAGACGATGGATGTTAAGTTGGCCTTCGTGAATGTGAGCGATATCGTCGTCCTCAAGGTAAAGGACCTTCTTCGTGTGTTCGACGATAGCCGATGGGTCAGAAGACAGGAAGAACTCAGCCGGCTGGGGGACGCCATCATCCGACAGGAAAGCACGAGACTGCGAGCGGTGAAGCAGCGACTTGTCGGGCGGAGCCAGCAGACCCGGCGCGGACTTCTTGATAGCGACGTTCTGGGAAGCCTGCTCAGCTGGCAGAGCTCCCTCCTCCGAATACTCCACGTCGACGAAATCAACCTTCATCTTCTTCGCGGTGCGGACACCGACGACCAAGGGAGAACCCTTGCGGGCGGCAATGACTTCGTGGGGATAGTGCACGGACTTCATCAGAAGACCGAATGCACCCTGAAGCTCCTTCACCACGGCCTTTGCCAGAACTGTGAAGTCGATGTCGGGGTGCTGGTCGTAGAGGTACTTTGCAAGCTTGGCGATACATTCCGTATCCGTCTCAGTTTCAAAGCGGAACCCCTTGGTCTCCAGAAGAGCCTTCAGCTCCTTGTAGTTGGTGATAATACCATTGTGAACGACGGAAAACTCCCACTTGGGGTCGGATCTGTGACATTCGCATATTAGGTCGTCTGCAACCAAGGGAGTCGAACTGGACTCGACGTAGCGGGTGTACTCACCTGTGGGGGTGGCAGTTAAGGCGAGAAGGGGTACCGTGGGTGGCCCAACGAGTGTGAGCAATTCCCGCATGGGAATCGAAGGTCTTGGTGAGGTCTGGCTTAGATTCGGCGATGAGCTCCTTCAATTTGGCAACCTTGCCAACCTCCTTGAAGGCCAAGACTTCATTCTTCTTGTCGCCATCGACAGCCAGACCAGCGGAGTCGTAACCACGATATTCAAGACGCGAGAGACCTATGCAAACGCATCAGAAACAGAACCAGCCGTACACTGTCAAGATCACTCACCGTTCACCAGGGTATCAAGGATATATTTGCGGTCTCTCTCGACGAGATAGTTGATGTAACCGAAGATACCACTGTGTTGTCCCCAGTCAGCATCGATTGGTCTTCATCCGGTTGGTATCAACTCTGGGGGGGATACTCACCACATGATGGATTCTTGGAGCTGCAAAGACTGTGTACTGAAAAAGAAAGAAAAGGATGCACTGGCCGTCTGTTGCTTTGTCTTCGACTGAAGCGCAGACCGTTCAGCTTACCAGGCAGGTCGCAAGGGGCTCAAGGGCGCAGCAACGAAGGGACAAAAGGCAGAGATAGCAGCGGGACGTCAGACCACGAGCTATCTAAGTTCTTAAGAGCCCAGAGAAGAAACGAAAGCAGCAACTGCACAGGCAAGTCAGGTTGGCAGCAGAGGAAGGTGAGAGCGAGCGATTTGGATGGAGGAGTGGACGGATGCCGATGAGGGGGAGCTGTATTGTTTTATGTAGCGAGATTCGACCCACACAAGCCCGGGCTGGGATAGAAAGCGGTGGGAGCGACCGAGGCGATCTCAGCAAACCAGCAACGCGGCCACCTGCAGTAGCGTCTCCAGAATAATCTCTAATCGACTATAATTAATGGATCTGATTCTGGCCGCTTGTCTCGGATTTTTGGCTTTCGAGCCAAGTGTCCGCAAACAACGTGTCCTCTCTCTTCTGCCTGTGCCACAGCCCACAGGTAAACACCCTAGAGACTACTATGGTCGACTAGTTTGTGCTGGACAACCACTTGGGCATGTCATAAACTTGCCCTATCTACTATAGCTTCATAGCGACTGTTGCTATGTCAAGCAAGGATTACTACTACTGCAAGTCAGCCTCCCGCCTGCAACTAGTTAGTTAATTATCATTTTACTCCGTACTCTATTTCCACTCGAGAAGTGGCGCCCTATGATCGTCATGATGCCTATCTACTAGTCAATACCTTCTCCGGATCAAGCAGTTGCCCTTCCTCATCCGGAGAACACAATGTACATTGTATCGGGTGAACAATGAATTCTCTCATAATAATAATAATAATAATAATCTTGGTAGCGGGAAAAAACTCTGCTTCAGTCGCCCACTCTAGAGCCATAAATAACAAAGGCTCCATGGAACTAACTACGACCACCCATCATGATTGTGCTCCTTATTCAGCGATCCAAGTGCGCTCGATCCAAAAGAATAGTTTATTCGGGGCGTCCACCGGTGTTTGCGGCTGCGGCAGTGCAAGTTGCTATTTTTGCATCGAGCTATTGGCGCCAGTCTCACATCCCAGGTCCACCACGGCGTGCGTCGGATCAACAGGAGTCCCTGGTCGCTGAGAACCGACGAGACGAGACGATGAGGCGACTCTACCGTTAGAACCTGTGGACCTCCCCACGGAACCTGTGGCTCGCTTCCCTCGTGCTCGTATATCACTAACTCTGAACGGTATCGTTCTATCCTTGAGGAGATTATTTTTATTTTTTAACGGCCTTGACACCTCCGGAGAACGGTCTTTCCGACATTCTGCGTGGCTGGTCTGCCAAGAATGGGCTAGAAGATCCTGGTTAAACTTGGAAAGTATTGCTTCCCAAGGGCGAGGTCCCCCATTACAGCAATAATAGTAGCTGTCTAGGTAGATAAGTCAGTATCCGCATTCCAGGCTGTTGTCTCGGCTCTTCATCAAGCTAACGACTCTTGATCATGCACACAACTGGGGAAGAATTTGGAATCTCGTCTCAGTGGCAGCCACTCACTATCTGATGATCAGCAAAGGAAGATAGAGGGATAAGAAAAAAAGAAATCTGCGAGTTACGGGTTCTTGCAGTTATACTTAGTCGAGTGTAACTATTCAGCAGTTGTAACTGTAATATGGGATATATTATACGAAAAAAAGGAAATTCAAACATCCTCTCTTTTTATTTACTTATAATTTTGCACCCCGCCAAATGACCAAGATGGCGGTCACATCATTTCCTGCCACTGGATAAAAGTAATCTTTGCACGCGCTTAAAGCTGTTGAAGTCCCGTTCATAGGGCTCCCCCGATTGAGGTCTAGTGATGTCTTCAACCCAGCAATGTCAGCTGACATGGGAGACGTACCATCCCAGTGGGACGTCGACATTATCATCTATCACCCTACCAAATGCGTGGTGATTTGGATAATCTTTATTGCACCAAGAAATAAAAAGCACGCTTCTTTTCAAAAGCCTCAGATATTGAACAATGCAGCCAATCCCTCACGAAGCCTCAACGATGGGGATGACCGCAAAACAAAAGGCACAGGCTACACGGTTGGTTAAACCAAGAACAGCATTAAGCAATCCATAGCTCGTTCTCTATATCAATTCTCTCCCAGATACTGATCTTACTGGGAGACTATTATGGATTGCCTAAGACAGGTGGCACTGCTTTCCGTGAAATACTAATTGAGGTATCGCGCATAGTTCTCCTGCACTGTGCTCTACATTAGAGATCGCGACCGAATCCAAACACATCTTCGAAGAGACAGAGTGCCACCGTATATGGATGGAAGTAAGGGAGATAGAACGGCACCACGCAACAGTAAATGCCTTCGTTGCCTCTGAGGAGCGTGTGAGGCGGGCGGGCATCACGACAGTAACGCGAGCACTGTAAGTATCTACCAGTCGAGGAGGAATAAATGAAAGATCCAGCAGAAGCGCTGACCGCCTACCACTCTGGCACAAGGTGTAGTCTACTCCGCCTTAGCGCGCTCCCGCCTCGCTAATTCCCCATCCCTGCCGCGACGACCGTCAGCCTTTTCTGGTCCAAGAGAACATCATCTACAGGATCTCCGCCAGCTCTTCACCCTCTTCGCAAGCCGGTTTGTCGGCCTCTGGACAATTGTCCTTCACTCCTGACGCGTGCGCCGTACCACCGTTTGGATTCCAGCGATCTCAGAGCTCCTATTTCTGGGGATATCTTGGGCCTGCGGAATTCCTGTCTCCGCCACCTCTCTACCCGCTCAATTCCCTACTCTTCGCGTCTCTGTCGGTCTGCACCTCCCCTGGTGGGAAAGCGAGTGTCTCGCGATTCACTATCGATGCGTTGAATCCTATTGTTCTCGACTTATCTGTCTCTGGAGATTCTGTCAACTACATGACTCTCCGGTAAACGCTAGAGCAGGTGTCAAGGATGGTCGTTACTTGTCGCGGCCGGTCTATATCAGGCTCGTAGCCATCCAATATGTCGCGCTCGTCAGCGGGCTTCGCGGATTTCTTCCCCACCGCGCCCTCCGTTCTCCAGCAGAAACGGTTCAAAGCCTCCCAGGAACGGCAGCGGGCCAAACCAAAACTTGATACGGACACAACCGCGAAACCACTATCCGATCTGGCGGATAGCTCCCATGGAGGGGTTATGAGCACATCAACCAACGAGACAAAGGCTGACGGCGAACTGGGAATACCAGATCAAGAGTCTAATGTGACACCTGGTCTTGTCGGCACTGAGCCCGCCTGCTCGACCGGCGGAGGTTCGTCTGGCTCAAGTTCGTCATTTTCTCAGGCCGGCACAGGAATTGCCAATGGGCCCCCGTCCTATACCCTAACGCCTCTAACAAACGCGGAGTCATCACCTCCATGCAAAATCTCCAGTCCTTCCCAGTCGAAACCAGCATCTCAAACCGGTTTAGCCGAAGAGGCTCTCCGAAAAGGCACATCGGCAGACGACAAACGTGCTATTACCCCTCTTCGCACCCCTCCGACGCCGCAATCGCAGGCAAGGGTACTTGGAAATAACGTCATTAAAGGCTATAAAGTGGCATATGATCCTGACCTCGATAGGAAGTCATCAAAAGAGAAACGCAAGAAGGTTCAGTATGTGGATATCATTGCTTCAGTCGATGAGACAGCACCATCCGACCCGCGCCTTGCAATTGCAAACTACACTCGAGGCGCCGGCGGCAAGCAAAAAACTAAATATCGCCCGGCGCCTTATGTATTGCGGCAGTGGCCTTATGATGCTGCTACGTCTATAGGACCGGGGCCGCCAACCCAGATTGTCGTTACCGGTTTCGACCCACTAACTCCCATTGCTCCAATCAATGCCCTTTTCTCGAGCTTTGGGGAGATCGCGGAGATCGACAACCGGACTGATCCCATAACGGGAAGATTCCTCGGGATCTGTTCCATCAAATACAAAGATGCCAGGAGTTTCCGCGGCGGCGGTCCCGTCCCTGCCGCTGCTGCGGCCAGACGGGCTTATTACGAATGTAAACGTGAGCAGCGCATCGGGACACGGAAGATCAGAGTCGACTTGGACCGTGATGGCATTCTCACCGCTAAGCTGGTTTCTAGAGCTGTCGAAGCTCAGAGGCCGGACGGGAAGGCAGGAGTGCCTTTTGCGGAAGAGAAGAAGAACGAGCAACAAACGAAAAAGAACGAGCCCCCTCCGACTGCGCCGAAAGGCCCCTCTGGAAGATCCTCTATGCGACCTGCTATCGCACCGCCCGAGGGGCCCAGAGCTGCGATGAAGCCTGCGATACCGTCTTTGGTCGAGGAAACCCCGATCTTGAGCCAAATCAAGCGCGACCCCTATATCTTCATTGCACATTGCTATGTTCCTGTTCTAAGTACTACCGTACCTCACTTGAAAAAGAGACTAAAAATGTTCGAGTGGAAGGCAATCAGATGTGACAAAACTGGTTACTATGTCATTTTCGATAACTCTCGGCGCGGGGAGGAGGAAACAGAGCGCTGTTACAAGATGTGTCATATGTCCGCTCTCTTTACATACGTTATGAACATGGAGAGCCAACCGTACGGAAATCCAAACTACGAACGCAGTCCCAGTCCTGAAAGAGTGGAAGCTGAACGCCGTGAGAAAGCTGAAAAAGAGAGACTGGAGAGGGAGGCGCAACTTGATATTGAAGAAGAAAAGAAACAGAGGGCAGCGGATCTGGATCCTGCGCGAGAAGTACTACGCGTCGTTCTGTGTGAACTCAAGGACAAGCTGTTGGAAGACGTTAAGTCTCGCATAGCTGCACCAGCCTTGTACGATTATCTCGACCCAGAAATGCATGCGGCGAGAAGGCAGAAACTGGGTATTCCCGAACCTGAAGGCAATATGCGACCTGCTTTTCGGATCAGTATCAACGGCGACACTCCGTCGGGAACCCCCGATCCCCAAGCTGAAGTGTCAGCAAGTGGGCGTCGGCCTTTGGGCTCATCCAACTTAAATGTCCTTGCGCTTCCCAGAATACGGAAAGCCAGCGGCTTGGGTCGGGCAAATATAGCTTTTGTTGACGAAAGACGCAAGCGGCCGATTCGCAGGAAGGAAATCCGACCCCTGTACCATCGTCTGCAGCAGCTCCACGACGACGAAGATTCAGACGAGGAACCGAATACGCCGTTGCTCAGGGATACAGAAGAACTCGAAAGCAGGCCTCCTAGCCGAATGAGTCTTGATTCTTCAGAGTCGGAAAATGAAGATCAAGAGACCAATCGTGAATCGTCGACAGTCGGAGATCTCGGAAACGATGATCCTAGTCTATCCGGCTTAGAAGGCAATGAAACAGTTGATGGAGAGACTACCACTGAGAAATTGCAGCCCAATATCCGTGAACTGTCACCTTCCTCGCGAAAAAGAAAGCGGCTCAGCAAAGAACTCAAAGCGCGCAAGAGGCAGAAGGAGGATGATGACTTGTTTGGTCTCAGTAGCTCTGTCGAAGAGACGGCAGATGAACTGTCGACAAAACCTCTGGAATCCGAAGCACCATTGCCCGCAGAGACGGAAGATCCAGAAGGCCCTACGGAAGCACAGGCTAAAGTCACAAAGACCAAGGCCAAGAAAAAGTCTAAGAAACAGATTTCCGAGGAAACAGCAGCGTTGGCGACCGAGGTTCTTGAACCACAGCCCGCGCTCGAGAAACCAGAGGAGGCACCGGAGAAGACAGAGTCGGATGATGCAGAGGTTGCGGAGCTTATATCTGACGATAGGGCGGAGATTAAATGGGGAGTCTCGAATGACATGCCACGTCCGACCGTGGAAGATGACGAGGATATCATCTTAGATCTCGATGGGTGGCAGAATATCATAAAGGATGAAGAAGATTTACGCTTCCTCAGAGAAATCCTGGCGGATCAGCCAGCTGTCGTGGTCGGGAACCTAGCAGCTTGGGCGTGGAGACAGAAGGAGATCAAGGCTTTGAATCGGCCGCATGAGAAGGGTCCTGTGCATGAGCAAACGACTATTAATGGCTATTATGTGCCGAACTGCACTGGCGCCGCTCGTACAGAGGGCAGGAAGAGGATATTGGAGTCGGAGAAATCCAAATATCTGCCTCATCGGATCAAGGTCCAAAAAGCACGTGAGGAAAGAGAGGCGAAAGCGAAGAATGATCCTCAGGCTGCTGCTGCTGAAGCCGCAAGGATTGCTGCCGCAAAGACGATCTCCAAATCCACATCAAGATCAACGCGTGTGAACAACCGCCGCCTCATTGCCGATATCAATGCTCAAAAGCAGGCTCTTCCTACCCAAAGTGGAGAAGGAGATGTTCTTCGATTCAATCAACTGAAGAAGCGGAAGAAACCCGTGCGATTCGCTCGATCTGCAATCCACAACTGGGGTTTGTACGCCGAAGAGAACATTTCCGCCAACGATATGATTATCGAGTACGTGGGAGAGAAAGTCAGACAGCAGGTGGCGGACATGAGAGAACGGAGATATCTCAAGAGCGGAATTGGTAGTAGCTACCTCTTCCGAATCGACGAGAACACCGTCATCGATGCCACGAAACGCGGAGGTATAGCAAGGTTCATCAACCACAGCTGCACGCCTAACTGCACTGCAAAGATCATTAAAGTCGACGGTAGCAAGCGAATCGTTATATATGCATTAAGGGATATTGAAAGAGGTAAGCTTGTCTATGGTCAAAATTACGTCGCGCATGAGCTGACAATTTTTTCTTTTTATAGACGAGGAGCTCACTTATGACTACAAATTCGAGAGAGAATGGGATAGTGACGACAGGATCCCATGTCTCTGTGGCTCTTCTGGTTGTAAGGGCTTCCTTAACTAGGAAAAGTGTCGGCGTATGTGGTCCTTTCAGTGCAGGCACAAGGTGGAATTGCATTCCAAGGCGTTTCAAAGTCCGGACATCTTCTTGCGGTCAGCATTCAGTCAATGGAGCAAACACAGACTCGATTGTACACTGCTTGCAATTTTGTGTTGTTAGAATCACAGGGTCTTCTTCAGCAACCCTAGCTGAAGACGTGTACATTATATGAAAGGAAAAATTTAATCTTATGTAGTGATCTGCTGCGGTGGTCTCATTTCCAGCCTGGTGTCTGTTGGATCATCAATTGATGATCACGACTCCTGTAGGCTACCTTGCAGTGGGTATATAAATAATACAAAAGCAATCCTAATACGCTTTTTTTTAAGCCCAGATCTCGCTTTCCTTTTCAACGTCCCGCCTTCGTCTAAACCACGCGTCTGCGGACCTCGATTTCATTGAACATGAGACACCCAGAAAACACCAGCGCCAAAAACTCCAGCTGCAATAAAATAAATTTCAAACTGTCATAGAAGTCAGCGGAACCGCATAGCACAAAAAATCGATCGGACAACTCGTCCCGTCCGGATAGGGGAGATATCCCACCTAGATGGCTAGGAAGGAGAAAGTTTGCGATTCCTTCCTTTATCTTATACTCATGGCCACAGCTCCCACAGACTAGTTTCCCTTCGACAACGCGCGTCTCCAGAAGAAGCGTATGTAGATCTTTTAGCGTCTGTTCGTCGAGCGCTTCGCCTTCAGGCTTCGTTTCGGGGATGGTAGGGAATCCGAGCTAGAAATATAGAATCAAGGAGTCAGTATGGAGATAGGCTTGGAAAAAGAGAGAATGAATATGGGAAGGAGAGAGAGAAATTCTAGGCGAGGTTGATCAAAGTGGTTGAGATTCGAGTCTTTGCTTTTTTCTTTTTTTCTTACCTCGCTGGCCGTGATGCGCAGTGCGTCCCAGTCTATACGAGGGAGAATGTTGCGAATGAATTCTGGTTGAAGATCGAGTTCCTGCTGCTCGAGCTCTGCGTCTTGGAAATGGAGAGGGAATGCAGCTGGTGAGATCTTGCAGCTCTTGACTGCGCAAGAGATAAAGTTGGCCGTTACAACTTTCATGTTTTCGCTTTTTCTTTTTCTTCTTTTTTTATTCTTGGAAGCCTGAGTTGGTTGTCTAATCGGTGAACAAGTGTTCGAGTGAGCAACGGCTTTGCCTTTCAGCAGAGTCACAGCCTAAAAGAACAAAATAATGGAGCTTTTGAAGTGATCACTGATGTCGGAAAAAACGACGGACGAGAAACTGCGCTCCCGTACAGTAGGTTATCTCCGAGGTTCCCCCCACCGCGGGGCTCCAAAGCCAATAGGAAAGCCCTAAGCCCTAAGGCATGTCATTACTTTATTCGTAACGACACTGCTTGTTTGTAAAGTCTGTCAATGAGATCATAGGTAAGAAGCTAAGCTTATAGATAGTAGATACATAGTGGGCTTTTGGTCTAGATCTCCAAATATAGTGATAGTGATATTATTATTACTAGACTTCAGGTAAATCATTATTAGTATCATCTCACTTCACCTGCACATCTACCATGTCTAGATCAGCGATATCATAGTCACTGACACATGAATCAGTACTCAGCCGCTCACCATCAAACAGCAAGTATATCTGCTTCTCTGCAGAGATGTGCTGTGAATCTCGGAATGATGCGATAATATTTGAGATGCGGGTGTTTGGAGTAACTTTCGCCCTCAGCTCACCATAACCTGGGCTTTTTAGTATCATCCTGATAAGCCCTCCAGTACTCTCTTGTCTGTCGTCGGATACAACCCCAACTTTAGAGATAGGCTCATTAGTCGAGTCTGACGGGATCTGTTGGCGGGAAGGCGCTACAGGAAGATCGGTCACAGCCTCCACGTGTATCTGCATGCTTTCTTCCTTATCTCCTAGCTCATCACTGACATCCCACAGACCTTGAGAACTGGCTCTGTTCTGACGACCTATACCAAGGCTTTTACACGTAGTGACATCGAACAGCCGTCTCCCTTTCCAGGTCAGAAACACTGATGCAGTCATGTCTTTATCGAACCCTTGACGTTTACACCACGCTAACCGGACATCCCTGAGCCTCTGGGACATTTTGCGGCGGACGATAAGTGGCATCGTATTCTCGATGTTCGATGTAATCAGTATCTGTATGATAGGGTCTTCACCGCTCTCCCCGTGAGAAGCACCTGCAGTAGCACGAGACTCGTCGCGAGTACTGTGTTCACGGCCTAGAGGCTGTACAGGACTTCCTTCAGTATCTTTCCGTAGCAATAGCGGATCTGAGCAATGTGACTGCACCCTTTCTGAGATCTTCCTGTCCGGGGCTCGTCGAGCCTCTGATTCTTCGAGCGTACAGGCCTCTGTACGGTCATTCAGCTCACTTCCATTCTCCGCCGCTGAGGAGACGGAGACAGGCGTATCAAGCCCAGATTCCAGATTATTAACAACATTATCAGGTTTCACCTCCGATAGTCGATCAGTCTCTGGTACCGGGGCACTTTCGAGGACATCGGAGTTGAGGTTGGTTGGTGATGAGTCTCGAGCAGATTCTACCACGTCGCTGTTGCTTGCGACTTCAGGACTTGGGCGTCTGTCCCCATCGGAGATTTCGGAAGCTGGTACATCTTCATTGGAATGTGATATGCGAGGCTTTTTAGCGGCTCCTCCGTCCTCGATATCCGCGATAGCATCGGTGTTATCGGTCTCTTTTGAGCGCGATCTTTGCGTGGCCGCAACTATATCAGCATAGATATGTTGCGAACGCTGATAGAAATTTGCTGTTGAGCCATCATCTTGAGTACTGGCCCACGAGGGCTTGTTAAAAAATGAACTCATTGCTGAGAATCCTTTGGAAGTTACGCGGAAGTCGGAGTGATGGGACGCGAACCTTGGCAGATGATGTTTGGCGCCTCAGGCATTCACAGGTAAGTTACAAGGTTATGGAGTGCCCATGTTAACTAATACTCCTAGAAAAGCCTAGCTTGTCTAATAGCATGTGTCAGTAAGGTTCTTTCGTATAATTTCTTAATTAGTTATTCTCTGATATTGCTATCTATTAACCATTCCCTATGCGGGCACAAACCCCTCGTTGCTGCTTGCCTCGTCTGCATCTCCCGGAGCCCGTCTAAGTACGGGTCCCATGACAATAGATCAAGGGGATTTCTCCCCTCAGCCACCGTACCTCTCAAGAAGGAGAGGCTCCAGGATACAAATTAGAGGCATGTTATATCCACTCTATTCTGTCATTGGTTCCCGTCCAACTGTTTCCTGCTCGGATATCTCCTGCACGATAGCTGCTGTAGAGGCGGGCAGGGCCGTCACAATCTGTGTGATGATTGTCTGCTGTCAATGATAGTGCTCGACTATCTGACTCATTACCAGTATAGCTGTCTAGCAGCAGCTTGACGATATTTGTATAGCCATTCTCTGCTGCCAACGATAATGGTGGTCGACCTCTATCATCTTTTTCGTCGTGGGGCCAATTACCCAAGTCAAGAAGACAAGAAAACAAGGGCGCATTTCCAGACTGCGATATATAGGACAGAACGGGTCTCTTTCTTGAAAAAGAGAAAGTCCTTCCAAGGGCTTCGCGTTTGCTTCCAATAACGTACTCCTGCAGCATCCCATGATACCTTTTCCCAGAAGGCTGTTTCCTTGCATGACGCTCAATGAACACTTGAATCACCTTATGACTTCTGGCAGCAAGGGCTGCAAGTAACGGAAAGCCATAGCGTTCAGTTTACCCAGCTTCCACCTTGAAGTAATCCGAGACGGAGGGTTTGATACTTTTGATAAGATTTGCCATTTTCTTTTTCTGCTAAGAGGTATAAAAGGCTGACATTCTTAGTATGCCTCCGTACTTCATGCTTTTCAAGCAAACCTATCAACTATCGAGCGTTATCCAATGTGTCAGAGGAAAGGTCCGTATAAATGTCTCCTGTGTCACCTGCTGCTAGTTAGTCACCACTTCCTTCACTGTTTTAACTATCCAAGAATTCAACAAGAGGTTAGACTAGGTGTCTAATGCCGGATACGCCTCTCAATCCGGAAGCAAGCCGACGAGCATACTTTCATACGTCACCAACCCAAGTGTTTGCTCATCCAGCGAGCAAGTACTTACCAAGCCTTATGGTCCACTCATAAAGATGGCGCCTTTTCTGACCTCTCTCGCGAGAAACTCAGCCTTAGTATACATATTAGAACCTTGAGTCACTGAATCTAGAACACGACACCCCTCGTTGCGACCGCTAGCCTCTGTTAGTGGAATATGCAGCAAGATCGTGACGCGCAGGAACTGTTCGCGGATCCACTCGTACTGCCCAGGTCTGAGTAAGCTCGTTATCAGCTGGCCCTGGTCTTCTGACGAGAGGGTCAATAAGCGGCTCAGCGGGCTCATGGCGTGCCACGGCCCTTGGGCGATGATATGACGCCTGTGCTCGTCTTTTGACATCCTGGGGTCGTGCGTTTGCTTGTTCACCGGCCCCTCATCGCCGGGCAGTAGGGAATCGCAGCTGGGAAGCAAAATCGTCGGGTCGTCAAAGTCAGCAATGCTGCATAATCTGGTTCGGTTGCCAAGGTAAAAGGGCATGCTATAGCACACGGAATCCACCAGTTCTTGGAAGATCTGTTTGCATTCAAGGATACCCTCAATTTCTCCTGAATATTGGTCCCTTGCAAGCTCATCCGGACTGAGACTAAGGGTCTTATTGAACAGGCCGAAGGTAATCTTGGCGAGTAAAAGGCGCTGAAAGCGCCATAGGTTCCATATGTTTGCAATCGTGCAAGAAGGATAAACCTCGCAGACAGATCGATAGGTGGGGATCGACGGGTCAATGTCTCGTCCACTTATGAGCTTCAGTGGACGCCAATGATCTGGTACACTCTGTGCCCAAGCCAGAAGCTGTTCATCAATGCGCTTTGCCTCGGCCCTCCACTCTCTCCGAGCTAGCTGTGACAAAGGCATGGAACGCTTCTGTATTTCCAGCCGCATATAGCTTGCCTGAAGCTCGGCGACGGACGCCCCTATAGCATCGAGTGCCGAGCTTGGGTTGTCTGGCGCAGCCATCAGATGTTTGCTCCCAATCCATGAGTATTCAATGCTCTGCAGTGGCCGTTTCTGGCGCATCGCTGATGATATTTCGGTATGAATCATGAATCTTCGAATATATGCTCCGATCATCCCATTAATATCGTTCGAATTCGCAAATGGGAGCAAAGATACTGCACCGTTGTGGTGTACGCGAGTGGCCGAGTGGACGCCGTATACGGCGGCGATGTCATCATATAGCTGCAGCATCAACACAGCCAATATTGTTGCTGGCTTACTCCGTTCTGATTGATCCTGTACTGCCCTCCGAAGACACGCGACCGCTTGGGCATAGGCCTTCTCCGGCCATAGGAAGTTGCGGGTGTCGTGCCGCCACAGGGCAAGTATTCTGGAAGCCATGGCCGATACCGCGAGCGAGAGCACCGAGTCCTGCTTCTGCGAGCAGTATACTGGAATTAGTATCTCAAAGAACCCGCGCGCGGATCCAAAGTCGCGGCCCATGTTGGCGTAATGCCAAAGGTAGAACGGCACGGCGGTGTCGGGCTCGGCCAGCGGACGAGGCACGGCCGCCCGGTCCTGAATCTGGGCAGCTTTGATGCGGAATTTGTGGTTCTCGTCTTTGAACTTGAGCTTTCGCCTGGTCGAGTTCGTCTGGTAGCCTTCGCAACGGATCCCGAGGCGCCGACACAGCAGGCATTCGGGTTTCGCTTCATCGCATTTGACGCGTCGCTGCTTGCACGTAGCGCAGCCTCCGGAGCGTCCGCGATTGACCATAACGACGGTGACGATGCCAAAAAGAGCGATGTTGTTGCGAGGAGTTGGTTAATATTAATAAGAAATAAGCTTGCTTTAGGCTCCAGTATAATTATTACCATCTATACTAACTTGCGTGGGACGTTGATCGCCTTTATGATAGCCAATGGTAAGGCTCCATCGCAAAAAGATACACTCGATTCAGCCTAGCTTGGTAACCTAATTGATACCCCGATTCTGGGAATAGTAAGAAGAAGAATAATAATAGCTACCTATCTATACTCTCGCTGCGTAGCTCTAAGAGCAGAGCGGAAGTATAAGTAAGTAGAGATGGAACGACCAGGGTGGAAGACAGAGATCGTCCAAGAAGCACAAGCTCAGTCAGAAAATACTCTCGTCACTTACTTAAGTATACCTCGCCATGAAGCTCTCTTCCATCTATACTGGCCCTCTTTTGGCGGCACTGCTGCAATGGAGCCCAGCAGCCGGGGCCAACACCACCAGCAATGCCCCTATACTCCTGCTGAGCTCGGATCAGACCTTCCACTTTAATCTGCTGATTGCTCTCGGCGACGCTATCGCTGGAGGATCGGATATTGCCCCTGTGCTGGGCGCTGCCAAAAACATCCAAGCAGGAAACATGACCTCTTATAGCGAAGTGTTCTACAAGCTCGCCAACCAGACCAAAGCTCAGGCTGAAAATCCGGACAACGCCTATGACCCTGTCAACGTGAAGGACACTTGGTTCTCTACGGCCAATTACTTCCGTCGCGCCGACTTCTTCATCCACGAAAACTGGAGCAACCCGCTCATAAACAGCCTCTGGGCAGAGCAGACCGCAGCGTTCAACAAGGGGCTGGCCGCGTTGCCCATCCCTGGCAAGCGTGTAAGGATCCCGGCTACCAAGGGTAACTTCACCATCGAAGCGATTTGGTACTCCGCTTCCAAGAACAAAAACGCCAAGTTGCCTACCTTGATCATTGGGAATGGCTTGGATGCCGCGCAGGAGGACTCTTACCACAACTATGTCGTGCCTGCCCTGGCTCGAGGATGGAATTGCATCACGTACGAAGGCCCGGGACAACCTACTGTGCGCCGAGAGCAGAATATCGGCTTCATCCCGGATTGGGAGCGTGTCGTTACCCCTGTTGTGGACTATGTTCTCTCGCAAAAGTCTGAGGTCGTGGACAAGGACAGACTCGCAATTGTCGGCAACTCCATGGGCAGCTATTTGGCTGCCCGTGCCGCAGCATTCGAGCCCCGATTGTCCGCGGTCGTCCTCATTGACGGCGCCTGGGACATCTATACGTCCTTCGCGGGAGCACTGCCCTCCGAGATGGTAGCCATCTTCGAGGCGGGCAACTACACACAATTCGACCACGAGGTCCTCTCGCTGCGTGCCTCTGGAAAGCTCTCCACTGGCGCCGCCTGGGGCTTGGACGAGGCCTTGTGGACGTTCAACACGCATTCACCGTCCGACCTGCTCCTCCGGAGTCAGAAGTTTCAACTGAAGGATGTCGTCGACCAGATCAAGATGCCCGTGTTTATCGGCAACGGCGAGTATGACACCCTTATGCCCGGGCAGGCGGAGTCTTTGGCAAAGGCCCTGGGCGATAGGGGTACCCTGCATAATTTCACTGGAGTTGCTGGTTATCACTGTCAGACTGGCGCTGGGCAGGAGATGTCGAGGGCCATTTTTGCGTGGCTGAACAAGACTTTGGGCTAGGTTGAACGTGGTAATAGCAAGGCAACCGAGCATGCAAGAGTTGAGTAGGACTCGGTGGTGAGGATTGTTATTCAATATTAATATTCAATTCATTGTAAAACCACTCGATCACCTGACCCACAAACAAAGGTTCTTGCAGCGTTAGTTAAGTTACGAGCCGTCTAAATCTAGTCACCTAATGAACCATCTTATTCGATTCCATCCTCCCTCAACCGGCCTATCCTAGGCTGTGCCTGAGCTGGGCTTAATCAGCTTGTCTAGGGTAACTGACTAGATACCTAGGTATCTAACTTGTTAACTAACTAGTTGTGTTTCTGGTGACCGACACAGGGACCCCACTGATGTGCGAGAGGGCCCTGGTATGAGCATCGTGGAATTGACCCTTGTCTTCAAGAAGTCTTGTCCTGCCTCGAGTCTTGTCCCGCTATTATCCGTGACCCGTCCCTGGTCTATCCTGATATGTTCCCCTTCTAAAGCATTGAAGATAGTACCTCAGCCTTCAACTATATCCCGGTCTGCAAGATGTCGGCTGAAGTTCCTATGCAGTTGCATCACGGACTAGAGCAGGAACAAGAGGTGCAGGTGGTACATATTAACTTGGTTATTACACATCGATGACATTCAATATGCTAACGTCTATATTTCCTATCAGATCTAGGACCGGACCTCTGAGGGGTTCTCCTTTTTGGTCCAGTCGTCTAGTCGACTTCCGTCATCTCCATATAGAATCAACTTTTGCAGATAATCCAGAGCCAACAGATGCAACTGCAACAATCACAGCAGAAACAGTCTTCTAACGAAAGGATAGCCCATCAAGAATCTATCAAAAATGACCTTCGTTCCAGACTTCTGCCTGATTTTCCTTGGCACTTCGAACCAAAATGGCCCTTAACACACGCTGAACGCATTACGGAGTTGGATGAACTATCCAGGTATTATGAGAAGACGCATCATAAAGATAATATCCGCGCAGCGAAAGAGTACCATGCTCTATTCCCCCCTACGGATCTTGTGCCAGCCCAGACAATCTGGTTTCGGGATGGTAAGCAAGCCACAAAAGCAGAGATCAATCTAAAAGGTGGTGTGATCTGGAGCGAGCTAAGTAAACTACATTATATCATATAGTATATTTCTTAATTGAGCTTTTATAGGGTCCTCCGATTGTCGATAATCTTATGAATTATCAGACCTAGGGGCCAGACCTCTAAGGAGTTCTCCTTTCTATTCTAGTCGTGCAGTCGACTTCCGACAAAGTCTTACAGCACTGGGATCTCCGGCTAGAACTGTGGACTTTTGCAATTAGGGAACGGCTCTTTTTCGAACAAGGGGGAACTGCGGAAAGGGATCACCTTAACTTCGTCATACCAGACATTAAAGCGCCAAATATGTAGCGTTTCGCGTTAGCGATTACTAGCAGATTGGGTGGCGATCAGCAAACGGCAGACACACCAACGGGTAGGATTAGGCCGCCGCTGGTCATAATTGAGGACGACGTCGAGGAGCCAATCCTTAACACCCCGAATACCGCGAATAGCGTGTTGGGGGATAATAACCCGGCAGACGACTCGTCTACAACGACTCAGAACAACAACATTGTCGACGGCACGACGATACAGGACAATAATATAATTGTTAATGATATCAATAACACAATCACAGTGAACGATGCAGCGATTCAGGATAACATCCCAGGAATTACCGACCCAACGAATAACTCGACCGCAACAAATAACTCGGACACAACACTTCGGTCATCAGACATAGTAAAACGCGAATCACCGGAGACAACAGTTATTGACCTCACAACAGATGAAGTGGTCGTGAAAACGGAAGCGCCTTTGCTGGGCACAGGGAGCTACCAACTCCAAATATTATGAGAGACCCCCAAACGGTTCTCACATGTATGAGGTCTGACGATATATCCCATATCCTAATATTATTGTTCGGCGCATTTAATCAAAAATACACAATGACTGTAAAATACGATAGTGGCTGTTCAGCGATGGCCATTCCTTTATCGGAGCTCACTTCAATAATACCGGACCCTGAGGACTTACATTGTGTGACAACCACCACTGCCACTGGAAGAATGAATACACTCTTTGCATACGTTCAAGTGAGACTTTTGTCTCGGGACAAGCAAAAGGAAGTCATACCATGGCATACGGTGCCTTGCCGAGGTTACCAGAATATTCATCGTCGAATTTATCGCGGCAATCTGGAAAACAATTGCTTTGTATGCAACCATCCAGTTAAGCAGCGATTATATATTAGCCGGTCTAAGGTTTCCTGATGCACCGAATGCCCCAATAATTCCCGCATGTGACCGTGCTATTTGCACGTCCTAGCAGGTATATATCGGCAACAGCGAGTATGACACCCTTATGCCCGGGCAGTCAGAGGTGTTAGCAAAGGCCCTGGGCAATAGGGCTACTCTGCATAATTTTTGCTGGGGTTGCTGGTTATCATTGTCAGACTGGCGCTGGGCAGGAGATGTTGAGATCCATTAAGGCTGAACGTGGTAAGTAATGATGGTGAGGGTTTGATAGCTTGATGGCCAGACATGCTACCATATCATCAAGCGCAAAACTTTGATTTTTTCATAACTGTATTTCAGCTACATTACTCCCTTCAAATAAATATATAGCACATACGACCATAGGGTGTGGAAAACAGGGCTTCCCGTCCGCTCAGCCGTACTTAAGCCACACGCCGGCAGGTTAGTAGTTGGGTGGGTGACCACCAGCGAATCCCTGCTGTTGTATGTTTTTGTCTTTTTTGTTATTTTTTATGCTTCATGCAGCGGTATGAACCAATGTATGCATAATCTGGTATAGAATGTCATAGACACTGTTCTTGAGAGCGTGGTAGTAATGTCAGGCAGGGCACCAACCCAGCATTAGAAACAGACTCAAGAACCGTATACAGACGGGAACTTCCAGATTCTACCACATAGTCCTCTAGCATCGACAAACTTTGTGGGTAACGTCCATAGTCTGCGGAGGATTCGATAAGATGGCTGAGGGATACGTGGAATTGAAGCCTTTGGTGATAATAGAGGTCGACTTGTCCAGGTGAGATATGGAGAAATCGAAAAGTTCTTATCGAAGACAGTTTCAGATAGACACGGATTTGACGTGTAGTGAAGAATAAAGATCTATAATTACATCGGGTAATCATATTTGTTGCTACGAATTTTGTGCACGAGCCAGATAAAAATAGGGAGCACGGAGTATTCTGCTTATTACCTACGATAATTTGTAAAATTTGAAACGGGCCAAAAAAAAAAAAAAAGCGAGCTCTATAACTAGGTATATGGTGGTCAAGAGGTCGCCAGATCATCACCGAGGTGCGACTAAACCGGCGGTATAATGAACAAGGCAAACTTCTGGCTGTCAAGATCCCACCACAAGCGGCACAAGTATGTAATCCTTTTTATTTATCCTTAGTCCCTGGTTTGCATATGCAACCATCGTTCGGTCTGGCATTCAATCCAATCGTTTTTCATATCCTACTGGAGACATCGATGGAGTTGGTCCCCATCGTCGCGCCACCGCGTTGCGTGTCTCAACCGCCATCACCCTCCCATTGCTGTACACTTCAAGTCTTATTAGTCTGTTGAGATTTATCTTGTATATCTTATTTTCCTGCCATTACCGGAGCCCCCTGCGAGCGTATAAGACATTGTAAAGACGAGATTTGTTCGATGCGTGGCATCCGCGCTGAGCCCACGAGAGGGCCTAAAAGTGAAGTCACTGCGCAAGTTCCAAATTTTGCTCCGTTCTTTGTTTGTCGGATATTAAAGATCCAGGTAGACCAACAAGGAGTTCTCCTTTTTGGTCGACTGGCAGAAAGCCATTATCGGATATTAGGAGAGTAGTTGAAGCTCCAACCAGCAAGTTTTAATGGCTCGCTACTGATGAGATTGAAACGCGCGTTTTGAAGGACATACTTCCATGTCCCCGTTTGCATAGACTCCCAACGATAGCAATCTAGGGATTCCCCTAGAAAGAACTGCGTATGTTGATTTGATTGAGGCGCCTTTTCAGGAATGAACGGTAGGCCGGTCCGCCCGTGGTTGACGCTCTTTCATTTTCAAGGCCCTTTCTCCCTTCTCCGTCATTACCTCGAGAATTGCGTCCAGGTCCTGCGGTTTAACAATCTCCCAAACGCTGTTCTCAACCTGATTCCATTGGTAAAATTTGTTCCCAGACTGAAATAGAACAAAAGGCGAACCGGTATCCGGAGTTGTAACCATAATTGGTCTAGGATCCTTCAGGCCAAATTCTATGGCCATACACTGGCCATCACTATTTTGAGGAGCCCATTCGTTTTCGTAGTCAATTTCTTCAGGGTCAATGGTCCAGCCTTTTGGCGGTTTAATCTTGATTAAGGTCTTAAGTCAGCAGAATACCATTGTAAAGGAATAGAATATATACATACTGATGTCATTATGGTTTGATTAACAGTAATGTTAAATGGAAACTCCATGTTTGATCAGTTGGAGAGAACGAAAGGCTTGATGACAGACACTTCTTTTTCAATGTAATGTTGATGTCATGAAAGTGGAAGATTATCGGCGCACAAAGCGAACGCCAGGTGATCTGTCAATCATCCATTTGCAGCTCCTAAATATAGGATGTACTAGATCACTAGGATCTAGATTCTTTGTATGCTAAAGATAAATATGGGATCAGATCCCTCCCCTAGACCTAGAAGCAAGCAAGCAATTCAAGGTGTCTAGGTCAGACCTTGCTTCCGTGCCATTCAATATTCGATAAAGATAGCCTTAGTTCACGTGATATCTCACCTTCCCACGCCGGCTTCGAACAACGCTGACCCTAGTAGGAGTAGAATGACTAAGGAAGTGATCATAGAGTTGGGAATGACCATGGTCACGGAGGTTTTCGAAGAGCTTTCAGTGCCTTTGTTCTATGTGTCGAATTCGTCCACAATGCGTAGACTGCCTGAGTTCCTCATACCTGCCAGGGCTTCTCGCCGGAGATTGGCTAGGGATGGAGGTTAACATAGTAAATATTGAGACTCAGTGAAGTAATCTTGGCTGGACCAAGTATCATCGTCGGCATAGCTCGGAATTTCAAACTATGACGAAGGTCGGCAGAAACCAGTTGCCAGAACCGGACGGTAGGCGAGCACAGGTTAACGTCAAAGTCCATCTTCTCGTAATGAATTATATTATAATTTGAAATTAGTTCTATCTCCATTATTCGTTATGCATACTAGTCCTTGCATAGGACGGACAAATAATGGTGGATAATGATAATATCACCAAAGATGGCCAAGACGAGACGCCAGAGCCAGTTCCATTCTGGAGCCCCCATTTGAGAGGTGTTCGTGCCCAAGTTGTGCGGAAATTGGCGCTGATGAGTGGGTTTTCAATTTATCCATACTTATGTGAGCTAGACTGATATCAACCTGTAGTTCTTTTCCTTTGCGTATTCATTGTTGGCGTCTTATCCTTGTACTGGGCCATTTTGTTCCGGGAAGAGAAGAACCTACCAGCGCTCAAGGTCTGGGTTGTCGACTTTGATGGTCAAATTGAACCATATCATTCAAGTGGCTCCAGACCGCTCGTTGGGCCAGTGATTATCAGCGTCGCGACGCAGATCATCCAGAATATTACTGGTACCCTGGGATTTACGATCAAACCACCGGCAGATTTTGGCAATGACCCATTTGCAGTCAGACAGTCAATTTACGATGAGAGAGCCTATGCAGCTATCATAGTCAATGCTAATGCTACAACTCTGCTACGACAAGCTATCGTGCAGGGTAATACCTCATACGATCCCTTTGGAGCTGCCCAAGTCATCACTATATCCGCGCGAGATCAGACGACATATCCGATATACATCTCAACCCCGCTGTTTGAATTTCAGATCACAGCCCTGACTGCATTCGGTCAGCAGTGGGCCAGTGAATTAGCCGCCAATTCGTCTTTGGATTTCTCCCGCGTACCGCAGGCTGTGAACCCCGGGATAGGTTTCACGAATATTGATCTCCGGCCGTTTACCCCCCCAGTCGCTACACCAGCTGTAACAATAGGTCTGATCTATCTTATTGTGATTGCATTCTTCAGCTTTCCCTTCATGATGCCCATACATTCGATATATATCAATCAGAGATACCCCCTCCGAATCAGCCACATGATAGTATGGCGGATTCTGTCTACTGTGGTGGCTTATTTCTTTCTATCTCTATGCTACTCCATCGTCTCTCTTGCATATCGGATTCCTCTCAGCAACCACCCTGCTCCGGACACAGAATCAGCCTCGAACCCCAATGCATATGGAAAAGGCTCATTTGTCGTGTTTTGGATGTTGAATTGGGTTGGAATGGCGGCTCTCGGATTTCCTTCTGAGAACATGGGAATGATACTGGGCTCGCCCTGGAATGCATTGTGGTTGATCTTTTGGATCATCACCAACGTTGCTACTGGGTTTTATTCCCTGGATCTGGCCCCCGGGTTCTTTGCATGGGGCTATGTATGGCCGCTTCATAGAAGTAAGTATATATTCCCATCTACATCTTTCCCAGTCAACTCCCGGTGATATCAATTAGCAGTTATTCAGTTGTTGAAGGCTCACGGACGATATTGTTCGATACCCACTCTCGGATTGGTCTCGATTTTGGTGTTCTGTTTGGCTGGGCAGGTGTCTCCGTCGCTTTATTTCCTTTTGCGGCCATGTTTATGCGATGGAAGAAAAAGAAAGGTATGTCATAGCCTACATTTCCCCTGCGTTTATATACTGTAATCTGGGGGCGGGGGGGGGGGGGTTTCAGGAATATGGACGTGGAATTTATGGCATCCACACCTGTGTCCTTACTGCATCTTTTTTCTTGCCATGTACTGTACATACTACGATAAGTATACTCTACACGAGAGACCATGTCCAAATAATATAGAAAAATCATGAATCCAGTCTATAAGAACATTCTCTAACTAAAACCTAAATTTCCCATATAATACACAGACCAAACAAACCTATATTCTAACACCCAAACATTTAATCAACCGGCTCCTCCGGCTGTTCTCCCATCCCAGCCAACTTGTCTCTAGCTTGCTTCTTTCCGTAATCAGTCACGTTGGGGTTATGCATAGCACTGTATCATCAAAAAAAAATTAAATGTTAGCATCATCTCCGCATTTAGTGCAAAAACCAGCTTTTATAAAAAGAATCAAGGAGGACACATACGCCTTCAACCCTCTCTTCACATTCTGCGGCATTTTCTCCCCTTCGCTACTACTGCCGTCACCTCCATATTCTTGCTCGAGAATCGCTTTGTCTTTGGCCTTGGCTGCGTCGGAGACGTTGGGGTTGTGAATTGCACTGTTTCATAATCGGAAGGAATGGGTTAGCGTTGATGGGTGGATTATAAGGAAACGAGAGATTGAATAAGAGAGTGAGTTTTGAAGAAGTAACATACGCTTTCAGACCTCGCGCGCGGTTCTGGTCTTTAGGCATTTTTGTAGATTTCCTTTCCGAAACGTGTATGATAGATAAGTTATAAGATGAATAGATATCACTTCTTTTTTTCTTCTAAGAAGAAGTTTAGTAGATAATAGATACTGATACTGATAGAACGGTATCACACATGACAGCTAGCGCGACAAGGGAAAACATGGGGACGAATTTATATCCTATTTCCCTCCCAGTTTCCCTCTCCATTTACGACATAGACGTCCTTCTTCTTCGCCTCCACCCCGTAAATGTAAGATACGCCATCGAAAAGTGGCATCATAACATTACAGTGTTTGGCCTTCAATGGCAAAATATCCTCTTGATATGGTGCCCCTAATTTGCCTATAGCTGGCCCTATAGACCATATTTGGTATTACTGCATAGTACCTAAGGTACTATTATGGTTTGTAGATACACGGACCGCACATCCCTGCGCCTCTCGGGGTTCGGATCCCGCAACGTCATGTTGCTATAAACCGCACGTCAGGGATAAGCGAAGCATTACGCGAAATAATCCGGGCAAATGAAATGTATAAGTTGTTGATTTAAGTATATAGTGAATGGCGAAGAATATGTAGAAAGGAAGAGAAAGAAGAACGTAGATGGCAAATAGCATTCTCTCCGTTCATTTTGGCCGTCAGGGAGGACGAGTCGAAAGATTACGTGGGTGGCGATATGAAGAGATGTAGAAAAGGGGAGTATGGAGGAAGGAATTAGAATGGTTATTCAGTTAATTAGATTGTCTCATGAGGAAGGCTTTATCAGCTAATTCGAACCAAGCTAAAGTGCTTCCATAGAACAGAGCAGAATTCATAATTACAACATTGGCAAGCTCAAGTTATGTAAAGCAAATCGGAATAAATATGCGTCTGATTAGAACCTGGTACTTGAAATCGATATATAAGTCTATTAACGCCGTGTACGTCCCAACTCCTATAGTAACCATATGTATGCCCTTAAAAACCCAACCATCGTAGTAAAAACGACACCCACGAGCGTGGCACAACTGGAATATTCGCATGTACCACACTCTTCCTTGTTTCCTTTTGCGACCGCTGGTAGACTAGTTCTCCATTGACCCAGACCGCCTTCACATTTCGATCATCGCCGCTCCAGACCCATTTCTGGATCTTTTCTTCCCATGACTCCCAGCCAAAGATGTCGACATTTCCCTGGGGGTCATTGATGGTTTCGGCAGATCTGTCTTCAACAGAACTCAGTTCGATAAGTTGTGCGTCCCAGAACATGCCAACTTCGAAACCACCGATCTGGTCAGCCATGTCGACGACTTTTGCGCCTCCTCTTGTCGCGAGATATAAGGCTTCCTCAACACTGAGATTCTCTCTTCCCGTTTGCTGTTCTGCGCTGTATGAGACGAGACGAGAGACGAGGATTGCCTGGCGAACTGCTTCAAGGACACTCGGGCTGTAACCACCGCTGACGTCCGTGCCCAACCCAACCGCAATGCCATCGTCGAGGAGCGTGCGGACCGGACAGAGACCCGAGCCTAGAGCAGAATTCGATGCTGGACAGTGCGATATCTTCGCCTCTCGTGAATGGATCAGCAACCGTTCAGCTGGCGTGAGATGAACTGCATGTGCAAGAATTGTCCGAGGAGTTAGGAGGCCATGGCGGTCATAGACATCGGCATAACTTGTGGAATCAGGGAAGAGCTCTCTCACGAGAGCGACTTCATTCTTGTTTTCGGAGATATGAGTCTGTATCCGCAACGGAGGATCGAACGAGGCAGCCAATTTTCCCAGGCCTGATAGCGAGATCTGGCTACACGTTGGTGCGAATCTTGGTGTAATGATAGGAGCGACAACTCTGCCCGCAGGATCAATTGATCGAATATGGGCGATGGTAGCCTCCGTGGCTCTCAGGGATTCCTCTGCGGAAGCGTCACGATAGTAATCTGGACAAAAGTCGGGATTATCCATGCAGATGCGGCCGATAAATGCTCGCTGACCACGTTTGAGACAGAGATCAGCCAGCAGATTGGTGGCTGGAACATGAATAGTGGCATAGTAGGCAGCACACGTGGTTCCATTCGATAATGTACGCGCAATGACCTTTTCGTAGGCTGTCAAGGCCTTTTGCGGAGCAACATCCGATCCATCTCCGTAAGAGGATTCTAGAGGAAATGTGTATTTCTCTAGCCAATCAAGTAACGTTGAAGAACCGAATATCCCCGAATTAGGATATTGTGACGCATGAATATGTGTGTCTGCCAAATCTGTTAGTTGTTTCCACTACAAGATAACACATTCATTTACGAGAATCCAACCTAGAAAGGTCTCACACAAATTTTGCAAACCGGAACATTGAGGGAGACGTTACTTACCAATAAACCCTGGGAAAAAGAAGCCATGCCTCTTCTCACTCGCCTTGACTACTCTCACCGCTGTCTTCTCTCCATCCTCCTCCTCTTCAACATCTCCAGAAACAACCCTCCATCCCTTGTCTTGTAGTAAATCATGCAACTTTTCTTCTGTGCAGACACCCCAGTCAAACCCCTCGACACGCCCGCTCTCATTCGAAACCCACAGTGCTCCATGATTAATGTCCAGAACATGCTTTTGTCCCGAACTGGCGGGTATCCGTGGCAATTGAATAAATGTGCCATAGAAAATAGTATATACGGGAGGCATCATGCAACAAGAGTGGATGTCAAATGTCACACAGCTTGAAGAACCTGACGCTAGTGCAGTGTAATGCCCTCGCCTATATAGAGCTTGCAACAATGTATGGATCTGTTACGGCTCGAGCAAAATGCGGAAATCGAAAAAAAAAAAAAAAAAAAGAGAGAGAGAGAAAGAGAGAGATGGAACAATGAAATTGGAAGCACAGGAAGGTGGGATCTTCCACCTCTTTATATATATATATATATAGATGATGTTTGCTGCGATAAGAGCGGAGAAAGCAGAAAGAGTGGCCTGATGGGATGATCTGCAATGGAGACGCGATAGCGACTTCTATCTCCGACGACACCCGTCGAGACAGCTGAACCGCTCCTGCAGAAGACAAATAGTTACTGGAAAGAAAATCTGGAATATCAACTGAAGCGATGAGACTGCAAACTCTCCAAAAAGGCCAATCCAAGCCCCAGCTGGCAGGAAAACAAGCCTCTTCTTATATCTCGAATCCAGGAACGATGGCGGGAATCCAGCCCGATCTCCGGCCCGCTGGGGTCTAAAATGTTGAAGGCCCCCTCCGGCTGCCCCCTTTCGGCGCCCTGCTCCCTAGTGATCACGTGACCTAGGCGAGCCCATATAGGCTTCGCCTAGCTCCTAGATCCAATTAAGCAAGCTTTCTCCCGCTTCCTTCAGGTTATGTCGCCCTTGTTTTTACCCCTTGAGCTACGAGCTAGTTACCTATTAAATTAATATTTTATTTATCTTATTGAATTCTTTGGGTTCTATTTACCTATTATAAGCTTTTATAGCTTTAAAATACGCCCTATTTTAGTATTTAATTAACCTGTGAAAATTTTTCTCTAATAAACCCCTAAAAAGCCCTAACTGCTAAAAGTGCTGGCTTAAAGATAGGTACATTTAGTTACCTACTATAGTCCAATATAGTATAATAGTATTATTATTTTAAATACTATATTACCTCTAAAAAAGCTTTATTAGTTATTTAATTAAATTTAAATTATAGTCTAATACCTATTATATATATATAGGCAGCTGTATTTAAAGGATTCCTAGTTATTTTAGTATTATAATAAGTAGCTAATTCTCTATTAAATAAACCGATCCTTTCTATAGAGCTAGCAGACCCTATTTTTAATAAGCAATTATAAAAGAAGACTAGGATAGTATCTATATAGCTAGAGGAGATTTATATAAAGATCTTCTATAATACTTTAATAGAGTTAGTTTATAAAACTACTCCTTTATTATATATTCTCTTATAGGAGATGCTTTACTAACCTATAGAGTAAGAACTAAATAATATCTATTTTATTATATTGGAGATATATTAGGGTTTATTCTTATATTTAAACGCCTAAAATTATTAATAATTAATATTATAATTAGTGCTAGCTGCGAACTCTATTACTTTATTAAATCTTCCCCTACTATAATAGTAGGAGAAATATTATAATATTAAAGTTAATCTATTATATAAATAAATTAATAATATATTTAAGCGGCTAAAGATACCTTAACTATAATTAAATAGCAGTAATTTTTAGAATTAGAGCTAGTAGTTTAAATTTGCTATTAGCAATCTAGATATTAAGAATCTTAATATCTTTAATTAAAATACTTTACTTAAAGGAAATAGCTAGTAATAGAAGATTACCTAATTTATTATAAGGAATTAGATTATAATATTATTAGACTTAAAAATCTTTAAAATTATTTAATTTTTAGATTAGCCTATTATTACTAATATCTAGCTAGTATTAAGGTATAGGCTCAGGAAGCGGGTCAGAACAAATAGAATAAGGAAGTTAATACTAGGACTAGCTATAGGATCTCTATTTAGCTAATTCAGACTAGAACAGACTGTTGCAGATAGGCTTAATAAATAAGATATAGCTTAAAGAGCTTAAATTTAGATTAAGCTATATACTGAAAATATTTTTGTAAAGTTATATAATATTTTATATAAGTATTAGCCGGTAAATCTCTATCTCCTATACTAGTATTATAATAATACTCCTCTCCTTAAGATTAAGCTCTATTAAGACTATCCCTTAGCTTTAGCTTATTTAGATAGCGGCGGTAAAAATTAGTAATAATTTTCTAGATATACTATAGATAATGCGCAGGCTCTTTAATTAAGTTATTATAATCTATCTATTTAATAATATACTATAATTAAGGGCCTCTATATCTATAGCATTTCTATTAGGAGTTTAAGATATCTTTAATAACTTATTCTTTAAAGCTGTTAACTTTAACAGGCGGTAGTAAAGGTTATCTTTATCTAGGCACAGAGTCTTTAATAATAGGGCAGAGTAGGCTAATATTAAATATAAGATAGATATATATTAAGGCAGGCAGGTTAAGCTAATAAGTATGCGGGTTAATAATCTTAATAATATAGAACGGGCTAAAATTCTTCTAATTAAGTTTCTTCTAGGGGCGCTGGGTATAAATATTTTAAGCATTTAACTAGACAGACTATCTTATATAATAATAGCAGGCTAGGGTTTAATAATAATTAGTCTGCTCTTTATAATAGGCTTAGGCAGCGCAGATCTAAATATAGATATAATCTATAATATCCTATATCTTTTTAATAAAGGCTTTGGCATCTCTGATAGCAGGCTAATTTATAGGCTAAATAAGCTTAAATTCTATATATAGATAGAACCTATAATTAGTAAAAAAGGGCAATATTTTAATAGTCTCAGAATAATAGGAGTTTAACGCGAACTTAGCTAGAGGTAGCTAGTTAACCTAATTATCTTATAAGTAGCTAATATAAGCATACAGGTATTATTCTAAAACAGCGTTTATCCTCTTAATCTAACTATTAGTCTTAGGGTAGTAGGTAATAAATAGCAGGTTTATAATATCTAGGCATTAGGTTAGGTATTTCTAAAAAGCAGTAATAAACTAAGGGCCTTAGTTAAATACTATAGTCTTTAATAGCCTATAAAGCTTCTATATATAATAAATATATAATTATACTACTTCTTTAGTATTATAGGTAGCCTAGCAGAGAATAAAGTACTTTATCTTTATAAGTCAGTCTATAATAACTAATATAGTATTATAACCTTAGCAAAATATAAGTCTAGTAATAAAATCTATTAAGATATCTTATTAAGAGCATTTAGGGATAGGGAGCTAGTATAAGATTCCTTAGTAGCCTTTATTTAAGAGTATAATATAATAGCAGGTATAGCAATTCTAGGTCTAATAATCTATATATTAATATATATTTAACTAGTAGTACTCTTATAAGATTAGATTATAAAGCTTATATTTTTTAAAGTATTTAGATATATACTTATTATAGTATTCTTATAATAAGTAAGCTCTTAGCTTATTATAATTAGGAATATATAAATAGTCTTTATAGTATAGATATCTTCCTTTTTATTAGTAATTAGCTAGTATAATCTTAGGATAATAATTAGCTTTATAATTTAAGGCTTACAGGATAGACTATATTAAATTATTAAATAGATAAGCTATATCTAGCAGGTTTTTAATACTAGGCGGGTATTCTAGTTTATTGGGTATAATAGAGGAACTTAATTAGTCTTATTTAATAGGCTGGGCTATTTTTTTAATAGGCTAAATAGTCTCTTTAATAGACTAAATTATCTCTTTAGCAGGTTAAGCAATTTTAATAGGCTAGTTAAGCAATAGAGTAGACTAAATAAGTTCTCTAGGCTAAATAGATTAACTTCTTAGAATAGGTTAGGCAAATATTCTTATAAGTTTAGCAGGATTTTTAGCTTCTTAAGCTATTAAATTAATAAAGCAAATATACCTTATTATTTAACTTCTAATAATAGCTTTTAATTTTAGGGATCTCTAAATCTATAGGTTAAGGTTTTCCTTCTTTAAGACTATCTGGCTCTAATACTATAGCTATTTATCTCCCTCTTTAGAAAAATCCTTTAACCTTCTAATTAGGGTATTAGGCTTTATTCCTTACTTTCTAGATTAATATATAATTTAGAAATTAAACTAGAATAAAAACTTAGATTAATAGGCCTATCGCTGGTTTAGCAGCTTAATTAATATAAAATATTCTAGATTATAATAGTCTATAATAACTTTAATTAGCAATAGTATACCTTTAAGCTTAAGGTGCTACTTTTTAAAGCAGCAGATAATTATTAGCAGTTCTTTATTATAAATCTTATAATTATACTTTATAGTAGAGAGCTTTTTTAAGAAAAATATAATAAGATATAAGATTCCTTTATTATTATACTAGGATATAACTCTAGCTAATATATAGTTAGATAAGTTAGTTTTAACTATAACCTTATAGATCTAGTTAAATAGCTTTAAAATCAGGGCTTAAATAAATACTTTTTTTAAGGCTTTAAAACTAGACTAATAGGCAGATATCTAATTAAAGGGAACTCCCTTCTAAGTTAAGCTTATAAGCAGTATAATTATCCTAGAAAAGTTATAAATAAACTAATAATAAAAGTTGCCAAACCTAATAAAGGCTTATATATTAATTATATAGATCAGGGTCTTCTATTTAATAATTATTTTTACCTTATCTAAGTTTATCTTAATATAGTCTTAGTTAATAATAATACCTAAAAATTTAATCTTAGAGATAATAAACTTATACTTTTAGATCTTTATATATAGGCCTATTTTATATAACTTCTATAAAATAGCGCAGATATATTAGATATATTTAGAATAGATTATACTATATACTAGAATATTATTAAGATATATAGTGCAAAAGATATTAAAATAATCTTATAGAATATTATTAATAAACCTTTAAAATATCGCTAGTGCTTCTATTAAGCCAAATAATATTATTAGTAATTTAAACAGGCTAAGTTAGGTGCGAAAGATAGTTAGATATTCTTATCCCTTTTTAATACAAAGGTTATTAAATGCAGAAATAATATCAATTTTTATAAAATACTTTATTCCTTTTAGGTTATTTAGGGTCTTCTTAATTAGAGGTAGAGGATATTAATCTTTAACAGTTATTGCGTTTAAGGCTTAGTAATCTATACAGATCTATATTTCTCTACCAGGCTTCTTAATAAATAGAATCGGGGATACAGCAGGTAATAAGCTTAAATAGATAAATCTCTTTCTCAGATTTTTTTTAATCTATTCCTTT